AGACCTTTCGAATTTTTTGTTGATTCACAAAATTCGGAGACCCTTCGAATTTTTTGGTTGATTCACAAAATTCGAGACCTTTCGAATTTTTTGGTTGATTCACAAAATTCGGAGAACCTTCGAATTTTTTGGTTGATTCACAAAATTCGGAGAACCTTCGAATTTTTTTGGTTAATTCACAAAATTCGAGACCTTTCGAATTTTTTTGGTTGATTCACAAAATTCGGAGACCTTTCGAATTTTTTTGTTGATTCACAAAATTCGGAGACCCTTCGAATTTTTTGGTTAATTCACAAAATTCGGAGACCTTTCGAATTTTTTTGGTTGATTCACAAAATTCGGAGACCTTTCGAATTTTTTGGTTGATTCACAAAATTCGGAGACCTTTCGAATTTTTTGGTTGATTCACAAAATTCGAGATTCGAAGATTCACAAAATTCGGAGACCCTTCGAATTTTTTTGGTTAATTCACAAAATTCGGAGACCTTTCGAATTTTTTGGTTGATTCACAAAATTCGGAGACCTTTCGAATTTTTTTGGTTGATTCACAAAATTCGGAGACCTTTCGAATTTTTTTGGTTGATTCACAAAATTCGGAGACCCTTCGAATTTTTTTGGTTAATTCACAAAATTCGGAGACCTTTCGAATTTTTTTGGTTGATTCACAAAATTCGGAGACCCTTCGAATTTTTTTGGTTAATTCACAAAATTCGGAGACCTTTCGAATTTTTTTGGTTGATTCACAAAATTCGGAGACCTTTCGAATTTTTTTGGTTGATTCACAAAATTCGGAGACCCTTCGAATTTTTTGGTTGATTCACAAAATTCGAGAACCTTCGAATTTTTTGGTTAATTCACAAAATTCGGAGACCTTTCGAATTTTTTGGTTGATTCACAAAATTCGGAGACCTTTCGAATTTTTTTGGTTGATTCACAAAATTCGGAGACCTTTCGAATTTTTTTGGTTAATTCACAAAATTCGGAGACCTTTCGAATTTTTTGGTTGATTCACAAAATTCGGAGACCCTTCGAATTTTTTGGTTAATTCACAAAATTCGGAGACCTTTCGAATTTTTTGGTTGATTCACAAAATTCGGAGACCCTTCGAATTTTTTTGGTTAATTCACAAAATTCGAGACCCTTCGAATTTTTTGGTTGATTCACAAAATTCGGAGAACCTTCGAATTTTTTTGGTTAATTCACAAAATTCGGAGACCTTTCGAATTTTTTTGGTTGATTCACAAAATTCGGAGACCTTTCGAATTTTTTTGGTTAATTCACAAAATTCGGAGACCTTTTCGAATTTTTTTGGTTGATTCACAAAATTCGAGACCTTTCGAATTTTTTTGGTTAATTCACAAAATTCGAGACCTTTCGAATTTTTTTGGTTGATTCACAAAATTCGGAGACCTTTCGAATTTTTTTGGTTGATTCACAAAATTCGGAGACCCTTCGAATTTTTTGGTTAATTCACAAAATTCGGAGACCTTTCGAATTTTTTTGGTTGATTCACAAAATTCGGAGACCCTTCGAATTTTTTTGGTTAATTCACAAAATTCGGAGACCCTTCGAATTTTTTTGGTTGATTCACAAAATTCGGAGAACCTTCGAATTTTTTTGGTTAATTCACAAAATTCGGAGACCTTTCGAATTTTTTGGTTGATTCACAAAATTCGGAGACCTTTCGAATTTTTTTGGTTAATTCACAAAATTCGGAGACCTTTCGAATTTTTTTGGTTGATTCACAAAATTCGGAGACCTTTCGAATTTTTTGGTTAATTCACAAAATTCGGAGACCTTTCGAATTTTTTTGGTTGATTCACAAAATTCGGAGACCTTTCGAATTTTTTTGGTTGATTCACAAAATTCGGAGACCCTTCGAATTTTTTTGGTTAATTCACAAAATTCGGAGACCTTTCGAATTTTTTTGGTTGATTCACAAAATTCGGAGACCCTTCGAATTTTTTGGTTAATTCACAAAATTCGGAGACCTTTCGAATTTTTTTGGTTGATTCACAAAATTCGGAGACCCTTCGAATTTTTTTGGTTAATTCACAAAATTCGGAGACCCTTCGAATTTTTTTGGTTGATTCACAAAATTCGGAGAACCTTCGAATTTTTTTGGTTAATTCACAAAATTCGGAGACCTTTCGAATTTTTTTGGTTGATTCACAAAATTCGGAGACCTTTCGAATTTTTTTGGTTAATTCACAAAATTCGGAGACCTTTCGAATTTTTTTGGTTAATTCACAAAATTCGGAGACCTTTCGAATTTTTTGGTTAATTCACAAAATTCGGAGACCTTTCGAATTTTTTTGGTTGATTCACAAAATTCGGAGAACCTTCGAATTTTTTGGTTAATTCACAAAATTCGGAGACCTTTCGAATTTTTTTGGTTGATTCACAAAATTCGGAGACCTTTCGAATTTTTTTGGTTGATTCACAAAATTCGGAGACCCTTCGAATTTTTTGGTTGATTCACAAAATTCGGAGACCCTTCGAATTTTTTTGGTTGATTCACAAAATTCGGAGACCTTTCGAATTTTTTGGTTGATTCACAAAATTCGGAGAACCTTCGAATTTTTTTGGTTGATTCACAAAATTCGGAGAACCTTCGAATTTTTTGGTTAATTCACAAAATTCGGAGACCTTTCGAATTTTTTTGGTTGATTCACAAAATTCGGAGACCTTTCGAATTTTTTTGGTTGATTCACAAAATTCGGAGACCTTTCGAATTTTTTTGGTTGATTCACAAAATTCGGAGACCCTTCGAATTTTTTTGGTTAATTCACAAAATTCGGAGACCTTTCGAATTTTTTTGGTTGATTCACAAAATTCGGAGACCTTTCGAATTTTTTGGTTGATTCACAAAATTCGGAGACCCTTCGAATTTTTTTGGTTGATTCACAAAATTCGGAGACCTTTCGAATTTTTTGGTTGATTCACAAAATTCGGAGACCTTTCGAATTTTTTTGGTTAATTCACAAAATTCGGAGACCTTTCGAATTTTTTTGGTTGATTCACAAAATTCGGAGACCCTTCGAATTTTTTTGGTTAATTCACAAAATTCGGAGACCTTTCGAATTTTTTTGGTTGATTCACAAAATTCGGAGACCTTTCGAATTTTTTGGTTAATTCACAAAATTCGGAGACCTTTCGAATTTTTTTGGTTGATTCACAAAATTCGGAGAACCTTCGAATTTTTTTGGTTAATTCACAAAATTCGGAGACCTTTCGAATTTTTTTGGTTAATTCACAAAATTCGGAGACCTTTCGAATTTTTTGGTTGATTCACAAAATTCGGAGACCCTTCGAATTTTTTTGGTTAATTCACAAAATTCGGAGACCCTTCGAATTTTTTTGGTTGATTCACAAAATTCGGAGACCCTTCGAATTTTTTTGGTTAATTCACAAAATTCGGAGACCCTTCGAATTTTTTTGGTTGATTCACAAAATTCGGAGACCCTTCGAATTTTTTTGGTTGATTCACAAAATTCGGAGACCTTTCGAATTTTTTTGGTTAATTCACAAAATTCGGAGACCCTTCGAATTTTTTTGGTTAATTCACAAAATTCGGAGACCTTTCGAATTTTTTTGGTTGATTCACAAAATTCGGAGACCCTTCGAATTTTTTTGGTTAATTCACAAAATTCGGAGACCTTTCGAATTTTTTTGGTTGATTCACAAAATTCGGAGACCCTTCGAATTTTTTTGGTTGATTCACAAAATTCGGAGACCTTTCGAATTTTTTTGGTTGATTCACAAAATTCGGAGACCTTTCGAATTTTTTTGGTTGATTCACAAAATTCGGAGACCTTTCGAATTTTTTGGTTGATTCACAAAATTCGGAGACCCTTCGAATTTTTTTGGTTGATTCACAAAATTCGGAGACCTTTCGAATTTTTTTGGTTGATTCACAAAATTCGGAGAACCTTCGAATTTTTTTGGTTGATTCACAAAATTCGGAGAACCTTCGAATTTTTTTGGTTAATTCACAAAATTCGGAGACCTTTCGAATTTTTTTGGTTGATTCACAAAATTCGGAGACCTTTCGAATTTTTTTGGTTGATTCACAAAATTCGGAGACCTTTCGAATTTTTTGGTTGATTCACAAAATTCGGAGACCCTTCGAATTTTTTTGGTTAATTCACAAAATTCGGAGACCTTTCGAATTTTTTTGGTTGATTCACAAAATTCGGAGACCTTTCGAATTTTTTTGGTTGATTCACAAAATTCGGAGACCCTTCGAATTTTTTTGGTTGATTCACAAAATTCGGAGAACCTTCGAATTTTTTTGGTTGATTCACAAAATTCGGAGAACCTTCGAATTTTTTGGTTGATTCACAAAATTCGGAGACCTTTCGAATTTTTTTGGTTGATTCACAAAATTCGGAGACCTTTCGAATTTTTTTGGTTGATTCACAAAATTCGGAGACCTTTCGAATTTTTTTGGTTGATTCACAAAATTCGGAGACCTTTCGAATTTTTTTGGTTAATTCACAAAATTCGGAGACCTTTCGAATTTTTTTGGTTGATTCACAAAATTCGGAGACCCTTCGAATTTTTTTGGTTAATTCACAAAATTCGGAGACCTTTCGAATTTTTTTGGTTAATTCACAAAATTCGGAGACCCTTCGAATTTTTTTGGTTGATTCACAAAATTCGGTTTCATGGTTAACCTGAAATTGAAAATAAAAGAAAAAATTACGTGGAATAAGAGAAAAATCAACAATATTTGATTTGAACAACAATTTTGGCAGAGTAAAATGAAAGAACCAATTGACAAAAATCGAACCAGACACTATTTCGTGATAGTTTCACTTACTTACTTACTTTGATGATTTAAAACAAGAAAAATGCTATGAAAAAACCCAACATACACGGAAATAAAAGTGCGCTCTAGCGCACATGGCCGAATTTTTTCTCGCGGCCAAAATATTTGAAATAATCAGTGTTTTGTTGTACCCAATTGTGTTTGCGCCTCTGTTTTCATTAGAAAGATGATGAAGATCGAAGATATGTTGAAGGAACCTTTGACAATTTGGCATCTACTGCTCAAAGCTTGCCTGGAATTAAAGGCAACACATTTGTGAGTTAAAAATTTGAGCGGAATTTTTTTCCACAAAACAAAGATATTTCTATAATGCCTTTTTTCAGTGTCGCCGTTGGCTTCAGTCCAGAAAATTCAACACAATTTGGTTTAGTCGGTATGTTCGAGTCTAACGAAGTTGAAGAAGTATGCCGGAGACATAACTTTTTATTAATGTTTTCGGCGGAAAATGAAGATAACAAAGCGTTGAAAATGACAACATTTTTCGCTGAGAACTACAGAAACCCGTCGTATGATAAGCAGATTTTGATTGAAATGGTTGAAGTTATTGCATCATATTTTGGCTGCGAAACGAACTCAATTGACGAACATGAACCAAATCCAAATTCGTCCGAAACCTTTGCGAAATCATCTTTTGAGGATTTTGTGAGGAATGTATCTACCCAAAAAAATATCGGCGAAAATTACATGTTGTTGAACCAATTGATAACAGAAGATATTGAATTAACACTCGAAAAACGTGTAAGTTCATTTAGCTCTAAAAATTTTCAGTCAAAGAAGTTCAATATTTTTTATTTCAGTTTGAACTTATCGAGCTTGTCAAAGAGAGACACCGAGACATCGCCTTCGAAAAAATCACTGTCAAGGAAATGGAAGAAGTTGTTGGAAAAAATCTTTTACTTGTGAGTGAAAAGAGATAGAGAGCTTGTGAAACGGCTTGAAGTGGGTAAAAATTGGGTGACTGAGAAAACTACATCCAAAAACAATCAACACTATTTCAATTTTAAGAAACTTGGAATCGGATTCATACGATGCTCGACAATTCAAATTTTGAAGGAGAAGATGATCGAAATGAATGTGCAGAAAGAAATAACTGGACTTTTAGCGAAAAAATTGTGGACAAATGGAAGAAAAAGTATGGAATTTGCGTTGGGTATGCTCGAAGATTTATGGGATTTTTCAAATGCAACAAACGTTGTGAAAGTAAGTGTTTCAGTTCTTTTTTTTTTTTGTTGTTGAATATCTCGAACATTTTATAATTTCAGAGTTATGCGCGAACAATCGACATGACGCTTTTTGCATCGCATGGAATTTCAAAAAAGTGTCAAGAACATTCGTCGATCGAATTATTGAGTTTCTGGCAAATGATGACTTGGCTCTCTTTTTAACAGTGTTAAAAAATCAAAAAAAATTCGGAATTTCATTCGTCGATCGAATTATTGAAAAAGACTGATATTCCGAAAAACTTGTAAAGTGAATTCGAAATGATTCCGATTGTCCAAAATCAATGGAATCCAGCGCTGGTGCTATTTCAATGTAAAATAATAAAATAATGGAAAAACAATATGGTTGTAATTTGACGTGACCTTTTTATTATGACGGTTTTGAGAAGACATGTTCTAGCAGTGTTGCTAAAATTGGTACAAGAAAACTGCAAATATGAAAATCGAGGATATTCTGAAAGAAGAAATGAGTGTTTGTACTGTTAGCGTTGAGAACTGTTTGTTCTATGAAAGGAACACACTTGTGAGTTGAAAATTTGAGTGGAATAAATTTTCCACGAAAGAAATATGTTTTTACAACGCCCTTTTTCAGCCTATCCGCTAAGTGGAATGCTAAAAATAGCAATAAGTTTAGCATTCATGGAATATTTGATATGGAAGAAGTGGAAACAGTATTTTCTCAAAATGACGTTCTTCTTATATTTAGTCCAGAGAACTGGTCAAAGAATCGAAGAAATATCGTCTTGACATTGTATTTCGGAGAAAAACTGAATAAAGAATTTGATGAAAAACAAAAGATTTTGGAGACGGCCAAGTACATTGGGAAATATTGCGACTTTAAAGTTGAGTTCATCGACGAAACAATATCCAGCATATCTTCGACCATAATTCAAACATTCGAAGATCATGTCAAATTATTTGTCCGTCAAAACAATAATGACAAAAATTATAATTTAATGTCGAAATTATTGGACGAAAACTTTGAGTTGTCTCTCTCCAAACGAGTAAGTTAATGTAGTTCTGGAAATTTTGAACAATATAATTTTCTAGTTTTTTTTCAGTTCGAATTGATTGATATTATTAAAAACCGACACAAGGATATTGATTTTGCGACAATTATCTGATATGGAGAAATTGATTGGAAAAAAATTATTGCAAGTGAGTGAATTCAAGTAGTAACGTTTTTGAAAGGGCAACCTTTTGATAGGAATCGGACCAGGTCCGATGTTTGAAAAATAATATCAAGTCATTCAATTTTAAGGAACTTGGAACTGTATTTGTAAGATGCTCAACTCGTCCGAAATTACGAGCAGAAATGTTAGTAAAAAACAAATTGCAACCCATTTCGAAATTGCTTTCCAAAAAGATTTGGACAATTGGCAAAAATAATGTGGAAGAGGCTTGTTTGTTGATGGAACCACTTTCCGGTGCGAAAAATTCTACTCAAATTGTAAAAGTAAGGTTTTCATTTGTTTTTTGTTGTTGTTGTTGTTGTTAAATATATCGATCATTTAATAATTTCAGAGTTGTTCGAAGACCAGTGATATATCGTGTTTCTTGACAAAAGGTATCAAAAAAGTTTTTGAGGATAAACTGAAGATGGAATATCCCTATATTGAATGGGAGCACTATTTGGCGTAAGTTTTTATTCACTTCACATTTTCATAAATCAAACAAATTTTTTCAGAACTTTACCATCTAAAAGTTCCCGATGGCATGACTGGCCCACATTGCTGGAACATATCAACAACAATTTCAAGCGATAGAAAAATGTTCTTATTTTAGAGTCAATATTCTCTGAGAAAATCGCTGAATAAATTTTTGTTTGTTTTCAGATTCTTCTACTTTTTCCATGCCATTTTGGGCATAGCCATACATGAAATGGGACCCTTGAATCGGGGTGAGGGGCTTAACTTTTTTCAAAAATCTGAAGTGAAGGGTGCCTAACTTGGCCAATTTTCTGCTGATAATTTACCAAAATTCGCTCAAAAATGTGAGGCAGGTGTTTAACTTTGGAAAATTTTCAAGGAGAGACCCTAACTTTAAAAACTGACTCGGGGACCTATTTTATGTGTGGGCATAGCTACTGAAAGTTTTGGGCATATCTACTTTTACACACATAATACTTTGAAAAGAAAAGGAATTATTGTCAAAGTTGAAAAATGTGGCAGCCGTAAAAAATGAAAAACAGTGCAGAGCTGAATGAATGACAAAGTCATTATTTCGTCAGTCGCGTGCGGCTGTGCGTCGCGGTCGAAAAACAATCAATTATTTATTTTTTCCTTTGTTTTTCGGCCGCGACGCACAGCCGCACGCGACTGACGAAGTAATGACTTTGTCATTCATTCAGCTCTGCACTGTTTTTCATTTTTTACGGCTGCCACATTTTTCAAATTCGACAATATGAATGGCAAATTTGTGACGCCGAATGATGTGCCTTCATCTTCCAGTGAAGCTAAAAAGAAGCGAGGAACGCTTTTATAATTCTATATTTATCATCTACTGTTTTTGCTCTATATAAATCTGACAGTTTTATACACATTTTGTGAATACAAAACGACTTGTATTCTGAAAAAGAACTAAAACAGACTTATTTTATCGAGTAAGATGCGATTCACATGTTTAATGGTGCGATTCGCGTTCGGCTTCGAATCCGACTCCTGGAACGAATTGTTCAGACTTGTTGTGGAACAATGAGTGGTTTCCGTCTCCCCATGGGAATGGCTGAAAAATAGATTATTTGATGTTTTGAAGATAAACTTTATTCAAATTTTAAGATTTCATATTTTTCCATAGAGAAAAATATTCAACCATAGATTATTCCGAAACTATTTATATCTTTTTTTCATGACCCTGATCCCACTAGAAAAATCACGAACCTTGTTGCGGACATTCAAGAAAGCGTATTCAACATATTCTGGGCGTCCGTGGGACAAGTGCTTCTTGTGATCAGCGAAAGCGGCATACATGGTAAGAGCCAAACATGGAAGAGAAGCGATGTAGAAGATTTTGCGCCAAGTTTCTTGGGTGGCTGAAAAATTTTTGTTTATGAAAAAGATTATCCGAGAAATGAGGAGAAACACTATATGTCTGAAAATGATCAAAAAATGCTCAAGATTCACTAAAACTTTCAATAGTAATGGCTTAAAAACATACTGTTTGAAGCCTTCAAAGTGTGGGTCAATGTATCTTTGAATCCATCAACGTTGTTGGATCCGTAGAATGGTCCGGACGAGTTGCGTTGGAAAGATTTGACAACAGATCTGCCGACTGGTTGAGCGAGACGGTTCATGGTTAACCTGAAACTGGAAATAAAGGAAAATGTCACGTGAAATAAAAGAAAAATCAATTTTTGAAGAAAAATGTTGACAGCGTTAAATGAAAGAACCAACTGACGAAAATCAAATCAGAAACTATCTCGTGGTAGTATCAACACCACAGTTTCACTTGAAACAAGACAAATTATATGAAAACCAACATAAACACGGAAATACGTGCAAAATGTTGAACGAACAAACACAATAAAAGTAGAGGCCGTCTTCGCTGCGAGACTCAAACACACAATGCACGTGTCCCTTTAATCGCAAATTTTCGAAAATTGGCTTAAACTCTGAAATTAAAGCGATTTTCTGTTTTTTAGCAATGTTTCCTTTTTCAGCACCAAAAACTATGCCAGAACACAAAATTTCATGATATTTTATTCATTACAACTAAAGTTATGAGGAATTTCCAAGTTTTTTGATTTTTTAGTTGAGGCGCTGTTGGTTTTCCAATTTTATCCCATTCATTTATAACATTCAAATCGAATCGATCTTTTGATTCTAGTGCAATATTTCCAGGCGGAGTTACAAAATAATCATCAAATCTTTCAGTGCAATTCTTGAAAACTTCTTCAATTTCCAAAGATTTCTCTTCGACATCTTCAAAAACTGGACATTCCTGATTTTCCCAAACTGTATACATCGGCTCGACATTCTGGAATAAAAATTATATAGGCATGAGGTCATTTTTCTTTAAATGAAGAACTACCTCTGTATCAACAAGTTCAAGTTTTTGCGCCATTTTCACAGATTTCCGAAGATTTGCAACTGCCTGTTCTGAATCAAATCTAACAAGTGAAAGTCGTTCCAAATGTGCGATAAGTTTTGCATCGAAATTTGGAATTTCGGATAATTTTTCATCAAGAATCTGAATTTTGAGATGTTATTGTTGTTTTGAAAAGAACATCGGATGGATCAATGAATATTTATGGATAGAGCCCAGAAAAGTTTACCTCTGAAATATATGGGATATCTCGAACTAAAACTTCATCTCCTTCAAATGCAATCTTGCGTTTAGCAACTTCTGGGAACTTTTTTGTACAGTAAGATCTTCTGATAAAAAGTCTCAACATTTCTCTGAAAATAGAAAAAATTTCTTTTTGTTAAATTTGAATTTAGAAAAAAATTCAGAATTTCCCGAAATTATAGAAAAATAATTTGGATTCATACCTTTCCTATTTATATACTAAAATTAATTCAAAACTTCACTTTTCATCAATCAATAAATAAAAATTACCCATAAATTCAAAAACTATGAACAAAAATGAATTAAATGAGCATCCATGGAATTGTTTGAGATGTTTCGAGTTCGAGATCACTGAATAAGTCAAAAACTTTATCGCGGCTTTCCAAATTATCGACAGAATCGAAATAGGTTGCGCTTTCGGCAAGAATCAATTTCTGCATAGTTTTCCATTCACAAGCAATTGCATCTTCACGTGCTTTTGCAAGGAAAGGTTTAGGATCTGGAAAAAAAACAGCATTTTGAAAGAATTTTCAAGTGAAAAAAATAGAAAAATTTCTGCATCTGAAATTTCAAAATTGTGAATTTGAGCCCCAAGACAAAATTTGAAATTAAAAAATCATGTTTAGGCTTATTTTGAAGCCGTTGAATTTGTCGTTCAACATGTCATTGTTGAAAATTTCAATTTGTAGCTGAAATTCTAAAAAAAAATCTAAATTTTCAAGCCGATCTTTAGCCAAATTTTGGAACTTTCTAATATCATATCGATTTTGAGACATAATTTACACGATAAATTGCTTTTCTCAAAAATCTTACCTTTTCTAGCCAATCGTAAAAGCTTTGCAATTGTGAAATTATGAAGAATTCTCTCGGTGATATTTGCATGCATAGCAACTTGTTCATTACATTCCATCAATAATTTCACGCATCTTCGATAATCTCGTCGTAAAAGCTGGAAAAATATAATTAATTCTCGTCGAAATAATTTCTGAAACAGTATTTTTCTCTTTAAAAAATGGAACCCACCAGAATATAAGTGTAAATGCATGGATGATAAGGTGTATTTATGTGGGAAGCATACGCTCCTTCCCCCTTTCCTCCCGTGAACCTACACAAAATGTTCGGTGTAATTACACCACCGATTGCTGAGTAGGCTTCAATTTTATAGGGTTCTTATCTACCCCGTTTTACCCGCGAAAATTGTTTCTACATGTTTGGCGCGCATCAAAAATCGATAATTATTCATTTTCTTCTTTAGCCGACTTGAATAGAGGTCTGGTTAAAATATTTATGAACTATTTTCAGCTCTATAAAGCTGAAAAAATAAAAAAAAACATCTAGGATTACTGTAGGCGCTAAATTTGTGTGCATTTTCTGCAAACACCGCACAACCTCATTTGAATTTTTGGCGTTTTTTTTCTTTTTTTTCGAAGCGCTGACGCCTGACGAAAATAGGGTTTGACGGGGTTTTCCCTTGCGTGATTGTCTCTTTTTTTCACAAGCTATCTATCAATCGAATTTGAATTTCAGATTGTTGCAAATAACGAACAATAACAAACAATATGGATGCAGATTTTATTGAACAAAAAATGATCGAAGAAATCACGGTAAGATTTCTCTCATGATAGAGCTGTACATTTTATTCAAAGGAAGTGTTTTCAGGCTCGAAGATCGCACGTTCTTCAAAAATTCGCCGATTTCGAGAATGAGGCTTTGAAAAAACGCGAGTTGTTGGTGCAATCTTGTCGTTTTCAAGTTTTCAACAGAGCATCGAAAGATTTGGATTTATCAATTCGCGAACTTTTCGAGCTTGTTGATAAAACATTGATTGCGCGCAACACTGAAAGCTTGAAGAAAGTTTTCAAAAACATTGGAAAACTGAAAAGCGAAGCGATGGAGCTTGAAAAAAGCTTGTGTCATTTGGAAGGAACTGCGTCGAAATTTGAAAATGAAAATCATTTCGCAAAAGTAAATGCGAAAGAAACGGCGAGAAAACTTCGAGAGGATTGGGAAGCTTTGATGAATTTGTTGAACTTGAAATTGATCGATGTTCAGAGGGAATTAGATTCTTCACATTTCATTCAGAAGTGTGAAGTTATTTTGGATTGGATACAAAGTGTTAAGAATAATCAATGGAATCCAGACAATAATCGAATTTTATTTGAAGAAATGCGAAAATATTCGGTTTTGTGGAATGAAGTCAAGCAAATATTTCACGATTTTGAAATGCCGAAAAATGAAGAAAACGAGATTTTCAACAAATTAGAGCTTGAATGGCAAGGTTTGGAGAATTTTGTTGATTCGATTTCAAAAGAAATGGACGAACATGAAAGAATCTTGCAATTTGTTGAAAATGTCGATGATATTGAAAAATGGATTGATGATAAGGAAAAGGAAATGAAGGAGAAATATTTGGAAATGGATTTAGAGGAAAGTATGAAATATCGAAAAACTATTGAAATTGAAATTGAAACAACGAGAAGAAGAGTTAAAGATGCGGATAAGAAAAGGGATGAATTAATGATGGAGAATGATGGAAATGGGAAAGATTTGAAGGAAAAAGTGGAGAAAATTGAGAATCGATTCAAGAAGTTTGAAGAATATATGGAGGTTTGTAAAATTTCTGAAGAAATTGGATGAATTCTGAATATGACAGAATGTTTAGAATGTACCAAACTTTACTGACCCCTCAAGTTTTTTTTTCAGAAATGGAAGATCGATGTTGAAAACAAAGCAGATCTCGAAACATTCCTCCACGAAGCCGATGATATTTTATATTGGTGTTCGGAAAAAATGGAGGATTTGAAAAATATGAAACAAAAAGATTCGATGGATTGTGATGAGATTGCAGTTTGGGTTGAAACCAATAATTTCGATTTTGAATCTTGGGATCATGTTGTTGAAAGTTTCTTCAAAAATGGGCAAACTCTTCTTGAAAAAGGAATTGAGGTTGAAAAAGTTGAAGAGCAAATGAGAATTGTTGAGGCCGAATATAAAATTCCGAAGAAAGAATCGGTTGAAGTGAATGCGTTTCTGGAAGATAAAATAAAAACTATATTTTTGGAAAAAGAAACATTTGATCTTCAACAAATGAATACTGGACTTCAGAATCGAGTCAATGAATTGCTGTTGGAATTGCAACGTGTTGTAAGTGCATTTATTTTTACTTACACGAAGATTTGTTTTATTTTCGAGTAATTCTTGCTCTTTCATGGTTGGAAATCAGAATATAGAAATTCCGACTATTTTAGCATATCTTCCAATTTTTATATCGATTTTCAAGAATAATCAAATGATTTTCTAAAAATGTTCTCCGAATTTTTTTATTTATTCATTCAAACAATTTATTTATGCACTTGTTTCAAACAAGTTGTTGCGAGTTTTTGATTTGGGCCAAATAAGACGCTTATAACTTGTTTGTTTTTTCTAGTTTTTGTGAAAATTCGAAAATGTTTTGAAACCAAGAAGTAGATTTGGTCGGAATTAATTTATTTGAAAGTTTCAAAGGAAAAACCATGTCTCTAGTATTTTTTCGATTCGGTCAAAGATCCACAGTTTTCAAGATCATAAAATAACAGGGTCCAAATTAAGGTCTATTTTTTACGGCAGTTTTTGAATCGGGTCCGATTCCTATGGTCCGATTCAAAATTTGCCTATTTTTACAGTCGAAAAATTAAAGAAAAATATGTTTTTTTTAGAAAACTACCTCCACCAACAACCAAGTCCAACAACAACAACAACAAAATCGACGAACTATCAAATCTTCTCGGCCAACAGCGAAATCGACCACAAATCAAATAACAGTTGTTAAATCGTGAGTTTTTTTGCTGAAAATTGACCGAAAATCTGAAATTTTGCTAAAAATGGTGGATTTCGCCTCAACTCAAAACATTGAAATTTTGACGAATGTTTGATCTTGGATTTGGAAGATTCATAGGAATTTGGCAGAAAACCGTGAATTGGAATTTTCTCGATTTTTCATTTTTTTTTTTGAAACTAGTATGAGCTTTTTCACAACATTTTAGGCTAATGATAAAATGCAATAGGGTGAGAGGAAGATATTTAGAGAAAAACATGAAAGAATTCACGTTTATTTGAATATTCGCGTGAACTCTTGTCGCCTCGCTTCATTTTTCAAAAAAAAAACAAAGAAAAATAATACATTTTGTGTTTAGCGCTTGGCCATTTTTTTGATCAATTTTGGCAATACGTTTGAACGACCTCTCAGAAAACGTTTAAAAAAGTAGAATTCTAGTTATTATTTGAGCATGTTTGCTCATCAAAAACGTGTTTTTTCTTTATAATCTCTCTCCTCTCACCAAATTGCGTTTCGGAACGTTGTGTTTTATTAATTCAAAAATTTAGTCAAACTTCATGATCCTATGGCACCGAAAATTTTTTCAACATTTTTCCTGTATTCTTTTTTGTCATTGGATATTTTTTGCCCGAATTTCATGAAAATGATCTTTGTGTGCTCCTAAAAAGCGCAAAATCCTAAATGTTCTCATTTCCAGAAATCTTCCAACATCCGCAAATCCAAATAGATGTGATTATAATGAAGACATGTTGGGCGATTTTTTGCCATTCTTTGTATATGTTGAAAATGAGTTGGGAGCGGATGAAAAATGTTATATTTATGAGCAATTAAAAGTATTGGAGGTGTTACGAATTGGTTATATGAAACAAAGGGAAGAGGAAAATTTTATCAAGAAAATACCATCCAATGCTGTTCCCATTTTCATTAAGTAAGTTATTTTTTAATGAAATTCTTATTTTACCTAGGCTTGAAGTTAAAATCAAATATGCACAATAATTTTTTGCAGTATCCATATGAAAACCGGCTCGATAAAAGGATGTAAAAAAGTGTTGATCGATTGCATTCGAGTAGCATTCAATTGCACTCTTCAAACAGTATACCGCGCATGGCCTCAAAAAAGATAATTGTGTTTATATATTGTATTTATAATGCCATTTTAGTGTTAGTTGTATATTCATTTTTTTTCGTTTTTTCTATTTTTATATTTTGTGCTTCCCATTTTTTTTGTCAAACTTACATAAACTTACTCATACTTATACCATTCGCTCGATTGCAAGCTTTGGATTTTCACATTGACAATATGATGATTTGGTCACATGTTTTACATCTTGAAATTCCGAAAATACTTTTTTTGTTAAATTTTTTGGTGAAAATTTGTAAATCTGGTAACCCTTCCAGTTTTACAAATCATAATTTTTCGTGCCAAAATGCATTTTTTCAGTCTATTGATTAATTTCAGTACAAATAAATTGAAGTACTGTAGCTCATATCAATTCTGTGCAAACACACACATGTCTGCGTACCATGCATTTAATTCGACGAACACGTATTTTTTATTACTCTATACTTAGTATACTATTGTGAATCCGAAAAAATAAGAACTGTGGAAGAGAGAACCAAAATACAGTAGACTTAGCGGCTGCTTTTTGATCTTTTGTATTGAAAGAGGAAACATTTGGTTTTCTAGGCCATATCGGTTCTCTTCCGAGGGTCACAAAATTTCGGACTGACAATAGAAAACAAATTTTCATAAAATGTTATTCAGTACAACTAAAGTTATGAGGAATTTACAAGTTTTTGATTTTTTAGTTGAGGCGCAGTTGGGTTTCCAATTTTATCCCATTCATTTATAACATTCAAATCGAATCGATCTTTTGATTCTAGTGCAATATTTCCAGGCGGAGTTACAAAATAATCATCAAATCTTTCAGTGCAATTCTTGAAAACCTCTTCAATTTCCAAAGATTTCTCTTCAACATCTTCAAAAACTGGACATTCCTGATTTTCCCAAACTGTATACATAGGCTCGATATTCTGGAATAAAATTTATATAGGCCTGGGTTCATTTTTCTTTAAATTAAGAACTACCTCTGTATCAACAAGTTCAAGTTTTTGCGCCATTTTCACAGATTTCCGAAGATTTGCAACTGCCTGTTCTGAATCAAATCTAACAAGTGAAAGTCGTTCCAAATGTGCGATAAGTTTTGCATCGAAATTTGGTATTTCGGATAATTTTTCATCGGGAATCTGAATTTTAAGATGTTATGGGTGTTTTGAAGGGAACATCGGATGGATCCATCATGGATTCCATGAATATTTATGGATAGAGCCCAGAAAAAGTTTACCTCTGAAATATAGGGGATATCTCGAATTAAAACTTGATCTCCTTCAAATGCAATTTTTCGTTTAGCAACTTCTGGGAACTTTTTTGTACAGTAAGATCTTCTGATAAAAAGTCTCAACATTTCTCTGAAAATAGAGAAAATTTTTATTTTTCAAAAAAAATGTTATTTTGTTGTAAAATTTGAATTCCTCGAAACTAAAGAAAAATAATTTGGATTCATACCTTTCCTATTTATATACTAAAATTAATTCAAAACTTCACTTTTCATCAATCAATAAATAAAAATTACCCATAAATTCAAAAACTATGAACAAAAATGAAAAAAAAAATGAATTAAATGAGCATCCATGGAATTGTTTGAGATGTTTCGTTTTCGAGATCACTGAATAAGTCAAAAACTTTATCGCGGCTTTCCAAATTATCGACAGAATCAAAATAGGTTGCGCTTTCGGCAAGAATCAATTTCTGCATAGTTTTCCATTCACAAGCAATTGCATCTTCACGTGCTTTTGCAAGGAAAGGTGTAGGATCTGGAAAAAAAACAGCATTTTGAAAGAATTTTCAAGTGAAAAAAATAGAAAAATTTCTGCATCTGAAATTTCAAAATTGTGAATTACACCTCCAAGACAGAATTCGAAATTTAAAAAAAAATCGTGTTTAGGCTTATTTTGAAGCTGTTGAATTTTTCGTTGAACTTGTCATTTTTGAAAAATTCAACTGGTAGCTGAAATTCTAAAAAAAAAGTTTAAATTTGCAGGCCAATTTTTAACCAAATTTTGGAACTTCCTAATATCATATTGATTTTGAGACATAATTTACACGATAAAATGCTTTTTTCAAAAATCTTACCTTTTCTAGCCAATCGTAAAAGCTTTGCAATTGTGAAATTATGAAGAATTCTCTCGGTGATACTTGCATGCATAGCAACTTGTTCATTACATTCCATCAATAATTTCACGCATCTTCGATAATCTCGTCGTAAAAGCTGAAAAAATATAATTAATTCTCATCGAAATAATTTCTGAAACAGTATTTTTCTTTTTAAAAAATTGAACCCACCAGAATATAAGCAGCTCTTCTCGAAATCATTGCTCGAATATTTCTCAACGTTGTACATTGTGCAATTTTCACGCATTCCTCCAATAATTGCTCTGCTGTATCAAATTTGCCCAATTGAATATTTATTGTTGCCATTTGCATGTTCACTCTGCAAAAAAAATGAGTTATTTGAAATTGAATCGTTTGTGATGTGCAAAATACCTGATTTTCGATAAAACATCATAAGTTTCATATTCCATCAATAGAACTAATCCTTCAGTTAATCTTCCTTTTATCGCTGTAATCAGCGCTTTTCTCAAAATCGCTTCTGTTGGTGCAACTGATGTCAAAACACGGATTGAATTTTCGCATTCTTCATATTTTCCGTGCAAAAATGATCGTTCGAAATCCACAATCAATCGACAAATTCGAACATGTCTAGCACACTGCAAAATCCAATTTTTTTTTATTTCGCATGAAATTAATTACCAACCTGCCAATTATACTCGGGTTTATAAATTTTCTCAATTTTTTCAAGAAGTGCAAATGTTTTTCTCATTCTTCCAGTCGCCATACAAGCATAAACCATATTCACCGCAGTTATCGCCTGGAATTTTGGTTTTAATTTTTTCAAGATAATATAAAAATGAGATTTTAAACTAACATAAGCTTCAGTTTCATGTGAAAAAACATTTGGATTTGCTGAATCAAAATTAGTGTTCAGCATTGATTGACAAGATCTCATTGTATGATGATACATTCCATTTCGAAGTCTGGAAAAAATAGGAAAATTATTAAATTTTAGATTTCGATTAGAGATAACTTCATAAAATTTTCAACTCACAAATTCGAAATAGCAATCGAAATCGAGCAATCATTAACTCTTTTTGTTTTTTGTGCATGATCACTACAAGCATTTACTCGTAATCCAGTTTCCATATGTTCAGCCGATTTTCTGAAATTTTTTCAATTTTTTGAAAAATAACCTAGAAGTTTGTACTTACATATGATATCTGGCATATAACATATCTTCCAAAACACACAATTCTTTAGCCATACCGATTAATTGTTCGTGCAATTCGAAATTTTCTTCTTGATCGTTGGGGAAAGAATCCATATTAGTATGATCATCCAATCTATAATAGAAATGTGGTTTTGTACAGAATTCTAGAATTTTCTTGTTCACAAAAATATTCTTGGTATTTTCAATTCTATTTTTCAAAATAAAAAAAACTTACTCTGCTCCACGATGAATATTCTGTTGAACAACGCGTTTGTCTTTATCAATTCCTTGATCATCTGAAAATAAAAATATTTCCAATCAATAAGATAATAATCAAAAACCTACCATTCTGATATGTAACTTCCAACAATGGTCCCGATTTAATTATTTCAATTGCAGTCAATTCGATATTCGCCATTCTGTTGCATGTTTCATCCAATGCTAATTGTGCTTGTTGAATTGATTCCGAAAATAATGTTCGAGCGGTTCCCCTGCAAACAGTTTTATGGAGATTTGAGGATAAATTGTATAAGACTTACATGTCTCCAAATAATCGATTGATTCGACCTTGTAAAAGAGGCGCATATCGGAGAGGTTTTTGACAAGGAACAGCAAGTTTATGCGATTGAGAAGCTGATACAACATTATCATTGATTCTGCAAATATTTTTTATTTATTGAGGAGGTGAATCGGATGAAAAAAAACGAACTTCAACATTGATTTATCAAAAAATAATTTGATACATTCAATAGCCATTCTTGGATTTTGTTGTTGAACATAAATAACAGCTTGAAGAAGGAATGTTGAGAAAACATCTTTGTGAGTTACTTCGATCATTTTGCAATAATTCATAGCTTGAGTTAATGAAATTCGAGATGGTGCGATCTGAAAATAAAATGAGCTCAACATTTTTTAGAAACACAAACTAACTTGAATCTCATATAAACGATGATGAATCCAATCTCTTGCTCTTGTTGAACAATCAATTGAATGTGGCAATGGTTTTTTCGTGAGAAACTTCAACAAATTCTCAGGTTTTCCATCAATCCAATTACGCATTCTTTCATTCATCGCATAAACCTCATCTTGTGTCATTTTCGTCCATTCAGCCATTATTCGTTTCAACCAAATATAAGTGTATGATTTGGAATGCATAAAAAGTAATGGTTTTCCAGGTGGAAGTTCATATACAGCCAATTCGTGATATTCACGTTTTCCTGTATATAAAGAATCTTCGACGCGTAGATCAATATGTTCATCTCCTTTTGAAATATGTTCCATACAAACGACAAATGTGTAATAGATTCCACGACGAACTTCGGTGTCTAAATAGCGAACGATTTTTCGAAAATCATCATAACTCATATCATTTTGCACGTTTATCAAGCCAAATAACACTGTGAAAATTCTGAAAGCAAATTTTTGAACATATTTTCTATTTTCTGAAGTTTGAACTAACTTGGTCTTATCATTAACTGTGAATTGCCGTGTACTTGGAACAGCTCGATAGCCAAAATGAGATCGAAATAACTGCTTGATCAGATAGAAAATTGCAATTTTTCGTGGAGTTATTGGTTCTCCAACTATATTGTTATATACATTACCAAATATCGTATCAAGATTGAGACCTCCTTTTCGAGCCATTCTGGAAATGAAGGAAAGCTTTTTATCAAGATATAAAAAAGGTTAACACGTGATAAACAAATAGTTATTTTGAATGAAAAAGAAAACGTGAATCATTTCTGATTTTTGAAAAATTCTAAAATCCAGTCATTTTTGGCATTTCGAAAATTATTTCGCTTGAAAATGAGGTGAGTTACATTTTTATGAAAGTGGGAATAAGACTTTCAAGTTTACAGGAAAAATTGAAACCGCGATCGCGCGAAAAATGCAGTTTTCTAGCTCGCGAGCTCACTCAGCATCCGCTGGCGTAGTCTAAGCGTACAACAAAGGGTTATTTAGATGAAATTTAGCTACGGCTTAGCTACGCTCGTTGTAATCTCGCGGGTGTAGACTGAGCGTAGCTACACTGAGCCGCGTTGCAATTCCTGTGCGTTGCGTAGAAGCTTTTCACTTTTTCTTTTCGTTTTCTCTTGGCCTAAAATTTTTCTTTTTTGGGCGTGTTGAAATGTTTAAAGCATGGAGTTATACTTTTGAGTTGTGTTTTTCCTGATTATAAAGACTTTCCTACTTCAAACAACTCATTAAACGAGGTTTTCACTAGAAAACTGGCTCTCGTTTGAAGATTTTCAGTGAGAAATTATTTCAGCAGACCAAAAGTAGGACACATGAGACTTTACCTATGAATTTAACTCTATTATGCTTATTATTTTTGATTCTAATCGTTCTCTATTCAATTTTTCTATTTTACAGTCTAGATTCGTGGTTTTGGGCGATGTCAATCTCCATTTCATGTTCTGCAGATTTCAGTGAGTTCTATAAATACGCATTCTATTAGTATTGAGAAAAGTAAATATGTTTTCAGAGCTGAAACAAATCCACGCCAAACCAAGCAGTTATTGGAAGTTAGAATGGTTTTGGTAGTCAGTCGCCTTCCGGCGGATTCGTTTTTGATTTAAAACTCGGAGTTCAGCCAGAATCAATTTCAACTTCGACATTCTTGTTACTATAATATTGATATTGGGATATGAAGCAAGTTGGATAGGCAAAAGGTGAGAAAAATCGTTCACTAATCGAAAACTCCCAAAATATGAAAGAGTCGCGTAGTAACTTGAATTAGCTGCTAGCTGAATTAATTTAGTTTATGAATATGTGATAGGTGATTAATCCTTCAGCTCATTTTAAATTCAGCTCACTTCACTTTAAAGTGAGCTGAAGAGCTGAAAATTTGCTAAGCGATTAATCGCCCATCTTGTCTGAGAACCCCCAATATCCTAGTCATAAAGTCTTGATTTTGGCCAATCCTAATCAAAATATCCACTCCAGAAAACTTCTAATAAGTCAGTTATTCTTTCATGTTCGAAAACTGGTATTCTCAATATTCTACAAGGATTGGAAATTCTCACGTGGAACTCAACACCATCATTCAACGTCATTAAAAAATCTTCCAATCAGCTCGCCGTCTCAAAAACCCTCTAAAATTGTCAAGAAGCGCCGAAAATCTCATAATTCTTCCATTTTTCAGTGTTATTTTTAATTATTTTACTGTTTTTTTTTGTTATAATGTACAATAAATCATGTTTCTATGCAGTTCCTTCAAAAAATTCAGAAATCGGCACATTCAACATGCAATATTGATAGTAAACCTAGAATTCGGTTCCGATCGAGCAAGCAAATCAGAAAAAAAATTTCAATTGAAAAAAAAAACGAGCGTAGCTAAGATTTACACCTCAGCGTAGTCTAAAGCGTACAAGCGAGCGTAGCTAAGGCGGTGTATGACGCTACAAACGCTCGATTGTACGCTTAGACTACGCCAGCGGATGCTGAGCACAAACGCTCGAAAAGAAAAAAAGAAAAATATATGTCGTAAAATGTTGTGTATTGTACGCAATCGTGTTTGCACATTTTGTTTGTCTACAGTACTTCTGCCACAATAAAAAATCACTTTTGGCTGGAATTATTTGAATTGCTAGATTTCGTGGGCTCTGAACGGATTCAACATTTTGCCTAGAAGGTTAGTTTAGTTTGGGAGGAGGTTTTCGGGGGAAAAACGGTGTCAGATTTATTGAACGGATTTTTAGAGAAGCTAAAATTTGAGCCAAAAGCTAGTTTACACGATATGCAAAAAAAAGTTTTTGAAATTTCGTTACGCTAAACAACATGCAAACGGCGTGTCGTTTGGAAACTCGCGAATTCTTCAGTGTTTTGAAGAAAATATGAGGGAATTCTGCAATAAGTATATTTTCTTTACACATAATGACTTCTGTATTTCTGAAATTTTCAAGAGAAAAACAACAAAAAGTATTTTGAAACATTTATTATGAATTCTCACAACCGATTGACAAAAATAGAACATCTGCCTTTTTAGAAACACGTATTTTAACATTAAACTAAGCGTATTGAGAAAATGAAAACATTAGTCGAATATGAAATTTTTAGGAGCAAATTATTTTTTTGAATTGGTTTACAATTAGATTTATGTATATGAAACTGTAAAAGGCCCGTCTAATATCTGTATTTTTAAAAGAAATGCGATTATTGAATGTGAGGAAAATAACTAATTGGAATGAATTGAATCAGTTTCTAATGTAAAATTAATTTTACAATCAACAAATTATGAATTTGTTATGGATGGGTTACATTCAGCGGTTTCGCCCAATCTGGCATTGTTCCAAGTGGCAAGAATAAATGACCGAATGAGTTCATGTAAATAACTGTGATGAAAAGAAGTTCCATTGAGACCACGAGGCCAACGATTGCCTGAAGTTATTTTTGTTTTGTTTTGGTTTTTCAAAACTTATTCTTGGAAACTTACCATATCTGATACTTTGACCATTCCACTTCCGAAAACAATTGCATTTGGTGGAGTTCCAACTGGGAAAATAAAAGCGAAAGATGCTGCTAAAGTAGTTGGAAGCATTAAAGTGAATGGATGATTTCCAGATTGTTGTGCTAAAGTAGCTACAATTGGAACGAAAATCGAAGCAGTTACAGTATTCGAACAAATGTTTGTTATAACCATAGCAATAAACATTGTCAAAATTTGAAGAATCCAAATAGGCAAATGTTCAATTGATGATAAACTTGTTCCGATCAAAACTGATAGTCCACTTTCTTTAACTCCGGCCGCTAATGCGAAACCTCCTCCAAGAAGAAGTACAACACTCCAGGGGAATGTTTCTTGCATTGCTTTCCAATCCATCAAACATCCACGCTGAAAATGTTTTGTGATATTCTTTTCTGAACTCGAAATTTCGTACCTTTTTCAAGTCTTCTTTCTTATACGTAAACAAGTCTGGTTTTTCTGATGGTAAAACGAATAATAAAAATGAGACAATCATTGCTGAAGTAGCATCGGTATATGTTCCTTTTTTGAAGAAAACACTGAATCCTGCGAAAACTCCTGGATTTCTAAATATCCACAAGAATAGAAGAATAAAGAAGCAAACGCAAACTGATTTCTCAGCATATGACATTCTTGGAAGTTGATTGAATCGATCTTGCAACATTTTTGTGACATGTTCATCTTTTGCTGGCGCATCTCTATAAAAAGATCTTGCTCTATTTTGACTAGATTCTATTTATCCGAAAATTCTTCTCATTTTTTGCTCAATCATCCACGAACATTTGTCGTGTTGAGAAAGGCGATCTTATTGAGCACAAGAACACACAAAACTCTATGACCTTTACACGTCATAACTATCTTTTTACCTCAAGAAAAATGCAACTAGTGTAATCCACGCGACAAAAAGACAAATCAACATGAGAGGATAAGCGAAGAAAATCCACGTAATATAATTCAAACTTCCATCTTCTTTTGGGAACAATCTGCAAAAAAAACAACAATCCCTGATCAATGTTCACTTTGAAATTTGGGTTCATTTGGGGTAATGTCAATAGATCTTCTCACACCTTTCTTTTTCTGTTTGTTTTATTTATAGGTAGGAATTTAACGAAAGAACAAATATCATATGATGATTAAAAATAGATAAACTTACGTGCTAAGCTGTCCGAGCATCACTAAGTTACTTGGTGTACCGGTTGCTGTACCAGTTCCTCCAATGTTTGCAGCAAAACAAATTGATAGTACAAGACCGGTTGCCATTTTTTTGCAACCTGCTCGACCACGTTCACTGAAACAAAAGTCACGTTTACAGTTTGAAACTTTTTATTGTGCAAACACTTTTCGTTTGTACGAGAGAATAAGTAGTGGAATTTAGGTTTTTGTGGGCAAACTTGGAGTTTGAGGCGAACTACTCTTTTTGGAATAAGTTTTACATAAAAATCAACTGAACAAATTTTTGTTGAGTTATTTTTGGAATTTTGAAATTGTGATAACATGCATCAAGTAGTGCACCGTGGACCTTTGAGATAAGTTCTTCCTAACATTAAGAAGTCGGACGTTACTGAACCGGTTTAGACTCCTGATATTTCCACCCTTTGATACTCACCCATTTGTTGGATGATGTTGAAAAGATGAGACCAGCTGATTGACAACACTTTGACCAATCGGAACCATCATTGCAGTTGTGGCGGTGTTTGAAATGAAGCTGCTGAGTAAAGCTGTCACCAACATGAAACCAAGCATGATCCTAAATGTTTCAATTTCTCATTCCAATTTTTGACGAAAGGTCTTGAAGCCCAGGCTAACTCAGATTACTCTTACCATTTTGGTTCGCTTCCCACTAATCGAAGAACAGATAGAGCAACTCGTTCGTGTAAATCACATTTCTCAACAGCAGCCGCCATAATAAGTCCACCAATAAATAAGAAATTCGTATCATTCATATATTCTTTTGCTGTTGTATTTGCATCGAGAACTCCAACAAGTGGAAATAGAACAACTGGAAGCATTGCAGTCACAGCTAATGGCATTACTTCGGACATCCAATAAACAGCAATCACACAAACACAGTATGCACATTTCCATTCCTGTAATATTTTTTATTTGCTCATCTTTTTTGTTTCTCCCACTCTTTTTTTTTGTTGCTTGCTCGTTTCACAAAACAAAACATCTGGTGAAACTCAAACTCGATGAATCCGTCACATCACATGGCACGGTGTTTCAGGTTTCAAAAGTGTATTATGACGTCGAAAGAGCAAGTAACTTTGGCTTTTGGAAAGGGATTAAAACAAGAAAAACTAAGCCATTTGGTTTGGTTCTTTGAAGTTATCTTTAGAAAACGGACAGTTGTTTGATCTGATCACTATAATTTATCAAAAAATATCACTACGGCATGCACACCGTGATCTTTTGAGATCTTTTCGAGTTCTCGCGAGTTTTCCAGAAAAAAACGTTCGATTTTTCAATTGCTCTCTCATGTTCTTGGTGAACAAAAAAAGAAAAGCACGAGTTGCTCACCAAGAACATATAAATTTTTTTCAAATAAAAATCGCTGCGTCTCTCTCACTCTCACTCTAAAATCTCATTTTGCACCCACACTTCAGTGGAGAAAGAGAGCTTTTGCAAGAGACGCAGACACGAACAACATGACGTCGAGAGAGCATTTTGAGACCAAAAAGACGAAGACGGTGTTCGGGATGGAGATGGAAATTATTCACCATTTTTCAAAATGAGAAATATTTTTTTATTATGGTCGTTACGGAAATTTTCGAAGAGCTGTGGATGAAAAAACCAAATACAGTAGGATTTCGGTTGAAATAAGAAATGTTTGGATTTCTAGGCCACTTTGGTTCTCTTCCGCGGGTCCAGGAATTCGGACTTACCGGACTTGGCGAAGTGACCATTGGGAAAAATAAAAGAGGAGTCAGGAAGAGGACAAGACCATTTTTGAGTCGTCGCAACAATGAAAGCATTCGTTCCTTATTCGAAACCTGAAACATGGTTTTTTTCATTTTGTTTGAGCAAAAAAGATCATTGCAGCCAGTCAACAACCTCATTTCCATTCCATTAGCAAAAAAATGGCGAAGACGAAGAACCCCAACTTAATAGAATTTCCTATTCTCTGTTTTTTCGCTCTTTTGTTTTCCGGGTTCTTTGGACTACAGTAAGATGTTTAGACAAAGTACAATTGTGGATTCGAATTTTTTATTCTGGGGCAAGGGCCTAGAAAATCATGAAATGTATTATTGATATTCTCTTGGTTCTTAAATTTTCAAATTGACAAAGTTCCTATAACTTATTTTCGGTCAGAAATTCGCAGACCTCAGATTAAAGAAAAAATTCTCCAGGGGAGATATGTCTGCTTTTCACAGAAATTCAGGTTTTAGCACACCGTGATTTTCAAGAAAAGCCTAGTTTCGCTCGGAGTTGTCTAACCTCAATTAAGTCTATCTTCCCTGAATAATTTAACACACCTCTCTTGAGACGAAATGTTGAGTGAAATTAGTGCTCGAAGCACTTTCCAACATTCTTTGTCGACTTTCGCTGTTCTCTGGCCATCCTGATAAATGCAATCCAAGTGACATTGCACCGTAACACGTATTCTCGTTGTTATTTGATCCGTCCAGTGTTTAAAGTTTGAAATGATAAACTTTGGGCTTTTTGAAGATTGTTTCTGAAATCATAAAATATGATTTATTTGATTGAATTTTGTCGGAAAGATCAAATCAAATCAAAAATTATATATTTTTTTATTTATTTTTGTGGGGGAAACAATATTTTATGTTAGATTTATATGCAAAGATGCAAATTTCCTTTTACACCATAAAAAATAATACTAAAAAACTAAAGAAAAAATGAGAGGAGGACTGCTCCATTTGGTTCTCCTTTCTCTTTGCCGCACGAAAAAATTCGTTTTTTTTTTCCCGTCGCCAAAAAATGGGCGGAGTCGTCGCCGCGACTAAATACTTGGCACACGGCCAAGAAGGAGGGAAAAAGATGAAGCTGTGGGTGATGATGGAGAGAGTGTGTGATGAGAAGAGAGTGGGTGACAGAGAGAGGAATGAAAGAGCCTAGCTTAGTGGACTAAAACGGAAGATAGATAGTAGATATACCAATTTTTTCTAGCGCAGGTTTTTTTCGATGCCAGAGCTCTGGAAGAACGAAAGAGAGAGACTGAAAAATATATTAGTTGAAATGGGGAGGAGATATTTCAGAGATCGTATGAAAATTAAATTGGTTTTGGTTTTGATTCTGGGTTGAGGCTCACGAATTTTAGTGTATAGTTTTTTTTTTGGAATTATCAAATATTGACACTTTCTCTTATTTGATTTGATTCTATTTTAATTTTTTTTTATTTCGAGACAGACACATCTGGAATAAAAGTGTCCTTGCCAGCTGAAGTTGTACTTTTCAGTTTTCTAAAGGGTAGAGGAGAATTGTACTTTGAAATGAAATATGGGATTTGGAATTTATGCTCTCTTTTAGTCAGAAATCTCAATGAGCTTCAGGTTGAGAGAAATTTCAGAATTTCAAAAAAGTTATCCAAAAGTAGTCAGAAAAAATTATAAATTTTCTGAATCTCAAAAAGTTCTGGTGAAAAAAACGTTTTATACAAAGAATTTCGATTACGGAAATGTCACAAAACTATAGTTTTTCTTCTGTTTTTTTTTAAACTTTTCGTGTGGAAAAAAATGTCAAAAAGTAGGAAAAGTAAAGTTTTTGACATTTGCGTAATCAAAATATATTGTCAAAAAAGTTTTTTATTATATTTCGAAGTTCTTCTTCTTCAGAATCTAGGCTCAAATTAATTTTAATCATCCGAAAAAGGAATCAGTTTATGAGTCACTTTAGGCTCGGAAAATTTCAGACCGGAAATTCAATTTTTATCATCAAAAAGCTCTTAAATTTTTCACTTGAACCGTTATTTTTTATTAATTTGGCTCTAAAATTAAATCACGGAACTGTAATTTTTAGAGAGTACTTCAAATTTGTCATCAAAATTTCTGTTCCGAAAAGCCTCAAAATGTATATATCATTCTCATCTCGAACTCCTTTTTTCGGTACAAAACGGGTGCTTTTCAATCACCAAGGAAACCAAGAAAAAAAGAAGAAAAACTAGCTATAATCCTAGCAAAATCTTCTGGAAAAATCTTCAAGAAAATAATTTTTTATTCGAAAAAAATGAATATTTATGAAAAATGAAACAAAAATGATAATGAATTTCTCATAATTAGCACATTTCTTAAATAGCAAGTGGGAAATTGTTCTTTTTTGGTCCAGTGACGTTTAATGACGTTTAATGAATATTCTGCTTTCGAAATGTCATTGACAAAATCAAAATCTGTAAATTTATCAACAAAAAATGTAACCAAAAACAGGTGGAAAATTCCCGAGCTCATTTTATTTTTAGAAACGAAACGGAACAAAATGTTTTGATAAGAATATGGCAATTTGATTCAAAAATGATTTGAACATGAAAAAATTGAAAGTAGGAAGCAAGTTAAAGCAAATACAAATAGAAACAGCAAAAAACATTGAAACCGGGCATGAAAAATGAACGAAGCATAAAATAATATGTTGGTTGGTAGATACATTAAACTGTTGAAATGACATTATTTCTGGAAGATCGTGAAAATCTTGGTTGATGTTGGGAAATGCTTGTCTCTCTCCAGCCTTTTCGTGAGCCCTGAAAAATTGATAGAATTTATTTTGTTTGTGGGGAATTGAATTTGTGATACGTGGATTTTGAGGCCAAAAAATGGAGTGTAGAAATTTTTTTTGAAGTTCTTCAAAACTCGGAAATAGGTGGCTCACGTGGATTTTTATTCCAAAATTTGGCCACGTGTCATTTTTCAGTTTTTCTATTTTTAATTTTGTCTCGAAGTTTTTTCAGTTCTTGAAACTTCATGAATTTATACTGGAAATCTGAATTTTTGAAAAATGAAAGATTTTCAAGGAATGAAAAAGCAATTTTCTGTCTAAAAAGTCCACGTTTACCTCTCTTGAAAAAACGTTTTTTTCAATTTTTTCTCAAAAAAAACTCACATTCACAACCAAAAGTCCCGAATCTGTCAAATGACTTCGAATCGAATCAAGATGAATATCTTCAGGAATCGCGTATTTCCTAAAAATCCATATATTTTTGAGTATTTTCAACTACAAAAATTTTTTTTAAAAAAACCTTGAAAAGCTTCTTCTTAATGTTTGTCCATCTCCAGCGTTTTCGAAACGTTCGCCAGAAATGCTCAAAAGATCATCAGTGAGAACAACCTGGAATTAAGTTTGATATTTGGAAAAAAAAGCCTCCGGCTAATAATTCACCTTAATTTCTTCTGGTCTAAATCTGAATACATCCAATTCAATTGTAAATCCATGTTCAGTATTTGTAATTTCACCAGCTCCTACAACTGGACCAGGTGAACCTGGTCTTTTCTGGATTGGTCTTTCTTGTTGTTGGTAGTAGATGTCAGGTTTCTATAAAAAATTAAAATTCCGATGAATTTGAATTGAAATCAAACTGTACCCTATTGAATGTTGGAGTGTCGTTTGAATAAACTGATGGAACTCGGCGACTTCTGAAATTCAGATAATTTTGGCTGAAACTTATTCTGTGTAACTAATTTTTTCTCTACTTAACCTAAGTCTTAAAATATTAGTTCAATTTTTTCCCTTACGTAAAAATAGTTTCACAAAACTTGGACGGATATCCAAACGCCATTTTTGTATGCGAAGTCGACGGAAATACGGTGATTATCTCATCCGGACTTTCGGCAAAAATATCAGCCGCCGATGGTTTTTCCGACCAAACTGAACCCTCTAAATAGCTATCCAAATCATCTTCGTCAAAATCACGAAAAACCATTTTCTAGTGAAAATTTTGGTTAAAAATTGCTGGGAAAAAACGATAAGAGAAAATGAACAAAATTATACAACCATAATTTTTTGTCAACAAAAATCAATGTTTTCTTAAAGTTTCGGCGAAAAAATGGGCGGAAATTCAAAACATTTTTTGTTGAAATTGAATTGAAAATTCAAAGAAAAAAGAAAGAGTACAGTAATTCAAATACGGTATACCTCTGCGTCTCTAACCTCGTTTCGAGACCATCTCAGGTCTTGAAAGAAGTCAGAGACGCAGAGTTTTACCGTACTTGGGAAAATGAGGTTTGAATTTCTGCTAAATTTCTGCTAATGTTGAATTCGCGGGAACAATAATAAATGAAAAATTTAACAAAATATATAAATCATAATTTTTGTCAACAAAAAATCGATGTTTTCTTAAAGTTTCGCGACAAAATGGGCGGAAATTGAAACGGAAATTCCAAAAGTTTTTGGTTGAAAAAAGGAAAATTCGAAAATCAAAAAAAAATCGAGTAAAAAAGTAGTAAGTAAATAAATCGGACAAGTGGAAAGAAAAAAATTGGAAATGAAAAATCGAAAAAAAAAAACTAGATCTCTGTAGATTTTAAAATTCGATAATTATTTCTCACAAAAATAATTTGACTAATTTTCTTTTCTGAAGAAAAATAAAAGTTTTGTCTGCCAAAAAGTAGTAGTTTTTGGTGGTGGAAATTGTATATTTTATCTGAATGCTGCACTTTTTTTTTGCTTTATTTGTTCTTCAGATTTTTTTGTTTTATTGACATTTTTCGCATTTTTTCTCACGGAAAAAAAGAAAAGATACTTTTTTTGTTGTACTGATGATGATTTGTATAGAGTTTGTTAGTCAACAAAAATAAATATACCAAAAAAAATGAACAACAAAAAATAATTCGAATTTTATGGTTCGGAAAACTTTTGTGGTCGGCAATGACGACCATTTTTTGAAATATAATAAAATGAATTTTTTTTTGCAAAATGTGAAATGTTTTCGAAATAAATATGTGGACAGAAGAAGTGTATTTAAATGGTTTTTCTCTGGATTCTCTCATTTTCTAGTGGTATCTAAACACTAGAATATTTTGAAGGACAGAAGAAAGAAGAAGTTCAACACTTTAAAATTTTGGAAACATTTTTTATACAGGCTGAAAAATAGGGTTTTCCAGATTTTCAGAATAGATTTTCGAGTGTTGAGAAAAAGGTTCACAGAAAAAAGTTTTCAAAATGAGAAAAAAATACGAACTCGAATTCGGCTTACTCATTAATTTCGGTTAGGCTTAACTTTATACAGTAGATCTACATATATAACCTAAAGTTTTTTATAAACAAAAATAAAAATAAAATGAAATTTGTGTATTCGAAATGTTTTCAAAATAAATAGACAGGACAAGTGTATTTAAATGGTTTTTCTCTAAAATCTCTCATTTTTGAGTACTATTTCATTTTCAAGGGCGGAACGAGAAGTTCTTCCGGATTCCCGGAATTTTCACTATTTTTGAAGAAATCTGGTTTGAAATTTTCAAATTTTTGGGAATAATTTGTTGTTGGGAATTGGTGAAAATTAAAAAAAATTCTGTTAATAATTTTGGAACATATTTTCCAAATCTTTGAAAAAAACTTACGGAAGTGGAAAATAATTTGGTCGACTTCTGAATTGTTCTGAATCTTCGATGTAATGACGAGAAGCCTGAAAATGCAAAAATTTAGATTTTGGAATTTCTGCGTAAAATGAGTTATGGTGTAGAAAATGTGTATATTTTTCCCTAAATTTTGTAGATCACATTTAATTTCACTTAAGATCTTTCGGTGTGAGATCAATATTTCTCCGGAAATTCAATTTTTAAAGGGACATGAATCAAATTCCCAAAAATACCTGAATTTTATATGTCTACAGTAACTTGAAGCTTTGAAAAACGATTTGTGAGCATTTCCACGTCATAGCTAACTTATGTTCAGGTTCAGATTTGAGATGAGCAGAATCTGACAGCCGTCTTGTGATCAGCGAGAAAATAAATGTTCTCTTTTAAAATTTTTTTTCAAAAAATTGGAATTACGTAGTTCTGATATTTTTTTGAAAAATTTTGAAAACTCACTTTATAACCAAGACATGTTTCATATAGACATATCATTTCCAAAACTCAAAAATAGAAAAAAACTATTTTCTGGCTCACCAACCACCAAAAAAATCAAATAAAATTGAGTTGGCACAAAAAAGGGGAAAAGTTTCGAAACTTGTTTTTTTCTTTCTTTTTTTGAGCACAAAAAAGATGCGAAAAATTGATTGAGACTCTTTGAGTCGAAGAATTTTGGATTAGTTGCAGTTTCGAAAAAAAAACTTACCCTTGATGAACTTCTTGATCTTATTCTTTGGTCATTCCGATCGAAATATGGCGTCATTCTGAAATAAAAAAAGAAATGAAAATGAAAATTTGAAAAAAAAATTAAGGAAGCTGGAGAATTTTGCGAAAAAAAAAATGATAACAAAAAAATTTCAAACCAAAAACTAATGATAAAAATGGAAAGTACTCATATTGATATAACACCTAGAAATTTCTTTTTTTTAATGAAAAAAATGTGGAATCGAACCGAGGCCTCGTGAACGGCAGCAAAATGCACTACCACTGAGCCAAGCGCATACCTTTTCAAGTGCGTCAAAATTAGGTGAAAAATAAACCGAAAGAAAATCTATATTTTTTCCAACCAACAGGTGCTAGAAAAATTGTTCAGCTGACCAATAAAAACTTGTTTTTTGTTCTTTTCAAGTGGCGAGAAAAAAGTTTCACAAAAAAATGGCTGTCAAAAAATAATGTTACCTGGCTCCAGAGCTCGAGAGTACATGAGAAAAATGAGAGGAGAATTTTGAAAATGTAAATATTTGACTTGACTTTTTTATTTATTTATTTGATCATCAGAAGCATTTTTTTTAATTTTAAACTGAAACATCTGACATCTTTAGTTTGAAAAAAAAAACAATTCAAATAGAAATAAAAAAGTTCACAATGATCAACAGCAAAAAACTCAGCCACTAAGTCATCCGTGAATTTTTTGAAATCTAATGAAAATTTCCAAACAACACTCCAAGTTTACACGGAAATTCTCAAACCAAAAAAGAAAAATATATATAAGTTAGCGAGAAAAATGATGTAAAAGAAAAAAAAAAAGAAAACTATGTGATATCTTTGAATGATAAAAGTGAAACCTGTTTAATCAGAAAAAATTATGATATTTTTTCTTCCTTGCAAAGAAAAAATGGAGGCAGCCGGAATTTTTTGTATCGTATAGAAAAAACTCCCGAAATTATTTTATTATTTTCATTTTGTTGATGACAAATCATCAAGAATACAACACAAAACATTCGTATAACAAGAAGAAACAGAAAATAAATAATATAAATTTTGATTTTTTCAAATAAATATGACAAAAAAATGGAGAAAAAACAGTGTGATGATGCATCACAGTATCTATCATAAAAAATGTGAATATTATGAAGAAAAAGAAATAGTATGAGAGAGTGAGAGAGTGCAGAGATTATGGCCCGTGGCGGGTTTGAAAATGGAAAAAAAACGGAAAGGGAAGAGAAAAAGCGCGGGAAAAAACAACGAGACTCCCTTTTTTGTGTGATTTATTGAGATTTTCAAAAAGGTAACCACCAATTTTCAATTTTACGGAAAATTTGCCACGTGGCATTTTGGAAACTCGAAGAAAACTTCACAATCTTTCAGGAAAGTGAATTTTTGGATGTTTTGAATTTTCAAACGACACTCCGCTGGTACGGCGCATATTTTATGTCAAATTCAACAATTTATCGGATAAATACAAGTGAACAAATCATACAAAAGAAAAAAGAAAGACAATATAAAATTTCGGAATTCAAGAAACAAAAAAAAGACGGAAAGGCACAGTGTAATTTTTGAATAGCGTAATTGTAAGAAGCAAAACCCGGAGCAAAAAAAGCCTAATTTTTATAATCTGATTGCATATAACCTTGTCGACAAAGAATTTCAAGTCGATTTATTCCAACTTTTCGATCTTCTTCTTGTTGTAATTGCCATTGTTGGAGCATTAAATTGGCATAAAGAGGCTCGGCGAAAAATCTGTAATTTTTATGTTGGGAATTTGAGATTTGGAAATTTTTAAAACACAACATTTTTCATTAAAAATTTCCATTTTTCTTTTCAAACCCCCAACAAACCTTTGATAATGTAAAGTATTAACAGTGGGATAAACCAATTTAAAATCTCCAATTCTTGTCAATTCATCTTCAAATTCAACCAACATTCGAACATCTTCCGGTGTCAATCTTTTCAATATTCGTTCATCCATTTCACCCAATTGTTCTTGATAAGCAGCAACCCAAGATGCTTCTTTTATCATTTGTTCACGCGATTTCGAGCCATTTCTTGGCCGTGTACTGTAATCAGCATCTTCCAAATCATTATAGCTGCAAAAATAAAGATGTGAATACTTTGACACAAATTTACCGCCAAAAACACTTACTGTGGAGGAACATGAATTCCAGCAATATTTAGAACATCTTTCGCCAATGGTGCTTTCACAGAAACATCTAATGGAGTTCCAGAATGTAAAGATGGTGAGATATTCACTTCGAGAAGCCACGGTTTCAGATTTTCATCCAATAAGATATCGATTCCAAACAATTCGTAGCAAATGAATCTGAGAAACAAGAGATCAGGAGATTTGGGAGAAGAGTTCGGTGGTCCAGAGAAAAATGGTAGATTCGAAAAAATTACAGAACAAAAATAGGTAGCGTATGTTTCCTCTAAACCCGGTTTTTTTCTAGAAATTAAAAAAATTTGTGTTGAAAATTCTCAGAAAAAATGACAATGAGAAGACATTTCAAGAATTTTCAGAGCAAAAATTTTTTTCGGAACTTTTTCATAAATTTCAGAATTTGCCACATGGATTAAATCTAAGAGAAAACTGTGGGATAAAAATTTGCCCCTAAAACCCCCGTTTCCCCAAAATTCTCCTTACCCATGCTCTAAATATTTGACAATATGATCTCTAATCGGTTTTTCACATGAAATAAACGCCTTAATAATAACATCCTCAATATTCTTCCTTATAATCGTCGAATCAATTCCTTTTTTCTCAAAATACTCCCATAAATGTGTAAGTGTCCATTTGGGCACCGGTTTATTTGCAACTCCATCTTGTTCAGCCAATTTATTGATACTATAATTTGTGAGATGCATATATTTATTGGATATTGTTGAAACCGATGAAGAATATGGAACACTGGCAAATCGAACAAGTCCTTGATCATAAAGATAAACTCGAAGTGGTTCTAATGATGGAACATACGCATATAAACGAAGATCGAATTTCGCTTTATTTATTGTAAGCGGTCGTTCAATATAACTACAAAATTCAATGATTTTTGATTGTAATTTTTAAATAAAAAAATCTTACTGTTGCGCAACAAGCGAAGAAGTTGCAGGAAAATCTCGTTGTTTTCTTGTCACTTGAATTCCAGTTCCTCTAGCAGATGCAGGCTGGAAAAAAATTTAGATTTATAAATATTGGAATCTGGAAAAAATGAAGCCCCACTGGCTACAGTAACCTTTGCAGTTGGAAAAATTAGAATTATAGTAATTCTTGAAGTTCAAAATAATCCTTAAAAGACTACAGTAATACTTGCAGTTTGAGAGTTACAGTACCTTATGCAGTTCAAAAGGAGATTACAGTATTTACAGCATCATTTTAGTTGCAGTTATCCTAAGAAATACAGTATCCCTTGCAGTTCGCACAAAAACAGTATTTCTATTCGTTTTGGGGGATACAGTAATCTTTGCAGTTCGGAATGACTCACAGGAAACTACAGTAGTTTGGGAACAGTAATCTTTTCGGGATAACCCTGAGACTACAGTACCCTTTCAGTTTTAAATTTCAAGAAAAACACATCTGTTACAGTAGTCCAAAGAGATACAGTAGCCTGTGAAGTTTGGGTATTTTCGAGACAATCAAGTAGCAACATTTGGTCTCAGACTCTAATTAAAAATAGGGACGAACCGGTTTGATAATAATATGCCTTGCTGGATCTTCATCCAAATAATCCAATAATTCTTGTCGATCATTTGGCAACAAATAAGTGAATGGCATTATATCGAATTCATCACCAAATCTGTCTTGTTGTTTTTTGATATGCATCCATAATCGATCTTTTCGTCCAATATGAAATGCGCCGGGAAAATGATTGACTTTTTTGATGGGGCGAAAGACTTTTGTATTGGATTGATTTCAAATGTCGACCCCAATATCCAATGTAGAACATTGATTCATCAACAATCTGTAAAAAAGAGGGATTTTTGGGGAGGGAAGGTTTTTTGGAAATTTTATTTTGTTTTGAATAATTTTAAATTTTATGATTTAAAAAATGTAATTTTTAAAGCCTAAATTCTTCAACAATCTGAAATCTGAATTGAGGCTTTTTTGCCTCTTCTTTCCATTGAAAATGAATTAGAAATCTTTGATTAAAATTTTCAAAAATCTGATTTTTCTGAACAAAAATAAGGGGAAGCCTGATTTTTAGCATTTTCTGAAATTTATAATTCATTTTATCCTCCAAAAATTTGGTTTTAATTATCCATAATTTTTTTTTATCAAAACCTGGATCCTCTGAAAAGTTCCGGCGTTTTATAGAAAATAATTTAGCTCCTTCGAATTTTTTTTTGTTTGAAAAAATCAAAGTCAACTAACCGTAAAATGACTTGCAGCAAGTGTATGTCTCATAACAACCGGCAATAAACTATTATGACACCATGTTAATCGATTCACAATTTTTCTCGCCGGTTTCGTCACTTTTGTTCCTTTCGTATAAAATCGAATCGTCGGTTCGACTCCACTGAATTGACTTGATTTCAAAAATGGATTCGTGTTCTTTTTCTCCTTATTTTTTCCGCATAAAATATTGGATTGTGAAGCAGATGAAGCAGATGTTGATGAAGTTGGAGTTTCATTTGGATCCGATAGAATTAAGGGATCATTTCGAGAAATTGAAGAGGATGAAGATGATGGAATTATTGAGGATTTTGAGGATGATAGACACGATGTTACTAAATCACTCAGACCACACATTCGTTTCTCATCTGCAAAAATTTGAGAATTTGTTGAGGGTTTGAAATATTTGGGAAGAAATTATATAAATTGTGGTATCGGTCCTAAAATACGATTTTTTTTTTCAAACTTCTCGGAATCTGGGGAATTTCCAGCCTAAAAATAAGCTAAATAAAATTTTTATGGAAATTTTGAAATTTCGTGAAAATTAGAATTTTGAGTTTATTTTGGCTCAAAATCTTCATAATTTTCAGGAAATTTTGGAGCAATTTGAGCTCGAAATTACTAATTTTTGGGCTCAAAATTTCAAGATGGATCATGAAATTCCTTCAATAATTTATTTGAGAGCAAAATTTTGAACACACTAAAATTCCTCCAAAAATAAATCAACAAAGAAAAGACGAGATTCTCTTCAATTCAAATTTTCATTCAAAATACGACGAAAAAAAAACACAGGGAGGTGGTGTGGGGTTAGAGATTTTTTCTAGGAGGATTAGTAAAAGTGGCCAGCAAAAAACGAGAAGAGAAAAAAGGAGGATTATGAAGCGCCTCCATTTTCGGAACGAGAAAAAAAATAAATCGAAGGCAAAAAAGGTAGTAATTTAGTATAGTCGAGACTAAATCGTTTTTAAAAAAAAAAGAGGATTTGTTCTTTCTCTCTGGAAAAAAACGGAAATTATTATACTCTACTCACACTTTTTGTAAAGAGAAAAAAATCTTTGATTTTTTCAAGACAAGGCGGGCAAAAAAAATGACAAATGACACAAAATGCGGTGACAATAGAAAAAAAGGCTAATCAAAAATATTAGGTTTCAAAACCCAAATCAGAAATTGATTCATAAATAAATTATTTTCAATAATCAATTTTTGGCGCTGATCTTCTCAAGTTTCATTTATTTATGTGCATATTTTGTTATTACTACAAACACGTTATACTAAAATCAACAGCAGCTGTTATTTAGAGTATCTTTTTTCCTTTGAACAAAATGGAGAAGAAGAAGGAAAATTTGTTTTTGGTTTTTCGTCCGCATTTTCAGGTAAACACTGCAATTATTTTTTGTATTGAATCATCGAAAAATATTATTCGAAGAAGAAACTATTCAAATATAAAAAGAGACCGAAAAAAAATCAATTTTTAAAAATTGTTTTGGAAATCGATAAACAGCGAAAGAAAAATTGAAGATTTCATTTTTTCGAGAAAATTTTGAATTTTTCTAATATGAATGCGAAATCAGTATTTTTCTCAATTTCACAACATTTCTTAAAAATTAAAGCAACGTTTTATTTATTTTCAGATTTTAAAACTAGACAAAATTGAATTTCACTTCAATTTTCACTGAACCTAAAACCATAACCTACAGTACTCCAAAAGTACGGTACTGATTTGGGAGAAGATCAAAATATTGCGCAATTTCTACAGTAACCCTAATTGTAATCTAGTGTGGAACGCAACATGCTAAAAATTAGGACTACAGTATATTTCGAGTACTGTAGCTAGAGCTCAAAAAATCCCGAAAATTTCGATTTTCGGCTTCAGAAAACTCAAAAATTCCAAATGTTTCCAAAAATCAACATTTTTTGACGCAATTCAACAAAAAACTAAGATGGATTATCTCATTGCGTTATCAAAATCAAAAACAAAAAAGTTCTATTTTCATTTTCAATTTTTGAAATTGTATTATTCATTCGTATTGCCATTATTTCTAGATGAGAATGATGAAGGGAGAAAAAAATCCAATTTTTGTCTTCTTCTCAGAAAAAAGGAAAGATTGAGTACTTGAAGATTCCCTCGAGCATAAAAGGATGAGATTAAATGAAAATGAATGTGTGAGGAGATGGAGGGAAAATTGAAAGAGAAAAAACGAACGAAGGAATAATGATATATATTTACGGAAGAAGAAGAAGCTGGAAAATGGGAAGAAGAGGAAAAAACGAAATAAATAAAAAGAGATACATTTCGATAATTGCAAATGTATTTAATTGTTGGAAAATGAGTCTGAAAGGCTCTAGAAGCCAAGAAAATTAAGTTAAGCCAATCTTTAGAACAACAGGTTGTCCTGGAGCTTTATCCTTAAGGATCAAAGCACTGAAAATTTAAACTTGTTAAAAAACTTAAGAGACTCCAGCTTTAGAACCTTAAGCTCAAAGAATTAAGGTTCTGAGTTCCAAATTTTCGTTGGCGACTGGAAAATTACTGGGAATTTACATGCAAAACATCAAAATTCAGAATTTTAAATGAAGTTTTCCTGTTTTTTACATCGGGCTAAACTTCAATACCCGAAATTCAAAGTTGAAAAGCACAGCTCGAGATAAATATGATTTTTTTTTTGTTGAAAAATCCACCAAATTCTGAAGCCTGAGCCTTCTTAAGCCTAGGCTGCAAAAATCGAATAATTTCCTCCCAAAATTTTCTACCCAAAAAAAAATAGAGACAAAAACTCTCTCTTTCCATCTCAAAAAAGGCTATAAACAAAATGGTTGGCTCATTTCGAATTGTCTCATGGGATTATTTTGGACTTGATAAATATCATGGAAAAAATTGGAGGCGAATTATAGATGGGCTGTGTGAAAACAAAACACAAAGCTAATCAGAAAGCAAAAAAAATAGGAGCCGCCAAAACAATTTGATTATCTTTGTATTTTTTTTCTTCGCATGAAGACAGCAGCAGATTTTTGAGGCGTGTAACAAAAGAATGAATAGAATACAACTAGAAATTTTCGAAAAAAAAACTTTTTTTTTTTAGTTTTTTTTCTTTTTCTTCAACAAAAAAGCTCATTTTGCAAAAATTTCGTTGAGGAAAAAAAGGAAAAAAAGAGAAAAGGACAATGGATCATAAAATGAAATGAAACAAATTATTTGAGAAAAAACAGGAACTTTTTTCAATTTCAAGAAAAATTGCCTCTCAAGGAGACGAGCCTTGAGAGCCACTGTGGCTAGGCACGGCGCCTTGAGAAAATCTATGTCAAGGAGCCAAGCCTACAAAACCTATTTGTCAAGTAGCCGAGCTTAGATAGTCTAATTATCAAGAAGCCGCTCCTAGAAAGCCACTTTTTCTTTAAAAAAAGCTCATTTTCACTGAGAAAATGAAAAAGGACAATGGATCATAAAAATAAAATGAAATAAATTATTTCAGGAAAAAAACAAGAAATTTTTCTCTGGAATAAAAGTGAGATAATTAGATGTATAAAAAGTTGGCATCAAAGTTCATTTTTAATCATTTTCCACTCGCGCAATTTTTTGAGTTGGAAAAAAACTGAGAAGGTTTGGAAAATTTTCAGTTGCCATAGTTTTATTTATTGAAAAAAATCGATGGGCGTTTTTTCAGCAGCGGAATATTTATTTAAAATTTGTGCAAAACCAAATTCTAAGGAAAATCAAAAAATATTTTTTTTGGAATTGATGAGTTTTTAAGAAATTCAAAAATATCGAGAATTTCGACAAATTTTTTCATTTGAAACTTGAACTTCGAGGCCTAATTTTGAGACACAATTTTCAGACTAAAATTTCAAAAATAACTTGGCTCGTAATTCATTTCTAATTAGTTCTAAAATTTTTTACTACTAAAAAATAACTGCTGTTGAAACTCCCAGCCTAGAATTTTTTTTCAAAATCTGCTTTCCACAAAAAACTCACCATTTTTATCTTCTGCTTCAAGTTCTTCTTCTTCTTTTTCATCCTCTTTTTCTTCTCCAATCGAACTCTCAATCTCTTCTTCTTCCGAAATCGCAACAATCACTTTTGCTCGTTTTTTCAGCTTTTTGTTTTTTGAGCGTTTTCGCGAGCCTAGAAAATGTTGGTTTTGGATTTGAAAAAAAAAGTAAAAAACTTTTTAGAGTTCAGAGAACTAACTAGAACAAGAGTTTTATGAGCCGGAAACACATGACTTTTTTTGAGAAAAAAATTGAAACTTGAAAAAAATGTGAAATTTAGGAGATATAATTTCAGGTTTTGAAATAGAGGAAAAAATTTAGGATTCAAATCTTTTTTTTACTTTTCAAACTGAAATTTCGAATTTTTGGCTCGAAAACATTTTTATGTTTCAGATTTTCATATTTTCATCTCAAAATTCCGAAATCTGTAGGTTTTATAGTTTTCAAGTGCTCAAAAATTGGAGTATTTTCATTTTCATTTTTTTTTCGTTTTCAAAATAAATTTTTGAAATTTCAGATAGCTTTCATTTAGTTTTTCCAACCCAAAAAACCTCATTTTTGTTAAATTTTCAAATCAAAATAAAAAATCAACTAACTCTCACTTAGATCTTCCTTTTCCTCCTCGCACAAATCCAGCGCCGATGAAGCCAATGACGAATTAAGAGTGGATGAATAACCGCTACTCATTCTAGTCTACAAAAATTGCAATTTCTTGAAAAAAAATGAATAGTTGTAACAATATACTGAAAGAAAGACGATGTGAAAAAGAGACGCAGACAAACAAAGAAAAGACAAAATGAATGAAATTGAAAAATGACCGAATGGAAAGAAAGAAGGGGTGAGAGGGCAACAAAAAAGAAAGAACTAATGGAAAAAAAAATATATTTGAAAGAAAGAGTGAGAAAGAAAACAAGATAGAGGAATCTTATGTTTTTTGAAAGAGGAGCCGACAAAAAATCCCAAATTTTTTGGTTTGAAAAGCTACGATTCTCATGAAAAAAATGTGAATTTAGATCAGCTTTAACGGGATAAAATCCATTTTAATTCTTTTTTGAACTCACCTAATTCTTCATTTTTTTTCATTCCGAGAAAAAAGATAGAAATAATTTTAGACCCAAATATCAGAACTTCATCGGAAAAATAATCAGAATTCAATTTCAGAAATGGCGAAAATTTTTTAGAATTCAAGTTTTAAATTTCACGTAAATTCAGGAAAAACAATTCTATAAGTCCAAATTTTCTTGGGCATGCATGAAAAAAAAGGTAAATACATGCCAAAAATTGTTTCATCTTTATCTTCAGCGAAAAACAAACAAAAAGAGCATAAGCAGACCTGGTCTGGGAATTTGGCACTTATATGTTAGCCTGGGAAAATCCGGTTTTTTTTTGAAGAAAAAATATAGGTAGGTAAATTGACCAAAAAGTGATTTTGGGAAGAAAAATACTGTGAACCATTTTTTTTTTTTGTAAAAACTAAAGGAAAATTTGAAAATTTCAGATTTTCGGCTCCGAGATAATTTTTGAAAATGTTCAAAATTTGGCTTTAAAAAAATCTACTTCGCATGTTTTTGTTGAACAATTCGAATTTTGGATTTTTAGCGCCAAACTTGCCATTTTATTCCGGATTTTTAAAATAAAAAATAGTTCAGTGATATGAGCTGAAATTCTAGAATGAACAAATTTTTAAAGAGCGAGAAAAAGAAGAACAAATGGCCCATCAATCTCGAGTCGTATAACGCAACCCATTTTTCAAAAAAAAATTCTGCAGTTTTACACAAAATATACATTTTTTGGGTTGAAACAACCAATAAATCCAGCTGTTTTTTTCTATAAAATTACACGAATTTATGTTATTTTACAAACTTCGGGAAAAATAATAAATAAATAAATGGGAAGAAAAACTTGAGACCAAAAAAGTTTTTACATTATAATAATAAATAGAACCGAATTAAAAATTGTTTAATTCGAGAGAGAGAGAGAGAGAGAAATTAGTTGTTTCGAACTCCAAGACTTTGTTCGAGTTCGGCACGTTTTTGTTGAATTTTCTGGTACATGTAGCTGAAAAAAGGGGGTTTTTGAAAGAAAAAGAAAATTGGGAAATTAAAAACTCACCGATAAACAGCTTCATCAGTTTCTGGTTTCAAGTAATGATCAAATCTTCTTTCTGCTTCGCCATCACCGCTCGCTTCAGTCAAAGTCTAAAAATTTTTCAAATTTAAGAAAATAGCCTGATTTGATTCAATTTTTAAAGAAAAAATTTGCTCAAGGGGCTTATTTTTATGTATGGCCAAAATCTACTAGAAAACAATTTTCAACAAAAATCTCAAATCCAAAAACCCTTGTTCAAAACGCACCTTCAAATCAGAACTCTGACTAATCATCCATTTTTTGATAAAATCATTTGGCTCATCAGCAAATCTAACATAAAAATCTCGCCGTTTTTTCATCTCATTGATTTGTTCGACCACATCATAGATTTTCTGATCCAAATTTGCGACTTCAGTTGCACTTGATTGATTATGAACAAATGTTGCCATTTGAGCCTTGAGTGGATCTTCTAATTCAACATCTGAAGAAAAAATTTAAAAATCAATAATTTATCTCAAAAGTCTTTACCAATATCATAACATGCTGATGTTTTCTCTTGTCCTTCTTCATTTTTCTGAATAACATGATTCAAAATAAGTGGATCTGGTTGTTGCAACAAAAGATGTAATCTTTGTGGAATTTCCATAAAACGCATTCTCTTTTGACCGAAACATTGTTCGAGGAACAAATCATTGTTAATAAAATCTCGATCTTGTGAATCTTGCAATTTATGAGTGATTATATATTGCCAAAGAGCTTCGATAATTTTTGGACGAGTTTCTGCAGCAATTCCGAGAACTTTAGCCAATCTCGGATGAAGTTTGAATTTCATTGGTTGATAATCCAAAAGCAATAAAATCGTGCATTTAACTGGTTTATCACCAGGTCTTTTAACTTGGAAACCATCAGTTTCATTTGTTGTTGGTGTTCTGTGCCATTCTACCAAATGATTATCTGGTCCATAGATTTCTTTGTCCAATTCGATAACAAGACTTTTGAAAAACGAACTAAACTTTCTTTTAGTTCTTTGTGCTGTTGGATTTGTTGCTGCTGCTGCATTTGCTGCCGGTGGCGGTTGTTGAATATCATCCAAAAGTCTTCCTTCAACTCGAAGTTCCCACATTGGAACAGAAGCTTCATCTCCCTCTTTTTCTGGTTCTTTTCCAGCGATGAAAGTATGCGAGATGTAAATTCGGAGCCGTTTCTTGATTTTTTGAGGGCGTTTCAGAGATTCTTGTATATCCAATTTCTTTCTACTAATAGTTGCATCCAATTTCTGTTCAAAAGCAAGCAAATCCATATAAGCTTGCGATTCCGGAACTAATTCTCTGATTTTTGGCTGAATCAATTTGTCAGCATATTTCTTCTTCTTTTTCGGTGGTTGTTGGGGGCGATTTTGTTGAACTTGTGGTGGTTGCTGACCTGGAATAGGTCCAGGCATTGGGCGTCTCATCTGCTGTGGAGTTCCACCTCCTGGCATCTGTAAAATTCTTATGTTCATAAAATATGTATAATCGATATTTACCTGATGAGGATGTGGATATCTACCCATTGGGGGACCTGCTGGTCGTGGAGCTTGTTGCATTCTACAATTAAAATTGTATTAATTCGATATTCCGAATATGAAAAATGCGATCCGAAGTGAGCGAAACGAAAAAAAAAACAAAAATAATTGGGCACACAGCCAAAAAAAAGCGGCTTTTGAAAAATACCGTAGTCTGTTGTGTGTATCAGGCGTTTCGTGGTGAGACCACACAATTATCGATTTTTTTCGTATGCACGCGAAAACCGGCCCAATGTGACACACATTTTTTCTCTCCCTTCGTTTTCTTGCCACATTTTCTTTCTAGCCTAGTTTTCGACCGTTTTTCGTTTTATTTTGTTGTAGAAGTAGTTTCCGAACCGTTTACAATATTAATTTCCTTCATTAGTCGACTCCTTTATGACGTAGAGTACATAAACGTTAAATTATACTCGACAACTGTCTTCATGAAGTCTAGTTACTCTGGAAGAGAATTTCAGCTGAAATAAAGTCATGAGGGTTTAATTTTCGCATTAGGTTTACGTGATTTTGATAAATTAGGTTTCCAAATCACATGTATTGTAAACAAGTTTCAGTCAATATTTCATCATTGATAACGTTTTCCCACCATATATAAACAAGGCCTATTCTCATTTTATTATTTATCGATTGTCTAAATTCAATAACATTCACATCCGTTGATTCGCCACGTGTCTCTTCATAACCAATATATACAGATATTTTTCCAGAGGCAAACAGACGCTCACTTGCTGCCACACCACGCCCACCCTTTCTTCACACCATCCATCCACCCTTTTCCGCCCATTCATTTTCGCTTTTTTTTTCTTCGCACATCATTGATTTATTTTTCCACTTTTCATTTTAGCACATACATGATCAAAATCAATAAATTATTATTTGGCCAAGACTTATCAGAATAACCACCAGTCTATCGAAAAAGTCTCAAAAAAATATTGAAATTTTCTAATTTTTCGTTCTCGTCGCAAACGTATCCACGTGTCCTAGATACTCAACATCCACGTCTCTTCTAATCGATTTTCAATCATTTCAGATATATATCGGGTTGGAACATCGTATTTTCTGTGATAAATATATTTTTGTAAACTATAGGACATTCCAAAAAATGTCTAAATTATCAGATGAAGCAAACGAATATAAGTAAGTTTTCTTTGAAATAAAAACTAGAATTTCAAGTCATAAGGTAATTTTTTTTTTAGATTAACTTTATCGGAGTTGAACAATAATAATAAAACACAAATCAACTTATTGACAATTTTGGCTGATGATTATAAGAAATGTGCTGCACAAATTGTTGATATAATTGCAGCCGCCTTAATGACGGTAAGTTATTTTAAATACTCGATTTAAAAAAAATTAATTCGCAAAACAATTTCAGGCAAATCCCCAGAAGAAGCTAGTGATTATGTATGTGACAGATTCAATTTTGAAGAATGTTAAAGGCGTTTATATTGATCTTTTCAACAAACAAATCATTCCAATGTTCTTGAACGCATTCCAAGCTGTAAGTTTATTTATTTAACATAATTTCTTTTCTATAAAAAACGATTATGAATTTCAGGGAGATGAAAAGATCAGAACGAAATTGTATAGTTTGAAATTGACATGGGGAATCAGTAAAATATTTCTTCCATCGAAGTTATATCAACTGGATATTGCTGTAAGTTTATTAATCTCGATAAAAATTATTCATCTACCAATTGTATGTTGTTAAGGTCAACAAAATCGATGCGGCTTGGCCTGTTGCAAATCCGAAGACTGGAGAAGTTTTGAAAAATGATCCAAATGTTCGAACTCGTCCACCGCCTTCAACTCCACCAACACCATCAGGAACTGGAAATGCGAAAGTTTTTGTAAATCGCAAATTCATTCAAAATGACGCCAAAGTCCAACCGAACACGGTATATCTTTGCTATTTTTATAATCTTTTAATATCAAAATATTTTTATATATCTTTTGTCTTTTCAAATGCATTTTTTCTATCAGAAAGAAATCGGTTGAGGGAAAGGGTTTTTGAGATGAACGAGAATCTGAAAAAAATATTCATGAAGCAAAATGCGTTGGTCTGGAGAAGAAAAAAAATATTTGGTTCAGACTTGAATATGAAAAGTTTGTGCGAGCTGAATTTATCGAAGATTTTATTCTGCGGAAAATTGGAATTCATGAAATAATGCCAAGAGAAATATTTCTCCTGCACAGAAAAAACGTTGAGAAAACAAAAAATACCTAATTATTTTATCTGTGACAAAATAAAAAATAGAGCGTTCAGAAAAGAAGATTTTTGCTTTGAACTCTCTTATTTTGCTGATGTAATAATATTCTGTATGTTTTGTTTTCTTAGCGTTTTTATCTGTAAGAGAAATATTTTTGTTACATTTTATTATGAAATATTAACCATGTTGGCTCATTCAAAATTTTTTTTAAATCATTCCGAAAACTCTGAACTGATTATTCCTACAACATTTTTTGAAATTCACAAAAATTCTCCCTGATCAATTTCAGATTTTTCAGATTGTGCCTCCTCGTAAAATTGAAGAGAAAGCAATGAATAATTCGAAAGTGAAAAAGGAAAATGCATCAATGGATCCACTTGATAAATTATTGCCTTCTTCTCGCGGATCAATGCCTCCACCAGTTGGACCAGCACCAAAAAGAAAATCAGATAATCTTCCCACTCCAATTCCACCAAAAAGAAAAATTGGAGAAGCTGATGAAGATCTTCGAAATCGTGATATGGATTTGAGAAAACAGAAAGCTACGGTTGCAAAGCCGACGCAAGTTGCTGGATCACATGCATTTGCTGTAACTCCTTCATTGCCTGTTCCGATTAAACAAGAAATTGCTCCACCAGTTGCTCCACAGCCTCCAGTTGTAAGTTATTTTTATTTAAGAAAATATATTTGAATTCCAATTATCTCTGTTTTTCCAGATAATCTCAAGTGATGAAGTGAAATTGGATGTTCCACAAAACAATCGTATTTTCGTTGATGGAAAAGCGTATGAAGTGATGTTTATTGATGATATTGCTGTAATCGAACGAGCTGGCGCACCACATCGTATTTTCTTTGCTGGTGAACCACGTCATATTGTTATTGATGGTGTTATGCATCCGATAAGATTTGGTGAAACTAAAAAGATTGATATTGATGGGACAATTCATAATATCAAATTTGGAGCTCCAGGAAGAGAATTGTATTTGGGATCTCATCCATTTAAAGCGCAATTCGGTGGAACAGGTATTGTTGCAACAATCAATGGAATTAGGCATGAAATTCGATTAACTGGATCAGCACCTGAAGTTCGAATTGATCCTGATCCAGCTTATCATTTGGCAAGATTTATGTTGAAAATGAAAGAGCAAAAGACGATTGAAATCAAGGCTCCAAAACCAAAACCAATTGAAGATCCATTCAATTTGTTGAAGAAATTGCAACGAAGCGGATATTTGAAACCATCACAACCAATTGAACCACCAAGGCCAAGATTTACACCAATTTCTACTGCACCAATTGTTAGTCCAACTACAATTGCGACAATTGAGAAGGAGCGAAAAGCTGTTGCACCATCTTTGAAGGAGTTTAGAGAAAGAGATTTCAAAATGTAAGTTTCAAGGGTATATAAAATTGAATATTCAGCTTCTCCTTTCAAAAAATTCCTCTAATTACCCCATTTTTTCCAGCCGATACGATAATGTCATCAAAAATCTCTTGAAAAAACGCGAAAATTCTTGTCAATATTGCGGAATGCGAATGGACGGAATTTCGGTTCGAAGTAAAGCATGGACAGATCACATGGATTGGCATGTTAAACTAAATCTGGCCAAACAAGACACATCAAAACATCGATTATGGTATCCAACGCCACAAAATTGGCCACTTCCAAAATCTGCACGAATCGAGGCTGAACAACAAAGTTCGACGAATGAAAATGAATCGGAAGAGGAGAAACCGTCGACTGTTGCTGGAGTTGTTTCCGAGGGACAGAAAGTAAGTTTTGATTTATTTTTTGATTAAGAACAATAGATAATTGTTGTGTTTAGGATTGTGCGATTTGTCATGAAAAATTCGAAGAGTATTACGATCATGATGAGGAAACCTGGAGATTGAAGAATACTGTGATAATTAATGGAAAGGTTGGTTTTTGATAGTTTTAAGGGTGAAAATGAATTCTAAAAATTTCTGAAATTCTGTTTTTCTGAATTTTCAAATTGGAATGTTTTAAACTAAAAACTGAACTGAAAAAGTTTTGTTATATATTCAAAATATTTCCAAATAAATTATCTTCCCAATTTTCAACAAAAATTCAATATTGAATTTCAGGTTGTCCACGTGACATGTTCATCCGATGCCTCATTAATGGAAACACCAACTCCAACATCAGCCCCAACTTCTATGGATTTTCCAATCTCAAAAATGGATATTAAGTCTGAAATGTTGTTAGAAGATGATTCATCAACAGAAGTTAAACCTATTGTTGAACAAAAATCTATTTATAGTATTTGAAACTGTCCAAAAAACACAGAAAAATATTAGAAAAATACGGGAAACACGTTTAGAATAGAAAAAAATATTAGTTTATTTCCTTCCTTCCTTCTATCTTTTGCTTCTTCTTCAATTCGGAAAACTCTCCTTTTTGGTATGATTTTGGGATGGTTGGGTTTTGCAACTAATATTTTCCTCTCTTCAACTCGTCTCTTCTTCTGCCAATTTGGGTCTTGTAGCGAATATCGCCAAAAATAAATGGTTTTTTTTGTTGCGGTTTTCCCCATTTTTGTAAATTAATAAATATTAATTTATGTTCTTTTCTTGTTGGTTTTAAATTGTGTTCATTTTAATTGAAAATAAATAAAAATTATTCAAAAAACTGTTTTGTTGGATTTTTTTTGAAGTCGAGAATGTCGATCTTATGAATATCTTTAAACAATTTTCAGAATGAAAATAATTGAAAAATTTTGCAGAATGAGCACAATTTCTGTGCTTATCGAAGCGTCGGCTTGTTCTTGGGGAAAAGTGGCTGAAACGAATGGTGAAAAATGTATGGGTACTATTATGCGGGCTATTGTGAGTTTGAAAAATTAAAACATCTGGACATTTGGTGTCCAAAAATATTGAAATATTGATTTTTTTCATCAAAATTCCCTAAAATCAATGACTTTTCCGTGAAAATTGTATACAGTGTCTTTTTGCTCTGTCCAAGTGTTGTTTTAAAGTTCCCAACAGGCCTGTGCCGGAAATTTTCCGAATTTCCGGATTTTCCGGTTTTCCGGAAAATGTGCTCGGAAAATCCGGAAGATGATCTTTAGTAGTAATATTTTCAAAATTGCCTCAGTTTATGATAGAAAAAATGAAATTTTTGGAATTTTTTTTTCAATTTTTCAAATTTTACTATTTTTGAACGTAAAACGTCTCAAATAGTTACTAAATTACCTGTGAATAGAAGAATCGTAGATAAAAAAATTTTGTGCCAACTTAAGGCTGAAAATCGAAATTTCAGACTTTGAAACATTTTCCGAATTTTCCGGATTTTCCGGTTCAAAAAGTAGAAGAATTACGCTTCTTCTTCTTGAAAAAGCAAAACACAAAACAAAAAACAATTTTCAAATGACGATTTACTTACAAAAAGAAATACAATGGTGTCTCTATGGATTGTATTCGATAGGCAGGTTCTTTCTACGAACCATACCATCACCTTGGAACCATTCACGACGGAATTGTTTGGCAGCACCATCTGGTGTATTTGTCCATTCAACAGTGATACGATCATTGTTGGTATCTTCTTGTCCATAAGCAAAAGCATCACAAGAGACAGCCAAAAGAACAGCTTCTTTTGGATCCAAAACACCACATGGTGGATCAACTCCCAATCTCTTCATATTGGTTGTTTTGATACCGTATCCAATACGACGAGCTGATGAATTGATTACCTTGATGTGATAGGTGTGTTTGTCATCGTATGGAGCATTGAAGACAATCTTGGCATTTGGTTGAGTTTGGATATCTCCTGGTGGAACTGATTGAGCCATTGTTTTTGTTTGATTGAACTATGGGTTGATTTGAATGAGCTACGAGACATCTTTATATACTATTCTTATCTGCTTACGTGTATCTTGATTTCCACGTTGAGATAAGCAAACACGTAGGCCACGTTTCAAGAAAAAATAGAAAATGCATTTTTGTTTATTTTTTAACGTGAGAAGTACTGTAGGTTTTTTGGGCGTGAAGTTTGGTGTTTCTAAAGTGGTTACAGATCGTGAAAATTCAGAAATTCAATTTGAGCACCTATTACAGTAATCCAGAATTTTTTGTTGTCAAAATTGAAGTACAGTAACCCCTTGGTTATACACACAAGGTTATATGGACCTAACAAAATCACAAAAATAAACCTTTGCCACGTCATAATTTTTTTTGGAATCCAAATTTTGAACAAAATTAATTTCAGGTTTCATTCTGTAATGCACACATGTCTTTATCGGCAGCCAATCAATTATTAGTGTTTGCCTACGGTCGAAATATCAAAAATAAATTATTATATTGTTCGTCTCGTCCAGGAGATCGTGATGCATCTTCTTTAATTATCGAAAGATTGCGAGAAGTTCTGATTGAATCCGCTGAATCGGATGATTTGAAAATTGGAGTTCCGTTGGCACCAGCGATGACACATGCAATTTGTTGTGAGTTTTTTCTCGGTGTTACTTATTTTTCAGAGTTACTCTAACTCAAAAATGAATTCTCAAAAAAAAGTTTAATTTTGTTCTACAAAAACTTCGAAAGTTCTCCAGATATGAAGAAGGATAATAAGCGAATAACCGCTGAAGCTTGCGCTGATTCCTTAAATACCGCAAATCCGACATCTTCAACAAATGATCAATCGGAAGAAAGCGATGAAAAAAGTATAACTCGCGCAGTTGTTATTGGAATCACACCAGTTTGTGGCGGAGAACACAGTTCACTTATGAATCTCTTCTTTTCGGCTGCAAAACAGAATATTTGTGTTGATGTGATTTCGTTGGCCGATGATAATAATGGCGGGATTTTACAACAGGCGGCTGATATTACTGGAGGATTGTTTTTGCATACACCGAATCCCACTAATTTATTGAAAGTTTTGATGGTAATTGAATAGATCTTTTTTGAAGATTGGCAACATATTTTAAATTTCGTTTTTTTCAGACTCATGTTCTTGCTGATCCTGCTTATCGTGCATCTTTTCCACAACCAACTCTTGATGTGAGATTTTTTTTCGAATTTTTATACCAAAAATGATGACAAATAGTAGGGTGTAATTCCGGAGCATCGTTAAAAACCGTATTGTTTCTCGATTCGAAAATTCTGAATTTTCATAATTTCTCTTTGCCGTCAAGGCGGAGCATCGTTGTTATTTATTCAATTCGAATTGCGAATTTCCCGCCTAGAAGTACGGCGTTAACCCGGAGCATCGTTTAATTTAGGAGAAAGATATCCTAACTTTTAAAAAATTTTCAAATTTTGTATTTCCAACAATAATTTTACAGTCAGTTGATTACCGTGCTTCATGTGCTTGTCATCATCAATTGGTTTCAAATGGCTGGGTTTGCTCAGTTTGTTTATCCGTTTTATGTCAATATATGCCAATTTGCAAAGTTTGTAAATCAGTCTTCAAAATGACACATTTACCAAAAAAGATTCTCAAAAGAAAACGCAAAGATTAATTAATTGAATGAATATTTTATTCCGATTTATTTTTGTTGATTTGATTTCTTCGAATTGCTAGAAATAAATATGCTGCATTTACAAAATATGTTGTCAGACAAACAATGCAAAGGGTTTGGAGATGAAGAAGAACTGAAGATTTTGAATTTAGTTTTCTGGACAGATGCTCATATTCAAAACTCACTGAAAAACAAGTAAATTGAGAGAATGTTGAGAAGATAACCAATTTTGACTGATATACTTGTCAAAAAATATGGATGAAGAATTTCGAAAAATTGAAATATTGTTAGGAAAAAATAGCCAACTACTCCGTAAAATGCATTACTCTGGAAATTAGAGAAATTAATTATACTTATAGGTTGGTTAGCGCGGGTTTAAACTTCACTAGAAGCCACATATTTCATTTCTCATTCCTACACACCATATTGAGAGAACTATCTTCACCAAAAATCAATTTGACAATTCCAAAACCCGTCGAATATTCCGAATTCATAACTTTCGTACAAGAAACCAATTGATTCAAATCGCACATTGCGATGTATTCCGGATCTGATTCACTTCGGATTTCAACATAGAGAGCTCAAACAAATTCGCAGTTCAAAAAAGTACAAATTATTTTTTAACTCACCATAGCATGAAACAAATATTCCGAGGAATAAAATCAGAAAATTGGCATAAATGTAGAATTTTCTCATTTTTGTTTCAATCTTGCAAATGTTAAAATACACGTATACATTTGATAACAACTGAGAGAAGGGACATTCGCTTTTTTTCTGTAAGTCGAAAAAAAACTTGCACGTGAGAAATTGAAAAAGAGATAAGAGTTTTATTAGTGCAGCTGATTTGGAAAATTGTGGAACAATGATCTCTGCGTCAATAAAAATGAATATAGTTTGAACTATATTTTCGAAGAGGATACTGAATTTAAACGGAAAATATCGATAATCCTAAATCGCGTCAATAATAAAATTGGCTATAATGGGAGAATGGAGAACTCTTTCAGCTGTAATTCTAGATTTTTAGCCTTTCCCAAACTCTCTTTTTATATTTGAAGATTTTTTTTTCAAAAATCCTTTTTTGCGCGCAATCGCGCAAAAAAAGAAACACACAAAAATGGAAGAGAAATCCAAATAAACACATGTTTGTAGTTCTCTCGAACTTCAATATTTTTCGAATTTTTTTCGCGCACAAAACATGTTTTTCTCACACTTCCAATCTAATTCACGTGAAAACGTGGAAGCCTTTCGAATTCAGAGCATTCAAAATTCATTTCCAGATATCAAATGTCGCGTAATTTTCCTGCCGCTCTCGATTATTTAGGATCGGAGGCGGAAGATTTTTGCAAAGCCCAACATCTTTACCTGAAACCAATCGCAATCATCAAAATCACAGTCACCTTGCCGAAAATGACGATTCCCGGTCAATCGATATCGAATTGGGATTTGATGGAACGATTGAAAAGAGCTGTTGATCCGATTCAAATGGATTCCATAAAAGTTCGTGAAAGTAATATGGATAGTGTTATTTTTGAGGCCGAATTATTATCGCTTGGAATTATGGAGAAAACTATGAAAATTCTTGAAGGACATGTGATGAAAGTTTCTGGATTCGCTGAACCTTTGAAAGTGAAAACAAAACAATCGAAAACTGATTTTCCGAGTAGACATGATTGGGATTTATGGTATTTGAAAAATAAAATGGATGAGACCAAACCCGGTGAACGTCCGGACACAATTTATCTCTCAAAAATACCTGTTAAATGGTTTAGTGTAAGTTTTTTCTTATTTTTTCGAAGAAAACATAAGTTTTGCAGGATGGAAGATCAGATTTACCATCAGAAAAACGACTCAAAAGCGCATTTGAAGAATTTGGAAAAATTCGCAGAGTTGATATTCCAATCTGCGATCCTTTACGTGTAAAAATGAACTCGAAATACTCAGGAATTCAAATGAAAGGATTCGGAATTGGTCAGGACATTTTTTTCGAAGCTTATGTGCAATATATGGAATATAAGGGATTCGCATTTGCGATGGATGCGTTGAGAAATCGAAAATGGGCGAAACGAATTGATGGAAGGTTTTTTCAAGCAAGTGTCAAGGTTTGCAGTTTTTTTTTGTTGAAAAATTAGTGCTCTTGGAAAGAAACACAGTGTGGGTCCCAAAATTTTGGGCAATTTTTGGTCAATCTCATGCTACCTAAATTATTCCTAGCTTCCCTAATTTTATGTCTCAAATTAAAGATTTTTAGATAGAAATTTGACCTGAATTTCGTAGATTTTCGCAGAATCCAAAGTACAAAAATTTAAAATATCCCAGCCCTCAAATTTAAAAAAACTAAATTTTAAATTCCATTTCCATCCGCCATTTGGCTGTTGTTGATTTGAAGTCATCGATCTGCAGGTATTATCTTCTTTCAAATTCTCATCAATTTTCAAAAATTAAATTCAGGTGGATTTCGATCGAACACGTCATTTGAGCGAATCAATAATTGCGAAACGAGCTGAAGAAAGAAGACGAATTGAAAATGAGCAAATTCAGAAAGAGGAGGAAGAAATGAATGAGAGGTATTTAAAGGTTTTTGGCACATTTTTAAAAATTCAAATTAAATTTTTTTAGAATGAAAGAGGAACTTCGAGTTAAACAAGAGCAAGATGAAAAAGATCGAAGACGTGAGGAACGAGAGAAAAAACGTAGGGAAAAGGTGAGATTTTTTCAGTTTTTTTTAAAATTTTCTTCTATAATTAAATGTTTTTCAGCGCGAATTGGAAAGATTGGCTGAAGAGGAGAAAAGGAGAAAAGAATTGGAAACTTTGGAGCTCGAAAATTCAGCGAAAGAGCGGAGAAAGATTGAGGCCACGTTTCTGCTCAATTTTTTGTTTCAGAAAATTGAGGTGAGATTTTTGAAGGGGTTTGAAGATATAATTGAAAAAAAGTTCGCAGACAAAAATTCAGTCTTTTAAAACATTTTTATATTTCAAAATTTTACGCTGAAAGTTGGCTCATGAAAAAATCAGCTTTAGTTTTATTAACTAGGAGCCCTAAAATCACCTATAAAAATCAAAAGTTCTTTTGTTTCATGAGCCAATTTTCGATTTTTTGACAATTTGTGTTCTGAAATATTGATCATGATAAATTAACCTATTTTCAATTTCAAAATTCGATAATCCTTAAAAATTTCAAAAATTCTAGGCCCGCGAAGAAAGAAGAAAACGAAAAGAGGAAGACAAGTTGCGCGAAGAATTGACCAAAATCAAATGTTTGGAAGATCAACCAGTTGAACAAGAAGATGCATTGAGACAAGCATTGTTGAAACAAAGAGAATTGAGAATGAGAGAAAGGGTAAGAGTTTTTTTTGAAATGTTTCCTATAAGCCTCAAAGTCTGTTTTCAGCTGAAGGAAAAGATGAAGGAAGCCGCTAAATCCAAGGAAATCGAAAAACAAAACAAAAAAGGATATAGGAAGAAGAGACATGGTAAAAATTTAACAATTTCCGCTGAACGTCTGAACATCTGGAAAATTGAAATTGAAATTTTGAGATTTTATTTTATTAGCTAAAAGTCTCTAAAGTTCGAATTTTCAAATTCTGGGGCCAAAAATAATTATTTTGTGTTCGAGCTTCAAAATTTGAGCTATTGATTTTTTTTGAAGAATTTTCGAGATTTTTTCATGGAAAAATTGGAACTTCAATATTCTTTAGCCAGTATGGAGCCTAATTCTTCAGTCAATTCAAAATCCATATTTATTTCCAGATTCTTCTTCGTCGGATGAAAAACCTCGCAAAAAACACAATCGCCGATATTCTTCAGATTCTTCAGATGATTCTGATCGAAGAGATCGTCATAGGCGAAGAAAAAGAAGATATTGATGGAATTATTTTTTGAACTGCTCAATTATTTCTTTCTGTACATTTATTAAGCTGGTTTTATTGAATCTCGTTGTGTTTTTTTATAAATAAAATGGTAATAATATTTTGAAATGTGGGATTTTTTGGAGAAGTTGTTCAAGCACTTTTTGAAATATATTTGTATCAATTTTTCTTCGCATTGAAGATTTTCCTGTTGGAATTGTGCAAAAATTCAAATATTTGTTTCAGGATGTTTAAAAGAATACGGGAATGCTCAGAAAGAGCTGTTTTTATCAGTTTAATCGATGAGCCTGCAAATAATTTCGAAATTGATGATTTTCTACAGAATTTCGATGTTATTCACAAGTTTTTGACTAAAAATGAGGTTTGTTTTTAACTTCCACGTGGCTTTTTTTTCTAAAAAAAAATTTTCCAGGTCCAAGTGAAAGTCACAAATGTGATTCTGAAAATGGAACCGATTGAGACAATTCGAAAATTATCGGAAGGCTTCAAAAATCATCAGGAGGAATTTATTATTTTGATTTATTGGTTGGAAAAATTGTTGGAAATTCATTTGGCGAAGATTTTTGAAGAGAGTTTGGATATTGAACCGGATGATGGTTGGTTTATTTTTGGGAATTTAGGGAAGAAAAATGCTGCTTTCGAGGTGTATCTGAAAAATCGAAAATTTTGGTCTTTTTTTCAGTAAAAACTCATTTCAAGATCCATTTTTTTCCAGAAAACTCGCAACAAAAATTGAACGAATTCATAAAATCGCTAATTTTTCTACCGGATCGAGTTTCGAATTGTGGAACAAAGGCGAAAAATAAAGAAGAGATGGATATTGTTCGAAATTGTCTTTTAGAAATTGAAAACAATTTTTGTGACTCAATAACCCGAAGTTTGTCATTGGCACATTCGAAATTAGGAAAATCAGATTTGATAAATCTCAAAACAATCGCTGAATTCGTTTCAAAAGGAATGAATTTGAAAATCAAAAATTCGAAACTAAGTTATTTTATATTTGAATGGATAACTGAACAAAATAAAAATGATGTAAAATGGGATCGAGTTGCACAAAGATTATTCAAAGATCAAACATTTGGTGGAGCAAGAGAATATGAAACACTTATTATTGATATTATTATTAATTCAAAATCTGTGGATCAATTGAAAAGATGTTTTGGAACTGGCAGAAATCCAATTATTGATCGAATATTGACTGTTAAAATGCTCTTCCAACGTGTTATTTCTCCTTTGATACTTCGGAATATTATTGATTTCTATGAAAAAGATACGCTAACTCTTCGAAGAATTCTTGAATATTCTATCAAAATTTGGACAAGTTTTGAGTTTGTTCGAAATTCGACTTTGGAAAAACAACGACATATTTCGAGATTGATTTTGTATATTATTTATATTTTGAAGAAACAAAACATTAAAGGTACATTAATTTTTAATCAATAAAGCGTAATTTTCCTAGGTAATTTTGCTCTTTTTAGAGTCAATTTGGCAAAAAGTATTTTATGCGATCAGTGAAGGAATTCAAATAAGATTATCAAATAGTGAAATGGAAATTCGACAAACTGCAATGTTTATTGGAGAAATTGTATCGGAATTGAATATTGAGGAAATGAAAAAAGATGGGAAAGAAGTTGATGAAAATGCGAGATTGAAATTTGAATATGAGGAAAATGAATGGGTGAACGAAATGAAAAGGTATTTTGTGAACATATTCATAGTTTTTAAATTTTTAAATTTGAAAACAACATCCACGTGGCATTTTTTTGAATAAAAAAATCTCCAAGAAATTTCTAATGGTTAATTTTGTGCCAAACATCCCCGTGGAATTTGACTCCGAAAGATTCAAAAATTTACAATTTTACACGTATTCCAGAATTTATTCACTGTTTCAACCAAGTTTATTTTTCAGTATTCGAGAATCTGGAATTTCAATTTCTATCGAACCTCCAACAATTTCTGCTCCTCAATTTCATTCCCATATTCTACAAAAACCCGAGTCTCTTCCAATTCCCGATTTGAACCTCGATTCAGATGACGAAGAAGATTTTCCGATTTTCGAAGTTCCAGAAAGCGAGAAGAATTTCGAGAGATTGCAAAAAAATCAGGAACCTCTCAAAAAATTCGAACCTCCCAAATATATTATGGATGCATTTGAAATGTTGTTGGAAAAAGAGAAATATGAGGTGAGTGCTTTTATAAAATCTTGGTCTATGTATAGAATATGATTTTTGTAAATAAATTTTTAACCGGTTTGAATTTCTTTTAAATTTTCAGAAATTCGAAGCCGCTCTAAATTCAATCGAATCTCTTGTTCGAAAAAATGCAATTGGCTTCAATCAAATATCGGATAATTTGGTCCGTCGATTAGTTTTCCTTGATGATATTTTCTCAACCCCAAATTTCGAAGAAATCCAAAAACGCTCAATTATTTCATGTTTTGTTATCAAACCTCATTGTGTTTTATCAATAATTGATCTATTTTTGAATAATTCAAGTACAATGTCACATCGATATTTAATTTTGGAATGTATTCGAAATGCATCAAAAGAGTTGTCACAACCAAAAGAATTGATAAAAGAAAAGAAGAAAATTGAAAAGGAAAATGAAGAGAATTCGTGGAAAAATGTGGTTGAAGCGAGAATTCGCAAAAATACAAAGATATTTGAAAGGGCTAAAGATGTTAAATTGGTTGAAAATCGGCTGGGAAAATGTGTGAATCTGTTTTTTTATCCATTATTTGTGCAATCAACTGGTGAACATTTGCAATTACAGGTGAGGTTTTGAAATCCGAATGGGAAAAAAGTTGATGAAAAATAGTATTTTCAAAAGATAGTCCTTAACAAATAAATTCCAATCAATTTCAGACTAAAATCATGAAATTTGGTTCAAAATCATGGATTTGTAAAACTAGAAGCTCTTCCAGATTTACAAATTTTCACTCAAAAAAATTTGATCAAAAAATAGTATTTTTTTGATGACAGAACTCAAAAAATGAATTATAATCAATTTTGACTCGAAAAATGTGTTTGTGCAAAATTAGAAACAGTTCCTTATTTTGCGCCGAGTTGAGGTCATCCAATAATTTTTCGAAAAAAGTCATGAAATCTCTAGTTTTTTATAATTCCCAAAATGACTATAGGCATGTAATTGATGCAAGCTAAAAATTCTAACCTTAACTTCCGAGAGCAATTTTTGAAATAAATTTTGAAATTTCAAAAAAATTACCGTTTTCTCTCAACACCTCCTTCAAAAAAAACAATATTTTCTCAAATTTCAGGGACGCGATACAAATTTGCTGTCAAAATTGATTTATACAATAACCGAGGTTTATTTGAATGCCGGATTGTGCCCGAGTATTTCGAAAATGTCGCAGTGAGTTTTTGAAATTCAAAATTTTGCAGTAAACATTTTTCAGAAGTCTGATTCAATACGTAACACCTGCTCGATTTTCTGAAGATCCACATATTCGAATATCTGTTTTATTTGCATTTTGCGCCGTTGTCGAGACTTTGTCTTTTGAGGTATGAAACATTTGATGTTTCTGACATGATATGAAAATCCTTTAAGAAATCCTTCTCTATTTCCAGCACATTCAATCAATTTTCGAAAAATCACAAATCGAAGATTGGGCAACTTGGGCCTCACAAATTGCAAATAATCAAGATTCTCATGAACACGAGAGAAAATTGGCGGAATGTTTGATTAATCAAATTTGGAAGAAAATCAATACATAAATATTTATTGTTGTGAGTATTACCCGTGCGAAAAAAAGAAGAAAAATGTTAATTGAAAAATTATTACTTTTATTAGAAGAATTTCAGTATCCAGATGAGCCCGATTCTGATGATTTTGCTCGACCGACATAAAGATCAATGAGGTTTAGCTAAAATAAAATTAAGAATCAGTGAAAAATGAATATTTGAGAATTACCTTGCTGGAGTTCAAAGTTTTCAAATGCGGTTCCATTCGAGGCATTCCAATTCGTTGAACCAAAGCAACCAAACCGAAAACTGCACATTTTCGAACGGATGAAGAACGAGATTCATAGGCCTGGAAGTTTGGAGGATTTTTAAAGGGACATGGGAAGATGTCTGATATTTGAAGTTGAAAATTGGACTTATTTCAAAGCTTCTGAAAAAGTTGCGGGATTTTGAAAACAAAATTAGAGTCCTTCTAGAAAATTACAGTAACCTGTCACAAATACAGTACCTTTAGAGGTCCTCTTTTTGAACCCAAAAATACAGTACTTTCAAACTCTGAACTTCTACAGGAAAATTCAGAAAACATATATTTGACCTACCACTAAAATTGTATTTTTTTTTTAAATTCACCTTTTCATTTATTCATCCTTACCTCAACAAAACATGGTGCAACATCATCAACAATCAAACTCAATTCATCCACATCAATTTCCTGAAACATCCTCGTCAACATTTTCAAAATCAACGTCGATCTCAAATCATCATCCTGTCCCAATATTTTCCTCGAAATCGATATTATTTTAATGAGCGGTAAATGTGTTGCCAAAGTTCTCAAACAATCCTCAGCCGCAATACTCATTGTAGAATCATCAGATGAAACAGCAGCTTGAAGTACTTTTGAAATTGCGATTTCTGTGGAGTCAAATAATTTAGATGCTTGTGCATTACACATTTTCATCAAAATTCGAAGAGCTGTCTTTTTTCGAATTGTATTATCATTTGTTGAAAGAATTTGATAAATTGAATCTAATAATTCATCAAAATATTGATTCCAAAGTGTAAATGCTCCTTCACACATCATTGCGTGTAAATTCGTCATCGATTCATTGATTGTTGATAAATTTCGCATATTTTCTAATTGTGTTCGAATATAATTTGATTGTTCGGCTATATTATTTGCTAAATGTGCTGTTGATCTTCGAGGTGTTTCGATTTGATAATTATTGCAATTATTATTCGAGTATTGTTGACGGATTGGAGAATCTGTTCGAACTGGAGAATCATATCGAATTGGAATTGTTTCCTCATTATATGATTTATCATTATTATTACTGTAATTATGTTAATTAGGGTAATTAATTAATAAGAATTTATCTAGCTCACCATAATTGCTCTTTCTCTTTTTCCACACTTTTTTGCCCGTTTAATTGAAGGATTCGATATGCCCAATCACGACATTCTGGACTCAAATCATTGAAAATCATTGTGAAATCGGCTGCATTCAAGGCGAACATCGCGCAGATCAAACGTTCGCAAGCCTACAAAAATTTAGGATTACTGTAAATCTCAAGATTACGGTCATTTTGAGACTAAATATGACTATGCAAAAACAAATTCTACAGTAACCCAAGCATGTTTACAGTAAAAAAGAAGAAACTTTCATCGAAAATCTTAATTTCCACGTGGCAAGATATTAGGGTTACTGTCAAGCTTAATTTTACACTTATTTTGAGAGCAAATAAGGCTGTGTACTGTAGCTTTAAAGCAATTTTCTACAGTAACCCAGACAATTTTGGTTACATAATAACTGGAATTTCATTGATAGTCACATTTTCCACGTGGCAAAAGTTTAGGATTACTGTAGTTTTCGCAATAACGGTTATTTGGATACCAGATGAGGATGGATCAAATAATTTCAAAATTCAAGACTACAACATTACAGTAACCCAGGCCTATTTGGTTTCAAAATATGCCAAATTTCAAGCAGAATTCCAAAATTCCTAATTTTACCCCCAGAACCTTCACCAAAAAACTAACCGGCATCAAAATGGGACCACTTCTCTGATCAAACATCCATGCAAACATTTTCCTAATCGCCAATCTCGTAAAACCAGCATCAATCGAATTATTACAATCATCTTCGGGCCAAATATCTTCAAACAACAAACATAAATATTCCAAAAGTGCCAAACGCGATTTTGGAACAAGTAAATTAATCGGATCACACATAAATTGACAAACTGATTTCAATTGCAACCAAGGTTCGAATGATATCAAAAATGCTTTTTGTGTTTGATTCAATGCATATTTGATATTCGGCAATGCTTCTGCTCCCATTTTTGCGAATAGTTTTCCCAATGCAAGTTTCATCCATCCTTCAAGATTTTTATGATAAATTTTGATGAAACTTGAAAGTGTTTCTAGTATTTGGATAAGGATTGTTGTATTTCCTTCAGCTAACAAACGTGTCAAAACATCGCCAATTTGTCTGATCTCGAAATCCGTCAATTTTTGATCTCTGAAAAATTTTTCAATTTTTTTGAGCATATTTGCAAATGTGAACTCACAAAATGACAGATGACAGTTGTTTGATGCCATCTTTTTTCTCATTGAAAGATGAAGAAGTGCATGCTTTCAAAATGTGTTCGATTGGATTGATCTTTGATTCTGGTGAGGATTGTAAAATTGTTCGAGGTGGAGGTGTTGATTTTGGTGGAGCCAGTAGGAAATCATCGTCTTCTTCGATGTCGCGATTCTGGAAACTTTTTTTTTAAAAATTTTGTAATTGGCCAAAAACAGATAACTACAAAATCTTGGCATCTACAGTAAGCTCAGGTTTATTTGACGGCAAAAATGTTTTTGGTTTAAATGAAAACCTCCGAAATTTCAGCGTAAAAAACCAGGAAAAATACGTTCCGAAAAATCGATATTTGCTCTTAAAAAATCTCCAGAAAAAATTACGTTTCAATTTTTGCTTTAAAAATTAATTTCCGAAAGATTAAATTAGTACCTCATTACTTCGCGGGTCTACCCAAAAATTTTTGGATTACTGTAGAATTTGCGTCGAAAAAATTCCCTTTTTTGAATTTTTTTTTGCAAATCCCCCTGAAAAACCAACCATTTCATCTTTCGCTTTATCCATTGCAAATTGCAAATTATTAGCCTGTTCAACAGTCAAAGAAGCAACAAATGAAGAACTTCCAAGATTCGAAGCAATTCTCATAATTGGTGTTTGAATTGTTGAAGAAGAAGGAGATGATGAAGATGATTTTGGAATTGATTGAGATGGGGAATTCGGGCGATTTTGTTGAGGTCTGCATTTGAGTTGACCATATCCACTTGATTTTACCGTTGCTGAAACACGAGGTTGTGAGTTTCATTTTGAAATCTTTAAAATTTTCGAGATCAGTAACATTTTCCAAAATTAATATATTCATCTACCGTAACCCATCAAAAATTTCTAGAGGAATCTACAGTAAGATAAGTGATTTTGAGACTAAATTTTAAAATGTTTTTGAAAGCTTAAGCTGACAAAAAGTCCTGAGGCTTTTCAGAAAGTTTTATTGTTCCCCGAAAAAAATCTGAACTTACAAAAAGTCGAAGATTTTGGAAGTTTCGATAAAACAGTTGGTCTTTGTGTAACTGATTGTGTTGGAATTGTAATCTGTTTTGCATCAATTGCTGAAGATGATCTTTGCGATAAAAACTTCTGACTAATGTTATTTGGTCGACTATTATTTTCTCGATCACTATTTATACTCGAAGACGATGAAGCAACACCTTCTCTCAACATTTTCTGCTTCGAATTATCCAATTCTCGAAATATTTGATCAGCCAATTCTGCATGATAAGTTTCAAATTTCTGAAAAGCCTTTCTTCCATTTGTTCTTGTCTCACTATCCGCGTCATTTATCGCATTTTTGATGATATTTGCAAGTTGCTTCAAAATCGGTTGTTTTGATCGAATATCCCATGTTGAAATAATGATTTCGGATAAAATCAATAATTGTCGACGTTGCTCTTTTGATTTCGAATTTGACAATTCGGAAAGAATCGAAAATATTTGACGAGAATGGATTTTCTGCAATTTCAAAATATTTATTTTCAATTTCGAAAACACTATAAAAATCAACTGACCTGAACAATAAATGTTGTCAAAGTTGCCGCACTTGTCGCCATTATTTTAGTGCTCACAGCAAGTTGTGATAATGCAGCAGGAAGTACGGTTTCAGCAATATTTCTAGCTTCATTTCCAAATGTTTCAAATATAAAACTACATGTAACCGAAGCTTCTCGTACAATTTGTGACCTCAAATCTCGAATCGAAATTTCCAACGCGTCGGCTAATTGATTAATTGAATTAATTAAAATTCTTCGATCAATATTGTCATCAGAATTTAGAATAATACTTCTAATTAACTTCAGCTGATTAGCTCGTTTCGACCAATCCTCATTTGTGTTCATTAAAACATTTCTAGCAAGTTCCACTTTTTCCAATACATCGTGGTTAGAATAAATCGTCTGAAAATAGAAAAAAACATTAAAAAAAATTATGAGTTCTATAAAATTACGGTTTTTGGTACAGCATTAAATGCTTTTCTAAAATCATCTTGACAAACACTCGAAACCGGCGCCGAACTCGAACTTCGATATCTCGAAACTGACATCGATGTATTCGGTCGATTAATTGTTGATCTTGTCATATCTCTTGATCTACTGGGACTTATTGCAGATGTTGTTGTCGGGTTAATCGGTAGATTGTTTTTTGGTGGAGTAGATAATCGAGATGGGTATATGATTTTAGCTGGCGAACGAAGAGATCGACGGATGAATGCGTTTCTTTGCTGTGGTTGAACATCCATTTGAATTGAGTGTTTTGGTGGCAGATCACCACGGGTTGCCACTGTTGATTGGTATTTTTGCATCAGGATTGTCATTCTGGAAATTTCAGGTAATTTTATTGGAAACACAAGATTATAAAACTTGAAAGTAGGAAAAAAAAACTTGAATCTGAAAATTGAACGTGGCCCAAAAAAGTTTTTTTCGCCACGTGGCAACAATTAAAATTTGGTGTTAGAAAAATAAATTTGAATTTGAGAAATTCACGCTAAATATTTGATTTGGCGCAACAAGTTTCTGAAAAAAATCAAATCAAATTTTCACGAGCCCAAACATTTGCCACGTGGCAATAAAAATTCAAATTTGGTCCAGAAAATGTCCAATTTTCCCCAATTCTCAAAATACATTTCTAATTTCAAAAAAAAAATAATAAGCTTCAATTTTAAATTCAATTAAATCTAAAATTCGCGGAACAAAAGAAATTTTGCAAATTTGGCCTAAAATCCAGAGAAGCGTGAATAATTGGATAGAAAATATACAAAAATATGAACATATGTATACAAAAATCAGCATTTTCCTTTCTCTTTTCTCTGTTTTCGAGAGAGCGAGCGAGCGAGATAGGATAATCTGATGTTCTGAACAAAAATGGAAAACAGATGGGAAAAATATATGCAAAAGACCTTGACTATACTATTTTATAAATAATATTGAATTGAAACAGTTGGAGAACAATTTGAATAAAATAAGACGAATCTGATTTCTGAAAGTCTTGGTGGGAAAATTGAATGAAAAATTATATGACAAATTTCAGGTTGTTAAATGAAATTTGGAATATTTTTCTAGAGAATTCTGTTGAAAAATGACCGGAAAATGTTTTAAAACTAAAAATGAAAACTGCGATCAAATAAATATGATGAATCATAACATTAATGTGAGAAAATTATATCATTTTTGTTTAACCAGAAAAAAAACTATATTGTTTGTTTTGTATAATTGAATAATATAAAGAACCGTTTTTAATTGACACATCATTGTTTTTAGAAAAAAAACAATACCGGAAATGTAAGAATTTTTCAGAAAACACAAGATCTTAAGTTACACTAGAAGAGGGTTACTGTAGACCTGAACTACTGTAGTTTTGTGAAAAAGCTACAGTAATCCATAATTTTTCACGTTAAATCCTAAAAATACAGAATTTTATTTCCCAACGAAAAAATCTTCTTTTGGACAAAAATCTACCATTGCTTATATTAAGCATTTTCTTACCAAATAATTTTTTGTTTAATTGAAAATCATTGCTCAGCTTCAGAAGGTTTGTGTCCCATTCTCTTCTCTGATTCCGCCTTCCCCCTAAACTCACTTCTGATCATTGATAATTTTAGTCGATTGAATTTTCTGAACAATCGGAACTCCACCATAAACCATCAAATCAACAATAACAGACGAAGAAATATCTCGAACTTCAACATTTGGATCATTTGTCAATCGACAAAGTTGTGGAATTATTTGAAGAGTTTGATGAATAACCAAAGCAAAACTTGTATTCAAAAACTCTTTCAAAATATAAATTGCTCCAACTTTGACAAGCCATTGTTTGTGTTCGAAACCAGTTCCAGGAATAGTTAATCGATCTAATAATATTGTTGGAGAAGAATTTTCGAGATATGCGAGAGAAAGAAGAAGATGAATTGCCATATCTCGAACTGTTTGTTTTGAATCACCCATCTTTTCGATTAGAATATTTAATCGATCGAAATAATAAGAAGCGAGGACTTCGGGTGAAAACTTGAGAGCCGAATCGAGAATTTCGAGACCAATTTGAGTTACCTGCAAATTTTCATTTTTCAAAATTCACATCACATTATCCAGTCTCACCTTAAAGTTACTGCCACTCAACCATTGTGTCATAACATCTAGAAAATCATTGACCAACTTCGAATGCGCCGATATTTTTCGCTGCGAGACCTCGTTCAATAATATTTCTCCGAGTTTTAACCGTTCTAATGGATCTGCCGAATTTGATTGTAATAAAATATGCAACCAATTTGAATCCATCTCATTTGGAAGATGATTCCTAGAAAAAAGGAAGAGGCTGGGGAAATTTTCATCTTGAAAATTTTTGAGAATGTTTAAAAAAAATCAAAAAATTTTTCGAAAATCTTAGAGGTGGAACACTAAAGTGAGAGATTTAGAGAAAATAATTTTGATCTACCAGAAATAATTTCGGAAAAATTTGAGGTCTAGAGAGTTTTGGTGGTCCCATTCTTATTGAAAGTGGGATCAACCAGTTCTAATGCATACATCCTACAAAAATCGGGTTCGATTCAGAATTTCTACAAAAAAAATTTGTTAAATGCGACCTTTGACATTCAAGAAAAAATCGAGGCAAAAAAGGAGGGAAATAAAAATTGATAGGTGCATTCAAAACAAATATTTATTTGACATTTTCCATTTTTCAAGGACGCGTCACAAAAGTTTCGAGGTTTTGATTTTATTTTGGAATAAAAAACAGAGAAAGCTGGTTTTTGAAGAAAAAGAAGGTGATAATTGAATTGAAATTAGAAAGAGGAGAGGACAAAATTGGGGGGGAAATAAATAAATTTGAAAATAAAATAAAATAAATAGGTTTATGATTGGCGACAAAAACATTCAAATTAATATTACATTTTGAAGGACATTAATTGAATTGAATTGTTTTGTTTTTGTACAAAAACAGTGGACAAATTGGAGTAATAAGTTCAGAAATTGCCCGGGATAATCAAGTTTGCTCTATCGCACAAAAACATTTCCCCGGAATTTTCAATTTTTCGAAATTTTTTAACTTGACATCAGTAAACTTGATTCTCCATCTTCAAAAAAATGCAACCCTAACAAAAACCTGAACACAAAAACGTAAAATAATAATCGGAACACTAACTAAATATCCAGTTAGGAAAAGAAAAAGAAAAGGGCGTAAAAAGAGAAGAAGTGTCGGGTGATGATGCTTAAGTCAAATGACAAATAAATTAAAAAAGAATGGGACAGAATTCGGTTTTGATCATGATTTTTCGGTAGAAAAAAAGGTCGAACTGGGTTTTTTCTTTGAATAAATTATGAGTGAATTGAAGAATCGGAACTTTATTCAGAAAATTTAGAAGCAAAATTTTAGATAAAAAAGGCTTAGACTACAATTAACAAAAATTTTTTTAACACTACAATTTAACTTTTAATTAATTAATCTCGCAGTTACAAATTAGGCTTAGGCAATCACTTAGGCTAAGGCTTATTTTTGGATATCCCAGAGGATTTTAGTAAAAACATTTTGTGAATAATTTATTGATCCAATTTTTAGGCCAAGTTTTCTTTAGAAGAAAATCGGTGGTTTTTTTTGCATAAATGAATTGAAACTAAATGACAAATGTTATTTTTTTGTGTGTGATTCATAGATAGCAAAAAAAAAACATTCAATAAATACTTTGTTGTTGTTGTTTTGTTGTATTGGAACAGAACTGCAAAAAAAAATAAGAGGATAGAACTATAAAGTAAAAGTATAATATATTTTTGGGGTTTTTTGTGAAACACAAAAAATTGCCTTAAGATAAGAAAAACTAGGGTCATTGAATGCTAAAAAAAAATAAATGTTCAAAAGGCAATTTGATTTGCTGATAAAAAATGAGGCAAAAAATTCCGAAAATTCCGGAAAATGGTGAGTTTTTTTTTAAATGATGTAGCTTTTTTTATCATAAAAAACAATTGAGCTTCTAAATTATCTAGATTTCCACGTGGCAAAAATAATCCGAAAAATGAGTGGAGAATAAGTGCATTAGGCATGAATGAACATATTTTTTGACATAAAAATGTAAAAAAAGGAACTCGAGAAAAAGAATAAGTAGAACATATGTTGAGCGAAAAAAAATGAATTTGGAAGAAGAAAAAGGCGAAACAGATGTGATGACAGAACACTTACATACTTACTTATGAGATATTTTGTTGAAAAAATTAGGAGCTCAGAAATTGATTTTGAACATCTAGCAGTAGTGCCGCGTGGATTTGGAATCCAGAAACTCGAAAAAAATGAAATTTTTTAATGTAAAAGTGGAGTGTCGTACTGAACCTCAATTTTACTATATTTCATTAAAAAAAGAGAAATCTTAAAAATTACTAGTGTAAACGTGGAGCATCGTAAAATCTTTTCTCAAAACTCCTAGCTTAAATTCTGAAAATGTTTATTTGAAAAAATCCCTCCAAAATTCGAAAAGTGAAGTTTGAAATTTTCAAGTTTCTGAAAAAGCTTTTCAATATTTCTTAAACATTTTCTAGCCAACAAAATTTTTTTCAGAAAAATCAGATAACCAAAAATTATTTCTCTCCTATGTAGCAAAAAAAATGGGCGGTAGCAAAGAGGATTTTCAGAAGAAGGAAGAAAAGAAAGAAAATTGAGAGAAGAAAATGAGTTGAATGAAGAACACCTCATCAATTAGAGATAACAGGGTTTAGGGAGGCGCAGACGTTTTTTGTGGCAAAAAAAGTTTTACATTTTTTTCGATGATCGATCGTTGATCGGAATAAGTTATGAGGAGGGAAATTAAGGTTTTTGACAATTTTGCAGACAAAAAATTTTGAAAATTTTCACAAAAAAACCGGTTTTTGTTAGAAAAATTGAAAAAAAACTCAAAATAAATTTTCCACCTTTTGCTCTAAACAACGGGCAAGCGGAATGTCGTTGTTTTCTTTTTGTTTTCGAAGAACACTTTTTTCGTAGGAAATGAAAATTTTTAAATAAAATTCAAATAAAATAAAAATAAATAAATAAGAAATCACAAAAAAAATATTTGAAGTGCGGCAAGAAACGATAAGAGTATTATTTAGAAAAATATTTTGATAAGAGCTCTCATTTTTTTTGGGCGAGGCTGTCTCCAGGTTAATTTAGAAAATTGGGATATTTTTATTATATTTCTCATTTTTATGAACCTTTTTCTCTATTCACCGAAAATTGGTTGAAAATTTATTGTAACAAGAAAGAAAAGGGGACAAGAAAAAAGTGAATCACAAAAAAAAAACATTTTTCGAGAAAAATCTAAAAAAAAGTTCTAGGTTCGAACTGGAGATATATCACTGAATCGACTTTTTTCGTTTTCGGGGAGGCGGCGGAATTGCGGAGTTTTGTTGTTTTTGTATTGATAGCATTATTTTTTCTTCTTGCTTTTTTGTGAGGATTTTTAGGCGCTGAAAAAAAACAAAATGAAATGATTTAAAAAATCTTAGATTTTTTGAAAAAAAAACTTTGGAGTAATTTCAAGCCCTGAAAAAATTAGGTGATTTTTTCACAAAAAATTCAAATTTTCAAGAAACTTCGCAAATGTTTGTGTTAAATTCCACGTGGCAATTCTCATATGATTTTTCACTCGAAAAATGTTTGCCACGTGGATTTTTTAGTCATTTCCAATGGTAAAAATTCAGAATTTAGATTTCGAATTTCGAAAAAATGTTCTTCTACAGTTTTATTCAAATATTTAAATTTTGAATTTTTCCTTCTAAATTTTTAAGAATTTTTATTCAAAATTCTTATTTTCCTCTCCCAAAATCATCCGAACCTGTTGCTGATCATGTATAAATCGACAAGTATTTCCATATCTACAACCATCTTCTCGAAAAACAAAATACGTGCATATTTGATCATAATTTCTCGGATTCGGTTTCAAAACATTGAAAATCGCTGGATTATTATGAATAACCATATTATTATTATTATTGATTTGTGGCTGTGGTTGTTCATTCGACAAAATAATTCCTTTTTGTTTCAATTTACTGACCAAAGATAAAACATCGAATGATGAAGATTTAGATGGTTTTTCCTGGAAAAAATTTTAAAATTAGATAAAAATGAATAGAATTCCAAAGAAACCTCTGTTTTTTCCTCGATTTTCGAAGTTTCAGCTTGCAAAAACAGTGGAATTTGAAGAATTGGTTCATTTTGTTTTTTCAATGCATCAATGTATAATAAAGGATCATCAATCATCTCGAAATCTCTGAAAATTTGAATTTTTTGGGAATCTGAAATTTTTCTAGGGGTTTTTGAGTTTTTCTACAGAAGAAAAATCAGTCAACTTATTTGGAAACGGATTAAAAATTTATAATTTTTTTGGGTTAATTTTTAGAACTCCCGAATTTAATTTATAAATTCAACTCATAATTCGATGATATCTGTTCTACATGAATTTTTTTCAGTAAATCTAGAAGATTTTTGGATAATCAGCATTTCGGTTCAAAATTTATCGATTTTCTGAAATGTTTCCGTCAATGATATTCTCTTGTGTTCAACCTAAAATCCATTCAAATCAAAGTATCGTATCGGTTTATTTTCAAATGAATCAATAATTTTAAGTACCCAAATAATGGAGCTGATGATATTCCTTCACGAATTCGACGTTCTTCTTCGACCAAAAACGCTTTCGAAACATCTCGCGGAATGTTCAGCAAATTGTTCGGTGCAATACATTTCACCATTTTCCAAGGAGTCAATTTGATCTGAAAATTACACAGGGTTGAGGATACAAATGAGGAACGGAGAAAATTTTTATTGAAAATTACCGGTTCTTGATGTTTCATATATTTTCCATTCGTTTGCTCATAAACATGAACTTCATTATCTTCTGAAATATTTAGGTTTAAAAAAAATTAAAATCAATTTTTTAAAACTCACGTTCACGTTTCGGAATCTCTCGTATATTTACCAAAACTTCTCCGATCGAATCGATGAAACTCACACTTTTTCTTTTTCGTTTCGGTGGAGGATCAGTTTTTCGAAGTATCTGAAAGAAGGGTGGTTGAAAATCTAGAGTTACTGTAGCTCAACAAATGAATCTTTCCAACTCACCCCAACAATACTCATCTTCGTTCTGGAATCCAAGCAAGTCTGCAAAAAATAGAATATTTTTGAGAATCAAAAATTGAAAAAAATACCTGGTGAGAATCGTTTCTATAATTAATATCCTGCGACACTCTGAATAACATATTATAAAAAAATCAAAATATTTCAAAATATAAATAAATTCGTATTCGATGTGAAACGTATAAAATCATCGTTGAATTTTTTTTCAAAAACCTCAAAACTATTTATATTAAACTAGAAAGAAAAAAAGAAATACAGTTACAATTAATACAAAAAAAAAGAGAAATGCATTCAATAAAAAGATTTAATAAAATCCTTATATTCAAGATGAACATGTTCAGTGATAGTTTGAGTATTTTGAGGAATTCTACTCAGGAAAAATTCCGCCTCTTTTCGTGACATACTCTGCAAACAATTCAAATTCAGGTAAATTTCAGGTTAAAAATCACATACATCAGTCAATTTCTTAGCATCCAAGCTTTTGAGCGCATCTTCAATCGCAACTTTATCATCAAAAACATTGGTTGTTTCATTTTTCACCATCCATTTCATATAATCATTTTTCATAATTTTGCCACTTCTGGAAACAAAATTATTAGATTATTAGTAATAAATTCGAGGAAAATCTTACCTGGATGGATCAAGTACAGTCATTGTTTCAATTGTTTGTTCAGTTATAACAAATTCGTATCCTTGACTTTTCAAGCATAATTCGAAAGTGTTGTAATCAAGAGAGCCATCGTGAGTCTGAAAAATTTGCAGGCTGAAACAATTTTTTGAAAAACTGAAATGGATATTTATCCATTATTTCTCAATCCAAAACTTTTCAGTATAAAAAGTCCAACCTTGTCGAAATAATCAAAAGATTGTTCAAATTCTCTCAATTGTTTTTCGGTGACTCCATTATTTTCTCGATCCGCAATCGATTGTTCAACACTTCGTAGCATCGAACCCATCAAATCCAAACAATGACAAATATCAACAAGAAGTCCGTTTGGTGTCAATTGCGTGAATCTGAAAAACAAATCCATCTTGCAAAACCCTTCAAAAACCCCTTACCGATTAACAAATATATATCGAGATTCCATCAAATTTCTCAAATGTTCCAATTCCTCAATCATTCCACTTCCATTCAATTTCTCAATCAAAAACAACACATTTTTATATTGATCATCTAATGAAACATTCGATAATCTGTTCAATTCTTTTTTCGTCGAATTCAAAACATCTTTACATTTTTTGAGAAGTTCAGCAGCTTCTTTGCAAATTTTCGAATTCTCCGAATGTCGAATCATCTCGTTTTCCACTATTTTTGTGCGCTCCTGAAAATTTTTGATTCAACTTCGCTCTATTGGAAATTTTTCCACGTTTTAGAAAATCATAAAACTTACTCTGACAGTAATGACAAGTTTATCGAAATAAATCGATAATTTTTCGTAGGAATGCCACGTGAAACATCGAACATCCTCATTATTCTCACTTAATTCAACTTCAATCAATTCCAAATCACTCAAAATCTGAACTTTCTCATTCTTCATTTCATCAGCAATTTGTACAAGAATATTCATACATTCGTTCGTCGATTCTTCCGTTTCAAATCCAACAATATCCGCAATATCTTCTTGTGCTTGTTCAATCCAATTCGATAATTCGCTGGCTTTTCGGCTGAATTCATCTTGCAATTTTTCGATTCTTTGTTTTCGTTCCAAATCATTTTCAATTTTCTTCGCCAAAAAATCCAATTCTTCTTGAAGATTCGTCACTTTATTCAACACATTTTTCAAATGCAATTCTCTTTCTTGTCGACCTTTTTGTTGTTTCAATAAATCAGCCGATTCAATCAAACTGTAACAATAATAATTACAGACCGGAGGGAAATTTAAAAAAAATAGATTTTTAATCTCGAAATTAGGTTACAATTCTACCGCGAACATGACAAAATGACCTAAATTCAAATTTTCAACAAAAAACACCAACCTCTCAATAACATCAATCTGATATTTCTGAATAAAAGTGACAGTCGAATGATATTGTGCATTCTCGAAATTCGAAGCCGGTCTTTTTTGTCGAATCAGATTTGAGATTCGAATTTTCTGATCCTCCAAACATTGCAAAGTTGTGTCACATTTCCACAAGAATTTCGAATGTTCCACATTTTCTTCGATGGATTTTCTTTTGATATTCAATTTATTTTTCAAATCATTCCATGTTGAAATTAATTTTGACACACTATTTTCAGCTCCTTTTGTTCTCAACATTTCATCAGAAGACATCTGTAATTATATTCTTTGAGATTCTAAAATTTCAGGGCGGACTATTTAATTTGTAGCACCAAAATTCTGTGATTACTGTCGTTCAAAAATTCCAAAATCCCAACCTTTTCAGCGTTTCTTTTCAAATCTCCAATATCTTTTTGCATTCCATCCAACAATCTCAGATTTTCCTCAATTTCAACCAACAATTTCTCATTATTTCCATCATTTCTTGTCAATAATTTCTCAATTTCTTCCATAATTCTCTCTTTTTCTTTAACATCCTCAAACAATTCAAAGAAATCTTTCCATTTATCAAATCTTTCCGTTCGAATTTCAGCCAATTGTCCAATATTTTCAATCAATTTTTGCATTTGTCCAACTTTTTCGTCAATTTCATCAATTTTATGGATAAGAGCAGGTCTCGATTTGTATGATAATAATTCCATTGCTCGATCAATTATTGGAATTGTTTTCGATTTTCTTCTTTCCATTTCATTTAATAATCTAACATGTGTTCGATTATTATTCTTCAGAATTTCCAAATTTTGACCGACATCACTGCTTGAAATTATAACACTCAATTCTCTGGAAAAATATATTTTTTGGAAAAAGTTTCATGTCTGAGAAAATAATAACTCACTTAAACCAACAAATTTCATCATCAATCGATTTCACAATATTTTGCATATCTTTCCAACATTCAAAATCCTCTTCTTTATCTTTAACCAATTCAATCAACAAATCTTTCTTATTCGTCACATCTTCCATTATTTCATTTATTTTCTCAATATCATTTTCAAATATTTTCGAATTATTTGATACAAATTGTCGAATATTTCGAACGTCTCCATATTTCACATTTGCTGTCTCATAAATCGCTTCCAATTTTCTCAAGAGTTTATCACAATCATTTTGTCTATACATATTTTCCGCATTCATTCCTTCAACATCTTCAATCGAATCATAAAACCATTCGAGAATTGAATTCAAATTTTGAAAAACTCGATTTCTTTCCGCTTTATTTTCCAAAAATCGTTTTCGAACTGTCACAGTTTCAACAAGTTTTGTCCAAACTGTCACGATTTTGCTAACTCTTTCCGGATCAATAAGTTCATCTGAAAAAATGATATTTTTAAAGATTTTCAAAAATAACCCTACTTTTCAAGAAATCCTCATAAATCGGTTGAAATTCGCGTATTTCAGTGAAAATTGTGTCAAAATGTTTCTGTTGTTTCTCAATATTCTGATCATTTTGTTCAGTTTGCTTGATAATTTCAAATTTGCTCTCAATCCATCCATTTACTTTATCATATTCTTCATCAACCAATAATTGAGACATTGATTCATTGAAATCAAACTGAAAATCGGATATAGTATGGCATTACAGTAACCCAAACCCAAACCTCTTTTTTCTTCAAATCATCTTCCAATTGTCTCCATTCTTCCGCAAGATTCTCAAATTTCTCTTCAACTTCAGTTCTTTCCAAACTATCCGGCTTATTTCTCAATAATCTCACAAAATCCTTCAATTCTTCGAATTCGGCTTTTCTGTTGTTCAACATTTTTTCGATTTCACTCATTTTTCGAACAATATTATTGGGATTTTGGCTATTGTTGTTATCATCATTCAAAATTCGACGTTTTGTAACAATCCAGGATTGCATCTGAAAATGTCAGGATTTTGTGGAAATAACAAAATAGGTTATTAATTCCAAACTTGCTCTTTTTTATTGACCAAAATCTGGCCCCACTTCAGAAAATTTCCAAATAGTTTACTACTTCATTTTCCCCCAAACTCACTCTATCAATATTTCTCTCCGCATGAATAATCTCCAAAAAATCAATAAGATATTCATGTTTCGAATTGATAGTTCTTGCAGCTTCTTCCAATTCCAATTCAATTTGATCTCTTCGTCGATTCAAATGCTCATCCGGTTTTTCAAGTTCACGCATCAAATTATTCACATTATTCAATTGATTGTTTCGTTGAACCAATTCTTCCCTGAAAATTGAGTTCATCAAATTTTAATTTTCAACAAAAAAGAGGGTCCTTACTTCCAAGTGCAAACTGATTCAATTGCAATTTGAACACCAAGACTATCATGAATTCCACTTGTCATTATATTGATTTCTTCGTTGAAAGAATCAAACCAATGTTCGAGGTCAATGAGTTCTGATTCAATTTCAGCCAAGAGTTTTGCATTTTCAGCTTGTTTTCGTCTGAAAATCAAGAAAAATAGGGCTCAAAATTTCGCGCACAAACCTCTCATCGACCAATTTCGCCAATTTATTCCATTCTTTGTCCAATTTCTCTTCCAAATCATAAATTTTCGGTGCCAAATCCGCATTATTCGCCTTAATTTCCTTCGACTTCTCAAAACAACCCAAAACGCGTTTTCTCAAAATCTCAATTTCACTTTCAGTTGGTTGATTTATTCTCGTCGGAACTTCAAATCTCTCACAAATCACTTGAATATCTCCAATAATATCATCAAATTCATTGCGTAAATATTTCAAAATTTGAGTTCTTTTCGTTTTTTGTCGCATTCTTTCAACTTCGAATGCAAATACATCAAGGCTGAAATTAACAACAAAAATTAGGGAAGGGAAATGGGGAAGCTCAAGCTGTTCTACTAATAAACACTGTTGGGGAGCTAAATTTATCGAGCTTTTATTTTTATAGGTACCAACTTCTGAAGATTTGAAAAAAAAAGCAGAAAAAATCTCACGTTGAAAAAGCCTCATCAATTTTCTGAATATTCGCCGGAATCGATCCATCTCTAACCAATTGACACTTCATTTCCGTCAAATTCGCTCGTTTTCTATTCAAATTCAAATCGACATCATCCAATTTATTCTCAATATCCTGATTTATTTCATCAATATTTCCATCTTTTGCGATAATTCGATTCAAAACTTTTTCATTGCTCTCAATCCATTTTTCAACATCTTGAATATCTCGATGAATTTCAGATTCTTGTACAAATTGGATCAAATCTTTTGATTTTCTTTCAATCGATCTCATCAATGCAGCATAATCACTATCGATTTCTCTTTGTTTTCTGGTCAAATCATTTTTCTAAAAGAATACAAAACAATTAATTTCAGGATTGAAATTTCCAGGAAAACTCACAAATCGATTAAGCTGTGCTGAATTATTCGAATTAACATCTCCATTCGATTGAATGAATGCATCATCCAAAAGTTTGTGCAAATTCAAAACTTTCGGTTGAAAATTGACAACTTCAGTTCGTGTATCTTCCAATTTTTTGACAAAATATCGATTGATATCCTCTTCTTCTTTCTTTTCCACCGAATCAACAAACATCATTTTTTCTCGAATCCATTCCCAAACATTTACACTTTCTTCGTCATATTCAAATAGTTTCAAAATCACTTCCAAATATCCGCCTCTTTCATCAAACATTCTTTTCATTTTGCTCCAATTTCTTTCAATATCTTCAATTATTTGAGTGAAGATTCGTGAAATCGTGTCATTTCTCTGGAAAAAAGAAGGAGTTTCGAAAAATAGATATTGTCGAATTTGAAAAATGTGGCAGCCGTAAAAAATGAAAAAAAGTGCAGAGCTGAATGAATGACAAAGTCATTACTTCGTCAGTCGCGTGCGGCTGTGCGTCGCGGTCGAAAAACAATCAATTATTTATTTTTTCCTTTGTTTTTCGGCCGCGACGCACAGCCGCACGCGACTGACGAAGTAATGACTTTGTCATTCATTCAGCTCTGCACTGTTTTTCATTTTTTACGGCTGCCACATTTTTCAAATTCGACAATAGGAAATCTTACTTTAACATCAGCAATAACATCATTGATATTTTTTCGTCGATTCTCAATCTCTTCCGATTCATTTTCATATCTTCTCGATAATTTTTGAGCAGCCAACAATGAATCGCAAAATGGTTCATCTGATAGATTATCAATTTTCAGTTTTATCCAATCATTTTGCGAATTCAATTCATTGATTTGTTCGGAATCGATGAGCATTTCTTCTGATTCTTTGATTTTTTGCTCCAAATCTTTGCCGAACGCCTGGAAAAAAATATTTGTTTGAATTTGAAAAGGAAATTATTTTTCTGAGATATTTGTTGAACTTCTACCAACCTGCAAAGAATCTTCAATTCCATCAATCAAATACATCGCCTCATCATTGGTCAAAGTTTTTTTGAAACTTTTCTTGCGATTCTCAACCGAATTCTTATATCCATTATTAATCGATAACAATTGTTTGCACAATGCAATTTTCTGTTTCAAATTATTCCATTTAATCGGCGAATCAGTTTCATCTTCATTATTCAACTTTTTAATACTTTCATCAATCCATCTTTCAACTCTTTCAACAAAATTCGAAGTTTCATCCAATTCTTTTTTCACATCATATTCATCCAATTGTGCATCTTGTTCAACAATAAGTTCTTCGATATTTTTCCGGATTTTCTCCAAATTCTCTTTGATAATATTATCCATTTGTTTTCCCCAATCTGATCGTTTCATAATATTTTTCAATAATTCGTACGTCTTTTCAGTATTCTCCAATTGTTCATAAAGTGGATCAACTCGATTTTTCGAATTCTTTAATTTCGTTTCTCGATGAATCTCGGTTTTCAAACTATGAAGAATACTTTCAGTATGTTCTTTTAATTCATTCGAATTATCAAAAAGATAGAAAACATCAAGTTTTTGAGTCAGGAAATTCTTCTTATCGCTACAAGTGTTTTTCAAAATATCCTTCATAATTGACAAATCGCTGACAAGTTCAGAAGCTGTCGGAGACTTCAAAAAAAGATTGTTTTTAATAACTGTCAAAATACAGCTTACCAATTTTTCGATATTCGGCTCTTTTTCGATATTCTCAATTTGCTCAACAACAGAAGCACATCTCAAAGCCAAACCATCATTCATAAGAAGAATTTTCTCAGTTTGTTCACTTGTCTCAGTTTTCCAATCGTTTTTCAGAACAGATACCTGAAATTAATTCTTATCATGATAAATCAATATATTAAATTTAAAAAAAAACTCACCAAATGCGAAGCTTTTGAATGTGTTTGATAAATAACTCTTTCCAAAAATATAGTTTTTATTTTATCTTCCAGAAACGCATTCACTTCAACAGATTCTTTCTTCGGAATTTTATATTCGGCTTCAACAATTCTCATTTGCTCTTCAACTTTTTTCAACCTCAATTCCTTTTTCAAGAAGAGTTTGCCCATTTTTGAAGAAACTTTCAACAACATGATCCCAAGATTCAAAATCGAAATTATTGGTTTCAACCCAAACTGCAATCTCATCACAATCCATCGAATCTTTTTGTTTCATATTTTTCAAATCCTCCATTTTTTCCGAACACCAATATAAAATATCATCGGCTTCGTGGAGGAATGTTTCGAGATCTGCTTTGTTTTCAACATCGATTTTCCATTTCTGAAAAAAAAACTAGTTTTAAAATCGGTTTTGATGGATCGGTAAAGTTTGGTGCATTTTAAAAATTCTCTCATAATCAGAATTCATCCAATTTCTTCAGAAAATTTACAAACCTCCATATATTCTTCAAACTTCTTGAATCGATTTTCAATTTTCTCCACTTTTTCCTTCAAATCTTTCCCATTTCCATCATTCTCCATCATAAATGTATCCCTTTTCTTATCTGCATCTTTAACTCTTCTTCTTGTTGTTTCAATTTCAATTTCAATAGTTTTTCGATATTTCATACTTTCCTCTAAATCCATTTCCAAATATTTCTCCTTCATTTCCTTTTCCTTATCATCAATCCATTTTTCAATATCATCTACATTTTCAACGAATTGCAATATTCTTTCATGTTCGTCCATTTCTTTTGAAATCGAATCAACAAAATTCTCCAAACCTTGCCATTCAAGCTCCAATTTTTTGAAAATCTTGTTTTCTTCATTTTTCGGCATTTCAAAATCGTGAAATATTTGTTTCACTTCATTCCACAAAACCGAATATTTTCGCATTTCTTCGAATAGAATACGATTATTGTCTGGATTCCATTGATTATTCTTAACACTTTGTATCCAATCCAAAATAACTTCACACTTCTGAATGAAATGTGAAGAATCTAATTCCCTCTGAACATCAATCAATTTCAAGTTCAACAAATTCATCAAAGCTTCCCAATCCTCTCGAAGTTTTCTCGCCGTTTCTTTCGCATTTACTTTTGCGAAATGATTTTCGTTTTCAAATTTCGACGCGGTACCTTCCAAATGACACAAGCTTTTTTCGAGCTCCATCGCTTCGCTTTTCAGTTTTCCAATGTTTTTGAAAACTTTCTTCAAGCTTTCCGAGTTGCGCGCAATCAATGTTTTATCAACAAGCTCGAAAAGTTCGCGAATTGATAAATCCAAATCTTTCGATGCTCTGTTGAAAACTTGAAAACGACAAGATTGCACCAACAACTCGCGTTTTTTCAAAGCCTCATTCTCGAAGTCGGCGAATTTTTTGAAGAACGTGCGATCTTCGAGCCTGAAAACACTTCCTTTGAATAAAATGTACAGTTCTGTTATGAGAGAAATCTTACCGTGATTTCTTCGATCATTTTTTGTTCAATAAAATCTGCATCCATATTGTTCGTTATTGTTCGTTATTTGCAACAATCTGAAATTCAAATTCGATTGATAGATGGCTTGTGAAAAAAAGAGACAATCACGCAAGGGAAACCCCCGTAAAACCCTATTTTCGTCAGGCGTCAGCGCTTCGAAAAAAAAAGAAAAAAAAACGCCAAAAATTCAAATGAGGTTGTGCGGTGTTTGCAGAAAATGCACACAAATTTAGCGCCTACAGTAATCCTAGATGTTTTTTTTATTTTTTCAGCTTTATAGAGCTGAAAATAGTTCATAAATATTTTAACCAGACCTCTATTCAAGTCGGCTAAAGAAGAAAATGAATAATTATCGATTTTTGATGCGCGCCAAACATGTAGAAACAATTTTCGCGGGTAAAACGGGGGTAGATAAGAACCCTATAAAATTGAAGCCTACCTTTTCCAAGCTGTATATAAGATAGAAATAATGTTTTTTCATACTCAAAAAAAATACACGTATCTGTAAATATTTCGTATTTAGTTCACGTTTAGGAATTCGGGATCAATGACTTATTTATTTATTCATTTCTAGAAGTTAAAAATAAGAACCAGGGAACTTTTTGAAAAGATGCCGACGAGGTCTACTGTAAATTGGCCTTCTCTTCCACGGTTCTAATATTTTTACATTGGCAAAAGTCCTTCATCGCAAACATCTTGACTGTGTTAAAATAACATATTGATCTATCTGGACGAGGATATTGTCGGCATTTTTTGTTATGGGGCTATTCAGCGATTTTCTCAACACGCTGAGAAAACGGGAAAAATGCTGAGAAAATCATTTTCTCAACCGTTTTCCTATTTTCTCAGCCTACCTGAATAAGTTTTCTCAACCATTTCAGCGTTGAGAAAAGACGTTGAATAGCCCCATTATGATATTTTATGTTGATTTGCGAGCCTCTGCATTTATTTCATTTTTTCATAAATGGTATCATCAATGATTTTTCTATTTATTTTTCTTCCCCTTTTCGTTATGTCCTCAATAAATTCTTCAATTTCCTTTTCGAAAATCCTACGAATTGTTGGCAATTTTTTGTCCAAAAATTGAACCGCGGTGGTCAAATCTTGATCAGTGATCAAGTAAACAACAGCCATACTTATTTGACTGCTCAAAATGTCGATTTGGTTTGTTGAGAAAATTGTTCTTGAGAAAAAAATTCAAAAAATTTGCTTAATGCGTTAAAAACCATTCTTTCTTCGATTGTAAAGAAGACTAAAATTATAAGTTTGAAAAATTAGAAAAAAAAACAGCTGCACCCGGTGGGTATTGAGATGGAGCTTTGCTATTATAAAACAATGCGCTAACCGACTGCGCTATGCTCAGGGAAATCAAGGCGAAATCTGGGCGAATCGCTTGCCTAAGCGCAGGCATGGCTGAAGCAGCTTGTTTTAAGCGAACCGCCTAAAATACGCTCAAATACGCTTGTTTTCGTTAGGTTTTCGCTTGATTCACTCCAGCGTCCTTCAGTCAGGCTGAAGTTGGCGGAATCAGCTTACTTGAAAAACGTCAGTCTTTTGCTGGGAGAGCGCTTTGTCAATAAACTTTCGAAATTTATTTTTGTTTTTCGAGTTTTCCTACTTTAGAGCTTTTTCAGCTTATTTCCAACCTATTTCCTGAAATTTCTTGTTAAGGTTATCGTCGATATCGTCGTGGAGGAATACAATCGCTCGTATAAATTGTATCGGTGGGTTCTTTCATATTTTTACCTAATAATAAGATTACTATGTTTTCAGGATTTTCGTCCCAATTTGTTTTCAAACATGAGATGCATTTTTGAGGGTTTCGAAAACAAATGTATGTGAGTTTGAGCATCTAAATGTCAAAATAAATAAAAAAAAATTTCAGGGCCGCCGCGTTCAAACCAGAAAATGTTGGAAAGTAGACGTTTTGAAGGGTGTTGTAGTTGTTGAACCGCCGACGATATTTGAGGTATGTAGTTTTTGTGACCCTTTGGATGAAAATTTTTCTTTCAATACAAAATATCAAGAGCCGACCAGTAGTTTGGTTCTCTCTTCAACGGCTCTTATATTTTCGGATTCAAAGAATAACTACAAAATTCACGCTATTTTAAAAAAGAAGAAGAAGAGCGTCCAAATCGAGAGAGATGACAGAGACGCAAAAACTCCCTTTAAATACAGTAGTTTTATAGAAGTTTTGTTTGTTCGTTTCGAGACATGCGTGAAAAAGACACACGCGAAGCAATAGATACAGTAGTATTACCAAAATATTTTTGTTCGTGTCGAGAAACGAGCGTCTTTTTCTCTGCGCCACTCTCTCGATTTGGACAGCCAAAAATAGCGTGAATTATGACAAATTTAGAAAAAAATTCATAAATTTTCAAGCTGTGAAATTGGCCGAAAAGTGCTTTTTTAGAAAACATATAATTAGGGGCTTCCTATGAAATTTCATTCCAAAAATATTTCTAAAAATTAGAGAATTCCCATAAGTAAGAAAAACCCAAGGAAAATTCGTTATTTTTAAAATTCAAAATATTACAGGAAAATCATTTCGCGAAACTGGATGAAAACGTTTGAGCGGCTCATAATGCAAAATCGACATGCTCAGTCCAACGATCAAAGTTAACAATGATGGGGGGAATATCGAATTTAGTAATTTTTCGATTTTCATTGTATCCATTCATTGTTTTTTTCCTATTTCTTTTCTTTTTCATTTTAAATCTTTTATTGTTGTTGATTACTTTCATTTTTCCAACATAAATATTCCTCATTCTGGCAACCTAAATTTTGACCAAGCGTAATATAAGCGAAATTCGCCATCTAAAATTCCCAATACGCTCAACTGCAAAGCGCAAACCAAGCGAAAACAAGCGACAATAGGCTGAAGCAGCTTTTCAAAAAAAGCTAATTCGACGCGGCTCAGCGCCTGATTAGCTTAAATTCGTCCGCTGATTTCGCCTGGCGTTCCCTGAGTGGGTGCCGCCTCTTCCATTAGTACAGCCCTCCCTTGTTAACCAACGCGGCACAGCAGAGATGCAGAGAGAGAAAAAGAGAGAGACACACACACACACAGCGCTAGCAACCCGACTTTCGTTTTTTTTAATTTTTGCATTGAAATTTTTCTGTGTTTGTTTCGAGATTTTTTTCTCCGGTTTTTTGGCGTAATCTCGATCTTTTTTCTGAATTTCAGCAGCTGGAAATTCATCGAAATCTGGGGTTGATTTTTCGCCTTCCGGTTTGAATTCGAATTTTGGCTGTTGTTGTTGTTGTTGTTGCTGTTGGGAGTTCTGCTGTATGACCTATTTTCAGGCCAAGAAAATCGTAATGAATAATTTATGTTTCTTCTTTTTGAAAGTAATAAGTAAGGCAAGAGAATACCCAATGATAATAAATAAATTAAGTTGTGAACCGTCTAGTAACAACAAATGTAAACCAATCCCTTTCAGCTAAAATTCGGCTAATTGAAGTATTCATTCGAAGAAGTTGAGCAACAATCTCTGGGAAATAACATTCTTCGGTTGATCTTTTATTGCGACAAGTTTCACAATCAACGCAATGTGAATCGATTTCAGCAATGATTTTCTGAAAAATTATGATTTCTTTGGAAAGATTTTGATTTTCTTTTTAAAAAAAAATTAGCACATGAACTTTTGGTGCCATACTTAATCTTACACAATTTTCTTGACTTCAAAAACATTCAAAAATTTACCTTTGCTGGTTCATTTCTCCATTCTTCCGATTGAGAAATCGTTAAAACTTGTCGATCAATTTTCGTTCTCCAATCCTCCCTGATTTCCACACTTTCCGATACTTGTGGAACATTAAATCGAACTCTTTTTGAAGATTGCGATGAAATAATCGATTCATCATCATTGAAATCATAAAGACTATCTCTTTCAACATCTTCATAATTATCCCATTGGCCACTTCGAACATATCTGAATCGATATTGTGGATGAATCAAATCTCCTGGATAAACTTCATTCAATGCAACCCAAACATCATCAAATTCATAATGAGTGTTGGCGATTAATTCAGGAAAACTTGGCGGTGTTGCAATCATTCCAAAAATCTCATGAAACAGACAATTTGGCAAATATTTGTTTGCATGCACTTTTGGAATTCGATAATAAGTTTTGCGATTTTGAATTTTCTTGACTTCGAAAGCCGGAACTTTTGTATCAACAGCTATGTTGGTGATTTTCCAGTCCTGAAAAATTAGGGAACCTTTTGAAATTTGCCAAAAAAAGTTACCGTTCCATCGAAATTTGCAGATACTTTCACAACACTTCCAATTTCAAATTTATCCTTTTCTTCACTTGAAATTCGAATATCAAAATATGGCCATTCACAGAAAAACACTCTTCCTCGATTTAAAACCAATCCAATTTTATTTTCAAATTTCATTTCATCAATTTTCACTTCCTCAATTTTCTTCTTCTTTTTTATCATCAATAATTTCAGCCACATAATATCGAGCTTTTCCATTCAAACTTGGTGCTCCACTAATCAACGCAACAGCCAAACCGCTATTCGAATATTTCGAAAAATACCATTTTTCCAACACATTTTCGGGGTCGTCTAAATAAATTCCATAAAATTCACAAAAAACGAATCCTGGCACTTCTGGGCATTTTTTGATTGTGACACGTAGTTTATCCTCGTGGGTTCCTTTTAGCGCTTTATTTTCAATTTTGAATGTGATAATTGCATAAAATCCGAGAAGTTCGAGCAGGCGAGCATTGATTTTGACAGAGGTACCTGTAGACATTTTTTTAGTTTATGTCACGTTGATTTTGAAGATGGAAAAACGATTTATGCTAGAGAAAATCATTATTATTACTGTAGCGTGAAAAAAAAATGTTTTTTCCCATCAAAAACTTTGGGCCAGATTTTTTTTTAAATAAAACTTTTCCACGTAGTTTTGATGATATAATGTTTTTCTACAACGTTACGATTTTTCCTCAGCTCTAAAAATATTGCCACGTGGATTTTAGAAGTTATATTTTTGATACCAAACAATTTGGGTGCAAAATTTGCCACGTAGATTTTTTTTTTGCGCTAAATTTGATTTTTCAAAAATTTTCAGGATTTTTAATGTCAAATTTTCAAAATAAAATTTTCCACATGGCTTTTGTGCTGAAATTTTCTAATCTTTAAAAACCCTACCAACTGGTGGAAGTTTATCCTTTTCCGAAATCACAACTTTTTTGAATGCAGTTTGTGTATTTGTCAAAACCAACACATCAGTTTTCGATATAACAATTGCCTCAACTCCGCAAACTTCCAAAGGTTGAATTTTCATTGGATTCCTCACTCCTGGTTGTCTATCCAATCCTTGATATGAGTGCAGATTTATGCTTCGAAGATTTCGATTATCGGCTTCTCGATACCATGGCTGAAAAAATTTCTGAATTATTAAAAAACAAAAAAAAGTTTTTTTTTGAACCAGAATTTGGAAGAATCTCAAAAAACCCACAGTTTCTCTCACAATATGCTGCAAATCATCGGCAATATTCACAAATTCAAACAATTTATATTCCAGTAATAAATCCTGGAAAAAATCAATAATCATTTTGAAAAAACAAATTTTTCAAAGATGAAAAAAACCAACCGGTAAAATTTGTAGTGTCACCCAACATGTGATAGCAACATCCGGAGTCACATTTTCTTGCAATGTCAGCGCTGCAAAATTTTTGGGTTGGAATAAAAATCTAATGTTATCTAGAGAAACTCTAGCTACAGTATTTTGAAGAAATTTTATTCAAAAAAAATAGTGGCTACAGTAACCTCATCTAATGTATTCCAAAACTGATACAACTTGATCTCAAAATTTCAAGCTACAGTAACTTGATTTGTATCCAGAAAATTATCACATTCGACTCCGATTGTTTAAATTATGACTACAGTATCCAGAAAACCTACAGAAATGAAATGACAAAAATGAGAGGGCTTTCGAAAAAGTAAACGTTTTCAAACTAGGTCACGTTTATTTATTTTTTAATGGTATAAAAACCGGGAGTCCGTCGGATTTCGTCAGTTTTTAAACGAAAACACGGAGGAACTGTGGAAAAATGAAAGCAAAAGTGCAAATATTCAAAATTCTCTCAATTTTATGTGCATTTTTATTGCAACATGTCTCGGCTGAATGTAAGACATGTAAGTTGTGATAATATGAAATCACATGGGTATTCGTAAATTTCCAGATCCCAATGGCACTAATGTACCTTGCAATTATGATTTTCAATGTGAAGTTGGATTCATATGTAATAACAATAATTACTGTTGTACTCGAGATCATCCTAGAATCGAGTGCAAAAACCAGAACACCTTCAAAACTCGATGTCAAACTCAAGAAATCGGAACTTCTGCTTTATTCTGTATTAAAGACAATAAGTGTAATGAACCGAAGCGAAGTGATCGGAAAATTCGATATTGTTTTGATGGTGTAACACCGTGGGAAAATGAGCCAGAATGTACAGTTATCGATAATATTCGATTTGTATGTGAATATTATGTGAAAGATCGAAGAACTCGTGGAACTTGTCGATTTGGGCATTGCTGTCCGAAAAGTAAGTCCTTTTAATCGTAAGCTCAAGTAAACTGAATCTGAATTTCAGGACGTGTACACTTGAAAAAACCCATCTTATCCGACCACAGCTATCTAACAAACATCGATTGTGATTATTCTCTCCCACTCCAACCCATCTATCAATACGCATTCTGCGAAAAACCCGCCGATCCTACCACTCAACCCGGCAAAATTTGGTTGCTCGGACAGAAAGCGCTGGATTCTGGCGAAATTTTGGGCGAAACCCCGCAGATTTGTCGAACATCAGCCGATTGTGCGATGGAGCGCGTTTGTGTGAATTTGATGCATGGCGTGAGGATTTGTATGTTTGACACGGATCATGAAATGAATCCGGTCAATGGGAAGATTCCGTTTTATGATTTGAGCAAGATTCAGGATTGACTTTTTGTGTGAGAGGATAATAAATGTTTTTCAAAAAGAAGAGTAGATTATTTTCAGGACTAGAAAATAGGATTTGGATTTCTAGTCCCCATTTTTTTTTGATAACTCGACCCTTCTGAACATCGTGCTGTACTCAGTTTTTGATAAAATCTTTACGAGCATGAGATATGGGCTCTCAAAAACGCAAAAATTCTCGATTTTTCGGATAATTTTTGAGCTCCTCTTAGAGAACCCATATTAACTACAGTAGTGCAGTAAACAAAAATTATTCAATTTTTGTATTCAAACCAGAAGGGCTCCGCCGGCTAACGCCGGCTTCTCCTTCTGGATTGTCCCGGCTTCGCGCGTAGTTTTCTTTAGGTATAAAGTTTTTCGAACGGTTTGATTCTTCAAAACCGTATGGTGATTCATGGAACGTGCAAACTTGAACATTTTCATCTATGAAAATAACTTGCAGACTTTTCATAAAGATTGCCATAAAGTTTTGGAATCAATGGTTAGGAATCATTTTCGAGAAGTGATGAAATGAATTTTAATCCAAAACTTCATAAAATTTTGGAATTTTTCGTTTTCATTTTTGAATAACTGTAAACGCGAATCGATTGACTGGGCACAGTGTGTAATTTACTACCCGAAATCGCTAGACTTCAAAATTTTCAATGGTTTTTGGGGTAGATCAAAAATAATTTTTCCCTAAATTTTTCATTTTTGCGTTGATTCCACCCCTGAAAACCCTGTCAGGGATCAAAAAATGCGCGAAATTGTTGGGTAGTAAATACACCGTGTGCTGGGTATTTGCAGAAAACTAAATACTCTTCAGAAAATTTTAAATAAAGCTCAAAAAAGATGCCGATCCAAAATTTATAGAAAATTAAGTTCTGTGTGACATTTTTTACTTCAGACTGTAAGTTTTTAACTTAGATTTTTGAATTCAAAATTCAAGTTCGAAAAATATTGTTTCCTTCTTCTTTGAAGACTGTTCTATTTTCTTGAAATCTCTTTTTCAATGCCTTTTTTCCCTATTTTTCCTGTTCAGAACCGATTTGTATAGTTTTGAAGTTCAAAAAACAAAAGTGCAGAATCTACGGAATCCATACGAAATCTCATAGAAAACTGTTCGGATCTGAACAGAAATTTTTAGAGGAAAAAAGATGGGGTTTGATTTTTTAAGCCTAAAATCCTATGCAAATGTTTCTTTCATAAAACTTCTGAAAAGTGGATTCCGAGATGAATTTTTATCAGATACTACCTCAGAAGCTTCAAAAACCTGGATTTGTCATCATTTTTGGCTGAAGAATTCGAAAATCTGATTTTTAGTTAGTGAATGAACCCTTATGAAATATTTAGAGAAAGATAATTTTTGATCTACCCCAAAAATTATTGAAAAATTTGAGACTTAGCTATTTGGGATAGTAGTAAATCACACACGGTGTCCTCTTTTTTTCATTCAAACTCAAATTTGCTACATCTTAAAAAAAACAAACTACAAAATTTCGAGAAAATTTATCTAACATGTACTTTTCTCCAGTGCTTCTCTGGCTTATTTTCTATGTTCAATCTGAAACTTTGTCGTGGAAGAGAGAATCAAAATACATCTGACTTCATCGTCCTTTCATTATTTTTGTTGAGAGAGGAAATGATTAGTTTTCTCGGTCAAATCGGTTCTCTTTCAAGGCTTACAAAATTTCGGATTGTTAATAATTGCTTGAGCTTAACTATATTGATACTCCCGAACACATCAAAACTCACTATTAAAAAATTCACATCGAAGCCTTTACTTCTCTTCTTGTGAGAGAAATTATTCAATATCTGAAAGTTCGAAAAAATTTTGAATTTATCTACAGTAGTTTGACTCACTTTATTTAAATTTATTTTTCAAACCGATTAGTAGTAGAGTAATAGCGAGAAATGATTAAAAATGTCCCGCTATAACTGAGCAATAAAAAGATCAGATAAGAGACGTGACCTAGCCATTTTTTCTGATTAAAAACGTGCTCATTCTTTTTAGCACGAAAAAGTTTTGATTTTTCACATGAAAACTCGCGCACTTTTTGAAAAATCGAATATTAGCGCCTCGATGGGAAAGAATTTGGGATAGAATAGTGAAGGTCCCATCAAAAATGGTCTTCTGGAAATTGAGAAAAGTCGAGCGACACATTTTAAATCCGAAAAATACATTGAGATTTTCAAACTTTTCATTCTCCGCGCACTCACATACATTTTGAGAAAGAACTAGAAGGGCTTCGCTGGCTAACGCCATCTACAGTAGTTTGACTTACTTTTTTCTGATTAATTTATTCTCTAGTTAGGAGAAGGGGAACATCGAGAAATGACTAAAATTATTCGATTTTGATTGAGAAAGTAGAACGATCAGATAAGAAACGTGGCCTGGAATTCAATTCGAATAAAAACGTGATCATTCTTTTTTACATGAAAAAAGTTTTGAATTTTCACGTGAAAACTCGCGCACTTTGTAAAAATTCGAATATTAGCGCCTCGATGGGAAAGAATTTGGGATCGAATGGTGAAGGTCCCATCAAAAATGGTCTTCTGGAAATTGAGAAAAGTTGAGCGACACATTTTAAATCCGAAAAATACATTGAGATTTTCAAACTTTTCATTCTCCGCGCACTCACAGGCATTTTGAGAAAGAATGAATAGGAAGCGCATCGAGCTGCCAACATTTAGAAACTTTTTCTTTTTTTGATCATCAATTTTTATGCGCACAGTTTTGAGAACGGGTCCCGGACATACTATTGCCAAAAAAATTTTCCCAATTAGTATATAGTAGATAGTAGATGAATAGGATGCGCACCGAGCTGCCAACATTTAGAAACTTTTTCTTTTTTTGATCATCAATTTTTATGCACACAGTTTTGAGAACGGGACCCGGACACACTATTGCCAAAAAAATTTTCCCAATTAGTATATAGTAGATAGATTTCTAGGTTAAAAAAATCCATAAAACCTTCATCTCCCAAAAAAACTCACGTATAGTCAAACACGGAAACTTGGTGGTCCAAAAAACGCGTCGATCTCTCGATACAACTCCAGTCAACAGAATTTGCGTTTTTCCTTCATGAACCCGTGTTTCGAATAGTTTATCATGAGCAATTGCATAATCATTTGGATAAATCACAGTTTGCACATTTCCCATCTCATATTTCGACCATTTCAAAAATGTGCCAAAATAGAGAGGTTTCGGCCGAAATTTTCGTCTGAAAATGATCCAAAAATGGAAATAAAATACTTTCAAAAAAAAAAAACAAAATACCTTAATTCCAATTCTTCTTCATTCCCGGCATGCATAATTGGATTCATTTGTTCAACTGAAATCAGATGGAAATCCCTAGGACTTCGATAATTTACATCAAGATCGAGAACAAGTGGAGTTGGATGATTGGCAAGATGATTCTCATCTGTTACTATAATTCCGACCACCATTTTTTGTCTGGAAAACATATGACTTTTAAGAGAATCTCAAACAAATTACGTGGAAATTGTGGATAAAATTTTGCAAACAATTATTTTTTGTTACGCGTGGAAACTCAGAAAAACCTCAAACTTTTCAAAAACACAACACAGAGAAATATTTCTATCTCATTTTTTTCGAAAAGCTTTTTCGCTAGAAAAGCTTGAGATGCGCTCTAATGATAGAAAATATATATTGTTCAAAAGAACTACACAATTTCTTTTTTTTTTCAATTGACAAAAACTATAAAATAAAGGCTAACAAGACAACTGAAAACATACCTCGGCCAATCTGTGGCTGGACAGGGTACAATTTTGAAAAAAAAAATTTGAATTTCAGTTTTTAGAGGTCAAAAACTGAAAAATTCATAGTTTTCATACTATAAAAATTTAGGGTCCATTTATTTTTTTTATTTTCAAACCACGATTCTGGCCGAGGTGTGAGTGAAAATTTAAATTTTGCATCAATTTTGTGTTGAAAGAATTTCCGAGTTCAGATAAATCTTCGATTTTCGCGCTTTCCCGGAATTCCGACACATGCCTGGATCATAATAATCTTCGGAAATCCGACACCCTTTCTCCATTTCCCAAATGATCTTCTACACATCTTCTGTTCTAGTTTTATTACTTCCCAAAAAACCTAAAATCTATTCAAAAAACACAATTTTATGCCACGTGATTGACAAGTGTTTGTAAAATATTATGATGGTGTCAACAGGTGGGACAATAGGAATAAAGAAACACCCGACACTTTCACATCAAATTTAACGGGTGTCAAAATTGGCACCATTGGAAATGGGCGGGGCCTACGTGGTGCAACGCTGTGATTGGCTGATGAAATGGGCGGAGTTCGGGGAATGGTGTGTATAAAAGAAGAGGGCTGGAATGGATAAATCACCATTCTATTTTAACTAGAATACTCAAGCTAATATGAACAATCCAACCGTCCGTGCAGCTCAAATTCAAATCAAGGTTCTTGATTTGGAAGATGAGGTTGAATTCTTGAGAAGTGAGAATATTATGCACAAGGATGAGAACGAAGATCTCACAGCTCAATTGGAAGTTCTTAAGAAGACCAGTGAGAATGAAAAGGTTAGTTTTTAAAATCATTTCTAGATATTTCATAAACATATTTTTTCTCTTCAGATCGAAGCTCTTGAAGACCAATCAGCTGAACACGAAGAAGCAATCTTCGAACTTCGCCAAGATCACAAAAGCAAAACTCTCGACATAGTTATGTCAAGAGTTCTCGATGAATTAACATCTGCTAGAGTTCCTGAAGCCAGAATTCAGCATTTTCTGAAGAAGAAACGAATGATCGAAGCAGAAATCGCTGATGTTTTGAATGTTTCCGAAAGGCGGCCAAACAAAGTTGGAAAGCGAAAACTTCAGCGAGAATTCCAGCGGCGAAATGAGCAACATCATGAAGAAGTTAGAAAAGTGAGAAATGAGGAGAGAGAAAAAATTCGAGAAGATGTGCTTTGGGAGGCTGAGATTCATCGCGAACTCAATAAGGTGAGTAATTTGAGAGCTTCGGGATTCTTTTCAATTTTAATTATCAATTTTTTAAAGGCGAAACGTCAAAGACTCGAACATCTCATCGAAGTTGCAACCTACGAGGAGCAACAGAGAGCAGCTGAGCGTGCTCGAATTCGAGAGCAACAACGACTAGAAGAGGAAGAAGAAGAAGAAGAGGAGGATTCTGAAGATGAATTTGCTGAAAGTGAAAGTGACGCTGAATTTGAAGATGAGGATATCGAAGTTGTCTAATTTATCTAACTATTCATTAACTTTTGTATTTTTACACCCAATTGTTTGAAATAATTATCCAAATGGTGATTTTTCTGTGATCTCTCTTTCTGTGATCCCTTTCTCTCTATCTGATATAACATTGATAAAATAAAACATTAAATAATATAAATCGTGTGTTAACGATCATTAAAATATTCAGAAAAAAGTTTTAAAAATACAATTTTTATATGAAATAAAAAAAATTAGTCGGATTACTTATCGTGAATCCTTTTCAACTTCCGAAGTTGATTCTTTGCTTTGATCATTTGTTGGTAGATTGAGCAAATTCCGAAGATTATATGATCTTTCGATTAGTCGCAGAATTTCATCACAATCTCGGCGACCTGGAAATCATTTTTGGGTGAAAATTGGAAATTTGGATTTTTGGGTGAAAATTGATTTCGGTGATATATTTTTCATTTTCAGTCGAAATTGTTCAGTGTCACCGTAACTTATCGACGTTACTGTAGATAAGATTTGAGCTACAGAATTTTATCGCAAAATTTAGAATCTTGAAATGATTCATTATCGCGCTAAAACAATATGGCAGGTTTTACATACATATTTTAAGAGCCAGAATATATCCCTGATAAAAATGTTCTCCCAAAAAACCCACATCTTTCAGCAAGTGATCGTTCCATACTAGTTGCATTCATTGTTTCCGTCGCTTTTTCCAGAACCTCATTAATTTTCCGTTCGAAAATATTTGTATGAGAAGTCTGGAAAAAGGGAATTTTTTAATCCAAATTTCAAATAATTCCCAATAAACCTACCTTATTCATCTCACTATTATGATAATTCTGGTGTTTAAATTGATACAAAATCGGTGCAAATTTCGCTTCAACCGCCATCATTGTGCATTTCATAATCGATTCTCGTTCTTCTCGACAAATTCTTGAAATCCTTTCATTTTCATCAATCAACATATAACCCTTCAAACATTTTCATTGAGAATGAGATTTTCTCAAGTTCTTACCGCTTCCCGTTTATATTTCGCATATTCTTCATCTTTGATTTTCACAATTTTTTGAAATTTTTCAACGTCACCTTCAAGTTTCTTGATTCTTTCTAATTGTACATTCTTCTAAAAATAAATTAAATCATTTTTAGTTTTGGGGCCCAAGAGTTATTTCAAATTTCAGTGTGATCTTCAAAAATTTCAGTGTCAACCTACAAACCTCTTCTTTCAATCGCTCAAGTAATAATTTCGCTTCAACTTCTTTTTCAATTATTTCCCTCATACTTTTCTTATCCTCATTCATCTGTTTTTGCATATCTTCCATTCTTTGAATCTGAAATGTTAGTATTGTTTTCACATGCATTGTAAAATACACCTAATTCTACCTGTTTTTCAAACGAAAACTGTCCATAATCCCGATTTTTTCGAAATTCCATATTTTCTTCAGTCAATCGAAGATTCTCCATTTTCATAACTCTGTTCTGCAATTTTCTTTACTTATAAATATCTTCCAGTTGATAAATACCTCAACTTCTAATACATGTTTCTCAAATTTCAAGCTATTGATAATTTCCTCGATTTCTTTTTCCTTTTGACTTTGTACATTTTCAATTTCATTTTCTCGAAATGATCTGAGAACTTCATCAATCGCCAAAACATCTTGAGTTTCTGTCGCTTCATTTTCCTGAATTTTCAAAACAAATCATGTCTAAATCATAGTTTTCAAAAACCTTTTCTCTCTCCATTATTTCATTCTCCATATTATTGATCACGGTTACATCCTAAACAACGACAATATCTAAAATAGATACAGGGGTACTTACAATTCACAGGTGCCTAAATAATATTCATCTCAATACTTTTTTATAATAGAAATTTTCCAATTTTTTTCAGAAAAACAAAAATGTAGGGTATTTAAAGGGTGGGATAAGAGGGAATGTTGCAATTGATCATTTTCAATTTAAAACTTTCTGCTGATTTCAAATGAAAATCAAATTTTTTGCTCTATTTTTGCTGACTCATTGTCACTAACGCTAGAACTTGATTCCATTCGTTTTCGTTTTCTATCATTTTTTGATTTATTATTTTTCCGATTTTTTTCGTGAATCATTTCCATCAGAAGATGAAGAAGCATTTGAAGATGAAGATCTGAAAAAATAATATTATGAATCGAAAAAGAAAAAATGTATTTCTAACCTGGCTCTGGCTCTCCGAACTGTTCTTTCATCATCGGAATATGTTGCAGATCTACTTCTAGATCTTGTAGAAGATCGTCGTCTACGAACTCGGGTTTTTGAGGGAGATCTGGAAAATGAAGGGATTAAAAATAGAGTTTTGAGGCAAATGAGAGTTTGAAAATAATCTTTCCAAGAATACGTTTCAAAATTATTTGAGTTTCAAAGGATTGTGCTGTGAGCTAATTCGAAGCATTCAGTTGGATAAATTTCATGAGGTTTAAAAATATGATGAAGAACTTTATCCAACTTAGAAAATCAGAATGTTTGCTTTGAATCATGCAGAATTTGAGCTCCTCGTGAAAATAGCTCCAAATCCTTACCTTTCTCTCCTCAATCGATATGGCGATGCCGAGTTCGATTTTGATCGTGATCTCGATTTCGAGCGAGACCTTCTACGATATGTGCTTCTTCCATTTCTATAATTCGACGCACTTCTCTCATTCCGTTGATAATCATTTCTTCCATTCCCACGCCATGCACTACGATTGTCATCTCGATTTGAAGCGTATCTGCAATAAAAATCGATTAATTTCAGAAATTTTTTGAATTCCTTAAATTCTCACCCATCAATTACCATTTTATTCATTTTTTGCCTAAAAATTTTAAAAAAACTATTATTTGGAAAAGAGAAAAAAAACGGAAAGAATGAAAAATATAAACAATTTGGTATAAGCAACGTATGATAGATAGAAAATTGTCTACAAAATTGAATTAACGACCATTTGGAATGTGAGAATGATCGTTATGTTTTTATAACCGAAAATGCGAAAATCTCGAGAATTGTTGTGTGTTTGTGAAACATTGGGAAACTATTTCAGACAAAGGGAAATTTTTTAAACTAATGATTTTTTTTTTGAAAAATTATGTATAGGTTATCAAAAAGATTTTGAATATGAGTTATGACGTGGCAAATTAGATCAAATCAAATCGAATAAGCGTGATTTCAGAATACATAAGAATTTTTTTTTTGAAATTTTTACACTTTCATAAATTCAGAATTATCAAAATTTGAAGACGAAATTAGAATGCTGAGAATAGTCAAATTTTGCCACGTCATGAAATATTTCTAATTTCAACTAATCAAAAATCCAACCTGCTACGTTCACTGCTATTTTCTCGTCGCCTTCTCACAATACTTTCAGGAATATATCTTTCTCCTCGTTCTTTTTCCTTATTTGGCAATGCTGGTCGATTTGTTGGAACTGATAAAGTAGTAGAAGCTGGTGTCGTAGATAAGCTCTTTTTCTCGTCATTTGGAGTGCTTTCTCGATTTTCAACCGTCAATCCTTTCGCTTTTTTGAATGATTTCATTTGCATTGCCAATAATTTGCGCTTTTTCTCTTTTTCGATTTCAGCTTCTGATTTTTCGACAACTTTTGGTGGTTGAGAAGGTTGAGTATGAGAATCTTGACCAGGCGAGTAATATTGATCCTGAAAAAAATAATTTTATCTTTTAAAAAAGCTTGGGGAGCCTCGGAGAGGATCATGGTCCCAATAGTTGTCATAGAAACCTAGATGTTTCCCCCCCAAAACTAACATAATATGAGTTTCTATATGCTTCGAGGATCTGTTCATTTTGAGCCATCTCCTCATAATAATCTTTGGAAAATGTTTGTTGTTGTCCATAAATAGCCGCAGTACATTGCCATTGTTGATATTCTTCTTCAGTCATTGGTGTCATTCCATCATCTCCGCCAAGATAAATCAGCGGATTTCCTCGAGAATCCACAGGAAGATCAGGTTCGCCTGCAAATAGTTATCACATTATTAATAGCAGAAAAAATTAATCAAAATACCATTTTCTTTGAATGGAACTATCGCATTTCCATAGATTGTGCATGGTGGAATTGGTTGACCATTCGGTCCTTCGGGAAATATAACTTTGTCATTAATATCTCTTGGAAATACCGCAACACCTAAAAACAATCAATAATTATAACAAGACTAAAAACTGGCGTTTCACTTGTGGAAATTTCAATTCAAGATAGGCAAAGAAGACCCAAAACAGCCGAAGACTCGCTAAAACTTTAAAAATGTTGAATGGATTGATCTTCTTAATTATTTGATACCTTAGTTTCCAGTCGATTCCTCAAGTTCACTAGCAAAAAAAGTAATACAGTGCGTTTCATAATGATAGGTTCACCCCCAAAATTTCTGAAATCAGCCGAGGTGTGAGTTGTAATAACAATCCGAGTTAAAAATAAAAAAGAGCACACAAAATTAGCTAAGAAAACTCAATTTTATCTGAAACTACCAAATAATAAAAAAATAAATGACCGGAGTTCAAAAATTTCAAAAATTTAGCGTTTCAAAACGATAGGTTCACCTAATCCAGAATTCCCATTGGAGACATATAATCGAAAATCAATACTTAGTTGGACCTCCATGTTTAGAAATGACATCATAGAGACGATTTGGCATCGAGTCAACAAGTCTCTTGAGGTAGTTCTTATCGATTTTATTCCATTCCGTCTCGATGGCATCTTTGAGTTGGTCCACAGTATCATATTTTTTTCCTTGAGCATAAACTCGGCGAACGAGCTCCCCCCATACGTTTTCCATCGGATTAAGATCAGGAGAACACGCTGGCCAATCCAAAACTTTGATTTTGTGGCTTTTGAACCAATCTTTTGATGATTGGCTGACGTGGATGGCAGCATTATCCTGTTGAAAAGTGAACTTTCTGGTCCGGAACCGCCTCAAATATGGCAAAAGATAGTCATGGAGGGTTTTTTGGTAATCTAACGAATCCATCTTGAATGAAACAAAAGCTATTTTTAACGTTCCAGCTGCAGAAAATGCGCCCCAACACATAACCCGTCCTCCTCCAAAATTTCTCTTTGGGAAGCGAAGTTGATCCTTTCTGATATCATGCCAGTATGAGTTGTAACCATCCGGACCATCAAGATTAAACTTTTTTTCGTCAGAAAAAATTATCTGAACAAGAAAACATCAATATTTGATGTTTTTAGAAAAATTACTTACCTTATCCCAATCTGTGGCCATGTTGGCTTTTGCGAAAGTAAGACGGTTGTCTTTGTGGCGAAGTGTGAGACGCGGAGCTGGCACCAATTTGGCTCGAACGATTTCTGGGGATTGGTCTATGGCTCTCCAAACTGTAGTCTTACTGATATTCAAACCCAGCTCGTTTTTGATGTCATTACACGATTTCATTGTGTTCGAAGCCAACCTAACAATCCCTCGTTTATCTCTCTCCGTGAGTTTTTTGGGAGCTCCAGTGTTTTTCATTCGCTCATAGTGATCCGGATTGTTGACAAATTGATTAATACAGTTGAGAGATCGTTTCAATTTTGACGAAATCATTCTATTGGACCATCCGGCGATTTTGAATGCTCTAATTTGAGCTTGTTCCTCTTTTGTAAGATGACTTCCCCGCGACATTGATGAATGACGTGAAAAAACGAGAACAAAAACAGAAACACGTTAAAATAATCAAATATCACTCGTATTTTCCAGAATATTCGATAAAACTCCTACCACGAAACATAACTACAGTACTACTGCGGGTGAACCTATCGTTTTGAAACGCTAAATTTTTTGAAATTTTTGAACTCCGGTCATTTATTTTTTTATTATTTGGTAGTTTCAGATAAAATTGAGTTTTCTTAGCTAATTTTGTGTGCTCTTTTTTATTTTTAACTCGGATTGTTATTACAACTCACACCTCGGCTGATTTCAGAAATTTTGGGGGTGAACCTATCATTATGAAACGCACTGTAATTCCACGAAAATGTCAATAGTCTAAATACTTACCGTTTGAATCGATCGGAACAATCGCACGGCCATCTTCTCTTTTCGGAAAAATTGGTTTTCCATTGTCATCAACTGGAAAACATGGCTCACCGTGAAAATCAAGAGGAAATAGAGGTTCCTTGGTTTTTTCATCAACAGGGAAGATCTGAAATAATTAAAATACATTGTGATTATGAAAAGCAAAATAATAAATCTTCAAACCTTATCTCCATTTTCTGTCCGTGGTAGAATAGGTTTTCCAGGTTTATCATCATTCATTGGAAAAACTGGATGACCATCTTTATTAAAGCTGATATACGTTGGAGGACTAGGCAAAGTTACTCCAATACTGAATTCTGCAAAAAAAAACAATTTCAAAATGATGATATAAATCCCAGAAAACCAACCATTGTCTTCGAGCCATCCATCGGAAAACCACTCAAATTCTTTTGTGGATCTGTCCAATTTATAAAAATAACCCGAAATGTCTTTGGCAAAAACAGCATTTCCTAATACATAAAACATATACCCATTATTGATAGTTTCACAAACATTTAAATCTTCCCGTGAATACCTCGCATTTTCATCTATCACATCATCTTTGATATTATTTATATTTGGATAATCACTAGCTTCTGGTTTTCCATATCCTGGCACAGCCATCTGAAAAACAAGAATATATTGTTGAAGTATTCGGTTTTTATGAGAAATATAAAAAATCACCTGTTCCTCAACGATTTCTTGACTATCATCTTGTTTTTCAGTTGTATCCATTGCTCTTCAAGATTCCAAGAATCTGTGAATAAATAGAAAATGAATCAAACGAGCGTTTTTCGAAGTACAAACGCGTGGCAAAATGGAAAAAATTAAAAATAAAAGTGGGCGGGGCCAAATTAAACAAACGCACGCACTTTTGCAAACACCCCGCATAGTTAATTTTTTATTTTTATTTTTTGTTTGGTGCACGCAAAAAATTAATTTATAGTGACGAAATAGCATGCAAGGAGAAACCACGAAGAAGAGGAAATTTTCGGACGAAAAACAGACAGGTGATTCAATTGAAATTCGAAATTTTGTTCCCAAATTCTTTCGGCTCATTTTTTTTTGAAAAATGAAATGTCAAAAACTATACTCACTATTTCCTGTCGATAAAAATTTTAAAAATGACATTTTTTGGAAATGATAAATGATTGAGAGGTCAGATAAGAATGACGTGGAATTTAGAATCACATTTCATTGATGTTTTTTTGAATTTTTAATCAAGAGCTCTAGAGTTCAATATTCGTATTTCCAGATTCAATTTCTTTAATTGAAAAAAATACTCATGTATTCATCAAAACATAAACCCAGAGCCATTTCATTTTCCTTCCTTCCATCTGCGTCTCTCAAATGTCATTTTCTTTTTTCCCAGCCGGCGTCTTCAAAAACCAACAAAAAATTGAATGAAATGAAATGTCGTGCTTTCTGGGTTCTCTTTTTCTCTCCGCTTTTTTTTGCTTTTATATCTGATTTGATTCTTTTTAGCTTACTCATACATAGTTATTGTTATTTATTATTATGAAAGATTTTTGAAAAAAAAACGAATTTGGAAATATTACGAATATTAAAAAAATATTTTATTTCATTTTCAAAACAAAAATTGATGACAAAAATCGATGACTGTATAACCACCTGATGTCTCCTGCAAAAAAAACTCGATGAGTAATGTTGACAAATTCGAGTTTTGCGCATTGTTCTCTCAGCGTCTCCAAATTTTCAATTATCTCTAGTTTTTTTCATTTTTAATGATTCATTTTTTTGTTATCATCAGATGTTTTGTTCGAATAATATGTAATTGGTATTTCGAAATGTTCTTCTTCTTCTTCTTTATTTTTTATCAAATTTATTCTCCGGATCCGGCTAATAGGAGTAATTTCCCGTTTCCACCCACAAATCCATTCACTTCCATGAAAAAAAAAAAAATAATTTCTTATCACATGCATTTTTCGCTGCTCGCTGTCACTTATCGATTTTTTCTCATTCTTCATTTTTCTTTCGAATTAATTTTTTTTCATTTTCATTTCTCATTTCCAGAAAAAAATTGTTGTTTTATGGATCTGTTCAAAATATTTGACAAGAAATCGAAAAAAGGAGATAATTCGGAGAAACGAGGTTTGTATTAGAAACTCTTTGAATTCTGATTTTTAAAGTGAGTTATGACGTGGCACTTTTTTCAGGAAGTAAAAATAATAACACTTTGGAACCGGATGAAAAGAGACCCGCAAGTGCACAAAGTTCAAATGGTGTAGATCAGGTAATTTTTTCATTTGAAAATGAAATTGTTTTCTTGCGGAAAAAAGTTACTGTTGCCTATTTTTTCTGAAATTTTTCGGTTTTATTTACCAACTGACTGTCAAAAAAACCTTTTTCCAATAATGTGACCTCATATCGTTTTTTTCCGAACGGGAAAAATGCACTTGACATAAATCGTCTCTCCCCAGTTCTTCTCATATATATATATCTATGTTGTATTTTTTGTTCTTCACTCACTTATAATCGAGAAAATCTTTATGTACATATATACATTTCTAAATATATATGTATTTGTTTAAGTGAAGGAGTGAGTGCCATTTTGTTCTCACCGGATAGGATTGTTATTGTTTCTTCATCTTCCGTTTTTCCTTATTTTCTCTCCATATTTTTCAGTTACAATTACAGTTCAAATCATGCGGTGTAGATTCTCACGTGGGCGCGTTAAATCCGCGCCGATTCCGCGCGGACAATCAATTTTCAATATTTTTCCGCAAGAAAACAATAAAGAAAACATTGAAGTAATGAAAAAATTAACTTTTTGAATATATCTTTTGAAAAATTTAGGCTCCTTGTGATTATGCGAAATATGTGAAAGTGCTCGAAGATTTTATATTTGCCACAGAGAAATTGGGAATTGATGGATTATCAAAACAATATAGGTAAGGAGACCTCTGATATTTCGAAATTAATAAAGAAATTCTTCCAGAAAACTCGATCAATCCTCCGATTCTTCAGCAACATTCGAAGCTTTCAAGCAAAATATGTATAAAAATCGATATTCAGACGTGTTATGCCGTGATTCTTCCCGTGTAAAACTACTGATAGATTCATCTAGACAAGGCGATTATATTCATGCGAATTATGTCAAAACACCATATTTATGTAACACATTTTTATGCACACAGGGACCATTGCAAACTACAATTCCAGATTTTTGGAGAATGGTTTTCCAGGAGAGAGCGAGTTCAATTTTAATGCTTTGCAGGTGGGACACAAGATTTTTGATCCAGAAAAAATGGAATATATTTTTTGCAGAACAATTGAAGAAGGCCGCCCGAAATGCGTTGCTTATTGGCCAGAAGTTGGAGAAGAAGTCAAATACGGTTGTTTAGTTGTCAAAAATATGAGCGAATCGCAAGATGAATCAAATAGTTTTGAAATTATCGAATTGAGTGTGAATTTTGTGGCGGATGATATTCCACAAAATGAGCAACCCGTGGATAAAACTGTATTGCTTGTCAAGTTGATTAAATGGCCAAAGTAGGTTTTTTTAAAACTTTTCGTCGGAAAGTTTTTGATCACGTGAAAGAAAATCAATAATAATGTTTTGCAGTTGGCCGGATCGCGGAGTTCCCGATGAGAAATGTCATACAGTTCCGAGAAGATTATTAGATCGAGTTCGACATGGTTCATGTGTTGTGCATTGTTCAGCTGGAATTGGGAGAACTGGTTGTATGGTTGCGTTGGAATTTGCTTATCGAAGATTGGATATGGGAATGACTCTGGATTTTGAGAAGGTAAGGGATCGCGGTACTTCTAGAGAAGTACAAATTTTCATCTTTTTTTTTAATTGAAACTAAAAAAAAATAAAAGAAGTTTTTAATATTATTAATTAATCGTGTGATTTTTTAAAACATTTTGATAATCGGGTTATTTCGATTGACAGTTTCTTATAATAGATTTTTTTCGTAACAAAATCAAAGACTGAAAACTGAAAATAAAAATATTTCCAGATCGCCATCGAACTTCGAAAACAACGTGCTCAATGTATTCAAACAGAAATCCAATATCTATACATTCATCGAGTTATGATTGCATTTTCCCGAGAAATTGGAATATCTGAAAAGGCTCGAATTTCAGCCGAATCATTTTTGAAATCTTACGACGATCATCTTCGATCCAAACCCTAACTCATTGATTCAACATTTTTACTAATAAATTTATAGGAACCCTTGCCAATCCATCTAGTCATTTCACTATTAAACATGATTACGGGATGTTTTTTTTCATTTTTTTTGAAATTTGATTAATTAATTAGATTTTTAACTTGATCTGTTTCTAAATTTTATATTATTTTTTTCTTACATAGTTTATCAGTTAGTTCATCGAGCTTGTGATTGATTCAGTTTTTTTTTCTTCTAAAAAATTCTCCTGTTTATATTGATAAGCATGTGACATTGCAGTCATCATAAACTATTTTACATTTGTGATAAATTTATTTTGTGTTTTATAAATTCAATTTTACATGTCTTTTTCGCCGATTCGAGTTCGAATTTCATTTTATTTTTTTTTCAAAAACTTCGATGTTCTTCTATTTTGTCTCAAGGGAAAATTGAAGATTTGCACTTTGCAAATCTCGGCTTTCTTTAAAGCTTTTTGCCAAAAAAGTGTGGTTTTGCAGAAAAATAGGATAAGATGGCTGAGCTTCTTGTGTCGTTTCCTAGGCCACAAAGATTTGTACTCCTCTCGGACAATTTCTAATTTTCAGTTTCTTGGGTTTTCGCTGAAAAATTTGAATTATCCACTAGTCATAGCGCGGGAATACTGTAAGACGGCCGAACTTTTTGTGTGTCGGGTTCTAGTCCGCGCACACTTGTATTTTTTTTTCTTGAAGTTTTTCGTTTCGCGAAGCTTTTATCTCAAGTTTAGCCAGCCTTAACCTATTTCTTTGATTTCCTGAGTTTGTCTTCATATTTCTTTCCATTTCAGATTTGTTATCACTTTCTCTTTCTCAATAGAAATACTCCAATTTCCGGTTTTTCATATTTTCTTCCCTAATTCTTTTGTTTCCCTTTCTCGATCGACAATTATTGAGTCGTAAAAACCAGTTTGAAGAAACGCAGAAAAGTTCAAATTTCGATTGACAACACGAGCGAAATTTGAATTTCAAATAGTTTTTTTTGTCGCCCGAAAAAACATGCATTTTGTTTTTTATTTTCATTCAGAAATTGTTGTTTTCTATTTTATTTTCTATAGAACGTTTGTTTGCAAAAAATGATTCATAAAAAATCTGAAAATTGGAAAAAGTTTGCATGCTGAAAAAATAAGTATACTTTAAAGTGTCTAGGTTGAAATCTAAAAAATAACAAAAAGGTTGTCAATCATCATCATTTCCCATCAAAAAAAAGTGTTCCTCTTTGCCTATCCAGAATGTGTAAACACCACAAATGCCGAACAAAACAATATGTCTGCGTCTCCTATTCATTTTCCATTCTGTCGTTCCCTTCCAAATGTCGATATTCCAATAGTTGTAGAGGAAAGAGTGAGAGAGGGGAAAACAGAGGCCCTCATTCGGGCGCACGTCGATTTTTTGTTGTTTTTTTTTCGCTTTGCTCCATCCAGCTCCAGCTATTCATTATACACATATATATCTTTTTTTTGGTATTTAGTGAGTGAGTGAGTGAGCAATTATTTCTATACTATTTTCTGATTTCTTTATCTGTGGGAATTCATGAAAATAATTTTTGAACTTACACTTAGTTAGAGTGTAAAATCACATGTTTTTCCACGTTATAGTTAATTCACATTCAAAATTGAGCTAACCAGTTTTGACGAGTCTCTCGTGATCAACTAAAAAAATATAAATTCCAAAAACACATTTTCTCTTTTTAATATACCAAAGATCACTTCACTGGTCATATTTACTCAATTTGTCTATCTTTTCGTTCGAACTTTATTTTTCTTCTCACAAATCAGTTTTTATAGAATAGCAAAATGTCGACCAAAAAGAAGGTTCGTGTTGGAAAGAAGAAAGGAAAGATTTTGGTTCCAAAATGGAAATTGTTTCGAGCAAAGGTGAGTGAAACTATATAATTTTCAAATCAAAATTATTGATTTTTCAGGAACCACTTCTTTCGGTTTTCATGTGGGGAATCAATCACACAGTCGATCAATTAATGCATGTTCCACCACCGGGTTTATTGATGCCTGATGATTTTAAAGCTTATTCGAAGGTTAAAATCGATAATCACAATTTTAACAAAGATATTATGCCGAGCCATTATAAGGTAAACATTTAAAAATTCTGTAAAAATAGAAAATCTATAATTTTCTTTTTCTAGGTCAAAGAATATTGTCCAAATGTGTTTCGTAATCTACGCGAACAATTTGGAGTTGATCAATGTGAATATTTGAGAAGTTTGACATCTTGGGAACCCGAACCTGATCAATTAGATGGGTCTGCAAAGGATTCGACTCCCCGATTTTTTATCTCTTATGACAAACGATTTGTGATCAAATCGATGGATTCGGAAGCTGTTGCTGAACTTCATTCAGTTCTTCGTAATTATCATGAATATGTTGTTGAAAGACAAGGAAAAACTCTTTTGCCACAATATTTGGGACTTTATCGGTGAGCTTTTTTTGAGTCCTTTTGGTTTTTCATGTCCAAAATATGCCACGTCATGACTTATATTCAGTGGAGAGCTTTCTGGGGTTTCACTACATGAAACATACTTTAATTTATTTTTAGAAATTCAGATTTGAAAAAAAAAACATTTTAACAGGATTTTTTAATCCAAAAATCAACTTTTAGCTCCCAAAAACTGTTCACAAAATATCAACAAAAAACCCATTTTCTTTTAAAAATCAATTTCCAGTCTCACAATTGATGGAAATGAAACATACTTGATTGTCATGCGAAACGTATTCGGTCGAAAATATGGAGTTCATACGAAATTCGATTTGAAAGGATCTACAGTATCCCGTGCTGCTTCGGACAAAGAAAAAGCGAAAGATTTGCCAACATTGAAGGATAACGATTTTCTTGAGCAGAATATGAAATTGGCGTTGCCTGAAGAAGCGAAACAACAATTATTGAAGATGTTATCACAGGATACAGAATGGTTGTCGAGAATGCATTTGATGGATTATTCGCTTCTTGTTGGTAAGAGTTTTGAGTATTATGATGGTTTTGTGATAACCTAATTTTAAGAAACCACGAATTTCTGAATTTCAAAAAAAATATTTCAGGAATCCATGATTGTGAACGTGCTGCCGTCGAAGCCGCCAATCGTCCAGTCGAACAAACCAGCGAAGAATCTGGCGATGAATTGGCTCCAACACCTCCAGATAGTCCAATTCCATCAACTGGCGGAGCTTTTCCTGGTGTTTCTGGTGGTCCGGATTTGGATGATGAATTTTATGCGATTCACAGTTCACCAAGTAAGTTTTGAATGGGTTTTGAGATTTTGGGCTTGTAATTTTTAATTTTTTTCAAAACTTTAATCGTAAACGCTACCGAAAATAACTTAGAAAAAGCCTGGAATTTTCCCAAAGACCTCAAACTTAACTCAAAAAAATCACAATTTTCTAAATTCAAATAGCGCATTTTCAGCGCACGATAAAAATCTGATCTATTTCATTGGACTCGTTGATATTTTGACATATTATGGAATCAAAAAACGAAGTGCAACCGCGGCAAAAACAATGAAATATGGTTCGGATGTGGAAAATATTAGTACTGTAAAACCAGAACAATATGCAAAACGTCTTGTCGAATTTGTTACTCGAGCTCTTCAAAATTAATTAATCGTCAATTTTTAATTTTCATTCTTTCTGAATAACAAAATATTGCAATCGAGTTCCACCCCAAAAATGATCTCTCTTTTATCTATATAAATTCAAATGGTGTTTTGGCCTATGTAGATTTTAATTTGTCTATCTATTTATCTATCTAACTAATTTATTCCTCTTCGAAATATAGTTTTAATTTGCACCCCCAAAACAACTCATGGGCATTTTTGTACCATTCTTTTTTTATTGCAATCCGCGTGCTTTTATGTCGATATTATTTTATTTCAATTTTTAAATAACAACTTCCATTTTTCCAATATTTAATAAAATCAATTTTCAAGAAATGAGATTTAAATTCATTTACGCGAGAAAAATGCGATCTCATTTTTAAAACGTGACCTTGTTTTTTCTCACTATTCGTGAGCTTATAAAAGCTCAAAACACTCAGTTTCCGTTGTTTCTAATCAAAAATGTATACATGTTTCATAACAATAATCACATTGTTTGTTGTGATATATCAATTGATAATCGGATGTTCTGACAAGAAAAAGAGTCCAAAAATTGCGGCGCCAATTGCTTCACCAGCTACAAAACCTTCACGAGCTGCAAAAACTTCACGAGCCACAAAACCTTCACGAGCTGCAAAACCTTCACGATCTGCAAAACCTTCACGAGCTGCAATACCGTCACCACCCACTGAATCTTCGAAATCAATATCAATAACGAAAGTGAAAGTGAAATCTAAAAAAGAAATGCAAGAAGAAACGCCTCCAACTCTTTCTGATGATTCATCTAAAAAAGTTGAACCTTATAAGATTCCATACGATACACTTATTCCTTGGCTTGTTTTCACAATGCGAGATGTAAGTCTTTGGAAAATACATTCAAATTTCATTGCTCATGTTAGAACTGAAAAATTGATCTACAGATTTTCTTGGGAATCGAATGATTGCTCATCTTATTGTTAGAACTAGAAAAGTTTTTGATAAGATTTGAAAATGTTAAGACTACAGTAATCTCACTCGATTTAGTCGATGTCCAATTGTAACCCTGGACCCGCTCCATTTTTTGTTAAACCACAATCTTATTTAGGGAGTTGCTAACCAACTGACACTTTATGATAACAAGCCGGATTATGTGAAAAGAAGAAGATGGTTTTTGGCATTCGACAAACATCCAGAATTGAATCGATATAAAGAACCAAAATGCTATGATTTCACAAAAGTCAAATTTTTTTTGAGTGAAAATAAAAAACAATATATCAATGCATCGCATGTAACATCTGTTTGTGAAAGAAGAAATTATCAATGGAATATTCTGACACAAGGCCCTCTTTTGAATACAATTCCTCATTTTTGGGAAATGGTTTGTAATTCAGATGTCGAATTTATTATAATGTTATGCTCGTTCACTGAGAAAGGAGTCGAACAAAGTGCACGGTATTTTCCGGAAAAAGAAGGAGATGTTGAAAAATATGGAGAATTTGAAGTGAAATATTTGAAAAAAGAGGATGATCCAGTGAAAAATGTGATTTGGACAAAATTGGAAGTAAAGAATTCGGACTTCTATGCAAGAACTGTGAATCATATTCAGGTGACTTGGTGGCCGGATAAAACAGCACCAGAAGATCCAAAACCGACTATCGAACTGTATAAATGGTTAGAAAAAACACGTGATTTAACACGTAAAATGGTTGTTCATTGTGATAGTGGAGTTGGAAGATCTGCGTGTTTTTTGGGCATTGATGTTTTGCTCAAATATCCAATGACTTCTGAAAACTCGAACACTAGAATTAATGAGGCGATTCGCGTTAGCCGAAATGGTGCGATCGATTCACCACTTTTGCAAATGTTTCTTCTCGCTTGTCTCATTGAATACTGCTATCAAGAGAAAAAGTTTGGACCCGAGTTGGAAGCTTCGTATAAGGGATTTATGGAGGAATATAAAAATTATAGCAAAAAAATGAACGAAGCTGCGAACTTGAAAACACAATCAGAGCCTCCAAAGAAAATTTGAATAAACATTTTTTCTAATCAGAGAAGAAAAAATCGAGTTCCACCCAAAAAATGATTTTTCTTTTATCTATATAAATTCAAATGGTGTTTTGGCCTATAAGAAAAAGAAGAAAATTGAAAATCAATTTTCAAGAAATGATATTTAAATTCATTTACGCGAGAAAAATGAGATAATTTTTAAAACGTGACCTTGTTTTTTCTCACTATTCGTGTGCTTATAAAAGCTCAAAACACTCAGTTTCCGTTGTTTCTAATCAAAAATGTATACATGTTTCATAACAATAATGACATTGTTTGTTGTGATATATCAATTGATAATCGGATGTTCTGAAAAGAAAAAGAGTCCAAAAACTGCGGCACCAATTGCTTCACCAGCTACAAAACCTTCGCCATCAATATCGAAAGATAAAGCTAAAAAAGAAATTGAAGAAGAATCACCTCCAACTCTTTTTGATGATTCAACTAAAAAAAATGAACCTTATAAGATACCATACGATACACTTATTCCTTGGCTGGCTTTCACAATGAAATATGTAAGTTTTTCGAAAATAAATACCCATATTTGACTATAGAAAGTTGATTGCTCATATTAAAAATTCTAGATTCCAAATTTTTATTAGATCTACAGTAGGAATACAGGGTTAGTTGTGATCTGAAAATTTGAACTTTCTTGAGAAGATCTAAAAACCTAGATTGTTCATGTTAAAAGTGAACAAGTTTTTTTTTTTGAAAATCATGTCCTGGAGTACCCCTGGACCCGCTCTATTTTTGTTAAACCACAATCTTATTCAGGGAGTAGCTAACCAATTGACACTTTATGAAAACAAGCCGGATTATGTGAAAAGACGAAGATGGTTCTTAGCATTTGACAAAAATCCAGAATTGAATCGATATAAAGAACCAAAATGCTATGATTTCACAAGAATCAGACTTTTTGGTGATAACAAAAAACAATATATCAATGCATCGCATGTAATGTCTGTTAGCAAAGGAAGACGCAGTCAAATGAATATTCTGACACAAGGCCCTCTTTCGAATACAATTCCTCATTTCTTGGAAATGATTTATGACTTTAATGTCGAATTTATTGTTATGTTATGCTCGTTCATTGAGAAAGGAGTCGAACAAAGTGCACGGTATTTTCCGGAAAAAGAAGGAGATGTTGAAAAATATGGGGAATTTGAAGTGAAATATTTGAAAAAGGAGGAAGATCCAGTGAAAAATGTGATTTGGACGAAATTAGAAATCAAGGATTTGGAAGGCAATGCAAGAACTGTGAATCATATTCAGGTGACTTGGTGGCCGGATAAAACAGCGCCAGAAGATCCAAAACCGACTATCGAATTGTATAAATGGTTAGAAAAAACACGTGATTTAACACATCCAATGGTTGTTCATTGTGATAGTGGAGTTGGAAGATCTGCGTGTTTTTTGGGCATTGATGTTTTGCTCAAAAACCGATATATCTTTAAGGACTCAAACACCAGAATCGATCAGTCTCTTCGCATGTGTCGAAATGGTGCCATTGATTCACCACTTTTGCAAATGTTTCTTCTCGCTTGTCTCATTGAATACTGCTATCAAGAGAAAAAGTTTGGACCCGAGTTGGAAGCTTCGTATAAGGGATTTATGGAGGAATATAAAAATTACAGCAAGAAAATGAACGAAACTACAAACTTGAAAACACAATCAGAGCCTCCAAAGAAAATTTGAATAAATATTTTAGATTACTGTAGATCAATTGAAAACTACAATTTGTGAAAAAAATTTAAATTTATACAAAAAATGGTTCAATCCTGAGAAAAAATCTGAAATTGTTTTGATTTTTGTTATTTCTGAATATCTGGCTATCTGAGATTACTGTAGTCATTGAAAATCAGATCTGAAAATGTTTCCAATAATCTAGAGTCCTTTTAGATTCCATGAAAAACTTCAGTACTAACATGAGCAATCAATTTACACCTATGTAGTTATGAGGAAAATTATGTCTACTTCTAGTATCTTCTATTCTATTCACCCCAATTTTCTTTTTCTCCGCCACAACTCTCTGCGTCTCTTCCCCCTTTCCTCTCTCCCTTACACACCAAAATGTGCCCTCTTTTTCTCTGCGTCTCTTGACAACCAAATATCTCTCATTTTTGCGCACTAGTTTGGCCCCGTCAGCTGTGTTTCTTTATTTTTCGATTGGAATTAATTTCTATAAAAATCTGAATAATGGAAGAGGCTGAAAAAGTGAAAGTTGTGGTCCGATGTCGTCCGATTTCTCAAACTGAAATCGATCAAGGCCATAAATCAGCTGTGAATTGTTTATTTGATGAAAAATCGGTGGCGGTCAATAATCCAAATGCGCAGGTAAGCATTTTGTAAATATTGGTATAGAATTGTGAAATCAAGTTTGCTCTATTTTTATTTTTGTGTAGTTCTCTCGGAGTTCAAACCCTAATTATAAATAAGCTTTTTGTGAAAAAAAAATAATTTTCAATTATTTTTGCAAAATGAATAAAAATACTTTCAGGAACCATCTCGATCATTTTATTTCGATGCCGTTTTTCCGCCATCCACAGATCAAATGACAGTATATAACATCGCTGCAAGACCAATTGTTGATAATGTTTTGAAGGGATATAATGGTGAGTGGCAAAACCGGCTGATTTTTTTTTAAAAATTGTGCCACGTAAAATTTGTATAGGTTCTAGAAATCTCAAAATCTGACAAAAAACCTCCCCTCATAATTTCTGAATTCCAAAACACCTTTTTTCAGGCACAATTTTTGCGTATGGTCAAACTGGAACTGGAAAAACATTCACAATGGCCGGAGAAATGGATAAACCAGAACTGCGGGGAATTATTCCCAATTCATTTGCTCATATTTTTGATCATATTGCCAAATGTCAGCATGATACAACGTAAGAGATTTTTGAAATTTTAGCCCAAATCTGGTCTCGAAATTCTCTTACAAAAAATTTCAATTTTCAGATTTTTGGTTCGTGTTTCGTACCTCGAAATTTACAACGAAGATATTCGAGATTTGTTAGCGAAAGAGGGAAATGTTACAAATTTGGAGATAAAAGAAAGACCAGATATTGGAGTTTATGTCAGAAATTTGTCATCGATTACAGTTGGAAGTGCATCACAAATGCAAAAAATAATGGAATTTGGAAATAAGAATCGAAAAGTTGGAGCGACTGCAATGAATATTGAATCATCAAGATCTCATGCAATGTTTACTGTCACTATTGAAAGTAGTAAGGTGAGTCGGGGAAAATTTGGGGAAGCCGGGAAGAATTTTTTGTTTTCAAAAAAAAACTGAATTATTTTGAATTCAGGAAAATTTCTTGAAAGATGTTTTTGCCACGGCTCATTTGCAATTAAAAATTAGGTGCCAAAAAATCTACGTGGCATTGTTTTTATGAAAAAAATTGATCATAATTTTTTTTCTGAAATTTGGGTTTTTTTCCCATGAAAAATTTAATTCTAGGGCAATATCGTTACACAAGGAAAACTTCAATTAGTCGATTTGGCTGGATCTGAAAGACAAAGTAAAACTGGAGCACAAGGAGAACGATTAAAAGAAGCTGCAAAAATCAATCTATCACTTTCAACACTTGGAAATGTGATAAGTTCGCTAGTCGATGGAAAATCAACACATATTCCTTACCGAAATTCGAAATTAACCCGTCTTTTGCAAGATTCGCTTGGCGGAAATTCAAAAACTGTTATGATTGCGAATATTGGTCCAGCAACTTATAATTTCGATGAAACATTGTCGACTTTGAGATATGCGAATCGCGCGAAAAATATTCAAAATGTGGCGAGAATTAATGAGGATCCGAAGGATGCGATGCTTAGGAAGTTTCAGCAGGAAATCGAGATTTTGCGGAAACAATTGGAGGAAGAAGATCGAGATGATGATGATGAAAATGAAGAAGCTTGGCAGAGTAAAATGCGAGATATGGAAGCGGATATTGAGAAAAAACGGAAAATATTAGAAGAAAGAGAGGGAAATGATGATGAAACGAAGAAATTGAGGGATGAAATGTTGGAAAGGTAATGTTTTTTATTTTGAAACATTTAAATTTGGCACTCTAAAATCCACGTGGCATAATTTTTTATTTGAAATTTTTTTCCAAGTTTTTTTCCCAACCCAAAAATCCACGCTACAAAATTTTTCTCTTAGACCAAAAATCAACCCGGCGTAATAAAAACAAATATTTTTGCAGTGAAAATGAATTGAAAAAAGCTCGCGCGGAACACGAAAAACTTCGCACCAAACTCAATCAAATGGAATCAAAACTAATTGTTGGCGGTGAAAATTTGTTGGAAAAAGTTGAAGAACAAGCAAAACTATTGGACGAAAATAATCGAGAAATTGAAATGTCAAAAAGTCATGAGATGAAATTGAGAAATCAATTGGAAGAGAGAAATATTGCCAAAATTGAGATTGAGGAAAAGTTAGTTCTTTTTTAGAATTTTGGATGAAAAATAAATGATAAAAATTTAAGACATACTTCACTGCAAGAGGAAAGTATTTCAAAGTCGAAAAAAATAAATCGAGTTATTACTGATTTGAAAGAAGCTCGAGCTGAATTGAAAGATTTGGAAGAAGAACATCAAAGACAAGTTGAAGCTATGTTGGATGATATTCGACAATTGAGAAAGGTAAGAGGGAATTTTTCTTGTGACGTGGCAGTGTGAAAATGTTCAAAACTAGTCAAGTAAATTTTGAATCCCTTAATTCTTAATTCTCAAACACAATTTCCAGGAACTCTTATTAAACGTGGCAATAATCGATGAATACATCCCTCAAGAATATGTTGAACTAATCGAGAAATATGTTAGTTGGAGTGAAGAACATGGAGATTGGCAATTGAAAGCCATCGCTTATACGGGAAATAATATGAGAGCTGCCGCACCGCCAACAACATCCACTTTTTCGGTGAGTACTGTAGTTTTGTAGCTCGAGGGAACGGAGCATTTTGAGATCGAATAAGCCTAGGATTACTGTAACTCCTAGAATTCTCTGACTTAATTTTTTTTGAAATTCAAAAATCAACCGAACGTGAACTTCTCCTAAAAGCAACGTGGCAGTTTGAAATCCCCCATTTCCATTTTTAAAAATTTCCTATGAATCACACTTGTTTTTTTTTGCGTTACCAGTTTTTTTTCTTCGAACTACAAAAAGTACCAACGTCAGCAATTCGTAGCTTTACTAATTTTGGGTTACTGTAGTTTTCTTTTTGTTGAACTCTTGGATTTGAGATGTTTGCGTAAGATTTTCGTGGGGGAATACGTAGTTATGACGTGGCAAAGCTGGGAGAAACGGAAACTTGGGCTGAACTAGAATCTCAAGCTAACAAAAAATTTTACGTTGAAAATATGGGTATCACTGAAACCTAGGCTTACAAGGAAAGGTTTTCAATGTTCCCCCAAGGAAAAAATCGAGAGTATGTGGAATGTTGAGGGTTCCCATGGGTTAGAAAAACCCTAACGGGAATAAGGAGAAAAATGCCTTGTTTTAGAAAATTTTGGTGTTATTGATTTTTGCGATGAAATTTTTTAGAAAAATCGAAACTTTTTTCAAAATTGATGAAAAATGTAAGTCTAAAAATCCATTTGCAGCGCAAACGGCGTACTTTAGTATTACTTCGACTAAAATTAGGAATAAAATAATTTTGGTCCCAAAAGTCCACTAAATCAAAAAATCCAGTTTGAAAAATTCATAGAAAATCAACGTTTTCGTTGTGAAGGAGAAGTTTGTGTGAATCGAGACTATGATTTTTGGATTCTACGGACCAAATTACGTCTGTTGACCGTCATAAATTTTTCAAGTTCCGTTCATTTGAAAATGGAAAAAATTATTTTTTGTGTTTTTTGGTGACCATTTGATCAGAAAAACCCCAACTAAAAAAACCAAATTTCAAAAAATGTCTAATTTTTTGATAAAAAGTTTCACAAACACGTAATCGACCATTCTGAACAACTTCCACGACTCAAAAGTTCATGAAATAGATTCAAAATCGAGTTACAGATGCTCTAAAAATCAAAAAGTGGTGTAAAAATCGACCTAAAATACATTTTTTCTCGAGAATAAGGCATTTTTCTCCTTATTCCCGTTAGGGTTTTTCTTACCCACGGGAACCCTCAACATTCCACATACTCACGATTTTTTTCTTGGGGGAACATTGAAAACCATTCCTTGTTAGGCATAACCAAAATCTTAGGCTTACGCTTAACTAAAAGCGTATGCTTAACAAAAAATTTTGGCTGAATCTTAAACTTAACTCAAATCCTGAGCTTATTGGGCCAAGACTAATTCAGGCTTCACGAAACTTAGGCTGAGATTTAGGCTCAACCAAAAAATTTTAAAAAAAAGTGATTTTCTTTTGCGATATCTGAAAACCCACAATATTCACAGATCAAAATCCACGTGGATTTCTCGAATTTTTTCTGGAAAACTTTTAATTCTCATTTTTTCAGACAAACAATCAAACAATTCCACTGTTCTACTCATACAAAAATGATCTCGGCGCATCTTCAATGGAATCTCGACCAAGAACCAGATCCGGGAAACGGTAGGCCCGATATTACTTTTTTAATCCGTTATTACTATTTCTGCACTACATTTTCAACGGATTTTCAACTACGTTTCTATAGTTTTTCGAACTAAAAAATTGGATTTGATATTTTTTCTAATTATTAGTATAGTAATATGTATTTTTTTCAGGGAACGAGATGCTGCAAAACTCAAACAATTGTTGTCATGATTTGCCGTGTAAGGTGTATAATTTAGAAAAAAAATTATTTAGATTTGATTCACTTTTTATGTTGGCACTGATCAGAAATTGAGAGGTTTAGTAAAAATTAGGGGTTTTTGAGAAAAATTCTGAATCGTACCCGAAAAATCATATCACTTTTTGAAAATTTCCTGATTTTGGTCCGAAAAATTGATTTTTTCGAAAAAGTTGTTCGATTCGATTTTTGGGTCCGATTCAGAATTTTTCTCAAAAAAAAAATAGGACCTGGCCCGATTCCTATGGTCCGATTCAAAATTTTCCCATTTTTCCAAATCTTCTCAATTTCTTTTTCCCAACAAAAAGTGCTATATTAAATATCAAATATTAATTTAGGACTATTCAAAAATCCTTTTTAGTCTATATGATTTTCTGATTTCGTACAACGACTTTACTTTTATTTTCCTTCGAAAATAATTTTCTGTGTATTTTTTCTAGTCTTTTTCTAGCACGTGTATAAAGTTTTTATCGATTCCAGAAATTTCCAGCAAGCTCCGCCCATTTCAAAACTTTCTTTGCTCCACCCATTTTCAGAATTCATAATTTTCATTTGCTTTGTTTTTTCCTCACCTTCTTCTCTCCCTTCTTCCAATTTTCAGTTTTTGTTCCAGGTTATTTCCAGACATGTGGGTTTTATTTTTCATGATTTTCGGAATTTTGAGGTGAGCAAAAAGAGAGGTTGTGGGATCTTGAATAATATGATGTTTTTTGTTCAGAGCACAAAGTGGGCAAGATGAATGTGCCATTCTCGAAGCGAGCAGATTCGGTAATTTTGCACTTGGGAAAGAAAAAAAAGAGAAAAATAATTTGAAATTCAAAACTTTTTTGAAGACACAAAAAGAGTAGTGAAAATCAGAGTGGGGCTAGGATTTGTGCTGATTTGAAAGGGCCCTGGGCTTGGGGTAAGCCTGATAATTCTAGTATTTGGACTAATCTGGGGGCCTGAACCTAAAGAAGGAGGCATCTTTCACCTCAAACTGAAAAAGCTCGTGGCTATCCTGACAAGATCATGCACTTAGGCTAACCTTAAAAAACCTTAGGCTTTGTGGAAACCTGTAAAGAAGCTCTAAGATCCGAGCTATCCTGAAAAAGCACCAGACCTTAGGAAAGCCTAAAACTAAATTAGAAGCTAACCTGGAAAGATCCTAAACTTTGGGCTAATCTGAAGAAGCCCTGGGATACTGAACCTTCTTGAACATTTTTTCTAGCCAAATTGATCCCCGAACAAGTTGATGCGAAAGCAAAAGCGGCGGCAACTGAAACCATCAAAAACACCGATCAAAAACCATGGTATGAGACCGAAGAACATCTCGAGCGCAACTTTATCGCCAAGAAAATTGTCCAAGAACAATTCCCGTTCCAACTTTGCGATACCGACGAGTTTTCACCAAGTGTTGTCAGCCTCAATAGAATCATGTCGTGCGAACATGTGAGTTTGCTCTATTCAGAAAAATATGGAGGGAAATTACATTTTTTGCAGATTTGCCGAAAATGTTTTGCTGGAAGCGTCTCGATCTGTCTGCTTCGCAATTCGAAATACATGTATGATTTAAAAAAATCTTTAAAAAATTTTTTTTTCAAAATCAAAATTTTTGCAGGCAAATGGGCGAGACCTGCTTGTGCACCTACAGTCTCACTGATCCAATTTCGGATGCCGCGTTCTCTTTGAGACACGAGCGAAGAATTTTCAGCCGTCGCATTCGTCACGCCTAATTCTTCCTTCTTCCCGATTCGAATTCAAAATTCATTTTTTTCTGACACACATTTCCATAATTTCATTCCAATTTTTTCAATCAAAAATGCAATTTCAAATCTGATCATGATAATAAAAAGTTAATTCATTCATTCAAAAAATGTGTGTACTTATTTTAATTAGCTCCTCCACTGAATCCACCTTTTCCCAACAGTTTCCCAGCGAATTTGAGACCTTTTGATGCCAAATCAGAAGAGGCGCCGTTTTGGAAGGTTTCGAAAAATGTGGAGAGCATTTTGAAGGCTTGCGCTGGATCGATGTTGTATTTCTTGGCTGGAACAAATTGAAGAGATTTTCAGAAGAAAGGGTGAACAGAGAAGCACAGAAACTTCTCCGAGAGAAATACACAGCTTCGCTTTGAGACCAAAAAGCGCGGGAAATATTTTTGGGCTTTGGATTTCTCTTGGAGAACTGTTTCCCCCCAGATTCCCCTCTAGATTTACTGCCAACCCCAAAAAAATGTACCTGCAGCATCGAAAAGTTTGGTAGCTTTTGGCACGTGTTGCATCATATCATTTTTGACTTTGTCATCGAGTTTTGTATATTTATCGAGGAAACTGCGGAAAAACGCTTGAGCCGCAAGATTTTCGGGTTTCAATGATGGCACTCCCATCACTTGTTTGGTCATCTGGAAAATGAGAAATTTGGAGCTCATAGAAAGTTTAGACTGAAAAATCAATTTTCAAAATTATTATCTCAAACTCACATCAAAGAAGAATTTCTTGCTCTTTCCGGATAATGACATAACATCAAGACCTTCCGATGAAACATAGATGAATAACAGTGAAAAAATGAACAGATTTCGAAGCATTTTTGATTCAAAAAATGATGGAAAAGAAAGGTACTCTCTTAGTTTTTGTGTCGATATGTTTGCGTCTTGTCGATTTGTGCACTATTTCAATTTTTACAACAAAATAAAAACAAAAAAAAAAGAAAAAGAAAAAGAAAGACGAACAACAAAACAATTGTTCTTGATAGATATTTTTTAGTGATGGATCAATTCATTTGAAGAAAAAATGAATTTCGCGACATTTTTTGTCGCGAAATTGCAATTCGTGAAACGACACGAAATAAACACAAAAATAAAGGAGAAATATTAAAGGGACACGTAATCGCTACGAGACCCAACACACGAAAAAAGAATTTCCTCTTTTATTTTATTAATTTCGTGTCGTTTCGCGAATTGCAATTTCGCGACAAAAAATGTCGCGAAATTCATTTTTTTCTTCAGATGAATTGATCCATGATAAATAAATTGAAACAAACAGGAACTCTCATGATTATTCATTTTTTCAACAAAAAAAAGACAATGAAGAATTATTTTTATTGGGCTACAGTAATCCTAAGAAAATTGAGCTTCAAAACTTTTGTGCAGCCTTGAAAATTTTGTTGGGATTTAAATTATGTGGAGTCTGGAAGTACTGTAGAACCTGCGAAATGAGAGCTTGGAATTAAAAATGTAATCTGGCTTGAATTTTTTCATGACTTTTAAAAAATTGGTCAATACAATTTTTGCTACAGTAATCTCTTTTTTTATTGGAGCAAGAATTGAAAACATTTTGATCTACAGTAACCCAGAATAACATTTTTGGTTACAGTACCTCTGAAAAGTTGTGAGAAAATTCTATGAATGTTGATTACCACAAAAACTTTGGAAACAAATTTCGGAGCTACAATAATCTGTCAAAAATATTCGTGAGAATTTGTTTGATCTACAATAACAGCTTCTCGATTATTATTCATTCATAAAAAAGCAATGTTCAATATCAAACATATTTTCAATCAATTATTTATCCAAAGGAATCGCGCATTCAACCGCACTTGCAACAGTCGCAGAAATTGGAGCCGCAGCTTGCGAAACAGATTCGATAACTTTTTGAAGAACCATTGCAATTGTTGTGAAAACTGTGAAACCAAGACCTTCAGTTAAAGAAACAGCAGAAGGGAATTGAGTTCGAAGATCTTCACGAGTTTCTGTGTCCATATTTTGAACACTTGTCGCAAAATCGCGGAGCAATTGAAGTTGTTTGGATGCCGAATCGCCCGAATTAGTTTCCGATGTTAGATCAATCGCCTTGTCTTTCCACTGAAACAAATTGTTCTTCTGAAGGCATATTTATTTTTTCTAATTCTCACTTGTCTCAAAAGAGTTTGTGTCTCCGGCTTCAATGCATTAAACTTATCATAAAAAGTTGTGTTCAAAAAGTTGATTTTCTCATAAACCGATGGCAGATGATCTTTGAACAATTCAACGATCTCGGCTTTTGTTGTCGGTTTCTTGATCTTATCTTGAAACCATCCAGTCAAAAAAGTTACCAATTCTCCCTTTTGAGTCATGTTCAACTGAAAATTTCTCTTACGTTACGATCAGGGAAGTTTCCAGGAAGTTCTTACCGAATCCAAGGTATTCATCAAATCACCAGGTAACATATCCTTAAACATTTTCAGCACTCCAACATATCCATCAAAAGCTTCAACCGTCAAACCTTCCACATTTTTCTTAGTTTGAAGCGGTTCTTGAACCAAAGGAGCGGCACTAATACAGTATACCAGGGCGAAAATGACAAACTTCATTTTTTCAAAAATAGTTTAGTTTTGCTCTTTGCTTCTTCCCTTTTTATACCGCACCGCATTTTATTTTTGAGCTATCAAATTTCGTAAACTGTGACTTTTTTTTGGTAAATAATTATTGTATACAATAACAAAATGCCACACTCATTTTTTGATATAAACTGCACGTAGAGAAAAATTTGGAACATTTTTATTATTATTAAAAATTGTTTTCGATGATCAATTTGACAATTATTGAGAGATTATCTATGAATTGGGGAAAGAGAGAGAAATGCGCGGGAAGTGAATGAAGTTTGAACCAACAAAAAAATGGAAATTAATTTTTGGTTGATCAAATGGATTATGGAAAGAGTTATTGAAACTCAAATCAAGAAATGGTTTCGAAAAATGCGTGAAAAGTAGAAAATTTAGATTAGAAACTGAAAAGATATTGTAATTATCTGAAAATTGTCAATCCAAACAAGGTACAGTATTGAGATCTTCAAAACTGAAAAGGATATTAATTTCCCAGCTACAGTAATCTAGAAATATATTCTGAAACTACTGTAACGTAGACAGTAAGCGAATCCAGAAAAATAAAAAAATTTCGCAATGTTCTAAAGTCCAAAAATTGTTACAGTAATCCAGAATAGAAATTCCCTCTTTTATAAAACTCCAAATGTTCCCAAAAACTTATCATCAAATTTTTGCGTTCATATATTTCATTTCATTTTCCAAAAAAAAACTCAATTTTCTCTTGGTTGTTGATATTCGGTTCGAAAAACACTGAATCGACCAATTGATCTACGATTATTTAACAAATCTCTTTTTTCAAATCGGATCATCTCGAAATAATATTTAAACCCACAATTGTTTCATTATTCAATTTTATTTCAAAAATGAACAATTTGCTAAAAGTCTTGGTTTGCTTGAGTTTTTCATCGGTTCTCTCTAAACCGGCATCTTCTTCTCTTACTGAAACCGAATTCACAAGTATGACTTTCACACTCGCAAGATTGAATGCAGTTCTCACAGCTTATAAACAATATAAAGGTGAGTATATTTTTTGAACTACTGGGCTCATTGAAGATTTTTCTGAGTTCCTTGAGGATATTTTTGAGAGCGTAAACATCTATGGTCTAGAAAACCAGCAATCAAAGAGCTCCGACAAAGTATACTGTATATTTGATTTTCTTTTCTGCGGTTCTAAAATTTCCGAATAGACAACTTTTCAGAATTCATCCCATCATACATTTACGATCCAATTGATGCATTGACCGATGCTCAGAAAACAAGTATTGTCAATCTGGTGAATGATTATCATGCGGGTGGATTTGCACCAAAGAATTATCAAGAATTGGCTGCCGTTGTTAAGGCTGTGAGTTTTCATGTTGGAAAAATAAAAAAATCGATTTTCATTTAAAAAAAAGGTTTTTTTTTTAGAACTATTCGGATTTATATGACACTATGAACACAATGTATAATACTTATCAAGAACATGTTGCAAAATTGGGACCAAAGGGACAAGCTTATGCTGCTGATGTGAGTTGGAATTGGAACTCAAAACGCAATAGATACTCTTGCCAAATTTTCTAATCGAAAAAATATTCCAGGTCGAAGCCAAATTGTACGCCGACGCTGATCCTGATAGAATTGTCTGGGCTTGTCATCTTTTCAACAATGCTCAATCAGTTGTCTCGCAAGCAAAAGCACTTCTCAATGATCAAACCGAAGCTGATGCGATTGAAGATGCCTTCCCAGAAGCTGTCTCGTTCTTGAATAGCAAAGAATTCTCTGCGTATGCGATTGTTGTTGATCAATTGAAACCTTTGGATTGTGTTAAGGTATGCTTTGCAGATTCTTTAGGCCATTTTTGGTTCCTGGTCTTCCCTGATATTTTGAAACCGATTTTTTCCAGGATCGCGAACAAATTTTCAACACCATCAAATTGTTCGACATGCATAATGTTTTGACATCAAAGGATTCCGCCTAATTTGTTGTTTTTCTGTTTTTACCTGCAACACTTTTAGCAAACAATAAATGTACTAATTTTTTCTTAAAAAACCTGAAATAACATCGATTGAGTGTGCTTTACACTTTTCAATTCTTCTCTCCTCGAACTTTTTTCTTTTTTGCTCTCATTTTTTTCGACCTCGTGTTGATCACGTTAAAAACATGCGCGGTCAATAGAGAGAGAAAAGAGGATGAGAGAAATGGGAAATGTTGTGTTTTATCAGTTATTTGTTGTTTTTCCTAATTGGGTTTACATTAGTGTGGTGGTGGAATTTTTTCTTAATAATCGAATCACTTCTTAACTCTAAATTTAAGTGAAATCGCCATTAGATGCTGAAATACTGAAAAAAAATTGAAAAAAATTAAAAATTCACAAAAATAAATAAATTTGAGTTCGCGGTTGAAAAATAATTCTCATTAGAGCGCACTTGCATGTTTATTTATTTTTCTTTTTTTTCGGGGAAACATTTTTATTTTTTTGTTTGTTGCACTTGTTTTCCTTGTTCCCCTGTGATTTATTAGGTTTTGAAAGAATTAGGTTAAATCACAGTTTTTGGCTTCCCACGGTAAACTGGGGGATTTTTGAAAAATTATCTTTATTCACATATTTGAAATGAAAAAAATCAAATTTCTTTCACGTTTCATTGTTTTTTTTTGAAAAACAATACGTGAACAAAATTTGTTTGTCATTTCAATGTTTTATCGAAATGTGAATGGGTGAGTCAAAAATGTTTCTCGGAGCAAAAAGAAATCGGAAACTCACCTGAAAATTCAAACACCGACTATTCAAAAAAATTTCTAGCAACATATCCAATTTTTGTCTCATCCTATCTTTTTGAATTCTTCTTCCATTCTCTTTTTTTTCTCCAAAAGAAAAAGAAAAGGGTACGAAACGCAGAGAAAAACACACAAAACATAGTTTTTTTTTCATCGTCATTCTCACGCAGTTGCTTTAGCTCCCTTCATTTTTTCTGCGTTTTCTTTTTGTACTGCGACAAAACGAAACTTGTGAGTAAAACAAACAGAACATTGGTTATTTGACGCAAATTGTTTTAGCGAACTCTTGTATTTGATAATTATTGCCAAGTTTTATCAATATTTTGAAGCAGTTCACAAAAAACACGAAAAGCTAAAGACTATTTATTTCTCTCCTCTTTTTCTCTCTATATTATTTTGTAATAAACAGCCCCCACGTTTTTTTCGCTTCACTTTTTCTGTCAATTGAGTAAATGTCTCCTGATCAGCACATCGTAGAACGTTCAAAATTTGTTATCAAACATGGATGGACAGAGAAAAAACACATCGTGTAGATAGATATTTGTTTCATTGAACAAAGAATGATTGAAAATGTGACTCCAACATGGGTTTTAGTTTCTTCTTGGGTTTTGATTGTTTTATTTTTTGGTCAGAAAATGAATGATAACTTTTTTATCTGCAGGAATTCATGAAAAATTAAATTTTTGTATTTACTTAAAAATTTAGTAAACACCGCGGTATGAATTTAAAGGAACATGAATTTTTGAAGCTTTGGGTCTCACAACGACAATTTTTGCTGCCCAAATAAAGTTTCGGAAAACCGTCCCCCTTTAGAAATAATTAATTCACCTCATATTTTATTTGTGATCAAATAATTTTCGAGCGTATTGTAGTGAACTCTTCATCACATTCTTATTTCCTCCCATTTTCAAACCTTTTTTCGACTTTCTTTCTTATCATTTACTCTGTCCAACAACTATTTGTGTTTATTTATGATGAAGAAAACGTTATAGTCAAATTAAATCGACTCAATTTTCATATTTTTCCAGATAACCAATTCTCTAAATTAGTATCGATACAATTTCTGTGAATGGCTGAACAGTCTGCTCAACAAAATGTGCAATTGTCTTTCGAACATTTGTTGACTTCGCAGAAACGGAGTGAATTGTTGAAAAATGTGGGAATCGAGAGAAGCATTGTGAGTTGATTTATAATAGGAAGCCTTAAATTAATTATTTTTCCTTAGTTCCCGGATTTCGCGCCATTCCGATCGGCAAAATGTAACGCGGAAACTGCAATTAGTCAGCGAGGAATTCCACGCGCCAATCCGGATCATCTTCGACCAATTTTCGAGCGATTTGCTTCGAAAACTGTTGATGGAAAGAAATTGATGACATCCGAAGATTTTATTAGAAAATATTTGGGTTTGTATACGGAGGAGAATTATAATCGAGAAACTGTTCGATTGTTGGCATCGGCTGCTGATACAACTAAAGATGGCGATATTTCATTTGAAGAGTTTTGCGCGTTTGAAGCACTTTTATGCAGGTATATACAATATTTATAAGGGTTCTTTTTTGTGATTTCGGCAACATCGTTAGTGTTTTTTAAACCTAGTTATGACGTGGCAATTTTTTCAAAATGCAGGATTTTGAAGACTAATTTCAATTAAATCCTATTTTTTCTCAAAAAAAAAGATTGCCCGTTCTAATAAAAATTTTGAAGACTTTGAAATTTTCAAATATTTTTGAAACGTATTTTTTACTGTGATATTTATTTGCCGTGAAGCAGTGAAAAGATTTTTCGAAATGATATTCTCAAAAAATCCAAATTCGCCGTGAAATTTGGTTAAAAATAACTCTGCCACGTGGATTTCGCTCTGAAAAATTTTAAAAAATTGAGCTTTTGGTAAATTGTTCCTCACTGGCATTTTCGACGCTAAATTTGAACTCTGAATATGAAATTTTTATGTGGCAACTTTGTCACGTCATAATTTTTTTGTGTAGTTGTTTAAACTAGATTTTTTTTGAAAAATTCAATTTTTTCATTTTTCAGCCCTGATGCACTTTATTTGACATCTTTCGAATTATTCGATCGAAATGCATCTGATTCGATATCTTGCGATGAATTTGAAGCAATCATTCGACATACTCAACCACTTCATGATCAAGATTTCGATTTCAATTCTGATTTTATTAAAAGATATTTCGGAGCGTAAGTTTTCCCTTGGATTTTTGAAATAATTTATATTTTTTATAGTGACAAAAAACGTACAATAGGATATCACGCGTTCTGCCAACTTCTTCATGATTTCTATGAAGAACAAGGTATTCAAGCGTTCAAAAAATATGATAAAAAAGGAAATGGTACGATTTCGTCGTTGGATTTCCAACAAATTATGACGACTGTCAAAGGACATTTATTGACACCGTTTGTTAGAAATAATTTGATTGCTGTTAGTGGAGGAGGTGCAAGTGGACATAAGGTATGTTAAATAGAGGATGTTTTGATTTTTTTGGGAAATATTTTGATTGGAGTGATCTAACATCTGAAAAAAAATTTGAATAAGTTTAGTAAAAATGTTGAATTTTGAGCAATAGATATGATTTTTGAAAAAGCTTGACAGTTTTTTACATTATTTTTTTTAATTAAAAAATTCTCCAAGTTTAATATTTTGCATAAATAAATCTGCTCAATTTTCGTTGATTTTTTAGTTTCGCCACGTCATATCTCATTCTGAACGTGACCTAATTAATTATGACGTGGCTAACCAGAATTTCTGAAAAAATATAGATTTGTTAAATTTTCAAAATTTCGAATTATTGTTTCAATAATTTTTTCAAATTTAAAAATTTTGAGTTTTTTTTTAAGCTTGGCGTTTGGTTTTTTGCCACGTCATAACTTTTTTTTTCAAAAAAATTTTGTCTAGGAATTTCAAAATCATAGTGGTGTTTTAGACGTAAGTATCTCAAGAAAAATGTTGTAAATCTATAAATTTGATGTGGTTTCTCTTCTTTTTTTGCATGCTCTTTTTTTTACAGTTTTCGGATACACGTAGTGGAATTGTGAGTTTTTAGTGTAAAATTAACCATTTTTGTATGTTTTATTTCCTAACCAATATGTTGTCTTATGTCAAAAATTTAAAAAATTCAAAAAAAAAATCCAATTTTCAATGTTCCTAGGTAACTTTCCCATATTATGCGGCTTTCAATAGTTTGCTCGCAAAAATGGAATTGATTAAAAGAGTCTATGTTTCACAAGCTCGCGGAAATTTGGATTTGGAAATGACGAAAGAGGATTTCTTGCATGCGACACAAAGTTATGCACAAATTACACCATATGAGGTAGGTTACTGTAGTTCCTAGATTACTGTATGTATATTTTTCTTCAGGTTGAAATTCTGTTCCATTTGTCGGAATTGGCGCATCCTGGAAAGAAAACTTTGTCATTGAAGGATATTGAACAAATTGACCCTGAAAGGTTGGAGATTTCCTGTAAAACTAGAAAAAATCCTGATTTTTTCCAGATTGAAGCGAGTTTCTCAAATGGATCGAATTATTAATATCAAAGCAGTTCATCACAAAGATGAAAGAGGTGCTGGAATTGCGGTTAGTTTTTTTGCTGAAATTTTTTTGAAACACCTCTTTTTCTCATTGACTTTAATTTTGTTCCTGTTATAATCTTCATCAAAAAATAATGGAATTAGAAAATCGAGAAGGCTTTGGATTTTGAATTTTTTTTCAAACGTATTCTTAATTGGAACATTTTATTTTTTCAACCTCATTAGATTTAAAGCTCTCAAATCTTGCTCATATTAGACTTTCGAAAATTCGAATTATCGAATAAAGAAGCGAGCGTCGAAATTTTGAATACTATTTTGAAACGTATTTTTCAAGACTTTATTTGACAGAATTTTAAACTGAAAATACTAAATTATTTTTATTAAATTTCAAATTAGTTTTTTGTTTCTAGAGGGCCTAGTTTTTACATGTTATTTTATATCAAAAAGTTTTTTTTCATGAAAAAAATGGATTTCCAAAATATTTTACTCGGATATTCCAGATATTCAACAAATAGAAGATTTCTAAACTTCCCCAAAAATCCAAAAATCGATTTTTTTAGTTCCTCGAATCGGCTTATCGTTTTGCATTGGGATCAGTTGCTGGTGCTTGTGGTGCAACTGCAGTTTATCCGATTGATTTGGTCAAAACACGTATGCAAAATCAAAGAACTGGCTCATTTGTTGGTGAAGTTATGTATAAGAATTCGTTGGATTGTTTCAAAAAAGTTGTCAAATTTGAAGGTAACTCTTATATTTTTTTAAATTTTTTTTCCCATAATTTTTCATTGTAGGTTTACTCGGTTTATACCGTGGTCTTCTTCCACAAATCGTCGGAGTTGCTCCAGAAAAAGCCATCAAATTAACAATGAACGACTATATGAGAGATAAATTCACATCTGACGGAAAAATTCCATTATACGGTGAAATAATTGCCGGAGCAACTGGTGGAATGTGTCAAGTTGTGTTCACAAATCCACTCGAAATTGTCAAAATTCGCCTACAAACTGCGGGAGAAGTTCAAGGAGCCGGAAAGAAGGTAATGAGGGATTTCGTGCTTGTTAGAAAATGAAACGTTTTTTTTGCAGATTGGTGTATTCACAGTTTTGAAAGAGCTCGGATTCCTTGGATTATACAAAGGTTCACGTGCGTGTTTCCTTCGAGATATTCCATTTTCGGCGATTTATTTCCCAGCTTATGCACATGCGAAATTGGCAACTGCTGATGCAGATGTTAGTTTTTTTTGAATATGGGGATTTTTTTGGGTGCTCAAAATCCACGTGGCAGAAACCTTTAAAAATCAATAATTCAGAGCTCTGAATTTCAGGATTTGAAAATTGTTGAATCGAGAAATTTTTACATTTAAAAAATTATCTTTTTTTCACAGTTTATTTTTTAAAAATCCCAACATCTTTCAAAGTCGAATTTTTCGGTTTCTCTTTTTTCTATCAAAAAAACAATCCAAATTCAGGGAATCAACTCACCTGGATCACTTTTCTGCTCTGCTTTCATTGCTGGTGTTCCTGCTGCTGGTTTAGTTACACCTGCTGATGTTATTAAAACTCGACTTCAAGTTGCTGCTAAAGCTGGACAAACTACATATAATGGAGTTATTGGTGAGCTAGTCTAGTTTTTCTTGGCGAATATATTCCAAGTAATTTCAGATTGTGCCCGTAAATTATTGAAAGAAGAAGGTGCGGCCGCATTTTGGAAAGGAACCGCCGCTCGAGTTTGTCGTTCAAGTCCACAATTTGCCGTCACTTTACTTACTTATGAAGTCCTTCAACGTGTTTTGTATATTGATTTTGCTGGTTCACGACCTACTGGTTCTGAGGTAAGATTTTTTGAATTTTAGGGAACTGAAAGCATTCAAGGAAAAATGATTGTTTTTCTGAAAACTTATTGTAAACTTAAAAATTCAAATTTTTAGCTTCAAATTAAAATTTTTTGGCTGAAATTCATTTGAAAATTAAAATACGTTGAAAGCTAGGTTATACATTTTTTTTAATGACAACATTTTCAAAATTTTGAGGTATTTTTTGCGTTGAAAATTTTGAAAAAAAACTGAAAATTTCAGCCTAACACTGTCAGGATGAAAATTGTTATCTTTTTCAAAATTACACCATTTCTAAATCCTATTTTTATACAAAAATCCTCGTTTCTATCAAATATTCTCATAATTTTAAGCTGGCCACAACAAAAACGATCCAAGATGAATCATCGACAAATCCAGATCATGTTGGTGGCTATAAATTGGCTGCTGCAACATTCACTGGAATCGAGCATAAATTTGGACTTTTCTTGCCAAGGTTCGAAACGACTAAATAAGCGCATTTCGTCTTTTTATAAATTAGTAGAACTTCTTCTTTATATGTATACTCATTTTGTGATAGTTTTTGATTTATATATTACGTTTTCTCTTTTTCTTTTTTCCCGGTGCGAACGATTCCCCCCCAAAGGTTTATGAAAGTGCCTAATATAAGTATAATAAGATTTTTACGGACCCTTTATTCATAGATTTCTATACAGTTTTTCTCTTATTCTAATTTTATTGATTCAAAAATCAATTTGTGCTCGTTTTTATTTTGGTGGACTCAAATTTGGCTTCGATTTGTTGGCAGTTGGAGGAGCTGAAATAGAAAAAAAATCAATAATAATTTGGAAAATAATTGAGCGACTTACATTCTTGGAAAGAGTTCCAAGTTTGTTCAGCGTGAGCAGCACCAGTTTTCAAGACATCAACAGTTTCGATTGGATAACAGAATGCAGCCATTGTTGCTAATCCAATTGATGTTGTGAATGCGCGACCGACGGTTCCTCTGAAATTGAAAAAAATGAAGGAATTTCGGGATTATTGATTGGCTAGAAACCCGGATTTTGAATAAAATGAATCGTGCCTTTTACTTGCTTCAAAATCCGTTTTGTTAGAGGAGGGTAAAATAAGTACATACATTTGAATTGTCTCCTAAAAAGATAAATGACCGTTTTTACAATGAGGTTGCAAAATTTATAAAATTTTTGAAGCGTATTTTTGCCAGTCAGAGTAAATAATTTTCCAAAGTTTATTTTTTGGTAATTTTGCCACGTCATAAGTCGGTTTCGAAATTAGCAAGTTTAAGAAAATTCTAGAATTTTTTTTACAGAACACGGTTTCCAATAAATTGATTTTTTACATAGCATTTATGAAAATTTTTGAAACAGTGAATTTTACAAAACGTATATTTTTAGGTTTTGCCTTACAAAACGTCCTAAAAATGGCTCTGCTCTAGAAAAAAATCTGATAAGAAAATGAACCTTTTGAGTCCGAGAACAAATCCAGCCATTCCACCAACTGTAATTGCAGCAGCTTTTGGCAAAGCGGTCCATTCTTCAGTCAAATATTCATTAGCTCTAATTGCGGTATTTTTTGTGTGCGAAACGGCGGTGTCGACGATTTTGAATCGCTCCTGTAAAAATAAATATGTATATGTTTTAATTTTTGTTGAGATCTAGATTAAACTTACCGCAACTCTTGCGTATTCTTGTTGACACGCAATTCGAATTGTGGCAAATTCTCTTTGAAGTGGCAGTGGTTCTTCTGGCAGGAATTTTTGAGCGATTGGTGAATTGTCTTCGGCATAAAGTGGAAGCTGGAATTGTTTTATTGAAAATTCAATATAAACAGTAAAATTTTAAAATACACGATTAAATATCACAAAATTCTGCGCGAAAATTCAAAGCTTCTCAGAAACCGGAAAATTGTACGTTTTAATTTTAATATTTTTAATAAAAATTCAGATTGAAAATTGTTGATTTTTCCAAATAATTTTTCGACCCTATATCTGAAGCGTTATCAGATAAAATTTCAATCAATTTTCAGCCAAAAATGCTCACTTCATTAATAGTCAAATTTCTCGATTCGACTCCACTTCTTGTCGCTGGTTTCGATGTTACCAGTTGCCAGAATTGAGTAAGGGCATTTGTAACTTGATCTCCTTTTTCGGCGATTGAATTAACAATCGGCTTATCCGCCATATCTAAATCATTTTTCAAATATTCACTTCGAAAAATTAAAATTAAAAAAAAAGTATTTTTAATGGCTTATAACCATCTTCAAAATATCAATCAAAATTCAACAAAAAAATTGGAAAAAAAGTTTTTAGGAGATCTCAAATGGAATAACTTAAAATAATAAGGTAAAACATGTTGAACAAAAACACAGCGTGAAGAAAAAAATTATTTGAGAAGGGGAAACAAAAAATTAATAAATTAGGAGCGAGATCTTCCCCGACGTGTTGGTGGAGAACGAGAACGACTTGCACGATTGAAGCGACTTGGGCCAAGTGGTTGAGAATTGGCGCCAGAGCTTCTTCCGCCAGGTGGAGAAGCGCGGCGACGTGGACTTCTTGAGCTAAAAAAATAAATTTGATAATTTTATTTTGAAAGGGAACTGTTTGATTATATTGGATCCAAGGTTCTGGAGCTCCAGGTGGGAGAAAACTTCAGAAAATTTAGGTTTCTGTAGAAGTTGAGTTATATTATATTTTTTTTAATAAATAAAATTTTCTAGAAGTTTTTGAAACGCTGATCATCATGATCATGATCAGATCATGAAAAACTACTTAGCCCAACTCTAATTATGAGTCCAAATATATGACGTGGCAACACATTTGAAAAATCGGATCAAAACTGCTCCCTTGTAAATCAAATTTTTTTTCTTCAAAAAAAACTAACAATCTTCTTCCTGGTGGTGATTTTCTTCCAATTGGCGATCTTCTTCTTGGTGGTGATCTACGACTATAATTCGATCTATTTACTGATTGTTCAACACTAATATGCAATCCATCAATTTGTCCACCATCCATGTATTTGATCGATTTTTCAGCGTCTTCCAAATTTTCAAATTCCAAATAACAAACTCCACGATGCAAATATGGATGCGAACGATCAACTGGCAAATCGATGACTTTGATTGCACCATATGTTGAGAAAATCTCTTCGATATGTCCTTTTTGCACATTCTTACTAAGATTTCGCAAACAGACGCGTTTTGATGGACTGGGAGAACGACGTGGGCTTGCGCGTCGAGCAGCGACTGGAGAACGTCTTCTTCCGCGGCTTCCGCTTCGATCGCGACGACGAATTGGTGAAGGTGAACGGCGTCGACGTTGTGGAGATGGTGAACGGCGGCCACCGCGTTCCGCGCGAGCGAAACCGCGGACTGGAGAGCGATTGGCTGAACGAGAGCGTGAACGGCGACCCTAAAAAAATCAATTATTTATTTTTTTTTTGACGTATTTCCAAATCAATTTTAAAATGTTAAAAAAATAAACTTACTCTAACTTCTCGTCTTCTTGTTGGAGATCTTGATCTTGAACGCGATGAACTTGAAGAGCTCGATGATCTTGAACCAGATGAGCTGCTTCCAGATGAAGACGAACTACTTGATGAAGAACTCGAAGAAGAGTTGGTGCGTCTTCTTTCCGCTGCTTTTTTGTTGTCAGCCATTCTACAAAAAAAATTTAAATAAATATTATTTTGGCAAACAAAAACAAGAAATGAAGAGAAATACTCGACGACGTATTAAATTGCGGGCAGATGACGCCTGTTGTGTTGTTTTAAAAATGTTTGTTGACCTTTTCTGCTGGAAATTTTGGAATTCTTCAGAAGAATAGGAGGATCAAAGAATAAAAATTATCACATTTTTCTTGAAATTTGGAACACTTCGATTCTCGAAAACACGAATGTTGCACTTCAAAAAATCGGAACATTTTTTGGCGAAAAAAACTAAATGAAAACGGGCATGCTAAACTGCAGGCAAATGCGTAAATGCGGAGCAACGTTATTATTATTTTTTAATTTTTTCGAAAAAAAATTATAAAAATTAGGCCTGTTTTTGAATTGGGTTATTTTCATAGCAATAATGAAGTTTTAAATTTTATTTGAATAGTTTTTTGAAATATTTTTGAATACGGGTTTATCCGATAGTTTCTTTCTTGTTAGAGAAAATTAGTTTTTTATTATTGAATTAAAAACACGTGAGAAATAAAAAAACTAGGTCAAGTGATGTGGATTTAAAAACAGTATAGGTAGCCATGTCGTCAGTTGCGATGCGTGTGGGCGACACGTTTTTAGAAATGAAAATTTGACAAATCCAATGGAAAATATCGAGGTCAACACGCAACGCCGAACCGCATCGCAACTGACGACATGGCTACCTATACTGTTTTTGAATCCACGTCACTTGACCTAGTTTTTTATTTCTCACGTATTTTTAATTCAATAATACTAAATCAAGTATATTTCAGGTAAAAATGAACTCTCACACTGCTCGAATACACTTTCTGGTATGTCAGTACTGTGAAAAGAGGGTTGACCGAAAAAATATGACTAGAGTTCCGTGTGTTCCACTTATAAGAGAAAAATGGGTGAAAATTCTTGGCCCAAAATTTGCCGAAAATGTGAAGAAATACAATAAAAAAGATTCAAAGGATTTTGGTCGAATTTGTTGGGCACATTTTGAAGAAGATGGAAAACGGAGAAAACAAGGACAACTTCCAATTCGAATGAAAGATTGTCAAAAACAATCTGTTAGTAAAGTGAGTTTCATTGATTTCAACTCTAATGTTATTTCACCTAAAATATTTTCAGCCATCTCCAAAAGTGTTATCGCGAAAGTGCTGTTATTGTAGAAAATCGCAAACAGACGATCAGCTGAAACGAGTTCCGACTGAAGATCGTGAAAAATATATTGAGATACTCGGACCGCGTTTTGCCGAAAATTTGGAGAGGGTTAAACATGGTTGTATTTGCATCGCACATTTCAAAGGATTTGTTAAGAATCGAAGACATCAATTACCATTCAGAATGGAGGAAGAAAGCGAAGAGGAAGAGGAAGAAGAAAACAAAATAGAGGTAGAACAATCTGATGAAGGCGAAGAGGAACAGGAGAAACATGGAGAAGAACAAGAAGAACTCATGAATGATGAATCGAACGATTTTCTGGAAGGGGTAAATTTAACGCAGGGAAACGGAATGCAAGAAATACAGGAGACTGTATTATTGACAGTGAAAATGGAACAACCGGAAAATAAGAATTTCTGTCGTTATTGTGAGACAGAATTGAATGCCTCAATTAAATCAATCGAAATTCCAACAAATACCGATGAGTTTATCAAATGGTCGAAAGTTTTTGGCAGCAAGTTTTCGAATAATGTTTTTGGAAACCCAAAACCACATTTCGTTTGTATGTCTCATGTTTTTGAGAAAAATTGGGTAAATTTTTAAATATGTTAATTTTATTTGTTTTTGTCATGTTTTTGAAAAAAATTGTTAAATTTGTTAATTTTTAAGAATGATGAAGCTTTAAATTGTATTTGAAAATATCTTTTGAATTCGGTTTGAACCGATAAATATTATTTGTAATCGGAAACGAGTATTCTCCGCCTCAAAAATGAAGATTGTGAGGTTTTCAGGTTTCCCATAAAAAATAAAGGTTCCTCTTAGACTTTCCCGGGAGGTACTGTAGGGTTTGCGCGTGGTTTTTGTTGTTTGGTGTATGCAGATTTTTTTCAATAATTTTTTTTCAGCCACAGTTTTCGGATGAATGAGGCAAGCACAAGTGTTGTGGAATATGATATAGAAAGTACGCAGGATGGCGGCGAAGTCAAATTTATATGTAGACCAACCTGGATCGATAAATTTGAAACAAAAGGTAGGAAAACATCTACTCGACATTAAAAACAAATGAAAAAAATTAACTTTCAGGCGTTCGAGACTTTCGATTATTGCTAGAAGAATTTGTAGAGCAATTTCTCAATATCAATGGACTTTTACCAAGTGTTTCAAGAATGTTTGTTGCCGTTTTACAAAGTTATGGAGTTTTAATCACATGCGAAACAAAATCAAAAATTCGAGGAATCGATTCAATTCCAGTGAGAAAATTGAGACAACGTAGTAATATTGATGAAATGTTAAGAAAAATTTCGAGTATAACTGATCAACTAAATATGACTCAATTTCTAAAAAACTCATTGCTGAAAACAGGCACAGGAAATGTGGGTTCAGTTGCATCAACAATTGTTTCGAATCGTTTGGATCTTTGGTATTTATCATATTCTGATTATGAAATTGGATTGGAATTGAAATTATCATCTTTGGGTCTTTTACGAGAATTACATTCAAGAAAACGAATGGTTGAATTTCAAAATGCAAAAGTTTTACATTCGAAACAAGATCGAACGATTTCAACATTATTAGTACATTATACATTTTCTGCACTTCAGGTAGCTATTCGAAAAATAAAATCACCTTTGAGTTTTGTTGGTGATCAAATAATCCAATTATCACATTCGCATATCGTTAAAATGAGGCATTTACAATTCGAGAGTGATTTATTAGGACATTTGAATGAACTTTTGATATGTAGTTTGGCATTAGATCAAAGAAATGTGCAAGAAGAATTATGCGAAATGGAAGGATTGATTCGAAAAAAAAGTTCGCAGGTAGGTATCAAATCCCGGGATCTGATTTTCGAAAAAATTGATGTTTTCAGTACTTCATTCCATGGAATGCGTGGAGTATTGTTTCACGCTACGAGCGAAATTTGGGAACATCAAATCCTGCCGCATTTATTATCGATGCAACTCGTTTAGCAGACTCGGTTTCAGACGATGAAATCAGTCAGAAATCAGTGGTTTTTGTGGAGGAAGCGTGTAAAATTTGGAAGAATTGTCACACTTATGAACATGAGATGTAAATTTTCTCATTTCTCAAAGCTTTCTCTATGAAAAGGTTTTTATTTAAGCTTATCAATCATCACCGAATTCACCAAAACACACCCACAAAATGGTCCAAGAATGTTGGAATTGGCGAAATTTTGCAATATTTCGTATGAAATCGACGCTCTTATCCAAGATGTGAGTTATATTTTACTATTTTAGTATTGAAATTTATAGTTTATCAACTATTTTGTGCTTGTCAGATGTGCGGAGGTGTTGATGAAAAACTTCATCCGGCAAATGAGATTTGGTTAATTTGGATCGAGAGAAAATTGAATAATGTTAATCGATTTGGTGATATTGAATCGAATATTCGATCTTGTTTGACTGCTATTTTTAATTTTCTGGATTATGATTCGAACAAATTTTCTCAGAAAGCTTGGGAACTTATTCACAAAACTGTTCAAGTTGTGAGTTGGGCAGGGGAAAGTTGCAAAATTAAAAAAAAAAAAAGTTGCAAATTTTTTTTAATCCCAGCAAATTCAAAAATCAAAGCGCCATATCAAATTTAAATATTTTTGTGCCATATTTCAGAAATTTAAAATAAGAGTTTTCAGAATCAAAAATGAGAAATTGCAAGCTGAAAATCAAAAATTATTCTTTAAATTCAATCTTTTAAGTTGAAAAAAAGTGCAATTCCAAAATTTTCGCACCAAATTTTGGGGCTCAAAAATGTTTGTTATTCAAATCCATTTCTCTAGGCTCGCCCTCAAATGGTCTACGAAGAATGGGAAATGCGTCGCAAATGGTGGCCTCGTTTTCACCGCAATTCCTACAATTTCTCATTAAAAACTGAAGTTCTTGACGCACTTGAACAATTGAATTCTTCCTCTTGTTTTTCTTGACATCAAACTACACACGTTATTTCAACGTGATATACTTATTTGTGAGGAATTTCTAACTAAATAAATAAGATAGGATTCAGGATTGATGCTTTTGTCAAAATTGTCAGCTGAATTAGCTGATTTGGATGGAGAAATTGGAGAATTGGATAAACAAATTGGACAATTGCGAAGGAAAAAAGCAGAGTTACAACAAAGGAAAGTTGCTGTAAGTCTAGATTAAACAAAAATTTCAACAAAATTCAATTTCTATTCAGATCGAAAGAAAAATTGAGATAAAAAGCAATGAAGATGATGATGTTGTATTAGAAAGATGGGATAAAGATGGATTTGAATGGTCTGAAAATGCTAGAAAAGTGTTGAGAGAAAACTTCAAATTGGATGATTTTCGACCACTTCAAAGAGCCGCTATCAATTCGGTTATGAGCAAAGAAGATGCTATTGTTATTTTGAGTACGGGCGGTGGGAAAAGTTTGTGTTATCAATTACCAGCGCTTCTTTCGCAAGGTAAGATTCAGTTTTGAGAAGAGACTATGTTATGTTGAAAATTTTAGGTCTTACATTGGTAGTTTCGCCGCTGATTTCACTTGTCGAAGATCAGATTCATCAATTAACAAAACTTGGAATTGAAGCGGCTTGTTTGAATGCGTCAACTTCGAAAGAAGAGAATAAACGAGTTGAAGAAGCGATTACCAATAAAAATTCGAGTTTTCGACTTTTATATGTGACTCCGGAAAAATTGGCGAAAAGCAAGAGAATAATGAATAAACTCGAGAAATCATTAGCTGTTGGATTTTTGAAACTTATTGCAATTGATGAAGTTCATTGTTGTTCACAATGGGGACATGATTTCAGGACAGATTATGCTTTTTTGAATGTTTTGAAAAGGCAATTCAAGTAAGTTGAGGGGTCAAAAAATGAATTCCAAATTTATTCTCACAATCAAAAAAAATAAGTATTTTTTCAGAGGTGTTCCGATTCTTGGTTTAACTGCAACAGCAACTTCAAATGTTCTAGAAGATGTCAAAGAAATGTTGGGAATTCAAGCTTGCCTCGTTTTCCGCGCTGGATTCAACAGACCAAATTTGAAATACGAAGTTCACCCAAAATCAAGTTCCGAAGAAGAATGTGTTGGAGAAATCGCGAAAATAATCAAGACGCGATTCGAAAAACAAAGTGGAATTATCTATTGTTTATCCAGAAATGATTGTGAAAAAGTTGCGAATTCTTTATCGAAATTGGGAATAAAAGCAAAACACTATCATGCATATTTAGAACCGAAAGATCGAAGTAAAGTGCATGAAATGTGGTTGGATTCGAAATGTCAAGTTATTGTTGCGACTGTTGCTTTTGGAATGGGAATTGATAAACCCGATGTTCGTTTTGTTATTCATCATTCAATTCCGAAATCTGTTGAGAATTATTATCAGGTTTGTCATTTTTTTTAAATTCAGAATTTGAAATTCGAAAAACTGGAAATCTTCATGCTTTTGCGTCATTTTGAAAAATGTTCAAGGAAATTGAAAAAAAATCCAGAATTTTTTACGTTTCAAAAACGTATCGAAATCTTCTGATCAATTGGAGATTTGATTTATTTTCTTTATGAATTTTCCTCTTGTCTTACTGTACATTTTTGCGCAGAAATTCCACGAGGAAAATGAAACCAAAAATGCTCATTAAAAATTCCTGAATTTTTTACGTTTCCAAAACTTAGTAAACATTCTTGAAAGATCAATTATTCCAATTTACGTGCAAAATCTTTGAACATAAATTTCAAATTTTTTGAGGAAAGTGGTAGAGCTGGAAGAGATGGAAAACTTGCAAATTGTATACTTTTTTATCGCATGGCTGACATTTTCAAACAATCAACAATGGTTCAACAAGAAAAAACGGGTGTTGCAAATCTTTATAATTTTGTTCGATATGCTTCAGAACCAAATACTTGTCGACGAGTTCGATTAGCTGAACATTTTGAAGAATCTTGGGAATCGAGTTGGTGCCAAAAAATGTGTGATAATTGCGAATCTTCTTCTTCTTCTTCAATTCGACAAATCGATGTTAGTAAAGAAGCTCAAATTACAATTGAAATAATTCGAGAAAATTTGAAAAATGCAAAAGATGGAAGTGGAAAAATTACGGGCAATAAATTATTTGAATTGCTGACGAAAAAGTTGAAAAATAGTCAGACGAAGGAATTTTGCGAGAATTTGATCACTTTTTTGTTGTTGAACTCGTATTTACAAGAGGATTTTCATTATACGGTTTATTCGGTTATCAGGTGAGTTGTCAAATTCAATTTGGATAGCCTGGGATCTTTTTTGCACTCCATGTAATTTTGTTTTTGCAGCTACGTTGTTGTTGGTCACAAATGGCAAACTTATGATGGAAAATCTCCGATTTTTATGAATGTTAAAATTTCGAGAAAACGAAAAGTTTCTGAAGATTTTGTTGTTTTAGATTGAATTTTTAAGTTGAATAAATATTGAAATTTTTTTTTGTTTTGTGTGTTAAAAAATGGTTTTTAAAAAACCATTGCGATATTTATTCCCATTATTTTGTATTCAAAAAACTTAAAAAATCAATCAGATATTTTGAAAGATGCCAAAAATTCGCTCGAATTTATGCGTTCCTTTAGAGGCGCTGAAAAAAGTTGGAAATGTTGAAGAAAAAATGGAAATTGGAGAGGAAAGGAATTTGGAAAAATTTAGAGATCTTTGTGAGTTTTTTTTTTAATTTTTGGAGTTCGACTAAAAATTATTAACTGAAAAAATGAAATTTTTAAAAAGTTAAAATTTTGAGCACACAGGAAATGTCTAAGAATAACTAGAAAGTGCCAAATTTTTGCACAACATTAGAAAAGTGAGCGGGGCAAACGGTTTGGTAAATAGACGAATTTTGAGAAATTATCGATTGAAATTTTTATTTAAAAAATTTTCAGACCTTGTCGTATTTTTCAGGTGTAAAATGTGGAGTTTTTGGAGCAAAAGATGGATCGGGTTATGCGGAATTCGGAAATACTATGGTTTTAGCGCAAATGTAAGTCTTAATCTTTATTTAATCTTCCTAAAAAAATGTCTTCAAAAATTTTAGAAATGGACCGGATGGAGATGGAAAATGGGAAGAGAATTATGCAAAAATCACGGTATTTTCGAAAAAATTTTGAACTAAAAACAGTTTACAGAAAATTATTTATAGATTAGTTTGAAAGGCGTGGATGAGCAGAAAAATGCACAATATCGCGGGCAAATCACATCAGCAATTAGTGCAATTATATTTGCCAATAAATATCCGGGAAAAGTTATTGATATTGAGGTGAGGAATTTTGAGGGGAACCTTGGAATTTCGGAGCTCAGGTTCACGGCTCAAATTAGAAAATTTTCAGAAATTTTATTATTTTCAGGTGACTGTTTTAGCGGATGATGGTGGAATATTGGCTGCATCTTTGGTGGCAGCTTCATTGGCTCTTGCACATTCTGGAATTGAGGTAACTTTCGCTGAAAATTCGGATTTTAAACTTTAAAATGAGCTCCAAAATGTAAAAAAAATCCCGTTTTTCCTTCAGAATATGGGTCTAATGTCAGCTGCACATATCGGTTTAACAAAATCTGGAAAATATATAACTGATCCAAATATTGAAGAAATCGATAAAAATGAGATTATTGGTGGAATCACTCTTGCAATTGTTCCAAATATCAATCAGGTATTTTCCCTCTTCCCAACCTCCCCTCATCCTATTTTCTTATTTTTCCAGATAACATGCACTGATATTTATGGTCGTATTCCTCTGCCAAAAATTCCCGATTTATTAGAGTTTTCGAAAAATCGTGCAATTTCAATTATTCCCACACTTCACAAAGCTGTTTTGAATAGTGTTAAAGAGAAATGAGGTATTTTTTATTGTTGAATATTTTTGTTAATTTTTGTTGTTGTCTGATTTTTATTCATAATTTTTATATACAGGGTGACACATAATTATTTGTGCATCAAAAATTCCATATATCTCTGTTCAAAAACAACTAATGATCTTAGATATTTTTTATATTTCTTTCCTAACAGTACTAGTTTAAAGTTTTTCATTCGATTAGTGATACATTTTTCATGTTTTTTGAATATGCACTTCGATTTGAGTTAGATCAGGTTGAGCTCTGTACGCACGGTTGAGCAGATGTTCATTGAATTTTATATTGTATCAAAATATCCGAGAAACTATTATTGCGTGGATTTTATTCATATATGGTTAGGAAACACCCAAAAAAAATTTTGGCTCCTGACATCACGCACAACAGTAATGAGCTCATGTAATGGATTTGCACAAAAAACAAGAAAAAAGTCCAATTTTCACATTTTCCTGATAATCCAAGTATCAAATCGTTTTACAAATGACTTCGATTTTCTAAAAGCACAAAAACATATCAGAGATACGTTTCTAGTTTGATTTATAACCATTCTCGGTCAAACATATACATTCGGAGCCGAAATATGGTTCAAAAAGCTGATTTTTGAGGTGTTTTGGATTTTCTCACTGCATAGTACCAAAAATTATTTTAACAACAAGACTGTAACTGTAAAAAGACTAAATTTGATATAAGAAATAATATTTGAGAGCTCAACTATGAATATGACAACAGATACAATCAGGCTTTTGAGTGAAATTCAGAATTCATCAAAATTGTGCAAACTGCGTACATGAGATTTTTAAAATTTTCTTCAGTCGACCTAAATCCAAAAAAAATTGGTGAAAACTCTCTAAAACTTTTCTGGTGTAGTTTTTATCGTATTTTTCAAATTTTCCAACTTCGAAGTCACGTTTTCCACGCTTTAAACCTAGTTTTTAGTGCGAAACATGATTTTTGGGGATTTTTCGTAGTTTTTCAACACCTGCATGGGATCTGGGAATAATGAATGATGATCAACTTTCATTCAGTGAATTTTATACATTTTGATACACTGAAAAACATCAAAAAATAATATCTCATCTATAAATATCAATATCGTTATAAAATACTGATCCAAAAACTAGAGGTTTGTAAAAAAGGCAATATCAGAAAAAAATTTGGCCTTATTTTTTTTGAGGATCACACCAATATGGTGTTATTAGATCTATGATCATATTATCGATGTTTTTAAGTAAGTTGGATATGACGAACGGACTGCAGTTTATACTTAGTGAAAATATTAACAGAGACTCATGTACCGTTGCGTCAAAGTCATGCACAAATAATTATGGGTCACCCTGTAAAATCCAATGAGCCATGTGTTTTGAAACATACAATTTTCTTCATTCCTCATAAAAATTCATTTTAAAAATGCTGATCGAATATCACCTTTTCTACACTCTTATTTATAATGAAACAACTAAAATAGATCCTTTACAAATCCATTATATTGAACCTTATCGATATATTCGTTTAGTTATAAGAACTATATTAATGGTCGCTAGCTTGTTAGTTTTATCAATAGTTAAAAAACGAATTTCAACTAGTTCATTTTATTATTTATTTTTTGTTATTGGTGTAATCAATTTCATATCATGGTTTACTTTTGAGTTATCTTATATATTTTATTATCTTAATGCATCATACTTATTCAATATCGAACAAATTTCATACATCTCACACTTCATAGCCTATGATGCTGTTATGTTTTTGAATGTAGCATCAGTGATTAATAGATACACCTCGACTTTTCTGTGTTATAACACAATTTGGAAGAAAACTTTTATGAATATTTATATTCTTTTAATTTCAATCATCTCATTTTTCATCAATTTATTCACCTTTGATAATTTAGTTGATGTTTTTGTACTTGATGAAAATGGTCGATGGAATACCCAAAACATATTACAACCTAGATTAAGATCGACAATTATAGTTTTGAAATTTATAACTGATTCAATATTCATTATTTTAACCTATTCAACACACTTAAAAATTAAAAGACTGCAAATTGCCAAAGAGAGTGTGAGTGGGTGGAAAAAGATCATAGAAAACCCATTTAAAAAACAGTTTTCCCGCTATTTTCAGAGTGCTTTCAAACTCCTCGTTTTACATATCCCTTCACTAATCATATTTGAAATTTATCAAATACAATCTTTTTTTCTTTACGAGGATACAAGTTTTTTGGCAAATGTGGTTTGTGAATTTATGTACTTGTTAGGCGAACTTAAACTTAGCTCTTAAATATTTTCAGCTGAGCAATCTCCTATTTTTCGAATATATCGAAAACTCTTTTCTGATATTCATTATCAATAAAAACATACAAAAGGAATTTATCGATAGACTGATTTTTTGGAAGGCTAAACATAATAATGTGTCATCTTTTGTGGTCACCATGTGATCAATACTAGAATCTCCAAAATATTCAGATTATTTTATGTTGAATTCATTGAGCCATCGTGAAAATTTATTCGAAACATTCGTATTTTACTCATGAACTAACTGTTATCTTGCAATATTTCTATGTACTGAAAATCTTTCGATCTGGAAATTTTCCATATAAAAAAAACAGTTTTGAAAGTAAACATTTATTTTTATCAACTTGGACTTTTAGTTTCCTGATAGAGAATTCGGATATAATAATTATTGATTAGGTTGATGCGGAAAAGGACGTCCACCACCTCGTTTTTCTGCAAAAAAAATCTGAAATTTCAGAAATCCCGCAAAAATTCTAATGAAAATCCTGTCCATCAATCAAAACATGTGACGAAAAGCAATTCTTTTGTGTATTTTTTCTTGAAAAAAAAATGAATAAATTGAGTTTTTCTGCTTTTCATTTCATTTTTTTTCAAAAAAAAAAAAAAATGTGCGCGCGCGGAAAAATATGGGTGAAAAAATTACCAATGGTGTATTTGTGTGTGTCTGTGAGTGTGTTTGGGTGAAGAAGAAGAAGAAAGAAGAATAGGAAGAAGAAGGAAGCATAGAATAGCAGAAGAAGAAGCTTAGAAGCCTTCTCTTTACAAACCATAACCATAATAAGCTGGTTGAACCATCATCATATCTTCATCGCGTTTTGAGTTATCAATGAAGGCGCGAGCTCCACCACGTTTTGAAAAAACACGGCCTCCTCCTGCAAAAATTTCTGTTAGTGTTAATTTTTATCTTAATTTTTCTATAGATTCACAAAAGCTCTATGACATACATAATTTTTGAAAAAGTAAATTTTTTACTGTGCAATTTTCTGAAAAGAAAAGATTTGCCTATCGAATTCGATTATTCAAATTTTTTTCATATTGAAATTTTGAAACAGTGGAATTTTTTATAACAAAAATTCTCAATTGTAGTTTTTTCTCGCATCTACGAAAATCTAAGAAAATTTCTGGAACCCCAATCCCAAAAAAAAATCCAACCTCTTTTCTCATCATCTCCAACAAAAGCTCTAGCTCCACCGCGTTTCTCATCTCCATCATAATATCCCGAAAATGCTCGTGCTCCACCTCTCTTATCATTGAATCCCGAGAAAACTCGTGCACCACCGCGTTTCAATTGAAATGCTCGGGCTCCGCCACGTTTCTCCTCTTCTCCACTTTCTGCAATATCCGAAAATGCTCGTGCTCCACCGCGTTTTTCATTGAAACCCGAAAATACTCGGGCTCCGCCACGTTTTAGTTGAAATGCTCGAGCTCCGCCACGCTTCTCATTGTCATTTTCATCGTCGTCGCTGAATTGAGCACTTGTGAGCACTGAAATGAAAGAATTTTGGGTTCATTGGAAGCAAATGCGCTCTAGCGAACAAAATTTGTAGTATCAGACTTAGACTAACTTCGGACAATCAAAATTTCATACTTGATGATTAGAAAACAAATTCTCAAGATCAGTTTTTAGATATTTTCTAAAACTTTTGAAACGTAAAAAATTGAGTTTTTTTCATTCTGGATAAATATTGGATCATAATTTTTCACGAAAACCAATAACTTCAGATTCTCGAATGTTTCTTTAGTTCCGGAGTTTCTAATTTTTTATCCCCTAGAAAACGCGGAACAAAAAAATCGACCTTTTAAAATTCACATTTTTGACATCAAAGTCTAATCTATTATTCATTTATGAACCAGGTTTTTTATTTTCGTTTTTCGCTTTCAAAAAGACAAAGACACCTATAAAATTGAGTTATAAAATGTCTCAGCGGACCCTCGTTTTTTCTCTAGTTCAGCTCACATTCATTCATCATTTTCCGATAACATCACCACAAAAAATGGGCTTTTTCTTGTGAATTCTCACGGGATTTCGTTTCTTTATTTGGTTTTTCTGGTTTTGTTCGAAAAAAAGAACGGAAGGAATGTAAGTGGGAAGGAAGTTTTTCGAACGAACGAACTTTGATCAGGAATTTTTTTTGGTGAAAAAAGTTATCTCTTTTTTCAAAAACTACTACAGTATGAAGTTCTCTTTTCCTCGAAGGCTCACGTAAAAATTCGAGCCAAGAAAAATATTTTAAAACTTCAAATTGACACTAACCCAATTTTGTGTACCAAATACTATGAGGAAATTAATTATAATATGAGCAATCCTCAAAGAAATTAATATGAGCAATAATAATCTTATGTTGGATTGCTCGTTCAAGTTTTGGCCAGTTTATTCGTGGAGCTATTTTCTACAGTAGTAGAAAATACCGTAATCCAGGAATATTAAGAAAAATAACATCCCAATTATCCGAAGTTCATTTTCTAAAATTTCAGAAAAATTACAGTAACCTTAAAATTTGAAAATGAAAATTTTCCGAGTTTCCCCAGGTCTGTATTTTCTACTTTCACCAAAAATCGGAGTATCGTTGTTTTTTTTTGGTTATTGTAAATAAATCATCTCTGAACCCTTTCAGAATCTCTCAATTTATGAAAAATTGACATTGACACTAATTTGAGCCTAAGAAAAGGAATCTTGTTTTTCCTCACTTTCTGATGCGAGAAAAGCGAGAAAAAAAAACGTTCCCCGGATGTTTTTTCGTTGTTCCTTTTGAAATTTAAATTGTGTAGTGTTCAAGATTAGGGGTTTCGAGAAAAGCGAGAATTTAAAAGGAGAATGAAAATGAAAATGACTACTGTACTTTGACGATAATAGTGCAGAGTTAGTTAATTGAAAATTGTTAGAGAAAAAACAAAACAAAACAATTTCCGCGAGGAATGTGTTTATTCGAAAAAAAATTTGAATTTTCAAATTGTGCCGCTGAAATATCCAGGCGTAAACGCGGAGTATCGTTGAAAACGATTTCTCTAGAAGATTTTAGGATTGCTCATATTAATTATCCCCATTCACCCTACAAAAGTCCGTTTTTTTTGTGATGACGTGTTAGCCACATCTTTTTTTCTTTAAAAAACTTCAATTTTTTGTCCTAGAAATTTCCATTGTTTTCTCTTACAAGTTGAATTATTCAACCACCTTTTCCTTTCCTTTTATTCTATGTATTTCCAAAAAAACACACAGGGATTTTCTTTTTTTTTGTTGTTTTTCAGACCGCCGACCTGAAATTAATTGTTTTTCCGGGGCTTTTGCGATTTTAATGAAGAAAAATAGATATTTTTTTTTGGATGTTCGAAGATTACCTAGGGATGAGAAACGGGAAAAACGAGGGCCAAATTGAATTGGATTTTGGGAACTTTTTTTGGTGGCAGCAAGAAAATTCGATTTACATGAAATTTTGTTTTATCAAAAGAAAAGAGCCATTGAGCAAAATGCGTGGAAAAGTTATGACGTGGAACATTGAAATGTTAAAAATTTTGTCGGTTCAAAAACGGAACTACTGTATTTGACATATTGCAAAGTGAATAATGCCTGCAAAATTCCTAATCTAAAATTAGAACTTAACCTAACTCAAAAAAAAGTTGTCATTCAGACTGAAAAGGCCTAAAATGCTTAAGCCTTAAGCCTATTTTAATCCAAATCTAAAAATTTGAGTTTTTTTCAAGCCTGGAAATTCTTAGATTTTTTTCAACTGGAATCTGAAAAAAGTAATTTTTAAAACTTTTGTAAAAATTCATGAATTTTTGCAAATTTACCAACTTGAATAATATCCATTTTCTCTCCCATTTCTCTCTTTCCTACTGTACCTCCCTTTAAAAATCAAAGATCTTACCTGTCAATAGTACACAAGAAAAAATCACAAAAATCGAAAAACAGCGCGACGAAAACATGTTTAGAGAAGACGGCCGAATAAAAGAATGAAGTGTGGAGCAGCTCCACCCCCTGAGCAGCAGTGAAAAATCCCCTTTTCTTCGGTGGGCGGAGCCAGAGTGTTATGACGTGGCTGCTTGGAAAAATGCCATGCGACTTTTCTTTTTTTTTTTGTTAATTAGAGAGTTTAAAGGCGCATGAGTTAATTGGTAGTATTTTTGGAGTGGTCGAAAAACTTTCAATGTTTTTTTAGGGAAGAAAAAATTGGAAAAAAAGAAGGGAAGAAGATTTGAGAAGGACACTATTTTTGTTTTTTTGGAAAATCGAATCGGATTTAAATTTAAATTTAGATTCAGAAGTAGATTTGGTGAAAAAGGAGGGAAAGAAAGTGCTTCTTTACGATTTATTTATTTTCTGGAAAAAAAGAAAACAAAATAACCTAAGGATTCTGAAATTCCAGGATTCGCGCCAAAACCGACCCACAGTACTCTTTCTCAATTGGGTCTCGCAACGATTCAATAAAATAAACATGTTTTCTAACGGTTTTTTATTTTTTGAATTGTCCCATAAAATTGAAAAATTATGGGGTTCGCAAAAATTGATTTTCAGGATTTCGAGTTTTCAAAATTTTAAATTTGGAATTTTAATTTTCATAAAAAATTTTTTTTAATTCAAAATTTTTCGCGCCAAATATCTGAGATACTGTAACCCTGATTTAACTTTTTTTGAAAAATTTCATATACCTCACTTATTTGGCTGGAATTCCTTGTATCAAAATTTTGCGTCAACAAAAACCTGTTCCAGATAGGCGCGTTCCAGCTCATAAACACATGATTTTATGCGCGCAATTAATCATTATTATTATTTTTCATATATTACGCAACACTTTCTTTTTTCTCTTTTACAGACTTGTTTTTTATTTCATTTTTTGCATATCTTTTTTATTTTATTTGCCATCAAAATGTCAATTTTCTTGTTATTTTCAATACTTATAATAATAAATCTGAGATTGGCTAATTCGGAACAATTTGATATTGAATTATTACCAGGTATGCTATCAAATCAAAGAGCAAAATTGTGCTAAGCAAGTAATTTTCTGGCTCATAAATTATTCATAAATCGAACACTTAAAAGTAACTACTTAACTTGTAAATCACATTTTATTTTGCAATAATCAGAAAACTTCCTACAAAAAACACGTAGCATTCATATTTTCTTGCAGAAAACTGCGATTGTCGAGATTATTACGGAAAATGTCGAAAAAATGGGGAAAAATGGGTTGATGACGAGGGAATTTGGAAATATGAATGTGATCAAAAAAATACTAGATTTTTGGGATGTGAAGAAATCAGAGTTGGAGAAAATCGAACAATTGATGGATTATGGTATAGTTGTGAACAAGTTCAGGATATTAAGTTGAAATATAGTATTGGTAAGGGGAAATAAATGACAACGATACTACGCAATTACGATTAGTCACAATCTTCTTGAAAACTTGAAAATAATAAAACAACGACAATCCCCAATTTCACTTGTGAAATTTGTGCGGGATTTCAAAATTTTCAGAACCTCACTGCACCAATAATGAGCAAAAAATTCGAGTTGGCGAAGAATATCGAGATGGAACATTTCAATGGCTCTGTTTGTCAACCGGAAAATGGATTACTGGTGGGAAAAATTTATTTAAATTTAGTTAATCAAAGCCTCAAAAAGACTTCTGGGGTTTTATTTTATTAACCAAAAGCTTTTTACAATTTTTTGTCAGCTCTGATTTTTCAGGATGTTACTACTCAAACGAAACTCAATCAGATATTTTGCTTCGAGTCGGCGAATCTGCCTATAATGGCCTAATTCAACATGTCTGCGAAAAACGACAAGAATATCCAGCAATAGTGCAATATTTTACACAGGTTCCTTATTTTACACACAACTTTTTCTCTCACTCAATTTCCATCTAATTTTCTGTCTGCCTCTGAGTCAACTCAAGTCGAAAAAAATTCAATTTAAAATTCAACATGTCAAGAAAAAGTCTCGAGAATACAAAAAAGGAACATTCCTTTCAATTTTTTTTAGGTTCGGAAAGATGTCGATGTGAAACATCCGACAAATAAAGGAGCCAATCGCAATTTTCCGGAACCAATTCAAAAAATCATCAATGATGATGAAAATGTTCGATGGTTGCATAAATCTGCCAATTTTTTCATTAAAAATGATGAAAAACCGAGAGAATTTGTAAGATATTTGGAGAAATCAAGAAAACCTCTTTGAAACGTTTTGTGTTTTTGATGAAATAAATTATTTTTTGTATCTACAGAAGGTGAAACTCTAATGAACAACCGAAATTCCTCGAGAGATAACAGATCAGAAAATCTATGTGGGAAGAATATTATTTCTTATTTAAGCTAGCTATTTTTGTACAGAAATTTCAAGCGCGCTCTATCGAACAAAAGAAAATATTTCAAAATGTTGGATTTTCAAGGCCTTTTTTTCTAAATTCATAAAAAAGGTATACCAAAAATTAGTAAAAAAAATTTGAGCGTTTCTAGATTTTCTAACCTTTTCTGAATTCTAAACAACTATTTTTCATAAAAGAAATGAAAGTACGCTCTAGCGAACTATAGAAATAGAAAAATATGAATTATTGATTTTCTAGGCCACGGAAATCTAATTTTCTAGGCCATAACAGTTGTTCTCCAGTTTTTCTCTTCCAATAACCATTCAACCCACTTACAAGTAAATATATAATATAATAATAGAGGTCATCCAAAAAAAACAGTGATTCAAGGTCAATTTTATTTTTCATCCTCTCGCAAAATTTTTTCTTGAATGCGCAGGAAAAAATCGTCGTATCTAATTTTCATAGCAGTTTTTCTAGTATTTTTCTACTTTTTTGGGAGTATTCAAGATTTCGAACTTGAAGATCAGGTATATATTTTCAGAATCATAAGAATCAAGAAAAATCTTCAGGAAAACAACTATGAGGACAATTTCGATCCGATTGAGGATGAGATTTTTGTCAAAAATTATTTGGAATTAATGCAGAAAAACAGGGCTCCAGCTAGGCCGGTGATAGAAAAAGAGCAAAAAATAATCGAGAATCGTTGGTGTTTCTTAGCGGCTCCTAAAATTATGAAAAATCCCCGAGAAAATTGGCTGAAAGTGGCGGGAATCGAAATTTTCAGCGCTTATTATGATGATCGACCAAATTCGTTATTTCCAGATAATTCAGCAATTCAGGTAAGAGGGACTAGAAAACCAAAAAGAGAAAAAAACTCGGTCATGGCCTAGAAATCTAGAGATCTAGCCTATAAAATTGAGTTATGGACTAGAAACCCCTCAAAAAATCCTCTTCCAGGTTCTTGTCATGAGCAATCACACAATCGAATCAAAAATCGATATCTACTGCAATATTTTCGTCAAAAATTCCCGTTTTCAAAAATACACAGTAGTCCAGGGTTATATTCGTGAAATTTGGCAACGTGGATGGGATCCACGTGGCAATTTTCAAGTACCAAGTTTGATATCATGTCCGATTCCGGAAAAATTGGATTTTTTCAAAAATTCGGAAAGTGACGTGGAATATAGTGTATCTTTGACTAGATCTAATTGTAAAAGTCAGAAGATTGCGATGAAAGTTGTGGGAAAATCGAGAAAAATTGGAGAGAAAAAGAAAGATGTGGCAATTTGTTTGAAAGGTTTGGATTATCAGGTGAGCAAGATTTTTTTTTATGTGGAACTTAATAAAATTCCACGTCATAGTTAAACTCTTTAGAATAAAACTAACATCAAATAATTCAAAGTATCAAAGATTCTTATTGTTTGAGCAAGTTAGAGACGAAACAAAACTAAAAAATGTTTGCATTCCACTTTTTTATGATAATTTTTCTACTTCGGCTGATGAATTTGAAACAATTTCCTGGAATCTCCTAATTTAAGAGCCAGATAGTCAAACTAGGTCTACTGGGGGGAATTATTTCATTAAAAATACCAAAAATTAATCTCTGATCTAGAATTTTTCAAGTCTCACACGGATAGGAAAATTATGATTTTTTTGGAAAAATGAACTTGACTCAAGAGAACTTTCGAAATTAATTCACGACAGCTATCACAGGACTAAAAAAAGAGAAGATTCTATGATAAAACGATAACGACAATATCTGGGAACGTTTTTTAGAATCAGAAATCTTGTCTACATTCACTGCTCAAAAAACCTCTACGAATAAAACTTGTACGAGTAATTATCTGAGCCTCTGTACAGTATTCGGGTTGACTACTAACGGACTAATAAAAACGGATTATGATAGGTATCAGGCTTGTGCGGTAAGGGAAAATGCATTTTCCGATTTTCCGACTTTTGGGAACATTTCGGAAAAAAAACGAGTCGTAAAATGAACATTTCGGAACACTTTTGAAAGTGAAAAATAAACGAATTTCAGGATTTTTTGCTAATTTTATCACAAAATAATTTTGGTATTTCTGAAAAACATTAAAAAAAATTATTTTGTAACAAAAGTACCAAAAAATATCGTGAAAACTGCTAACAAGGGAAGTGCATAAGGTCAGGTGTTGAACTTTTGATGAAACATATCGAAATATACCAAATCGACCATGCTGATCACGATTCCGAAGTCAAAAATTGCCACAAATGCCTGTGAGCACTTTTCTGGAACTCCAAAGTTGAAATCGAGTTGTGGTTTTCGCCCATTTTCACCTTGTTCCTGCATGAAAAATCAACTTTCATATCTCAAATAAGATTGTTCACCATATTCGAAAACCTACCAGATTTTTAGTTTATCGGAAAATATCAAAAACGAGCTGAAAACTGCAGTTTCCAAAAATGCCCGAAAAACTTCAAAAAACGTGTGCATTTACGTGTATTTGTGTGTATTTTCATGACTTTTTTGAAAATTGCAGTTTTCAGCTCGTTTTTGATATTTTCCGATAAACTAAAAATCTGGTAGGTTTTCGAATATGGTGAACAATCTTATTTGAAATATGAAAGTTGATTTTTCATGCAGGAACAAGGTGAAAATGAGCAAAAACCAAAACTCGATTCAAACTTTGGAGCTCCAGAAAAGTGCTCACAGGCATTTGTGGCAATTTTTGACTTCGGAATCGTGATCAGCATGGTCGATTTGGTATATTTCGATATGTTTCATCAAAAGTTCAACACCTGACCTTATGCACTTCCCTTGTAAGTTAAGAAAATGCTCCAAAAATTAAAAAAACTAACAAATAAGTCTATCAATTCTTCAAGTTTTCCGAATGTCGGAAAATTTTTTTCCGGAAATAAAATTAGGAAGAATGGGAACAATTCTACAGTATTGGGTACTGTCCTACATTATGCTAAAAACAACTATTCTACAGTATTTTCAGGGAAGCGTCCTAAGCTCTTCGGGAAACTGTCCTATGGTGACCCACATTACAGACCTATAACTACTAAGGAACTGTTCTAAAGAGAACCTAGGTCCAATCAAAAACCAACCTGATGCATTGAGTTGAACCGCTTGACGAGTCAGCTTTTGGAGACGAAGTCAGCTACAGAAGGTGGATCCAGGAGAAGGCAGGAAGTGGAATTGGCAAACCTGAAAATAAAATTATTAACATTTGGCGGTTGGTAAAGACAGTCGATTGGGGGAAAAACAATAACACATTTGAACAAAACCTTTTATTGTAGAAATACTCTTTCGGCGGCAGAAGACCAACGAGAAGAAGCTTGAGACGAGCAAGAAGATTGAGATGGCAATGAAGATTGGGTAGAGCGAGCAGATTGAGAAGACCAAAAAGATTGAGATTGGGTAGAGCAAAATTGAATCTGAAAAAGCAGCTGCAGCAAGAAGGTTGAGTAGAGCATGAATACCACATTCCAACCTAAAAAGGCGGCAAGACGATTGAGAAGGCCAGGAAGATTGAGAAGACCTAAATTGGATCTGAAAAAGCAGCAGCGGCATGAAGAATGAGTAGAGCAAAATTGAATCTGAAAAGGAAGCAACGGCAAGACGATTGAGAAGACCTAAATTGAATCTGAAAAGGCAGCAGTGGCATGAAGATTGAGAAGAGCACATTAGGATCTGAAAAAGCAGCAGCGGCTTGAAGATTGAGAAGAGCATGAAGATTTAGTAGACCAAAATTGGATCTGAAAAGACGGCTGCAGCAAGACGGTTGAGAAGGCCATGAAGATTGAGAAGACCACATTCGAACCTGAAAAAGCAGCAATGGCAAGACGATTGAGAAGTCCAAAACCAAATCTGAAAAGGCAGCAGCGGCATGAAGATTGAGAAGACCTAAATTGAATCTGAAAAAGCGGCAGCGGCTTGAAGATTGAGTAGAACATGAATACCACATTCCAACCTAAAAAAGGCGGCAAGACGATTGAGAAGTCCAAACCCGAATCTGAAAAAGCAGCAGCGGTTTGAAGATTGAGAAGACCTAAATTGAATCTGAAAAAGCGGCAGCGGCTCGAGAATTGAGAAGTCCAAACCCGAATCTGAAAAGGCAGCAGTGGCAAGACGATTGAGTAGAGCATGAAGACCTAAATTGGATCTGAAAAAGCAGCAGCGGCTTGAAGATTGAGAAGGCCATGAAGATTTAGAAGACCTAAACCAAATCTGAAAAGACGGCTGCAGCAGGAAGGTTGAGAAGAGCACATTCGAATCTGAAAAGAGCAGCAGCGGCAAGACGATTGAGAAGACCTAAATTGGATCTGTAAAAGCAGCAGCGGCAAGACGATTGAGAAGACCATGAAGGTTGAGAAGACCTAAATTGGATATGAAAAAACGGCTGCAGCAAGACGGTTGAGAAGTCCAAACCCGAATCTGAAAAAGGCAGCAGCAGCAAGAAGGTTGAGAAGACCTAAATTGGATCTGAAAAAGGCGGCAACGGCAAGACGATTGAGAAGACCAAATCCAAATCTGAAAAAGCAGCAGTGGCATGAAGATTGAGAAGAGCATGAAGATTTAGTAGACCAAAATTGGATCTGAAAAGACGGCTGCAGCAAGACGGTTGAGAAGGCCATGAAGGTTGGGTAGAGCAAATAGATTGAGAAGACCAACATGTGAATCTGAACAAGAATCTATAAAAAAAGAGAGTAAACACCGTACTTGGTACAGCACTTCTTCTCGTAAGAAACTAAACCTCGAACTTAAATCTCAAACCTGCTCGCTAAGAAGAATCACCCTGCTAAACTGAAATATGACAACTTTCTACAGTATTCTTATCAAAGCGCTCCACAGTATTCTGACCCAAGAAAAACTATCACACACTTTCATACAGTCTTCTGAAGGGTTTTTTTCTGATAACATCACGGAATATCTCTTCTCTATAGTACTAGCTACAGTACTAGTATTAGCAAACATACAGTATTATTTTCCCTACAGTATTCTCAACCCAAAACTCACATTCCCTCGTTTGATCCAAATGTCGAGCTCATTTCGAAGGTCTCCAGTATGTAGAACTATAATTATGACGAGAACAGTCAGTTTATATTAGCTCAGAAAACCACGTGGATTGATCTTATCTTTTTGGAGTGTCACGTTGAAATTATTTTCTCGCACACTTTTCTCATTTCTTGAAAAGTGGCTTTCTGTGCTCTAGATTTATTTTAATTTTCTTTGACGTGAAATCTGCGGCTCATTTCTAAATTTGAAGGCGGCTCGGACTGGCGTGTTTTTGAAATGTGAATCTGTAATGTTTAGAGTCAGGAAATATAAAACCAAAGTAAACTAGATTTTCTCGGCTCCTTTGATTTTCCTATTTTTTCTACCTGAAAAATTAAAATCAGAATTAAAAGTTGAAAAACAAATCTGATTTATAAAAAAATGTGAAACAGTGAAAAAGTTTCGAACATTTTTTAAACTGAAATTTGAAACAGTGAAAATTAATTTGGAACCAAAATTTTAATTTTATAGGAAGATATATCTGGTCGACTTCTCGAATGGCTTGAACTTCAATATATTTTAGGAGCCGATACAATTGGAGTCTATATGTATTTTTTGACCCAAAAAACACAAAATGTGCTCAAATATTATGAGAAATTGGGGAAACTGACTTTGGTAACTTTTCCGACCCTTTTCACAAAATTTTTAATTTTTTTAGGATCAAATTTCACTATCTGGCTCTGATCCAAATTCAAATTTAGAGCGAAGCCAATTTTTGAAAAATAATCGACCTCAAAAAAGGAGACATGAGCTAATTCCCTACAATGATTGTTTCTATCGGTTAGCTTTTTCTAATTAACATCCTAATTACTTCAATAATTTTAAAGGCACATTCACACTCATAATTATGTTCTAATTTTGGATATTGATGAAGTTGTTGTGCCAATTGGAAATTTTTCGAGTTACTGTGAGTTCTCAATTCTCCAAAAAATCTCAAAATCAATAAATTTTCAGCCGAAATGCTGCGAAGTGTTGAAAAACGTTTATCCGGAAGAAGTATAAGCTCACTTTCAGCCAGAAATGTTTTCAAATTTCAAACGAATTTCGAAGTTGGAAAAGAGTGGAGTTATATGAGAAGAAATCGGAAAAGATCCAAAAATATTAGCAAAATGGGAGAATTTGGAAAGAGTTTTAGCAGGTGAGTTGGGATTATGAGGATCAGAAATTTGAAAAAAAATTGATAATGTTTGGAAATTTTTTTACTGTTTCATAATTTTGATAAATAAATTTACAAGATTTAAATTCTGATCTTGAAGTGGAATTTTCTAAACTTCTACGAGAAAATTCAGTAATTCAGGATTTTCATTTTTTTTTTCAAATTCCCACCCAAAACCACACCAACCTCTAATCTCATTCTCATTTCCTCCTCCTCCTTTTTTTCCAGCACAAAATCAGTGGCCACCGTTTTTAATCATTTCGCTCTTCACAAATTATCGTATTCCTCATCAAAAAGTGTATATCTTTCACCGAATTCGGAAGCCATCAAACTTCATTATAAATCCGAATGTCCACAAGAATCTCGAAATGAATGTCAAGATCTTCAATTTAATTTAGTTGATGATACAAGTTTGGATCGTTTCGAAAAACAATTAGAAAAACGGGTTGAATTAATTAGAAAATTAATTTTGTGATAATTAGTGAATAAATGGGTTTCTTCTACTTACTTGCTAATTTTGTTCTAAAAATTTTCTGTGACTTTTTGAAATAGAAAAACTTGAAAATGAAAATATCTAATCTTATAGGGTTCACTTTCAAAAATGTGAAAATATTTATTATATCCCGTATTATTCTATAGTATTGATTTTCAAAGCCGAATATTCGGTGGCAAAAAGTTTTGGGAAAAGATGATATGATTCTACGAGATGATTTTGGAGAATTAGACGAACTGAGTCGAAAGTCGCACGATCATTTCCCTCTTTTTCGTTCTGAAAATTGATTTTTGTTGGAAAATCGGGAAAAAACTGAATCGCTGGAAAATTGTGCAATGGAGCACAATTGTTATTTTTGTGTCACGAATCTTGGGCTCAGAAATTCCCTGAATTTTCCCATTTGATTGTGAGCTACTCTTTATTACAATAAAATTCCAGACCCTCAATTATTGATTTTCATAAGCTGTCAAAAGAAATTCAAAACTTCTTCGCTATAATAATTTTCAAGGCCAATAGTTTACCACGGCCTAGAAATCCAAACACCCCATCCTAGTCCCCATCTCAACTCACAGGCAAACCTTCATCAACATCTCCTTTCAACAATTCTTTATGATAATTCTCAATGATAGAAATCGTCAAATTCCTTCCTTGTAAAAACCTCCAAATTTCCAACAACATCAAAAAAGTCTCGTGTGAATTGGTAAATTGTTCCAAATCGCAAAGATACACAAATCTCGCTGGAATAATCGCGGCTTTCGATGCCAGCAATATCCATCTGTGTAGTTTGTCACGAGTTCGTTCGCCAATTCGCGTGCGATCCGATGATTTTTCGGCGTCGCTGATAATCACAGCAAGTTGCGATTTGAGAATTGGCAGACAAAATGCAAAACTTCGTGTTTCGGAAAGCATTCGCATTAATCCATCAGCAAAAACACTGCGAGAAATGCGTCGATCGATTTCGACGTGTCGATGAATATATTCCGATTCAATATCCCAATCATCAAATTTCATTTCGCTGCTCAAAATATCACGGCATATTGAATCAACCAATATTGTGGCAATTTGTTTGGAATTATGAAGACGAATATCTTGTGCTCCAGTTGTACACATTGCTCGAAATGCATCAAGAACCACGTAGATCCTTTGATATTCATCTTCCTGTAAAAAAGAATTTTTAAATTATTTTTTTGGGAAAATAACTACAAAAGAAAATTTAAATTTCGAATTCGGCACTCAAAACTCACAAATCTCTCTTCCTCTTCTTCCGTCATATTTTTAATATCATTTATCTCAAAATCTCCTCCAATTCTTCTTCGTTTTTTCAATTGTCCACTATGCATCATATCCAGCGCATTATCATGCATTTTCAATTTCGACAATCCTTGAATAACATTTGGTCCGGCTTCAAGATTCACCAAATCAAATGATTTATTGATTCCTTGTTCATCCAACAAATTATCATCCACAATTTTTTCACCAAAAAGTATTTGAGCATCCGAAAAACAAGCCTGAATGAAAAAATTGGTGAAAATCGGCACAAATTTCATCAATTGCGCATCAAGACTTCCATTATAAAGAAAAGTCAAAATCGCAGTTCGCAATTCCTCAAAAACTGTAATTCCAGCATCGTTTTTCCTTCCAACTGTCAATAGAGCGCATTTTAGAAGCAATGCTAATTGAGCCATTAATTTATACCAATTTGAGATTGATATGAGCAATTTTCTAGATTGTTTTTTCGAATTCACCGCGCAAACAGCATCCAATAATTTAGTCGTCATTCGGATCATTGTTAGTCTTTTTTCCAGATTTGTTTCTTCATTCAAAAATTTCAACGAATCATCCATTATAATGTTCAAAACCGATCCGATTTTATTACCGGGATAGAATCCCAAAAATGAATTCGGATTCGATTCTTCTAAACTAGCATCCCATTCAAATAAAATTCGCAAATTATTCAAAAGATTCAGGTGCAACTTGGATCGATCGATATCTGAAAAAAAAGATTTTTTGGGGAGGGGGGCTTTGAAATTGAATTATTAAAGATTACCATCAGGAAGGCTCATTTCAATAATTGTTTTTTGTGCGAAAAATTCGCTGTACACATTTTCCATCATTTTTGGGAAGAATTTATGAGTCACTGTGATATAGGCGGTCATAATGTAGATCTGAAAAAAAATAAAAATTTCCTATAAAATTTTATGATAAAACTCACAAATTGCGGAGTCTCATGGCTAATTGTCAACAAAAATCTCAAAACAATTTCTGAAGCTTTCGAAATGCCGTTAGCAATTGCAATTGCATGTAAATGTCGGATTATTGAGTGAGATCTGGAACAATTAATTGTTTTTTTATTTATTTATGCTTTCTCTTTCTCTCTCTGAAAAACCTACTTATCAACATGATTTGCAAATGATTCGATCAAAAATTGCAATTTTTCATCAAATGAAAACGAAATAATTGATGGATGTTGAGATGGACAAATTGTTGAATTTCCAGTTGAAGAATGTGCTAATTGCACCAATTTATCCACCATTGATTCAAGAACTGGCGCGCAATTTTGAACTAACGATTTTTGAGAATTTATAGTGCTCGGGTTATTTTCACCATCAAATACTTTTTTATCATAAACCAAAGCGATCATCATTTCCAAGAATACAGCATGTGTTTTTGGTTCCATTATCGAAACAACCTGTTTTGTAAATTCGCCATAACCAATCGATAAATTCGGCAAAATAATCGTGGCTTTGTCAGAAATTGTTGCAATTTGTCGGGTGGCGCGAATCGCATTCCACGTGGTTATCAAATCGCTATTCGAAGTCACAACATTTCGCAAAGTTTCCATATTATTTGTGACGAGTTTTAGGAAGAATAGAAAACTCAGATTTTTGTTGGATGAATTCAACGATTCGATAATCATATTTCGAACTGTTTCCTGAAGTTCTGGACTTTTTTTGCGCATCAGAAAATTGAAAATATCCGAAATCGCAAGGAATTTTTGCTGATATTCTTGATGAATTGCCGGATTTTTGAATTCATCGATGAATTTTTGGATTTGCTCAACACCGGTTTTCAGAAGATGTGTGATTGTTGAACCAGGATAATTGATTCTGAAAAAGATAAAAATAATATTTTGGGAAAAAAAGTGGAAAGTGAGAAAACATACGCAATATGTAACCATATCCAATTGAAATGCGGACCATGTCGACTAGCATCAAACAAAACTTTCATACACATTTCAGGCGATTTTTCGAGTCTGAATTTTAAGGGTTTTAGGGTAAAATTCAAGGCCCAGCTTTAAAAAAACTAACAAATTGGCTATAATATTATCCATCAACGCAATAAGTTTCGAAATCTGATCCCATTTCAAGAAAAACGACAACATTGCTTCTGGTGTTTTATTTTGACTCATACTTGGTCTTCCACCGTTGTTTCCAGATAATTCGGCGCAAAAATTGCAAATAAAAGTGAGCATATCGGCCAAACCTTTGCGATTTTCAGTTTCATCGACGAATTTTTGAAAAACATCCAGGAATTTAGTTATGGTTTCGCGGATTTGGATTGGATTCACAGCTAAAAATATGATGGGGATAAATAAAAAACAGTATTTACAGAGAATAACTTACGATGCGAAGGATTTTCAATTTTGTTAAACGAATGATGTGTATATTCGTGTAAAATTAATCCAACATAATAAAAAACAGCAGGTCTTGACGAAGGTAATTCGCGAAAAACATCCAAAGCTGGTCTCACCAAATTCGACCTTTTTTGATTGATAAAAACTTGACGATTTCGATAAATCGCATTCAAATCTCCACAATTCACCAAATCTTGAAACGATTCATACAAATTCGACGCATGTTTATATTTTTCAGTTATCGATAATGCAATCGAAGACTCATTTTTCGATCTTTCTTGTAATTCACTTCCAACATCATCAACATATTCGTCTTCTTCATCGTCGACAAGGGGAATGTTTTTCACAGCGTTTTCCTTATCTATTTTTGGTTTTTCTTCTTCCAAGGTAGGCGGAGGCGATGCAGGTGATTCAACCTCCATAAATCCACTGAAAAATATACGGTTTTGTGTTGTAAAACAAGTTTTGTTGCAAGAAACGAAAGGAAAACACACAAATCCCAAACCTAAAGAAATCCCAAACCTAAAGAAAGAACGGAAAAAATAAGAGTGTATGTCAACACCGACTGCCCGCAAACACCAAATCCTACGCGCAACCTTGGCGCGAAATACGGGCTGTGTGTTTTCGCGAAGAAATTTCTGGGGATTTTTAAAAATTGGGAACCCCCCCCCCAGATTTTAGAAATGGACACGTTCAAATTATAACATATGGGAACCCTGAGAATCTCTCCAATGTCGCTTTTCCCTTGGAGAATACTAGTCAGCGTTTTTGCGAAAAAAAAAATATTTTTCAAATGTTTGGTTTCCTAGGCCACAAGAAACTCGGCCATTAGGAATTTCCAGTTGGCCGGCCAACGTTGGACATCTGGAAGTTTTAGATCAAACTATTTTGATAAATAAATAACGAAATGGCACTCTTTATAGAGTAGGAATATATTAAATTCTGTAAGGTCACGTTTAGAAAAAAACAGGACTTTTCTTAATTTTCAGCGCTAAAACCTGTAAATAAAATTTCGATGAAAAAATAATCAATAACTTTTATATGTATAAATATCACTTTTTAACAAACAACTATGTATAATTATCAAAATATAACAAGAAAATCTCTCTAATGAGCAAAAAATAAACCCGTTTACAGATAAAGAAACTCGCGTGAAATAAATTGTTTTTCAAAATCCTTGATTCCAAAAGTATGGCAATTTTCAGTGGTTAGAGGTAATATGAGCAATCTATGTGAATATATCAAATTCTATTTAACTAAATTATTTTAAAATGGATTTTTGAGCTGTTTCGCCACATATTCTTGCAACGATGCTCCGCCATCTGTGATGATATTTGAAGTTGTCGCAAGTCGAACCTATAAACATTTTGTATTTGGGAGAAATTTTTAGATTAGTCTCTTACCAATAGCGAACTGGCAAGTGGTCGCAATTCAGTCACTTTCCAATTTTGATGGAGCCAATCGGAGCAACTTGCGGCAAGATCTGAACGAGAAGCTGATTCAGGAGCGATTTTTGCGGCAAATGAATTTGGTTGAGTTGTGCAAATTGGTTGAAGCATTTGAGATAACTGAAAAAAAATCTTGTAGGGGGAACTGTGAAAAATCAAACTAACCACCCAAAATCTCCAATCTTTTTTCGATTCCTCTTTCGAATATCGTTCAAAAAATGATTCCAATCCAGCTTTCGTATCAATTTGTCCATTTCCATTTGTTGCACCCGAACAACTTGAAGCCGGTAGATTTGTTTGAAGTGATCCCATTTTTTGATTCAATTTTTCGATTTTTGCTTTCACTTCCGCGATTTTCTCCGCTTTTTCCCATTTTTCTCGTTGAAGTTTTCGAATATGTTCAGCGGCTTTTGCCAAAACAACTGCATTTGTTGGTTTGACACCGCCAGATCGAAGATCGGGAAGCTAGAAAAATACCAGAATAAGTTTATTTATCTTTGAAAAATTGTCAAATTTCATCTATAAATTTAATGAAACAGTGAAAAAATATTTTCAATTTTATAGTGGATACTAAAATGATGTGATATTCCGTGATATAAATTTTTCAAAACATTGGGATTTTTTCACACGAGAATATGCAGAATCAAAATCACAAAATTCCAATTTTTTAATATAGATTTTTTGAAACAGTAAAATTTCTGGAAACAGAGATATTTTGGAAAATGGTTTTTTTCGGAATTTTTAGAGGATGTTTCACAAGAAAATTTTTGATACAAAAAATCCATTCAAAAATTGTTTAAAATTTGTACTTCAAAATATGTTAATTTTTTGAAACAGTAAAAACTCTAGATTTACAGAAACTGAGAACTATCCAATTTTCCCTGAAAATAAAAAAAACTCACAATTTCCATCAATTGATCAAATCCATCTTTCAAAGCCATTCGTCGATTTTGTTCAGCATGTAAATGCAAAATCCTTTTCCTTTCTTCCGGATGCAATGTCGAATCCGGAACTTGTCTTCTCATTAATTTAACACTTGCTGGTGCACTCATTAATGTTGGCTCTTCTTTTGGAACAGCTTCTGGAACAGAAGCATTCGAAACCGTACTCGGTTTTTCTTCTGGTTTTTGTAACATTGATGGATCACAAGATGTTTGTCTCATAATTCCTGGACTTTCGAAAGCTGACGAATCCGATAAAATTGTTGGTCGATTCCATTCATTTTCACTGATTGTTCGAATTCGATTATTGATTGAATTTGGATTCGAATAAGAAGTTGTTGTAATCGGTGGTTGTTCTAATCTCTGCGTCAAAGTTCCACCAATTTTCAATTGTTGATGATAATTATTTGTTGTTGTTGGTGGCGGTGAATTATTCCCTGCTCCTCCACCCATTAATTGTCCAAGTGGTGTTTGTGGCGCAGTTACAAGAGTGGCTAATGGAAGAGGTGTTGCGATTGAAAGAGGCGATTGAACAGAAGCGGTTAGGGGAGAATCCATCCACCAACTTCGAGATGGTGCCATCTGCAAAAATAATATATAATTTTATGGAAGAAAGATTTACTTTAAACTTTGGTCGCTAAAAAAATCCACGTGGGAAAAATCTTTAAAATATGCAATTTTATGTCGAGAATAATAATCACACCTCGGCCAAAATCGTGGTTTCCGAAATAAAAAATTGTACGCTATTTTTTACAGTACAAAAATTGTGAATTTTTCAGTTTTTGTCCTTTAAAAATTGTGATTTTTCAATTTTTGACTTCTAAAAATTGTACTCTGACCAGCCACGGCTTGGCGAGGTGTGATAATAATGGGGACGTGAGAAAATTATTTGATTTTCAAAAAATGACTTCAAGAGTTCCACATCATTGTCTCCACATTTATCGATAAAATTCATTATTCAAAAAGATGTTTCCCCAAAACCCTTACCATCGGATCACCATTGCTCATAATCGAATTATGTTGCTGTGGACTTTGCTGCAAAAATTGTGGCATATATTGATCATTGGAAGTTGTTGCAATCGGATGTCTCGATGTTTGTTGTTGTTGACTCGGCAAAGTTGCAACAAATTGTCCACTCATATGATTTCGATATGGATTATTATGACTAATATTAGGATGTTGATTCATACTATTCGAAGCATTTCGATTTTGCATAAATTGTGTGGAGTTTGTATAATTCGATGATGTTGCATAAGATGGTGGAGCAGTCGAAACCGAAGCAGTATGTCCCAACATCAACATTTGCGAAGTTATCGCTGATGATTGCCGCGTTGGCATCATATAATCCAACATTGCTGCATTCAAATAATCCTGTTTTGGTGCAGATGTTGGGATTGGCGCCGATGGTCTCGGCTGAGCGGCTCTTCTTTCTGGTGGCAAAATTATATGTGGCTGTTGTGGTGGTGCTTGAGATGCCGTGGTAACTGCCGTTGGTTTTCTTCTCGCCGGATCGGGAAGTGGGGGTGATTCGGGGAAATCTTTGAGATTTGCCATGATTTCTTCGATTGTTGGTTGCAAGGATATTAGACCTGGTTGGATGATATCTGCATTTGATGTTGGCCAAGTTTCTTTTGGATTTGGAAATGCGTAAGGTTGACTGAGAGAATCAAAAAGTTCGTCAGTGAATACATTATTTAGATCATCAAAATCCCAATCTTGCGCCCATTCATTAGAAACACAATGTTTCGGAGTCATGCTTCGCATTAATTTAGCAGGCGGTTCGATTTTGACATCAATCTTTGTTTGTCCTCTTTTTTTTCCTCGCCCATTTCCATTCGAAACTCCAGCGAGACTCGAAACAGAACTCGATGAGCAATTATGAATCATTCCGGGATAATGCGAATTTCTTGATCGAATTCGCCAACGTTTATATTGTGCACAAACCGCTTCCATTCGTCTTTTCCAATACATTCCTTCCATCACACTTCCCTCGATTTTTTGATGAGTTGTGTCATCGTCGGGAACTGCGAAATAGCAGAATGGTTTTGTCGGTTTGGCCGGTTTATTTTTTCTAACTGCAAAAAAAACAATTGAAACGAATGGGGGAAAAGTAAGTCGATAGATTGTGAGGAAAAATTATGAGTAAACTAAACTGGACAACTGTTGACTTTTACGTCACAAGGAAATAACATAGCTATGTGAGAAAAGTGAAATAAAGTTTTTCTTGGGTTTTGGGGCGATGTGAGAATTTGAAAATCGGTGAAAAAAACTTGTAGGGACCTTCGAAAATTGTTCAAATATACCATCCTACGTATATTTATACGCTCGTTTTAAATAAAAATGTTAGAACTTCTAAAAATGCGGACTTCACAAAAAAACTTGAAATCTTGATTTTTTTTCAAAAAAAAATTATCAAATTCTGCAAACACACCCAACACCGCTACACGAAAATGCACACATTTGGTTCGGTCTACCGTACTTCACAAATATTTTCATTCAAATTTTTTCGAAGTTTTCACTCACATTCAATATAATATGCTCTCCAAATCACATTATTCAATCGAATTCGTTGTTTCCAATGCAATCGCAATCCTTTAAAATCTTTCCATTTTGGAGTTGTCATTTTACTGTAAAATGTTCATATTTTTTTGAATAAAACTTAAAAAGCTGAAATTTCAACCCACTTATAGGCGACCTGAATACATTTGTTCAATTTGTTCAGCGAAATGTCGATGGCAATCGATTGGGTTTTTGTTGGACCAAATTTGTAGAATGTAACCGGTTTTTCATCCTAAATATGAAAAAATTTGATGATAGATTCGATTTTTTGGTTTGAAAGGTGGGTGAGAGAGAAAAAAAGTTCAGAGGATTAGAGAAAAAACTCACCAATTTTTGCTTTTTATGCGAAGATCCAGCTTCTTCAATTTTATCATCATCTTCAACAACATCAACCTGTAATTAATTTTGTTTTCCAAAAATCAAAATCAAAATCAAAATAGTCACCTCAATATCTTCATCATCATCATCTGGAATAATATCATTGTGCAAATTCGATGTCATAAAATGGCCGCTGTGTATAACTTGCGCCCGAAAAGACGACATCTGAAAATCACAAAAAAAAACTGGATTTTTCCCGCGACTGAAAATATCAAAAATCATCATTGAAAAGGAGAGAAAAATCGATAAAATTGAGAAGAAGAAGAAGACAACAATTTTTTGCATCACAATGAAAATCGACCAAAAAAAACTGGTATCATATTATTATGTGTGACGTAGATCAAAGAATTGGAAGTTGAATTTTTTTGGGAGCGAAAAATAATCCGGAAACAAATTGAATTATAAAATTCAAAGTGGAATACATTATTTCAAATTCCGAAAATAAAATTCCAAATATGTTTTATTATAGATTCTAACATGCAAATTATGTCCAAAACTACTTAGCCTAACTCTGAATATGATTTATGACGTGGCAAGTTTTGAAAGTTTCAAAAAATTTGCTTCTCAAAAGAAACTTTGATTACATTTTCAGCATGACCGATTTCATATTTGCAGAGTTTTTGGCCCAAAAATGTTGCTACGTCTTATTTTCAGACTTGAGATAAGTAGTTTTTAACAACGGAATATTTTCAGCGGATTTTTTTTCAAAATGATAAACTCACAAAAAAAATTATAACACTGAAATCAAGTCAGAGCAAACCTGGAAATGAAGTTGAAAATTCTATAGAAAATAATGTCGAAGAAACTGGGTCACGTTCACGTGTTCATAAATTTTTCCCGTGTAATTTCAAAAAAAAACGCAATTTTCCAGAATTCCGGAACTATGAAAATATAACCAAAAAAAAGTTTTGTGTCGAAAAAATCCCAAAATATCATCATTTGTTGTTACACAACACGTGACACCAAAAATATAAAAATGTTTCTCTGCGCTCTCCAAAATTCTTACGTTCTCTCTTCGATTGTTGTTCTGATAGACAGAAGAAAAAAGAGAGAGAGTAGAAGAGACGCAGACATTAGGGGGGAAAAGTTTGGAAAATGTATAGAACGCTCAATTTTATCTAATTACACGAGATAACTAAGTGCATCGTGTACTTCTCTTGGACAAGATTATTGAAAACTTTAGTTTTGGCGCGAAAAATTACAAGAAGTTACATAAATCCACATAGAATTCCAGCCCTTGTTCAAACTAAATACAAAAAAAGACTAAAAATCAAAATTCTCGAAATTTCTCATTTCCGTATGACTAAATAATCACGTGCCTCTTTCTTTTTTAGTCATGAAAAATATCAAAAAATGAGAACATCATCACATTTTCTTCACACATCAACTAACATAATACGATCTATGCTGTTGTTATTATAAGAAAAGAAAAATGAATGATAAAAAATTTGGGGGGAAGGAAAAATCACGAATCATAACGATCGTATTTTATAGAGAGATAGTTTTGTAGTTTGTGCTGATAGAAATTTGAGGCCGAAATATCCACGTGGCTTTATTTAGAAATTAGATACCAAATAGTTTACCTCCCAAATTTCTAACAAAAAAAAATTAATTCTGACAAAAAAATTGCTCAGTTTCAGGCTCCAAAAATTCCACGTGGATCAGAATCCTACAACCAAACTCACATTCAAATTTAATCTCTTATTGTTAATTTGTTTTACTCAGTCCACGTGGAATTTCATTGAAGTAAACTAACTTGTAAATTTAGGAATTATTCAAAACTTCCTGTTGTTTTGGAGAAAAACCCTCAACTTTCAAAGAAAAAATGAAAATGAGCTTTGAGTAATTTTTCGTGAATAAAATTGCTGAAAGAAAAAAACCCAATTTTTTACGTTTCAAAAATTTCAAATAATGAAAAATGAGATTTCGAGTTTAATAAGTTAAACTTTTTCTGTAAAAAACCTAGAATTTTCCTAACTATTTTTTTTTCTAAAAAAAGCTCGAAAGATTTTTTTCAAGAAATAAACATATAAATTTCCTCTTTCAAATCAATAAAACAAACAAAAAACGCGAATTTTTTCGTTGAGAAAAAAAATCGAAAGAGACACAAAACCTTCGCTTATCAAAAAATAATATCAATGCGAAAATTGATAACGAAAAAATCTCGTTTTTTGTTCATTTCAAAAAAATATTGAAAAAAACAAACTTTTTCCAAAACTCGGAAAAAAAAGAAGAAAAAAGAGGCTTAGAACGAAAAAGAAAGAAAAAACGAGAGAAAAGAGAGGGAAAAGAAAAAAGAGAGAAAAATTGATTTCGGAGGGAAAATTGAAAAACCTCATAAATAAGGAATAAAATTGCTTAATTAAAAATCTTCATTTTCTAAATAACAACATGGAATATAAGTTTTTGGAAGGAAAATTTTTAGTGAAAAATTAGAAATCAACGACATTTGCAAGTTTGACAGTTTCTCCTGGTTTGAAAGGAGGTTGACCAAGATATGGACAAGAAGCACATCGAAAAGCATCTCCGAGAGCACACTGAAAAATAGATGAAGTGGATTTTTGAGACAATTTTGATGACGTGAAATTTTAGATTTTCTTTGAAGCTTGTAAACAGAATTTTCAGATGTTTGGGTTTGTTTGGGTTTGGATAAGGCTCAACAATTTGAAAAATCCTAAATGGGGCGTCCAAAAATCAAAAAATGAAAATTTCACACCTGTCCAATTTCTGTTCAAACTGAATTTTTTTTATACAAGTAGATCATATTTTTATCAAAATTGGACAGGCAAAAACACAAATTGGACAAGTGTGAAAATTTCATTTTTTGATTTTTGGACGCCCCAAAAACTTTATTGAAATATTGAGATTTTTCTGAATTAAATTTTCAAAAAAATCAAAATTCTGGATTTTTTTTGTTGATATTTTCAAACAGAAATGAAATTATCGGAGGTGCGTTTTCATGTTTTGTTGCTGTAATTTAATGTTAACTCGTCAAGAACGATTATCAAAAAAGACTAGAGAATATTCAATATAAAATAATTTTGAAACAGTGAAAAAATTAATTCGTTAGGGTAAAAATAAGCATTTCATTATTTTCAAAATTGAATTTATCATGACTAAAATTGTTCTGGTAATTTTATTTTTGCAAAATTTGTGATTACGCATTTTTTCGCAACATTGGAAACATTATTTAGTTTGAATTATTATTTCCTTTTTAGATTGGATTTTGACAAAAAAAAACTTTAAAACCATTTTCTATATTCAATTATTTTGAAACAGTGCATTTTTTGAAAAATTGATTTATGTTAATAACCAAAATTGAAGTTTGAAAGTTCGATTTTCCACTAATATTTCTATGAAAAATTCAAAAAACTCACATTTCCACAACTACTTTTGGGCGCTTGTTTGATTTGATCCATTTTTTCCTTTTCTTCTTCTTCAGCCAATCCACATGTACAATTTTTACACGCTCTTTTCTTTTTTCCTTCTTCCGGAGCACATCCAGCACTTAATTGTTCTCCAGTCGGTTTTTTGAAATCATCCTCTTCCAATAATCCATCTTCATCAACAATTTCATCATCGGCAACAACTTCAGGCAATTTCAATGCAACTTTTGAGCCGCTTGAAATTGTTTTTTTCGCCAAAATTGGCGAATTTTGGGGTGTTCCGGTGATTGAAAATCCAGCAATTCGCAATTTTCTTTGAGCAACTGATAAATCATCGAAAAATACAAGAATTTCAGCGTCAGCGGCTGAAATTTCGAATGCTTTTGTTGTCAATTGTTCTAGAATTTGATTGTTGGACGCTTCGATGACAATTTGATGAGATTGTTGAGGAGCTGCAAAAACAACTATGAAAGTAAAAGAAATTATAGACATTTTATCGATATTCCCGATTTCAATTAAAATTTTTTAAATAAATCTGAAGTTGAAAAAAATGTTCCCTATATAATGGCTTTTTTGCGTCCTAAGAGCTGCATTCCAAAATTATTATTTTTTTTTTTTCAAATGAATTTTCCTTCAAAAAAAAACTTGTAAAAATTACACTTACAGCGAGAAAAAAAACATTAAAAATTGAATAAATATAAAAATTTCAATATTTTTTGAAACGTAAATTCTCCAGGAATTCAAAATTATCAAAAATCCCTCACCATTAGCCAATTCTGTTGGTGTCAAAACAGTTTTCTTCTCGAATTTCTCCAAAAATCCGGCAGATTTTTCGATTTTCTGCTCAACAAACACCAAAACCTCGGATTCTGCGCTCCACTGGCTCATCTGAAATTCAATGATTTGGCTGAAAATGTTGCAAAAAATGCTTGAAAAATATTATGAAGGGTAGAAAAACCCATTAAAAATTTTCAAAAGAAAAGAAAAGAAAATAGTATAAAAAGTTTAGTTTTCAATTTGAAAAAAACGAAAAAAATAAAACAAAATAGAAGAGACCAATGGGAATAAATTCACAGGTTGAAGAAAATTTAATCTGAATCCGATTCGCTTGAATTTTCCGAGCTTTCTTCAGATTCTTCTTTTGGTGCTGGCTTTTTCTCCTTCTTTTTTGGTTGTTTTTTCTCTTCCGCGTCAGAATCCGAATCCGATTCAGAGCTAATATATTCTTTTGATTTGGCCTTTGAAGTTGATCTGCAAAAAATAATCCACGTATAAGATTTGCCCAAAATTTGTAAAAAAAAAACTCACGGTCCACTAGCCGGCTTTTTCGCTTTAGCACTCGACGAACTCTTCGCTGGTGCACTTTTTCCAGACTCTTTTTTCTTTGCAGCAAATTCGGCAGCAGCTCCACTGCTCTTATATTCTTTCATTTCTTTTTCATATCGTTCCTTGTCTTCCGCGGCTTTCTCTTCCCATTCCTAGAAAATTTGTAAAAATATTTACTGTTTCAAAAAATCAATAAATTATTTTAGGTGGTTTGAATAAGTAATTTAAGATAATTTAGGTTTAAAAAAAAGATTTTGAATTCAAAAAATATTTCATTTGATGTTTCGAAATTTTAGTAAAATGTGGTGAATGTTGAAATAAAAAACTTTTTTTTTAAATTCGAAAATATTTTTTGAAAAATTTCACTGTTTCAAAATAAAAATAAGAGAATCGAATTTTTGTTGAATGTATTCAGATAAATCTTTCTAGTCAAAATTGAAATCTCAAAATTTTCATTCTAAAAAAAAGTCCACCTGATCAATCAGAAATGATAAGAAAAAAATGACCAAAACTTACCTTTTTATCATCACTCGTCATTTTTCTCCATGTTTCTCCTCCTTTTTTCGCAACATCAGCTACCGAATCACCGTCCTCTTTCAGCGAAACTCGATTCGCCAAAAACCAAAGCATATAAGCTGTGGTGGCACGTTTTGGAGCATTTGGATCCTGGAAAAAATGGGGGGATTTCCGGAGGGATATCAGAGATTTGATTTTTGTGTGGTAATTTTAGGGCCCCTATTAGGGTCTTTAGGCATCTTCAGGACAAAACTCCTCTTGAATTTTGATCTGAATAAGTTCCAACATCTGAAAATGCTCACCTTCTCGACTTTTCCCTTCTTTTTTCCATCATTTTTCTCCTTCTTCTCCTTTTTCTCTCTAACTTCTTTATCCTTCTTATTTTTCTTTTTCGGAACTTCTTCTTCATCATCTGGTTCACTTTCAGCACTTCCACTATCATCACTATTCGATCCCGAATCATATTCATCATCTGGTTCTGAACCCGAACCTTCTGATGAATCCTTATTCTTTTCTCGTTTCTTAATATCTTCATCCAAATCATAATCATCATCTTCACTATCTTCATCTGATTCTTCTCTTTGTCTTCCTTCTGCTTTTACAGTTTGCTTATATGGATCAATTTCATCATCACTTCCAGCAAATCGATCTTCATCAACTGTGTTATCCATCTTTTTAGCATTTCGAATTCGAATATGTTTATTTTGAGCATAATCATAAAGTTTATTGTATTCTTCTCTGAAAAATTAGAAATGATTTTTTTTGTGAAAATTTTAAAACGTGACATAAAATGTTCATTGAAAAATCCTCGCCTTCTCGCGCCATTTTTATATTTTCTAAAAATGACAACAGAACCGCGTTGCTTTTGTTTATCTCTAAAAATATTCTTCATAGTATTTTCAATAGCTTTTATATTTCTCAATATTATTTCTCTAGTTTTCACCGCTTTTGATATTTTTCTAATAGTCGCCATTGTTATTTTAGCTCTTCGATTAATTCTTTCATGTATAGCAATTTGGTTTTATAACAAAATCATGCTTTTAATAGTCAAAATATGGAGTGTAAGTCATTTTTTCAACTTTTTTTCTACCAAACGGAAAAACTTTTTTTTACAGATAATAGAACTCGTTGCTTGCTCGTTATATATTGGTTATCTGTTCATAAACGACTCATTCTTCGATCGTCAAAATCAAGACGAGTTTCAATCTTTGTTTATTAGAGAAGTGAGTGCGTTATATATCAACTTCCTTATTTATCTTTTAATCGACCGAGCTCGTCATTTTGCGAAACATCCAGAACTTTATTCGGGAGATTCTCAACTTGTTGATTCAGAACAAAAATAAATCATTTTTTGCAAAACTCACTTTTCAACCGAATTGAAAACCAACGAAGCACCAGCTTTTAATTCAATTTCAAAATCAAAAGTTCTTGTGACATTTCCAACATCGCTTCTTGCAAAATGTAAACTGCTGATTTCCTCGAATCTCACATACATTGGTGGTTTGTGAATGAACAAAAATCCTTTTTCTAATGGGTAGAGCAATCCAGGATTTTGTTTATGAGAACATTGAACTGCTGGAGTTCCGGTATTTCCAATAAAACTTCCAGGAACTGTGATTTTCATATTGACAAGAACACGGAAAAGTTTGGAGACAACTTCAAAAAGTGGACCAGAGAGTTCGCGTTGAAGTTTGCCACCGTATTGTTCTTTGAGTTGTTCACTGCAAAAAGGTTTATTATGTTGCAAAATAATCCAAGAAACTTCTTACTCTGTGAATCCTAATTCTAAATCGATATCATCTTCCTTAATAAATTCCAAAACCAAATAACTATATCTAGTTTGACCTTGTCGAATTGGTGGATTCAAAGAAATAACAAAATAAACATGTCTTCCATCTTTGTGTGGAACCAAAAACAATCTTGTAATTGATTTGATTGGAATCTTATAATCATAAGTCTTTCCATGCAATGATAAATGATTCGGATATACTTTGATATCATATCTTCCACGTGGAACTGTGCAAAGTATATCTGGCAATGTTGCGATTGCTTGACCAGTTTCAGTCTCCAATCCAGCAAATGCTAGCACAGCTTTTCTGAATTCTTCAACTGGATCATGATCTTCGTCTTCAGCATCAACCGGCATATGAAAACGCATTTCCATAAGAGCAACTGGTGCATCTTCATTTTGATGAAACTCAAGAACTGCTTCATTTTTATTGGCTAATACTTGAGAAACATTTGTGCATGGAATCTCATAAATTCGTTTGTCTTCCCAACCAAACTCGATATTTTTTCCTTTCACTTCACAAGTTCCATAATTCCAGCCTTTAATCATCAAATCGTTTTGTTCAATTTCTTTTTCCCAATGCAAATTTGTGAATTCTTTCACTTTATCGAAATCCTAAATTTTTTTCTTTTATTTATTTTTCAAACTTTTTTTCATGAAAAAACTCACTGTATCCTTGAAACCTCCAAATCTAAGAACTGTTCCATCTTGAAGTGCAATTCTTACACCTGGTTTATTTCCAAGTCTTTGCCATTCGAGCCGTTTAATATCCGAATTTCCCAAATTTGTGATTTTTCCAGTTTTGTCATTTTTGAAGTGAAATCCATTGTCGGAAAATCGAACGAAACCGTTTTCAAGGATTCCCATATCCTCAATGAATATCCCGCCAAACTCCAGATTAGTCATTTTGCTCTGAAATTTCGAAAATCAGGCTGAAATCAAGAAAACGGTGACAAAAATTATTTGGCGCGACGAAATTTTGGTTTGAAATGCAACTACGGTATGCAAAGTGTGCAAACACCGCGATGACGAAAATGCACATTCGACATTTCAATTGACGACAGCGTATTTTCATTTTTTCGCAACCTTTCTCATTCGTTTTATTGCAGAATGGATGACGATGAGTTTGACGCGTATTTTGAAAATGGAGAAGGTGAAGAAGATGAAGACGAAGAAGTTGATTTGCGCGAAAATCCGGAGAATGCAAATCCAGAATATGAATTAGAACGAGAAGAAGGAGATTCGAAATCACCAGAAGAATTCGCAAAGTTTTTGAATGCTACTCAGTTTGCTGACGAAATCAAAGAGTATTTGAAAACTTTGAAATTTTTCGAGAAAAACGAGACCACCGGAGATATCGTACCAACAAAAAGTTTGTTGAAAACAGTGAATGTAAGTTATTCAGTTGGTTTTTCTACCTAAACTAGAATTTTTAGGGATTTGTCATTTATCTATTGGGCACCAAGAAAATTCAAAAACCTGTGTTGAAAAGTTTATCTGCGATTTTCGGGCGATATGATATTTTCCACTATATCTCGACGGAACTTGTTCGAAAAATTGGAAACCTCAAAGATTCTCGTGTCAACGCCTGGTTCAATCTCTTCAATTTCCTCACAACAATCTCTCATCCAACAGATAAAATCACCAAGCCATTTTTCCCGCAATTCTGTATTCGAACACCATTCTCCACAAAACTTATGAAAAAACGAAAAATGCTTTGGATTGCTGCCGATTGGGATAAAGTTTGGATGGCAATTATGACTGGAACTGTTAATTCAAAGGTCTCCTTGAAACTTATTCCATATATAACTGAACATGTGATTTCGAAGTTGAAAGTTCCTTTTAAATCAGCAGATTTCTTCTACAAAATGTTTGAGAAAAAGGATATTCATGCAATTTTATCATTGGCTGCTATTTTCAAATTGATTACAGAGCATAATTTGTGAGTTTTTATTTATTTAACATGGAAAATGTTTTTGTTTTCAGCGAGTATCCGAAGTTCTACGAAAAGGTTTATTCTTTGATGCGTCCTTCTCTTCTTTACATGGATCACAAAGAAAAAACTCTAACTCTTCTCGATAGTTTTCTTTCCTCAACTCATATTCCAAACTACATTGTAGCCTCATTTATCAAAAGACTTGCACGATGTCTTATTCTCGCACCAGTTGATGCACAAGAACCAATTCTTGGATTAATTCGTAATCTTCTTGTTCGACATGGAAATTGTGAAGAATTGGTTCATCGAGAAGAACCAAAATCATTTATTGATGATCCATTTGATGATAAAGAACCAGAATTGCATAAAACAAAAGCATTGGATTCGTCACTTTGGGAAATGAAATTGTTGCAAGCACATTGGAATCAAAGTGTTAGAAAGAGAGCACATTTTATTGATAAACCACAACAAAAAGTGAGTGGAATATGAATATTGTGAAGGGATTTTAGGTAGAGAAAAATATTCTTCAAGATTTTGAGGAAAAATGCTGTTGCAAATAAGTCCATGTGAAAATCTCAAAAACATTATTCAATAATTCTGAAACGTAGAATTCGAAGGTTGTTTTGTGGAAAAAATGGAACATTTTTAGTTATCCATTTTTTTGTCACTCAATCTGAAACATCCCTGATTTTTCCAAAAAAAGAAATTAACAAATTCAATATTTTTGCAGCTCGAATCGTATGTTCGTTTCCGTTGTTCTGATGAACTTTTCTCGGTAAATATGGCAAAATCATTTGGCGGAGAAGACGGAGAAGCTGAAAAATATCGAAAACTTCAAGATGGAGAAGAGGATAATGAGGATTCACGCCCTCCAGAGCCCAAAAAATCGCGAAAAAAGTTTGGAAAATTCGCGGCGAAACATGAGGAAAAAGAGAAAATTGTGAAATTAGTTGGAGTGAATTCGGAGAAGCCGACAAGTATTTTGAATCGAAAAACTGTTACAATCAATGTTGATTCGCCGATTTTGTGGAAGATTTGAAATTTTCATTGTTATTTAAATTGTTGTTTGTTTTTTTTTAAATCGTTGTTGAAGTTGTTTTAGAAATAATTCTGTTGGTATTAATTTTATCAAAAAGTCATTAAACTTTATCAAATATCTTTGAAACTTTCCAAGTTTTCAGAATTTATTCAAAACATTTTCAGAGAAAACTATGAATCTGAACAGTCCGGCTGGTCGATCGATACTTGGTGGAGATACACCAGCACATGGTGGACCTGGCTCGATTTTGGGTGAGATTTTGAAAAATTGGAGTAAATTTTTAAGAAACAACAAAAAATTATTAGACTCCGATTTTTGATATTTTTTCAATATATTTTCGACTGAAAATTAAACAATTCATTTTCAAAAATGAATCTTTCAATTTTTTGGATTTCTAGTAAAAGTTACTCGCCGATCGAATATTTGTATTTGAAAAATTATATATTCAAAATTTGAAACAGTAGATTTTTGAGATTGGATAATTATTTCATAATGTAAAATTTTCAAAAATAGGGTTTTTTAAATGATATTCTAAAAATTTTATTCAAAAAATGTTTAGCCAATTTTTGTTGCAGGTGGTCCCTCTTCAATTATGAATCATGGCCCAGGCTCAGTCATCGGCCCAAATTCAATAATGGGCCCAAATAGTTTGATAAATCCCGGTTCATTGGCTCACCCACTTCAATCTCAACAAATGCACAGTATTCAAAGTTCATCAATTCAAATGGGCTCAAATTTGGCGAGTAATTTGAATATAAATCCAGCATCAGTTGGTGTGAATCCAGGAAGTGTTTTACATGATATGAATCCAGCTTCAGTTGCATATCAAAGTTTGGCGATTCCAATGACACCATTAATGGCTGCACATAATCATGATCAATTTCGAGATCATCTTTCACATCCACAAAGTAATATTCCAACAACAATAATGCCACAAACACCATCTGGACAATTGGATATTCCAATGCCAACATTACAAAATATTGTATCAACAGTTAATTTAGGTGTTCAATTGGATTTGAAAAATATTGCACTTCACGCAAGAAATGCCGAATATAATCCAAAACGTTTTGCTGCTGTTATTATGAGGATTCGTGAGCCAAGAACAACGGCTTTGATATTTTCGAGTGGAAAAATGGTTTGTACTGGAGCAAAATCAGAAGATGCAAGTAGATTGGCTGCTAGAAAATATGCAAGAATTGTGCAAAAACTTGGATTTGCGGCGAAATTCACCGAATTCACAGTTCAAAATATGGTTGGATCATGTGATGTGAGATTTCCGATTCAATTAGAGGGACTTTGTATAACTCACGCGCAATTCTCAACTTATGAACCTGAATTGTTTCCTGGATTGATTTATCGAATGGTTAAACCCAGAGTTGTTTTGTTGATTTTTGTTTCTGGAAAGGTGAGCATTTTGGGTTTTGTTACGAAAAAGATAGAATTACTGTTTCCGAAATATTTTTATTCGCAACAAGAACATTTTGAAACAGTGAAAAATTGAAGTTTTTCTAACAATTAATATTTATTTCATTCCCAAACTTTCCAAATCCTTATTAATTTCTGCAGGTTGTAATAACTGGTGCCAAAACGAAGAAAGATATCGATGATGCTTTCAGTCAAATCTATCCAATTCTTAAAGGATTCAAAAAATAAACTCGAATTTTTTTTTTGTTTTTGTGTATTTTTTGTTGTTATGGAACACAAAACAGGTCTAATATTGATTATAGTTCTAGAAATCTTTTTATTTTATTATTTTTATCGGATCTCTGGATTTCTATTTTTCTTAATTGGTTTTTCAATATTCAAGCTTCTTCTTCTTATTTACAATCAATCTCTTGTTTCTTTTTGTGTGAATATCATGAATTAAATTTTAATCAAGTTCCTGATGTTTTTTACAAGTTTCAGCGATTTGTTACAAAATTCGCTTTTGAAATATTTTCTCTTTCTTTTCGAAAATAATCAGGAAATTTTAGAATGGTTCATTATTCTATTGAACAATTATCGAAATTGGAAAATTTGGAAACTTTGAATCAAATTGAGGACGAAAATGAGTTGTTGGAAATCGTGAAAAGTTGTTTGAAACATGTTATTGCTTGTAATTTTACCGGGTATTTGAGTGAGTTTTTGACAGGGGTTTTTGGTTGAAAATTTGGAATTTTGAGGGGAAATTGGGGTCAATTTTTGTGAAAAATTCATTTTGACCGAATTTGTTTGAATTTTTGGGATTTTAAGTATAAAATTTCAAAAATTAACTGTTTCAAAATTTCTATCATTTTTTTGTAGAAAATTAGAAAATGATTCACATCGGTGTCATAAAGAATCAAAATATTTTCAGAATTCCACGAATCAACATTAATCAGCGAAGAAAATGCAAGAATTGAGCTAACTCGAGATATCATCAGACCTTGTGTTGCTTTCGGGTAACTTTTAGTTTTTTTTGTCTTTTTCCGCTTGAAATCCTCATATTTTCAGATCTTGTTGGTCACTTTATATTATCAAATCAATTTTGCTCGCGGAAGATCAGAAAATCAACCAAAACCAGCTAGAATATCGATTGTTAAAATTATCATTTTTGAATTTGTGGGCTCAAGCTTTGGTTGAAAAAGATAGTTGGATAATTGAAGAAGCTGAAAAATTGATTGCTGAAATTAAGGAAAACTTGGAGAAAGAAGACATTGAAATCGAGAAGAAAACTAGGATTTTGTTGGAAATGGCTTCGATTCATTTTTTGTTTTATCAATATGACAAGGCGAATACTTTGATCAGGTAATTTTATCTGGCGAAATTTAAAATTTCCTGATTCCCCCTCTAAAAACGCATAATTCATTCCAGCGAAGCTTCTGAAGCCTGTAATCTAAATGTTGATTTATCTGGAATGTTAGGAAAACGAACACGATATCAACAAAAAGAAGTTGCTCAACTCGTTCTAATCTATCAAAATAATCAATCAATAAACATTCCGATTATTTTGCCATCAAAAGATGTTCCAATTGATTGCAATTTGAATGATGATACTTTATTGGAACATGTTGAAGTTGGCAATTCGGAAGATTCAGAAGAAATTGAGAAAAAAGTGGATGGAAGACGATTGTCAGAAATTCAATTGGCATGTTTGTTGTGGGCGGCAAAACACGAAAAAGCAACACATTTTGCTGATTCTTTGGTGCATGAAAGATGTATGCCATTTATTGAAACGGTATGTTATTGATTATTTTTGGGGTGATATCATTTTTAATATTTTATATTCTATTGTTCCAAACTGGAGTGGTTTCATTGAAAAATTTTATGTAAAATGTTTGAAACAGTGAGTTTTTGTCTGAGATTTGGACGAATTTTCAGAGCTAATTTTTCGAATTAACTTTTCATAAGTTCTTTAAAGATTCTCAAATTAGCAACCCTAAATTCAGCGATTTCGCTCTGAAATTTTGTTACGTGTCACGGTACTTTCTAGATAAAAATGTCAGATTTTCAGCTTCTGAATTAGATAAAAAAATTCACAATTTTCTGCAGAAAAAATTTCGGACAGCGGAGTTTCGCTGTAGACGCTTCCCGAACTTATGCAAACTCCGACACAAGTAGGTTCATCAAAAAATGTATATTCGAATAATTTCACATAAAAAAATTTGAAGCAGTGAATTTTCTGGTTTACAAATTTTTTTGAAGAAGTGAATTTTCAAAAATTCCAAAAAAAACAAATTTTCTCACAAATTTCATTTCAAATCAAACTTTCAGTCGAACAAGCACTTGACTTCTTCGGGATCTGAAAATATTCTATTTTTCTTTTAAAAAAATCAATTTTTCCCCGAAAAAACCCACCAAAAGACATACAAGTTAAACAATCCTCGGTAAGCGGTTCGACTTCGAAATTTTTGAAATTTTTGCGAATTTCGGCTATTCGAATCATATTGTTTTTCATAACATTTTCATCGATCTAAAAATTGATTTTTTTTTACAAATAAAAAAAAATAAAAAAAAAGAAAGAACTCACCAAATTTGTTAAATGTTCACTTCGAATTTTTCTATAAGAATCACTGCAAGAAGTTATGAAAAGTTGGCAAAGTTCAAAATCGGAAGTTTGATCAATAATTCGATCTTCTGACATCACTTCTTTCTCATTTTCAACTCGATTCGCCAAATTTGATAAAAACTCGGAAAGCTGAAAAATTCAAATTTTTTGGCACAAGTTTTGAATTTAAGAAAAAAATTACCTCATTTTTCTTGAATTTCACGCTGTTCTTCGTTTGTCCAAGAGAATTTGAAGTATTTTTGATAAATTCCTCAATTTCCCCAATTTTCATCTGCAAATTTGAACAAAGTTCCGAGATTTCTTGAAAATAATTGAGCTTTTGAGATGTTTCTATTTCACTTGAATGAATTTCAAGATTTTCGATGATTGGATTCTGATTGATATTTTCGAATAAAGAAGAACCATCAGATGAACAAGAATCAGATGATGAACCTGCATTTAGACGAGTTTCCGATTTTTGAGAATCCTGCAAAAATAAATTTTTTAGGATTGAGAATCAGGAAAAGTGCAATGATATCAACTTTAATTCAAAACAGTATAATTTCGCCAGATAACAATACCGTAGTACTAACCCTAATCCTGTTGGTTTACTGTCAAAAATCCTAATTTTTAGTAAACTTACGGTAGATTCACGAGATTTGGACGATACTTCCAATGAAAAAGTTCCATGATCCACAATATTTCCACCATTTGACGACGTTGCTGCTTTTGAGCGATTAATTTCGACATTTTTTCCGAATGTGAACAATTTTGGTCCAAATTTAAAGTTACGCATTTTTCGAAATTATACAAATATTGAAATGAGGCATTTTTATGGGCTGGGGGTATTTTATTTGAGCGAAAAAAATGGGACACGTTTTTATTTTTTTTAGAGCTAGGACCACGTTTTTTCAACAACAAAAAAAGAAAAAAAAATAATTTATTGCAGATTTTATCAGCTCGCCGTTGTTGGCCAATTCAATCGGCTGCTCTTTTGCTCAGAGCTGATTTGGAAAAATCGCATGGAAGAAGAGTTGATCGATCTTGTTCACAAACTGAATTAATTTGTAAATTAATGCAAGGAATTGATGATGAGGTATGCAGAAATACGAAATTTTCTCTCAAAAATCCAAATTTTCTCAGACTTCCGATGAAATTCGCCTCGAAAGAACTGATTTCGTTCTCGCTTCTGGACTTGAACCAATTTGGCAAGCCAATGTTTTGCACACAACAATTTTACGATCTCTTGGATGCACTTCTGAAGCATTGCTCATTTTAGAGAAATTGGAATTGTGGGACAATGTAATTGATTGTTATAAAGCGCTGGGACAATTGGAAAAAGCTGAAAGTCTTGTGAGAAGATTGATTGAACAAAAACCAACGGATTCGATGCTTTTTGTTTATTTGGGGGATATTACACAAAATACAGAGTATTATTATACGGCTATTAAGGTGAGGGTTTGGAAAATTATGGAATTGATATTTTCAGAAATAGAAAATCTGAAATGTTTTTTCAGCTTTCCGATGATCGAAATGCTCGAGCTCATCGTTCACTTGGACATCTTCTTTTAATGCGAAAAAATTATGAAGAAGCTTATAAACATTTGAGAAGAAGTTTGGAACTTCAACCTATACAGGTACCAAAAATCTGGAGAGAAATTGTTCAGCAAAAAATATTTTTTCAGCTTGGAACTTGGTTCAATGCTGGATATTGTGCATGGAAATTGGAAAACTACAAAGATTCGACACATTGTTATCATCGGTGAGTTTTTAGGCGGGGAATTCAGGGAATGGAGAAAAATTAGATGTTTTATGATTTTCAACACAAAAATTTTTTAAAAAGTTTTCCATCCCAAACCCAACTTTATTTTCTAGATGTGTCTCATTCCAACCTGACCATTTTGAAGCCTGGAATAATTTATCAGCTGCTTATATTCGATGTGGACAAAAGGAAAAAGCTTGGAAATTATTGCAAGAAGCTCTTAAATTCAATTATGAACATGCAAATGTTTGGGAAAATTTCATGTTGTTATCTGTTGATATTGGCAATTTTCAACAGGTTAGCCTAACTCAAGCCTAAGCTGGAAAATCACTTTTATTTTTAGGCGATCATCTCTTATCATCGATTGTTGGATTTGAACAAAAGAGGAGCGGATGATGAAGTTTTGGAACTTTTGGCATCACAAGTTTTGAAGCGAGAAAAACAGGTCTGAAACTATTATGAAAATATATCTTTTTTTCTTTTTTCAGCTTGTCAATGATGACGAAATTGCTGAAAACGTGAAAGATAAAGAAGATTTGGTCAAATTATTCGCGCGAATTTCGGCACAACACCAAACTTTATCGCCGAAAACTTTGCGACTTTGGGCGCAACTCAAAAAACCGCGAGGAAAATTGACGAATGAAACGAGAACGGAATTCGAGAAATATTTGCAATTGATGGAGAAAAGTTTCGGACAAGCAAATGGAAAACAGGTTGGTTGGTGGAGATTTTTAAAGAAATTGGGGGAAAATGAATATTTTACGTTTCAAAATATTTAGAATTGAACAAATATATTTTGTTTTTTTTTATTCGCATTTTATGAAAAGTGCTGTATTAAAATTGAAAATAGGAGATTTCGCTATTTTTTTCAGTGCGAACCCAGCTCTCCTCTGTTTCTCTGCAATAAATTTTGAGCTATTTTGATTTATGAACACTTTTGGAAAATTTTCCAACTTTTGAGAAAATGAATATTTTACGTTTCAAAAAATTTAGAATTGAAAAAATAGCTTTTGTTTTTTGATTCATCTTTTTTCAAAAATTTCAATTATATCTAGAGAATTTTTTTTCCTCAAAATCATATCGATTTTTTGCAGAATTGGTCGAAAGATGAATCAGCAATAATCAATATTCTCGAAACAGCAATTCGTCTTGGAGAAGATCGCATCGAATTGGCGAAATTCATCAATTCTCCAACTTCAGTTAACGAGGTTTGTAGGTTTTCGGGAAAAATTGAACGGGAAAAGAGTTATTCTGAAAAAGTCTATGCTTGTAAGCTTGAAATTGTGAACCAAAATTGGCCTCGAAGCTTTTTGCTGAATTCGATTTCAAGATTCCAAAATTTTTCAAAGAAAAAATTAAGGGTTAACAATTTTCACCCAAAAAGCCACAAATTTCTAGGCTTCTGCTCGAATTCGTTTGTCTCTTCGCGGTGTTTTAACACGAATTGAAAAAGACGAAAATTCACGAATTCCCGGCGAAAAAACTCATGCCAGATTGGAATTTTTGGTTTCAGAAGCCAAAAAATTGTTGCAAAATGTTAACTAAAAAATTATACCTACACCTGTTTTTTCCACGTTTTTTTTTGTTGATTTTCTTTTGTTATTAATCCCGGTTCTTGTTAATATATTTTTTGTTTTTCCGTATTTTTTCCTCAAAAACAAGCAAAAAGTTTGTCTAGGTCAAGAAAGTGTCGGATTTCAAAAAATCGCCTTGGATTTCTTGTGTTTTTGTGAACTTTTCTTACAATCAGGCACATGGTTTATGGGTGAAAAAAATACAAAAAAAAACATGAAATTGGTCGTTGTTTTATTGGAGATCACATTGGACGGTCCATTTTCATGAAATATATTGACCAGTATCTGCAAATTTGAATTGAGTTAGGCTAAGTTTTGATGGAAGATTTCAATTTTCAGTCCCAACAATTTTATGGTGAAAGAAAAAATTTCTGCGACCAATCAATTTTGTTAACTTCAAAAATTTGCAAAGTTCAACTCACACAACATTGAAAATCAAAAAAGACAATGGAAACATGATCATTGAGCAACGATCAACTTGAACAGAAGTAACTGTCCAATCTCGATCTGGCGGACAACACGAATAAATCAATCTTTGAATGCGTTGACAGAAACCCGACTTCTTTTCATACGCATATGTTTCGTGTTCGATCTGCAAACTATTTATTTAGAACTTGAAGAGTCTTGTAAAATTTAAATTTGTCAGTTCAACTTTAATTTTCAGCCTAAAAAGTTTTTGAAACTTAAGTTTATGAGAAAACTTGAAATTTGATACGTTTGAAAAAATTGAAAATGTAGAGATGTGTCTAGACTTTTTTGAAAGTTCAAAAAAATGTCTGAAATTCTGTCTAACAATCTCAAACGCCTAGTTTTCAGCAATAAATTTGGGTTCAGAAAGTTCCAGAAAAATTTTAATTCAGATTTTCCCTGATCATTTTCTCTCTGAAAGTTTGACTCTCAAAATAAACTTTCTAAGAAGTTCTCATAAAATATTGAAATTTATGCGTTCTCATTATAAATACTTGTCTATATATTTTTCCACGTCATAACTCCGAATGACTCACCGATTGAAAGTTATTGCAAATCTGTTTTGTGTCAGGCGAATCCACAACTTCTCCATTATTTCCTCCTCCACCTCCTCCACTTTTTAATTGCGATAAAACTGGAATTCTTTTCCTCACAAGTGATTTTTCTTCATCTTTCGGCTCTTTTTTTCTCGTTTTTCTTATTTGATTCAACCAATGTCCCAATACTTTCGATCCAATTTGTCTTTCTCTTTCCCATCGATTTAATTGACAAACAATTGCTAATTCGACCAATGTGCAGAAAATGAAAATCACCGAAAATATCATCCAAACATCTAAACATTTGATATAACTGACACGTGGCAAATGACGAAGAACATTTCCGAATTGAAATGTGAGAGCGAGAAGCGATGAAACACCAAGGGTTATTCTGCAACACAAAATTGGACTTTGCATTTACACTATCCAAAACTAACCTTGCTGAAACCGATCTGACATCGAAAAAGAATCCAACCCATGAGGAAATAACAGTGAGAGAAGTTGGAAAATAAGATTGAAACAAATAAAATCCATATCTTCTAGCAAATGTGAATTTAACTTTTGCTCGATCCCAAATTCCATTTGGATACTCCAATCTTTGATGATCAGTTGACCAACCAATCAAATCAAAATCAGGTAATTCAACTTTTTCCATCATTGTAATTGGAACATCGTGCCAAGTTAGCCGAACTTCATCTGTATTAAATGAATAACTTTCTAGAACTATTTCGCATGAAAGTGAGTCGAATGGGAACATTTTCAGATTCACTGAACACGGTGTTTTGACATTTAATCGGAAATTCGACCAAACCAAGCCATTTTCATATAAAATAACGAATGTGTTTTCGCTCGGACTTGAATGAATTGAACTCGATTTACTGTTGATTATACAAGTGTCTGGAGTCCAGATTCGTTTTCGAAAATCAGACTGAAAGTGAGTTTTTAGAGAGAAAATGTGGACTCTCAAATATCAAAGTACTAACCTTCAGTGTAATATTAGTTGCACAAATATTCATATGTTTAAATGCTAATCGAGGATCTTGCCAAATTTCCGAATACATAACATCCAGTGAAAAATCGCCAGTGATTTCTGAGATTCCAGAAACTCCTTGAACATGTAATTCGATTGTGACATTTACACCTTCGGCTTCAGGAAGAAGGTGAGTATCGTAATCTTTGAGAAGTGTATCAATTATACCACCAAGGTTTATGCTGAAAAAATATATGATTTTTTGAGCAAGATTGGTCTTGGTCAAAAAGGAGCACGTGGGAAAATGTGACGTTTTGCGGTTTGTAATATGATGTGCTTGAATACGGCGCCAATAATCGAATTTTTTTTGAAGACAAATTTTTTTGTTGGAAAAGCTGAACTCGGAGAAAAAACAAGAAGATTTGGGTAACTTTAAGTTCTAAAGAAAATTTAAAGGTTTTTCCGAACACCAGATTTGAAAAATCAACTTTTGGCGCCTTCAAAAAAATATTGTAATACAAATTACGGTAGCCAGGGATCAAAAAATTAAAATTTAGATGATAATTCAAAACTTTTCACATTTTATAGAAGAATTAAAATTCCCGCGATATAAAATTTGGGCGGAAAAATAGGACATTCAAATTTAGAATTCTGAATCCTAGCTACTTCTGAAAGCAACTTTTGAATCAAGCTTGAAAAAAAATAAAAACGCGTATCAAACAAAAATCTGCTCACCTATTTCTTGAGCATTTTTTCTCTTTAACCGATCCATCGACAATCGAACAAAAAACAACACAAAAATATACCCAAATCCAATTTTTCATCGCTTCGATTTTTTTTATTTCATACCCAATAAAAATATATATTTTCTTAGGTTTTCCTGAAAAAAAACTTTTTTCTCTTGATTTTTTGTGGAGAAAAAAAAGGAAAAAATGAGGATCGTGAGAAAATGAGGGCAAAAATATAAAGAGGAAATTCGAATTAAAAGTCAAAAATTATTTCGATTCTGAAAAAAATGGATTACTGTAAGTGCATAGTTTGTTGCACTTCCTTCCTCTCTATTTTTAAAATTTTCTTTCAAGAAAAGAAATATTTTTAAAGAAAAAATTAATTTTCGAAAAAAATATGAAGTATGTGGAAGAAAAAGCCGGAGGGCATTTTTGAACTTTTTCTTTTTTTTCGTGAAAAAAAATTTAGCAAAAAAATAAAAATATGAAAATAAAAAACAGATGTGATTTGGTTATTTTGACACCGTGAAAACATGTGTACTTTTTGAAGAAGGACGAACAAAAAAGTGGGGAAATTTGAGATGAAAAATGGGATTTCGAGAGATTTGTACTTTGACGTGAGCAGGATTTGAAATACGTTTTGGCGCCAAAAATAAGATCCACGTGGATTTGAAATTTAAGCGATAAACATTTATGATTTTCATTTTTGGTGCCAAGAATTCGCTTTTTTTGGACCAAAAAAACTATAGTCTTCATTTTTTCTTCCATCAAAAACTAGTCCCAAAAGACCTTTGAACCAAAAAAAATTTGTCTGAAACAAACATAAAAAAGTGTCGGAAAATATAGCCGTTTTTCAGCCGAACTCATCCATTTCGCCCGCCAAAATTCTTTGCTCCTCCCATTTTTTTTTCGAAAAAAAAAATAAAGAAAGACGCAGAGATGAAAAACAGTTGGCTGAAACTTTGTGCGAGAAAAAGATTAATTATTCAAACGGCCAACAAAAATATATATCTAGAGAAAAAATGAAAATTGCGATGGATTTTTGAGTTGAGTACTGAAATTTGGGGGACAAAAATCGATAATTATTTTTCTAAAAAACCAGATTCTGAAGTTTTGGTGGTCCGATCAAGAAAGCAATTATTTGTTTGATCTTCCTTTCCTCTAAGTTACTGTATTTCCAAAATATGCTCTTGGTTTTCAAAATTTCAAAACCTTCCCTTTTTTTCTATTTTCTCCCCCAAAACTTCTTCTACTCTACGAAATCACAAATTCTGAGAAAAATGAAAAATTCCAGAATTCCTCGTGATTTTTTCTTCTTTCCATGTTAGATGCTGCAAAAATTGAATCACATACATACACATAACACATGAAAAAAAAGAAAAGAAATATAATTGGTTTGTGAGCTTCTTCTTCGGGAAGCAAAAACGAAGAAGCGCAAAACAACTCTCAAATTTCAATAAAAAATATATAGAAAATCTCAAAAAAGGCTCAGTTTTGAACAAAAAGGACACTTTTCTTTTGAAATATGAAAAAATTGAGAACGGAACTTTTTTTTGAGAAAAATAGAGTGACACAAAAATAGAATTTCGATACAGTAATCTAACGTGTTTTTAAGGCACACTTTTATTTGAGAGGAAAAGGGGCGTGGCTTGAATTTGCAACACTGGCACAGTTTTTGAGATTTTATTTTCATCGTACAAAATTGGTTCTGAGAAATCGAAACAAACAAATTTTGGAATTACAAAAAAAATTATACAAACATTTTGAAACGTAAAATTTTTGGGTATTTTTTCTGGACTTAAATTTTTCTGAACTTCTAATCTGATTTTTTAACGGTATTCTAGGGATAATTTGAAACAAAAAATTTTGAAACGTAGAATTTCAGGGTACTCAAAACATAAATTTAAAAAAATTCAAAATTCGAAAAAAAAACACCAAAGCCGAAAAAAAAGTTGAGAGAAAATCGGGAAAAAATTGCAAATAAAAAAAAGTGTGAGTTTTGAGGTGAGACAAATCAATCAAAATCAAAAGAAAAGCCTAAACATTCGAAAAAAAAGTGCAAAATATACATCAATCATTTTTTTTCGACTTTGAGTGACTCAATGAGCTTTTTCGTTTTTTGACCGAAATCACACACACTTTTTTTCATTTTCATAATATTTTCGGTTTCACAGAAAGTCTAAGATTCTAGGGATTCTTGAAATTGTTAAGAGAGAAGAAGAAAAAACTGAGAAAAACAAAAACCGGATTATTTTTCTTCTTATTTTAGTTTTTATTATCTATTCATCATCGAGAAAAACATGGAAAAGGAAAAAAGGGGCGTGGCCTAAATATTGCAACTCTGGCACAATAATTTTTCGGAAAAGTTAGGTTTTCTTTTTAATTTTTTTGTGGAAAAAATGGGCGTGGTTTCGAAAATGCAAGTCTGACACACTTTTTCCTTAGAACACTGCAAATATTTGTGTTGTTTCCTCCAAAAAAATATTTGGAACTCAAACTCCAAAATGTGGGCGGAGCCTAGAATTAGAAAGCTAATAATTTTTCTGCAAACATGGGCGGAGTCTAAACTTGCGAACTTCCCGCGCTTTTCTCGCAACCCTGGCACATTCTACGAACACAAAATCAAAAATCAAATTTTTCTGTTTTTTTTTTTGACACGAAAACAAAAAGAGATAATTATAGAAAACATCTAATATTACATTATTTTTCATGTGTTTTTGTCTGAAAAACATGAAAATAACAATAAAATGAAACTTTTTGTCTAAAAAGGCAAGCAAAAACTAAAAAAGAAAAGGAAAAGCTAAAGAGGATACTATCCTATCAAGTTTCAAAAAAAAAATGGCGAAAAAGAAACGTCAATGCAAATTTGTTAGTTTTTAGTTTAGCCCTAGTTTTTTGAACTTTAAGGACGTCTAATTAATTACTTAACAAACTCACTAATGGAATAAAAGCTGTTGTGTCAATTTTGTGTTATGGTTGGTGCAAAAACGGAAGAAATATTTATTATTGACCTTTGACCATTCTTCAAAACTTCACACGTGGCGCAGTGGTAGTGTGTTCAATTTTGAATCCATGGGTTGCAAGTTCGATTCCCAATGGGGTCCTATGTTTTTTTGTGAGATTCTCATGAAAGATATAGAATTTATGATGTTGTTTTTTTTCGGGAGAAAAGATCGGGCTGGGCTTCTGCTCCAGCTCCATATAATTAAAACAGCGCACACAAAAAAAAACAGAATTAATTTGGAATAAGGGATCAGATGAGCCTTTTCTGTCGCGCGGCGCAAAAAAAAAAACAAGATCACCCATGTGGAAAAATGGAGTTGAGTTCAAAGCTTGTCTCTTTTTCTCTTTCAGAGAGACAGATAGATTTTTGCGCTGAAAAATTTGAAAAAAAAACACAAGTAAACTCATAAAAATATACATATTCGGTCGTGTTCGTTCAAAAAAAAAAAGAGACGCCCCCGAGAAAAATTTTGGAGCATGAATGAATGAAACAGGGGCAAAATAGCCGACGGCCACGATTTCGGATAATCGGCGAGAAAAAAAGGAAAATTGAGGAATTTTTAGGTCTGGATATGTGTATTTTTAGAGGTGTGCAAAGATTGAAATGTTTCTTTTTTGAGCTCAGCCCTGAACCATGAAAATAAAAAGTTTTTGAGCAGAAAAAAATCACATTAAATTTTGTTGCGAAGCTAGTTTTTGGTGCTCACATTAAAGTGGTTCTGACAGCTGAGCCCAGAAAATTTCCTAGATCAGAGAATCCAAAAGATTTTGGGGATTAAAATTTCAAAATTGAATTTTGAAGCTGAAATGTTCACGTGGGGAAAATTTATAAATTTGAATTTTCGAGCCAAAAAAATTTCGTAAAAATCCACGTGAGCTTATTTTGTGCTCCTCAGAAAACGTCTCGTCAGCCGTCCGCGAGGTTGCGAGCTGTCGAAAGCTATCAGAGGCATTTCGACAGCTAGCCGCGGGGTTGCTAGCTGGCAGAACCTAGCAGGCGCTGTCTGCGAGCTAGCAAACTGACAAATTAGTATCAGAATTCGACGGCCGTCTGCCGGCTCGCGGACGGTTGACGAGACGTTTTCTGAGTCCTGAATCGGAAATTTGATTTTTGGAAAATTTTTATCCCGAAACTGATTTTCCAAATATCAAAAATCACAACTTTTCACATTCACAACAATTTTCTCAAAAAAAAATATGAAGAAAAAAGTTTGCGTGCCAAACTAATTCCTGATGTGAACAAAAAATTATAATTAGAATCAAAACAACTTTTTCCTTCTCTACTCTACACTTTCTCTAACTCTATTTTGATCCATAAACTTTTTATTTAAAAAAAAACGTCATCATCATGAAAAAAAGTAGACATTCCTTGGGAATTCTGAATTTGATCACACGAGAAAAAATAGAATTTGCAAAAAAACGAGTTCGTAAAAAAGTACTTATACGGTGTGAAGAGCCTGAATTCTTTGCCATATTTTCTATTGTGTTTTTGAGGCAACGAAGAAAAATTGAATTTGATCCTTTTTCAAGTGACAAAAAAAAGAATGGGAAAAGTCGAAAACATGGGCAAAAAAGACAAAGGATTACCCTTTTCAGAATGGATAACAACAAAAGAAAAAAATAAGGAAAAGGAGAAGGAACTTTTGATTTTTCACGCTTTGAAATTTGAAAGTTGAAAGTTTTTTTAGGGGAAGATGGGGATCTGGAAAAAGTTAGAAGAGTTTGGAGGCCTCGTTTTTCCAGCTGAATTATTTTCTAAAAATTCCGTTTAGTAGACTTTTTAAGCCAAACAACTTTGGGCCCAAAAAGTTCATTTTTGATACTTTTTCCAGATCACATTCAAATTCCCTAGTCAGTTTTCCCCAGGTTCTTTCCAAAAATAACCGGGGCCACCAATAACACTAAAAATCATAAAACTATTCATCACAAAATCTACCCAAATACCCCGGAGAATGATAAATTTTTCAACATTACTTTTCTGTTTTTTTTTTTGGTATGTTTCAGCCAAACTGCAAAAAAAGCATTTTTCGAGAACACCAGGAAAAAAGTTTGGGTGATTTATTTGATGTTGTTCTTGTAAGAGAAAAAAGAAAAATTTGTTTCGAAAATGTAGGGAAAAGGGATGGGGGAGAGGAAAGTTCGGGAAAAAAACTAAAATAAATTTTTTGATTTCCAGAAAAAAATCCCCAAAATTTTATGTTTCAAAAATGTTGTTAGTCAGCTATAATTTAAAAATTCAATATTTCAAACCCTAATGAAAAAATGACGACGGATTACTGTAGAAAAAATTTTCGCTAAAAATTGATTCACATGAGTGGATCACAAAAGTTCCTGATTCCAATTTTTCCAGACCAAAAAATACCCTGAAATTGTACGTTTCAAATTTTTTGTATAATTTATTTGAGGTTTCCAAATTTGTTTTGTTTCAACAGTGTCTTGAAAATTGAATTTAAAAAAAATGTTCATACCAAGAAGAAGTACAAAGATTTTTGAAACAATTCTTATCAAGTTGGAAAATTGAGGTTTGGAAATTCACGTGGTCAAAGTAAGAAGGTCTAATTTGTTTTTCTGGTTGTGATCTATCAAAAAATAAATTTTGTTAGAAAAAATCATAAATAATGCCGTTATCGCGTTCTATTGTTCTGAAAAATATTATCAAATATTAGTTCCTCGTTAATTTTTTATTGTTAGCTGAAAAATATCCTTCAACTTTGTCTCAACTCAAAAATTCAAAAAAATAATAACCGGCTTATTTTGATTGCTCTCAAGTTCAAAAGTGTGTGTTTTTTGAGACGAAAATCGAAAAAATTTGATAAGAAGAACACCCAAGACAAGATTATTTTATTATTATGAAACAAAAAGAAAAGAAAGTGTCTTTGACAATTTATGGAATTGGTCTGACAGAATTTGTAGAGAAAAAGTGAACTTTGAAAAACCAAAAATTTTATACTTTTTTGTGTTATCTTCTATTTGTTTTTCACACTTTCAAAGTTCGAAGTCAAAATCGTAATGAGACCGAAAATTTGATGGTTTTTTTTTCGACAAAAAACGTCAGTGTGTATTTTGTGGCATCGGCGGAAACTTGAAAACAAAATTGTTTGTTTGAACCACGCGGATAGTTTTGTAGATTACTGTAGTCCAGAAAATTGTAAATGAAATAGTGAAAAACTTAAAAATAAAAAAAAACGCTGTGAAACACACATTTTTTGGGAGAAAAAACCGAAAAGTTGAATAATCGATAAATAAAATAAAAACAAATTTTACGTTAAACAAAGGGCAAAGCCTCAAAGCGGAGTGTCGTAGTGAGTTGTTAGGTGTTATTTATTTTTTCATTTATTTTTGTTTTGTTGAAAGTTATTTTAATTAATGAATTTAAGCAGGTAATTCGAGAGTTCCAAGCTTTGTAATCATGTAAGTCAGCTCCTTTTTTGTGTTTAGAGTTTTATTGAAATTTTTTCATTGCGATCCCCTCTAATATTTTTCACAAAATCTCTGTTTTTGTCTCATGATCAAATTGTAACTATTACTTTTCTACAAAAAATAAATCATAACAACCTCAAACTACAAAAATATGCCCGAAAAACAGTAGCAATCTAATTTTCATTTCATATTTCAAGACATTCTCAAATTTTGTCATCGACAAGTGCTCCCTTCTTTTTCAATTGCACTCTTTTTTGTTCGGTTTTTATCAAAAAAAATGGGCGGAGTTATAAATGAGCAACTATATATAATATTGAAATTATGAAGTTTTTGAGCAACGAAAACCGAAAAGCATGTGGCGATTCATTTTTCTATACATTGCTGTCATTGAAGCTGAAGTTGAGTTCGTCCAAGTTCTTTTGAGGTAAGCATTTTCATACATAGAGATTTAAAAAAATTAAATTGAAACTTTTCTAGACATGGTGACCGTGCTCCTTCATACAGTTTTCCAAGCGATGAAAAAGAATTTGACGTGGATAAATATTTTCCACGTGGATATTCTCAATTAACAAATCAAGGATTCGAACAAGCAAAAGAACTTGGAGAATATTTACGAAACACTTATGGAAATCTAATTGGCGAGAAATTCAATCGAAAAACAACTTGGATTCGAGCATCCGATAAAGATCGATGTATTGAAACAGCAATGGGATTAGCAACAACATTATATCCCGAGCAAATTGTGCCAGTTCACACATTTTCGAGTTATAAAGAAGATTTGATGCTCAAACCGAATAGTGTTTTTTGTAAGAAAGCTGATCGATTGGTGAATTTGGAGAAAGAAGAATGGGCTGCAAAAATAAACGAGGAATATTCGGCGTTTTTTGAGTTTCTGTCTGAAAAAACTGGGTGGAAAATTGATGCGGGAAATGTTCAAAATGTATATAATGTACTATACAGGAAGGTTAGTCATAAGAAGTATTAAAAATGTGTCGAAAGACACAAAGAAATACATCACTTTGTTGTTTTTCTTATCAATTTTATTCATTTTTTTCTAAAAGTAAAACAAAAACTATTTTTAGCATGTCAACAATGTTCCTCTTCCATCTTGGGTTTATTCGAATCATTCAACACTTCCAAATTCTTCTCAAACTGTGCTCCAAACTGTTGTTGAACTCAAAAGACAAACTCGAATGTTATCCTTCAATACCGCGGAAAAATCACGACTTCGAACTGGATTTTTGCTTTCTCAAGTGACAAAAGAAATGTCGGATCGGGCTAGAAAATTGACAACAAAACGGATGAATGTTTTTGCGGCACATGATGCGACAGTTACTTCGATGATGTATTCTTTGGGTATTTCTGATCATCAATTGCCTGATTATACAGCTGCATTGATTTTCGAACTTCATCGAGTTGTTATGGAGGATGGAAAGAAAATGCGATTTGTTAAGATTTTATATCGGCATAGCAAAGTTGAGGAGCCAAAAGAGATGATGACTATGAGATGGAGCAATTTTGAGAGATTTGTGAAGGAAAGAACTATTGAAAGTCGGGAAGAATTTGAACAACTTTGCGAGAACTTTGAAGAACTTGCTCCAAAGATTGCTCCAGAACAAACTCCAATTGTTGATGAAATCGGAATCACATCTCAAGAATCCGATATTCTACCAATTCTGGATTTGGAAACATCAATTTGGAACAAGAATTAGGATCGATTTGAACCAAAAAAGTCTGCTGGTCGGACAACTTCACTTTATACTTTTTCTACGGGAAACAATTTCATTATCATTAATTTGATCTCAAAATAAATATTTTCACTTTTGACAGTTCATAATCAGCTCATAACAAGTCACATTTATTATCAGTCATGAATGATGTTTGGGTTTCTAAATATAGAATGTGCTTTTGAGATCAGAAGTTCGGAAAACAAATTAGAAATGAAAAATAACAACAACAACAACAAAAAATAATTGTGAACGTGACATTGAAACCTACCATTTCGAGTTCATTTTTAAATTTAAAAAATATTTTAAATTCTGAGGCTCTTTCGTGGAGCAGAAATCCAATTCCAATTTGTTGGCTCTTTCTTGAAACCTGTGAGTTTTGGTACATGAATAGTTTACAGGCGCATCAAAAGTGTCTAGATTTTTATAGAGTCTATTCTGTAGACTACAAAATACAAAGTGTTTACTGACAATTTTCCAAAGCTTGGTGCTTTTTTTGTAGTTTAAAAATGTGTGATGAATTTTTAGAGTGAAGATTTGAAATAAGAAAAATTGGAAATTATTTCTCATAAATATATGATGTTCTTGGTGAAAATCGTGAAATTCCCTGATTCACGAAAAAAAACGAAAATGAATAAGTAAACGAGAGAGTGTTGCGTCTAGAAGAGACGAAGAGAGAGAAGGAGAGAAATTGAGAGATAGAAACTCGTCAGAGAGAACGCCAGACAACACGACGTTTGTGAATTTTTCCAACGCCAAAAACATTTTTCGTTTTTTCACAAAAAATGCTAAAATCGTTCATACTTAACCAATTTTCAAAATCATTGCTGCAAAAGATGGCAAATTCTTGAGAATAGAGATGGCAAGAAGAAAAATCTAAAAAACTTTTCTTCAAACACCAAAAAATATGATTATACGTTATTCGCCTTGATTTCCTTGATGATTTCTATAATATTCAACTTGCTTTCTATAAACACTTTCAATGTTATTCATTTTCTATTCTGAATCAGTATATTTAGTTGTTCTTCATAAAATATCACATTTATTCCACAACAAATTTTGAGATCAAAATAAAATGTATAAATTTTACACCAACGTATTCAGAATGATTCTTGACAATTGTTGAATTTGATTTGACAATGCAGTTTGTGCAGATGTTTTTCTAGTAGTTGGATCAGATCTCGTTCGATTTCGATAAGATTGAAGAACTTCGAGATTTTTCATAGCTTCTCTACATTTATAAATATCCCACGTATTCATTCCAAATGGAGTTTTCGAAGATCTCCCATTCAATGTATTTTCTCCCAATGCCTTTTTATAGTCCACAATTAATTTCTCGTATTTTTCGAGAACATGTTGATAGAATTGATTTGTTGGCTCCAAACAATCATTGAGAATTTTGAAGAGTGCTTCGATTGCCTCACAAGCTTGAGAATAATTTGAAAGACGACCAGCTTGTGCTAAAAATAAGGTTTTTTTCAAATTTTAGATAGAAGTAATTAAATTTTCATAGAAAAAAGGGAAAGAAACTCACGAGGTTTGTTCATTTTTGCTAAAAACCAATAACAATCTGATGTCATCATGTAATATCTGGTTTTTGCCACGTCATCAAAACTGGACAGTTGGCAGGCGAGTAATTCAGTGAGCCAAGATTCGTAGAGATCACAGATCTAGAAAAAATTGACTTTTGTAGGGAAAGAGTTGCCACGTGGATTTTCTAATACAAATTTGAAACTTTGTAGAATTGTTGAAATTATTTTGATCCCCGTGGATTTTAGGAATAAAAATTCAAAGTTTCAGTCGAAGTTTTGATTATAACATTTTTTTATTGAAAAAACCTACCTTCTCTTTATTTTCATTCCATTTCTTCATCGCTTTCGAATTTTGCGAAATTTCGCGTTCCGAAATTTTCAGCTGAATTTGATGGCATTCGATTAAATTCAAATAGAATTCGGACAAAAATTGAAGATGTTCAATATTTCGATTTTCAGACATTTTCAGATTTATTTTCTTTCTGAAATTTGAGAATAAAAATCTTTTGAAAAGAATAACAAGGAGTTCATGAAAAGAACATAACATATGTCTAGAAAGCTTTCAAAAACAAAAACTGAAAAATATAGAGAACAACGTCCAATTAAATTTTTTCAAACAAGAAAAAGGGAAACCCGCCTACGTGAATGGGCTTTACGGACTCAAATTAAATAAAGAAAATAATAAAAAATAAATAATAAAATTGGAAAAAATTGATTTATGACTCATTTTAGTGACTGAACAATAAAAGGGGAACAACGGGAAAAAATGACAATTGTGAAATGGGTAAATAAACCCTGATTCATTTGCCTTTTTATATTAAACATGTCAAATTTGATAAACCACGCGACAAAAAACTTGCTGATAACACAAAAAAACAGAGAATTTGGCGAAGTTATGATGATTAAGAAAAATCACTGGAACATTTATCGAATTCTGAAACCCCGCCCATTTTCCCCTTCTTCCTTCGGATTACGGTATTTCTTCCTGAGATTATCTAAATACGGTTCTATTATTGAATTAAAAATACGCGAGAAATAAAAAACTAGGTCAAGTGACGTGGATTAAAAAACAGTATAGGTAGCCATGTCGTCAGTTGCGATGCGTGTGAGCGACACGTTTTTAGAAATGAAAATTTGGCAAATTCAATGGAAAATATCGAGGTCAACACGCAACGCAGAACCGCACCGCGACTGACGACATGGCTACCTATACTGTTTTTAAATCCACATCACTTGACCTAGTTTTTTATTTCTCACGTGTTTTTAATTCAATAATATCCTATTATCACGGTCCCAGAATAATATATTGGTCCCAGAATAATATAGAGGTCCCAAAATAATATATTGGTCCGAAAATTATTTTTTTCGGAATTTCCACAAAAACTTATATTTTTCAATAGAAATATCAGAATTTTAAATGAACGCTATTTTCCAAAGTTCTTCAAGAAATCATTATTACAAAAATAAATGATAATTATTTCCCAATATTGGAAGTCTAAATCATAGTTCTAGAGTAAAAAAACAATTTATAAAGTCTTTGTTGAGTATGTGGATTTTATATTGCAAAAATAACACCAAAAACAGTTCCGAACTCGAAGTGTTTTAGTAATTTTAACACTTATTTTGACCGAAATATAGTATCGTAAATGATTTTTCATTGTTTGACCATTTTTGATCAAATTGACAGCTAAAATGAATTTTTTGTTTCAGAAATAAAATTGAAATGAAAATTCATATTTTTTGAACCAATATTTTCATGGGACCTCTGTATTATTTTGGGACCTCTATATTATTCTGGGACCAATATATTATTCTGGGACCAATATATTATTCTGGGACCGTGATACTAGGATAGCACCCTAAATACTTTCCTGATAACTTTTCCTGATAATTTGCATTTTTTCAAAAAAAATGGAATACGGTAGACAAATGTGTGCCAACACGGCGACGCACAAATGCACACACATGCAGGTCGATTTTTTTATTTTTCTTTTTTGGAGACGTGTTTTTTGTTGGTTTTTGAAGTTGAAGACTGGTTTACAGGTATTTTTTGAAAAATAGTTTCTTTATTTTTGTTGTTTGAAAATTTTCAGATCCCAAGAGGTTCCTAGAAGTTGACAAACTCAGAATTTAGGAGAAAAAGTTTAGATTGGCCTAAACTATTTTGTTGGTGGCTTTGAACGTGTTTCTTGGCATTTTTGAGGTTTTTGTGGAGAAAAGAATTGAAAACTATTGTTTGAATTAAAATCTAATTTGAAATAGAACCATTATTTAGCAGGAAGTTTTAATTATTGATGTTTGAGAGGCGGGGCGTTTCAAAGTAAATCAGAATAATAATTGAAAATTTCAAAATGTAGTAGATATTAGGAGTTGAAAAAGAAAAAAGACAATAGTTTTCCAAAATTTGAGCAAATTTGGAAGAAAACTCCAATATTTTTCAATAAAAAATAATCCATAATCGATAGCGTGAATTTCGAAAATAAACCTATAAAATTGTGAAATATTTCATTTCGCAATGAAATTTTGCATCGTCTTGTCAACAGAAAATGCATTTTTAAATGATTTTTCTATAATTCGTGGGTGTTTTCATTCCATTTCTTTGTCCAAACTTTCAAAAGATTCTGATTTTTTTACCATTTTCAATTTATTTTTTCCTTTTTCAATTCGTACATATGTTCTCTTCTATTCTATTCTTTTTTCTCCAGCTGTAAGTAAAATGGAGAGGCCTTTTTTCCTATTCTCCCCCATTCAGTGCATCTTCTTCTTCTTCAAAGAACTAAATCGATAAATTTCTGTGCCCCGTCCATTTTCTCTATGTCTCTCAAAGTGTTCGTTCTCTAATCCACGGCTCTTTCTTTAGCCAATGTCCTTCTTCTTCTTCTTCTTCAAACTACTATCCGTTAGTAGTTTCTTCTTCAATTTAGCTCCTCGTTGCCTTTTTCTCTCAAAAACAACAACTTTTATATAAATTCTCTCTTGTTTTCATTATTATTGATTGAATAACTAGTTTTTTTTGTATATGCAAGTCCTATTTATTCATTTTTTTCTCGAGAGAAAGAATCTTGTAGTATTTTTTCATATTGAACCAACTGAAAATTCTTACAGGGTTGATCGCATACTTGCGCTTGTGTCTTTTTGATGGAAAGTAACCAATCGACGAATGGAAGCGGTAGAAATGCTGCTGTAAACGAAACTAAAGGTTCCTACGTGCCACCGCATCTCCGCGGAAGAGCGGCAGGTGGCGGTGGTAACGCGGATGAAGGCGGTGATCGTGATAAGTGAGTTGGAATACGTGGAGGGAGAGGGCATTCAATTTTTTGCAAATAAAAAAGAGAAATCTAAGAATTCCAAAGAAAACATTTGAATTTTAGTGTTGATTACAACAACGGAGGTAGTCGCGGTTATGACGATCGTCGCGGAAAGTAAGAAAACTTGAAATTTCCCCTGTTTTTTTTGCATGTTTCTTTTATCGTGATGTTTGATCGGTAATTAGGAAATTTTTTAGATGTCAAGGTTTTGCGAAAAAATGGACTTTTTAGTTTGCATGGGGATTTTCACATTTTTCTCAATCGCCACATAGTTTTGAATTATTTATTTTTTTATCAAATGTGAACTTTTGTTTTTCATTTCTATTTCTAAAAATAAAATGAAAATTGTGTGCATGCCAATTAGAAGCGATTCCCTAAACAACTTTTTAATTATTTCAGTCGCCGCGGTGGAAACAACTACGATAACAATCGTGGCGGAAACTACAATAATCGCGGATATGAAGATCGCGGTGGATTCAATGGCGGAAATCGTAACTATAATTCTGGCGGAGGCGGCCGTGGAGGGTATAATCGACAAGAACGTGGAGATGGCGGGAATTATAATCGTGGAAATGGGGGCGGATATAATAATCGACAAGATCGCGATGTTGATAATCGAGGTGGACAAGGTGGAGGATATCGTGGTGGACAACAAAATAATCGACAAGGCGATAAGTGAGTTTTACTCTAGAATAAACATCATTTTCTCGAAAAACGAAATCTAAAATTATAGCTAATTTTGAATAATTATAGCGGTCGCTGGAACAATGATCAACAACCTGCACAACGTTCTGAACGCGGACCTTCGAAATGGGAAGAACAAGGACCACGTGATGAACGAATTGAAAACGAACTCTTCTCCGGTCAATTATCCGGAATTAATTTCGACAAATACGAAGAAATTCCCGTCGAAGCAACTGGTGATGATGTTCCACAACCAATTTCACTTTTCTCTGATTTGAGTCTTCACGAATGGATCGAGGAAAACATCAAAAGAGCTGGATACGATCGTCCAACTCCAGTACAAAAATATTCGATTCCGGCACTTCAAGGAGGTCGCGATTTGATGAGTTGTGCCCAAACTGGTTCAGGAAAGACTGCCGCGTTTTTGGTGCCATTGGTCAATTCGATTTTGCAAGATGGACCAGATGCTGTACTTCGACCGACGACTGGAAGTGGTGGAAGAAAGAAGTTGTATCCAAGTGCGCTGGTTTTGTCGCCAACAAGAGAATTGTCACTTCAGGTAGGTTTTTGGAAGGATTTCAACCGGGAAAAATACAGTTTTGATTAAAACTTTATTTTGAACTTTGAGAAATGCTATCAAAATTATCTGAATCATACATGGCATCTTTGCCCAACGGACCCTCCATGTAATGATCCCCCCCTCCCCAAAATTTTGAAATGTCATGATCCCCCCCCCTCAATTTTTTCGTCAAAAATTTGAAAAAATAAATGGTGAAAAAAAAATTTTAAAAATCAAAGAGAGAGGGGGAGTTTCATTTTTGACATATTTTTCAGGTTCGATAATTTGGGAACTAGTGCTTTAGGAATATCGGATGTAGAGAAAGGGCGAAGAATTCGACGGATATCATTCATTGGCTAATTATTCTTATTTTATTTCTAAAATTCTCAATTATATTTTTCTATATCCTTCTAAAATAAAAAATGAGTTTATTGTAGTAAGTTCCTTTCAGAAATCTTCATGCAATGATCATGCTCAACCCTTCTGAACGATTCCATATAAATTATAGACAATGCGTTATTTATTTGATAATCAAATTGAAACTCAAAAATATTGAATTAGAAAACAAAAGAAAAAAGTGGATTCCACCGAGGATTCGATCCAAAAACCCTCTGATTATTAGGCGCGATCTCTACCGACTTGACCACGAGGCTCCTTTTTTCACACGCTTATTTTTAAGTGATAAAAAAGGGATAGAAGGGGAGATAAAATGAAAAAGAGAAGGAGAAGCGGGAAAAAATCATGAAATTTTTGAAAAATTACCATTTTTTATCGAATTTCGCCGATTTTGTTATATGTTCCGACTGTATAAGTAACTTAAGGATGGTAGAAAGGAATGTCTGTCGAAATTATCTTAAAAGAAGGTTTATTTCTTGAGATATGATCCCCCCCAAAATCGAAGCTGTTTTGCTATGTCATTTTGGGGGGATCATATCTCAAGAAATAAGCCATCTTTTGAGATAATTTTAACAGACATTCCTTTCTACCATCCTTAAGTTACTTATACAGTCGAAACATATAACAAAATCGGCGAAATTCGATAAAAAATGGTAATTTTTCAAAAATTTCATGATTTTTTCCCGCTTCTCCTTCTCTTTTTCATTTTATCTCCCCCTTCTATCCCTTTTTTATCACTTAAAAATAAGCGTGTGAAAAAAGTAGCCTCGTGGTCAAGTCGGTAGAGATCGCGCCTAATAATCAGAGGGTTTTTGGATCGAATCCTCGGTGGAATCCACTTTTTTTCTTTTGTTTTCTAATTCAATATTTTTGAGTTTCAATTTGATTATCAAATAAATAACGCATTGTCTATAATTTATATGGAATCGTTCAGAAGGGTTGAGCATGATCATTGCATGAAGATTTCTGAAAGAAACTTACTACAATAAACTCATTTTTTATTTTAGAAGGATATAGAAAAATATAATTGAGAATTTTAGAAATAAAATAAGAATAATTAGCCGATGAAAGATATCCGTCGAATTCTTCGCTCGTTCTCTACATTCGATATTCCTAAAGAACTAGTTTCCAAATTATCGAACCTGAAAAAATATGTCAAAAATGACCACATGCAAAAACCCAATTTTTTTCTAGCGTACCGATTTCACTTTGAAAAAAATTTAGATTTTTTGTATGTAATGTCATGATCCCCCCCTCGAAAATTTTTTCCAAATGTCATGATCTCCCCCTCACAATTTTGAGAGCAGTGCCATGTATGATCTGAATTCGAACTCATTTTTCAGATCTTCAACGAATCTCGAAAATTCGCCTACCGTACCCCGATCACATCTGCTCTTCTTTACGGAGGACGTGAAAATTACAGAGATCAAATTCACAAACTTCGTGTAAGTCCCAGATTTTCCCAATATTCCTGCGTATTCAAATTTCTCATTTTTTCAGCTCGGATGTCATATTTTGATTGCAACTCCAGGTCGTTTGATTGATGTTATGGATCAAGGATTAATTGGCCTTGAAGGTTGCCGATATTTGGTTCTTGATGAAGCCGATCGAATGTTGGATATGGGTTTCGAACCACAAATTCGTGAAATCGTCGAACTCAACAGAATGCCACCAAAAGAAGAAAGAGTTACAGCTATGTTTTCAGCTACTTTCCCAAAAGAGATTCAATTACTCGCTCAAGATTTCTTGAAACCAAACTACGTGTTTTTGGCTGTTGGAAGAGTTGGATCAACTTCGGAAAATATTGTGCAAAAAGTTGTTTGGGTTGAGGAAAATGAGAAACGATCGTATTTGATGGATTTGTTGGATGCGACAAGCGAAACATCTTTGACACTTGTTTTTGTTGAAACAAAACGAGGAGCTTCGGATTTGGCATATTATTTGAATCGACAGAATTTCCAAGTTGTTACTATTCATGGAGATTTGAAACAATTTGAAAGAGAAAAACATTTGGAATTGTTCAGGTAAGATATTGAGAAATTATTTATAAATCAATACAAAATTGTAACTTTACAGATCTGGCCAAAATCCAATTCTCGTTGCAACAGCTGTCGCTGCTCGTGGTTTAGATATTCCAAATGTAAAACACGTCATCAATTATGATTTACCATCAGATGTTGATGAATATGTTCATCGAATTGGAAGAACTGGACGTGTCGGAAATGTCGGACTTGCCACCTCATTCTTCAACGATAAAAATCGCAATATCGCACGCGAATTGATGGATTTGATTGTTGAAGCGAATCAAGAATTGCCTGATTGGTTGGAAGGAATTTCTGGAGAAATGAGAACTGGTGGAGGATTCAGAAATGGTGGAAGAGGACGTGGCGGCCAAAGATTCGGAGGTATGAGAGGGGTTTTGCGTTTTTTCGAGAAATGTTGAAATTTTGAGTTGAATTTTTTTTTAGAAATTCAGATTTTTAAACCGGAAATTTGAATATTTTGGTTTGAAAATTTTATTTTCGAAAAATTTGGTTTAATTTTTCACAGTTCCACGAAAAATTTGAATTTCTTTTTCTAAAACAAAACTCGAAATCCCGATTTTCGGATTAATTTAGCTACGTGGATTTCAGAATTTGAGAAAACTTAGAAAACATTTTCAAACCTATAATTTTATGTTTTTGATAAGAAGTACACAAAGTGTGTACTTTTTCAAAAAGAAAATATGAAAATGAAATATCGAAAAAAAAATTGAGCTTTAGTTTTTCTTCAACATTCATCTTACCAAATTTTGTGGAAAGCTCAAAAAATCGAATAATTAAATTCCAGGTCGCGATCATCGTTACCAAAACAGTGGCGGAAATCAAAACAGCGGCGGAGGCGGCGGAGGTTTCAATTCCGGAAATCAACGTTCCGGCGGAGGTGGCGGCGGTGCTGGATTCCAATCCAACAATCGCGGACATCAACAACAACAACAGCAAAGAAGTCAACCACAACAAGATTGGTGGAACTAAAATATCCCCTACTTTCTATGAAAGTCCCACTTTTTGCTCCCCTTTTCTAATCTTTTTACTTTTTTCTCTTATTCTCCCCCCACAAAAATTTAAGTTAATCTTCTTCTTGCGAAACGAACGGATTGTCGTAACCAGTTGCTACGTTATTGAATTTGAGTGTGTGTGTGTGTGTCGCTCCCCGAAAAAAATCGAAATTCAGTTTTTGTCTGAATATTCAGTTGGTTCTCTTTATGTGTGTGCTGCGTGTTTTCGTCTAATTGTTGGCTCCAATTATACCGTACGATTCGAGTTGTTTTTCTTTCCCATTCAAAAAAGATGCTCTCGAATCGTTGTGCTCGATATTTTTTCATTTTGAAAAGTATCGGGCAATTACGGTGGCGCTATATAGGCGAAATGCATCACCCTCATTCTTGTTTGGTTTTTGAACTAAAATTGGAACTTTTTTTTGGAATTTGAACCTTGTTTGAAAAATTTTCAGCTTGATTCATTTTCAAAAATGGTTCCATTGTAGGACCTTTTCTTCATATTTATTTATTTAGTGTTTTGATTTTTCTAGGATTTTTCAATCAATCAGTCAAATATCCACCTTCCTTACCCAAATTGTTCTAGATTATCATTATTTTCTAGCACCCTTTCTTCCACTTCCCAATTTTATTCCGTGACACACTCCCCCTCTTCATTTTCTACACCCACATTATTATTTTAAGAGATCTCTCTCGTTTTTTGTGTTTGTTTGTAGTAGCGACGGGTTCGCATTCCTGCTGTTTTTTGTTTTTCCTTTTTCTTCATGTTCCTTTAATAATGATGAATATTTTATTGCAAAACTGAGTATTTCGACGTGAAAATCTCACGTTTCTTCTTTTTCTTCTTCATTTCTCACTTTCGAAATGTCGGGAAATCGGAAGCTTTGGACAATTGTTCTGCTGATTTTCACATTGACAATTTTTTCGGCTGATTTTGAGGAACAATTATCGATTGATCAGATTTTGGTGCATCTGGCGGTTATTAATTTGTTTCTGGTGCTTTTAATTTACCCTCCAGATGTTTTTATCACTGGTGAGTTGGAAAATCGATAATTTTGAGGGAGAAAATGCCACGTGGCAGAGTTTGTCGCGAAACTTCGTATTTTTGAAAAAAATAGGAATTCAAAAATCCACATGGCAAATTTAACAAATTTTCTCATTTTTCAGCTCTCGATTTCAATTTGGAAGGAATAATTCGATGTTTTTGGACATCTGAAAATACAACAAATTCTGAAAATTCTTTGGAATATATTTGTTTTCGAATTCGAGGTTACAAATCATCGATTTTCTTATTTCCACTCGCAAATTCTGCTTATTTTATCTACGGAAATCTGTTTTTTAGTGGAATTTCTCAAAGATTTCCTGAATTTCTAGATTTTTCTGGGATTTTCGAAATTGTTTTCGGCGCAAGTTTGATTGGAATTATTGCATATTATTGTTGGATTTCGAAAATACAAAAATATTCGGATTTTCGCTGGAATTCTAGCACAGAATTCAGGAGAATTTTATCAAGTAAGACAGTTTTTTCAGTCAAAAACTTTTTATTGATTTTTTTTTAGAAACTCTCAATAAAACAATAGTGATAACTGATGAATATTTCATTTATTTCACCAATTTTTCATTGGAAATCCATGAAAATAAATCAACACAAATTGAAGTTTGCCACGTGGCAAATCTAATAATTCCCGAAAATCGAGAGGAAGATCAAGAACAAGAGCAAGTTATTCGCGTGAAAATCAATGAAAATCTTGAATTTTCGATGCGCTCACAAATATTTCGTGAAATTCAAAATCTCAATAGAATTCGGATGATTTGCTCGGATTTTTGGCGTCAAAAAATTGTTGCATCGATTTCGGATCGATTTATTGAAGCATTCAAAGATAGAATTCAAGAAAATCCACCAATTTTTGATGAAAAATTCGAGAAAGAAGCATGTTTTGGATGTGGAGATGAGAAAATCGAGAAAAAAGTTGTGATTCGAAAAAATTGTGATTTTTCGTGCGAAAATTGCAAATGCGCTCCATTGTGGTGTGTTTCGTGTATGGCGCGCATTTTTATGGCGAAACAAGACAGATCGGAAAAATCGAGATGGCTTTTTGGATTTTCGAATTGCCCGACATGTCGCAAAAAGTTTTGTGCTCAAGATGTTCGAATTACTAATTTTCAGGAGTGAATTATGAATTGAACACTGTTTACTTTTATTGGAAATGAAGATTTGTAGAAATAAAAAAAACGTCACGCATTTCGCGCGCAAAAAAAATCTGCAAAATTCAAAAACCAAAAATTTGGCACGTCAAATGTGTGCAAACACTGCGACGTGAACTCACACATCCACCTGGCGAAAATTTTTTATTTTTCGTTTTTTTCCAGTTTTCAAAGGTTTTCTTCCAGGAATTGAAAGGTGAGACACATTTTTCTGATAAAAAAGTCGAATCATTTATTGGTTTTTGGTGTGGTATAAATTTAAAGCACATTTGTAAAACATAAATAAAATAAGGCAGAGATTCCTGAGGCGTTTTGTTTTCAATACTCGTATTCATCGAAATCATCGTTGTTACTGCTGAAATTCTTGGATTAAACCGAATTAATTTTTTTCTGTGAGAAAAATTAAAGATTTATTAAAATTTAACATAAATTATATGAATGGGAATGTATTTATTTCGGTATTATGCGGGGACTAGTTTTTCATTCACCAGTTGGGCTGTTAACCCAAAAAGCACCGTAAATAGTTAGGCTTAAAGCTTGTTAGTGGGGATTTAATTGTAAGTAATTAATCAATAAATTGTGAGATTCAATGTGTAAAGGTTTTAGGGTGATAGGGAGGGATAGGGAAAAAATGGACAATCACAACACCTACTTTGGCCGCGGCGGTTGAGAATTTTGAAAGACTGATGAAGAGCTCATCAAGTTTTGAATGTATTGTCCGAGAACAATGTTTTCCGAACGAAGCTTGAGACTTTCCTCTTTTACACTGTCGACGCGTTGAGAGAGATCTGTAAACATCGAGAATTTTTGATAGGAAGTCGCGGAAATACCAGAAAAATAGTTTTTTGATATTTTGAACACAAAAATTTCAAAATGTTTTTGAAAATTCCGCTATCAGTAAAAAAATCCCTCATAAAACCCACCATCCAACGTATTTTGCAATTCCAAAACGTGCGTAATCAATCGCGCCTTTTCTTCCGGATCCTCAGGCGGTTCTTCGCGTGGCAAAGGTTGCGCAGCACGCGGAGTCTTTCCGCCACTGATAATTGTCACCGTATCATCATCATCCGCTAGCGGAATATCGTCTTGTTCCGCGCTTTTCTCCGCCGCAGACATTATTATGCTAAAAAGATGAGAATGTACTAAAAAAAGAAAAGAGGGTCCTGGTGTTTTGCTAATAGAAGAGAGAGAGAGAGAGGGAAAATCAATAGAGAGACGGAGAGAAAAAGGCTATCCAGCACGATGAAGAAAATGTGCTCTATTGCGAATATGCCTACGTTTCTTCTTTTTTTCTTTACAACAACAAAGTCACCATTTTTTTGGTGTTCGTATGCTTTTTGAATTAAAAAAAAACTTTGTTTCAGAGCGAAAAAATGATTACTGACGTTCAACTCGGAATTGTTGCCAATATTTTGGGAATCGCCATGCTTCTTTTGGTTGTCTTCTTCCATTATCTCAATGCCAACCAAAAATCTCGTTAGGTTAGCTTAATATTTTCATTTTCAGACAAAATGTATAGATTTTCAGATATTTGTTCAACTTATGCTTGAATTCGTTATGTGATACCAAAAAAACAATTCAATGGGGTTCTTCGTTCTCAAAAGTTTTAATTTAATTTATATATTTATCTATCTATCTATTATTTTCACAAATAAAGTTTTGTTGAGTTTCAGACAATTCATTGATTTATCTGAAAATGCGTGAAAAATCGCTTTTATACTTACCTCAAAATGTAACATAAGATGTTTATGAAAGCCTAAAATAGTTTTCAGACTTGAGCCCGATATTTTGGATGAGCGCAGCACAATTGCGATCACAACCTGGTCCATCAAGCTCATCGCAAGTGAGTTCGCCAGTTTCGTCGAAACAATTTCGATACGATCCAGCTCGAAGTGGATATACTTCGCCTGGCGGTTATTCCACATATTCTACAGGGTAAGCATTTTCTTTTGGATTTTCGAAGATCTTAAAAGGCAGCGAAAAAATATTTTACAATTAGATTTTTTCAACAAAATGCAGATTTCTGAATGAGACTCTTTTTCGAATTTTTTCCAATTTTCTCGCCATAAAATTAAAAAAAAGCTAATTATAAGCCATTGTTTGTTTTAGTTAAATGAGCATAATTGAATTTAATCCTTTCCTTCTCTTTTTATTTTTCTTGCCAAGCGAAAAGTGGTGTAAGAGTGCACCATCTGTTCCGATTTATTTTTGACGAGTTCCAAATTTTTGCACTTTTTCTTTTGAATATTTCGAAATTGCCACGTTTCCAGCTTTAGAGAATGATTTTGTGAATAATCTTTTCTGCAAATTTAGCTGGTTTCTATTTTTTAATCGTGAAAAGTACACGAATTTTAATTTCGCCGAAACTTTTTGCAATCTGAAATGAAAGTCAACATTAGCATGTTTAATTAAATTGGGTGTGGCTTGCCTAAATCTGAACTTTTTGATCTCAAATTCTGCAAATTCTCAAATGTTTCCAGAACTGCTGATCGTGTTGGTTGTTTAACAGCAGTAAGAATGTCAGCCTTCGCAAAATTATCCCGTTTTGCTCGCCGCCTTGTTCATATTCGTCAAATGGATTTCGAATTTGCTTCTTGGCAAATGCTTTATCTTCTAATTCAACCTTCAAAAGTTTATCGTAATTTCATCTACCGTAAAAGAACAAAAGATCAATTTGCTCGAGATGATCCAGCTTTTTTGGTTCTTCTAAGTCTCTCATTATTATTCTCCTCAATTTTCTATGCTTATGCGTTGGGTCTCGAAACATTCGGATTTTTCACATTTTTCCTATGGAGCGTATTTGTTGATTGTATATTTGTTGGAATTGTGATTGCCACATGTTTATGGTGGATTTCGAATCGATTTTTGAGAAAAGTTCGAGATCAAGATGTTGAATGGGGTTATTGTTTTGATGTTCATTTGAATGCATTCTTTCCAATGCTCATTTTATTGCATGTTTTGATTCCGATTCTTTATCCAGGTTAGTTTTTTTAACTCAAAAAATAGGAAAAAATTTCGAAAAAATAATTTTTCTGAGACCTAAAAACATCTGAAAAATATTTTCCAAAGTTTTTTTTTTCATTTTAAATTTCTGATAAGAAAAGTCGGCATACATAAAAATCAGATTTTTTTTGATATTTAGACAAATTGTCAGTTTTATCATATTTTTTTTGTTTTCGGTCACACTCCGAACTTTTTTAATTTTTTTTTTAAATTAGATAAACTGGTATGACCGGAAATAAATTTTATTATTAATATTTTTCTGATTTTAAAAAATCCACGTGTCATTCAAATTCAAGTGGAATTTTCAGCTTTGATAAACACACCATATTTCCTATCGCGATTCTTGGGAAATACAATCTATTTCATGGCTGCTGTTTATTATGTTTATATCACATTTTTGGGATATACAGGTAACATTGCTCATCTTATACTTTTTTCTCATTAATTCGATATTTTTAGCGCTGCCAATTTTGCACAAAACCCAATATTTTCTCTATCCAATGTCATTTATTTTCATCGTTTTTGTTGCAACTTTAACAGCTGGATGGAATATTGCTCAAAGTGCTCTTTATTTTTATCATTCGAGAGCTGAGCCGCACAAATTTCAACAAGTTCGAGGGCTCTGAAATTATTGATTGATTTTTATTATTGGTGACAGATTTAATTACATAATTTAATTTATATATTTATTTTTGCCTGGACATAGAGAACTTTATTTTTTTATGGAAACTTTTTGGCTGGAATTTTTACAGATATTTGATTGGGCTGATTTTCAGAATAATCGGGATATTCTGAGGAAATTCTGATTTGACCCCGACTTTTCTGAAACTCGGACCCGATTCAAAAATCCCTGTGAATTTTCAGGCCAAAAATGACTATTTTTATTATGACGTGTGCTTTTTTCTATTTAATTCAAAATAAAATGTGTGTAATTCGACACTTTTGGTTCTTATTCTTCTTTTTTTCCTGATTTCCCACTTTTGTGTGTTTTGATAAATTTCAAAATGACATGATAAATTTGTTGTGTGGAAAATCAAATGCAACAAACAGCTGTTGATTTTTTTTCTCGTCTCTTGAGAAAAAATAAGATGAGTGGGAAAAATGGGACTTTTTCTCATTGATTTCTGATTTTTATTGACCCTCTGTGGTTTTTCTTCCAAGTGAAAGATGAAGTCTCATGATTTTTTTGGGCTTTTTATAGAATTGGAGCTTGAATTTCAAAAATATCCTATTTTGTAAATTAAAATTTCAATCGAAATCACATTGTTTTTGAAACAGTGAATTCATTTTCTGAAAATTTGGAGTTTTTTTATTCCCACACTGAAATTTTCCGTTTTTTTAGGTCAAAAATTCTGGTTTTCCTCAGCCACGTGGATTTTTTTTTTCAGTTTTTTTAAACAAATTGAATTTCCAGCTAAAAATCTAAAATTCCCAGTCAACATGTTGACCTTGATGTTTCAAAAAAACATTCTGCCTTATTTTCTGACCAAAAAAGGTCATTGATAATAATTTATAATTTATTAGACTTATCAAAACTCGACCCGCCTTTTCTTTTTTCAAAAACTTTGTTTCCTTTTTTTTACTTTTCTCGTTATTTTCTTTTCTTTCAAAAAAGCCACCCGAATTGTTTGTTTTTCGGTCCAAATTAGGTTTTTTTTCGAAATAACGAAAAATGCGTTTGGTCCATTTTTCAAGTGGTCCTTTTTCTATCTGAATCGAAATAAAGATGAAAATATTCCGACGAAATGAATAAAAAATAAAATTGACTTGACTTGGAGTAAATAGTTGAGATGAGGGCGAAAAAAATGAATTTTTCATGAGAAAATGCGATATTTATCTTTTTTTCTAGTTTCATGTTTATTTTTACTAGAGGTTTGGCGGGCGAAATTTAGCGCCAAATTCTGATCTATAAGGATGTTAGGATTACTGTAGATATTCTTGTCTCAAAGTTAAAAATTCAAATTTCAAAAATCCAAGCTTCCCTCTTTTTTCTGTTATTGGAAAATCTTTTAGTTATTTTTTTTGGAATAGACATTAATTCTCAGGAAAACCAAAAAATGTGAATTTCCATACGCGACGCACACGCAGCGCACCTCCACCGTGCGCCAAATTTTGATCTACTATGGCCTAGGATTTTTAACACTTTTTTTATGTTATGTAGTTTACGCGAGAACCCTTTTCAGAGTAGAACAAAAATTCCCATGTTCCTTTAAACTCTCTCATAATATTTCAAATTCAATTTTTTTCGAGCTGTAAAATCCTGATTTTTATGAGTTATCCAATAAACCCAAGAGATGAAATATGATAAGAAGATGACATATGTTCATGTGTACTTATCCCAGAAAAATCCGCAAATTTTCCACTCGCATTTTTTTCAACGAAACTCGCGAATCGCAAAAAATCAGTTTGCAGGCGGAATAATTGAATTTCAAGTGCGCTCTAATGAGACATTGTGTTTTGTGCTTATTTTCTGTGATTCTTTTCAAAAATATTTTTGTTTAAACAGCTTCTTCTATGAATATATAATATATTTCCTTCCTGTTATCGTCTTCCCAAAAAAAAAATCTGGATCAATCGGAAATGAAATTCCCAAAAAAAATAGTAATTTTTGTTTATCTCATCTCATCAGAAGCAGCGAAAAAAGATACTCTATCATCTCATGCGCGAAAAAACGAGCCAACTCTCCGCCTCGGCTGACAAAATATGCCTTTTTGCATAATATTTTTCGTGGCGAGTGCTAGGCTGTCTTTTTTTTTCTTCAAAAATCAATCAGCAGAGCATCCGTTTTTGCGCAGGAAAAGAAGATGAAAATGATGAAGCCTATGTTTTTTTTTGACATTGATATAGAGATTATTTTTTTTGAAAAATATTCGAAAATATTTTTTATCTGACTTGAGAAAAGATAGAACATTTGGAATTTTTTTCGACAATTTTCTTAAAAATTAATTTTGAATTAAAATACCTCAAGTTAAATTTTTCCGTAAAAATCCCAGAGGAAAAATTAACTTCCTGATCAATAATTAATTCAGATTTTTCTTCCCATTTTTCTTGCTTGATGAAATATTAGAATTTTTGTATTTTACCGGGTTCTGTTTGTTGGAGCGCATTTGAAATTTTTAATTTTTTCGCACAGTGTTTTCATAAAGAGGGAGAAGTCTAGACTGCAGAGCTTATATTAAAAATAGCTCTATAAACTTTTCCAATAATTTTTTTTGTTTCGGGCTCTGTTTATTGGGGCGCGTTTGGAATACTATTTTTTTAATTAAAATTATTGCGTCTCAAAAAATTAAGATAGATCCATAAATTTTTTCATTATGCGGAAAATTTTATGGACTCATTTTAATTCGACTTTTCCCGTTTTTAAAATTTCAACTTATCCGAACTTGTCCAATGCACTACTTTCCAAGCCAAAACCTTTGTTAATACTCCTCTCGAACTTCTATTTTTCTCTGCGTCTCTCAATCTCTATTCAAGGATTATTCAAATTCAATGCATTATCAATATTATTATTATTTATATTATCATGCCCTTTTTTCTATTCATTTTTCCTCCTTTTTTTTCAGATTGCCCACATTTTCAGCCAAGATTTGTTTATTGTGAATGGGTTGTGGTCAATCGAGTGGTCGACCGCCGCCGAACACCGAACTTAGTTAGTTTTTAGCTCACAAGGAAACCTTTTTTACTCAACACTTCAAATCATGATGAAATTTGGTCCATGGACAGCTTTTAGGGTCATAAGAACACCCTAAAAATTTTGGTCTCCCAATGGACCTCTGAGCCAAGTTCTGGGCTATCAAAAGTTCGAAAATTGCCAAAATTGGCTCATAAAACACATCATAACTCAATTCTCGATCAATTTTATGAAAAACTGACAATGAGTAGCAGATGATGATCAGCGTGGTCGATTTACCCAAAAAGCATCAATAAATCAAATTTTCAGAAAAATTTCTGATTTTGAAAAAAAGAATGAGCAGGGGCACATATGAATTTTCATGAATTTTCAGCCCAAAAATAAAAAACTTCAAAATTTTTCGAAATAAAGTTTTTTATTGATGTACTTTTAGGTAATCGACCATGCTGATCAATATCTGAAACTTCATTTCCACCGAAAAAATTTTTGAAATGGAGCTATGATGACTTTTATGGCCATATTTAGGCCTTTTTTGAGTTTTTGAGAGCCCAGAACTTGGTTCAGAGGTCCATTGGGAGACTAAAATTTTTAGGGTGTTCTTATGGCCCCAAAAGCTGTCCATGGACCAAATTTCATCATGATTTGAAGTGTTGAGTAAAAAAGGTTCCCTTGTCACATTAAAATTGAAATTCGAGAAAAATCTGTCAAAACAAGGGGATTAGTGTGTACGAAAATATCTAATTGTGGGTTTCCTCCATTCAAAATTATTTACAGAAGATTATAATCATGGTGACAAAAATAACTTTGTGCGGTACAGGAAATTGAAAAATATTTTCATTTTTGCAATTTCCTCCCTAAATATTTTTAAAACAGAAAAATCATCGATCAATCGTCATTCATCCACACAAAATCATCAACATCAAAATAGCCAAAACAATCCGGAAAATGGTTCAAAAGTTGTGAGGCGGAGCAGTAAATCGAAGCGCGGAAAACGTAGCGCATCGCCGCAACCGCAACTCAGTGAGCAAGAGCCACACAAACCTGATCAACAGGATCCTATATGTAATTCTTCTATTCCTTTTTTTGAGTTTGAGCACGATTTTTCTGATTCGGAATGAGCATACACACACGGAATGTTGATGATTTTAAGTTCACTCCTAATTGATTAATATCTAGAGAGTGTGAGGAAATGAGAGACTTAGAGAAGCTAGACATGCTAGAGAGTATGAGTCACAGGGAGAAGGACGAGAAACTAGAGATCTAGAGATAACATAGATGATCACAGAGACGCGGAAAATTAGAGAAATAGAGTGCGTCAGACACACAGAGTGTTAAGACGCCGCCTTCGTCTCTATGGAATTGCATTTTTCACAGGGAATGGGTCACTGATTCTGACAATCAAATCAATCAGAACCTAGAGATTCTGGAGAATGACCAGACCCGCAAAGTTAGAGAGCATGAGTTACAGAAGATACGCAGACAATATTCAAAAACATACAACTTACCGCATGGTAAAACTTCTCTCACTCAAACACCCTTTACACAAAATGCATCCCACCTACACCAATCACACTTCACCCAACACAATCTCCATCTCCCAGCCCCCTCGCAATCCTATTCAATTCCAGCTATCAAATCTGCGATTCTCATTCAAAAATGGTATCGTCGTTGTGAGGCTCGTCTTGAGGCACGACGTCGTGCCACGTGGCAAATCTTCACCGCTCTCGAATATGCCGGAGAACAGGATCAACTCAAACTCTACGATTTTTTCGCCGATGTGATTCGAGCGATGGCAAATGAGGGCGGAGGAGGAAGTGGGGGTCAGACAAATGGTGACACAAAGGGTGGAGGGAGAGGGTCGCCATTGATGAGTGCATTGTCACATTATGCTAAACCTGGGGCTGTTGGTGAGTGATTTGTATTTTGGTATAGGGATCACGTGGAAAATTATTTATTTTTCAGAATCTCTAGATCAGAATTTACAGAATCCTTGAAAACTCAGAAAATTTCCAGATTCTGACGGTGAAGCAATCCGTAAAATGCTCGAAGACACATCTCCTGCAAACATCGAAATCGACAAACATTACAAAGGACCAACTCTGATTCTACCTCTCGATAAACCTCAAATTGCCCAAATGATCGAAGCATTCAAAGTCAACAAAGTGCTACATCCAAAATATGTTCTCATGATTCTACAAGAAGCTCGGAAAATCTTCAAATCTATGCCAGCAGTTTCAAGAATTTCAACATCAATTTCAAATCAGATTACAATTTGTGGAGATTTGCATGGGAAATTTGATGATCTTTGCATTATTTTATATAAAAATGGGTACCCTTCAAGTGATAATCCATATATTTTTAATGGTGATTTTGTTGATCGAGGTGGACAAAGCATCGAAGTTTTATGTGTTTTGTTTTCTCTTGTTATTTTGGATCCAATGTCAATTCTATTAAATCGAGGAAATCATGAAGATCATATTATGAATTTACGATATGGATTTATCAAAGAGCTTTCAACAAAATATAAAGATCTATCAACTCCAATCTGTCGATTATTAGAAGATGTATTCTCTTGGCTTCCGATTGCAACAATCATTGACAAAGATATTTTTGTAGTTCACGGTGGAATATCAGATCAGACAGATGTTGATAAATTGGAGAAAATTCCAAGACATAGAGTAAGTTGGGCCGCGTTTTATGATTATGCATTTTTCCAAAAATACATTTTCTTCAGTTTCAATCAGTTCTTCGTCCACCAGTTCTTAAAGAATCAGACAAATCGGTTGAAAAATCAGGTTCAGTCAATGTTGATGAATGGAAACAAATGTTGGATATAATGTGGAGTGATCCAAAACAAAACAAAGGTTGTTGGCCAAATGTTTTTCGAGGTGGTGGCTCATATTTTGGAGCTGATATCACTGCAAGTTTTCTTGAAAAACATGGTTTCCGATTGCTCGTAAGATCTCATGAATGCAAATTCGAAGGTTATGAATTCAGTCACAATAATATGTGTCTTACTGTGTTTTCGGCTTCAAATTATTATGAAACTGGAAGTAATCGCGGAGCATATGTGAAATTTATCGGGAAATCAAAGCAACCACATTTTGTTCAATATATGGCTAGTAAAACTCATCGAAAATCTACATTGAGAGAAAGACTTGGAGTTGTTGAAGAATCAGCTGTAAGAGAACTCAAAGAGAAATTATCCTCATTTCACACTGATCTACAAAAGGAATTTGAAGAAGTTGATTTGGATAAATCAGGAAGATTACCAATTTTGAAATGGAGTGAAGTTGTGGAACGAATCACTGGGTTGAATTTACCGTGGATTGCTTTGGCAGCAAAAGTAACATCATTGAGTGAAGATGGAAAATATGTGATGTATAAAGAAGATCGGAAGATTGCGCAAGTTGGAAGAACTCATGCACAAGATAAAGATATTGTTGAATCATTATATCGACATAAAAGCACTTTGGAGACTTTGTTTAGGTTTATGGATAAAGATAATTCGGGACAGGTTTCTATGCAGGAATTTATTGATGCTTGTCAGGTAAGAAATTGGATTGAGATCTTTTCATTCGTTAATAGTTTCTAGGTACTTGGAAAATACACAAAACGTCCACTCGATGTCGATTATATTTCTCAAATTGCCCAATCAATCGATTTCAACAAAGATGGTTTCATCGACCTCAATGAATTATTAGAAGCTTTCCGTTTAGTAGATCAACCACTATTACGATAACATTTCTAATTTTCCACATAGATTTTGTATACGGGTATTTCTAACACATATTTCATTTTCATTCATAATATTGTCATCATAATCAATCAATCACCTTAATAAAAATAACCATGTTAAAAGTTTTTCTAAAATTCCAGATTCTTGTTAAGTTTCGGAATAAAATGTCGTCTCGCGGATTTTCGAATATCATTGTAGAAACATTGTTTCATATCTTCGAAACGATCCAAACACGGTGAATAACTATAATCGATTGGTGTATAAATATCAGGACGTTGATCGCAGAAAGTTAGACATTTTGAGCCAGCTGGAGTGTCACCAACTCCGCGAGCAGTGCAACACTGAAAAATTGATTTACAACACTAAATCTCAGATTTTTCGATGTAGATCAAAACTATTTTCACTAAATCTCTCAGCTCTCACCTCTCGATGATCCTTTCCTTGCGCGGCACAAAATTGCATTTCTGGCAAGAAATCCAATGGACAATCATCAGTTCCAATAAATATGTTTTCGAGCTGAAAATATTCCTTCCCTAATTTTTTTTAAAATGCAAAAACTTACCACTTGCTTATCATAAACATTGAAATGACATTTTTGAACACAAGCCGCCGGAAGTTTTCGATTCTCACAACACAAATGGAAGAGATGATTGGGGTTCTAATATAAAAAATATAGTTAGTATTTCAATTTTCAGATTACTGTACTTACCGTAAGTCTAGCCACATTATTATCATTCACATGAATTTTGGTGTCATTCCAGATTTCGAGTCCAAAAATATTTCCATCATCTTTTGGGTCGAATTCATCAATGTTGACGCGATTTGCAGCACGAGCTTTTGCTTTTGCGCGGCAACCACAACAACCACAAGAACCATTGGATTTACACTGGAAAAAAAGTAGAATATTTTAATAAAAAAGTTACGCTTACCGTACTCGCCACAACGATCAGCAAAGCCAAAACTAACAAAATTGAGAATCTCATTTTTATTCAAATCTCGAAAAAATTTCATATTTTATAGTCTCGAAACAATCCAGATCACTTGAAATCAATACCAGTTTATATTCTGCAAAACCATAATTATTACTCGCTAATTACCAGCCTAAAATAATTAAATACCGGTCAGTGTTCTCAAGTGTTTTGTTTGGCTCTTGAGTACTGGATAATTAGGAAAAAGTTGTATAAAAGTTGGAAATTTTCTGATGAACATTTGATTTGTAAGATGATGAAGTTTGGTGTGTTTCTAGTCGTAATGATGTCGATGTTTGTGGTTCAAATCGATGGATGTCAAGGATCATCGGGTGGATGTTGTCAACGACAGCCGCCACCAACTGTGGTGAGTTCAACTAAATCCCAACTTTGAACCCAAAAAATCTACCAGGTTCAATGCGGTGGTCAACAAGGTTGTCAACAAGGTTACGGTTGCGGACAATATGGTTGCGCGAAGCGAAAAGCTTTTGCTGGCTTGACTCATCGAATCGACGGAGTTCTCGTGGACAACAATCAAGAAGAACAAGCTCATTTGGCTGATGCAAGTCAAGCACTTCGAGCTGAACAAGTTCATCGACAAAATATATCAATGGAAAGATTGATGAATCCGAATTTCATATTTCATTCTTGCTGTGAAGCTAGAGGTTTACCTGATTCGTGTTTGAAACATTGCCATTTTAACACTTATAATTCAGATGTGGTGGGTTAGAAGGGAAAGTGGAACTGGGGGAGTACTGATTTGAGAAATTGCAGCTCGAGTCAATGTTCCATAAAACCGACGAATGTCCAATTGAGGCAATTAATGAAATACATTATTGTGCAGCTCAAGGAATAGATCACAGTCCGGTAAGATATTGGGCTCAACTAGGTTTCATCGGAAACTGGAAGCTTCGGAATTCCGATTCCGAATAGCCCTGGACTCAACTAAACCGAATGTGACCCGAAACTCCCAACACATTCCTGAACCCAAATAAATTTCAGTGTTGTGCCACATCAGGTGTCAGTGATACTTCAGCTGGCGATAAATGTCTCGCTTTCTGCGATCAACGACCAAATCAGTAAGAGGCATACCGTACTTCTCTCTCTCTCTCTAAATTCTAATTTTTCTTCTTCTAGATTCACACCAATCGATATTTCATATCTTCCATGTTTGGATGTTTTTGAGGACATGAAAAAGTGCTTCTTCTTCGAGATCAAGTAATTTTCCATTTTTCAAAAGTTTTCAGATTGAAACTAAACATTTTCAGACGGCGAGCGCAGAAAAAATTCGGATCAAAATCAATGTTGTCTTCTGCTTCCAATGGCGAAGGTGGATTTTTCTAATTCTATTTGGTAATTTTATGAGAATAAATATAAATATATTTTTGAGAAAAAAAACAAAAAAAAAACATACATTTCAAACCCATTTATTATCCAAGTGAAGAAAAAAGTGAAATGACCAGAAGCTTTTAAAAATACCCAATCATTAAAAAATATTACATAGGATAGCCTAAAAATTGGTCGAAAATGCTCAAAAATGTAGATCCCGTTTAGTTTGTTTGGGCTCAATATCATAAGATAATTGCATTAATATTCGTTGATTATCAACAACTCGCAAATTTCGAATCAAACTTTGCGATTCAATTGTATCTGATTCGAGTCCTTCGTGTGGTGATGTTTTGCAATATCGAAAAGCTCGAAGTACTTTTGCGAACATGTGCTGGAAATATTATTGTTAATTATTGTTCAACCAAAAAAAAACTAACCATTTTTTCGAAATTCACCAATCCATTATAAAATGATTTGTTTCCTTGATGAATAAACATTAAATCTTTCAATATTAAAGGAACAAATGGAATATACGGTGGTTGCATTTTGGCAACAAGAATACGGTAGATTCGATGATTTCGCGCGGGATCCAATAGATTTTCGAATTCCACAAACTTCTTGCGCGTTTTTGAAGGGAGACGCTGGAAAATTAAATACTTTAAGGGTGTGTCCACGTGGCAAATGTTCTATTTTCTAGTAATCCTCTGACCTACAGTAAGATCTACAGTAATCTTGGTCCCACGTGGATTTGGCTCAATAATGTTACAGTAATCTTTTTCATAACTTACCCCCCATGTGAAATGCAATCTGCTAACTGAAACATGACTCAATCCCAAAGTAATTGCAAAAACTGTCAGCAAGTCTTGATTTTCTCTCGCATGTCCAGCAATTTTTATGAATTTCCTCAAAGTTTCCACCCGAATTGCATCATTCGCAGCTAATAATACTTCAGTTGTTGCCCAATGTTGAACTTCATTAAATCTTCGAACCAAAAGATCCAAATTATAAGGCATACTTAGTGGAAAACTTTCGCGTCCAATAACTTGAAATAATAATTCGCTAGCATCTGTGGCACGAAGAAGTTGAAGATGAAAAAGGAATAATTGATGAGCCAATTCTTGAGCATCGATTAATTGCAAAACAGATGAATGTGAAAGACTATTTCTCTCTTCAATTGCTTGTAATCTATCAATATCTTCTTTGTGAACAACATATAATTTGCTATTTAGACTTAAAACTGTTGGAACTGCTCGATCTGTTTTCGCAAATATCAATTTTTCGCCATTTGATTTGACTTCGACGAGAAATAATGGATCAGGTTGGAATATTCGAGCTCGTCTTCTTGACAGTTCACAAATCTCTTCAGCTGTTTTATCAACTCGAATTTGTAAAACAAAACAAGTTGTGTCGGCAAGATGAATTATTTGATTACAAATATCCGATGGAAGAATTGGAACTGGTGTATGAGCAGAAAGAACACCACAATCAATTATTGTTGAAGGATGTCTTGCTAATATTAATTGAACATTTTCTCGAATTGTTCGCAATGCAGAAACTCGTCCAACAATATCAGCCATTCCAGGTCCACTTATTCTTTTTTGATCATCGATGACGTGGCAAAATAGTTCTTCGACAAATGAATTGGCAACTGGATTTAGGAAAAAATTGACACGAAGAAGATGACACCAAACATGAACAAATTGAACAACCCGACGTTTTGAACAGATATCTTCAGTTGAATATGAATCAACTAACATTGAACCAGGTGTTGCTTTCTGAAAAAAACATGAATAAATTTTTGAATCAAGTTTCAAGAAACTCACATATGGTGGTCGAAAATAATAAGTTTTCAAATAATTACAAACAGCATTTGCTGGCATAAAAGCCTCATGTGTCAATATAAAATCCTCAACAAAAACATCCAATTCATTAATATTATCATCTCCCAATGCATCAATTCGAGTTTCCAAAACATATTCCAATATTTTCTCGGCTCTTCCAGCCATAACTGAATATCCACAAGTTGAGAATTGTGCCGAGTTGGAGTTTTCGAGTGCTGCGCCACGTGGAATGTCGATTTTTTCGAGCACCAAAACGTCTTCGCCGAATTCGCGAAGACGAACTGTGTTCGCCTCCACTTGTCGGAGAATTCTGGAATTATTCACTGTTTCAAAAATAATGATATGATTTTTGCAAAATTTTTGAAAAATATTCCAGAACAAAAAATATCATAAGATTTCCCGAGACATTGAACTTCAGAGCCAAAATTAAACAATTTTGAAACAGTGAAAAAATTCAATGTAAAATTTTTGACTTTTTCTACCAAGAATTTTTACTGTTTTAAAATTTGTATGATTTTTATTTGAAAAATCTCTACTGAAGAAAAAAACATTGAACATCAAAATTTTCAGAGCCAGAATTTAAAAAAAACCTGAAACAGTGAAAAAATCCAATATAAAATTATTAGTTTTTTCAGCCAAGACTTTTCAGCTTCCAAAAAATTTTTTTTTCATTCCCCCCACCCCTCAAAATACTCACATATTGAAATGCGTTTTGTCAACAACCAAAAAATGTGAATCGTCTTCTCGTGTCACAATTGTTGCAGCTCTCGGCGAATCGTTCACCAATGCCAATTTTCCAAAATCGTCTCCCTCTCTCAATGTGCAAACTACACCTTTTCCATGAACATTCACGTCAACAGCACCTACAAATTAAGAAGTGTAATTGCGGAGCTTCGTAAGAACAGCGTGGTTCAGTTCTGATTGAAAATAGTGTCTTACCTTTTAAAACAATATACCAATGTGCACCAATTTCACCTTGTCGAAAAACAACACTTCCAGCATGTGAGAATTGCTGAAAAAAAAGAAGAATGGGGGTAAAATGACAAAAAACACACACAAACATGAAATTATCATATTTATGTGAATATTTAATGATCATAATAAAAAAATATGATTTTTCCCGGGAAAAAAAATAGAAAAAAACCAGTACCTCAATTTCTATGACATTTGCCAATTGTCGTTTTACCATTGTGCTTAGATGAGATAAAGCTTTGATGTGAATTAGTTCTTCGTAGACAATATCTAATTCTTCGGGACTTCTCTCGTGAGACCTGAAAGGCAGTTTGAATTTATAATTTTTAGAATATTAAAAAACATTTTTTAATTAGGAAAATCCAAAATTTTGTACGTTTCAAAATTTTTATATTTATTGATTTGAAAATTGGAATTTGATCCATGAGCATTGTAGAATCAAAAATTCAGAATTTCACAGAAAAATAATTTCAACGTTCATGAATTTTTTAATGAAAAATTTCTCAAGTTTCAAATTTTTTATCTTTAAAGTTTTTCCAAACAATAAAACTTATGCTATTTTCTTACTTTCCCCAAGTTTTCTACGTTTCAAAAAATTCAACAAATTCTTTTTTGAATTTCAAAATCCGTTCTGAAATTGTAGATTAATTTTTTAAAAAAACTTACGGTTTCGCCAAAATCATCATAAAAAGAGTTTCGGGTGCAATCGACGATAAAAACATGATCATTTGTGCCAAATCCTCAAAACTTGGAGCATTTTGAGCATCTCGAATCTGCCGAGTCCATCGATAAAACGAATTATTTTTATCATGAAACTTGTGTTCTCCATCAATATGAGCAATCACATTATGATTCATCAAAACTTGCCAAATTGCACACATTTGAAGCCTTGATAAACTTGAACTTGTAGTTGATGTTGATACAAAAAGAGTTAATAACCAATCAACCATTTCAACACCTAACATACAATTTGCAAATTGAGTATTTTGCACCAAAATATCTCGAATAACGTGATGTCCATCAGTTAACATTTTTCGATGAAGATATTCACCACATTCATCAATTTGTATCTCAATTCCACTTGAACTACGAAATTCGATAAATGAAGAAGATGGTGCACCATTTTGATGATGTGGATGATGCACACCATTTTGACTATTACTACTACCATTTAGATGGGATAATTGTGGTAGTTGTCTTGATACAACAACAACAACTTCCTTTTCTTTTCCTCTTGAAGAAGGAGAAGAAGAGGAAGTGACGAAAAGATCTTCCGATCTTTGTCCGTTGTAAAGTCCGCCAATTTTTGGTTGAATTGGTGAAGAAGACATTGGTGTGATATCAGAATCTTCGACAATGTCATGCATTATACAAATAAATGATTGAAGATGATCACCGTGTTTCTGAAAAGGTTTGGAAAGTTTTTGGAGCAAAAATTTGAAGTTTCAACTAACTGATTGAATTTTCTGAGTGGTGCACTCTATATTTTTTTTTGAAAATTAAAAAAAATTCCGAACTGAAATTTAAAAGTTTGAAATAATTTCCAGAATTCAGATTTCCGGGGATATATCACGAACACCACTCAGATTTTTTACAGAGCCCGATTTTGCCACGTCATAACCCTCTAAAACTCACATTATAAATTGATAAAAAATGTTGTTGACTAATCCTAATAACTTGACAAGGTCTCGAAACAATACAAGAACATGAATGAGTTGGAGTCGATAAATCACCAAACAAAGCACCGCATCGCAATGTTTTCATATGTCGAAAATTACCGCTCTGAAATCATGAAAAGCTATTGTGAACCATTGAAAAAATCAATGTTCCAGAAAAACTCACATAATTTCTTCTAAATAGTTGCACTTCTCCACTGAGCAACAAATACCAATAACAAGTTGGCTCTTCTTTCTCGAATACTGTAACATTTCATGATATTTTTGTAAAAATACAGGAATTTTGAACAACTTACATACTACACCTTGTTGAATACTATCGGGTTGACAATCACTTTTTGATAAAAGTGAAATAATTAGAGCATCGGAGAGAGTGTGTAAAGGAGAGAGACGACGAACGCGTGAAACCACGCGTTCCATCTGCAAAATGAAATGAAATTAAGTGGAAATGGGAGGGGATTGGAAGGGGTACTGTAGATTAGATGAATTAAATAAATTTGGAAATTGAAAATCAAGGATTTTTCGGAACCAGAATATGTATATTAAAAAAATAAAATCTTTATCCCAATTTTTTTACGTTTCAAAATGTTGATATTCAAATTTTCAGAATAACTAAACGATGGAGCAAAATGTCTCTGCAGAAAAACTGAAAATAAAATATTTCAGAGGTTTGATGAAACTGACTGTTTCAAAAAATGGTTTTCCTAGACAAAAATTAATTGGTATAAAAATTCTTTAAAAAATCAAAAATCAATAATAAATCTTCTAAAAATACTAAAACTGAAAATTTCCATTTTTTTTTCAAAAAAAATGGGGATTAGAAAAAAAGGAGATTTCGAAAATCCTCGACAGGCAAAAAACCTTTTAACTATTTAGCTTCTTCTTCGTTTTCTGCACGCAATCCAAATAAAAAACATGAGCAGAAACAACAAAAAAACGGGGCGCTAAAAATTCAATTTCCGGCCATCTGTCATGTCTAATTTTTCAATCTTCCAGTCGAATAAATTCTTTCGGGGAGCGCGCGCACAAAATTGGCAAAAAAAAAGAAATTATATTGAGTGCCGCCCGTTTTTTATTTCGTGTCGTTTAATTATTCATTGAAATTTGAGAGCACAACGAGAGAGAGAACCGCGTTTTTTCACACGTTTTTTTTGGTGGCGCCAAAATTATGGGTTCCGGAGTTCTAGGCCAGCCTCGGAAATCTAGGCCACGGCCTTTCAGAGTTTGGTTTTCTAGACTCTCCTCTTTAAAAAAAACCAAAAAAATTCGTAGAGCAAAAATAAAGAAATCGTAGAAAATGAATAAGCAAATAAAAACTAAAAACAAATTCTTTCCCTTTATTTTGAATCAGATTTTTTTGTCTCAAAACAATTTTTCCTTTTTTTTGTAAAAAATTTAAATTGAACATTATACCAAGAAATTTGAGGAAAAAGCTTACCAAAACTCGATTTTTGTTTTTTCGAAAACATATATAGAAACAGTTTGGAATCATTTTTTTTCATTTGAATTTGGGGCGAGAAAAATCCATAAAAACAGTGGGAAAATAGAATTTTGTATAAACAATTGGGAAAAATAAACAAATAAATACAGAGGTTGATTTTATGGGTCACCTTCTGAAATTCTAGGCCACCATCTTTCAGATATTGGTTTTCTAGGCCATGACAACAACTTCGTTCTACTTCAAATTTCTAGGCTTTCAGAAAATTCGAATTAAAAAAAAATCGAAAATAGGACTACTATAATGAATGTTCTATTAAAAATCAACAAAAAACAAATAAATAAATAAATAAATAAAAAGTTGAGAAGAACTAACCAAAATTTCGCAGAAGCAGCAAAAAACGCGAAAAAAAGAAGGAAAAAAAGCAGAAGCCGTGCTTTTTCTGACAATCTCTCGCGTCTCTTCACAGTCTTCAATCTCTCGTCCCACATTTTCGTCTTCGTTTTTTTTTTTCGCCTTTTTTTGGCTCGATGCCCATTCAAAAATGAAAAAGAAGAAGAAGAAGAATATACATATTCATCTTCGTGTTTTTTTTGGGAGAAAAGAGGATTTTTTGGATATAAGAATGGAAAGTTTTCGGAAATTCTTCGCAGGGAAAAATGCTGGAACATTTTGATTTTAAATTGAAAATCTGGAGAAAAAATTGGAATTTTTGGAAATATTGGATAATATCAATTTTTAAATGTGAAGTTTTTTTTACAGAAAGTTCAATTTTCAGAAAATAATTTTGAGAATTTTTGACTAACAATAAACAAATTTGAATTTTTATAAACGTGACATGTTTTTTTTCGAAACGTCAAATTTTGCCCCAAATCCAAAAATCCAAAAAATCTTTCCGCATTTTTTATTAATTTTTTTCAAACAACAAGCTGAAAAATAAAAATGCAAACAGTTGAAAATTATCCAAGAGTGAAGCGAATTATTGAAGTTTTAATGTTTTTCTCGATTTTTATATCGATTTTATTGGTTTGGATTCGTTGGAGTTGGAATTTCTTGCATTTTTTGATTCCTAAATTATCGATACGAAGACAATGGACATCGATTTTGATTGGTTTGATACATTGTTTATTGATTTTTGTGTTGATTTATGGATTTGTTCTGGAGTTGGGATTGCATTCGGAAAGAAAACAACAATTGAAAAATGAAAGTATGCAGAATCCATTAGATGGTATGGTTTTGTAGGAAAAAAATGATGAAGAAATACTCATCATCTTAAAAATAATTGAAGTACTGTAATATTACTTTTGTGTGCCAGAAATCGAAATTAAACTCCCATCATAATTTTCAGGAAATTCGAATTAGTCACGTCATTTTTTCCTTTCAGGAATCGAGGAAAAAATCGGAATTACAATCAACAAATTTTATGAAATTCCAAAGCTCCCTTCAGAAATTGAAAACAAATATGAGATTCAGAACTTTGTTTTTCAAAAAATTGGATTCCAAACAATTGACAATATAACCAATTATGAAATTAAAAATGCCATGAAAAATTGTCCAAAATCACTTGAAAGTTTCAAAAAAATCCAGAAGTATACAATCGAAATATTATTATCGAAACAATTTTATAATGTAATTACTGAATTTGAATATGAATTTCAAGCGAGAGATCTAAGAAGAATTCAAATACATTTGGAAGATATAGAAGAATATTTTGAAGAATTGGGACCATTTGTTAGAAAAACAAGGATTTTTGTTAATGAAACTATTCATTCGAGAATTGAGTTCATAGTAAGTTTTTAGGGAAAATCAGGAAAAATTTGGAAATTCTTTGGAAAATTTTCTTTGAATATATTTTCCCATCTGAGTCACCCGTCAAGTTTTTGCTCTCAAAAGTCATATATTTTTCAGACTGATAATTCAGCTCGTGGCGTTCACATAATATTTATCCCAACCGGTCTACTTATACCATTATTCACATTTTCAATGCTCATTAATTTTGTCTGGCGCAAATCTAGTCCACCAAAAATCATCTGCCAATTTCAAAAATCAGTTTTCTACCTGATTTCAATTTTATTGATTTATCTAGCGATTCGCGGAATTATTCAAAGCAACAATTCAGATTCATTATGTGTATCCGACAAATCAATGAGTTTCAGTATTCCTGTTTTGAACATCAATTTCAATGATGGTTTGAGAAGCTGTGCAGAACACAATCAATATTTTTTTAACAATGTAAAAATGGCCAAATTCACTTTTCTTGAAAGATCGTCAAAAGTATTGAATTCATATTTGCAAGGATTTTTTGAGAGAAAATATGAGCAACTGTCTTTTCTAAAAGATTTCGAGCAAAATTCTGATTGTTTGAATAATTCGAAGATTTCCGAGTATTTTCGAACTATTCGACAATATCTGAATTTTAAACTTGATCGCAATTTTGCACGATATGCAATTTTAAACTTCTATAACGGTTCATTAAAAGTTCTTGAAGATTCTGTGAAACAAATTAATGTAAGTTTTTGTAGACAAGGGGAGACTGCATCTAATTGATCAAATTTCCAGGTCGCAATCGATATTGCAAATTTCGAATGTGAACCATTGTATGATATAATATCAAAGTGTTTTGGAAATATTTCGATAATCGAAAATCTGGTTGAAATGTCAATTGTTTTGTGTTGTTTAATTTATTTGGTGTTGTATATTTTGATGTTAAGAAAAACTGGTAGGTCTCAATTTTATGACAATATTTATTGACTAGTTGCTTTCTTTCAAAGACAAGTCGATATTTTTGACTAATTTGATACTTTTTCATTTTTCTGCTGTCTCTTGAGGCCGTAAACACACTAAGTCATGCGATAAGTTTTATTGTTAAAACTGTGGTTTAATAAAATAAATAACTCAAAGTTTGCAAACTCGCTTGTCAGCACTTCGTGTAATTTGCATAAAACTCACAATCACAACCCCAAATTTTCTCAAAATTACAGAAAAACTCACATTTCCTCCAGATTTCCTCGAAATTCAGAATCATTTGACCAAACTTTTCTTGTTCCGGTATTTCCACCATTTCTCGGACTATTTTCCTGTAATGTAGAAATTAGCAAACTCTATATAAAGTAAACCAAAAGTAATGAAATTCAAGAAAGTACATTTTTCCAGAAAATACCTTTTTGAGCACAAGTTTTTGTATAAAACTATCAATAATCAACTAAAACTGTGCTACTTGTGTTAGGAAAAGAAGTGAATATGAATTTAACAACACAATCCATTCAAATTCATGAAAAAACAACAAAAAATACGCGAATGAAAATTTTTCGAAAAACAAAAACAAGAAAATAAAAGTAAAAATGGAAGTGCGCCCCATTGATAAAAATTTCATGTCTCGCACAAGTGCGCTCTCTCAAAAATGTGTGTGTTTCGTTGTTGCTATTTTATTATCAGGTTTGGACTTGATTTGACATTTCTGAAAAAACACGAACATTTTAATTGGAGAAAAATAATTGTTTTCAGATTTATCGCAATATTCGGAAGATAGACGTCAAACATGGATCGAAAAGATGAACAAAAATATCGATGCAATGATAAATATTTATAATGAGGAGTTAATAAATTACATCGATCCAAAAGCAACATCCGAATATTTTGAAGCAAATATGGAAAATAATCGATATGACAATGTTCCATGCCAAGATGAATATCGTATTATTTTACCCGGATCAAAACAGTATATTCATGCAAATTATTTGAAAATCCCAAAAACTTTATTGGATCCAAATGAACATCGAGCACTTTATGGATATTTGCGAAAATATATCATAACTCAAGCACCAATTTTATCAACAGTTTCTGATTTTTGGCAAATGTGTTGGCAGGAAAATGTAAAAGTTATTGTGATGTTTTGCGAACAAAGTGAAATGATTTATTATCCAAAACAGATTGGAGAATCTTTTGAATTTCCTGATAGAGATATTCAAGTCATATGTCGTGATATTCAAAGACATCCAATTAAAGGTAGGGTTACAGAAATTAAAAAAACTCCAAAAAAATTTTTTGAAGGAGTGGAATATCGAATTTTCGAATTACGAACTCCGGAAGACACAAAACTCATTCAACATTTGTCTATAAATTGGTGGAAACAAAATGAAGCACCAGAAAATATTCATATATTTTTGGATTTGTTTCGTTGGGTAAATAAAAAAACTCGAAAATTCAACATGGATTCGCCAATTTTGGTTCATTCGATGAAAGGAATTGGAAGAGCTGGAACATATGTTGCATTTGATTATATTTATTCGAGAATTTTTGAGGATTCTTGTTTTGATACATCAAAGTTGATAATGGAATTGAGAAAATATCGATATGGATTGGTGGAAAGTTCAGAACAATTTGTATTTCTCAATGTTGCTTTGGTCGAATTTATGGCAATGGTGGGTTTTTTTTGTGGAAAGCATTTTTGATTTTTTATGAATAATTTTTTTCTATATCTTTATTTTTTCAGAAAGGAGTTTGTGACACGAATCTCGGTATAGATCTTGTAGAAGAATACGAAGAATGGCTGGAAAATTCGAGTTCCTCCAAAAAAACCGAAATTTCAAAAGTTTGATGAGTTCCGAAAATCTTCAATAAATTTTTTTCCAAGTTCGAAAATTTTCCGGGAGCTGGACCTATCCAGTAAGAAAATAACGTACCATTATTATTTTGAATACACTTACCCTTGCAGTACTGGAACTAAAGTAACTCTTTCAGTACGAGTTGAGCAAAAATATTTTGAATAATTATTAAAAACGTGACCTTTTTTTGAAACGTGAAATCTTCGTTTTTCCAAATTTTTTCACTCATTTCTTATCAATATTTTTCTATGAAAACTAAAAAATTAAAATGCAAACAGAAGAGAATTATCCAAGAGTGAAGCAAGTAATTGAAGTTTTGATGTTTTTCTCGATTTTTATATCGATTTTATTGGTTTGGATTCGTTGGAGTTGGAATTTCTTGCATTTTGTAATTCCACAATTATCAATTCGAAAACAATGGACATCAATTCTAATTGGATTTATACATTGTTTATTGATTTTTGTGTTGATTTATGGATTAGTTTTGGAATTGGAATTAGATTCGGAAAGAAAAGAACAATTGAAAAATGAAAGCATCCAGAATCCATTAGATGGTATGTTTTTGTAGAAAAAAAATAATAGAGAGAGCGTTCAAATTATCATTTTTCTTTTTTCAGGAATCGAGGAAAAAATCGGAAAAGCAATCACCATATTCTATGAAATTCCAGTATTTCCAAAAGCCATTCAAAACAAAAATGAGATTAAGGCCTTTATTCTCCATGAAATTGGGTTCAAAACAATTCAAAACATAACCAATGGCCAAATAAAAAAAGTTATGAAAAAATGTAAAAAATCGCTTGGAAATTTTGAAAAAATTAAAAATTATGGCAAAGAACATCGATTCAGAAGAGAATTCCAAAAAGTGGTTACTCTATTTAATAATGAATTTCAAGCAAAAGATATTAAATATATTCGAAACCATTTGTATGATATGGAAGAATATTTGGAAATATTGAAACCATTCATTAAAAAAGCAAGGATTATTGTTAATGAAAATATTCGTTTGAAAATTGATTCAATTGTAAGTTTTTTGTCGAAATAATCAAGGCTTTTTTCTAAACTTCGAGATTTTCAGACTGCTAATTCAAATCGTGCTCTTCTTATGATACTCATCCCAACCGGTCTACTTATACCAATATTAATTCTCTCAATGATTATCAATTTTGTTTGGAGAATGTCTTGTCCACCAAAAATCATCTGCCAATTTCAAAAATTCGTATTCTACTTCGTTTCAATTTTATTGATTTATCTGGCAATTTGCGGAATTATTCATAACTACACTTCAGATTCAATATGTTTATTCGACAAATCGATAAATATCCAAATTCGTGTTATCCTCAACAATTTCAATGATATTTTGAGAAGCTGTGCAGAAAACAAACAATATTTTTTCAACAATAATAAAATTGCAAAATTCACTTTTCTTGAAAAATCGACAAAGTCATTGCATTTATATTTGCAAGGATTTTTCAACAGCAAAAATCAGCAACTTTCTTTTCTACGAAATACGGAAAATTTGGATTGTATGAATAATTCACAAATTTCGGAATATTTTCAATCAGTTCGACAACATTTGAATCTTGAACTCAAAAAAGATTTTGCACGATATGCGATTTTGAATTTTTATGAAGTTTCATTCAAAATTCTTGAAGATTCTGTGAAACAAATTAATGTGAGTTTTCAGATAATAGTCCAAATCTATTTTTCTATATTTCCAGACCGCTCTTGAAATCGCTAACTTCAAATGTGAACCATTGTATGATTTAGTATCAAAATGTTTTGGTCAAATTTTGATAATCGAGAGATTAATTGAAATGTCAAATGTTTTGTGTTGTTTGATTTATTTGGTGTTGTATATTCTGATGTTGAGAAAAACTGGTAGGTCTCGCTCGGGAAAAATTACAAGCCTTTTTTTATATCTGGGATTACTTGAGATTTATTTACTGGATTTCAAATCTACTTTTTTAAAAAGTCTTTTTAGATTGATTACTGTAGCTCAGTTTTCTGACAATATTTATTTACTAGTTGCTTTCTATTAATTCAAAGACAAGTCGATGTTCAACTAATTTAATTGTTTTCAGATTTATCGCAATATTCGGAAGATAGACGTCAAAAATGGATCGAAAGAATGAACAAAAATATCGATGCGATGATAAATATTTATAACCAAAAGCTAAAAGATTATGTCGATCCAAAAGCTACATTCGAATATTTTGAAGCAAATAAGACAAGTAATCGATATGCCAATGTTCCATGTCAAGATGAAAATCGTATTGTTTTACCTGGATATATTCATGCAAACTATTTGAAAATCCCAAAAACTTTGTTAGATCCAGTGGAACATCGAGCAATTTTTGGATATTTGCGAAAATATATCATAACTCAAGCACCAATTTTATCAACAGTTTCGGATTTTTGGCAAATGTGTTGGCAGGAAAATGTGAAAATTATTGTGATGTTTTGCGAACAAAGTGAAATGATTTATTATCCAAAACAGATTGGAGAATCTTTTGAATATTGTGATAAAGGTATTCAAATTATGTGCCGTGATATTCAACAACATCGAGTTAAAGGTAAGTCAAAAAAGCTAGGATACTTTTGGAATAGTGAAAAAAAATGAGTTACGAATCTCACAAACAAAAAATTTCGGAAAGTTTTCGGGTTTAGGCACCTCTCCAAAACAAAATATTTTTAAAGGAGTCGAATATCGAATTTTCGAATTGCAAACTCCGGGAGACACTAAAATCATTCAACATTTGTCTATAAATTGGTGGAAACAAAATGAAGCGCCAGAAAGTATTCATATATTTTTGGATTTGTTTCGTTGGATAAATAAAAAAACTCGAAAATTCAACATGGATTCGCCAATTTTGGTTCATTCGATGAAAGGAATTGGAAGAGCTGGAACATATGTTGCATTTGATTATATTTATTCGAGAATTTTTGAGGATTCTTGTTTTGATACATCAAAGTTGATAATGGAATTGAGAAAATATCGATATGGATTGGTGGAAAGTTCAGAACAATTTGTATTTCTCAATGTTGCTTTGGTCGAATTTATGGCAATGGTGGGCTCTTTTGGTGCAAGGGTTTTTCGGGGGAATTTTGAGGTTAGAATGTTTAAGCTTACAAGGAAAGGTTTTCAATGTTCCCCCAAGGAAAAAATCGAGAGTATGTGGAATGTTGAGGGTTCCCATGGGTAAGAAAAACCCTAACGGGAATAAGGAGAAAAATGCCTTGTTTTAGAAAATTTTGGTGTTATTGATTTTTGCGATGAAATTTTTTAGAAAAATCGAAACTTTTTTCAAAATTGATGAAAAATGTCGGTCCAAAAATCCATTTGTAGCGCAAACGGCGTACTTTAGTATTACTTCGACTAAAATTAGGAATAAAATAATTTTGGTCCCAAAAGTCCACTAAATCAAAAATCCAGTTTAAAAAATTCATAGAAAATCAACGTTTTCGTTGTGAAGGAGAAGTTTGTGTGAATCGAGACTATGATTTTCGGATTCTACGGACCAAATTACGTCTGTTGACCGTCATAAATTTTTCAAGTTCCGTTCATTTGAAAATGGAAAAAATTATTTTTTGTGTTTTTTGGTGACCATTTGATCAGAAAAACCCCGACTAAAAAAACCAAATTTCAAAAAATGTCTAATTTTTTGATAAAAAGTTTCACAAACACGTAATCGACCATTCTGAACAACTTCCACGACTCAAAAGTTCATGAAATAGATTCAAAATCGAGTTACAGATGCTCTAAAAATCAAAAAATGGTGTAAAAATCGACCTAAAATACATTTTTTCTCGAGAATAAGGCATTTTTCTCCTTATTCCCGTTAGGGGTTTTCTTACCCATGGGAACCCTCAACATTCCACATACTCTCGATTTTTTCCTTGGGGGAACATTGAAAACCATTCCTTGTTAGAGCATTTCAGCTTCCAACACTCGCGATTGTCATGAGCAATCCTAGGCAATTTAAACTTCAAAAAAAACATTGTTCGAAATTAGAGGGAACATTTTTTAACTAATTCAAGTGTTTTTTTTGTCAATTTCATTTTTTAGAATGGAATTTGTGACTCAAATCTTGGAATAGATATGGTAGAAGACTACGAAAAATGGTTGGACGAATTGAGATTTGGCAACAAATTTGAAAGCCCAAAAATTTAATAAATCTTCAATAATTATTTTCTTAAACTAATAAATTTTTCCCTGGAGCTACGGTATCTCTTGCAGCCTATAGTAATATTTTCTCTAACATTTTCAAACAATCTTCTGTAAATAAAAATTTATTCAATTTAGGATCGAATTCTGAATTAATATGTAAAAATGAGCAAAAATCAATGATATTAAGTTATTGTGATCGAACATGTCCGCCAGCCGATCCAACACGCGAAATTTTCTGTTGAACCATCAATTCGTGCGTCAACAATCGCAAACCACTAACCCAAACACCTTGAATTTTTCATGGAAAACTGGTTTGAACATGCGCATGGCTAGAAAATCTTGATACGCTTCATCTGGTAGGATTTTTGGATATCAAGGTTGAGTGAGACCAGTATTTTAATTTTTCAGCTGAACACGAAATTCCAATTGAATGACAAAAGCACACATTGGATGCATTGGTTAAGGTAATTTTTTTGTCAAATTGAAGAAAAATTGAGCAAAAACGAAGCTCAAGATTTTCCAAAAGAAAATCGAATTTTTATTGAAATTTATTTATTTATTTATTTATTGAATACGTTGTGGGACAACGTGACAAACAAGTATACAATCATAAAATACATGAAAAGAAAAAGAATAAGTTGATGCAGGATTACGAGTTAGAACCCGGGGGATCTCATTCTCACTCTTCATCATCCGTTTCGAGATCTGTGGGATATTCGTCTTCCTTTTCTCCCTCTAAAACTCTTCGCTTTTCGTTAATTTCAGCAAGTGTTGATCTCCATGAACATGACCTTAAACGAGTTATATTTTTCAAAATCGGAGAATTGTGTGTTTTTGTTGTTAAACTCACATAATCAGTTCATATTCACCGTCCAAAATTGTTTTGTTGTTGAATACATATTCAATAGCTGTTGTTCTGTTAACACCTTGCTCTTTCAATTGATCTAATCTTTCATCATTTTGTATCTTATTGAATCTCTGAAACCATAACAATAGATTCACATTTTTTTTCTTTAATTTTTGGAAACATACCGCAGTTGTTCTGGTTATTTTGGATTTATTGAACAGAACACCATTCGCGATTTATTTCACCAATTTTTGTAACTTCGAGATAGTCTCAATGGGATTGACTCCGAATTTTGTTGTAATCGCATTAGCCATGGTGTTCGGAAGGGGGAAGTTGAAGTTGCACACTGCAATTGTCAACATTCTCATGTGAGCGTTAGCGAACATTGAGTAAACATCGTAATTTATGGGCTGAAAAATTAAGATTTATATAAAAAATGATGTTTTCGAAGAACTCACCGTGGCAAATCCTCCAAAAACCATTACAAATTGATTTTCATTCAATTTAGCGGGATTTATTGTCTTTCCTTTACTAATATTTTGGTCTCGAATAATCTTGATTTTTTCAGCCCATGGGTTCATTGATAACAAGATCATCAAATAATTGATCTGCAAATTTCTCTGATAATTCCAAATTGTATTTATTTCAAACATACGCGTTCTCTGAATTTGCCGGTAGTGGCCAACGAAAAGGCAATATCGATCTTGTTCAGTTTTCGAATTTGTGGCATTAGATGAGCATTCAATTCTTTGCTTTGAAACTTCTCAAACTTGCTGAAAAAAAATATTTTTGTGATTTTTTGGATGTTTGGAGCATTGCTCATATTAGTTTTTTGGTAAATGTACGTTTTACGCCCCCACCCCATTTTTCGCACCCACCAGGTGGTTTCGTGCCCCCACCCATTGATTGATGGGGGCACAAAAAAGTGTTTAGAAACCCTGGTACTGTAGATTAGCAACCCAGGTACTGTATAATAGAAACCCTGGTTCGAAAATCACTGGATGTTTAATTTACATTACCCAGAAGTCATTTACATAATTTGTGGATGATCTAGACTAATGCGGACTTATTTTTTCCAATGAAACTCACATCACTCGACATCCAACCATTTTTTCGAATCGGTAAAATTTGAAATGGTTCATTTTTGTTGGATTGATTTGTATGATAGTTGAGCTCTTTATAGAAATGCATCTTTCTCTTTCTCCTGTAAAAAGGTTTTGAGTCTCCTGGATCAAATTTCTCCGAAATTTTCTTTTTTCATCATGGGTGGTCTCCTTCAAAACTCACCATTTTTGGAGCTAATATATCCCATTCCTTTCCTTCGAGACTCTGAAGCAGAAGTTGTTTAAAAATTGAAATAAAAGCATCGATCTGTAAAAATGATTGATTTTTAATTTTAAGACAAAAGTTCTGAAAATATGCGACTTACATTGGTGAAATGACCATGCAAATAGCGCAACAACAAAGCACCGACAACGACGATTTCAATGTTGGCATCCTGAAATTTTGAATTTAAAAAAAAACACTTTGGCAGTACTCATTTTCATGTGATATTTTTTTTTCCACTGAAATTTCCATCGTTTTTCGTCAAAAAAGTTTATCAACAGTAAACATAGATAACTTGAATATATTTGAACCCCCATCAATTTTCCCTTTAAATCTGAAATTATGCTCACCATTTTCTATTTGCACTATTTCTACCTTTTTAATAAAATCCCGATTGGGTGGTGCTGTAGATTAGCAACCCAGGTACTGTAGAATAGAAACCCTGGTTCGAAAATCACTGGATGTTTAATTTACATTACCCAAAAGTCATTTACATAATTTGTGGATGATCTAGACTAATGCGGACTTATTTTTTCCAACGAAACTCACATCAGTCGAAATCCACACCATTTTTTCGAATTGATAAAATTTGAAATGGCTCATTTTTGTTGGATTTTTCACGTAAACGTGCCAACAAATGATTAAATGTCACGATTTTCATTTTTTTAGGTCAAGCTCAAAAAATTGAATTTGAAAAATATATTAAAGCAGAATACTGTAGATTAGTAACCCAGGTACTGTAGATAAGCAACCCAGGTACTGTCGGGTTGTCAATCTACAGTACCTGGGTTTCTAATCTACAGTATCTGGGTTGCTAACCTAAGGTAATCGGGTTGCTATTCTACAGTATCTGGGTTGCTAATCTACAGTACCTGGGTTTCTAATCTACAGTAGTCGGGTTGTCAATCTACAGTAGTCCTATAGTAATATTTGCTCCAACATTTTCAAACAATCTCATGTAAATAAAAATTTATTCAATTTAGGATCGAATTCTGAATTAATATGTAAAAATGAGCAAAAATCAATGATATTAAATTATTGTGATCGAACATGTCCGCCAGCCGATCCAACACGCGAAATTTTCTGTTGAACCATCAATTCGTGCGTCAACAATCGCAAACCACTAACCCAAACACCTTGAATTTCACGTGGAAAACTGGTTTGCATGGCTAGAAAATCTTGATACGCTTCATCATAAGCACCACGATCCAGAGCTGCAAATTATGACAAGTTGAATGGGATACAATGATTTTGAACTCACCATCAACAACAAAATTCAATTTTTTGATACAAGGTTCGGATAAATCACCAATTTTCTTATTCAATTCTTCAAGTCGAAGTTGAACTCCTTTCGATTTTGTTTGAGGTAAACGAAGTGATGCTTTGATAAGAAATGGAAGTAATTGTGGTCCGGTTAATGATACATCTCCAGCCGCTTTTTTTGGTTCTCTGTAATATGGAAAAGTTAGGGAGAGGAGGCGAATTCTTCGAGAGAAATACGCAAAGATATCAGATTTGAGGGAATGTGTGTGCCTTTAATACCTATTTTCGTCCAAAGATTATTAATTAAAGGTACACAAATTCTCGCATAGCCGATATCTTGCAACGAACAACTGAATACGGTAGCCGACATTTTGGTTTCGTGATTTTTTTTCGATAAAAAACCTCATCACATAAAAAATAATTTTTTATATGCTCTACAGTAATCCGTACCTTCCTGGTCCCCAAGACGTTGTTGGTCTTCGTCGATCACTATCATCTATAAAATTTGGTGGCGAAAAAGTTTGCGATTGAAATTCGAGTGTGTTCAGACGACTGTGTGAAGTGCTCAATCTTTTTTTGCTGAAAAGGGTTAAAGATCAATAAGAACTTCGAAGCTCCCTTAAGTCTTCTGAAGCCCCCTTGAAAAACCAACTTTTCTACAACCACATTTGGAATAGCCGATTCCGCTGTCCATGCATTTTGAGTAACTGGCGGTGGTGTTGCAGTTGGTGTGAACTGAAATTAAAAATTCAAATTCAAAACTGATAGTAATTTCTGAAAACTAACCGCTGTTGAAGATTTGGGACGAATAATAAATGGATCATTTTTCACTTTGGGCTCATTCGATTCTTCAGATTCTGAAAATTTGTAGATTTATTTTTGAAAATATATTTGGTGCTGTGAGCTTACTTATAACAAATGAATCGAAAACCGGTCGATGAAAAGATGTCATTCTCTGGAGAAAAAATTGACTTCAAAGAACACTTTTTTCGAAGTAATCAAAAAAAAGTTGATAAAATAAGTGAAGCAAAAAATAAAACGTGATGAAATGAGAAAAAGCAGTTTTGAAAAAAATGTTGGAACATGCAGTGAATGAAAATTTCGGAAAAGAAGCGGGATTTGAAAACGGGCGGGGCTTGAAATTGGATTAGGATTTCAGGCGAATAACAAGTTGGCACGTGGAATGGCTTTGAAAATTCGGCCTTCAAAATGGGTCATTTCTGGGATAACTCCGGGAACCAAGTGGGGATCTTCTAGTAGAATTTCAGAAACGTCCTGAATTGTTTACTCAGAAATTTTTCTATTTATATTTTATTGGAGCTTCAGGAACTTAGTCCCTGGGAACAAAAATTATTTAAAAACTTGAAACCTTATGGCCAATTGATTTATCATGGAAATTTTGAATATATATTTGTTTCCATCGAAACAATCTTGTTATTTTTATTTTTTACCCGAAAAACGAAAATGAAGATTCAAATAAAAAAATCACCATGGCAATACTTTTTTTTCTGGATTTGTTTTGTTTATTTTTATTTGATTCTCTCCTATTCTATTCTATTTTTCATATCATCTCGCAAGAAAAAATATGAAAAGAATAGGAACGATGAATAGAAATGGATTAGATTGTGACAAAAATTATTGTTGGGAAAATGTTTAGTTGAAAACAATTAATGAAAATGGAAAGAAGTGAAGGAGAATCGTAGTTCGAAAAGATACGGTAGCTACATTTTTGTTGGATTGACGAAACGAAAACCAAATTTTTTCGTTTTTTTTCAGAAATCGGGAGAGGGGAATCAAGGTAAAATTTAAAAAGTAGCTTTTGAACATTTTGAACCACTATGAGGATAAAAAACCAATAAAACAGGAGATACTTTCTCAAAAATGTGCCCCCAAAACTCAAGTTTATCCGAAGCTTCTTCATGTATGTCGAAAATAAATTTGGGAAGATTTTCAGAAGTATTTAGGTTAAAGAGTTTTAAGCTTGAAACATTTAACAAGGAACATCGAAATCGCCACTAAATAATTAACCAGAAATCATATTCCAAAAAAATCTGCCCTTTCCAAAAAAAAGATTTCTAAACTACTATTCATACATATGAGTTACCTACGTCAGAGCAATTTTGTAATCCTTTGGGATTTATTTTATTACTTGCTTCGAAATTATACGAATAATATTATTGAGAAATATTAGCAAGTTTTTTTGGAAAAAGTACAAAAAAAGTACATAGGGGAATTTGATAATTCGGAAGAATGTTTGAGGGGTTTTCAGGTAAAAATGATGATAACTTCGAATCTGAGAAATACTTTTGTTTTTTGAATCGAAAATTCAAAATTCTGAAATGATTCATCATAGAAAGCTCAACTCCATTTGAAAATTGTTAGCAGGAACTTAAATTTTTAATTTTTTTAAAATAGAATGTTCATTGATCTTCTTAAAATTGAAACTGATTTCCAACATTTTACTTCCGAAACTTTTGATCTTTATATCTAAACTTATGATTCAGTGATAATGAAAAACAACATATTTACAAATACAGTAATACTTCTCAAAGTATATAGCAAGTTTTTGTTGTCAAAATTACATAAAATTGTTTTTTTAATCCGTTGAAAAATACAAAAAAGATTCATTAGTTGGGGGTTTTGAAGACATTTTTTTTTGAAAAAAAATCTTACAGGGGACTTCCACGATCGGCTGCACTTGGAGGAAATTTGAATTTCTAAATTTAAAGACATTTCAGGTAGCGATCTATCAAGTTTCCTTGCATAATGAACTATTATTTACAAAAAGTAAAACCGAAATAAATGTCTAAATCAGGAAATCTAGAATATAAATAGGTCATATTTCAAAAATCGAATGTACTTGCTTTCTTCTGAATTTCATTATTTTTCAAAATAAGTTTTTACGTCAAGTTAGAAAATTTTCAACAAAAAGTTGAAGCAGATTAAATTTTAGAAAAAAAAAAATCCAACCAGAAAAAATTAAAGCAATAAAAAACAACAATTTCACAACATCTTCTCAAAAAAAAAAATTAAAGAAAATCGGATTCTTGGAAAAATCATAACAGAAAAAAAAAAGAAAAAAGGTGTATATAGATTTGTTTTGTCAGTCAGACATATTCATTTCGGGTAAAAATTAGAGAAAAAGAGGAAAATTAAAGAGAGAAAAAAAGAAAAAATCGAAGAAAATTATACTTTTCGCCAAGATTTGATTAAACTCACTCAGTTTTTGGCGAATTGCGAATTGCAAGAAAAATTTTTGTTGATTAGAGGAATGTGGAAATAAAATTACGCATGTGAATTTGAAACGTATGTATTTTATAGTTTTCGAGAAATTTATATGTATTATATAGGGACTTGTTGGATTTTTGTGAACTAAAATGTTTTTTGCTATAAATTTTTGATAGGATTATCCTATTATCTATTACAAATTCGTAAAACTTCGTTTAAAATAACTTGAATTGAAAAACAAAAAGTTCAAATCTTAAGAATGATATTACTACATGATTTTCAGTAATTTGGAAAATAATCATTGATTATTTGAAGTGACAAATTTTTCTTGAAACGTACTTGAAGTTTTATCGATACATTATCGAAATTCAAAGAAAACTTCTGAAATATCAAATTTTGGAATATTTTTGTATTTAAATAAATAGAAAGCTTCGAAACTCCGAATAAAAAAATTTATTTTTTCTCATTTTTAAATTCAGATGAAAAGGTCTTCAGCTGAATATCCCCAGGAAATCCTCCAATTTCATGAAAAAATTTTCTTTTTGGCTCACAAAATTTTGAAAAAAAGTCAAGTTTCTCTGACAGTATTTTTAAATGAAAAAAAGTCAAAAACTCCAATTTTTCGCTCGATTTTTTTCCAGACAACCATGAAAAATCGTGAGAAGATAAGTACAAAATAGTTCAACATCAAAGGAAATTTATTTGGATGAATGGAAAACTGGTGTGTAGTTTAATCTTTGAGTCTTCTGGAAATCACTGGAATGTTAGTTAATGAATATATTCATCAAGCATATATTCACATCATTTTAGCATATTTAAAAAACTTGAAAAATTAGAAGATATTGTGTGATAGAATGGATAGTTTATTTTTAAAAGGGTAAAAATAAAGTGAGAATTTTTCGAAAATTTTCTAGTCTAGCTTTCGCTCGATCAAATTTCGAAATTTTGAGAAAAATAACCCAATTTTGATCCTAGCTTGAATGGCGAAGTTGAAATTTAAATTTTTTTTATCATCAAATTTATTTTTCTGAAATTTTTCGAAAAACATTGCTATGGATGTTCCCTTAAATCGGGTATGGTGATCAAGTTCCATTACTCGAGTTTTCACAAAAACTTCTGTAAGACTGAATTTTGTGACATTCCGGTTCTGAAAATTTTTGGGTACCGATATCATGATTCTGAAAAAAAAATAAATTGTTCAGTCGGTTCCGGAAAAATCTAGAACAAAATCTCTTACTTAATCTGGCTCAAAATATTGAAATCGTTTTTTTTTTCAAAAAATACATGTTCATCCAAACTTTACACGTCCTCCTCAAACTCTTGTAAATCCATCAAAACACCATTAATACAAATTTTCTGCATACAAAGTCCAAAACCCAAATCATCACGTGCCCATTTTCCCCTTTTCCCTCGTTTTTTCTCGATTCAATCCGAAAACATTCGTGAAGCAAACCACGCTACGTGCAAAAATGAAACAGCGAAAAATGGGCGGAGTCGCAAGAATTCAGAAGAAAAAGAAGAGAAAAAAGAGGACTAACAACACACTCTCATTCCGTTTCTTTTTCTCCAGTCGACAAAACACTTTTATAGATTTTTTTTCGGCTGCTCGCATGGCGGGCACTTTTTGGGTGCAATAGACTCTAGTCTACTTTTTATTTTGTTGAGAAAAAATTCTCCACAACAACAAAAATGTGTTTTGCAGAATGTCGGAGGAATGCCGTTCATTGCGCTCAATGGAAACCGATGGTTTCCAAGTGGTCACCGAAGTCGTCACCCATAAATTGAATCATATTCCAATTTTCAAGGGAGATTTCGCTTCGTTGAGCCCAAAAGTTCAACGATTCATCGCTGAGAAGGCTGAATTGATGAACCCAGCTGGAATCTACATTTGTGATGGTTCACAAAAAGAATACGATGATATTGTTGACAAATTGGTTGAACGTGGTGTTCTTACCGAATTGAAAGCTTACGAGAAATGGTGAGTTACTTGAAGTTGAAAGAGGGAAAACAGAAATCGAATCAATATCAAATGAGTCAGAGTACGGTTTTGAAAACATTCAAAATTTATATTTAGAGTTTAAAAATGCTTTCGGCTATTTGGTAATTGAAGTTTCTAGGAACGGCTACTTGAAAATTAGGATATCTAGGCTCGATTACTTGGTTTAAAATTTCTGAAGGCGCTACTCCTTGCTAGAGTGGATCTCTAGATGTGAGTTCTAGACTCACTAGGCGTGGAGAACTACGCTGATCCTTGTCAAACGAATTTTCTAGATGCAAACAATAAAACAAACCCCCGATCATTGATCAAATCGTTTTTCGTTTCACTATAACTTTCAATTTCCAAACAACCTCCCGGGTACATTTTAGCACGTACATAAATCTAAAATCATATCATTTCTCTCTTTTTTCTCTTTCAATATTTTGTGACAAACAACTGCAAAAAGGGTTTTGAAAATAAAGAGAGATGAACAACAACCGGCATTTGAAACCTTGTCAAGGGCGAACTTTAAAATTCTAGTTTGCACGTACGATTGATCAAAAAAGAATTAAAATAATCTGACAGCGAGGGGTTTAATTTTTGAAAAAACTGGTATTTTTTCAGTTATTTGTGTCGTACTGATCCACGCGATGTTGCTCGAGTTGAATCGAAAACATGGATGGTGACCAAAGACAAATACGATTCAGTGTGTCATACTCCAGAAGGAGTTCGTCCAATTATGGGACAATGGATGAGCGAAGAAACATTCGGAAAAGAACTCGATGCTCGTTTCCCAGGTTGTATGGCTGGAAGACCAATGTACGTTGTGCCATATTCAATGGGACCAATCGGAGGACCATTGTCAAAGATTGGAATTGAATTGACTGATTCGTCATATGTTGTTTTGTGTATGAGAACAATGACTAGAATGGGACAAAAGGTTTTGGATGCACTTGGTAATGATGATTTCGTCAGATGTATTCATTCCGTCGGATTGCCACGTCCAGTTAGACGTAAGTTGTGAATTTTATTCTTATCAAACTTCGGGCTGGATCGTGGGGACTTTTAATATGTCTGACTTGAGTATCGTTTTCCCAATACGTTTTGATCACTCAAAAACATGAGAAACAATCACATATTTTTCTCAGAGATCACCTATTACACAAAAAATTGATCATTTGATCTTATTTATTCTATTCCAAACAACAAAAGATAAAACAATCAAATAAAAATCCAATTTTTGCAGAAAAGGTTATCAATCATTGGCCATGCAACCCAGAAAAGGTTATGATTGCTCATCGTCCAAAAGAACGTGAAATCTGGTCATTCGGATCTGGTTATGGAGGAAACTCGATTCTTGGTGAGTTTACTTTTTTGAGAAGAAATGGGAGCTTTCTTGCTTTCCAAAGATACACAAACTTTCAAAAATTGTCTCACAACTAAAGTGTATCAAAGATTATTTTTTTAGGCAAGAAATGTTTTGCTCTTCGAATTGCTTGCAACATTGGACGAGATGAGGGTTGGCTCGCTGAGCACATGCTTGTAAGTTGTGAGAAAAAAAGAGAAGGGAAAAAAGAAAAAGAAAATAGGATTTGTGCAACAAAATGTTTGTTGAGGACAGCAGAAGAAAACAAAATTGCCTGGGGAAAAAGGGGATTTGAAAATACAACATAACCATGAAAGAATACAAATTTTTGTAGATTATGGGAATCACAAATCCAGAAGGAGAAGAGAAATTCATCGCCGCTGCTTTCCCATCAGCTTGCGGAAAAACAAATCTCGCCATGCTTACCCCAACTGTTCCCGGATGGAAAGTTCGCGTCGTTGGAGATGATATCGCTTGGATGAAATTCGGAGATGATGGAAGACTTTATGCAATCAATCCAGAAGCCGGATTCTTCGGTGTCGCTCCAGGAACATCGCACAAGACAAATGCGATGGCTATGGAATCGTTCACCAAAAACTCGATCTTTACAAATGTCGCCGAAACTGCGGATGGAGAATATTTCTGGGAAGGATTGGAGAAGGAATTGAAAGAGAGAAAAGGATATACTGATGAACAATTGAAACAATTAGAGATTACTAATTGGTTGGGAGAAAGATGGCATATTGGAGATGAAGGAAAAGCTGCTCATCCAAATTCAAGATTCACTGCTCCAGCTAGTCAATGTCCAATTATTCATCCAGATTGGGAGGTAAGTATTAGGCTCGAGACTATTCTTCCAGCACCGGAAAACTATGTAATTTTCAGGCACCACAAGGTGTTCCAATTGATGCGATTATCTTCGGAGGTCGTCGTCCAGAAGGAGTTCCACTTGTTTTCGAATCATTCTCATGGGAACATGGTATTCTTGTTGGAGCCTTAGTTAAATCTGAAGCAACAGCTGCCGCTGAATTCACTGGAAAGAATGTTATGCATGATCCAATGGCAATGAGACCATTTATGGGATACAATTATGGAAAATATCTTGAGCATTGGATTAAGCTTGGAAAAGCTCCACACAAGGCACCAAAGATTTTCCATGTCAATTGGTTCCGTGAGACTAAGGATCACAAATTCCTTTGGCCTGGTTTCGGAGACAATATTAGAGTTCTTGATTGGGTTTTGAGAAGAGTTTCGGGAGGAGAAGCTGCTGATGAGATTGCTGTTGAAACTGCAATTGGATATGTTCCAAAACGTGGATCAATTAATTTGGATGGACTTCCAAGAATTGATTGGAATGAATTGATGAGTATTCCAAAAACATATTGGGAAGAAGATGTTGATGAGAGTAAACACTTTTTGGACTCTCAAGTTGGACCTGATTTGCCTGAACCAATTCGTGCTGAATTGGAGAAATTGGAAAAACGTATTCATGCCCTTTAAATTATGTATCCTGATTTTGATTTTTTTAAGTATTGAATGTATTTTTTCTTGTTGAAATTATTATATAACTAGCTTGTATTTAGCTCATGGATTTCTCTGAATAAAGTTTTAATCATATAAATTTTGAGATTTTGTTTTTTTTTCGGGGGAAACTATTGGAAATTCCGGTTCTCAACAAAAAAATACTTTTTTTTTTTGATAAAACTTCTCGAAAGCCCGAGCCAGAGACCATTTTCAAAAAAAAACCAAAATTTCATTTTTAGAGTTTCGAAGTGATTCACTAGGCGCACCTGCTTGACAATTATAGTCTATAGGCGCGGCTACTTGAGAACCAGAAATTCTAGGATCGGCTACTTAGCATAAAAGCTCTGAATAATTCTATTTTGTGCTATTCTTTAAATCTAAATAATAGAAGATTTGAACAAATTCAATTTTTTAGCTCAATTTTTTCCCAACAAAAATTTAAGTTTTGATTAGGGAAAGTAATCAACAGAAAAGAAATAAAATTTCTTTAATCAAATTTTTAAGACAAAAGCAGCCTAAACTATAATGATAACCCTAATAAAATTTCCTGAAAACTTGAAAACATCAACCTCTCATGACTTTTTATCTGAAATTTTCCTATAACTTTGTTTTCTCGAAAAATATTAAACAAATATTCATCCGAAAAAACACTAAAACTAAAAACAAAAATCTAAACAATAAACATATTCTACCAATTTCTTGTTGTATCTATATAATCACCATCTGGAGCTTCATAATTTTTAATTGGTGGAGTCAAAGAAGGACCCTGAATAATCAAAGGAAGATCACCTGGAGCTGGTTGAATTGCACTTTCATATAATTTCGGATCCAATTTTTTGAGTTCGTTTAAAGCTTTTCGTTGAGAAGCAATCACACCAGCAATCCATTTATCATCCAATCTTTGTAATTCGTTTCGACTTCTTGTATATTCTTTCATTGAAATTGCTCGCTCATCGATTTTTTCAATTGTGACTTCAACTTTCGGGCGATACCTCTCTCTGTAATAAAAACAAGTAAGTCAAGATATATAACATTTTAATGATTGAAAAAACACACAATTTGCTGTCCTAACGATAATCGCAAAATTAGTGTTCTATAGATTTTGAATCAACATCTGGTTAATTCAAACAATAATTTTGAAATGAACATTTTCAATAGCAAAAATACGTGGTAATTTTGACGTGACTTCGATTGAAATGATAAAAATCAATAAAAATTCAGCATTTTTGATAAATAATGACTCACTCAATATTTTTCGCAGATTTCACATCAAGTGTCAATTCATCAACTGGTTTTGGTTTCTTCGAATGTTTTTGCATTTGACGGATTTCTTTTTCAAGTCGTTTTCTGCGACGAGCTTCACGTTGTTTAGCAACTTCTGGATCAATTTTCTTTTGACGTTTCATGAATACTGACGAACATGATGGAATAGATTGATGGAATTGAGCTTGTGATTTGATTACCAGTTTAGCGAAATTCGAAAGAAGACTCATTTCACCTGAAAAGTGTTAATAATAAAGATATATTTTAACGTAAGTCTTACAAACGGAGCAGATATTTAGTTCATGTCAAAAAAACACAGTAAAATGAAAGATATCTTTTGAACTAAAACATTTACGGAATGAATAAAGTATCGTGAAGATATTATAAACAAAATTTAACTTTAAAAACCCACGATAAACCACTTAAAATACGTTTTTTCGAATGAAAAACTTGTTTTTCTTGAAAAAAAAAGAAAAAACGGATTAAAGGCACACCGATTTATCGCGTTTGGTCTCGTCACGCTCATGTTTGTGTGACGACGCTCCGTTGTTTACAGCTGTGGCACGAAAATTAATTTTTTGATTTCGAATATTTCGCCGAAAAACAGTTATTTCCTTGCAAATCTCATCAGTTTTTTGATTAAAAAAATATTCACCTAATTTTTTGCAGTGTCTTCCAGAAAATGTCTAACGCATTAGTGAACCCAAAACCTGAAGAAGAAGAAGAAGAAGAAATAGATGTGAATATACCTGGACCATCGAGAAGACGATCATCAAATAGAGCTATTGGGAATGCAGACTTTTCATGTCCTTATTGTGAATTTGTTGGAGATAGTCGAGCAACAACGAATTTCCACGTTCGACAAGAACATCCAAAAGGTGGACTTCCTCGGAAAATTGATACTAAACCACCAGAAATGCAAGAAATCGTAAAACCTGCAAGAGAAACAACAAAACAATTAATCGGAACAAGAAAGAAGCCTGAAAATATTGCAAGTAAGTTCATAATTCTTGAATATTTTATCCGTTTTTTTAATTCAGATCCAACTACAAGCGAAAATATCATATATCAACATCAAGAGGATAATTTGATGCAAGAAGATTATATCGAAGTTTCTAATGAAGTTGAGATAAATGAAGAAATGAATGATGACGAATCTCGAAGAAAAATAGTCCAACAACAAGTAAATTCGTATGTTGTAGATGTTTCTTCAATTGGTGAAAACAAAAAGAAGAATTCGGGAAAAATCGGTGCACCAAGAAAGAAAACACCTAGTCGCCAAAAAGTCTACGATCCAAAAAATCTACCATTTCGATTGCGAGTTGGAGATATTAATGGAAAATATGCTTGTTATGTTCAAGAATGTGATTGGAAAGGTGGTTATAGATCATTGAGAATGGATCATATGCGAGCAGTTCATCCTGAATGGAAAATGCCGAGTCGATATTTGTTACAACGAATTTCAAAAGATGGAGTTTATATTGATCCGGAGAACTATGTGCCACCTTTTGAATGTACAGTTGATGGATGTGAATGGCGTGGAAATTTCAGAGCTTCGAGATCAGCACATATAAAACAAGCACATCCTGGTTATTATGTGGAAAATAAAAAGAAAACAACACTTGTGAGTTATCAATTTTTATTTTTTTTCAAATTTAAATTCATAATTTTCAGGGAAGTTATCATGCAGAAGGACAATATCTTTGTCATTTAGCAGAATGTGATTGGAGAGGAGCATCTCGATCAACTCGAGCAACACATATGAAAAAAGAACATCCACAATTTAGAATGGAAAATATGAGAAGTGCTGTTATGCTTGAATGTTTTGCTTGTGGAACCAATGTACCAACACAATTTGGTTTGATAAATCATATTGAAGAATTTCACGGTCTTGGAAATCATGTCGAGCAAGTTTTCGAGAAAAAATCCGATTTTTTGGTTTGGATCGCAACTGTTGAGCGATTTTATTCGTGCGAATTTGCAAAACGAATTAAATCGGGTGGAAAAGAAGATGAGGTTTTGAAGTTTCAATTAACATGTTCTTGTCATGCGCAGAAAAATGCGGGATTTATTACGGTTGCAAGAAATGTTGCCTATTCGACAATTTTTCTGAAAAAACGAGCAGAAAGAATTATCACAAGACGCAAAATTGATTGTTGTTTATATTTGGATGTGAGTGAGGATCCGGCAAGTTTGGATGGTTCGCAAGAGGGAAAAATTTATGTGAGAGGATGTTTGGAGCATACTGGACATCGATGGGGAACACCACTTTTGAGATCATCTGTTTTGGATCGACAAATGTTTCAAGAATTTATGAATTATAGAAATACAAATCGCAAAGAAATGTCAATGCATACTTTGTTAGATGTACTTTGCGGTAAGATTTTGAGAGAAATATTGTCGAAAATGTTTAATTTTTCCAGAAATCGAAGGATTTACAATTGACAATATGGAGCAAGTAATTGAACATGAATCTCCTGTTTCACTTGATCCAGAAGCTTCAATTTCTCTGGGCAAATTAATCGAAACTGATGAAGATCTTAAAAATTCTACATGGGGAGCGCATCTTCCATCGGAAAATAGCGAAGGAAATCAAGAAAAAATATCGATTGGAATAATGAGTGAAGAAATGAAAAGATATTGGAAATCGTATGGACGAGATAGAGTTGCAATTATTGATCAAGCAAATATTGAATTAAACAAGTATTCTTTAAATGTGTTTTTCGTTTTGGTTTTGGATAATTTATTATTGCCAAAAGTTGCTTGTGTTTATATAACAAGTATGGATGGAGAAGATAACACGGGACATGAGGAACTTATCGAATTTTTGTATTCTGTGTAAGTTGATTTATTTTTCAAAATCAGTTTTTTTTTTAAATTAAAATCCAATGATTTTTAGTGATCCTCAACCACCTCGTGTTTTTGTTTCTGATCCTTCGCAAATTTGGATTGAAATAATATCCAAATTCTGGCCGGAAATCGAAATCGATGTTCAGATTTCTGAATGGACACTTTTAGATTATTGGGCTGATGTTATTGAAAAAGAAATTCCAAATCAATTGGATCGTTTTCATTTGATGTGTGCACTTCGTAGAATGCTTCGACTTACTGATATGCAACAATTTATCTATTTTTGTGTTGAACTTTTCGAAGCTTTACATGAAGTTGACAATGATTCATTTGCCAAATTTATGGATGTTCAATTATCGGATTCACAATATTTCAAAAGATGGAGCCCATTACATCGAAGTGATCTTACTTCACATAATAATCCAACATTGTCTTTGGCGTGTCGATATTTTAGAGAAAGATTTTTGAATCCTCAAGGTTTGCCGAAAATCGATCAATATGTTGTGGTTTTGAAAAAAAGAATTGAAGAATTCAATCAATGTATTGGATCAGAAACATATACATTGAGACCATTGGATCCAATGAGAAATATTTATTATCCAACTGCTGTTTATGAAGAGTAAGTTTTTTGTTGGAATATCAGAAAAATGATAAAATTAAAGATATTCTACCCATAAAAATTATGTTTTCAGACGATATGCGAAAATAGTTGCTGCTGATGGAGAAGCTGATATACCTGAAGTGTTCACAGAGGAAATTGTTGATTATAATCAAATAATTTATGAAGAAGTCACAGAACATCAAGAACAATTGGAAGCAATTCCAAAACAACAACAACAACAACCACCTCATAGATATATTCATCATCAACAACAACATCAAGAAAATTTGGAAAAACCGTTGGACAATATTTTGCAAGAGGAAAAACCGACAACATCTACATTAATTGCTGGAAACAGTGGGCAACATTGTGAAGATCAAGTTTTTGATGAGGAATTTATGGAAAATGTTGGAGGAGACGAAGAAGAAGAAGAAGAAGAAGTGAATGAAGATGAGATGCTTGAAGTTGAGATTGAAAAAATGACGAATGATGGTGAAGAAATGATTGATGTTGTTGGTGAACCGCCGAGGAAAATAATGAGACATGAAACAACAAAAGCGGTTATTGGACAGAGGAGACCGAAGGTAAGGCATTTTGTGAAAGACTGACATAATTTTTTTTTGAAAACCTCATTCAGCAAATTCAGCTAAAAATCGTGAAAATGTGTGTTTTTTTGGAAAAAATTTCGAGAACGTCTTAAAATAGTCGATTTCCCGATTTTCGAAATTCCTCCATCTGGAATTTCAGGTCTTCAAAAATTTGTGGATTCAATTGACTTGAATCTCGCAGAATTTGAATTTTCCAAAAATAACTTCACTATTTGCTTGAATCTGATGAAAAATACCAATGTAAAACCACGAATAGCTTCATTATTTGCAAATTGAAAAAATGTTATAATTTCCCGTTTCCGTCTCCGGCACAGTTTCCAAAATTCCCTGTTTTTCAGAATCGTATTCGTCTCAGTCAATCAACTGATTTATCATCCGCTGATCGTATCGCAATTCGAGAAATAGCTGCACATGTTATAGATATAGATGGGCGAAAATCAACTGCGAAATATCATCCTTCAACAATTCCAATCGGTTCTTCTATGTATGGCTCTCAAATAGTTGAATTCAATGACGATGGAAAACCTGAAGAAGTTTTCGAAGAAATTGTTGAAGATGAAGTTGTTGAAGAATGTGAGGAAATTGAAATGGATCCGAATCAACCATCAACATCAAATGGACAAGGATCTTCTGTTAATTGGTAATTTTAATTGATCTCAATCTTTATTTTATTTTTTGTAATAGTTTGTAATTTTTTATTTTTCACTTTGTTTCTCATCCTTGAATAATAAAGGTTTTATTATTATTTTCATTTATTTGTTATATTATATTTTGAAAATATGTGAGTTAATCAAGCTCTCTAAATATCTAATTAATTTTTTGGTTGCAAAACTCAATTTCTATTTTTTCAGAACAATGTCAGTTGAATCGATTCCACGAGATTTGCGAGGTTTGCGAGCTTGTCTACTTTGCTCGATGATCAAATCGCTGGATCAATTCATTATGGATGGATGTGATAATTGTGAAAGTGCGCTTCATTTAAAGGGAGACGATGAAAAAGTGCAGGATTGTACCAGGTTTGTGGAAAATTGTATTTTCAAAAACAAATTTCATCTTGGGACACGAAATTCAGGCATTTTCAATATTCAAATTTTCAGCCTCAAAAATTTCGAAAAAAAAAGAAAAATTTAAATAAATTTAATTAAAACGTGATAACCTCGTTAAGAAATTATTTCTTATTATTTTCAAATATTTAATTTTTTATTTATTTTTTAATTCAAAAAATGTTGTTTTTAGCGCTAATTTTGATGGAATAATTGCGGCAATGCACAACGAAGATTCGTGGGTTTGTAAATGGCAGGTATGTTAATAAATGTTAATCTTTAAATTCTAATCCCCAATTCTATTTTTTCCAGAAAATCAATAGAAAATCAAAAGGAATCTATGCAATCAGTGTGTCTGGAAGTCTTCCAAACAGTGTTATTAATGACTTAAAAAGTCTGGGAATTCGATATAAGCCAAGTATGCGAGACAATTCGATTCAATCCAAAAAATGATGTCAAACATCGTCAAAAAACTTATTATTTATTTATACATTATTGTTCTTGTTATTAATTTTGAGCAAAATTCACATAAATAATATAAAAAATTGTGAAAAGGCAATTTGGTGAGTGAAATGAAATGCATTAAAGCTTCAGGAAAAAAAAAACAGGTGAGCTATGGGTTTCACTATAAGGCCATTTTTTCAAGAATTGGAATAATTTGATCAAAATTTGGTCGTCGACCTGGATCTTCGTTCATACAAATATTCATAAGTCTTGACATATTTCTAGCAATTCCAGGTGGAATTTGAACACGAAGTCCTTCAAGGGCGATCTAAAAAAAAATGTTTAATTAGACTAATTAAAGAAAAACCAAGATATTACCTTCATACCACACTCCATTGGTGGAATATCCGCATACGGAACTTCTCTCGTATTCAATTCCCATAAAATAATGGCAAATGACCACATATCAGCCGCGCGAATATTCAAATCTTCCGGTGCTCGCGTTAAAGCTTCTGGACTCATCCAAGCTGGAGAATAGATTTTACCAACTTCTTGGAATGAGAATTTTGTATCGGCCATTGATAGTTTTGCAGTTAATTCTTCATCGACTACGATATGTTTAGCAGAGAGATAATACCTGAAACAGATTTTTTTCGAATAAAACAAATCAGGCTTTAAAAACAAAAAAAATTACCTCAAAACCATTGGGTCTAAACTGTGTAAATATGACATTCCTCTTGCAATATCGAGCGCAAATCGAACTGCTTGACTATGATCAATCACGACAGCTAAAATAAAAGTCTCAATTTTTTGCATTATCAAAAAATTTGAAGAAAAAGCAACTCACAACTTTGTTCGTGTAAAACATTATAAAGACTTCCGAATGGCATAAATTGTGAAATAACAACTAGATTTGGTGGTTGATTTGCTGCCGCTAAAACTGCACAAATATTCGGATGAGCGAAAATGCGAAGAGATGGAAATTCGGTTTGGAAATCGCGCGAGATTCGAGGTGTCACTTCTTGAACATTTAGAATTCGCGCCACAATATCGTTTCCTTGCCATTTTCCACGCCAAAGTTCACCAGAATGAGATTCGGCGATCTAGAAAATTTGAGGATGAAAAATATTGCTCAGGGCATTTTCCCAAGTATATTTTTCGAAAAATCGACCAATTTTAATAAGGGCACAAGTTTTTATTAAATTTGACACAATCTTAAGAGCAAGACAAAATTAAACGTAAAAGTGAGATATTTGGAGAAAAATGTTTTTGATCTACTAGGAAACTTTGAGGTATTGTCCATCCTGACGAATTGATCAGTGGTATTTTGTGATCTACTGTCTGAATCTCTCGTTTTACACACTATTTTGGTTTCAAACTATAAACATTCGGTAGGTCAAATGTTCAATTCGTCAGGATGGACTATATATAGCGGTTTTGTTTTGGAAACATTTTATTTTTAATAAAAGCTCCAGAACCGTTACTTTTCAAGAAAAAAACCCCATAAATCCTCACCTTTGTGATCAAATTCAACGATGAAACATCAACTCCAGTATATCTCGACAAAGTTGCATCGCGTGTTCTCGATTTTGTTCCCTTCCAAGTTGTATCCTTGAATGGAATCTGTTCGTTGGCATTTTGCCCATTTTCATGTGCAATTTCAAGAATAATATTTTTGCATTGTGGTTGACAAACATCTAATGGAGTTTGTCCACGTTTATTACAAGCACCAATCAAAGCACCATATTGAATGAGATCCTCTGCAATTTGTTCATATCCCCAGAAACACGCGTAATGTAATGCTGTCATTCCGTGTTCGTTTGTAGCGTGAACATCAGCTTTCCGTGAGAGTAATTTCTTAATTTTAATTTATTAAAAAATAGATTTTTCAAGATTCATCAAATTCTTACCACAACAATTGGTCGATGTCCGTGTGCTGCAGCCAAATGTAAACTTGTATCATCTCCCATATTTGTTGAATTAACTCTTGCGCCACGTGAAAGTAACATTTCTGCGATTGAAACATGGCCCTCTTTCGAAGCCCAATGAAGAAGTGAAAATGCGTGATCATCTCTAGAAAAAAATTAATTGTAATTTAAAAATTAAAATTAAAGTGAGTTTTAACTAACCCAACATTCAAATCGTGTTCATGATCATCGAGCCAAACTCTTACTTGAAACGCATTTCCTTCGCGAACCCATCCAAACACATCTTCCATAATAATGGGAACATTTGGCTTGTGAGCATGATAATGTGTTGATAAAGACATATTTGGCACCTATTCTGATTCTTCTATTCTATTCTGCTATTTTATTTATAAATTGATTGGTGATCGCTGGAAAATCAAGATTTTTTTGCGAAAAAAAAAATTGGAAATGAAAAAATAATAATTGTGTAATTCACACGGATTATCATTGGAGCGTGTTTACTATTTTAGAATAATAATAAAAAATTGAAGTTTTCTAACTTTGAAAAAAAATCAAAAATGGCTTTTGCACCAAAAGTATAGATAAAAAAGGGTGAAAGAGGGCAAGTTGCGCAAACAAACAAGCGAAGAGTGTGTATTATAATAGAGACGGCAGAGAAAATAGGAGGAAAAAAGAGCTTGGGTGCATTTGTATGTACGAAACGAAGTATCTATGTAGATACATCCATTTTTACGACTTTTTCGCATGCATAGATTTTTATTGGTATATCTTCGAAGAAAAGAATAACTTGTTAAAAATTCAAGAAAAATTGAATATAAAAATATTTCAATGAATAAATATCTTTAACAACACACAAAAAAAACAAAATACAAGTCAATCAATAATTATTTATCACAGATATGCCATTGAAAAAAAAGAAAGAAGGAAAAAGAAAGCGGGTGGGTGGATCAGATGAAACGAGAAATTGCGAGAAATATTGGATGAATCGAGGAGAGTGCAGAGAAATAACAGGCGCCAATTGGAATGGACAGTGTAACATAGAAAAGAGCAAAGCAGCAATAGGGGGGACGGAAAAAGAATATATATGTTTTGAACATCAAAAATTTAGAAGAATTGGGGATAATATCAGAATAGGTACTGTTGAAAAATTTGGAAAATTACGAAAAAACTTGAATGATTACTGTAGATATCTGTAAAAATTGAAAACTTCAGAAAAAACCTAACAAAATTTTTTAAAATCTGTTTTGGCAAAAGTAAATCTTAAAATTTCCTAGAGATTCATTTTCTGGAATAATTTTGTCCATAATCAATTTTCAATTTCCTGAATTCCACTCGATTTTTGTCCATTGTCTTGTTCAAATTCTCCAATTATTATTTGTTTCCACAAATAAATGGCTGAAAAGCTGAAAATGTGTCATATTTAAAATACAATAGAAAACATGTCATTCCAGCAATTGTTATCAAAATGAAAAGGAGAACCGCCTTCGATATTTTCATATTTTTTCTCATTTTTTTCCGGAAAATGCCAACAACCTATTGTTTTTGTATTCCACTCCGAGTTTTACTCGTTCTTCTCACTTTTTGCACTATTTTAGCAACAGTTCTGATTTTTATTTTCTTCAAAGTTTATTATGTTTCTGCATATTTTATTTTGCCACTCTTGGTTTTGATATGGATTTTGATTTCGGTTTTTAGTAAAAGTTCCAAGAAATTGGAAATTTCAAAATATTTAACAGTAAGTGGGAACAGATTGGGAATGATAAGAGACTGGAGATTTTGAGAAAAATGTTTTTGATCTACCAAAAAAGTTTTGAAAAGTTTCAGATCTAGAGATTTTGAAAATTAAATTACACACTGTGAAAACGAAATCTGCGAGGTTTCCAGGATACAATTTCTGAATTACGGACCTAATTCTCAAAATGAAAACACAATAAACTGAAATGCAAGAACTACAAAAAAAATAAATTTGTTGAAGACAGCTCAACACTAAAATATTTCTCTGAAATTCCAGATTTCCACAATTGCATTGAGCGCAATAATTTTATGGAGTTTATCAATAATCCAAACAAGTATTATAACAATCAAAGAAGTTGCTTGTAACAAAACAGTCAATGTTGAAATCAATAACTTTGAAATGAAAGTTTACAATTTTCTGAGTTCCCCACAAACTGATTGGGGAGCAATTGCCTATGGTATCACTTTTCAAGCCGTTTCTTTGATCTACATCACTCGTAAGTTTCTGGAAAACTCAGAACTTTTTGGAAAAAATTTATTACAGTTCTTTCAATGATTTTTCTTCTGTTGAACAAATATTTGGAAGAACTTGCGGAAACTCCAATCATTCATCAAAATAATGGGAAAAGTAGAGTTTCATAAATTCTTTTTTTTTCGTTTCTTTCTGAACTTTCTCTGATTGGCCTTGATTTCTCTATTGATTTTCAGATAAAACCTATATACGTGTTCATTGCAAATCAATTCAAAAGCCTGAACAACAAACATAAAATGTTTTCATTTCATTTTATTTTATTTTTACACACAAGTTTCAAGTAACAGTTTATTTACAAACCTGCATGTTTAAAGTGAAAACATTATCGAAAAAAAGTAATTATTATTTGGGTAGGAATGCGGATATTTTAATGGGGTTTTTTGTTAGATACGTACAGATATTTAGACAAGAATGATTCTTGGTTTTTCGGTTGATGAAACTTGAATTGGAGCAGTTTCAGTGGTTGTTGATGGCTCAGATGAGTGACGGATTGGTGTGTTTTCGAAGAATCTGGGAATCATTTCGGATATTCTTCTAGAATTATGTATTTCATTTTTTTGAATTTCTTGCAAAGATTTTCTAAACTTTCTCAAAACTCAAGTTTCAAATAAATTCAACTCACTTCATAACTGAAACAAATTCCTCATTCTCTTTTTCATGATCATCAACTTCTTCACTTTCCTCCTCATTTTCTGGTTGAATTGTGGTTCGTTCTTCAAGTTTTGGGAAACTATCCTCAATCACAATTGCTCCTTTTCCCTCCATTATTTCAGCTTCTGGCTCAACTTTTGGAATTTCTTTGTTGGCAGCTTCCGAATTCTTTTGCTCATCGAATGCTGAGAAAATATCACGAAGAATTGTGTCGGAGACTTCGTCGTTGGCTGGAACTGCGACTGGAAGTGAGGTTGTTGAAGGTGTTGTTGGAAGTTCTTCTGGGACTGGAGTTGGAGTCACAGCGGTCCCTGAAAATTGATTTTTGATATTGGGGGCTTCTTGAAAATTAGAATCTCTCGGCGCGGCTACTTGAGAACTAGGCTTTCAAGACGCGGCTCCTTGCCAGAGTGGATCTCTAGGCGCGGGTCCTATATAAGTAGATTCACTAGGCTCAGCTACTTGAGAAGAAGGCTGTCTAGACGCTGATCCTAGGCAACTGAATTTTTAACTAGAGTTGACTAGAAGTAGGATTATTAGGCGCGCCTCCTTGAAAATTGAAATCTCTAGGCGCGGCTACTTGAGAACTAGGATCGCTAGGGTCCGCTACTTGACAGCTAGATTCGACTAGTTCACAGAGAACCTTAAAGGTGCACATGAATCCTCTGATCTTCAAAAATCAGAATTAAACATTTAGAGTCCAATTTTCACCGTGAACCCTCAAAAACTCACAAATTTGTCTTGATGGCGCATTAACTGGAATATTTTGTGATTTCTTTTGCAATTCCTCATAAATCTTATCATGCATCGATGGTTGTGGAGCTGGTTGATTCATCTCAACTGGTTGTTTTTGATTGAAGAAGAAATGTTGTGGTGGTTGTTGCCAAAATGTTGGGCGTTGTTGTGGTTGCTGATGGAAAACTTGAGGTTGAGCTTGTTCTTGATTGAATTGTTGCATGATTTGTGGGAAAAATTGTTGTTGTTGTTGTTGCTGGAATTGTTGTTGTCTTTGAATTTCAGCTTGATATTGTTGCCAATATGCTTGACTTCTTTGCTGTTGTTGTTGCTGCATCTCCCATTGTCTAGCTTCCTCCTCAATTTTAGCTCTCTCATTCCATTGTCTTGCCATTTCTTCTTGTTGCTGTTGTGCCATAGCCATTCTCATCATTTGTTGTTGATAAATAGCAGCTTGAAGTCTTCTCATTCTCCATTGTCTCATAGCCATCATTTGTTGAAACATCATCATTTGTTGTTGCTCTTGAATTCGTCGAGCTGATTGAATCATTTCGATTTCATCTGGATGAAGTGGACGTTCTTGTTGTCCTTGTTCTTCAAAATTTTGTTGTGGTTGGAATTGTTGGAATTGTTGGAATTGTGAACGATCTTCAACAGAACCATCAACAATTTTAGTCTTCTTTTCTGGATTAGCTGAAATATCCTCGACTACCATAACTCGAGCCAATGGAATTGCAACAATTTCGTCTTTTCCTTCAACTGATGAATCGATTTGTTTTTGTAGATTCGAATTACTTCCAAGAAGAGCTTCCATTTGTGGTTTTTGGGAAGATTCGACGCTCTGCAAAAATATTTGATTTTAATTTTCAGAATAAAAAAGCTGGAATGAAGCTGGAACAGCTTTTCCAAAAATTTTCAATTTCAGAGATCTACTTTTTGGTTGGTGTTTTCCTGGTGAAAAAATCGTCTGCAAAAAAGGCGTCACCGTGTTATTTTCAAAGTTGTGTGCAAACACACGCACGAAAATTCAAAAACGAGTTGTGCGCTAGAGCGCATTTACTTGCTTTATTTCGTAGGTTTTAACTCGCTTGTGTTTTTGAGGAAAAACACGGGCTGAATTGATACTAGAATTTTTTGTAAAACTGGAAGCTTCCAGGAGCACCTTATTCCTATCTAAACCAAGCAAGATTCCCTGGCGGAGCACCAACCCTTTAAAATAATTTAAGGACATCCGTTTGTAATTGATTCAAAGCTTTTCATAAAAGTGCAAACCTGGCTGTAATAGAATAAATCGGAAACATTCAAAAGAAGAAGAAGAGCAGCACAACAGCATGTGAAAAGACAGAAAATAATCAAAGATTTGCAAATCAACGCCGACCAATTCATCGATGATTTTCTTGGTTCAGTCACAACAGGCATCGGGATTACGGTAGGTTGAAGGACTGTGAACACTTTTGGATCGATTTTAATTTGCTCTTTGTCTTCTTTCTCCTCATGATCGCCATGAACACCAGGCTGTAAGCCTAATTTTGTCATCTGAAATAAAAAATAATTGGGAATACAATTAACTTTAGGATAAGACAAATGACAAAAGAAGTGTGTGAGAAACGGAAAAGATTTAATCAATCTCTGAAACTGGATTAAATTTGATGTTTATCGAGGTAAATCTAATAGAGCGTGTATAAATCGATTACATAATTGATGGATGGAATTATGGATTGCTTCAGCTTCAAATAGGTCAATGTTCTACTTTTATAGGAAAAATCTCAGCTGGAGAAGGATTTGGAGGTTCTGGTTTGGAGACAACAAAGCGAATTAAAAATAAATAAAAATAAAAAAATATTTTTCAATCAGATAAAAATAGTTCTTCAGGTGAATGAATGAATCATCAAATTTTTGTTTAAAAAAAACTGAAAAAATACGATAAAGAAATAAATCAGTTCCGGTTTTGAGAAGATTCCTATCCAGTTCCACTGAAAATTAATTAATGAAAAGGGAAACATGTGGATCTAACAAGGACATTTGCTGAAAATTATAGACCTAAAATTATAGAAGTCACGTGACAACTCAGAATCTCCCTGAACTTTTTTCATAAAAATTTTGTTGCCCAGTTTTTTTTCTCACAAAAAATATTCATCCACTTTTTTAACAAGAATTATTAGCTGAAACTAATTAGAAGCAATAATAATTAACACTTTTTCAAAAAAAAAAAATTGCGGTCGAGAAAAAACCCGTCCTCCTCCATCCAATCTTCAAGACAAAACAACAAGAAAAAGATGTGTCTCGAGAAAAAGCGAATGAAAATGGAAAGTTTTCGCCTTTTTTGTGTTGATGGGCGGGAAGAAGAAAAACGAAAATCGAATCTCTCCTTGGAATGATAGGACAAGAAGAAGAAACAAAAAATGGGTGGAGATTTTGAAATGTCCCACTGAAAAAAAAACTTCTTACTGTAGGTAGGTAGGTTGAAAAGGTCATTTATTGATTGATAATTATTTTGTGGGTGATCTTTCGATACGAACAAAATTCAAAATTTTCATTCACGGGAACTTTTGCAAATGTCACACTCAAATCTCACAAAGCAAAACAACAATTTTTTTTAGCAAACCCTTTCAAAAATAGTTTTATCTGAATTATCATAAGATTTTTCCTGAAATTTCTAACAATAAGAGATCATTTCAAAAGCCAAAAAGACCAAAACCAAATCTTATCAATCACATGTTCGGGCAATTAATAAAAGGTCATTGAAACAAAACAAATGATTTTCCGCTGATTTTCTGGTAAACAAACTGTAACAATCATCATAAATTTTGAAGTGTAAAAACTTTTTTTTTTTTAATTTATAGTTTGAAAATCACAGCTACTGTAGTATTTTGTAAAGAAAGTTTCACCTTTTCAATATTTTTGAAACCTGGACTTCTACAGTACTCAGAAAAAATTTTAAAGCCAAAAATTGCTGCACAAATCGAGTTCGTCGAACTAGAATCCATGAAATACAGTAGTATCTCTTCTAACTGCCGCAAAAATATTCGTCAAACACAACAAAAATCAATGACGTGTGAGTGGTTCTCTCCATTTTTTCGGACAGCGAATCTTCAAGGTGAATTGGTTATACTGTAGATGCAAAAAAAAGTTTGATGGGTTAGGTGAATCATGTGATTTTTCTGTGATAAATAACAAACTTCTAGAATTCATCCATCCACCTGATCATTTTTCCATCGTCAAGTATTTTCAATGAGAAAAAAAAAGTTTGTGGAAATTTCAAGTTCCACAATTTTCCCAAACAACTTTTTTTGTTGGTAAAACTCTACCAAAAAAAAAAAAGAAATTCCCCTCTTCAAAAACCAGTTCCTAAAATTCAATGTTCATATTATCTCGCCTCTTAAATCGACACAAACAAAGATTACGGTAACCGAAAAAATAAAAAAGTAAGACAAAATCAGATCCTAGCCGGTTTTCTGGTCGTCACAAACACAAAAAAAAGTACACAGGATGGAAAAAAAAAATAAAATAGGTTTTCGAAATTTTTCGGGAGACGCGAAACAAAAAACAAGTTTCGTATGTTTTTAATAGCGTGTCAAGTGGGTATTATTATTATTATTATTATTTATAAAATAGAAAATATTTATATTGTTCAAAAAACCCTAAAAATAAAATTTGGCATCATCAAAACAGATTACTCAAGACTGATAAAAGTTTTGGCATCGGCGTGGGATCGAACCCTGGCTTTGCGCATGCTTTGCAAAAACACTACCACTGAGCCACGCGGGGCTTTTTCAACATAGTGTGAAATATCACATATAAAATGGGTGCTGCAAAAGACCAATAATTTTGTAAACGAAGATCCGGAATTACGATGACAACAAAAAACCAGCTGCTGAATTCGAATTCAAATTCCGATTCATTCAAAACTTCAAATATTTGCACAGGCAAATATGGAAATAAGGTCAGGTCTTCTTCTTCTCGTTTTTTTCTCATTTTTCTATAAATAAATAAAAACTTCTTTATATTTTGATTATATTAAATGATGACCCTGAAAAGTTGTTGAATCGAACAAAGAATGTTATAGACATTTTGAAGAAAAAAAATCAAAGAAGAAGAACGTTTCGATGGGGTTGGGTTGGTCAAGAAAATTTTCGCTTTTTGTTACACATTTTACGTTCCAGTTAGATACTGAAGTTTTTTTGCTGATCGACACATCAGTGATGGAAATGAAATTGGAATCGAAATTGTATAATGTTTTGAAGGTCATATACAAATGTTTACAATATAATCTTGAAGATCATCCCAAAATTGTGTTTGTTCAGTGAATTGAAAAAAAACGCGAAGTAAAGAAATGATGAAGGTTAGAAAATATTTGGCAACAATTCTTTGAAAATTTTTTTTCGAAAATACTCTATACCCAAAAAAAAATCAAGCCGAAATTTCTTGTCTCCAAAAACCCCCTAATTTTTCAGTCAATCTTTGATCATTCAACATTCAACTGGAAGTTTTTCGATGTTTGTTTGAGAAAATGATATCTTGAACGCTAAGATCACCTTGACAACAAAGCTGAAAATTATTCTAACAATAACAAGTTTATTTCAAAACTAAAATAAAAATGTTAATCTATGCCAATGGAATCTTCTTGATTTCCGTGCTTTCTCGATATCTGGCAATTTCCAAAAGTTGAAGAACAATTGAAATACGATAGGCACAAACTGCAAAATCATTCTGATCATAAGTACACATTTTTAGGAAATAAGAAAAAGACTTACACAAGATGTTGAAAAGAAGAGCTGCCTCGAAAATATATCCAAAATAAAAACCGAATGATTTTCGCATTTCAACAGCTGTCGAATATGGGAAAGGTTCTTCAAGGATTGTTCCTAGGATTGAGTTTTTTGTGAAACCGGAAGCGAATTCAACTGCCACATAGATTGGGGCCACCAAGATTCCAATCACATTCAAGAATAGCGACAAACTCTGGAAAAGTTGAGTTGGGGCGTTTTTATTCCTGAATTTGAGAACTACAGAGTTGGGCTCAAAGGAGTCTGACAAATTCCTGTCACACAAAAAAGTTCCTTTTTCACAGCCCTGTGAATATTTACCATGATCCAATATGAATATTTCAATGGTCCAGACTTCATAGCAAGTAATGCATAGAGACTGAAAAACTCAAGAAGAATTGAAATCCCATAAGACGGAAGTAAATTGAGCTGAGGGCTTTGAAATGCAGAAACACCGACACCAATTATTGAAAGTAGTGATAGCACTATCAAAGCATTTCGACCATTACAACAACAACAAAATGAGGGCTGAAAGTGTTGATTCAAATTCAATTTGATTATATTAGACAAGTTAGGATAACTCACCGGTTCAGGCTCCGACATTTTCTGAACTGACTCAAAAAAATTACATGTTCAGGTTAGCGGCTGAAAATCACCCGGGCAACATGTAAACCACGCTGCTTTTATTCTGACTTGTGTATTGCTGTGAGCAAGCTAGATTTGATTTTGTAGATGTTTGATGTTTTGAGAGAAATGCACAAATGAAAAATCGTCTCGCGCGAATTTTATCCACATTTTCTGTTTATTTTCTAATAATTTTTCTCTTTCATTCTGAGTCATTTTGAGTAAACTACATTCATTTTTCTTTGAAAACAGGTGCAAAAATGTTTACTTCTAGAAATTTTTTCGAATTACATATTTTTCTATTTCTATAATTTAAAATTTTTTATCAAATTAAAAGGCCAAACTTCAAGTTGCCAAAACAGTTTCTGATCAAATTATAAGATAATTTTGATGTGAACCAAAAATAAATTGGTGATAGCAATCTTGAAAAATTTCTGATTGTGAAATTAAATTTAGATTTTTTTTCAAAAACATTGCGAAATTTTAACAACAAATAATTTATTTCTGATTTTCAGAGCAAACATGAATGAATCAAGAAGAACTGAATTGGGCTTTGAACTTTTGCAATTTTTCGATGTTCGATAAAGATGCGATGAGTTTACTGATGAATATAAACTTCAAGGAATAATCTGAAAAACATTTTAAAACTGCATGTTTTACGATTCTCCCCTATAATTTTCATAGTTCATTTTTTTGGTATTTTTTGCCCAAAAAAGATGCAGAACATTTCAAAACCTAAATTAGCTTCAATTTTCCAACCCCTTCTCTCTCCAAAACCCACAAGCAAAAATGATCGACAAAATCGCATGACTCCCAAAACCCGCAACCACAGCTGCTGAAAATAATGAAGTATCATCCAAATTCTCGCCAAAATGAAAATTGTACACAGCTTAAGGGCGTCCGATCCGCGAAAGACCTGTAACCGACCGACAAGATTCAAAGGTGTTTTACGAGTCTTCCGTGGGTCTTTCACAGGTGGTTCACAGGTCGTTTACAGATGCTTTGTGTTTTTTCCTTGTACAGGTGATTTACGGGTCTTCTACAAGTATTTTGAAAAGTCTTCTACAGGTCTTCCGTGGGTAGTTTTCCAAGTTGAGAGGATAAATTGTGAAATGACCCGTGAATGACCTGTGAATGACCCGTAGGAAAGTTGATTCATTTTTGACCAATAACTGAAAAAATGAAAAAAATCAGAAGAATAGTGGACCAGTGCGACAGGGAATGGGGTGATTCAGGTCAAAAAAAAAACTAAAAAAAAACGTTTTTTTACAAAAAAATTCGATTCAGCAAATGTCAAAAAACTCTATTTTTTTCCACACAAAAATGAGAGATATCTCGCAGCGAAAACGTTTCAATGAAAAAAATTGTCGAAAAATGTCAAAAAATAGGAAAAAAATATAGTTTTTTGACATTTGCTGAATCGAATTTTTTTGTAAAAAAATGTTTTTTTTTAGTTTTTTTTTTCGACCTGAATCACCCCAGAAGAGTGTGTTCACTGAGACATTTTCAATGAGAGATCAATCGCTTGATAGTTTTCAACTCTGAGAAAGAACCCGTTTCCACTTTTGCTGACCGATTCTCAGAGCTGCTAAGCAATTTTTCTAACATAAGTTGTAGGCTTCCAAAAAATATTTATCATTCGAAAATTTCCGATTTCCGGCTCATTATTTAGGATGTCGACGTTTTGATCAGAAATGTTCAGTGGGGTCGAAAACTCTTTATGATGTGGCTGAGTGAAGTTCAGCAAAATAAAATAAAATCCACCAAAAACCTAAAAATTGAAAATCGGTCAAAACACAAGATGAATTTATAATCATTTTGTTCAGCTCGAAATTCTGCGTCGAATGGTATTTACCATTTTCCACCAAAATGGTTTTAAAGGGTAAAAAATTAAAGGCGCATGCAATTAAATGAAAAGGTCCTGCAGCGATATGTGTGTGTACTTCTCTCGGACGAAATGCACACCGCGGATTTTTTTTTCTTTTTTTTTCGTTTTTTTTGTGTTTTCCACGTTTTATCGAGAAATTAAGTGTTTGAAGCTGCGAAACATGTAAAAAACCATGTTGCCCACCTAGGAGCAAGCAGCAAATTTCTTTAGAACTTGAAAATTTATTCATAAAACAGGAATTTAGACCTGGAAATATAATTTTTCATTTTCGTTGATTTTTCAATTTTCAAGTAGTAGAACGAATATATTTCGCAGTTTCACTCAATTCTAGCTAATTTTAATGAATTATTCTCGGAAGTTCCCTGTTAGAGTTGAAAATTTTGATGACATGCCGTTTCTTGATTCTTGAATTCGTCACAACTTATAATTTACTAACGTACGTAATCGTAATATAAATTTATAGACTGCCTCAAAAACAAGGATATTAATAACTGTGTTAGAATGGCAAGATCAAGATGGAAAGAAACTCATCGAATCCGACTTCAACAAGCTCAAAAGCATAGTTTATCCATGTCACTGATCACACGCAGGTTTGATAACTTAAATAAGAAAGTCAGATTCTAATGGTTCTTTATTTTCAGATGAAGTTCCTCAACCGCCGTCAAAAGAAGACTGATTTAGTCGGTATTCAAATCAACAGAGGAACTTTTGCCCAAAAGATGGACTTTTCTTGTGAGCACTTCGAGAAGCAACTTCCAGCTGACACAGTCTTCTCTCACGACGAAATGAGCGACAGATTGGTCTCACCAAGAATTGTGAATTCAAGGAATTACACCATATCGCCTTTACTATTAAATGACAAAACCTACTCCAACTGCCACCGCACCCAACTTCCCCGCAAATCAAAGAGATGCATCGGAAAGACCATGAAAAAATAAGTTTTTCTGATTTTTTTTTTGATTTTCTAATAAATTTTTATTGATTCAAAAAATTGTAATTGGTCAACCGAAAAGTAGAAAAAAGGTCTTTTACGGGTCATTCACAGGTGGGGCTACAGGTCAAAATCGACACGTCTCAGACCTGTCACAGGTGTTTTGCCCACGGGTGTTTTACGGGTCTGTCACAGGTCCGCCGCGGACCGGACGCCCTTAAGCTGTGTATGTTGAATTTTTGATTATCTCAGATTTTGTCATAACTGTTGCAGTAAGAATAATTGGAATAATCAGAATTAACAGGAAAAATAGAGATGTGAAAATGAACTGAATGAAGTTGATTTTTGAAAAAAACAATTTTTCAGAACTCACGAAGAACAACTTGGAAATCAATAAAATCATTCGATTTTTTATGCATGATCCAATGATTGTCAAAAACTCAAAAAATAATGAGATTCCAATTGTGAGATTTACTGATTCATTATGATGTTTATAAATATATGTGGAAACTGTTAAAATATTGAAAATCGAGAGAAATATCACAATTATTCCAACATCGAAACAAAGAAATTTTTGTTTATCATTTGAAAATAAAACCATTAGGGTAAATAACTACCCTGAAAATGTAAAGCTTTGACTAAATTTTCAATCTACAGTAAACCAAAACAAAGGAATAACAAAGAGAACCAATAAACTACAGTAACTTAGGAAAACATAAAGCTACAGTTTCCCAAAAAAATCCTGATTTACTCTTTCTAACGTGAAACCAAATTCCAGATTATTTTTATTTTATAATTTTTTTTTTAAAAAATGAAATCAATAAATTCTGAAAAGCAGCTGAAAATTCGAGTTTGTTGTGGCAACCCGAAAATCCAATCAATTTTCATATTCCCGTTTTCTTGAAAAATAAATTCAATCATTGTGAAAAGCAGCTGAAAATTCGAGTAGTTTCATCTGGAAAAAATCTCAGATTCCAGGAACATTCAGAATTTTTTGTGCACACAAAGGTTCCTGTTTCAAAATGTGTTCATCATAATTCTTTGTACAATCCCCAAAAAGTTCAAATAGTCATGATTTTTTGTAATATTTCATCACCGAACTAGATTTTTTTTCAAAAAATCTAAATTGAGATATTTGGAGGCTACAAATTTCGGCAGAAAAAGGTGCAAAATTCAAATTCCGGTTACTGTAGTTCTAAAGTTTATATCCGCAGTCTGCTGGGTTACTGTAGTTCAGAAATTTTATTTTTTGGTATTTGTAGTTCTAAGCTCGAGATTTTATCAGTAGACCAAAAATCTCAGGATTACTGTAACGCTTCAAAATTTCTTCCCTGATGATTGATCATTTGAAATACAATATTTTATCATCAAATTTTGGACAAAAACAATAATAATAATAATAATATGCTGTGGAGTAAGAAAAAACGTATGGAAAGATAATAAAAAAAAGTATACAAGTAATAAACCGTTAAAGGGCAAGTAGATCTAAAAATGGTAAGTGCTACACAAAAAACATGTCAGGTTGAATAAATATTTTTTTAGAGTTCGTATGATAAATAAGTAGAGTTTAAGCATAAGTCGAAGATGCTTCGATAGCTTTGGCGTAGACGAAGACACGATTGATGAGAACGTATTTGGCAACAGCGCAAGCGAATCCGATGGCAGTCAAAAATTCGATAGTGTATCCGGCGACCAAACCATGCACGAAATGTTCGTGTCGCTCTTGTTTCGAGTCATTTCGAAGGCTTGCCAATTCTTGTTCCAATTGGGTTTCGTTGAAAGTTGGAGTGATTCCAGCGGCAGCCATACTTGCGAAGATTACTGGCACAACCAAGATTGTCATCAGCAAGAAGATCGCATTGATCAACTGCAAAAAAAATTCATTTTTGAGAAAACTTATTTTAGCAGCATCGTTTTCAGTGCGCCGAGCTCTACAAATCCGTTAGAAAGTCCCTACTTTAAATTTACCCTAACATGAAATTTTTGTTTTGTCTTTCTCACTCTCCCTTTTCACTTTATTCTCATGATTAGATCTACCGTAGTTGAAAGCGAAACTATGAATTAAATAAGCAGGTGGTTTTTCATGAATAATCACATGCTCAACAAAGTTTAATGCGTACTTGGTGTTTTTATCTTAAAAATAATCAAGTTCGCTCTATCGCACACATATTTTATTCGTGTGTACTTCTCTCGGAGTCCAATTTCCCCTTGATTTCTAGAAAATTCTTACCGATATATAAAGCGAGATTCGAAGAGCAACAACATTGTTCTTAACAGCTCCGACCAATGTGATGATTTCGAACAAAATCGAAAAAGCGGTCGCGAATTTCATCGAAAATTCTTCTTCTTTGAATGTTTGAACAACGCTTCCGACAATTCCGACGACGCAAAGAACGATTACGACGAGCTGAAAATATATAGAAATCATTTCGAGTTATGACGTGGCAAATTCCATTTCTAGATTCATAACTTTCTCTAGAAAACGTCCTAGAATTTATCTAGAATTAACGTGTTTTGTCTAGTGATAAAAAATTCTTGATAACAATTCAATTTCCGATAAGGAAATATCATTATTGTATCTAGGCTCTAGGAATAAATGTTAGCCCAACTTACTCTTGCATCGAAGCACATGAAACGTGGCGGTTGAGTGTACATTTTCTGAAACAAAAGAATTTTTCGATAAAGAAAAATGAACCGAAATGAAGTAAAATGAAGGGGAAATGAAAGTGTCTCGAACGCCGTTTCTATAGTTACAGAAAGAGGCGGCTGATAAGAAATGGGGGATTTGAAATCGATTTGAAAACCGGCCGAGCAGCTAAATACCCAAAAACATATGTCTTGAAATATTTCGCAATGAGCTAAAATAGCCCCTTGAGATTACGCTGAAGCTTTGAGATGAAATGTTGATTTTCACCTGCTGATTAGGATCCTATTGTGAAAAATTGATTAGAAATCAAAAGCTGAACGAATCAAAGGCGCACACAATTTTCGAAAAGTTGAGGTCTCGCAGCGATTTCAGTTTTTCACGTTTTTCTGAGTGAGAACCGAATTTTTAAAATTGGAAGCTGTTTCAGATTATCTATGGCCTTCAAAAGCTAAAAATTCTGAAACTACATATATCTCAACAAAAAAACATCAAGCAATATTTCGTAATATTTCTCTGAAATCCAATCAAAAGAAAATAAAAAAAAAACATTTGTGACCAGTTATATTGGAGACGCAGGCAAAAAAAAGAAAAGAGAAAACCGGTAGGACGCGAATGACTCAGATTATCGATCTTTTTGATTCTATTCCCATTCGGTTTCGCGCGCGCGCGCGGGTAAAACAAAATAAAATAAAATATTATTTTGAGATCAAAAAAATACTGGTTTCTATTTAGTCTAGTCTACTTTCAATTATCTAAATAAGAAATATTTTATCACAAAACACCGGAAATACAAAAATAAATAAATATTATGAATAAAGAATTGAACAAACAAAATGAAATAAATAAATAAATAGTTATTCACAAGTGAATTCATAATTTTACATGGCTATTCAAGAATACTGAAAGTTTTCACAGAAAACAACGCAAAAAAAAGTGACCCGCAAAAAATTTGAAGAGTGAGTGAGAATGAAGAATGATGACTGCTGAAATGAAAAAAAAGGTGAATATGAAGAGAGAAAATGCACTTATGTTTGTTTACTATGTCTATTTTTATCAAAACAAAAAATAAAGCAAAACATTGGAAAATGAGTGGGGAGATTGTGAAGCGGAACTTGATAAATCTGACCAGACCCGGTGGTCTATTTTTTTCTAGAAATCTAACCCTTCAAAATCCCATACTTACCTTAAATTGTATGGAATTATTTGATATCCTGACTGAATGAGAATTCTCTTCCAGCAGTTTCACTTAATTCATCCATCGATGCTCGTCTTGATGTATAATATTCATAGGGTGTTTCTTCCTCTTCTTCATTTGCACGCATTTTTGAATTCACAAAAAGTGTCGCCCATTCTTCGTATTCCGGATCAACGTCACCGAGGTTCTGCAAAAAAATTTTGAGGTTTTTTTTGTTGAAAAAACTGCTTTATCAAGATTTCAAAAAAACTGGGATTTGAACTGGGATTTGAAAATCATATTATTTTTTTAGATGGTTTGGAACACTTTTATATTTCATCTCTGAAAATCCACGTGGCAAATGTGATGAATTTTAGTACAAAAATGAGGTTTTTCATGCATTTTTTTGGCAAAGATGAAGTCCACATAGTGAATTTATCAGTTAAAAAATCGATAACATTACATTTTTTGAAATTCAGAATTCCTTCAAAAAAAAGATGAAAATCAATAGATTCATGAACTTTCTCAAAAGAAAATCATTTTTCTCATAGAATCTTGATTTGAAGGTCCCATTTCCCTTCCCAGTCCGACTTACCGCAACCCATTCATCCTGCAATAATTCCGTGGCTTCATATCTATGAAATGGATCCAATGTAATCAAGCACATAATAAGATGTCGAACAGAATATGAAATATCATCCCAATGTGGCGATGGGAATGTGAATTCGCCACTTTGAATCGCCGAAAACAAATCCTGTTCACTTCCATCCGAACTTTGAAATGGTGGAAAACCGACGAGAATCGCATAGAGAATCACACCAGCCGCCCAAATATCCACTTTACAACCATAGCCAGCTTGCGTCAAAACTTCTGGTGCAACATAAGTTGGTGTTCCGCAAATGGTCTTGAGAACTCCAAATTCTTCAGGCATTTCGGTAGCGAGTCCGAAATCCGCTAGTTTTACACCAATTTCACCATAAGCATCTCGCATTATCTAGAAAAAATTCTTATTTTTAAAAAGGATTTTTGTTAAGAATGAAACAAACCAATAAATTTTCCAATTTAACATCACGATGAACAATATTCAAGCCATGAATATATTCCAATGCTTGACCAAGACATGTGATAATTCGAACAGAATCTCTTTCCGGAACTCGTTTTGTTCTACGAAGATGCTCAAACAAATCGCCCATTTCAATTAACTCTAATGAAAGATAAAATGCATCATCAATTAGCCAATTATCATATAATTGTACAATGAAATGATGCTCAAGTCTTTTTCAAAATAGCCAATTCCATTTCGATCAAATGCTCTTGTCCAATCACATTTTCTCGTGCAATTACTTTCATTGCTCTTCTTTCTTGATTTACTCTGAAAATTACAGAAAATTGTTATTTTAAATTAATCAGTCTTGGAGTTTAAAAATGTATACTTAAAATTTATAATTTTGAAAACATACCATATTCTGAATCTAAAATTACAGAGAGAAAAGCGAACCAATTTTCAGAGCGAATTTTTTCAAAAATGACAATTCGTCATAAAATAATGGTCACGTTTTCATTTTTCGAAAAAATAGGTCAATTCACGTGTTTTATCTGATAAATAATTTATATTTTCTTCATTTTGCGGTTCGATCTCACCCCTAACTGGTCAGAAAAATCATAGTGGAACGTGAGTTAAACTACAGTTACTATATGATGATAGATTTTAGATCTATCTTTCTAATCATAAATAACTTACTTATCGGTAACTTCATAAACAACAGCAGTATTTCCATCTCCAATCAAACGATTCAAAACAAAATGTTCGGCTAATTCAGCAGGAAGTCTTTGAGCAGATTCATCAGGAACAACACTTCCAGATCGATCGAATCTTAGCGATTCATTTCGATTTGGCATAACTCTTCGACCATTGTGACGACGAATTTTTGAATTTGATGTTGAAACACATTTATATTCTGTAACAGTTAGGCTAATATTTTCTTCTAAAAAGAGCAAAAAAAACCTTCTGAGGCGACTAATAAATCATCAGCAGCCATTCTTTCATTTCCACCATACGCAATAAAAACATCATCATCACCAAAGAAATCTTCAAGTCGAATAATTTGTCTTCCACTAACCGCAAACAATTTTCGAATCGCTCCACTGTCCAATTTCACAATTCCAGTCAAATCTCGCAAAACTTGATCATATGATCGAGCAGTTTTCTTATTCAACAAGTGTCGAACTATTTTTCGCGGTTTAACACCATTTCGTATAACTTTAATGATACGCGGATACACAAAATCAGTTCGTTCTTGAGCGTGTTCAACAACATTTAAAGCAAGTTTTGTAGTCTCTTTATGTCGATTATAACGATTTGCAAGTGTTAATCTCCAACTTGGCTCGGCTGCTCGTGAATAATCAACTTGTTTGAAAGTATCAGTACTAAAACAATTATTTGTGTATTTGAAAAAAACTCGGAATATTTAGAAAAACTTACCTAGAACAAACATAGGCGCCTCCATCTTCAAATTGATCTACAGAAGTGATTCTTTGTGTTCCATCAATTGTAAAAATGTGCCTAATACCATGAGGTAAAGCGGTTGAATCACACATAACTGTTTTCATCAAATCTTCCATTAAAGGTTGCATTGATTTTACTCGATCACTTTGAAGAGCATAGGTTATCCCCTAAAATATAAAGAAATTTTGGAAAGGACTTGACTTTTAATAAAAAAGTGGGGAAAATCGATTCAAAAACCCCTTAACAATTAAGAAAAAACTAAATACCTTAAAATATTGATCACCATTTCGATAAAACCTTAATCGTTTTGCTTTAACAAGATGTGGATAACCAGATGGTCCAATTCGACATCTTTTTTGCATTTCCATCACCATATCTCTTGATTCCCCAATATCACTTGGTGATGGTTCTCGATTAAATCCACTTCCGCTACTATCCATAACCATTGATGACGTCATCGAACCTTCAGCTGTATTTGTTCCATTTGATGATGAAGGCATTCCAAGTTTTGATAAATTGAAAACTGATGCTTTTGGAGTATCTAAATCGTCAATTGCAGCCAAAGATGAAGCACAAATAGTTTGATTATTTAGAGTTTGCTCGTGTCCAGTACGAAATCGAGAGTTTGATGATAAAGTTGTCGATAGAATTGTTGAATGTGGACGCGCTGAGTGCGGTGGAACAGCTACAATTCAAACGTTTTTTTTTTTTTGAAAAATCGATAATTTTCTCCAAATTTCTGAATCTTTTTGAAACAATAGAAGAATAGCTTGAAAATAGAAGCCGAATGAAAATAGAAATGAAAATGGAATTTTTAAAAGGTCCACGCTCACGCTTAATTAAATGAACAAAGCAGGTGTTCCTCTTACCTCTTCTCCTATTTACTAAAATCAATTTTTCGGGTTGACTCATTCTAGTAAAATGGAATAAAAAGAATTTTGAAAAAATAAAATATTTAGTTTCATAGATACAGAGAAATATAAGATAAGAATAGTTTTTTTTCGTTCACAAATTTGAAAAAAGGGTTTTCCTTTTAATCCAGAAAGCAGACAACGTCTGTTCAATATCTAATGAGTCTTTCCTTTTTCACCCTCCTCCACCCTATCTATTTCTTTCCCATTTATTCATGCATATTGGGGAGTATGTGCACCATTAGAGGGTGGACGCATGTTTCTCCCCTCTTTTTAGAAGAGTATAAGAAAATATTTAGTCTAAATTTGGAGAAAAGCTATGCATCTTTAAAAAACTACAATCATTCCCAGGAAAAATGAAAATTCTAACATAAGCCCAAAACCACCACCACCACCATCACATATAACAATAAAAATTAGAGATAGCTATAGAGGTGCGAAACTCTTACGTCTTTTAAATCGTGGAATGTTTGATTTAGTGACGGATGATAATCGTTTTGCAGCACGAGGAAGCGTATTTCCACCAATTCGAGTTGTATTTGAAGTTGAAATTGTGCAATTTGCTATATTTGAAGAAGGTGTACCAGAAGCTGACGATGTCATACGCCAAGATTGACTAGGCATGTTTTGACACTATATATTCAAACGCTAAGCAAGATAGAGTCTCTGAAAAGGAGGACGGCGAAAATAAGAGAAAAAAATTGGTTAGGGAAAATCATAGCAGCATTCAATAGTGTTATTAAACTTATTATACTCACCAATTTGAAAATAAAATTTCGCTGGATATTGATCCTGAAACAAATTATACATTGTTAAAAGCTAACTCTGTTTAGAAGAAAACGGACAAATATGAGTCAATGTTGAACAATTTAATGGGCAAAAACAGAAAAAAGCAACAAAAAAGTTAGAAAACGTCAAAATAAAGCAAAGTTGACGAAATCTTCCCGCGAGCGCTCGAGCAGAATTGAAAATTAGTGCGCGTCAAATAAAATGCGTTGTGTGCAATTGTGCGTCATTTGTGCGCGTGCATGCAGACTTGAGTAATCGCGGCGACCTCGGATTACAATCGATTTTCTTATTTCCCTCAAAAAGCAATCATAGACGATTTTAAATACCTGTTGTTGTTTCAGTTTGAATTGGGCGATGTCTGGTGTACCGGTACAACATTGGAACTTTGGTATTGGACCAATAACTTGTCACGCATGGAATAAAGATAGGACTCGTAAGTTTTTGGAAAATGAAGCTCCCAGTTTCTTCCAAACATCTTTCAATAAACCCCGTGATTTTAGAAATCGCTGTATCTGCTTCAAGCAACGAAATTCATATCTTCGAATGGAAGAATGGAGATTGGGTCAATATTCATACTCTATCCGAACACGATCTTCCAGTAACTGGTCTCGATTGGGGCGTGAAAACTAATCGTATAGTTTCATGCTCTCAAGATAAAAACGCCTTTGTCTGGACATTTGACAAAGGAACATGGAAACCTGAATTAGTTCTTGTACGATTCAATCGCGCAGCAACCTATGTCAAATGGTCGCCACTAGAAAATAAATTCGCTGTTGGAAGTGGCGCTAAATTAGTATCTGTTTGTTATTATGAAAAAGAGAATGATTGGTGGGTATCGAAGCAGATCAAAAAACCAATTCGATCCACAGTTACTTGTCTTGATTGGCATCCAAACAATGTTCTTCTAGCCATCGGATCATGTGATTTTAAGGTTTGTTGATAAAAATAAATAAATATTGATATTAAATAAAACATTACAGTGCCGCGTATTCTCTGCATACGTGAAAGAAGTTGACGAAAAACCATCGCCAAATCCATGGGGTCAAAAAATGCCATTTGGTCAATTAATGAGTGAATATTCAGTTGGTGGATGGGTTCATCGTGTCGCATTTTCCCCATCTGGATGTCGTTTAGCATTTGTTTCACACGATTCATCGGTTTCTTTTGTTGATTCAACAGTTGATAATACAAAATCTCAACATTTGCGGACTATTCATTTACCATTTACCACAGTTGAATGGGTCACAGAAAATAGTCTCGTTACTGCTGTATGTTTCATCTAAACATTTTAAGTATTTATAATAATCAAAGTTTTCAGGGACATGATTGCTCTCCAGTTCTTTTCGTTGTCTCGCAAGATGTTTTGAAAGAAGTATGTAAACTTGATATTCCATCAGCTGCAAAATCATCAACAATTAACAGCGCATTGCAAATGTTTAAAAATATTGATAGAAATGCTGCATCCGAAAAAGTTAATGTTGCACTCAAAACTTTACATCAGAACAGAATCACGTAAGTTTTTTTTTTGATAAAGGAATCTCAAGAAAATGTATGTTTTTTTTGCAGTCAAATTCTTCCCCATTCTGGAACAACTGGAAATGTTGTCAAATTTACTACTTGTGGAACTGATGGTATTATTGCTCTTTGGGATTTGAAGGTAAGTTTCTTTCTCAATGTTTGCAAGAAGAAACCTTTCAATTTATACAGGAAACTATTGAGTTTTGTAGGGTAAGAAGACTTCAGCATGAATTTGGTCTATTTTTAATAATAACTTTTAACATGAGTGATTTTTATTGAATTGAAATTTCTTAAATTCTTAATCAAGAGTGAAAGATTGGCCAAATTTTTTTCAGAAACTTCACAATATTTTTTTTCAGAATCATCCATCATTGGCCTAAATGAATTATGAAAATATATTAAAAGTGTTTATTGTTTGTCAAAGTTCTCACTTAATCCATTAAATATCTAAAACCTCTTTCTTTTTTCCTTATTTTTTAAAAAACAAAATGTGATTTTTTTTTGTAAATACAGTTTGCTTTAACATGATTCAATAATGTATTTCGAATCTTTTTCTTTATTTTTTTTTTTTTTGATTATGCGTTTGCCTACGCTGAAATACTTCTTTTCACATGTTTTTAGAACTTTTTTATTGTTTTTTATCCCAGATGGGTTCCGATACAAAATCGGATGATGATAAACTATCAAAAGATGATATTTGGAGAAATGACAATTCTTGCATGGTAAGTTTCCTTATTCCCAATACCCAGAAAATCTCAATTATATGTTTTTTTCCAGCTCTGCGGTGATTTTTGTGAGACTCAAGCACTCAAAGATTCTCATTATTTGAAAGCAAAACATATTCGAAAAATGCGATTGTATGATTTCTACACAAATGAGATTTCGAAATTTCCACATGGCAACGAATCTCTTCTTCAAAATCGCTATTTATTGAGAAAAATGCGAGTTTTGGGTCTTGAATGTGTTCACGAAATCACAACACTTTTCAATCCATCTGCAATATGGGCATGTTCGATTTGTTTTGTTGCTGGCGGACATTATGATGCGGCTGATGCTCATTTGATGTCTCTTGGTCATATTAAAACATATATTGTGAGTTTTTCTTTGGAAATTCTCTTTTTAATTCATCACTATGTTGTTTTTCAGGACGAGTTTCATCCAGATGAAATGAAAAATTTGACATACGACAAGCATGATCTGTGTGAGCAATTCGAATTGTTTTCCCAACTCGCTGATCGTATTTTCGCTGAAAATGGTGGTTTGCAAAAACCGGAAGTTTTGAAAATGAATATTAGTGAAGCGGATGCAAAAAAGAAATTTGTATTGACTGATATTGGTGATACAATGACTAATCATATTTGCCAAAAAGATGCGAAAAAAGTTATTCTTCATTGTAAGACTTGTAATCAATTGATTCCTACACATAAATCGACGAAATATACAATTGAAAAAGCTAAATTAGCTCATTTGGATAATGCGATTCATCAGAAATGTGCATTGATTTCGGGATGCATTGAAGAATGTGAGTTTTGTTTCGGAATTCATCAAAAACATCTATATTTCAGTTGATATTGAAGAAATATTTGATGGAGATACAACTGAACCTGTGAATAATTCGCTTGAATGGTTTGTTCGTGAAGAACACGGCGGTTTAACATATCTCAATTCGCCGTGTGGTTTGAGAAATTGTATCACAACTGAAGACGAGAAATATTGTGGAATATGTTTTTGTTTCGTTGAAAATGAGGAGCATTTCTCATCGGAATATCACGTGATGAACTTTCTCAATGCTCGTTTTCCTTTCGATAATTATTTGATTCGACAATTACCAAGAGATGAACGTCAAAAACGATCATTGCAATTATTGTCGAAAACATTTTTGGAGAATGAAAGTAGAAGAAAAGCACCGTTAAAACGGTTTCCATCTACTATTCAGGTATAATAATAATTAAATTCTTAATTTTCAATAATCGCATTTTTTTGCGCGAGCGCCTTATTTGTTTTCATTTTTTCGCAGAAGCAGAATCTTTTACATTTTTAATTTATTGTTATTTTTATATACCTTTCCTTTTTCCTGATCCCATACCCCCAAAAACATTTTCAGACTTTGATTTCTGCGGATTTCCGAGTTTTCGAAGATGTTCAACCTGAAATAATGGATGAGTATGGGCATATCACATTTTTTTGCCCAGTGAGTTTCAAAACATTTTCATTGTTCTTATTATTTTTTGTATTATTTTTAGCTCTGTTTGAATATTTCATCATTGCCAAAATCAGATGATCCAAATATGGAACAACAAATGAAAGCACATTGGTTGAAACATTTGACTGAAGCACAACATTATGAATGTATAACAAGAAGGGCTAGTTATACTTTTGGTAAGTTTAGTTTAGTTTGAATTTCGTGAGAATGTGAATTCAATTGCGCAGATGAACGATATTTTGTGCCATATCCACCTTCTATTAAACAAATGGCATATATGGATAAAGGAAAATGGACGACAGTCAAGGTAAAGCAATATTTTCATTATTATTTTTTTAAATCTTGTTTAATTTCACTTCGTCTAATATAATTCTAATTTCTGTTTTGTTTTCAGGATACCGAAATGCTCATTCAAACACAATGTGATGTTGGATTAGAATATATGGTTGAAGATGAGGATAATGATGAAGTAGTTTGTACAATGTGCGCAAGAGTTTATCCAAGAAATAATCCGGATGTTATCAATTATCATATTCGATCAATTCAACATTTGAAACAATATTTGGTGAGTGTTCAGGGTTTTCTTTAGTGGTTTTCTCTTTTTTTTTCTTGATAATTCATTATACTTTGTTTTCTAGTACATAACAAATCGCACAATGATTGGCCTAATATTGAGTCAAAGAGTTGAGTCGGTAGCTGAAGAACTTTTGTTGGAGTGGTTGCAAAGATCATCGTTACAATTTGATATCAAAATGAAGGTAATTTAAAATTTGCATACATACATCCACTCGTAGCCAAATTTGTTGTGTTTTTCAAACTATGTTTTAGTAGTGAAAGAAAAATGCAAATTTTGAGAGACGCAGACGAGAGAAACGCAGGCGAAAAAAATGCATTTTTTCTTCACTGTGGACTTCTCAGATTTGGATTCAGGCTTCAGGACTGTGCATAATTGGAGTTATTCGTTTTAATTCGATCTGCCTCAAAATTAGTGCGTGTAAAATACAACCTGTTGTTTTTTTTAATTTCCACTTTTTTCGATGTTCCCTTTTTTCTAAAAGACCGCAGTGAAAAAAATGTGCTTTTTCGCCTGTGGAGAAATAGTGTGTGTTTGACATCAACCTTTTGGTCATTAATTTAAAGGAGTGTGTTGTTTGCGTCTCTAGGTTTTCATTTTTTGTTAGAAAAATCTCTGGATGTTTGTAAAAAATATAATTTTTGATTTTGATAGGTTTATTCGAAAAAGAAGACACTGGAACTTGATAGTTGGAAATCGATTAATATAAGAACGGTAAATTAATCATTTTGGAAGAAAAAACTTTGTTTGTTTTCGCAGGTTGACAGTTCACTCAACTCTCGAAATGAAACACGCGATTCTTATGATGCACTTGTTAGTGTTGTTGATAAGGTTTCTTGTGATGGACGCGAGTTGGTGATGTTAGGTGCTCGAGAAGCATTGTTAGCGGCTAATATTCGGATTATTCATACTTATGTAGATAATAAAAAAGTAACAGCTGTAATGTGCAGATGTATGGTAGGTTTGAGAAAACATTGTATTTTTTTGGTATTATTTGTTTTTTTTTTTCTTCAAGAATTGTGAACTAGCATTTTCTGCAAATGTTGAAGATTGGGACGATGATGTGTTTATAAGACATATGAGAGATGATCAACACTATAATCGAATGAGATCACTTCATGAAAATCGATTTGGTATGGATTCACCAACAGCTTTTTTATTTTGTTATTTTTTCTAATTTTACAGATTCGTACGGAATTAGCGAAGAGAAATCAAATTATACAGTCAAAGCGTTCCCACAAAAAGATCCAGCCAAGGTTTTAACATAAAATAATATTCTGTAGATTGTGACATCAGCAATTTTTTTCAGAAAGTTAGTTGGCATTGGAATGCGCAGAGCAAACTTCACGAATATGTTCTCAGTGTTGTTGGTTTGGAAGAAATTGTCGAAAGACGATCGAAAGAGCGAGAAAATATGGTTCCGGATTTTTTCTGCGTTCTTTGTGCTACAACTTTTCCGAAACGTGCAGCGAATTTAGAAACTCATGTTAGAAGTTTTTCTCATGCTTTGAACTTTTTGGTAAGAAGTTGTTGAAAAGTGTTATTCAATGTTGAATATTGAAAAATTCTAGCACAAATATCGAGCAGTTTCTATTCGAGACATTGAAGAATTGAACAAGAAGTACGATGATCGCGGAAAAGAAGTTCGAAAATATGTTTCAAATCTATTGAAAGATATTGTTCCAGCCCAAATGTATTGTATACGTGTATATGATCCATTGGGTGAAGCGGAAAGAAAAAGTATTGTTGCACAACAAAGAGCAAAAGAAGAGGAAAGACAGGCGGAAACGCTGAGAATAAGAGAAAGAGCAGCCGAAGGTAACACCAATTTCTTCTGTACACACATTTGGGTAGTGAATTTAAATACACATCAGTCGGTTTCATTATCAATGTTAAGGTTGACTGTGTAATTTTGATTTTTTTTTCATTTTTGAAAAATTCATTTTTAGTTCTGAAAAACAAAATTTTCGGTTTATTGCAACACCGAAAGTTGTTTTCAATCCTTATGGATACATCTGAAGCTGGCTGCGCAATATTAATCAAACTACACAACTTTTTCCAAAATTAGTTTTGAAAAACACACATTGAAAACTTTGAATATCACAGAGCGCCAACAAAGAATGGAAGAACAGCGTCTTCATCGTGAACGCGAAGTAGAAAGAATTAGAAAACAGACACAAGAACGAGAGAAAAAAGAGGCGGAGACTCGACGAATCAAGAAAGTTGTGGAAGAAGAAAGAGCTAGACGAATTGCTATTGCTCTTGAAGCAGCACAAAAGGTTTGATTACAAAACCTTGTGAAAAAAAAACAAAAAATACGATTTTGTTTAGGATGTTGAAGCGAAACAAAGAATGCAACAAGAAGTTGAGCGAGACAAAGAAAAGGTTTTGTTGATGAAAGCTCGTGAACTTGAGAAAAGACGTTTGGAAGCGGAAAAAGTGGCACTTGAAGAAAGAGCTAGATTGGTTGGAAATCCACGTTTGTATATTCCACATGTTGTTGCACCAATGACTGCACCTTTAAATATGCAACAACAGCAACAACAAATGCAACCACCTTGGATGAATCAAAATGGGGTACACCTTTTCAAAAAAAAAAATACGTGGATTATTCAAAAATTCCTTCTTTTCAGATGGTTCCTGGAATGCATCCACCAACAGTTCCAGTTCCAAATTTCAGTCTTCCTCCTCCAAATTTCAATCAAATGCAATTTCCGCCGAAAATTGAAACACCAGAACTTCCAGGAATTGTGAAGAGGTTTTCGAACTTTTTTTTTGAAAATAAATAGCATTAGATGTTTTTAGGCCTTCGCTGCGAGGAAAAGTGCCAGATCCAATGTTGATGAACATCAAAGTGATCGCTTCAAAACAAGATTTGATAAATTACAGTAAGTTTGCTGATGGTAATAAAATACTTGGAAATTTCGAGAATTACTAATCCATTCTAAATTTCACGTCATTCAAACTCTGTAAATCTGAGAATTAACCATGATTCAAAATTGAAGATTATAGCTTTTGAAAATCCACCAAACTTCTTTCTTGAGATGTTTTTTTTTTATATTTTCAAAAATTCAAAGAACTCATATCCCTCTTCATTTTTCTTTCAATTTATAATCACATATTTTTTCAGTTATCAAAAAAGGAGCCGAACGTATTCCAAGAACCGAAATGCCAATCGAATATACAAATTCACTAAACGAATTAGCTGGTTCACTTGGAACTGATACAATTTATGAAGTTGTTTGTCTTGATGATTCTGAACTTGACAGTTATTTCTGTACACTTTGTGCTGAATGGACTTCTCCAAGAGAAATGGCTAAACATATTGTAAATGATAGCCATCGATTAGCTTATTTGGTTTGTTTATAGTTTTGTGTTTGAAATTTAAATAATTTATCGAATTTTGATTTCAGTACAAGAATTATTTGGTTTATCATAAAACTGTGATGGCGGAAAAAGACAAGGCTATACGCAAACTTGTTTTGAATAATTTCTGTAAAGAAATACAAAAGGTATCTTGTTTTTTCTTCCAAACATAATTTAATTTTTGATAATTTTCAGAAAGAACAACCTCCTCCAAAAATCGAACATCGAATAATGACATTTTTGAACAAAGCAACAATTATTCGACTTTGGCCAGGATATGAAACATATTTCTATGAACAGAAATTTACGCAATCTGGATTTCAAGAAATTCAATGTAAAAGCTTTTTCTATCTGCGTGTGCGAAATTATTTTTATTCGATTCCCCCAAAAAATTCCCTAATTATTTTCAAATCAAAATTTGTTTTTTTTCAGATGATCCGGTGCCAGTTCCAGTTCCAGTGCCCAAAAATGCGATAATTCTTGATGATGAAAATGAAGTGCCACAAGATAAAGATGATCGAAAAGAGAGAGCTGCGAATAACAGAGAAAAAGAGCGAGAAAGGGAAAGAGAAAGAGATCGAGACAGAGATCGACGTCGTCGTTCTCGAACTCGCTCTCGAAGTCGTGATAGAGATCGAGATTATCGTCGACGAAGTAGATCAAGAAGTCGAGATAGATATCGAAGAAGATCGAGAACTCGAAGTCGATCGAGAAGTCGTGAAAGAACATCGAGAAGACGAGAAAATAGTGATGCGAATAAATGGGCGAATGGCACTGATAATTTCTTGGCCAAATTGGGGGATAAAAAAGGTGGTGGGAGGTATGTCAATTTTGTGAAATTTGCTCATAAAAATGAAAAAAGTCACGTGGATTTTTGGTGCGAATTTGAAATTTCAAAAAAAAAACATTTTGAATTAATATTTGAAAAAAAATTATTCTGAATTTCAGAAAAATTTATTGTGGTTTTTTGACGCGAAAACTCAAATTTCAAAAAAAATATTACATTCTGATTTTTTTTTAATTTCGAAAAATAAAAATCGCAAAATGTTTCAATTTGAATTCAATTCCCACAGATATCTTGATTATAAATTTGCAGACCCAAAACTCCACCAAACTCCGATTTGAAATCTCGCTTCGAAACTTTGAGCAAATTTGCTGGAGCAATTGGAAAAGAGGATGATATTGAAAGAAGTCGAAAAGAAGCTGAACTTCGACGACAAAAAAATGAGAAAGACTCGGCGCCGATAAAACCATCGAATACAACAACAACTTCAAGTTTGGAAGATGAAAAAGCGAAACAACGCAAAATGTTGGGAGTTATCATAACTATGCAACAACAATCCGAATTACGCGGCGGAAATATTGATCGAAGAGAGGTAAACAAAGAGAGAAATATTTTTAATTTTAATGTCGAATTTTCAGATCGAATCACTTTATAATGAAATGGGTTTGAATATTAGAGAAGGTGATAAATTGTTATCTCAAATGTTGAATGATATGCAAGGAACTTCGGTGAGTTATTGATTTTGAATTCAAAAAATGCAAATTGTTTTTTATCCAAAAATTTCCAGGCAACATCAGCTCCTTCAATTAATCTTGCCTCGTTCGGAATCATGGCGCCAAACTCCTCCCAGCCAACTTTTAATCAACCACCTCCACAAATGCAATCTTATCAACAACAACAACAGCCACAATCTGCTTACGGTGCCTTTACGCAGCAAATTCAGCAACCAGCTCCATCGGCTTATCAACAATCAGCTGGGAGATTAGCTAATTTGCAACGAATGGTGACTGGTAATGTAAATAATGGAAACTCGAGTTCTAGCCTAAATCTTCCAACTGTTCAACATTCCTCATATTTTGAGAAAAATGCCGAGGAGATTTACAAAGATTCGGTTTCATATGTATATCCGACAAAAGATGATGTTGAACCTGCAAATAAGAAGACGAAACAAGCGGAAAGCGAAGAAGATTCAGAGGATGAAGAATATGCTGAAATTATGAATGTGATTGGGAAAAATCCAGAGAAGAAGAATGAATCTGGTGGATCGACACCGATTCAGAAAGAGGTTCCAAAGGCGAAAGAGCCGGTTGTGGTTGAGAAGAAGAAGAAAAAGGAAGAACCTGCTGCAACTTTGCCTGGACAACGAATGGCGTTGGCGAGAACTGTTTTACCAAATGGCCAGAAAATTTCGAATAATGAAAAATCAAATGAAAATACTGCTGAATTGCCATCAACTACAATAAGTCAACCACCAATTCCTGGTGTATCTGGTGAAACACTGGCCTCAACATCTTTGAATTTACCTGGAATTGCTGCACCAATATCTTCCCAACGGGTTGTTCAACAACAACAACAACAACCTCAAATGATTCCACAACAACAGCCAATGATGCAACAAATGCCGCAAAATCCACAACAAATGTATATGCAGGCGCCACCACAACAAAATCAATTTATGTATGCTCAACAAATGCCGCAATATGGAATGCAGCAAGGTTATCCAATGGCTCCGCAGCAAATGCAGCCACAGGTTGGTTTTTGGGGGAGGGTTTTTGGAAAAAAACATTTTTTTTAAAGTAAAATTCTCGAATTCTCTCAGTTTTTGAAACTTGATAAAATTTAGATTTCACATAGTTTTAATTAAATTAATTAATTTTTTTAAATTTAAGACCCTAATTTGTTTTGTTTTTAAAGGATATGATATTAGGACGAAATTCCGACGGTTTTGTGAATTTCCAGACTTTTTGGGCAGAATTTCGAGTTTTTTAAATATTAGGCTTTTTTCTGAAGAGAGCAAAAATTTGGACCGTTGTTCTTGTAAAGATTTCTAGACTGAACCCTTTCTAAAAATCAGGATTTCAAGCCAAAAAATCCAAATATTCCCAAAACTTTCTATTAATTTCACAATATTTCCAGATGTATCAACCAATGCCCCAACAAATGTATCAACAACAACCAATGGGTCAAATGATGCCACCACAATATCAAATGCAGCCACAACAACCCCAACAAATCTATATGCAACCACCGCCGCAACAACAAATGATGCCACAATATGGAATGCCGCCAAATCAACAACAACCACAACAGCAATATCCATATTTTTGAGTTGTTTAGTTGAGAAACAGAATTGAATTGAATTGTTTTAAATAATCTGTTAATTACGTGTCTTTTTGTTCCTTTGATCTTTTTTATAATGAAATGTTTTAAAAATTAGAAAAGTTTGAGAATGTTGGAATGTTGAAATACCAGAAATTTATTTATTTGTATTTATATTTACAGAAAATTTTTGAATCAGGAAAGTAGTTTTCTGACTACTGTACTTCTGCCACGTGGAAATTCCGATATTTATTTATTAAAAAAAGGCGGGAAAATGATCTTTTTTCAATCTTGAAATTCTGAATTCCACGTGGAAAAATTCCGGAAGTGACAGAAATTCAAAATTTCCTCTGAAATTTTCAGATGTTAACATTCAACACAAATAAAGCTGGAATGTCCGGCATAAATAAGGAAAAAATAACAAAAGTCATCGAAGAAAACACGTCTGAAAAATATTCGAATTTCTCCAAAAAACAAGATGAAAGGATTGAGGAACGAGTGAAGGAAATCAATCAAATTCTGGAGAAAACAAGCGAAATGGAAAAACGAATTGCAGAAGAACAAATGGAGAAAATGCAAGAAAGTTTAGAATATCGCAGAGATTTATCGAGAAGCTGTGTTTGTATTGATATGGATGCTTTTTTTGCAGGTTTGGGTTTTGGAGAAGGATTTTGAAATGTCGAATGACGAAGCGAGTCCTAACCAAATCGATTTTGTTTTAAATGCCACGTCATAGAATCAAAATTTCCTCATTTTTCAGCTGTTGAAATGCGAGATGATCCAAATTTGCGAAATGTTCCAATGGCTGTCGGATCTTCCTCAATGTTAAGCACTTCAAATTATATTGCACGTCGTTTTGGTGTTCGAGCAGCGATGCCCGGATTCATTGCCAGAAAATTATGTCCAAATCTCAAAATTGTTCCTGTAAATTATGAGAAATATTCGAAAATAAGTCATAAAATCGCGGATATTTTCGCTGAATATGATTGCGAAATGTCAATGATGTCTTTAGATGAAGTTTATATTGATCTAACCGATTATTTGGGATCGAGGAATTTGGAGACTGCTGAAAAATCGATTTTTACTCGGATTCGTTTTGGTGGAGAATGCAATTGTCGATTGCCAAGATTTGATGAGAAGGAGACAATTGAATTTGAAATTGAAATAATTGAGGAATCATGTTTGAAGTGCGAAAAAATACGGAAAATTTATAAAGATAAAATTGAATTTGGAAATGATAGAGAAGAAGTGAGTTCAATTAGGAAATGTGAACTATTTTTATTCATTTTAATTACAGGTTGTTCGTGAAATTCGATTTCGCGTGGAACAATTAACCGGTCTAACATGCAGTGCTGGAATCGCTGCAAATTTCATGTTAGCTAAAATCTGCTCTGATTTCAATAAACCGAATGGGCAATTTGTATTAGAAAACAATCGAGAGACGATTTTCAAATTTCTGAATGATTTACCAATTCGAAAAGTGACTGGAATTGGTCGAGTATCAGAATCACATTTAAAAGCATGTCAAATTCTAACAGTTGGAGATATGTTGAAGAAAAAAGGGATTTTGCCATTGGTTTTTTCGCCGCTATCACAAGAATCATTTCTTCGAATTGCACTTGGATTACCACATCGACCTTCGAATTCGGATTCCAAGAGGAAAAGTGTTTCGGTTGAAAGGTAATTTTTAGAAAGAAAATTTGGAAACGTAAACTATGACGTGGCATTTTGAAAATGATCATTTTAATTTTTCAAAAATTGCAAAAGGAGAGTCGATCATCGTCACGAAGAATTGAGATATCATATATTTACTTCTTCTTATTTATTATATTTGAAACGTATACAATAATATAATTATATAAATCTTTTTGCTCAATTTTCGATCGAATTCTCGAACTCTCCCGACTGACTGACAATCCAATTCTCTTTTATATACACGAAGTTTTTCGTGCGACCGACATTTTTCTGGCTGCTTTTATTTGATTTGCGAATTATATTATATACTTATGTTCTGGTCTTTCTTTTCTTGTATTTGTTTTAGACGCTTTTGTATCTCTTGCGAAAAAAACTTTGTTGGAAAAACTATGAAAATTGAGAATTTAGCAATAAAAACCTCCTCAAAAAATCTGGAAAAATCGTGATTTTCAGTAAAAAAAACTTTAAATGAATTTCAACTTGCCACGTGGTAAAAACACCCAAAAGTTCACGTTCAAAACATTTTGTCAGGGGCTACGTGTCTGAAAGTTTTGAAATCTGGCTGAAAATCTAGAAAAATTATTTTTTTTATTTGAAAAATAGGTCAATTTCTGACCCAATTTTCAGCTTTTCAAAAAATTTAAAAAATTTCAGAAATATTGAAATTTTTTGATAAATTCGGAAATCTAATTTTATAATCTTCAAATTTTTCAGAACATTTCAATCAACCTCGGATTTTTTGCGAATCTCACAAATCAATTTGGAAATTTGTGAAATGTTGGAAAATGATATTCGAAAAATCGGAATTATTGGTAATTTTTTTCCCCATTCATATAATTTTCAAAAATTTCATCAAAGTTTTCAGGTGGAAAAACATTGACTTTGAAATTGAAATTGGCAACATTTGATGTTTTGACAAGATCGATTACTGTAGAATCTAGCAGAATTATTTCGAGTTTTCAAGAAATTGTGAAATATTCATCAGAACTTCTTGAAAAAGAGAGATCGAAAGAAATTCGACTTCTTGGAGTTAGATTGTCGAATTTGGTTTTTGAGGAGGAAAATGAAGACGATGGATCGAAAAAAGTTAAAAAGGTATCAAGAAATTTTTAAAAATATTTCAGAAATTTTTAAAAATATTTCAGATAACCGAATTTTGGTCGGAAGCTGATTTAAAACGCCGAAAACTCGATGAAAATATTCAAGAGATCATATATTGTCCAGTGTGTTCAGCTGAAATCGAGAAAATTGAGGCAAAAATCAATGAGCATATCGATTTTTGTCTAAAAAATTCGGAAGAATCACCAGAATTGGTTTGTGTTCCGATCGTTTCAACGAAGAAAAAAACGAAGAAACGAAAAATTGGGAAAACTCTTGATTCATATTTTTGTAAATAAGTAAGTTTGTGAATAAAATTTTAAATTTTAAAGAACTGTGAGCCAAGTATAAAGCTGAAAAAAATTCTCCAATTTTGCTCAAAAATTAATGTTCCATTTGGAACTCTCATAGATAAAAAATATTTCTTTTACCACGTGGCACTTTAAATTCTGAATTTGAAAAAAAACACGTGCCAAAGTTTGTAATTTTGAATTACGAACATTTTTGATCCTGAAATAGTTTTTTAAGGAAAATATGGTGCCAAAAATAGTTTTAGCTTCAGCATAGAATAGATATATTTTTTTGGAAATTTAGAGCTCCAAACTCGATTCACCGGTCTCAAATTTTTATTTGGACAATTCAATTTCTCAAATAAAGTTCCCTTTGAATTCATATGTATTTTTCAACAATTGTTCGAATTTTGTCTACCTATTCTTATTCATTTTTCGATAACATCAATTATTCCCTTTTTCGAGAAATGCGCCGAAATTGTGAGGACGAAAAATAAGAAGAAGAAGAAAAAAAGATATAATCTCTTAAAAAGAAGCACATTTTTAATTGTGTCAAATCGTCCTCTTATTTTCCTTTTTGCGTTGATTGAGGTACCCGATTTTGCCGCATTTTCGGAGTGTTGAAAAATAAAAGAAGACGAACGATTAATTAAACATTTGCGACGGATCGAAATTGATCCGAATCTTTATCGAGAAAACTTCTATTTTCGGTAGATAAAAACAGAGTGCTAAATGAAATATGGAAAGATTTTGAAAGTACCTTCTAATGGGAATAAAATTTGAGAAGTTTTGAAAAATCTATTATTATTTTGAAAAACAATCCCGAGTTCTCACTAAATCCAAAGATGGCCTAGGAATTAAAATATTTGTTAACGTTCGAAAAACAATTTAGTTTATCAACCTCAGTTTCCAAAATAAAATGAATCCAAAATAAAATATTTTTGTTGCCCAGGAACTGAAAACACTCCTGATGGCCTAGAAATCCCAGAAAACTTTCTGGCAGCCTAGAAATTTCAAAACCAATCTAATTAATCCCTCGTCACCTCAGTTTATAAACAAATATGTACTCTTTTTCTGTGCCTCGGTCATTTCCGGATTGATTCGAATATATTAAAAATTGGGGGAAGGGTGTCTAAAATTGCGCAATCATGTTTCCATATTTTTTTGCCAATTCAATCCTAATCAATCATTTTTTCTTGAAACATGATTACGTAACCTCTAAATATTTAGATATTGATTCTGAAAAATAAAATAATAAATTTTAAAAGTTTTGATAAGTTGCGCAATTTGAGATGCGCGAAAAAATTGTGACAAGATCGTGTCAGATGATTTGATTTACATGAGGTCATATCATAATAATTTATAACTTTTACCTTATTTTTTTCAAATACCGTACTCAAAAATAGATTTTTTTTTCCAAATATCTACCACCCACTCCACTTGTTTTTTTAATTACCTTTGTTTCAAACTACCGTATACCTATTGATTTTAGCGCATTTCATACTAATTACGTGAGAGTAGAGAGTGTTGGAAATTGAGAGACGCAGATATGTGACAGATTATTATCTTTTTTGTTTTGAGATTCTAATCGGTTCATTTGAAGTTTTTTTTTTGCAGTTGAAGACAATTTTGTTGCATTTTTCTTACTTTATATGGTTTTGAAACAGTAAAAACTTTTTTACGGTAATATTTTTGCGATGAGACTCTGTGTCCCTTTAAAACAAGTCTGTATTTGTGTTTTGAATTCCCATTTCATTTTCTTGCCTTCAAAATCAAACCCTCGTGTTTTCTAATTTTCTAATCTCAAATTCCGAATTCTTATTCTCGGATGCGGTCATTCTTTCTTTCCGGATGTCAAAAAGTAATTTAAAATTAAAATTGAGTAAAAATAAATTGTCGGCAAGGTGTCTTCTTCTTTCCCCCTTTTTTCTTCTAATAGGATATCATGTAAGTAACTAAAAGTGCTCTTTTCACATTTAATTGCATTTTTATCTACATTATTTGACTCGAAATTTAGAAATTGCATTTTAATGAAAAAACATTTTGAAACAAGATTATCATTTTCCAAGAAAAAATCACGTGTCACGCTTGTATAGTCTTTCAAAAAAGTTTAGATACTTCGGGTTACATATTTAATCTTAGGCTTAGGCTTAAGCGTAGGCTCGGGTTTACTTGTTAGGCTTATTGTTTTCAAAGCCTATGCCTAGGTCTAGAAGTCTAAGCCATCAAAGTTTCCATCTAAGAAGTGTATTTCGAATTTTCGAGTTCCTGACTTTTAAAGTCCTTAACATAAGGTCTTTCAGGCTTATGCTGTGTTTTCTTGAAGCCTAAGCTAAAATTTTAAAATTTCAGATTGTTGAAACTCTCTGGAAACAACTATTTCACGAGATGTTCTTCAAACTTTCATAGTCACGACTGAAAGCTCTAAAAAGTTGCCCAATCTTCCATAACCATATCACCACTTCACGCTATTTACAATCAGATCCTCCACGTTTTTTTCCAAAATTCCAAGTAGTCCATCATATCAACACCCATATAATTAGCGCAAAAGGGCGGAGAGACGAAAATAATCTGATTGGATTGACGAAAAAAGGGGGCGGGTCACTCACTTCTTTTTTTTTTGAGTATCCTTTACTTTTTTTTGCTATTCTTAATCTATATCTTCCTCAATAATATCAGATGAAAATGGCTTTGAAATTCGGAATCGATCAAATCCTATCACCGCATTTTGGTATGCAAATTGGTTTATCACTTTCATCGCCATCTCCATCATTTTCAACATCTTCAAGTCCATCGAGTCTCTCACCAACAACATCTGCACAAATTGCGGATAATCGAGCGATATTTCCAGCTTGGGTGTTTTGTACGAGATATTCGGATCGACCTTCGGCTGGACCAAGACATCGAAAATCGCGGAAAAGGGAATCGACTGGGAGTTCTGGAAGTTCGGAAGAGGAAAAGAGACCGAGAACTGCATTTACTTCGGAACAATTGGAACGATTGAAACAACAATTTCATGATAACAGGTTTGTGGTTTTTGAATTACGAAGGGGTGATAACGGATTTCGAAAAATAAGAAATATTGATTTATAGAAATTGACGTGTAGAGATTCAGACAGGTGCTACTACTTGAGGATTAGGCCCTATAGGCGCGAATCCTTGACAATTGAACTTTCTAAGCGCGACTACTTGAAGCTCTCAAGATTCTGAAAATTTTAGATTTAATTTTCTAAATCTGGAAATCACGACTTAGCCGAAATATGATTTTGAAACATTTTTTTCAAGTTTTCAATTTTAAAACAAGGAATATTTGAAATTGAGGAATTCAAGAAAAAATTCAGTCGGGCTAATTTTCCAAGACTCATTTCACAGCACCGTGATCAGCGCGTTGAGTTCTACAAGACACAATATCCCCACATTATTTTACTAGAGCCCCAATCTTACAGAATCAATATGTTTTCTCAGCTCAAGTTTCCAACCCCATCTTTTTTTCCAGATATCTAACCGAAAAACGACGACAAGAATTGGCTCATGAATTGGGACTCAACGAATCGCAAATCAAAATTTGGTTCCAGGTAACTTCTATTTGACCTTGTTTACCATAAATACCATAAGACAAATTACATATTTATCACATTGCCAAAAAGGCGGTGCTGATCCTAATCCAAAAAAATACATAATGTTTCTTTCCCGACAATAAGAATAATATTTATAATTATGGGGGTGTCATGATTTTTATCGCACTCTTGTAGTTATGTATGTTAGGTTGGACATGGATATTTATGATGTGTAAGAAGAGATATGATTGTAAAAGGTCATTTTTGACTGACTGACTGACATAATCCGGGGTGAAATTTGAGGATGTTTGGGATTTTGGAAAGAGTTCTAGGAATTTAGTGCTTTTGAGTTGGAAATCTTGATTCTGAAATTACACAGCTCAGATCCTCCCTTTTTCAAAACCTTCAGGTGACCTTTTGAAGCTTTGAGATTTCAAAAATTCTGAAAAATCTGGTGCTTTTTTCTAGTCTACAAAATTTTCAATTCAAAAATGCTCTGTTTCAAAGTTCCACCAACGCTATTCAAAACCTGTCAGCAATAAATTTCGAACACATTTGATTCAAAATCTACAGTATTCTTTCTCTGTTCCTTTTTTTTGTCGGCGCGCGAATTTAAACAAACAATGTCGAATGTTTCATCGCAATTGTCAAATTCGAAAAGAAAAAGAGATTGATTATGACCATGCGATGAGAAACGAACTCTTTCAACCTTGGAACACAACATTAAATCGAATATTTCAGAGAAAAAAAAGAAGAAGAACGGTTTAAAGATTTGAATGTGTGATAAAGTCAAAATGAATTAGTTTAGACGGGTTTGATATTCAGGTTAAATGAAAAAATTGATTTTAAAATTCTAAATGTCGTGAGCTATGACGTGGCAAGTCATAAAAAATAAATTGAAATTAAAAATTATTTTTATAAAAGTTATGACGTGGCAATTTGAATCCACATTGTTCAAAAAAAATCCCAAAACTCTTCTAATATCCCCCTGTACACCCAAATTAAGCGAAGAAATAAAAAAAAGCGTGACCTATGACGTGGCAATTTAGAAATTAAAAAAAAATCTTCGAGCTTTTTTTCAAATCTTGAGGTGGATTTTTGGCCCTTAAATCCCCCGGAAGAACTTGAGTTTTTTGAGCTAGAAAATTTTGATCTACCAAATAATTCGGAATTTTTTCTAACAATAAATATAAGTTATGGAGTCTTTAGTTTTTTCAAATTCCATTTTTTTCAGAACAAACGTGCAAAACTGAAAAAATCAAATCCACTTTCAACTTCTCAATCTTCTACTTCCTCATCTTCTTCTTCTTCAACAAATCCGTCATCAATAAATTTCCAAATGTTGGCTCAATTATCCCAAATTCGTCAATAATTCCCGCGAAAATCCATTTTTCTACGAAATTTCGAACCTGTTTTTCTTCTTCTTCAAAAACTTTTTCGAATATTTCCTAGCCTCAAAACTCTAGTTCATTTTCTATTTTTTCATCTAGTTTTTTTTTCCAAATTTTTCCAGCTACCTCACCACAAATTCTATTGTTTTATAGATCTCTATCGCATAAATGTTTTGTTTTTTGTTGTGTTTTTGAAGCCAAAATTTTAAGAATACCGTATTTTTTTTTGAAAATGAGGAAAAAACACGTTTTTTAATGTCTTTTTTCATAATGGCACGCGACTAATTGAAAGAAAATAGATAAAATCAACAAAGATGGCCACCCAGGTATTCAGTTTTTTTTCGAATAAAATATAAATTTACTTTTCAAAACTGACAAAAATTGAATAAGTGAATGAAAAATGGGGCATAAAATTAAATAAAGCAGTAAAAAAATATACACATTCAAATTTTGAAAAAAAATAGATGGGAATAAAAAAAATCAATTTGTTATTGAGTTTGGAAAGTTCTGCCGCTGAAAGTCTTCTTTTCTCCTTTGACTTCTGGTTTTGCACGATTCAAAACTTTGAGGAAATCGGTGGTTTTGGCGCGCATTCGAGTGTGCAAATAGACCTGAATTTAAATTTTTTGAAATCTGAGTTTCAGCAACAATTTTATCACTGAAACATTTTTTTGTTAACAATTCTGTATTTCACTGAAAAATCAATATTTTTGACCTAAATTAGACATTTTTTGGTTAATGAGATGTTCAAGATTACAGTTTTCGATAATGTCAAAACCGATTAGCAAACTTTTATTGGAAATTAAAATTATTTGACCCTCGGGAAATGTTCATCGAATTTCTGAGAAACAGGGGGAAAAATAGTCATGACGTGGCAAATGAGCAAACTTCATGATTTGAATTTTGAAAGGCTCAAAAATAGAGCATTTTTGAAAAAATTTTAAAATTTTTCAATTTGTTGAGTTCCCGAAAAATGCCTTACCTTTGAACATTTGATGTGATAATGCAAATAATCGCGGAATGAATGAATCAAATCGATTGTATTATCTCTGGTCTTTTTATTTGTGTGACGAGGGAACAAAACTGCAAATAAATATCATGATTATTTTTTGTAAATAAAATTCCTCTCAAAATCCTCACCAAAAGTAATATATCCAACATTTTCGCCAACTCTTGCACCTGGCAAATCCTTCAATTCCAATGGCGGCTCTCCAAGCGAATATAAAACAGCTGGAGCTGTTTGACTAGCCTTTCGACCTTCGCGGAATTCCTGGAACAAAATTTAGTTTTGGCTGGAAAAATTGAGATGTTTCATCGTAAATTAGGAATTTTTGATCAGAAAAATGCTCAGATTTTGGAAAAATGTTCAATTGAAACATATTTTGTGAGCTTGAAGAGGAAAGATGAGAAAAACGCATGAGGATTTTCAAAATTTCGATTTTCAGGCTCTAAATTTTGAGCTCTAATATTTCAAAAATATTTCAAAATTCTTCAGGGAGTTTCTTGGACCTTTTCTCCGATTCTTAATTTAAATATTACCTGCAAGAATACTTTTCCAATAATAACATCATCAGCATCTTTAAAAACTGTGCTGAAAATAACAGTAACTCGATCAGCTTTCGCTTCAATATACATCGTTTCATCTTCTCGATAATTTATAACAGCTCTTTTATGTCCTTCTTGTCCAGCTTCTTGAAATTCGAAATATTTCTCGAAAACTGACGCAAAACAGTTTCTTTTCAATGCCGAAGCTTTGGTGACTGCAAAATTATATCAATTTTCCGAATAATAGGAAAACAACATACCCAAGTCAGATGTATCAGCTGGCAAATTATTCAAATCATATTCCAATGTCACATTGAAACCATTTTCGGGATTTTGTCTGAAATTCGCGCCATAAACACGTCGAAGCAAATCATCGGCTCCGTGTTGTTGAAGTTCAGCGTAAAATTTGAGCGAAATACTCAGCTGAAAATATCAATGTTTCAGCGAAGAGAAAACGCAGGATTCACATAGATTTTCCGGTAGAAATCTTTCAAAACAAAAAACTCACAATAATCTTATTACGATCTCCATCGGGATTCGACAATTTATACAAAACTCCATCAAAATCTGCAAACGTCACATTCACATTATCGTGTTTTCCGCCCTCTTTTGCATTCGCGAATTTTTGCTCGAGAAGCTCGACGATAATTCGATTGTTTTGCTCAAGAATGATCATCTGAAAGCGAATTGACTATGTTTAATGAAAAAATCGAATTTGCGAGAAAAATGTGAATAAGCAGCTATTCAGTTATAAACCAGCGATTAAAAAGTAACATCACTTTTTCATAACAAAAAGATGGGAAATGGATGGAAAACGAAGAAAATACAAACAGTGACTAAGCTGGCCAATTATTTATTTGTGTGCAATGGAGCGCACTTTCTTCAACCAAATGTGTCTTGAGCGTTCAATTGAGAGTTTTTGATTGAAAAGCTTTTTTTCCAGTAAACTTTGACCCGCTTACCACAATCCCGTTGTTTTAAACCGTTAAGCTCCACTCTGGATTTGAGTTATGAAGTAAGCCAATGTGATGAATAATTTTTTCATTAGATGTTCGAAAATCCCCCCAAAGAGTATTTATTTCACAACTTCCATATCTTCTAAAAAATTTCCCGATTCCTGATTTCTTTCACCATTCGTTGCTTCCACTTTTTTTCTCGCCAAAAGTTTTCGATATTTCCACGCATTAATCAGATAAGACACGTGAAAATCCAATTATTCTTGAAAAAACAACCTGATAAAATTTTTTGATTTTCCGAAAAAAAAAGAGGCCAGAAGTTTTTAGTTAAAATTTTTTCAAGCTGAAGTATAATTTTTGATAAACTATCTAAAAAAATTTTCTTACTTTAAAATTCACTTTTTCTTTTTTAAGTATACTTTTTTTTTAAAGTGTAAGTAGACAATATTTGTATCACATTGATTTATTTTCACAGCAAAAAAAACAAGATAAAAAGGTAACAATTATTAAGAAATTCACAAAAAATATACACCGAGTTATTAAAAATAAATACGATTATTATTGATTATGACAATTTTAATACAAATACATTGAGAACAAAAATGAGAAATTAATTATTTTCGAAGCATTCTCAAACATTTAGCCATAAGTGGAGCAACTTTTTTCTTTCCATTTTTTGGTTTCGAAATTTGAGAAAAAGCAGTTGTAGAAGGTGGAGATGGACGAACTTGAGATGGTTTTGGGCGAGTTTCGGATTGAGGTTTTGAAGATTGAAAAGGAACTGGTTGATTTTTGATAATTTTTTGAGACTTCAATGATTCTTTTGGTTGGTGAGCAGTGATTTTTGATGTGGCTGGACGATTTGGAACATTTGGATTGAAAACATCAATCAACATCTGGAAAATGGTAAATTTTTGTTGAAAAAAATTCAAAAATACAAAAAACTTACAGTTTTCCGTTGGGTATTATTTTTTTGTTGGGCTTTTGCGATTCTTTCTGTAATAATTTCCAATTTTGAATTTTCTTTTTCCTCGCGTCGTTTTAAAAGTCTGAAAAATTGAAATATTAATTTTTTTCAAGATCATTTTTGTTGAATCTCAACCTACTTCTCAAATAATTGTTTCCATGTCGAATTTTCTTTTTTCTCTCGATTTTTATATTCCGGAAATTCTGTTTTGACCATTTCTTCAAATATTTCATCAGCATCTTCAGCCAAATATTGATTTTTATCCAATGCCAATTTCAAATCTTCCAAATTACATTTGAGCAAAGTTGGTTTGATAATTTGATATGGAATTGCACCATGATATCTTAGATTTGAAGAAATAATACCATCACAAATATTGAATCGAATTTGATATTCTTCACTCTTTTTTCGACCAGCATATACTTTTTGTCGATCTTTTCGTGGTTTGAACATTTCTTCCGAATCATCTGAAGTTTTGACAACTTTTGATTTTGTTGAAGAAATTGAGGAAGAAGACGAATAAGCTGAGCAGGTCGAAGAAGAAGATGGAGAAATTGTTCGTTTTCGATTTGTCTCTTCTTTTGCAGGTTGCTCGACAACTTTTTTCGAGATCTGCAAGAAAAATTATGTAACTATTAGTTGATTTGCTAGTCAAAAAGGCAAACATTTTTCGATTCTGGAACAAAATTATTCGAAAAAATACGTTTCAAATATTTTTGATAAAAATTCCAATATTTCAAAAATTTAATGATGGAACGTTAATAAAATGAAAAATGTTGTTAAAAGGTGCGCCCAGAATGAATAAAACATACCTTATACTTGGAATAATCCACTTTCATCGATGTTGTTGAATTTTTCGAATTTCCACTCATCGCATTTGAAAACAATTGATTTGTGGACACAAATTCTTCAGTGATTTTGATTTTCTTCGCATTTGGTTCGCCGTTGCACATTTTAACTTGCAAATTTATTGAGAACTCTGAAAAAATATTGAAGTTGAATAAAATAAATATTTAGTAAGAAAATCAGAAGACATAAAAATTCAAAGAAAATAAATAAAATCAAATGTGAAAATAAAAAAGGTTGCAACATATCATGAGTAAATAGAAAAAGAAATAATGATAAGTTTATGCTTTACTCTTGTTAGTCTTTTAGACTCCGCCCCTTTTTTTGGCCACGCCCTTTTTTGACAATAAAAGAATGCCACCTGTTGTGATAAAAAAGGATGTGGATAAGTGTGAAAATGGGAAATTTGTCGGGTCACAGCTTTGATTTATTGTAACACCTGTGTGTTACTTTTTTGAATTTGGGAAAGTTGGATTATAGGAACTTTTTTTTTGAAAACTAATCTTGTTCTGGGAAATTTGAAATAAAAAATGAATTTTAGAAAATGGCAAGGTTTTCGAAATAAAAAACCCAGTCTAACGTGGCATAGATTTGAATTTAACAAAAATCATCACTTCGGAAGAATCTGATTTATAGCGATACAGTGTTTTTCATTCGTGTTTCGTGATTTGCATGAGAATTACTGTGAAAATTTCAAAACTAAAACAAAGAAAGTGGATAATTTTTATGTATTCTTTTCATTGTATCGATATATTGGAATCTTTATCAAAAATATTTCCGATACTACGGTAATTCAACAGATTAACGTTATTTGAGTTACTGAATCAAAAATTGGTCTGAGATTACTGTAAGTTTTTTATTTTTGAATTTTTTTCAACAAAAATTTACCATTTTCCAGATGTTGATTGATGTTTTCAATCCAAATATTCCAAATCGTCCAGCTCCATAAAAAATCACTGCTCACCAACCAAAAGAATCATTGAAGTCTCAAAAAATTATCAAAAATCAACCAGTTCCTTTTCATTCTTCAAAACCTCAATCCGAAACTCGCCCAAAACCATCTCAAGTTCGTCCATCTCCACCTTCTACAACTGCTTTTTCTCAAATTTCGAAACCAAAAAATGGAAAGAAAAAAGTTGCTCCACTTATGGCTAAATGTTTGAGAATGCTTCGAAAATAATTAATTGTTTAATTCTTGTATATATTTTTTCTCCATGTATTTGTATTAAAATTGTCATAATTAAGTATTTTAATTATTTGTAATAACTCGGTGTATACTTATTATTGTCAATATTTTAATATTTGTAATCTTTGTATCTTGTTTTTTCTGATTAAAAATTCCAGGAAATACTGTAATTTTGTTGCCCAAAAAGTGTTTAATAGAATTTTCTCGTTTCGGAATTTTTCGCAGTTTTTGTTTGAATTTGAAATCCATTTTTTTTAGAATTTGTCACTGCATCTCTTGAAGTTTCGTCTAATTTTTTTTTCAATGTTCACTTGATTAACTACGAATTTTTTTCTCTGAAAAACTCAAGCATTTGTAAAAATAAATTTTATTTTTTACTATATCCAATTATCAAAATTTTGCTCAATATGCAGCTTGGATGATTTGTAATTGGCATGGTAAAAACATGAAATCCTTCAATTTACTACTCAACATTTTAAAACCTACAAATATTTTTTTGTATTTCAAAGCCTTTTTTGTCTATGAATCAGCTCATAAATTTTGAGTGACTTATATTTTTAATTTCAAACCTATCATGGTGAAATTCCATATCGAATTATCAAAATTAGCACGAAAAAAAAAACAAAAAATCCTCAAGTATATAAAAATTTCGAAGCACATTTTCAATAAAGAAGACAAACGTCTTGGGGCTAACAATTGTTTCAAATAATATAATAAACCACCGGGAAAATCAAATTTATATAAATATTCAAGAAAAGTGAAAAAATAAATAAATAAAAGGCAATAATTTCGATGTTATGTTACATGCTATATGTTTTTGAAATATTTTTAAAAACAAATCAAATCAAGTCCAACAAACGAGTCATGATTTTCCATTTTGTAGACTCCTTCAAATTCTCAAATCTCATATCCGCGTGCAGATTTTTGATTTCTTTTGGAGATTTGAACTGATCAATACAATGTTCCATGAGTTTCTCATAACCATACTCCTCTGCATACTCGATTTTTTCCATTATTTCCACCTTATTAGCAGAAATCAAATACTTTTCGCATGTATCATGAAGTGATTCGACACCGTATGTTTGAGCAATTTCGATAAATGTATCATATGAGTCATCTTAAAAATATATATTTTGTACAGGAACTAGTTAACTAAAAACAAACTGAAAATTGGATCAATCGCAGGATATGGAACAAGGATACACATCAATTCATCAGATTGAATATCAAGCAAAGTCTTGGAAGTCTCAGTGTACTTATCATTGACGAATAAATTGTAGAAATACTTCGATTTTGAGCTGAGAACCTGAAAATATTTGCATGATCGAAACTAATACTACAACTAAAAACTCACTCCTTTGTTCAAATAGAATTTTGTTTTATAGATGTTGATAACGAAATCCGTGAAGTTTTCAATTTTTTTCGAGAAATCATAGAACTTAAAACTCAAATCAATTTCAACAATCACAGAATCTTCTTTGATGAAACCACTGGAACTGTCCAAAACCTTTGAAAACTCCAAAATATCTATTCCATAACTGATACGGTAGTCTACATAACGAGTTTCAAAATCTTCCGATTTCTGTTTTCCCTCTCCATTTTGCTTCAACAATCTGAATTTTCCTCTTGCATCACAAATCCAATCACACTTTTTTTTCATATCTTCTGAATCATATCCCAAATTAATTGTCAGATACTTTACATTGTTGGTTGAATTCGTTGAGGTATTGATATCGATGACCCTGGAAACTATCAGTAAATATATATACAAGGATTTTATTTGAGAGTATGAGAACTAACCAATCAAATGGTCCAATCGTGAATATTTCACTAGAAATTGTTTTTTCGCCCAAATTTTCGATATTTCCAAACTTCCATTTCAATTTGTTACCATTACAAACAATCGGATGCATCCACATTTTTAACAAAGATGGCAAAATCCTTGGGGCTAACAACCCCTAATTTTTTCAAATAATATCACCGGAAAAATCAAATTTATGATTATAGAACCATTCGAAGAAAAGCGAATAAATAATAAATAAAAGGCAATAAGCTCGATATTATATTACATGCTAAATGTTTTAAAAATATTTACAAGAAATTCATCAAAAAACCCGTCTTCGGCTAGAATTTTCGAACCATTGTGCAATTCAAATCATCATTTTTCTCATCTTTTTCTTCATTTTCAAAATCTTCTTCTTTTCGATTTTCATCTCCAATTTCTTGTCGAATTTGATTCATTGCTTTGCACAAAACATTCAAAGCTGATGGATTTGATAAACACGCAGATTTGAACATTTCCCGATATACTTTATTTTTCTCAACAGCTAATATTATATTTTGTTGTTGTTCGCGCCGTTTCAGCTCCAAATCGTCCATTACTTTTTGAACACGTAAACCATCTTGTCTGAAAAAACATGAGATATTGGGATTTTTACATATTTTGAGAATCCACGTGGAATATTTACGAATTCTAAATATTTTTTTTTAATTTCTGAAAAATATAAAATTTGAATTGAATAAATTCATTTTTTGTAAGAATTTCTGAAATTTTTATTTTTTAAAAAGAATTTTTTTCCGAAAAGTAACCTACAGTAATCTCTGTTCAATTTTCCGATTTGGCAACTCAAATAGCACTTGATCTGGTTCAATTATCGTAGTATCGGCGTCGTTTTCGATGGTTTTTCGAATTTCCGAATGAGTTTCGACAATGTCTCGAATTGCACCCAAATATTCATCAGTCGATTCACGAAGTTGACGATTTTCATCCTACAAAATTATTGATTTGAATTTAATTAAGCCTAAATTCTCATAACTCTGTTTCTTTTTGTTTATACATTTCTAATCTCACTTTCTCAGGTTCTCAAAAGTCCTTAAAAATCCAACCAACCTGTAATGCCATAATTTGTCGATTTTCTCGTTGCAAATCGTTCAAAATCAACTTCCGGCGATTTCCATTCACAGTAAGATCTGCAAAAAAATTCATGTTACTTTCCTTGGGATAAATTGAATTTCCATTCAAACCTCTAACTTCATCCAACATTTTCTCATATTTTTTCATACTTCCTATTTTTTCCGATGTTTTTGTGACTCGGCTAAGCATATCATCAAGGCGCGAATCTCCTGGAATTTGGAAATTTTAAAAAGATTATTTCGAAGCTTTTTTCTGTGGAAAAATGGGGATTTTTCTATAAAAAGTTTGTCTTAAAATTACAATTCTCTAATAATTTTCAAAATTCAAATTTCCCATAAAATTTGCTCACCAGCTCTCATTCTCATAATCATTTCTTCCACAGAATTCAAAACACCATCCAATTTATCTACCGAATCCACCATTCTATCAAAAAATTTTCGAATTTCTCTGAAATTAACAAAAAATCTCAGATATTTCACGGTAAAAAACCAATAACAAATTTCAAGAAAAAAAAACAAAATTTAAAAACTTTATTAATCTGAAAATAAAAAAAAACAACAATTAACACAAATAATCCAACTCGTAGAATTTGATAAATAAAATTGAATTTTGATCACCTCGAACCTCTGAAAACAAGTAAGTTAGGTTAAAAAATAGCCTTGAAAAATGTTCAAGAGCCAAGTTTAGGTCTAAAACAGGAGCTCAAGCTTAAACCTAAAATAAGACTTACCGTTTCTCTCGATTTTTGGTCGGGGCATCGGCGATTTTCGAAATTCGCATATGTTCCTTATCCTTTTCTTTTTCCTTGTCTTTTTCTTTTCGATCCTTCTCTTTCCGGCTAAAAAATTCCAGATTTTCAAGATATTTTGGGGAAAACAAAAACTTACTCTTCAGATTTTCTTGAACTTCTATCTTTTGATCGAGACCGAGTTTCGCGTGGCTGCAAAAAATTATTTTTCAAAATTTCTAGGATTTTTAATTTTTGAGATAGAAAAACATAATTCCTCCAGAACTTACCATCGTTTCTCTATCCTCTCTCGTTTTTCTATGCTCTTTCTTTTCTTTCTCCTTATTTTCTTTTTCCTTTTGTGGTGCAGTTATTGACGGTTTTTCGGGTCCCGCAATTTTTCGCTTGTGAATTGTTTCTTCTTTTTCTTTTTTCGACGGCGTTTCAGCTTTTGTTTCGCGTTTTAATCGATCAGCTATTCTTGGCTGAAAACATTTGGAGGTTTTTTGGGAAAAACTCTTGAGAAATTTCCCTAATCTACCTTTTTAACAGGCGGTGGTGATGGAGATCGAACTTCTCCTTCTTCAGTTGTAGTCGTTGAGATCACATCTTTATCTGCTTTTTCCGATTTTTCTGCACTCTTTCGAGCAACATACAGCTCACTTTTCTGAAAAAACAGACATTGAAAGCCTGAACAAATCTAAAAGACTTACCGCAACTCGTTTTTTCTTCTCTTTTTCCTTTTCTTTCGGTTCTTCTTTGGCTTCTGATTTTTCAGTCGATGAAGTAGACTTTTCTTTGCCATTTGTCTGAAAAAATTGGGTTTAGATTTTCAGAGCAAAATTTCAGGGTTACCTGTCTACAATTAGGGCTATGATTAGTTTCTGGTTTTAGGCTCCATAAAACATTTCCAGGTATTTTTTAAAAATACTTTTAATTTTTCAAGATTTCTAGATTTTTCGATTTTTTCCTTCATTTCTCAAAACTCACCTCTTTTTTCTCAACAATTTCTCCATTTTCTTTCACTTTCTCTTTTTCCTTTTCTTTTTCAACATTTTCCAATTTGCTTTTTTTCTGGCTCGGTTCTCCATTTATTTTTGCAGCAGCCGGTTGTTTTTTAGCATTACTTTTTGCAAAATCACCACTTTCTCCATACAATTTCACTTTTCTCATTTTCAATTGTCCAATATACGAAGCAGCTTTCAATGATAAATCATCTCGTTTTCCTTTTTCACGATCTCTCAATTGAATCGCAACTTTTTCCATTTGATTAACATGAGTAACCATTAGCGGATAACACGGTGTTAATTTAGTCATCAGAATCAAACAATTTCGAATTGTCACATATTCGGTGTCATCTTTTGATAATACAGTTTGAAATGTTTTTGTCATTCTTTGTTGCCATTGATGACAAATACGTCGGAACATTTCGAAATCCATTGGAAATTTTGTTATCATTCCAGGAAAACCAAAACATTCTTTTTGGAAGATTTCTTTGTCTCCATGCCATTTTTGAACTTGACTTAGAAGAATTTCGAGAAAACGAGAAAATGAATTTGCCTCATTTTCAGATAATCCAGTTAAATATGGAATCACATTATCGAAGATCTGAAAAATTTGTCGATTTTTAAAAGAAATATACAATTTGAGATCAAAAATTTAGATTACACTACAAATCTACGTGTCAAATTTTAAGCTTGAATAAAATCTCGTTTTTGGAAAGTTAGACTATTTGAATCATATTTTTCAAAATTTTGGCGAAAAATTCAGGGTTTGCCTTGTTCCTATGATTCTGAAATTTTCAGAGTTCTGATAATTACGTCAAAAAACCACGTGGCAAATACTCATATTAATTCGGTTTGAAATTCCAAAATTCAGCCTCAACTTTCAAATTCCCTCCCAAAAATGCTCATGCTCACTCTATCCATCATGATCAATGGTTGAAAGAACGGTGTCCTCAATCGATACAACAAAAAGAAGAATGTTCCACAAAACATTGCATCAATGTCCGAAAACAAAACACGTGGCAAAATGCAGAGTTGGAGGAAATGTTCAGCGACTCCTTTAGATTTTTCCTCAAAAAGTCCATCTTTGATACTTGTCAACCATGATTTCACTCTTTCCACATGTTCCATTTGTTTTTTCTGTTCCTCTTTTAATTTTCCTTCAAGTTGTCGAAGACGTTCTTCACCACGTTTCAATCTCTGAAAACAATACTTAATAAATTAGTTATGACGTGGCAAACAGAACTAACATGATCATCTTCTTTCGCTTGTTTTTTGATTTGTTCAATTGTTCTTTCATATGCCAAAACAGGAACCTCAATATCGAAATTAGTCAAAGTCCAGAAAACAGTGAATAGTCGATGTGGAAGCTTTTTTTCGAGATCAGGAATTGAAGACAAAAAATATTGGGAAAGTTCGGCGATTTTGGTGTCGAAGACTGTGTTGAAAATTGCGGTCTGGAAATTGAAATATTTTTTAGGGATGGAGAATTGAGAATTTTTGATATGGAAATCCACGTTTAGTTTTTGAAATTCAAGTAAAATTCAAGTTTTCAAGACTAGTTTTAGCCAAATTTTCCTCAAATTCTCTAACCCCAAACTCACTTTTTGTGCAGATTCCAATTTGAATTTATATCCATTTTCATCTTCAATACTTCCAGCTCTTTTCTCTTTTTTCGCCAAATCATAATTCTCCATAATTTTATGAATAATTCCAGGCCTCGCCAAACACATCGATGTTTCAACATTCAACCCAAAATCCGTCAAAAATTGTCGAACATCGGGAAAACGTTTCGAATATTCTTCGTGTTTCAAATAAGATGTCAAAAATGCGACAAGTTGTTGTAAAGTATCCTCACATTGATCAACCATTTCTCCAATTAATTTCAATGGCAAATTATCCGATTCTTTATTTACAATATATTCTTTTTGTTGAGCAATCAAAATGCATAAACCAACTGCCAAATCGCCTTTTAATAGAGTATCTCGAAGTCGTTGAGCAGCTCTTTTATTTTTCGCTGTCGAATATCCGCCACCCTGGAGAGAAAAATTATCCAAAAATCACAAAAGATTTTCTTTTAAATTTAGATCTCTTCTGAATTTTTCCAGGAAACACATCACAAATGAGTTACCCAAAACCCCATAAAAATATCCTCACTTCCTGTCTCAATATTTCTCCTCCTCCCAATGCTTCCAATTGTTCTTTTGTGGCTGATTGACTCGATTCAATCCATGACATATTTTGGATGATTTCACGAAGCAAAAGTAGATCAAAACTTTTGCAAGATTTCAATTGATTTAGAACATAATCCAACATTCCGTGCAATTCCAATGGATAACGACGATAAAGTTGACCGACCTAAGAAAATAAGGGAAATTGAATTTGGATGGGGAAAAACTAGAAATGAAAATTACCAATGTTCCAAGTGCTTGAAGCCACGGAGAAATAGTTGCATCTGATGCTTTTAGAGCTTGTTTTGATGGATCCGAAAGTTGATTGATTATACAATCTAAAAATACGCAATTATTGGAAAAAAAATTCAAAAATTACTGAAAATCCCGGAAAATCTAGGTTTCAAAATTTGTAAATTTATCGGAAAATTGGATCTCAAATTGATCTTTTAAAAACAAAGCTTACAAGGAATTTCGCTTGAAATTCACTTAAATTGGAGAAAATGATAAAATGTGGAACTTCTGTCCAATTTTCATTTAAAAACTATAATTTGGTTCATTCACAGGCAAATTTTCAATATTTAATTGAACCAGTTTAAAAAGTTCAGAAATCTGAAAATTTCAACAAAAACTCACAAGTCAATACATCAAACTCCAAACCGCTCAAAAATCTCAATCCCTCCACAACTGGTCCAATCAAATTATCAAAAGTCTGAACAGAAGCCAACAAATATGAGAGTACTGTAATCGGATGAATATGACAAAGTTTTCCCAAATGTCGACCCATCAATTTGACAGTATCTTTCGAGAGTCGTTTCAACACATATTTTGTTCGCCCATAGATTTTGCCACGCATTATATTCATTTCCGGATGGCGAGCAGTTTCCTGGTTCCATCTGAATAGAAATAGATATGTAAATATTACTGAACAAAAATCATACTCACTTTGAATACATCCAATATCTCCAAGTGTATGGGAAAAGTTGAACAAGTTGCCAAAGTTCTTCGGAAAGTGCCACATTTGTTTCGGAAAGTGTTAGAGATGGTAAAAGGCATTCGGATGTGATATCAATGAAAAGACGGTAAACTGGAAAATGGGAAAATATTTGAAGTTTTATTTAGGCCAGCGGGGCTTCTTAGGCTCTCGCTTATCCTTGATATTTGAACTCTTTGGGCTCGGATACTTGAAAAATGTTATTACAGAGATCTTTCGTCATTTTTATCATTTTTTAAAAAAAGATTCTGAAAACCTTCTTTGAATATTTCTTCTGATTTTTTTTCACCAAAAACAAAAACTAACTTTTCTCGTTTTTCTCCACCGATTTTTTCTCAACCATTTGAAAATAGACCACCAACAATCTAATCAATTTCACATTTGTACTTGCTCGATAAGCGATTCTCGGTCCCAAATACCATAAAACCTGCGAGAGTTTCGCCAAATCCTCCCAATTTTCCACCTTCTTCAACCCATTTTCCTCATCCAAATGTGCATTTCTCGGCTTTTTCAACAAATTTCCAAACAATTGTTTGGAACACTGTTTTGTGTAGAAATCTTCGATGGATCGCTCGATTATTCGACAAAGTGCACGGCATATTCGAGGACTCGCTTGAACTGCATAATATTCGGGTAATCGATCGATTAAAAGTTGAGCTTGTTTCCAATTTCCAGATTCCAAAAGAGCACAAGCGAGACCGAGTTTTTGATTTGTTGCCAAAACATGCTCCTGAAAAGATTTTCAAAATTAATTTTCAGCTAATTTTCCCCTTTTGATTACCCTCAAAATTAGTGGGAGTTGCGACAAGTCAGCAAGTTTGAAATGAGGTTTTTTTTAAATAAATGATTTTGACTAAACTAGGTCACGTTCACGTATTTTTAAAAATAAATATTTTTAAATAAAAATTAAAATTTAAAAAAACAATTAGAAAGTGCCCTAATTTTGCTCATTTTTGGGAAGGCTCATTTCATTTTCGATAATTAGAAATGATAAAAAACCATTCAAAAAGTCCTTACCTCCATAAACTTTTCAGAAAGTTTAGCATCTTCATCTTCTTGAACTTGTACAACAGTTGTAAATGAGATCGTAGTTGTATTCTGTGTATTCCCGCTATTTTCACTATTTTCAAATCCTCCATTATTCGAAATTGGCATCGAAGCTGTTGAAATAGTTTCAGCTTTTCCAGATCTTTCTTGTGCATTTGCTGCTCTTCCACGATGTCCCTCTTTTATTTCTTCGGTTTTCGGAACCATATACCCCAAAATCTTCATAAGATCAATCATTTCACTTTGAATTAGCGAAGATGTTAAAGTATACAATGAAAATGGAGTTTTCTTATTGGAATTTCCTTGATAAAATGTGTATTTGAAGCCTAGAATTGCGCAAAGATATTCCTTGACAACTTTGATTTCTTTGAGAAGATCGATGAAAAAATGATTTTGTTTGGAATTTGAATTTTCGAAACATTCGAGAATTATATCTGTTACACGATTTGGATCCAAATTGAATTGACCGATTAATGCGAGAACTCGATTCTTCACAATTTTTGAGTGTTCTTTATTCGATGAATTTTCAGCTTCGAGCAATTCGGTGATCAATTTTGAATATCCTTCACTTTCCTCGCGAAGTAAATTGAATTTCGCTTGTTTGAAATAAAATCTCGTTTTGAATCTAATCAATTGCTTTGTGAAGTCTTGTTTTGTCGCATCATAACATTCTAATTCTGCTCTCAGAACTTCTTCCGGGATAATTGTATCAATCAAACAATTTGCGAAATTCAAAAATGCCTGTTTCGATTTTGCCACGTCCGCACAAAGTTCTACTTCACCCTCAACTTGTACCAAAATATCTAACAATATTGAATTCGTCTCATCATTTTCACTCTATAATTTAGTTTGTTTGAAAACGGAGAAATCGATAAAAATAAACATACCACAAGTTTCAGCAATTTTTCAAATGCAGAATCCGGCGTATCTTTGAGATTTATAACATTCAAACATATCCTCGTCAATGAATCTTCTACACTATCAGCCATTCCTTCAATAACAGCTTTTATTTGAAAAATTCGAAGCGAAAAAAATGAAAAAGAAAAAGCGTGGGAGGACTAGAAAACCATGCTGGCCGAGTTTGCAAGACACCTCGGCCACAGTGTAAAAAGTGCAAATATTGGCTCAATTTTTCGAGTTTACGGGCTCTAGACTATCATAATATTGTAACCTAGGCATAAATTATAGTTAAAATGTCAGATCTCATATTTTGTACACTTCACGAACGTCAAGATTTGCTCAAAAACAGTGTCAAATTTTTAAATGAGGTTTGCATTTTTTTTTACAATGGAGCGCATTTGAAAAAATATTTTTGAAGGAATGGCCGCGAAGCGATGGATCTCGTGAACATTCCCAAAATAAATCATGTCGATCTTCCCCACCAATGTCATTTTTATTGATTAATTCTGAAAATGAAATTGTTGGTCATGCCAGAGTTTGTCATTTGCCAAATCGGTGGGTTTTGGGGGATTTTGGGCTATATTTTTCTATTATATTATATTTTTCTAATTTAGTTTCGAAGAATTGCAAATTTTCTATTTATTTCCCCAGACAACTTAATTTTTTGCAGCCCAAAATCTCTATGGATCGAATCAGTTATGATAAAAAACACAATGAGAGGTCAAAAACTTGGCAAAAAATTGATGAATTTGGTCGAAAATTGGATGCTAGAAAATAATTTCGATGAAGCTTTTCTATCGACAGATGATCAAGTCGAATTCTATAAAAGATGTGGATATTTGGAATGTGATCCGATTATTCATTCGACAACTTCTACTTCCGTTTTTCCAGCAATGACTAAGTTTCAGGTAAAAATATATTTGAAAGAAACAAACATTTTTTTGAAAAATAAGTTTATTTTTCTCTGAAAAATTATTTATCGCGGAATATTTCGAATTTTATGCCATCTTTTATTAAAAAAAACTTTATTAAAACAATATATCAAAACATCAAGAAATCCCCTTTGATTATTGAATTATTGATGGATAGCAAGTTTTATGAGCTCTCCAGTATATACAACTATCTCCTTTATCACAATCCGCATCCGTTTTGCATTCTCTTTTCTGTCCACAATAAGCGATTTGCAACAAAACGTAGAAAAATGTCAAAAATACAAGGAATCTCATTTTGATTTGAAATTTTCATCGAAAAATTGGGGTTTTAAATTAGATTTTTTCTTTTCTAAAAAATTTGAATTTGGGCTAATATGACGCTATTTTAAGAAATATCAAGAAAACCATATTTTTTGAAAATATTTGAGATTTAAAAATAACTTTATTGAAACAGAACATTTATTTCAAAACATCAAGAATGAATTTTTCAATTTTGTCGAATTTTCGGTGGATAGCACAAATAATGAGCTCTCCAATAAATACAACTAAATCCTGGATCACAATCCGCATTAGTTTTGCATGGTTTTTTCTCCCAACAAATTGCAGTTTGTAGGAAAACCAAGAAAAATGTCAAAAATACAAGGAATTTCATTTTGATTTGAATTTTTCATTGAAAAATTGGTGTTTTAAATGAATTTTTGTTTTTTTTTTGATGATTCAAATGAATTCAAAAAATATGTTTGGGGAACTTTCGAAAAATTTATGACTAAAAATCTATTTTTGGCTGAAAAATGGAACATCAAAAAATTAGGACTACTGTAAGCACTGAACTTGACAAAAAATGCAGAATTTTTTCTGGGATTACTGTATAAACACTTAATTTCACGCACAAAGCTCAAAAAATAAGGTTATGATGGGTTACTGTGGTTAAAAACATCGAACTTCACGCAAAATTTTCTGGATTACTGTAGACACCACACTTTACGCGCAAAATCATTTTTTTTTCCAGAACTCTGCCACAATTGCTTCAATACCCAAACCATCTTTTTCATCTCAACAATCTACAGTATGCTCATCTACAGTACCCCCACCACCTCCTCCTCCTCCAATTTCACCCGCCAAATCCTCAATTTCCACCACTTTACATCAATATATGCACAAAAAACTCTAGGTTGTATATTTATTCAGGCGCCAAAAAAAAACTCTTTACAAATAATGAAAAAAAAAGTGGTTTGGGTGTAAATTTGGAATCCAAAAATAATATAATTCATGGAATAGAAAATAATAATAATCTGTGGGATTTGGGGATATGAGAAAAACCTGGAGAAAAAAAACAGAAAAGAAATGGTCTAACCTATGAAGAAATAATAAATGACCTACAGTAGTTTGGGAGAAGGGGAAAAACAAATATTTTTGGCACCCAAGAGCGGGGAAAAACTTAGGCTTAAGCTTTAAAGGGACAGAATAGAAAGGAGGCTTCTCATTTTGAAACAATAAACTATTTTTGAGTAAACCACGAATAAAATTAAAAACAATCGAGAAATTCTTTCATGGGATAAGCGACTACTTAAATTCTATGAGAAAATGCACTTTTCAGTTGTTTTTGGGACGGGAAAAAAAGATAGGGGAAAAACTCAACAAAAAATCTCTAACAGAAAAAAAGAGAGAATATACTTCGTAATAAGAAGGTGTGTGGTATATGGTGTGAAAAAAAAGGGTGAAAATAAAATAAAAAAGATTTTTGGGTCCTAGCAGGAAAATGTGCCACCAATAATAATAAGAAAGCGCTACCCAGAGTAAAGAAAATACGAGGCACAAAAGTGGATAGACAAGAAGGGGAAAAGGGAAAACAAGAAACTACTTTTTGAAGAAAAAACAGGTAAAAAGAAATGAAAAAAACGAGATTATAGATTAGAGAATTTTGATTGGATTTGGGGATAAAGAAAGAAGAACGAAAACATCTAGCAGACTACTGTAGTTTGCGAAGTTTGTGAAGTGAGAGATGGTCGTTTGGCACCAATTTGAGTTGCGGCAATTGATGCATTTGATGGTCGGACCATTTTTGATGGATCTGCTGTTCTTGCCAATCCCTTTTCCATCAATAATTGATCGAAACGGATTTCCTAAAAAAAAAGATGGTGATTTTTAGAATAAAAATATAATAATTGATTTTCTAGATCATCTGGTTCAAATTTATAATTTTTAGAGCATCAGAAATCAAGTTTAACTTCAACATTTTCATCAAAATTAATTAATCGAGAAAAGTCAATTTACCAACCACAAAATATTTATAAAAATCTGGTTGTTCACGGAATTTTCAACATTCCTTCAAAATAACTGTTCTTGGGATCGCCCAGAGAATTTTTCTATCAAAATTATTCCCTCAAAACTCTTCACATACCGTAACATCTCCATTAGCATCTTTAGTCGGAATATACAATTCAACCATCGGAATTCGTGTATCAATCGCATATCCGACCAATTTTGCCGAAATAACTCTTCCAGTTGCCAAAGCATTGAATTCTTTCATTGCTGGTTCACTCCAATTTGTTGTTCCATCAACTGGTCGAACATGGGCCAACATTACTTCTGTTGATTGGAATGGTAATGACATCAAATCAGTTCTGCAAAATTGGAATTCAGGAGAATATTATAATGACTTTCAAATCAAAAAACTAACCGAATCTGTCTCAAATCTTGTCTAGCCATTTTCGAATATCCTCCATAATCAACAAATTTCACAAATACTTCATCGGTATCTTCATAATATTGTACAGTTACGGCACGGAACCACGCATTTACAACCGGTGCAGCACACAACAATCCATCTGCAAACAAATGATTTTTGAATTTCGAAAATTCATTTCCGTGATAAAAATTAATTTTTTACACATTTTTCTTTTCTAATCAGTTTCTTTCATCTCGATGAGAAAAAAACTCGTTCTCTTGATTTTACGTCATTTTTCTCTATCAATTGAGCTAAAAGTACAAAAGACCTTTAACAGAAAACGTATTCTTCGACCCTATTCAAAAATTGACCAATAAATCTCGTTTTTTTTGGTTCCCAATCATAAAAAATAAATAAATTAGCATATTTATGAGCACAGCGAAAAAAAAGAAAGAAGAACAAAACTCACTTTGACACGGTGTTGGCAATTCTGGCAAATTCGAGTGTTCTCCATACAATCTCAACATATACATATCTAAATGGCACAATGAATTGAAAGATGGATGTGATGGTTGATGAATAAAGAAATGCGATGGATCAATGATGGCAGAAACCGCAATTTCGCATTTGATATCTTCAGGAAGTGTGAGCTACAAACAATTTTGTTATTTAGAAAACAGATCCCCTCATAATTATTTTGTTCTTTCGATTTCACACCTTTCACAGGTCTCGATTTCGATTTTTCTCGCGAAAGGCGATATTTTTAATAGATAACGAGGGTGAAAAGGAAGAAAATGGTTATGTTATGGATGTCTACCGATTATAATCTATCACATAAAAAAAACTAAAAATAACATGTGTGAGGAGGGCAAGAAAACCTTTTCAACGTAAATTCGTCAATTTCATATTTAGGGTAATAATTTTCGGACTAAACTTTTTCCAAGTAATAGAATTCGAGACTAAATTCAAAAAATTTCCAAAAAATCCCTTTCGAAAATCCTTACCCAAGTTGGTTGTGTGGATAACATATCAAAACTATTATTTGGCAATGGCGGTGGCAATACCGGCTGCAAATTCAATTCTGGGAAACGTGGCGACGGGAATCGTCGACGCAACATTTGCAAACAATGATTGATTTCATCGCGTTTTCCTCGAACTTGACAAATTTGATGTGTTTTGACTTTTTCCGGTGTGTGATGTTGACGTATAAGCATTCGAACATTTGTGCGAACACTCAATTCCTGCAAAAAAGAAAATAATAGAAAATGGTGATGAATTGAGGGAGGAGATGACTCAGAAAGCGACGCGGCACTCACCTTTATCGTTTTTCCTTTCACACCAATCACTAAACCGACCAAACTGTTTGGAATTTCAAATTCATACATTGGCAATAAATCATTGATGTCATCGTTGATAACTTGACCTGCAACAAATATACTAATAAACTATCAAATCTATATTATTTCTTTAAAAAAAACCCACCATTTTCATCCATCGGCGAAAGTGATGAAGCTAATCCACCAGTTGCACGTCCAGAATCTTGAGATGAAGCCTGGAAAAATACATTTTATTCTATTTTTTTTTAATTCCTGTAAAATAATAAATTTTGGGGGTCCCCTGACTGATACCGTTTCTGAAAAATATTCTGAAGTTGTTGGTGTCATTGGTCCGCCTCCACTATATGTCGATGATCCACTACTATTCCTTCTTCCTCCAAATTTTCTCGCTTTCGCTTCTCCTTGTGCTTTTGCGTACATTCTCAATTCGTGATCTTCGTCTCCAGTTAATGGCATCAATGTCAAAACTACACTCTTTTTCTCTTTTTGTTTTTGTGTTTGTTGTTTTGGTGCAACACCAACGTTTGGACAACAAAACAATGGTTCACTGTCAGTTCCACTGATTGATGAAGCAGACGATGATTCGTCAGAGAATCCGGTGGTTGATGTGAGAGCGTGAAGTTCTTCTTCGTCTGAAACCGCCGGAAATGGTGGTGGCAAGAAACCGGGTGGAAAATAGAGAGTGCCGTCTGTTTGGACAAAAAACGGTGGTGGTGGCAAATGTGTTGGTAAACGTGTCGGATGCACAAGAATTGGTGAGATCGGTGGGCACGTAGATGTCAGCATATATTTATATTTTAATTAGATATTATATATATTAATCGAGGTGAGTGTCGAGTATCCTTGTATTAAAAACGAGGGTCAAACCCTGAAATATCTCCTGATGCCAAGTGAATTTTGGGCACGAATATAAAAGTTCAAAAAATAATAGATAGAGAAAAAAGAATAAGAAAAAACTAGTATGAGGTGATTAACTAATAATAACCGAAGAGAAAAAACCTTTCACCTTTCTCTATACACCCAAAAGATACGCAGACAGGCAAAAAAGAAAAAAGTGGGCGGGGCATCTAGATAAAACGGGCAATAAAGTGCAGAATCATGAATGAACAAAAAAATGTTGCGTGCCTGCGGTCACCAGCAGCTGACAAAATTCTCTTTTTTTTCTCTCCCCCGAATCGAAATCGAATGAATTGAACAAAAAACGAGAGATAGCGACCAGAGTAGAGAGTTTGTAAATATCATTTTCGAAAATCGACGAAAATCGCGTTTCGTTGAAACAAAAACATTAATTTTAGGACAAACTACAACTTTTCCTATAAAAACCTAGAATTTTTCATGAAAATCATACATCCTATGGCTATCCTATAATTCTCAGCCAATCTTAAACTTTCAAAAGCTCTAAACTCATCTAAAATAAGGAGAAACACAAGTTTCAGCCAAAAAAAGAGGAAAAAAAGAAAAAAATAGAAATGAAAAAAATTTCGCGGACTACTGTAGGTACACTTGTGTGCAATTGCGGACTTGTGTGTGCTACAGTAGTCTCTGCGAAAAATATTTTCTTTTCTTTTTTCATCCAAGTTCCCCTATTTTTGCAAGTTTTCGAGGGTAGAACTAAACTTTTGGCCGCAATTTTGCAACGAAAAACTAAAAATAGCGATTAAAAATGTTTATATCAATTATTGGATGCGCTCCAAACTTTTTTCATCGAATCAAACAAAAAAAAAACGCTGTGAGCACATTGCACTTTCAAATACACAAAAAATCGCAACATAATTTCTCTTTTGTTATCTCTCAGTCTCTTCTTTCTCTATCATATGGTAGACGGCAAAAAATCGCAACATTTTTTTTCGATTGGTTGGTGCCAAAAGAGGGGGTCGTCTCTTATCAGTAATTATAATACTTAATGATATTTAATGGCGTCTAGTAACAAAAAAAGCATGATTGCACCCGAAAATGTTGAAAAATGGAGAAGGGGGTTGACTGATAGCGTGTGTTTTTGATCTTTGTCATGTTTGAATAGGATTAGGCTTGAAAAGGAAGGTCAGAAGTCGGGAAAAAAATCAGAAAACTGAAATTTAGACATTTTCATTCTGAATATAGAGATTGCAGAATTTCTACGAATTTAGATACCTGTTCAATTATAAGTTGACAACTAGTCAAAAATTTCACTTTCTGGCTTGAAATCGTTGGGAAAGACTAAGAATTTCTATGCTAAAATCCTAATTGTTCACCTAAAATTCGAAATTTAATTCAAATTCCAAAATCAAACACCAAAACTCAATCAAAAAACCTCCATGAAACAATTTCAAACCCGCCTCCAGAGATCATTTCTCTCCTTTTTTTCTCTCTGCAAAAAATGAGAAAAACGGCTGTCTAAAGAGGTCTGGGTCAATATTTATCAATCAATCGGTTTAGTAGAGGGAAAAATAGAAAAAAAAAGTCGTGAAACAAAATTTGACAAAATTTTTCATGTTTCCCTTTCATCTTGCGCTATAAAAACAGATCATATCTCATCTAAAAATTTCCTTTTTCTCCATTCTCTATTTTTCACTTGTTTTTTTCAAAAATTCAAGTCTAGAACAAATAAACAAAAATAATGAAAAAAAAACAATTTTTGTCAAATAAACATGAGCAACCATTGGTCTCGGGAAAAAAGGTGAAAAATGGAGAAGGAAGAAGAAAAAAGAGAAAGGCGGGAAACATGCACTTTTAAAAAGTGCATAGTATTGGATTGAATGGGGTTGGGAACTTTAGAAAACTTGGGAAAGAAACAAAGAAGGATTAGGCGAAAAATTACAAAAGTTCGCTTTTTCGTTAAAAACACATTCAAGTTTCTATTGAAAAATGGTCCAATCTTTGAATATTTCAATAAATTCAATTTAACTCAAAAAACCTTGACAATTTTACGAGAAATTCATTTTTTAAGAGGAGAAAAATCATATGAGTGTTTGTTTCTGCAACATAAACAAAAAACATGTGATCAGATAGGTCACATTTGTGAATTCGATAATTTATTTTTCGATGCAAGATTTTTGATGTACTATCTGAACATCTTTTCAAAAAATCGAAAAATCACATTCTTTCTAGACAATAACAAATTGAAAAATTGGACCAATCAAAAAATGTTGCCAATTTTTTTTTGTTTCGTGAGCCCAAAGGAAAAAATCAGATGTAATCTTGACCAAATAATCTCGAATTCCAACCGAATTTGGAGAAACTGTGGAATTCCTAAAATCAACCCAAATTGCCAATCATCTCTCTTTCAAAAAAAACTTTCCATTGAAAATCCCATTTGCACCCAATAAATTAATGAGAAGAGCACAAAAAGTGCACCTGTCATTCATTTCATGAAAAAACTTTTCATCAAATCAAATTGATCTATCGATCTCTATTCTCTCTCTTTATTTCCCAACATATGCAAATCTCACATAAAAATACATTTCCACCTTTAAAATAACATCGAAAAAGTCAGGAGGGTGGGTATGTTTTCCTCTTCCCACAAACTTCTTTGTTTCCGTCTCCCCGTAAAAAGTTGTCATGTGCACTTTACTAACGGACAACGCAACATTTTCCTTTCTTTTTTCTTTTTGGACGTCGGCCAGACAGACGGTTGGGGTTACTAATCACTTTTAGCGAGGAAGAAAAATCGAAGATCGAAAAGAAAATTAGAAGAAAAAAGATAGGGGGTCGAAAAACACATGTGATCTATAGATACATCGAAAAATGGTGTGAAAATAAGTGGATGTGTAATTTTTGTTTCGTTCGAAAGATCAACGTTAATCCGAGTTATTATTAACCTACGGGTCAGTAAATTCTACCGAATTTTAGAGTTGTTGATCTATTAGCTCGGATTTTTTGTCGACTTTTTGCCAATCAATTCTAATATTTTTACAATTCTCCATTTATTCTCCAATACAAAAATATGCAAATTATTTCCCATTTAATCATGGTTTTATGTGTCTAGCGGCCACCAACATCGAAAAAACCAACAAGGTTTCAATTTTCTCCATTGTTCGACCCAGACACACAATATTTTGCGCCTATCATAAAAAAAGTTCACATTTCATTTCATCCCAATGACAGGGTTGTTATAAAAGCCAAAAATTATCATCACCATATGATTTCTCTCTCAAATTTCTTCATCTTTTTATTCTTTCTCAATTTTTCTACAATATGCCGTAGACCCGAAAAAAAAGAGAAAAAAGAGATACCGAAAAAATGAAAGTGATGAATCAGTTGTGCCGCTTCTTCATCTTTTGTTATTTTACGAGGCGCGCAACATTTACATGGTATTTTGCAGTCTTTGCAGAAGAATTTTGGAGAAAAAGGGGCGGGAGAAGAATCAAAAGAACACTGTTCTAATAAATTATCGCTTGCAAGAAATGAATGAAACCAAATGACCTCAAAGAATATTGAAAGATAAAATATATGCACTTTAAGAAAGGGCGGGGGTTGTTTGATTGAGGTTAGATAGAGCGGTTTTAGCTAGAGTTTAGGTAATTGCAGCACAAATTCGAATTTTCAAGAGAGAAATCATAAATTTGGAATTTGAGCATTTTTTGAAAACTGTACATGAATTCAGAAATTCTTGAGTTCAGAATCCAGATGTCCATATTCTTATAACTTGAGAAGAAACTTATTATATTCTAGAAAATCTCCAAAAATTCTCAAAGTTCACATTTACTATAAATCTCCAAAAATGCTCAAAGTTCACATTTCCTATAAACATCCAAAAATCCTGAATTCAGTACTGAATTTCGAACAAAATTCCGTGAATGTTGAGCTCGAAATTAGAAAGTGAATAATCTAAATGATCAAAGAACTGGAAAATCTAACACTTCTGAAGTATTCTTGTCGAAATTCAAAAAAAAGAGATATGAATTTGGAATCCAGGATAGAATCAGAAATCCTTATTTCGAGGCATTAAGCCTTCTCTGGCTTTCCATCAAAAATTTCTTACATGTTCTCTAGAAATCAAGTATTTCTGATGCCTAACTCGAAATAAATCATGCCACAATTCAAGTCCAATTTCATCGAAAAACACAGGCAAAAAACTTCCTTTCGCAACATTTTTTGACAAATTGCCAACAACTTCTTCTTCTTCTTCGTTTCTCTTTTCATATCAATACGATCGCAAGGTCATTTCTCGTTCGAATTTTTTTCTTCTCGAGTTTTTTTCAACCAGTCAGGGAGGGGACCAAAAAACCAGGTATCCCAAAACAAACTAACCTCACTATTTTGACTGGCAAGTCCTGGCGAATCACTCTTATCATATCCAACTTCATGATCACCGTGTTCAGCTGTATCGAAAACAACACCTAAATGATGGAATTATGATTATTCTCAAATTTGATTGAAAATTCAACCTACCATCACTTCTTGTTACAATTTGTCTACTATTATTTTGTTCCTCTTCTTCTTCTGGATTTCTTCCATCTCCAGCTCTTTCTTCAACCGAATGCAATCGTCTTTGAGCAGCTCGTTTATTTGCTCCCGGAGTAGATCCATTACCACGTCCTTTTCGTGATCTAGAAAATCAGATTTTGGATAAGTTTTTCAATTTCTAGGTCATTTTTCGAATTGTAGACTATTTTTCGGATTTCCGGACCATTTTTTCTTACACTTCTAGATTTATGTAAAGCATTTTAAATTAAAAATAGCCTAGAAACCCAAAAATATGTTTCTCTCAGTTTCTGATTTGTTCTAAATTTCTGGTAATTTTTTTCTCAATTTTCTGCCAAACTTCAAAATTCCCAGCTCCTCAAAAAACTCACTTATTCGGTCGATTATTTTTCACAGCTCTATGTGATGGCGAAATTGGCGATGGTTCCATATCACTCGATTCATGCAATCCTTCAATATAACTTCTGAAACAATGAAATATTTGAAACTCAATTTATTTTCAGTGATCAGCAAAAACAACCAACTTTTCCATTTCTTCGCTCCACGAAAATGAAGCTGGCGACATTTGTGCAATATCCAAAGACAAGGGTTGATCAAGTACTTTTGTTGGTGTTGGTTCTTCTGGTATCTGGAATAGCTAAAAATTCAGGGAATGGTCAAGATTTTTGAAAATTATGGCTCTTTTTTTGTCGAATAGAGGCTTTAACATTTTATTGATAACCGTTTTTTTCGGAAACTTGACGACTGTTGAAGTCAAAAATAAAAATTCTCGAAAAAAAAGTTCAGAAAATCATCAGGTTTCCAAGGCAATTCTGAATAATAAAAATCATATTTTGAAAAAAAAATCTCGAAAAAATGCATGTGTTTTTTCAGGCGCAAATTCGATAATCTAATTATTTACAGAAAAATTCTTTATAAAAAATGGGATTTGAGAAAATTTAGCTGATAAAAAATAGGATTCCGTGTAAAATTCGGAAGAAAAATGATCGAGGTCTGAAGTTTCGAATTTGGAAAAAAGAACAAACGTGGTTTTGAATGAAAAAATTTGTTAAATCATCGAATTTTTAAAAATCTAGCTAAAAAAATCTAGCCTAATTAAAAAAAATCTAGCCTAATTTAATTTTAAAAAACAGGAAGAGAATATTTCCCATGTAAATTTCAAATGATTTCTTGGATTTGTTGTGATTACGAAAAAAAAGTCATTGTGAAGAACATTGTTCATACAAGTTCAAAAAATCTGACTTTTTTTTTTAAATAAAAAAATTTCTTTAGAACACATTTCAGAAACTCAACTTCCAAAAAAAAATTTCAGACAATAATTTTAATCCAGGAAATTTTAGCATAAAAGCTTCATTATTAAAAATCTTGGCAATATTTTGTTCTATTTTTTTTTTTGGAAAACATTTTTTTAAATTCAACATCTTCTATATATTTTTCAGCAAAACCCTCCTCTCAAAATCTCACCTGTTCATTTTCCGATGTTCTCTTTTTTGGCATTGTAATTGGTGCTGGAGCTGCTGCTTGTTGTTTTCCAACTTTTTGCACAATAATCTCTTCTTCTTTCTCCTTATTTTTCTCAATCAAAACTTCTTCTTCTTCTTCTTCTTCCTCGTCTTTTTCAACAATCAAAACGTCGTTATTCACCAATAAAACCGAGTTCTAAAAATGAGCATAAATTATGAATTATGACTGAAAAAAAGCACACAGCCAACCCACTCAATTTCTCCCCCTAATTATCTATAATTTCAGCCTATCTATTTGTTTTCCCACCTTTTTTTCCTCGGCAATTTCAGCTTCAACTTGTTCCGATGTTTCAACTGTCACTGTTGGAACTTCAATTCCTTGTGGCTGAAAGAAAAGACAAATTATTGAGAAATTTTCCATAGAAATGAAGCAGAGAAAAATTGTCGTTTCCTAGCTACAAAAAATTTCCAAACATCAAATTTCTAAACAAAAAATCGATGAAAAATTAATAAATATTCAATTTTTCTGATTTTTAGTTGAAAATATCGCATAATTTTTTCTGGCCTGAATAAATTAGGAAATATTTCTGAAATTTTGTTTGAAAAATGGGTTTCAGCTCATTTTTTTCTGAAAATCCACGAGGAGAATTCGTAATATTCAGACTCTTCAACAACCAAAAAAAAACAATAGTTATTCAAAATCAATTTTTCGCACGCCAATTTTTCGCGAAAAATTAACGATGAACACTTTGTTTTTCTACATGTTTGTTGTAAATACGTATAAACGATGAGGGAGGCAAAAAAACTGCGAGGGAATGTGGAAAAAAGCGACAGAAAAAACGACGGGCGCGCGCGCAGAAGAGAAGAAAAAACTAAAACCATCCTCAAATCATACACTATTTTGCTATATTGGCGGCCCCCGAAAAAGTGCATTTTTCATTTCGTTTTTTTTTTCTCTCTCACTCGTGTTCATTTCAGTTAGTCATAAATGAAAATGAGGAAAAAATTCCAGATCAAAAGCAAATACTGTGATAAGCCACTGTACTTTTAAAAAGTGTATTTTATTTTTAATGGAACTTTCTAACATGAAATTAAGCTAGGCTAAGAAAAATTTGATCAATGAATTTTTAGTTGCAAAATTTTTCTGATTTCAGCTAGAAATCAAACAGCTGAAAATGGTATGATTGTTTTTGAAAACTATTTTTGATAGGATTTTTTTCTTAGAATTCAAGAATCAGAAAATAATTTATTCTGACTTGAATGTTGAAAAATTCTGAAAGTTTTAAAGAATTCTTGGAATTTCGAACAAGAAACAAAGTTTTGTTTATATTAATCAAATTAAATTTTATAAGTTCCTAGAACAAAAAAACTTCCAAAACGTGCCTATTTCGAGTCCAAAACTATCCCTAGTCAGTCTGCAAAAATCCCTCAAAAAATATTTTGTTTTCCTATTTTTTCTGTTGCTCATTTTTCGTGATGACATCACTGTGCTCTCAAACAAAATAGATTACTATAATTAAAATTCTGCGCGCGCGACAAAAAAAAGAAAGAATAAATAAACAGCATAAAAAAGCGAGATTGACTAAAGAACTTTTGGCTTTCAGAAAGAAAAAAGTGTGGGAAATAGAACAAAAGAAAGATAGCTAGGCTTACCTCATTTTCAGCAACAATTTCTTGAGATTGAGATTGTTCTGGTGTGACAATTTGAGATTCGGATGATTGAGCTACAACTTCTGGAGCAATTGAAGAAGCTTGGCTGAAAAAATTAATTTTTGATAGTTAGGGAGTTATCAGAAAGAGAAACAGTATACTTTTTCAAACAAATCAGTTTTTCTTGAAATTATTTTCAATTTTTCCATCACAAATAACTTACACTTGCTCATTTTGACTTTCGGACAATTTCTTATTTCTTTTCGCCGATTTTTTGCTGATTACTATAGTCTCTTCTTTCTTTTCTGCAACTTCTGGAACTTCGCCTTCTTTATTATTCAATGCAATCGATTTTTTTCGATTTCTAGCTTCTTCTTGTCGTTTTGCTTGATAATACCAAACAAAAAGTGCAGCAATCGAAACTCCGCCAAGGGCGAAAAGAAGTGCGTGTTTCGACGCAACTGATGACATTCTACAAAAAAAAACCATGGATTAGATTATTATGTGTTTTTTATGGATTAGACACTTTTTTCTAAAATTTTAAAAATTTCCTGGTTTCAGGGGTTTCCTAATTAGGAAGTGTCAAAAGTTCCATATTTTAAAATTGAATATTTTTTCGCAGGTTTCCCGGATTTGATCCCATTTTTTCCGATTTTCGGTAGGAAATTTTTATTGGCTACAAAACACAGATTCATTGGTGCGGAATGAGAAAAAGGGTTTTTTCGCTCATAAATTTTGTAGAACATACATATTTTCTAGAGATCAAAAATCCACGGGGACATACATAAAATGGGTCCCCTGAATCGGGGTGAGGGGCTTAACTTTTTTCAAAAATCTGAAGAGAAGGGTGCCTAACTTGGCCAATTTTCTGCTGATAATTTACCAAAATTCGCTCAAAAATGTGAGGCAGGTGTTTAACCTTGGAAAATTTTCAAGGAGGGACCCTAACTTTAAAAACTGGCTCGGGGGACCTATTTTATGTATGCACGGGGAAAATTTGAAATCGGAAGGTACGGAGAAACATCCACCTTGGCTTTGATTTCGAAGTTTTTGTTCCGAAAAAATAGTGCCGGATTTTCAATACAAACACTTTAGAGAGCCAAAAATCCACGTGGAAATCCGAACTTGAAATTTTCTGATTTACAATAAAATCTACATGGAACTTTTTACGGAACCCTATATCATAGTAGGTTTCATACCTTCACAAAACAACATATAATTTGTCGATCACAACATCAATTCAATTCAGATTCTCAAACTTACTGTTTGAAATCAAAATCAAACATCGATTCAAATCGTCTACACTGATTTTCAACACCATTTTCCTCGCCATTTCCACCCAAATTCTTTGCCCATTTCTGCGTCAAATCAGAAATCGACAAAAGAACAGCGACAATTTGTCGCGTCACCGCGTCGCAAGCCACGTATGACGTGGACAAATCATGGTTGGTTTGATGGTGATTTTGGTGGTTGAAAGATGGTGTAGACGAAGGAGGAGGCGAAAACGAAGAAGACGACGAAATTTCGACAAACTTTGATTCACACGTGGTTTTTGGACCACGTGGAGCAGGCAAAAATTGGGTGGTGAGAAAGAATTTCTGCGAGAAATTTGCGTTTTCGACGAAAAATGAGAGAGGGAGCGAAAAAGAGATGGAGATAATGAGATTTTCAGAAATCAGCAGGTGAAATTGGAACAGGAGCAAAAAATAAGATACTATACGAAAAATCAATCTCAATTATCTGGGAAACAGAAAACTTCGGCTTTTGGAGTCGGAGAGTTCCATTAAAAATGGGCGTGGCCTAAAATATGCCGTGTTCGGTATCCAAAAATTTGAAATTTCATCAGAAAAAAGAGGAGGAGCTAGTGAGCCCCCAAGAAAATCCTGTGGACCATTGAAAACTCACTTATACAAAATTCGAAATAATCTCCCAAATTAGTATTTCTTTTGTTTCGAGAAATGTGAGTTTCCGAAATTTTGCGTGAATTTTTTTTTCAAATTCTCACAGGTCACGCGGAAAATTGGTTATTTTTCTCGAAAAAGTCCATTTTCTATTTTCTTTCCGACAAAAAAGGGAAAAACAACAACAAAAAAGCCATATAAAATTCTGGAATATTTCCCAAGTCTGGCGGGCGGAAAAATAGGAAGGAATGAATGAAAATGATGATGTCAGGAGGAAATGAAAAGCTTCGAAATTCGAGATAATTTTTTTTATATATGTATGGATGGAAATAATGGAAATGCGTGGGGTTTTGAGCCGAAAAAATGAAGAGGAGAAACAACGGAAAAAGGAAATCGAGGAGAGCAGAAAAGAGGAAATAACATGTATGAACATAAAGAAACAAAAATGACGTATCCGGGAAAATAATATAAAAAATAAAAAAGGGTAAAAAGTCAAGTGAGAGCAATTATGTGGAATAAAAAATTCCAGTCAAGTTTTTTTTTTCTAAAAATAAAAAAAAGAAGCTGAATAGAAACAATTTTTATTGTGTTCACGAAAGAATTGTACTAATGAACAACTTCAAAGTGTCAGTTACACAAAAAAGTCCAAAAAACATTTTATTTTTGAATAATATTCTACGTGGATTTTTAAGAATTCAAAAACTCTTTAGAATTTTCGTTCTGAAATCCACGTGGCAAAATAGCTCAGTTTTAACGACAAAAAATCCTCGTGGGAACATTTTTTGGATTTTTGGAAAAAGCAAGCCAGTGTTCCGGGAAAAAATCCACGTGGCTATATTTTTAGTGGATTTCAAACATAGTGAATTATAATTCATGAATTTATAAAACTGTTCAAATTAATTATTTTTGAACCAAAATTTTAGTTGCATTTTTGGTGCCAAAAAGTCAATAAATTTTCAATGTTTGATCTTTCCACAACAACAAAAAAACAATCCCAAAAAATCGGAACAAAAGTGGCTGGAAAAATCTCCAAGGTTACTAGACAAACGTTTTTCAGGAAATTTGAAAAAGAACACAACTTTTCAAGAGCTGAAGCACCCAATAATTAGATCAATTTTCAAGTAAGCCTAACTTTAGCCAAAAAAAACGTCACACGAAAACTAGTCTGCTATGTTTTTTCAGATTTATCTAGATCTAAATTTTTTCCAAATCAAGAAACCCTTATTTTCTCAAAAAAAAGCCAGCTGAAAATGTTCTGTTTTCTCGTTTTTTCTTCGACGCAAAAAAGAAAAAAGAAGCAAAAATACATGCTTAATCAGACAGCTGAGCCCTTTTTCGTGGAAAATAAAATAAATAAAAAAACCAAGAGAGCCAGCAAAAAAGGTAATCGAATCATGAAAAAACCAATCCCTTTTTCTGGTTTTCAAATGAATTCCCATAAATATGCATTCTCGTTCTTTTCATGAAAAAAGAGCAAAAAAGTGTTCATTTTCTATCTATCTGAATAAGGAGAGAATGAGAGGGAGGAAAGGGGAGGAATTCCAGAAAAAAGGACATGTTTTTTGTTTTTTCCTATGACGTTTTTTCAGGTAGTAAACAAAGATAATTATAACTTTCGAAAATTCCGAGCCAAGCTCAAAAAATCGGAATTCGAGCTTCTAAAATAGACATTTTTCGAAAAAATTTGAAGAAAATTGTGTTTTCAGAATGCACAAATGTGCACTGAATACAAAAATGGGATTTTCAGGAATTTTGCAAAAATATAACTTCAGTAATTATTTTGGCAAATTGTTTTGAGCCAAAAACATAAAAACATTTGCCACGTGGATTTTAAATGAGAGAAATTCATATTTTTGAGCTAGACAAAATAGTTTTTCGAAAATTTTCAGATACTAGAAATTCAATTTTTAAAAATTCAAAAACTACTTCGGCAGATCAAGAAATAAATAGACACTTGAATTTTTATAAGGAGCCCGGTATCGTGAAATCCAATAAAAACTCACATAATCTAAAAAATTCCCAATTAGTAATTCACTTTTTTCGAGAAATACTAATATTTTCGAAAATTTTCCAACAAAAAACCAACGAGGTCACGTGAAAAATCACATTTTTCTCGGCGAAAAAAAAATGAATTTTTTGTCGAAAAGAGTTCTTCAAACGCATTTTTGGTGCACAAAAAAGTGACGACATGTGAATTTCGCGTTGGCGAAACGCAAAAAAAAACGACTGAAAAAGGCAAAAGAAGAGCTCTTCGTTAAATGAGCAAAAAAGAGACACTCTTTTTCTCTCTTCTATTTTTTCTTCTTCTTACATTCATTCACATGACGCCAATTGGATTCATTTTCAATTCATTAGTGACTGGAAAAATGTGGAATTAATGCATATATTTACATTTTGCCTAGAGGCAACTTCAACATAAGTATCTTCTCTCAATTTCAAAAAAAAAAGCAACACAAAAAGCTATAATGATGGATCATAAATTCTCAAAAGCCAAAAGCATTTTCAATTTTTTATGGGTTTTTTATAATAATGTTATTTCCGCAGTAGGAAAACAGAATCTATTTTTTTTCGAAAAACAAAAAAAAAGACCAATATCATTTTCTCACGATCATTTCAAAATTTGTAGTGTTCGGGAGAAAATCCGAGATTATCCGGATGAAATAAAAATTACGTGGATATTTTGAACAAGATTACTGATATTATTATAGTGATGATGATGCCTGTAAAAGTCAGAAATTTGAAATTTTTGGGAGTTTCTCAGAATTCTGACTGATTTTGGTACAAAAATATATCGTCAGGCTTGAAGATATCATCATTTAATTTGATTTAAAGAGATGGTAATCCAGGGATTATCCCGGATTTTCAGAGGAACACTGATAAATTAAAAAGTCTTACTTAATTTTGAGTCAGAAAATATAAAAATACTCAAAAAACCGCCATGCCTTTTTTGAGCATTTCAGACTGATTTTTTATATTCAAACAATTTTGAAAAGTCACAATAACCTCGTCAGGTAAGAGAAAATATACATAATTTGATCGAAAAAATAATCCAGGGATAATCTGGGATTTTCAGAGGAACACTGCTAAATTTCTCTATTCTATCAAAAATTTCGGAAACTTTTCAGTCAAAAAAGTTTTCAGTCGAAATTAAAAATTCCATACGAAATTTATTTGCTCATTCAATTTCAAGTGCACTTTTCAATTATTCTATAAATAAATAAATATTCAAAATGAATGACGTTGGAACGAGAGGAAAAAAGAAGATAGAGAGATGAGCAAGAAATTAATTGGCTGGAAACACATCACATCACATCGAAAATATCAGATTTCATCCAATTTTCAGAGCTTTTTATTTGAGTCATCGACAAAAATACGAAATGTCATGCTATTTTTCTTGAGAAAACCGAGAAGATGTGCTTAATTGCAATTTCTTGGCTCGGCTTCGCTCCGCTATGCTCATTTCTTTCCTTCGACGTATTTTTTTGAGGGGGCCCACAAAAGCAAACACCAAAAAAAATCCATTTTAGCCGAGCCCCAAGGGTATTTTTACTTTTTTTTTCAATTTTCAACGTTGCACGCGTAGAAATATTCAGAAAAAAAAATGGTTTTTGGTGAGAATATTTGGTCTAAAAATAAAATAGCAGATTTTCACAATAACAAAGTCAAGCGAAGTGGAAAATTTGTCAATATTTCCGGAGCAAAATTTTCAGAGAACTTTTTCGATCGGACCAGGAAAATCAAATTTATAGTAGGAATCGAGCGTGAAAATTGACAAACAAAACCAACAAATAAAGAATATTAATAGAATATTTATTTCAGAGAACAATTTTTGTTTAAAAAACTGTTATTCTCTGATTTCTCTAATTGTGTCTGATAAAATAATATTCTGTATTTTTAGTTTTCTCACAACTTTCACCAACGAAGGTTTGTGAAAAACCATTTTTTTTAATTTCGTGTAACATGAAATTTTTCAGATTCAACGAAAAATATGGGAAAAAGTCCAAAAACTAGAGCTTTTCAATGGAAAACTGGTTAAAGCTTTTCCTTCTTTTCATAAAAGAAATCTAATTTTCCACAAAAGTTCAGAGATTGAAAACCCCTCTTGTGTGACCAAAAAAGGGTCCTTCGGTTACAGAGGGGGTCTTTCTTTCAACAAAAAAACAATTTTTAGTCCAAGAATTCCCCCCGAAAAAATCAATAAAAACTGAAAATTCCAGAATTTTTCCTCCGCGCGCCGCCGAAAAAAAAAAGAAAATGCAGCCTTCTTCTTCTTCTTCCTTCTTCTCCCATACGAATAAATAATTCAGGCTCTCAATGTTTTGCTGTTACAACCCCAGAAAAAAACCAGAAAAATGTCAAGTGAGTGGGCACGGATAAATATAGCACTTTTTGACCGAAAAAAAACCTGACGTTTTTCCCCTCAATTTTTTTCGCCCCGGGCTTTTTTCAGGCAAAAACACATAAACACAAAATAATAAGAGAGAAAAAGAGGAGATATTTGAAAGCAGAGTCATAAAAACTGCTGAAAATAGCCCAAAAAATATAAATTATGGCTAATAAAAAACAAAATTTTTAATGAAATTGTTTTGTTTTGAAATGAGCAGAGTAAAAATAATAATTATGAAAAAGAAAAAAAAATGAATAACAGGAAATGTATAACAATGAAATTGAGTAAAGCTACAGAATCTAAAGGAAACTAGAAAAAACCTAGAAGGGTGCTGAAACTTGGCTAAAAATTTGAAGTTTATGGATCTGTAGCTGCAAGTTGGATGAGTCAATTTTTGAAATTATTCACGTGTAATTAATTTTTGTTCCGCAAATCCACGTGATTTTCGAGAACCAAAATTTTCGAGATTTGCGAAAACTCTGCATGAAAACTGATTTTGATACAGAATTTTTGGGAAATTAGAAAATTTTGGTTTTATCATCAAATAAAAAAAATGCCACGTGGATTTTCAGAACAAACAGTGATAAATTCTACGTGAAACTGAATTCCAATTTTCAAATATTTCAACCCGATCACATCCACAGGTCCACAACCCAAATATTCAGCCATTTTTCTCGCTACTCAGTGCCAGTGGCAGTTTTAATCATCTCAATCAATTCTTTTTTCTCATCCAATCTTGCTTTTCTTCGAATTTGTTGCTGTTTCAACATTTCCGAATCTTCCGAAGTTATCAAATGTCTTCGACTGATATTATTCATCAATGCCATTTTCCAATCTCCATTACTATCATAAACTTGTCGAAAAACATTGACAAGATTTGGAAATGGTAAGAATTGTGGTCCAGATTTCCATTTAACATATCGATGAAATGGTAGCCGATATGCTGGAATATTTGCTCGACGAGCTGCTCCAAGTGATTCACGATGATTATCCATTGAAACAGCGAGACAAATAACATCAGCATTTATTGGACCATCGAGAACATCTCGAGCATAATTCGAAATGTAGATGATTTTTTGATTTGGTCCGAAGTATTCTTTGATTCCTGAGAAGATTTGGGGAATGAATACGGTAGAGAAATACTTGTGAGAGGATTGAGAGGGGAGATTTTTGGGTGAATATAATTGCCTCTTTTATACTAGTCATAACCTAATTTTCCAGAATAATACTCAAATTCTTATCATTTCCTTATTAAAATGTTAGAGAAAGTTCTCATTTCTCACTAAAAGTAGGTATATATTTTCTCTCCCCTCTTACTTTTTCCTCTCAAAAATATCTACCTTTTGTTGTACAACCAGGTAATATAGTTTGATCACAATACATTCCACCATAATATCCAATACTTTTCGCCATCCAATTTTCCACAAATTGTTCATTTGGTAAATTCACAAAATCTAGCAAAAGCGGTCTTTTTGCTGCGAAATTTTCGCTAAGCATATATTGCATTTGATTTCCAAGTTCAGCACGATGTCTTGGTTTCATTGTTTGAATAAATTGAAGATCTAATGCGATTTTTGGCATATTTGATCGCATACTTTCATATATTTTATTTCCCTCAATATGATGAATCTTCTTTTTATTTCTCATTGGATTTTGCAAGAGTTGATATAATCCTGGGCCATATCCCATTTCACCATTATCATATTTTTGTTGTTGCTCAGTGATGAAATTATTAAATTGTTCAATGTTTTGATTTTTTCGATTATCTCTTCCATTTCTTCTCCGATTTTTGATCGCCAAAAATTCCCAAAACGCAACTTTATCATCTAAAGTCGTGAATTCCAATGATTTTTTCCAATCTTCATCTTTCATTTCAAGTGGAACATATTTTCCCATATACGAAAATATATCAAATTGTTCAGCGGTTTTGTTATATTTTTCGAGTTCTTCGGGATTCAAGTTTTTAACAAAGGTTTTTGAAGGTTTTAGTGAATCTTCAGAAGCGGAAGAAGAAGAAGAAGAGCAAGGTCTTTTTGAGATCAAAGACGGGAAAAATCTCGCAATTCGCAGCATTTTTTGATGTTTTTCCTGAAATGGATCAATTTTACTCACATTGAATTAGTAAAGAAAATCTTGAATTCCAAAACGGTGCTGAAATGTCAAAATTCATTACTATTCATGTAAGCAAATTGATCCATCTCAACATCGCAGAGGAAAAAAAGATGGAGTTTCACTAACTTTTTTTGATTTTGAAAAACCTCCCCCAAAAAACTCACTTTTATTAAAAACTTTGAATTGAAATACAAGCCAATTTACAGGAAAATTGACAGCGATTCTGATGGTTTTTTGTTCTGCAAAAAAAACCGACTTTTAAAAATAAAAATCAAACAAAGTTACCTCAAATCGATGACTTTGATAAAATAAATCGATTTGGCCGACCGCCAGAATAACGAAAAACGCGTTGGGTTTTAAATTTTGAACAGTGACAAGAATTTCACAAATTTACCTGAAAAAAAAAATGATTTTTTATGTTTCATCTATCTATTGAAAAATAGTAGAGAAATAGATAAAAAGTGTATTTTTGAGGAGAAATCGATTGTTTGCTCAAAAGTTTGCCATTAAAGGTGCAGTGTCAAGTGGCGAAAATTGATTTTTTTTCATTCAAAATCAGGGTATCTATTTGATTAAATGGGAAAATAAAGAAATCTAAATAGGTGGCAACGAAAATATTATTGTAAAATCTAAAATGATTGATCCGTTCGTTCGCGCAAATTTCGCGTTTTTTCCTTCAAGGTCACTTTTTTTCTGTTGCTAGGGGTGCCAGAAACAGGACTTTTTGTCTGTCAATTAGGAAAAAAATGATTGCTTTCTTGTCGCGAGAAAAAATCGAGAATCAAAGTGGAAAAGTAGGTTGAAAGTGTGCCTTAGTGATGAAATATTTCACCAGGTTGCAACAAATATTATTTTTGGACATAAATATTTATGCAAAGTGCATTGTTATTGAGACAAAAGAGAATTTCGGACAACAATTTTTGTTTTCAAAAACAAGGAAATTCAATTCCCAGAATTTTGTGCTAAACATTCGTCTGACACTTGAAAGCCCAAAGCTTTGGGGCAAAATTCTAACTTGTAATTGAATAAACAATTTCTGGTAGAAATGGATTGACGAAATTCCATGTTACAGTTCACGCCTCGAAAATTTTCGAAAAATTTCCAAAACGTTTTTCCTATGTTCTAAACTAATTTTGCCTAAGTTTTTACGACCGATTCAGTTCTAAAATTTGAATTTTCGAGCCAAAAACCTTCTTCAAATTGTTACAACAGCTTTTCACAAAATCTTGGCTAAAAACCACGCTTTATAAGCCTCGAATAATTTGGCGCCGAAATCTCAATAGTTTAACCACTAAAAATCAGGTAAAAAGGCGAAAGATTGTGAAAAAGTGCAATTCGAGAACAATACAATTTGAAAAATCTCTCAATATCCGCCTCTAAAAATTATAAATAACTCTTTGAAAAACATGGTCCAAAGCTCAACAAGTCACACGATTTTTTAACTTGAAATCAAAGAAAAAACACATTTTCCCATCTCCAACCAAAAAATCCTAAAAATCAAAATTTCCACAGAAAAATCAGCAAAAATGCTCAATGATGATATATCAAAATGTAGCCTATAAAATGAGCATTACGACAAAATATCTCAAAATTTTTGAAATTGCTGAAAATCGGCTGAAAATAACGGAAAACCCCAAAATAATAGTGAAACGTCTGGCAATTCGCCAGACAAAAGATGTGTGTGACGAAGAGAGTGTTGTGTTTGAAGAGAGCGGCAAAGAAAAAAGGGCAAAGTGCAAACAACGAATTTGCCGCGCTTTTGCGTACCAAAAAATGGGACGAGTTCAAAAAATTGGGTTTTTTATTTTTCCAGAAAATTGCGTGAAAAAAGGACGTGGCATGACAAATGAAGAAAGTATCTTTGCCATTTCTAAATAACTGATGGCAAGCAACAATAGTAATAATTTCAACACTCTTCGCAAACTTTCCGACGTAACTTTCGACAATGAGGAGAAAAAACCAGCTCGAACTTCTCCACCTCGATCCCCACACACAGAAAAACCTTCAAAGACTCCGACAACAACATCTACAACTACAACTACAACCACCACAACTACAAAAAGCCTTGACGATGGTGACGTGGCAATCTCATTAGGTGGATGTGGATTTTTGGGAGTATATCAATTGGGCGCCATCAAAATGATCTATCAACACGGGAAAAAGTTGATGGATAGAACAGTTAGATATGCAGGTTGTTCATCTGGAAGTCTTGCGGCGGCTATGCTTTTACTTTGTCCAGAAAAGTGAGTTGTATTTCACTAATCGCGTTGCGTGTGCGTCGCGGTTTTAGTTTTGAAAACCGTGACGCACACGCAACGCGTATCACTGATGAAGAAAACAAAGTTTTTTCAGGATCGATGAAGCACTTCAAAATATGTACGATGTCGCTGAAGAGATCAATAATCACACCTTGGGAGTTATGAAACCGGGACTTATCATAAGTCAAAGATTGAGAACCGGAATGGAAAATGTTCTACCACAAGATATTTCAAAAGCTCAAAATCGTCTTTATGTCTCGGTCACTAAATTAATGGTAATTTAAAGTTTTCTATCTTTTATATAAAAAACAAAAGGATTATTTGCAGAAGCTTGAAAATGAGCTGATTTCAAGTTTTGAATCTCGCGAGCATTTAATCGATGTGTTATTAGCAAGTTGTCATCATCCATTATGGTCAAATGGAATTAAAGGACCACAATCACCGGTTTTGAATGGGGAGGTAAGAAAAAAGCAAGTGCGCTCTAGGGAAAAATGCTTACCTTTTCCTGATTTGCGAATTCTTCCCCAAATCGATTTTTGTTTTTTTGTAGAATTACATCGACGGCGGCTACACCAAGTTAATTCCAACATTTTCCGATATAACAACAGTTACAATATCAGCTTATGCTTCAGATGCAAGTATTTGTCCAATTGAAAAATCAATATTCAATGATGATACAACTTGTCGTGTAATGAATCACAATATGAAAATATCTTTTGCCAATTTACGTCGAGTCAAATTATCACTTCTTCCACCACCAAAAGAAGAACTTGTCAAATATTATGAACTAGGAGCTGAAGATGCAAAACAGTTTTTGATTCGAAATAATGTGTATAATGAATGAATGAATGAATGAACAGGTTCGGATTTTATTGGGTTTTCAATAAGAAATGAAAGTAGTATAGCTGGAAAATTTCGAGAATTTCAGTTGAAAATGTGATATTTGTAGGAGAGTAATGAGTACAATTTTGTGCCAGCCTCTTTTTTGCCCGAAATCGATAAAATGGGGCAGCATGAGGCCAAAAAATCGACAAGAAATTTGGACAACTTGAATTTAAGGAATAAAAAATTTTGAAATTAATATGTCAAAAAAAGAGATGAATTTTCAAGTCTAATTTTTTGGCCTCAAACTGTCACATCTCAAAAAATTGAATAAGGAAAAATGACGAATTTTAGAATTTGCGTTTTTAAGAAAAATTGGAATGAGTTGATTGTAATACTCGGAAAATTGCGTGCCAAAAATTCTATACAATTGGGTTTGAAGGAGAGTGTATTTCACGAAACCTTGGGGATTTTTTGATTGGAAAATAATTTTTTGAAGAATTATTATGAAACCAAAAAAAAATTTTGGGAACAAACGAATGTGTAAAAATTTAATGAAATATTGAAGTCCTCTTTTTACCAAATCCAGAATTATTCGTCTGATAAAATTACGAGAATTTTAAACTTTGTTTTTATTTTCAATTTTCATCGTTTTGTTGGTTTTCAAAATTTTAATTTTCTGTTCATTCACTTTTTTTCCTATTTTCACCTTTTTCCAAGAAATTCGTGCTCCACAATTCCAAGAAGTGCAAAATTTCGCAAATTCATCTAACATCATCAAGATAATATTGTGAGTCATCCTTTGTTTTTCCATATTTCGTAACCATTTTCAGCACAGGCCACGCCCTATTTTCCCATTATTTTTTGCGGTCAAATGCGTAGAAAAAAAATAATTTCTCATTTCTTTTCTTTCTCCAAATTGTCCCATGTGACCAAAGATCCCTTCTTTTTTTTTTTACTTTTTCTCTCTATTTCTCTTCTGATGAACGAAACACTTTTTGTAAAAAAAACAACACAGGTCAATTTTTCTCATATTTTCAGTCAAAATCCATGATTTCTAAAAATAATTCGTATTCTTCGTTTTGTTGGAAAACATTTTTTGAGCTTTTTAATTTAAAAATTAAATTTTTCAGGCAAAATGTCTCGACATCATAAACGCGTAGATCATGAAGTTTATCGAGATCCTGTAGATGGTATGTTTTATTTTTAAATTTCATATTGAGAAATATATATTTATAAAATATCGAAAATCGATGATTGTCGACAAAAAAACATTGTAAAAATTCCCATAAAAATTGATTTTTCATCGACATTTTTTGTGGCATTGCGATTAAATATTGCGAATTAACATAACCACCGTCTGAAAATTGAGGCGAAATAGTATATGAAGAGTGGAGAGTGCGAGACAGTTAGATGAGGTTTTTTGCCCGGCTCTGCTGCCGGCCAGTTCATTCAATGTCTTCTTCTTTTTCCTGTGGTTTTTTCCTCGTTTTTTCTTTTTTTTCTTCTTCCCTGAGAACATTTTTAAAAGGGCATCTTTTTAGTTATCTAAGTTCCTTGTTTATTTATTTATTATTTTTTTCATCATTCATTCACAATAAAAACTTTCTACATAGATAAGATAAAATCAGTAGTTTTCCACTGTTTTTATAGGATAGGATAGTATTGATGTTGATGTTTATTTTCATATTTTTTTCAAAAAAAAAAAGCGACAGATGTCCTTCAAATTTCGATTTTTCACTCACTCATTCACTCATTCTGTTTTTTTTGTTTGTTATATTGGTTCCTGGTCGAATTTTTTTTTGGAAAAAAAGAGAGAGATGAACATTTTTTGGAACGTGCACTTTAGGAAATTGAAAAATGTGCCGAACCTTCATTTCATTTTGTGCGAATTTTTTGGGTCCAATTTCATTTTTTTTCTGAATTATCTGTGGTTTTCAGGAAAATCGGGCTAGGATTATTTGGTCTGAAATGTTAAATTTTTAAATTTTGTCTAACTTTGCCACGCCATTTTCTACACTGAATAGGTTTTCGGACCTAGGTTGATTTTTCTTGAGGTTCTAAAAATTTTAAACTAGAAAACTCTGCCAAATTTTGTAACGTCAGGTAAAATTCAAGAGTATAGGTTTCGCCATGATTTATATTTCCTATTCACGCTCCTAACTCTTATTTTTGTCCTCCGTTGTTTCTTTCCGATCTTCTCACATCCTCGTGTTCCTTCAGATGTTTCCATACTCGGGTTCGGGTGTCAACGAGGATGCTCGTTCGCCACGCGAAACCAATCACACTTCTCGCCGAGTTGTCGAATATCGAAAAGTCACCACTCATGGTGGAAACGGTGAAGAAGAAGATTCGACTACTGAAACTGTGACATCAAGTCGAACAACTCGTCGAATTGTTCGAACTGTCAATGGCAATACAACTGTTGAAATCATTGAACATGACTCTAACCCAATTGATCTTGGAAGTGGAAGATTTGATGATCTTCCAGAACGTTTTCGTAGAGAACTTGAAGATTTTGATAGACCTTTTAGTCGAGATCGCGATTTCTTTGGAGAAGATCGTGATATATTTCGTCATGGTGGAGGACTTCCTCATCCTCCAGCACCATTTGGTGGAGGTCCCCCACCACATCGTGGAAGAGGAGATCGCCCTCCACCTCCGCCACTTTATGACTATCCACATGGTCGAACACCAAAACAACAAATTGATCGACCAGGTACTTGACTTCAAGAAACAAGTTTTCAGAATAATATTTGAAGTTTTAGTGGAATTTTTTAATATTTATCAAATTAATATACTGACAGAAATATCCAAATTCTTAGCCCTTCAGAAAATTTAAAAAAAAATTTCAGACTTCGAGTTGAACTACGATCAATATCTGAAAGACGATGAAAGTGGTCCAGCCAGCCGTGCTCCAAAACATCGATCAAGTAATGGATTCGGTTGTAAGATCAAGGGAATTTTCGATGGTTTAGGTGGCGGAGATTTGAAAGATATTATGAAACATATGAAGAGAAGACGACCACGTCCAGGAGATCGTAAGTAACATTAAATGAAGAGTATTATTCAAATAAAAATATAATTTTCCAGCGCTCTCCAACTTTATGCTTTCTGGAAACATGGAAAAACAAGTTGATAAGCGTTGTCGTGATCATGGTCATCATTTTGGAAATATTCATCCGGATACCGGAAGAATTATGGGAGCACTTCGAGGAAATGATTTCTTCAACTTCGGAGGTCTTCATAACAATCTTGGTAATACCGGAAAGATCTATCTCGACAATTTGATCCGTGGAAAATGCAGAAAACGCAAGGTTCATAAGTTCAAGCCAATTATTCCTGAATTGCCATACGCGGATAAGAAAGATCATGATCAGAAAAAAGACGACGAGGAAGATGCGGCTGCACCAACACCAGTTGCACCAGTTGCGCCAGTGGCACCAGCTGAGCCTACTCCGGCACCAAAAGTTTCACCGACGGAACCAGTTTATCCAACTCTTCCAAAAAAGGATGATTCTGTTTCGGATTACGGTTTGGACTTTGAGACGGAACGTGATAAATGTTTGGCAAATAAGACACTTTTCGAAGATCCAGAATTCCCAGCCAATGATAAAAGTCTCTATTATAAAACTCCACCACGTCAACAAGTTGTCTGGAAACGTCCAGGAGAATTAGTTCCAAATCCACAACTTATTGTTCAAGGCGAATCAAGATTCGATGTTAAACAAGGAGCATTGGGAGATTGTTGGTTCCTAGCTGCCTTGGCCAATATCACCCTTTATGATGCGTTGTTCTACAGAGTTGTTCCTCCAGATCAAAGTTTCACTGAGAATTATGCCGGCATCTTCCATTTCCAATTTTGGCATTATGGAAAATGGGTTGATGTTGTTGTGGATGATCGTCTTCCAACTGTTAATGGCACACTTTATTATCTTCACTCTGAAACTAACAATGAGTTCTGGAGTGCTTTGGTTGAAAAAGCCTATGCCAAGTTAGTTGCAAGCTATATTTCAAATTGAAATCAGAAATTTTTCAGACTTCATGGTGGATATGAGAATTTAGATGGCGGAACCACCGCTGAAGCTTTAGAAGATTTCACCGGTGGATTAACTGAATATTTCGATTTGAGAAAATCGGAGAAAAGTGTTGTTTTGGCTGCTTTGGTGAAAGGTATTCCGATGGGATCATTATTTGGATGTTCTATTGATGTGAGTGATTTCTAGCGAGTTCTAATGAACCAACTGTAACCAAATTTCAGGCTGATGCAAATATCAAAGAAGCTCAACTTCGTAACGGCCTCGTCTGTGGACATGCTTACAGTGTCACTGCACTTCACAGTCTTACCTATAACGGTCAAGATGTTACTCTTCTCCGTCTTCGTAATCCGTGGGGTGAAAAAGAGTGGAATGGTGCATGGTCAGATGATTCATCGGAATGGCAAAGAATTGATGAGGCTACCAAAAAAGAAATCGATGTTCAATTTGCCAGAGATGGTGAATTCTGGATCTCATTCGAAGACTTTTTCGAGAATTTCACCCAAATGGAATGCTGCAATTTGTCAGCTGAAGTCTTCGATGAAATTTCAGAGATGACTGATTTGAACGTGAAAGCCAATCAACATTCAAGCGAAGAACATCAATGGCACGAAGTTTCGGAAGATGGAGAATGGAGTTCAGCAAAAGGAACTGCCGGAGGTTGCAATAACAATCCATCAACATATCCAAACAATCCACAATACATAACTTCTTTCACTGCTCCACAAAGTTCTGTTGAAGACGATGGAAATGTCACTATTTTGGTTGCAGTCTTGCAAAAATATCGAAGAGAATTGCGATCAAAAGGAAAGGATTTGTTGCCAATCGGAGTATCGATTTATAAATCCGAATCTCGTCGTCGTCTCGATGGACAATTCTTCAACTATAATCGCCCAGTTGCAAGAACTCAAGTATTTGTCAATACTCGCGAAGTTACAGTACATTTCCGTGTTCCACCAGGCGATTATATTGTCATTCCGTGCACATTTGATGCTTATGATGATGGTGATTTCTTGCTTCGTGTCTACGCTAACGGAGGTGTTCAATCAGAGTGAGTTTATATTTAAAAAAATAAAAGAGAATCGCTCTTAATTTATCTATTCTTCCAGCCTTCTCTAATTCTTCTTGTTACCAAAGTCGCCTGCTTATTTCTTTCCGTCATTTTTTCTGAATACAACGAATCTTCAACTATAGCGAAATTGAGATTATAATACTTTGTAACTGCTTTCTTTCTGTCTTTTCTAATTTAAATAAATTTCAAAAATTCATAATAAAAGCAAAATATTTGATGAAAGTAGATAATAATGATCACCAAAACAATACCCAAGACACTTCAAAAATTATGTAAAATTAAAAATCAAAAAAATATGAGAAAATCACTTCCATCTACGATGATGATATTTTTTCGGATGTATGAATTCGTCGTTTTGTTTTGACGAACCTGATGAGATTGTGCGCTTGTCCTGGAATTTTAAAGTATTAGTTTTGCCTTGGAGTAAGTTCGGAATGTTGAAAATGTTTTAACTCACATATACCTGATCATTTCGCTCTTCGCTTAGATCTTCTTCATCCTCTTCGATCATGTCGTCATCGAAATCAGATTCTGATTCAGAACTTTCATCGCGGACTGGAATGTTTGAAAATTTTACAAATCAATAGATAAAAGCGGAAAGAGAAAATTTAGAAGCTACACTATAATTTTTAAAAGTTTACATTCCTTGAGGATACGTTGAACTATTTTCGGAATTATTTTCACATGTTCTTCTCTTCCACCCCCTTGAAAAGTCGACCAGTAAAACACAATGGCAATGATTTTACTGGTCATTTTTCTCTAAAAGCCCAAGCAAAAGCTACCGGAAACCGAATATCGGAACATAAAAATAGCGTGTTTGGCGATTTCACGTGACAATTGAAACGGACGAGCTGCAATACAAGTTAGGACAAATCACAAAAGCATAAATCATGCAAAAGCTTCAGAAAACTCTTACCTAAAATCCCGATTTTTTGTCCCAACCATCTTGCTTTTTGCACCACGTCATCTTGCATCAACTTGAAACACATCGCTGAACAAATTCATGTTGTTTATATGCGTAAGTTCCGAATTTATTTTTGCAGATGTTTTTATTTCTTTTTGACAAACTTCAGCATCTAATTTTTAAAAAGGAGTATAATAACACCTTGCTACGTGATCTTTTAGATTTATGCAATTCTTATCGTTAAATATTTACAACATGCAATTTATGTGAATAACTTTTTTCTCGAACATTTTTATTAATTTGGGTTTTTCTGAGTTTCGCAAGTTTCAATGACAACTTTTGATGTTGGTTATAACAAAACCATCGAGGAAATGTATTTTCCGAACGATGATAATGAGACTAGAGCTTATTGGATGGAAGTCATATATTGGTGTCAAGATATCATTTTTCTACAGATTGGGTTTTTCGTGGTTTGTCAAATTATTTGTATAGTTAGCCTAACATTCCATATGTTCATACTTTTTCAAAAAGAAATGCGAGTTCAATCAATGAATGTTATTATGATAGGAATAAGTTTTGCGGAGATATTTTCATTTGTGAATAAATTTCACGCCTATATATATTATGAATCTGAATCTATTGAAATTGATACGTGTCAACCTGATACTTCACCATTTCCTTTACTTTCTATACTTCTGATGAATTTCATATCTTCTTATGCTATGAGAATAACAACTTGGTTGTTGGTTTCAATGGCTGTTGTTAGAGCTGTGGCCATTAAATATTCTGGAAATCCAAAGTTCAGCAAATTACAATTGGCTGCATTCGGAAACAAAGTTATTTTTGGTGTAGTTGCATTTTCTCTTCCACTTAGTATTGTTCAGTCATTGAGAACTAAATTTGTTATTATCGAAAACCAGGATGATTATTTTGAAGAGTGAGTTTCTCATGTATTTCATAGAAAACGATCAATTTCAGATGCCTAGAAGATGAAGAGCGTAATGAAAATGTCGTATTTCCTTCTTACACTATTGATCTTCAAACATTTTTTTACGAATATGATAGTCTACTTTTGAGATTGTATTATGCATCTGAATCGATAGTCTTCGAACTTCTTCCGTGTCTTATTTCCCCAATTGCAACCGCAATTTTAGTTATGAAACTAAAAGAAGTCAGCAGATCAAGGAACGCAATATTCCATAACTCATCTTCTGAGAAAACCCAGAAAACTAACAGACTGGTGATTTATATGTCAATATCATTTATGATGGTTAAAATCCCAAGAGGAATAGTAGCAGCTCTTCTTGTTTATTTTGTCGAACAATCAGGAGATTTCATTTTACTGAGCAATATTTCAAAAATTTGTAATATATTTTTCTTGATCAATTCTGTATCGCATTGTTTTTTATGTTATTTTCTATCCAATCAATATCGCAAAACGGTTATCAATATTTTTGTGAAGCCAGTCAAATCGAAATGGACTGTTTCGACACAAAGAATAGTTTCTGTATCAAGCCATACTTTGCCGCCTGCTCATTAGTCATGTTGAAATATTGCCGATCAGAAATTTTGTGACCCTTGGAAGAGAACCAAAATGATATAGAAAACTTAACTCTTTCAATACAAAAGATCAAAGCAGCCGCGAAGTCTACTGTATATTTGGCTCTTATATTTTTTGAATGGGCAAGATGAATTTTGATCATATTTTTCTTGATTTGTGATAGAAGATATTTCAAAAATATCAAATTTACAAGCAGAGTTCATTCTTCGATTTTCACCTGTTTTACGATCTACGTTTCTAGGATTTCTATAAATGTCAAGTTACTCGTATTTTGCAGAACAATTTATAATTTTGTAGCTAACTTATAATTTGTCATAGGAACATATTATTATGATTTTTTTCGATTTCCATAACATTTCTCATTTGTTTTTCTGATCTTTCGAAAAAATGAATTATTTTGTTGTATTTAAACGTGACAATGTGGATTTTGAATTTGCAAATGTTTTCGAAAAAAAATTCTGAAAACTTCAGGCAGATGCAATCGCAAAACAAAATTTCTCATTTGATGAAATGGGATTTCCAGTAGCTGTTGCTAACACTCAAGTTCAATTATATTATTTTCCAAATTATGACAATGAAACTCGCGAGTTTCTTATGGAAACCATTGATTGGTTGGACTCTGTATTTATATTAGATTTATCATTTTTGATTTATTCTCAAATAAGCATAACTCCAATTTTAGTATTTCATATGATCATTCTGTCGCATAAAGAACTGCGAAAGTCTTCAATAAATATTCAGATGATTTCTCTAGCAATTTTCGATATTCTCACTTGGTCATTGAAATTTTTCTCATATTATGTTTTTGGTTCCGAAACAATCATCATTGATACTTGTGACCCCCAGTTTACACAATTTCAAGTTGTTGGTTATTTAATACTAAACTTTATAAGTATCATTTCAAAGAAAATTACAACTTGGCTACAAGTGTCTCTATCTTTAATTCGATGTATTGCTATCAAATATGCGGGGAAAAGATTTGTTGACAAAATGACTCTGGCTCCCTTTGGATATAAAATAATACTCGGAGTAATTTCACTCGGTCTTCCCTTGAGTTTTTTCGAAATATTTAGGTTTAAATATTTGGCCTATTACAACATGGAGGATTACTACGAAGGGTAAATAATTGAACATAACAATTAGGATAAAATGTGCAAAGCCTAGAAAATCGGAAAAAAAATATTGTGCCAAGTTTTTTTTTGCTTTTCTGTATTTTTAAATAGTTTTTGCGTTTTGTACTTCCCTTTCATAAATTTTTATATAGATGCGAAGAAAACGAAAATCGACTAGAAAATATCACATTTCCTTCCTTTTCAATGGTATATCGTAAATGGTACTATTCATATGATAGCCTTCCAATCAGACTGGTATATTTCTTTCAATCTATATTTTTCGAATTATTACCATCTGTTATTTCACTTGTGTCTACTGCAATACTCGTCTTTCAATTGAACAGAATTAATAAGATAAGAAGTTCGCATTCTAACACATTAGAAGAAAGTCACAAAACTAACAAACTAGTAATTTGTATATCAATTTGTTTCATTACTGTTCAGATTCCACGTGGAATAATCTATGGATCACAAATTTATATTGCTGAACAATTAGGAATCACAGTTTTATTAGGATACGCGGCAAAAATTATTAACATTCTTCACATTTTGAATTCAGTTTCTCACTGTGTTTTATGTTATATGCTTTCTCAACAATATCGAAACGTGGTTTATGAAATTCTTGCAAAAGTTCACCTAACGAAGAAAAAAGAATTGAAGAGTCAACAACAGAACTCTCAATCACAACATGCCTCTAATTTGACTTTTATTGAATGAATACATTTTTGATGATTTGGGATTGTAAAAAACGAAAAATTTCAGAGATTTTCGAAAGTCAGATGTTCGTTATTCATCACTTACCCAAAAAACCCACTCACTAATGAAAACCCAAAACTCACCAATCAATGCCATTCCAAACAACAAGTATAATGCACACGCAATTAATTTTTCCTGACTTCCTTCATCTAATGCTTGTCCTGGTACAATATCACCAAATCCAATTGTACTCAGAGTGATAAAACAATAATAAGCCCCATCAAACATATTCCAATCTTCCCAAAGTGAAAAAAGAAGAGCTCCGCCAATGATAAATGCGCAAACTATACAAATACCAACACTAACTGGCATTTTCTCATGAGCTCGATGACCCTGCAAATTGTTCATAGATTCTAGAAGTTTTTAAAAATACTCACATTTCGTCTTAATGAATGTAATGACATTTCATCAGATCTTTCCGATCTTCCAGATCGATATGATCGATCATCAAAATCTCGCATTCTTCTCGATGTACTACTATCCATACTTGGCTGTTTGTGTTGAACCATCGAATGCATCATCATTTCTTTTTCTCGAAGATCTCGATTTGAATTAGTTCGACGAAGAACATTGTTGGATGTTTTGTGAGTTTGGGGATGCATGTCCTCTTCGTCAGTGAGAGACATCTGAAATTTATAACTCTTTCAGTGACTAGATCGTAATTTTCAGTTCAACCCAGTCTTGCTCCAAAAAAATCACTTACACTAGTCTCCTCTGTCTTTTCAATATCACTCTTCACATCATCATCCCTCGTCCTCGATATCACAACATTCGGCAACTCTTCTCTTCTCTTCTGTCGATTCACCAAATCATGAAATGCTGCAGCAGATCCACCGTATGCTTTCAAATCAACAACCCCTTCTTCAGGTTGTTGTGCTCGCACCAATAATCCACCTTTATATTCTCGAGCTGGACTTTCACTAACTGCATGTCTCCCTCGTCTTCTCTGCCTTTTTTCATCACTGTATAATTGTTCCATATTGATTGCCGTGTTGGATTTTTGCAGATTTCCAGCCCTAAAAATCAAGAAATTTTCAAGCTTCAATGATTCTTCCTACCTTTTCGGAAATACTTGTTGCCTAGGCAAAGTTCCATTTGGACTTCGACTATTTGTGCTGATTTTCCTTCTACCAGGAAGTGACATTGTGTCAAATCTTTGAGCTGTTGATGTTGTTTCATATCGATTGAAACTTCGAACACTTTTCGTATCATTACTTCGATTTCTTGAGCGATTTAGTGAAGCATGACGGCGAATTGTGTTATATCGTTGATTACTTCGAGAAGATTGAACTGAAAAATGTATATTGAAGTGGGGATTTGGATTATTGTCAGGCCTAGCTTTTTATCAATACAGGAGTACTAATCTTGAAAATCTAGAAGCTCAACCTGGTTAAATAACTCACCTCTTCTCACATTCACCGCCGCATTCGGATGATATCTGAAACTGAGCGCCGCCCGTCGAACACGTCGTCGATTTTTCTGCCAACGACAATACGCACAACATAATTTGAAATAAATATAGGTGAAAACTTGAGCCAAAGTTTCGGCAATATTCGCCAAACATAAAAGCATTAGAGGTATTCCAAGCATCGCATAAAATATTGTCAAAAGACGACCCGCGTCTGTTTTTGGGCAAATATGACCGTATCCTGCAAAAATAATTGGATTTTGTGGTAGATGGCCCATTTTTTCAGCTGGCCCATTTTTAGCCCTTGCTGGCCCTCAATATCGTCTCCAGGAAAAGATGTGCTTTGTGTTTTAATCGCATTAAAAATCTCAGCCGTTCCCCTTTTTTTCCAGCCCACACCTTTCTCTCCCCAAAAGGACGTCATTTCAATTTATCTGTAAAAAATCAGTGTGGTGTTTCAATGGTCCCCAGGGAACTTATGCCAAATATATGCGTGCGCATTTTAGTTGACAAGACAAAAAATTCGGTTTCTATTTTTTTTTGTTTGTGAAAAAAGTGCCACAATGGGAAGAAATTTGAGTTATTAGGGGAAAAAGTTCCCAACACCAACCTATAGTTGTGAAAACCGTGATTGAATATAGAAGAGCACCAGAAAATGTCCATTGATAAGTTGGATGCTCTTCGTCGTGCTCATCATATCCTTCGAAATTCATTGCGGCCACTAAAAGTTCTTCGAAATTCTTTAGAACTTCGTGCGATCTTTCTTTGACTGCAGATTCTTCAATCACATGTCCTTCGTTTATATAAGCATATATTAAATCGATAACCTGAAAAATATGAAATTGGGTTTGGTAGAAAAATTCGATGGGGTTTGAATTTTCAGAAAAATTAATTCGACTTGTGAACTGTTAAGAAGTTACGCAAGTTAAGAGAGATGGTCAGATCTTCAGAATCTCATGATTTCGATGAGCTCTTCATTTTTCTTTGAATCTGAAAGTCGTATTTCTCAAATCCTTACCTTCTCTGTTCCATTTTTGACCCTTCCCTGCAAACTGATTTCATGTGGAAATTCAACAGATCGAAAAATGAATGCACCGCCAACAGCATATAAAGCAACCAGGAAACAGAGGCCAACATGAGTTAGCGTAAATACAGTGGCATGACGAACGAATGTGGTAACTTTGAGGCAAAAAGATCTAACCTCATCCCTCATAATTTACAACTTTTTTGGTTTTACCTCACTTCCATTTGGAAATCTGTCAAAAATTTATTTATTTATTTATTTATCAACAACAAAATTTTTGGAAAAAATCGAGCTTTTTCTTGCGTGTTAGAAATAAAAAAGCAAAAGAAGACGACTCTTTTTCTCGCCACAATACAAAATAAATCCCAATGGGCCAACCGGAAACGCGCATCACATCCATTTTTGTTGCTTCTTCTTCTTCTTCTTTTTCTTTTTTGACTAAACAAAAAGTGGAAGAAAAAGAAGACGAGGAGGGGAAAAATCAAACTACTCGGGTTTATTTTTGAAACCAAATGTGTCTGCGAAAAACTTCCCGAAAATTCGAAAAAAAAATACAAAAAGTGGGACGAACCGGGGATTGAACCCGGGACCTCCCAAAGCGAGAATCATACCACTAGACGAATTCGGCCAGATGTCTCGTGTAGGCTACAATAGTATTGGTAAGAATGATGAAAAAATCACGTGTTGAGACAAAAGTCAGGAAGACATTTCAAATTGAGTTCTGTTTTTTTTCCTGCAAATTCAGTTCAGTTTATTCAATTTCTCATGTGTGTCCAATAAAAAGGGTCCGACTACAGAAAATCCATGTTTATCTAAAGAAGGAAAACGGGAGAACTTGATCGAAATCAATTTTTCTCTTTTCGATTGAACGCAAAAATGGGAGATAAACATCTATTTTTGAATCTATCCTCAAGTCGACACACATTTAATTCCATTTTCAATCCTAAAATGTGTTGTTCTTTTTTGGGACATTTTTGCAGGTCAAAAAATCAATTGATTTTCCATTTTTTTTGTATTTTTGAAAAAAAAAGTTTGAAAAACTATTGGTTTCCGGGGTTGCTGCGCTGCGAGACCCGCGTGCGCCTTTGAATTTTAAAAATTGGTTGGCACAAAAAGGGGTTAATCTATTTAATTTTGAAGCTACAGTACTATTTTTAATTCAGAAAGGGTGCGCTCCTGATGGAAAAGTAGCTAGTAGTATTTTTACACACTGTAAAATTTATGAATTTCTTTTTCAAGAAAACTCAAATTTCCAGAATGCACCGAACATTACAGCGATCAATATCAATAGTAAATCGAAAACTTCGATATTTAAATGGTCGAGCTGGTGGAATTGGTGATTGGATCTATCGATTTTCCCTCATATTTTTCGCATTTTTATGTGGTTCAGTTTGGTATTCAAGAACAATTAACATGTGGGCGATGAAAAATATTGGAGACACATTTTTGAGAAAAGAGATCTGTTAGTTTTCCCGGAAATGCAAGGGTCAAAAGTTCAACAAACTAATTTTGCAGATTCTCGTCAGATAATTCTTGGTGCATTTTGGCGTGATGAAAGTGAACAAAATGTAGAGGGAAGATATGCGGTGATACATTTTCTAGCTGATGGAAGAATGGAACATCCGCTGTATTGTTTTTCGATGCAAGCAAATAATCGATATATGAGTAGGTTTTGAAAAAATGGGAACTTTTTTTCAAAAAATTTCCTGCGAGGGTTAATTTTTCCTGCAGCAGAAGTTTTTTATTATGAAAATATGAGAAAAATAATCGTATTAATATTTTTTGATTAGAGGAGTGCAATATGTTCTAAGTATTGCTATTGAGCAGAAATGTTCAAATTCGCACGGTGGGTCACAAACTAATTGTTGGGAGAAAATTGAAATAATGAGAGATAGGAATAAGATGGAATGCTTGAAAGAAAACATTGAAAATATTTTCTGGTACGTCGGGGATGTTTTTAAAGGCATGAATTGTCTGTAATTATGTCTAGACCTTGTAAATTATAAATTTTAGAGCTATGGAATCTGATATTGATATCCTGTGTGATCAACTGCTAATTGAAGTTGCGGGTGTAGATTTTGTGAATTCAAAAAACATTCAAGCTTCTGCCTAATGAAAAACAAAGCGTGTAAATGCTGAAACTTTCATTACGAATATTTCGGTTTTTCGGATTAATAAAATCGTATTAAACGAGCACAATATGTTTCATCACTAAAAACTGATTGTCTGGCACAGTAATGTTTGTCACCGCACGGCGGATTGCAAATATATTCTTCCGAGAAAATCGAAATAATAAGAGTTAGGAATAAGATGAAATATTTTAGAGAAAACATTTTTTTTAATTTTTTGGAATTCCGGCGGGTGTTTTTAAAGACATGGATTGAATGATGTCTAGACTATGGTAACCGCTTGTTGGTTCAACCATTTTTATTTTTAGCTAATGAATTCGAGATTTAAAAAATTTCAAATTTGTTGAAATCTCTTATTATTCCAGACTTATCCAATTTTCTCTATAAGGCGTAAGAATTCACTCAGGCGTTATTTAAAAAAGCCGCCAAAAAATTTCTCTGTAAGTGTTTTTTAATTACATAATAAACATTAAGATCCTATCGATTCTAGTTTTTTCATTACGTAAGAAGCATAAAAAATTTATTTTCACAATCAGAAATTTATAATTTCATACAATAATTTTTTTCGCTAGTTCTTGCTCTTTGACATCTCCATCCTTTATCGCATTCTGGTTCACATTTCAGAGCAAAAATTTGAGAAGCCATGAAAAATACAAAAATTAGAGACACCAAGATTCTCGACATTTTCTGTTTGGAATTAGGAAATTTGGGTTCGCAGAGGATTTTAAAAGATATTCGCTGAGAAAATTCCACGTGGATTGAGGCGTTGTTGTTGAAAAAATATGAAATGTCTAAGAGTCGTTAAAAATCTGAAAATAATTTTTCAAAAATTACAGTAACCCGTGCGAATGTTCAACGAATTCATCGAGGAAAAAGAGCATCTTCGGATATTTGCTCATGGGCTGGACATATTGCAGAATGTGAATTGGATGTACATTCATTCAAAGATTTCAAGTTAGTTTTTCTATTCAACTTCTAAACTGCCACGTGAACTTTTTTTTTTTGAAAAATTGAATTGTTCATTTCGAACTCGAGTAGGTTATGTTTTATTCCGAGAAAGAATTCTTCAACTTCCAAAGTTGAAGAATGCTGATCCACATTACCAAGTCATTTTTATTTCAGAATCAGTACAACACCAAATGTGGAAGATTCAATGTTAATCACTCCTGAAACTCCATTAAAAGAGCCACGTCGACATGATATGGTAGTTTGTATGGCTCCAATGTATATTTATACCGATTGGGAAATTCTGATAACTGGAATTGAAACTTGGCTCGCCATGGGTGCTTCGAAAATCGTTGTTCCTGTTCAATCTGCCTCAAATGCCACCTATAAAATTCTGCAAGAATACGAGAAAAAGGGGCTTGTCATAATTAGACCTTGGTCAAAATGGCCTATTCTATCAGATACCAATCCGAATGGTCTTGTTTTATCTCGAGGAATTGAAGAGTCTCATGTGAATTGTTTATTCTTTGTGAAACCTTGGTCAGATATTGTCGTGTTTTCGGATATTGATGACTTTTTATTGCCACTTCAACCGGAGACTTTGAAATTTGGAGATAATTTGAGAATTATTAGGGAATTATTCGCTGAACATCCACAATCTGGATCTTTGCTTTTTGAACATCGAGATGTGCAATTTGTACCGCCACAAATTGAAGGAGCTCAGAGTTTGGCAAAGTTTAATTTTGAGTTTTTGAGAAATTCGAAAAATAAAATGAATTGCAATGTTTGGAGAATGAAGACAAGAGTTGTTGTGAATGCTAGTAGGTTTTTTTTTAAATTTGAAACATGGCTCATAATCATAAAGCATCTGAATATTTGAATTTCAGGTCGTGTTGATAGTGTTAATATGCACGAAACTGGAATTCATCGATTAGGATATGTTCAAACTCGAGTTCCATGTCGCCAGGCTCATTTTTATCATCTCAGACACTCGCATAACACAGTTCCCTCACCAACACCAATCAATATGTCACCATTTGCTGATTTATTGAACAAGTGAGTTAATTTCGCTCTAACGCACTATTTCTTATTGAAAAATAATTTTTGCGATAGAGCGCATTTGATTTTTCAGACAATGGACTGAACGCCTAGAAACATTCACCGATTTCAAAACCCAATTTTTGAATAAAACAAACACGGAATATTTGGAAGATTTTGATCGTTGTATGGGTGCAATTAATGACGAACATTGGAGTATGAAAGTTAGTTTTTTTATTTCAGAAGCCCTCTGCATCTCTAACCATGTTTCTCCAGGTCTCTCGATGTCTAACTCCACACGTATGTTTCAGTCGCCTGAGGCGGCAAGTTGATTGCGTTGCTGTGGCTTCAGATTATGAATTTTATCGATCAGGAAGGGGTTATTTTATGAATCCTATTAATTGTGAGTTTCCAATTTTGAAGCATAACTGATTTTCGAATAACTGAATTTTTCAGCACGAATTCAACGATCTGAAACAAATTGCGAAAGCCCAACGCCCGAATTCATTGCCGGTAATCATTATTTTTCACCTTAACATAATTGTAATTAGAAAATAAATTATTTATTGTTTTGTTCTTATATTTATTCATTCAAACAGTTAATAGAAATGTATAATTGAAAATAAGAAAATAAGATCCCCGTCGCATTTTGAAAATTAAATTTACAGAATTTTTGCAACGTATTTTTCGCTATATTCGAAATAACAATATTTTTCGACCAAGTTTCACTTAATCGGAAGAAAAAATATTTTCATCATTTATCTACTTTTTAACGCAAAATTACATTCGCTGAAAATTACTGAAAACCCCTTGAAACACGCATTTTTTTTCTGAAGAAAAAACGGCAACGCCAGTTTAAAGGGACATGAACCGTTTGTAATGGAAAAACTCAGATTGGCTGAACCATATGAAAAGTTATATACACCATTAGAATCTACGTAAAAAACTGCATCGAAATAAGGTTCGAGTGGTGGATTTAGTGTAACTTTTTTCTCGCGGTATTCGTGACGGGACCCTATTGCTTTTTCGAAAAAATTTCCTTTAAGAGAGAGCGTGCGAAAAAGAGAGACGCTATTGCGCAGAGACATTTTGTGTGCAAACACGCTGACGCACAAATGCACCACACACGTAGGGGTTCGCACCGTAGTTTTTTCAGCAATTTCCTCGCTTGAAAATACGTGGAAAAATAATAAAACTTTAAAGTTTGAATAATTTTTGTTTGCAAACGAGAAAGTGCGCCCCACTGCACACGCCTTTTCTTTTCATTTTTTTTCCGCGTTCCTTTTTCTTTCTCTTTTTCCTCCTTGGTTTCTGTGTTCTTCAAACAATTTTGTTTGATTTCTAGGTTAAAATGTCAGTTTTCCGACATCCGCAAGCAACGCCTGGTCGAAACGTGAGTTTTTTCCAACCAATTTCCTAAAAAAAAAGTGGATTTTTAGTATCAACAACCAGAAATGTCGATGCGAATGCCAAAACCGCCAGAGAGACCACTTCAACCATACATGCGATACAGTCGAAAAATGTGGCCAAAAGTACGTGCTGAAAATCCAGACGTACAATTGTGGGACATTGGAAAAATTGTGGGGAAAATGTGGGCGGATTTGGGAGACGCAGAAAAATCAATGTTCCAACACGAATACGAAATGGAACGAATGGATTATGAAAAACAAATGAAACATTTCCAAAATAGCGGATATTCGAGTTTTATGTCGAGTAAAGGAAGAGCAAAACAAAATGAGAAAATGTCGAGAGGAAGAATGGATGCTGGTGGAGTTGTTATACAACCAGTTGATGAAGAAGATGGATCAAATGAAATGACTACAAGAAGAATGGCTGGAGTTAGGTAAGATATTTAGGAATTTGAGGGAGGGTCTGTTTGCAAAGAGTTTTTTATCACATATGTTTCCTTATAGTTTTACAATTAGTCTTGAAACGGCTTTTCTATTCAAAAGGTACCCTATCAAACATTTATATAATTTCATCCCACCTTTGAAGTTTTGGACAACATTTCAAACAGTGATAATTTCTAGTACTAGTTTCATTTCGTTTTAGGTTTGACCGAAATCATCGTCTCATCGCTGATCTCTTTTCTCCTACAATGGTCACTGATACAAGAACTGTAAGTGTTTTCTTTTGAAAATTATCTCATTCATTTTTTATTTCTGTAAATGATTCCAATTTCTTTTCAGATCGTTGCTCAACATCGAATGGATATGTTAAAACGTCAAGCAACTTCATTGGCTCAACATCAAAGTAAACTCGAAGAAGAATTGGTCAAACTTCAAACAACTCATACAACAAGAAAACGAGCAATTGAAAAAGGTTCCGATGAATTTCAGGAAGAGTTGAAAAAAGTTGTTGATGAAAAACCAGTGGTTGATGAGGAAAAATTCGAGGAAACAGTGAAAGAATGGGAAGAGAAATTGAAAGAGGCTTATGAAGAATATAAGAAAAAGTTGGAAGAAATGACTGCGAAAGCAGCTGCAACTGCACCGGTTTTGAGAAATTTGGTGATGGATGAACCAGCGAAAAAAGATGAGACGGAAAATACTCCAGCTGAAAATAATGGTGAAAAACCAGCTGAAAGCGAAACTACAACTGAAAAACAAGAAGAAAATGGAGAAGAAGTCGAAGACGAAGAAATGGCTCAAGAAGAAGAGGAAGAAGACGAGCCAAAGGAATAATTTCCCAAAAAATGTATTTATTTTTTATTTTCCAAAAAAAACTCCGATTGATAACAAATGGTCTCGTTTCTATTTATTTCTTTATTATATAAATTTTGCATAACTTTTTTGTTCATATTTCTGTAATTTTAAGAATAGGAATTTTCCGGAGTATTCTATTTTTGCTATATAAACTTCAGTTATTAAATATTTTATTACAGGGTGAAAATCATGGAGAAGTTTTTGGCGGAAAACAAGTTGCGGAAAATTGCATTCATAACGGTGGGAACATCAAAAATAATTTATTTTAAATAAAACAAAAAAGATGGGCCGAACCGGGGATTGAACCCGGGACCTCTCGCACCCAAAGCGAGAATCATACCACTAGACCATTCGGCCGACAAGAAGTCGAGAGAAAATTTTATATTTGATTAGTGCGGCGGGAAAAAATCGATATTTTCTTATTCAATATAAAGTTTTTTGTTTACAGAGCGGTGGAACACAGGTTCCATTAGAAAAAAATACGGTTCGATTCATTGACAATTTCAGCGCTGGAACCAGAGGAGCATCAAGTGCCGAGTAAGTTTTGAAATAAAAAAACTTCATCGCTGAAAGAAATTTTGCCAAAATTCCAGATATTTTCTCCGAGCCGGCTATGCTGTCATTTTCATGCATCGCGAAGAATCGCTGAAACCATATTCTCGTCATTTTTCCAATCTATTTTCAACACTGCAAATCAGCGGCGACCAAGTGATTTGCAATGCGCCAAAAATTCGTGAAATTTTGGAAGAGAAGGAGAAATTCAAGAATAGGATTTATTATGCACCCTTTAAAACTTTTGATCAATATATGCAACTTTTGGAGCAGGTAAAATTTATCGATTTTAAGTTTTTTTGAATTGAAAAAATTAGCGGTGGAGCACATTTGAATTTTTTGCAGATTTGCCAACACATAAATCCATTGGGAAGTCAGGCTTTGGTTTATTTGGCGGCTGCAGTTTCGGATTTTGTTGTCACAGAATTGGTGAGTTTTTGGAGTGGTTTCGATTTCTAGTGCTTGCAGAAATTTGGGAAAATTAGAAAAACGTTCCAAATTTTTTTAAAATCTATATAAATTTTGGAACTTCAGGTTACTGTAGCTAGAATTCAAGTTGAAAAATTCCAGATTACTGTAGCTTTTGTTTATTTTCCTACAGTTTGTGATCTACAAAACTTCTCGAGATTTTTTTTTGGTTTTTTAATAGCTATAATTTTTAGATGAAGAAGTTCCAGATTACTGTAGTTTTTCGTAATCTGTCGAGTTTTTCATCAATATTTCTAAGCAGAGTATTGTAGTCGATTAAACAATTTAAACTTCGAATTGTAATCAAAATCATAGACTATATTTTTTCCAGCCAACTCACAAAATGGCCAGTGATTCTGAATTGAATCTAGGCTTGAGTGTTGCTCCAAAAGTTATCGAAAGAGTTGTCAATTCATATGTTCCCAATGCATTTATTGTTTCTTTCAAACTCGAAACCGACGCCGAAAAATTGTTGCCAAAAGCCAAATGCGCTCTAGCGAAATACGGTCATCAATTGGTAATTGCAAATATGTTATCAACTCGAAAACACCGTGTAGTTTTTGTGCAACAAAATCAAGAAAACGGTGAAGAAATCACAATTGGACCAAGCGAGGAAAATATTGAAATTGAGGAGAAAATAATTGAAAGAGTTGAAGAATTGCATAATGATTTTATTAAAAAAGCATAGGAAAAATAGAAAAAAAAAAAGAAAAAGGCCATAAAAATGTCACTATATAATAATAACAGTTATAAATATTTATTATTTACTTTTACGAAAAAAAAAGTATGATGACCAAAAAAAGATTATTTATCAAAGAAATTTTTAATTGCCCTCAAACAATTTTTTTTATTGTATCTATATTTATTATTATTTTTGTGACTGTTCTTTTCGTCGTTCAAAACTATTTAAATAAACCATATTTTTCAACGAATTTCAAAGTTTTTAAGAGAAATATCTGAAGTTTCGCTTTTTATGTCCTTCGAAATCGAACGGGTAAAATAGTGTTATCTGATCGAACACAGTCATTTGAAGAAACATTTCGAATTCGATTTGAAATTATTTTAATTATAGCCAAGTATTTTCAGTTTTCATATCAAGTTAAAAATGGATACATTGACTGCAATTCAGAATTTGGCAGGGATGAATGATTTTGCGTTGAGGATTTTTCGAAATCCATCGAAATTGGATGATTTTAGTGAGTTTGTGCAAGTGCGCTCTAGCGAACATATCGATTTTTATTTTAAAATTGTTTGGTTCCCTTCGAACACATTGTTTTATTTTTGAAATTTCAATTTATCTAATGGCTATTTATTTTACCTTTCTTATCTTTGTTGCTCCGCGGATTTATCCAGTAATCCCCCGCTTTTTTGAGCCGATTTGTGTTGCTCGTCGCAGGTAAAATCCATGAAGAGACGCAGAAAGTCAGAGAGTTTTAAGAAGATTTACCTACCCTAAACTGGCTCTTCTCTTTCTTTTTCATATTTTTCATAATTTTTTTCGATGTAACAAAAAAATAATGGAGAGAGGTATTTGGGGTTTTTGGGGAGAATTCCAGAAAAATATATCTAGATTTTTTAGAATATTCTTCGGATGATTTCGAAGTTCCACCAGGATTTCCAGTCACTGCGAAATTGGTGGAATTTCGAGGACAACAAGTCGCAGCTTTTGATATTGGAAATAAAGAGATGATTTGTTTACCACAGGTCAGTTTTGTAATAGGAACGGGCGCGGCCGAATTGGATTTCTAGGCCACCAAAAAAACTTTGGAGAAAAATAAGTTTAGGGTATATATCTCAAAAATAGAGTAAGCGTAAAAAATAGAGGATTATCCTTGTTTACTATATTTCTGACGTGTTATTTTCTCAGTAGAAGAAGTTTGAAATACGGTAGATTTATTTTGAAAAAAATCTTCTCTTTAAAATTTGTTCCGATTTTTTCCAAAACAATTTCCCAAAAAATCCACGTGGCTTCAAGTTTCAACCACCAATGTCTTCTTCCTTTTTTGGTGTCAAAAATATCTCTCACCCACACAATTTTATCAATTTTTTTGATGTCCAAAAAATCTGGATAATCCTTCAAATTTTTGACGCAAAACTGGGATTTTTTGAGGTTTATGAATTGTTTTTGAAAAATATGGTTGGCGGTTTGCACACGGTTTATACAAAACTTCGAAGATTAGACATAAATCCATTGATTTGCAATGTTGAACAAGTTCGAGCACTTCGAAGTTTGGGAGCAATTCAACCTGGTGTAAATCGATGTAAACTTATTGAATCCACAGATTTTGATAAATTGTATGAAGATTGTACAAGCACTTGGTAAGATTAAAATCTAGACACTGATATAAAATAATCCAATCTATTTTTCTAGCACCCGCCCAGGCCGCCCATCAAAACGTGGCTGTGGTGGATATGATGATCTATGGATGGTGAATCCACCAACAATTAATATTAAAAAAGAGAAAATTGAGGAAATTGCTGAATCGTCTTCTTGTTCAACATCTGGATCCGCTTCAAATTCTTCAGTTTTCAATCAACTTTTGCCACAATTTACGACACAGCAACTTATTATGCAACATTTTGTTGCGCTTTCACAGCAACAACAACAACAAAGAGAGCAGAACAAAGAAGAGGAGGATGGCAATTTTGAGGGGTAACATTTATTAGAAGTTGAAAAAAAGTATCATTTTAAAAAATTGCAGAATTCAAAATTTTATGGATAAAAGTTATGAAGATATTGAATTTTAATTACAAAAATCAGCTTTTCGGTTACTGTAGCTCGTGGAAAACGTTTTTTTTTTCAAAATTTAAATTCTGGTCCTACATTTTAGTTGGAAAGATTTTGATTTTGTGTGTTTATTTCAAGAAAGCTACAGTAATAAAATGAGCTAAGCTGAAATTATGCCACGTCATAGCTTCAATGTTTTATGTAAATATTTTTTTTCTAGTTTTAGTTTCCGGAACTGAAATTCCCCTGAGAACTCGAAATGTTTCCAATTAAAAATTGAAAGTTTCTGTTTTTTGAACTTCCAATAACATTTTGTGGAAGTTTTTCTGTTTTCACCGAATTTTTTCAGACCTGTTGATGGCGGTGGAACACCTTTGAATTTGAGCAAAAGCGGTTCTGGATCCGGAAATTCAGAAAACAATGATTCTGATTCGATGGAGAATATGAGAAAAGAAGATGTGGGTTTGAATTTGGGATGATCGGAATTGAGTTGGAATCAGAACTTCAACTTCCAAAATTCGTATCGCGACTAGCCTCGCCTTAAAAGCCTCTAAATAAAAACCAAAAACAAAAATGTTTGTAGAGTTCCCCAAACAATTCAATGAGTGATCGAGATCGAGCTGGCTCGAATTCAAATTCGATGTCTGTCGAAGGAAGTAGTAGTAATCGCGGTGACACAAATCTGATGAATAAAATATTGTCGCTGATTGAAATCACTTCGGAACAATTCAAACATGAACGACAAGAATTGTGGAGGGAACGAAGTTGGTTTCAAAAATGTGTTTTTCAGAAAAAAAAATCGTGCAACTGAATTTTCAGACGAGATTCAACTTCTACGCGAAAGTTTTCACAAAATTGTGCAGGAAGAGAGGGATTTGAGAGTGAAATTAGAGAATCAGACGAGAAAATGCGGTAAATAAAGGGGGGATCTAAAATTAAAATGTATTTCAAAAAATTCAGGTTCTTATGAGCGACGCTTCAAATACATGCAACAACAATTATTGTTGGCGAGAGGCGAACTTCGAAGAAATCGCAAAAAATCGAGGAAAAATGAAAAGGCAGAGGGAGATAATCAAGAACCTTGTGAATAGATGAAATAAAGTTTTATCTGATTTTTTTGATACAAGGTTTTGATTATTTTTTTGCTAGGAGCATTGTCGAGAATTTAGGTCTGGCAAGGAGAAGCGCCTTGAGACCCACAGTGGCTAGGCTCGGTGCCTTGAAAACTTCAATCAGAAGAAGCTGCCTCTAGTAAAGCTAGTTGTCAAGAAAGTGCAACTAGAGAACCAATTTGGCTAGGAGTCGCGCCTTGAGAGCGACCGTGGCTAGATACGGCGCCTTCAAAAATTCTGGATCCTCGAATTTTCAGAAATTGTCCCCTTGTAAAATTAATTTTCCCTCTGAAAAATCACAATTTTTTGAAGTACAAGCTGACTAATTTTATGAGAAAGTTCACAAAATTATTTCTATTTTTACCCGCAAATTCCAAGAAATTATATCAAAAATCACCAAATTTTTGTCATTCTTTTGTTGTCAACTTGGCTCCGCCCACAAACGAAACCCAAGCCTCTTTCATCATAAAAATTATAAATTTATTGCTTTTTTAATGATGTGCTCGCGGAGCTCTTTTTCTTGGAACTTTGGTAATCTATCCATCTATCTTTTCATTTTTCAGATGTTTGTTTCTCGAATTCTTTGGTTTTTCGCAATTTTCAGCATTATTTTTGCTGAAAATGAAAATGAGAGTTCATCTGAATCGGCAGAAGAAATTGAAGAAGTTATTCCGGTTTTTGTCGATTTTGAGAATCTTGAAATTGCGGGAGCTCAAAAATTGGGGAATTCTCAGAAAATTGATGTTCTCCGAGTTTTGAAAGATTTTCCCAGAATTTTTAATAGCACTGCGGAGAATTTGAAAATTCTGGTCCCTGAAATGTTTGCTGAAAATTCGACAATGTTTTGTTCTGGACTTCAAGTTACCCCAAGAAGTTTGTCATTAAAAGTTTGATATATTCCCCAAAAAAATAATATTTTGCAGAATATATCGAATTATATTTGAAGCATAAATCTCGCCTCAATGATTTTTCAATTCAAAATGTCGGAATTCACATTTATCCAGATGGTACTGTCAAATGTTCAGGATTTTACATTTGGAATCAAATTGCGCTTCGAAAATTCATAATTACTTTTGTTGAAGAAAATGGACATCAGAAAATCGATTTTGCAATCATTGTTGGATGCTAAATCTCTCTTTTTTGCAGTTTTCACACATAAATCATTATTTAGAACAGAAACTACAGTAATTTTTTTAGAAAACAAAAAAAAAAGAAAAAAAAGTCAATTTGAATCGGCGCCGTCGTGTTGTCTGCACACTCTTCTCTCTCATTTGCATTGGAGCGCGCTTGCCGCCTCTTCAGAAAAGCAAAAAATTATTTTCATTTTTGCAGTTTTTAGGCTTTCGGCGTGGTTTTTGGCTACGGTACTATCGATTTTAGGCCAAATGGCGTCTTTTTTGTTAATTTTCGTTGTGTTATTCGTGAAAATCGCGGTTTTTTGCTCTAGAAAATTGTATTTTATGTTAAATTTTTAGATGGATTTTCTCGATAATCAAGCCGAAGAATCGGAAGGTGATTCATCTGTAGCATCGGGTTCTGATGATGAGCCAAGAAAAAAGAAGATGAAGCTGAAAGAAAAAGGAAAGAAAAGTGGAAAGAAACGAGTTGTTGAAAGGTAATTCTTATATTTTTGAAGCTGAAAAACATTTTTGAAAAATTTTAGTTCTGACGAAGACGACGATGAAGATGATGAAGAGGAAGGACGTAAAGAAATGGCTGGATTTATTGCTGATGAAGATGAAGACGAAGATGATGCAAAATCAGAGAAATCTGGCAAAAAATCGGATGAAGAAGTCGACGATGATCTTGATGATGACGATTTAGACTTGATTAATGAAAACTTGGATATACAATCGTCAAGAACACATAAACCTCGAGTTGAATTGGATTCTGATGATGAAAATGATCAGGAAAGAATTGGAAGAGAGATTTTCCAATCAAGAGGAGAAGAGGAAGAAAGATCGGAAAGAGGTAGTGGAGATGATAGAAGACGATATTCTGACTCGGATTCGGAACATTCTGATAATTTTATCGAAGAAGATGATGAAAATGCGAGAAGAAGACATCGAAAAAGAAGGAAACATGATGAAACTATGCCGGAAGGAGCTGAAGATGATGCAAGAGATGTTTTTGGTGTTGAAGATTTCAATTTCGATGAATTTTATGATGACGATGAAGATGGTTTGGATGACGAAGAAGAGGAAGAGATAATAGAAGATGATGGAGATGGTGGAGAAATAAAAATAAGACGGAAGAAAGATCCATCAAAGAAATCAACACTTTTGGAAGCTATTGAACCAAGTGAATTGGATCGCGGATTTTTGTCGGCGGCGGATAAGAAAATTCAGATGGAAGATGCGCCAGAAAGGTGGGAATCTATAGAGAAAACTGGTTTTTAAATAAAAAATCAACATATATTTAGGTTCTTACTTCGAAAAACTCCAGTTACTGAATGTGATGATGAAGAACTTGAAAAAGAAGCCAAATGGATCTTCAAATATGCATTTGATACAGATTCAGCAATGAATCAAACATCAACTCATGATTATGATAAATTAGCGTGTCTTCTGAATCTTGACTCAGATCAAACAGACCAAAAAAGAGCAGAAGTTGTTAATTCAATTCGAGAAGTCTTGCGGTTTATTCGAGTCAAGGCAACATCTTTCGAAGTTCCATTCATTGCTTTTTATCGAAAAGAATACATTGATCAAACACTGAATTTGAATAATTTGTGGAAAGTTTATGAATATGATGAGAAATGGTGTCATTTGGTGGAAAGAAAACAGAAAATGTCTGAATTGATTCGAAGAATGAGACATTATCAGGAAAATGCGGATGATGTTTTGGCAGCGAGAAGAATGATTTCGGAAATGGATATTATTGAGTAAGATTTTTAAGAAAATTATTTCGAGGTTGGGAAAAAAGAACGTGACCTGCATAGTTCCTTTTTTAGAATTTGATATTTAAATTTAAAAACTATCATTTTTCAGTGTGAATTATGCTGAAACTATGGAACAATTAACTGATATGCATGCGAATTTCCAATTATTATATGGTGCAAGTATCGAATCAATGGTTCAATGGGAGAAAAACAAGAAATTAGAAGATGGTGAAGAAGAAGAGGATTATAAAGCTCGATTCAAAGCAAGTATTCGAAATGACAGATATCAAATGTGTGTTGAAAATGGAATTGGTGAATTGGCTGGAAGATTTGGATTAACAGCTAAACAATTTGCTGAAAATTTGGATTGGAAAAAACACGAAGTTGAACAGGATGAAGAATTGCCGCTGGATGCAGCTGAGAATTATGTTTGTTCTTCTTTTCCGGATCGAGAGATGGTTTTGGCTGGAGCGAAATTTATGCTGGCGAAGGAAATTAGTCGACAACCAGCGGTACGTTTTCCTGAAGAAAATATTAACAATTTCGGAACACCTATGGGTTTAAATGTTCAAGGAATATGTTCTGATATCTGAAAATTAAATTAAGCTGGTCTTGAAGTGAAAACGCATTTTTTTTGAACAAAAAAAGTTTCCCGCTCTTTCAGCTCATTTTATGGTTCACGAAAATTCTCAAAACAGTTCTAAATTTTGAGGATAAATGACCAACAAAAATCCAAAGTCTTCATGATCCTCAAAAAAATCCCCATAACTTTTCAGGTTCGTGAACGTGTCCGTCGTGAATTCCGTCATTCTGCCAAAGTTTGGGCTCGTGTAACTCGAAAAGGCCGTGACACTTTTGACGAAACACATCCAATGTGGGACAAAAGATATATCAGTGAAAAACCAATTAGTCAATTAGAAGATGAAGAATTCTTACAATATCATAAAATGAAAGAAGAAGGTTTCATGGAATTCCGATTAGATTGTGATAATGGAGAAAATGAGGAAACAAATAGTGGAGATACGCTAACTGATCGATTATTAAGTAATCAACCATTTACTCGAGATGAATATACACAAATTGTTGAAGAATGGAATAATGTTAGAGATGAATGTGTTCGACAAGCAATTGATCAAATGATATTACCATATATGAGAACTGAATTATACAATACATTATTGGAAGAGGCGAAAGATTGTGTTGCGAAAAAATGTCGGAAAGAATTTGCTGAGCGAATTTCGTATTCTGGATTTGTGCCAACTAAAAGTCGAGATGAAGATGAAAATGAAGACGATGAAGATCGACATGGAGAAATTCGAATTATGTCAATTGTATATCCAACTGGAAATCATGATGATGCTTCTTTTGGTGTGATGATTGATGAAAATGGAGTGGTTGTTGATTATTTGAGAATGGTTCATTTTACGAAAAGAGCGACACATAAAGGAGCTACTGCTGAATTGAAGGTTTGTGGCTGGGGAGATGGCAAATTTTGCGAAACATTTTTAGAAAAGTTTTTTCTACTAAAAATTATTGACTTTTTTGAAATAATTGAAGTTTTCTCTTCAAAAATTCACTGTTTCAAAATTTAAATGTAAAAAACACAAATTATATGGATTTTAATATATTTTGGAAGGTTGAATCATAACAATTTCCACTTTTTACCAAAAATCCACGTGGCTAGAAATTCAGGTTTTCTGGAAGAAAATTGTCTAAAAATTTAGTAGTTTGGTTTTTACTTCAAAAAAATGTTTGATAAAATTTTCAAAATAATAATTTATAAAAAAAAAAAAGTCAAAAACAACCCAAAAATTTCTTCTCTTCAGAATCAATCGATGGATTTGTTCAAAAAGTTTGTTCAACGTCGTCGTCCTCATGCAATTGGTATAAATATCGAAAATATGGAATGTCAACGATTGAAAAAAGATGTTGAATTGGCGATTGATGATTTGGTTGGTGAAGGATTGATTATTCGTCGACCTGCTGTTATTTTAATGGATAATGAACCAGCCAAAATTTATATGAATTCCAAACAATCTGTTGCTGAATTCCCTGATTATCCACCGATTTTACGACAAGCTGTTTCATTGGCTAGATTGATGTTAGATCCATTAACTGAATATACACATTTATGGAATGCAGATGAAGATATTTTCTGTCTTTCTTTGCATCCAATGCAAAGAGATATTGAACAAGATCATTTGACGAAATATTTGTTGCATGAAGTTGTGAATCGTGTTAATGAATTGGGTGTGGATATCAATAAATGTGTGGAATATACACATTATATGAATATGCTACAATTTGTTTGTGGATTGGGTCCAAGAAAAGCAGCCAGTTTATTGAAAACTATTCGATTGGTCAGTGGATTTTTTTGAATTTTGATACAATTCAAGCTTTTTTTTTCTACAGAACGAAAATTTGATCGAAAGTCGTACAAAATTGGTTACAATGTGTAAACTTGGCCCAAAAGTATTCATGAATTGCGCTGGTTTCATTCGAATTGACACTGAAAAAGTGACTGATCGAACTGATGCTTACGTCGAAATTCTTGATGGTTCCCGTGTTCATCCCGAAACTTATGAATGGGCTCGGAAAATGGCTGTCGATGCATTGGAAGTTGATGATTCTGCTGATCCAACAACTGCTTTGATGGAAATTATGGAAGCACCTGATCGATTGAAAGATCTTGATTTGGATGCATTTGCGGAAGAATTGAATCGACAAGGGTTTGGAGAGAAAAAAGCGACACTTTATGATATATCAGCTGAATTATCGGCAAGATATAAGGATTTAAGAGAACCATTTCAAGAACCGGATGGTGATAAATTGTATCATTTATTATGTCGAAGTGGAAAAGAAATTAAAGAAGGACAGAAAATCATGGGAACTGTGTTTTCTGTTCAATATAAAAGAAATGATCGAAATGAAAATGAGCCATTGCCTGAAACTGATATGAATGGAATGTTTAGTTGTCCGTATTGTAAACAATTTACATCTGTTTTGCCAGGAGATATTCAAGAACATATGTCTAAAGATGTAAGGTTTTTGGGGAGAGGGAAAATTGGTTCATCGAAATTATGGTTTAGATTTTTAGCCCATTGAAATTTTCTAAAAATCCTCATTTTCAAAAATAAAGCTTGAAAACTTTTGGAAAGTATGAAATTTCCACGTAAAAATATTAATTTAGTAATTGAAGTTTTGCTACGTGGATTATTTTTAAAATTTTTGGATTTTCATTAAATTCTTCGAACTCAGAGATTCGCTGGCCAGCTCGCCACCAGATCGCTGCGGCCACCTGGAAACCGCATGGCCGCCAGGTCGCCTCGAGTTTTCCGGCGACGTGGCCTGTGTGTTTGAAATTCTGGAAAGCTGGCAAGACAGTGGTTTGTACTCAAAACACTGCATTTTTTACTGTTTTTTTCACTTCCTAAGGTTTCAAGTGCTGCGAAAAAACAGAAAATGAGCCAAATTTTTCGAAAATGCCTCAATTCACAAGTTTTTCAGACATTTTCATGAAAATTCATTTTGACGCGGCGAAGTGGCCACCACGTGGTAGCCATGTGGCTGTGACCTGGCCAGAGCCTGGCCACCTTGCCAGCGAAAAAAACCGGGCGACATGGTTTCCATGTGGTTCCGAGGTCAGCCAGCCTCCCCACCTGGTGGCGAGCTGGCCAGCGAATCTCTGAGAATTTTCTGAGCCATTGGGAAATTTTTTTTAATCGTTAGAAAATTGCAATAAAGTCTGCAAATTTTGAAATTTCCACGTGGCAACTATTAATTCAATAACGTGGATTTGGAATATTTTCAAAAATAAACTGTTTTGTAAATAATTTTTGTCAAAATAATTTGTTTGATTTCCGGATCTTTTCAGTCCCAACATTTTTCTGAAAACATCCAATTTTCCAACTCAAAATTCTACTTTTCTTTCCAGGATCGTGACGGTGGTTGCCCTGGTACAGCAGTCGGAATTCGTGTTCGCTTCGACAATGGAATGATTGGTTTCTGTGCCAACAAAAACATCTCGAAAGATCACATCGATAACCCATTATCTCGTGTCAAACTCAATCAACCCTATTGGTTCAAAGTTCTCAATGTGAATCGCGAACGAATGTCGTTTTTCTTAAGTTGCAAATCATCTGATTTGGCATCAACTGATTCCGGAAATCGTGATCGATATTGGGATTCGAATATGTATGAGATTGATCAGACTGAAATTGAGGCGGAAGCATTGAAGAAGAGGAATGTGGATAAACGAGTGAAACGAGTCATTTCACATCCAAACTTCCAAAATGTTTCATATGAAGCGGCCACTAAATTGTTGGATTCGAAAGATTGGTCAGAATGTATTATTCGACCATCAGCACATAAAGATACCAGTTTATCAGTTACTTGGAAGGTGAGCATTTTGAAGCGGGTTTACTGAACATTTTCAGACGAGAATTTCGAAGTTCTCAATTTTTTCTCGAAAAAATCTAACTTTTCCAGATTTGCAATGGAGTATATCATAATTTCTTCGTCAAAGAATCTGATAAAGATCAAGCCTTCACAATTGGTCGATCACTTCGAGTTGGAAATGAAGAATTTGAAGATTTGAATGAATTGATTGCCCGATTCGTTCAACCAATGATTCAAATCTCGCACGAAATCACAACACACAAATATTTTTGCGAAGAAGCGACTTGTGAAGATATTATGAATGTCGAAGAGTTTTGTCGAGAAAAACGGAGGGAATTGGGAAGAAATGCATATGTTTTCAGTGCGTCGATCAGGAAACCATGCCAATTTTGTATTTCGTATATGTTTGATAATTCGGGAAGAATTCGGCATGAGTACTTTAACAGTGAGTGAATTTTTTGTTGAAAATTTTGATTCGACCTTTCCACCCTTCAAAACTACGATACTCCGCAATTACACCTCATTTCTTTTCAGTTCATCCCCATGGAATTCGATTCCGAAATCAAAATTTCGAATCTCTTGATTATATGATGGCATGGTTCAAGAAACATTTCAATGAAAGACCCTTGAATGCTCCATCTTCTTCTCGACATCAAAGTCACCATCAACAACAATATTCTGGATCACAACAACACTATCAACATCATTCTTCTCAACCGCAATATGATCAACAATATTCATCTTATGGTAGTTCATCTGCTACGTCATCATATCCACCACCGCCGCCATCACATCAACAATATTATGCTATGTGATTTGATTGTTTCATCGCCGGCCGACCGACGCCAAACATTTTTACTACTGTATTTTTATTTTTAGTTTGTTACTATATTTATTTGTTTTTAATTCTTTCCTTTTTCTGATTTCTCCTCTCCCAATTATTGATCTTTTTATCCCTGTTTATTATTTTCTTTTTTTCGCTTTCTGAAAATAAATGTTTTCTTTTTTCTGAAAATTTTGATTGGGTAGATGAATTGTTGGGAATCAGTATATTTTATGTTTTTGAGGGAGAAATTTTAGAAAATTGTTGAAATTTGAAAAAAAAGTTTTGGCGCCCAAAATTTGTTCTGATGAAAATTTTCAGAATTTTGAGCTCTAGAAACTCAGGGCTCAAAAAATATGAAAATTTCAGAATTTTGAGCTCTAGAAACCCTCAGAGCTCAAAAAATATGACATTTTTAGGAATTTTAGCCCCTGCTCCAAAAAATCGAATTTTTTGCCACGTCAACTTATTTTCCAGATGGAAGAAGATGTTCTGAAAAAGACGTGTTTATTCGAAGCCCCCAAACGTCCCGCAAAATCTGGAAATGTTCAAAAAATGGTGTCCGAAGTCAACGCATTTTTCACGGCGCCCAAAAATCGGCCAGAAATCGAAGAAATCACTTTGAATGATGACGATGATGAAAATGTACAAGTGAGAATTAAATGTAAATATTGTGCAAAAGATATTACGAATTGGATGAAAAATAAAAGGTTTGATTTGAGAAGATGAAGCTTAAATTGAAAATTTCTTGCAGAGAAACTCACCAACTTGAATGTGAGAGGATCAAGAAGAAATCAAGTTTGGCGCCGAAAATAACTGAAGAACCGCCGACGAAAAAATGGGAAACTTCGAAAGATTCGGTGAAATTTGCAAAGTACGCGGCTACGCGTTTACGCTGCCTGGTTTTAGGCGGGAAAATGAGTATTTTGAAAAGTTTGGGGCCTTTTTATGATTAAGCTTCAAATTTAGAAAAAACTTTCTAAAGCTTCATTTCAAGTAGCTACGATACTCCGCAATTACACTCCCCACGATTTTTTGTTTCAGAATCGACGCGGATGACGAAGCAAATCGTCGTCGAAAACGTCCTCGATCTTTTGCTGTTGTTGAATTGGCACCTCGAGAATGTCAATGCGAAGTTCTCACAACTCTTCATACTCGATTCATGGAAAAATTCACGTTTTCATCACAAAAACAACGAAGCTCCGCAATCACACTCACCGAATTTTCGTTTACTCAACAGAAAATGTTGAAGAAAATCAGTCGACTTGAACAATTATCGATTGATTTTCGAAAAATGGCCGAAGATTCAAATCCTAGCTATTCGGAAATTATGAAAATTCAAGGAATCGGTGGATTTGTTGAGGCTCCGAAGTTAATTCTCAAACATCGAACTACAATTTTGACAAAAAATCCGAAACTCGAATTGGAATTTCCGAAAGAAATTCTGCAATTTTGGCTGGTTTTTGTGTTTTCCGCGCAAAAAGAATGGTGTGGAATTGAACAGGCGAAAATGATTCGAGAAATTGGAACAAATTATGGACCGGTTGGATTAGTTGATTATATTGATGAACATAAATATGAGTGGAGAAATACAATGAAGGAGGAAGAAGAAAAGAAAGAGGAAATAGAAATAGAGAAAATTGATACTGTAGAAGTTGTTGAGCAAAAAGAAGAGGAAAAAGAACCGGATTTATTTGACACTGATGATCCTTTAATTGGATTTAATACGGAACCGATGGAAATCGAGCCAATTGCAGATATGGAACCAATGGAAGTTGAAGTTGAAATTCAGAGTCCGAGATTATCTGGAGGAGCAGATTTGCAAGAAAAAGAGGAAGAAGATCAAGAGGTATGAAAATTATTCTGAAAATATCTGCATTACTCAGATTATAAAAAATTACCAAAGTTTGATATCTAGACTTTTTGGAAGTACAAAATAATAAGAGTTTTCAAATTTTGAAACATTACTCAGGTTATATAATTTTGGCGATGAAATTTGATATTTGAAACGTCTTCTCATATCGAAATTCCGTTTCAAAAATTGTGAAAACAATTTCTAAATTGCCATGTTTCCACGTTTCTATTTTTTCCAAAATACATTTCAACATATTTCAAAGTTCATAGCATTGCTCAGATTAGATTAAAATTTCAGATTTTTTCCAGAAATCACTTTCTCAACAAATTCTTCAATCAACCTCAATAATCGATGACTCTTTTGATAATTTCATTGTTCCTCCTCAAAAATATACATCTCCTGAAAAATCGGTAACATGTTCCTTTCCTCTATCTACAAACTCCTCATTTTTCTAGAAATCACCCCAAAATCAATTAATGATCGAAGACTCTTTCGATAATTTCAAACCCGATGATATTTGCGAAATTCAAGACGAACCGGGACCATCGAAATTCCGAACTCCTGAAACTCGAAATCGCGGCGAAAAATTGAGTTTCGCCTCAAATGTTCGAATATTGAAAACATCGAATATAACACCAATGCCTGATTTTGAAGAAATGACTGAAATTGAGCTGAAAATGAGAATGAAAGAAATTGGACAAAGACCGAAAGGAAGAAAGAAAATGATTGAAATGTTGAAAATGGCATATGACACATTACACCCTGAAATTGTACCAAATACACCAACAATTCGACCGATTGTTGCAATTTCGGAAAATGATGAAAGGCCGAAAGCAAAACCCAAAAAGCCATCATTAAATGCAAGATTGGCTCAACTTGCACCAAAAATGAATGAAGAAAAAGAGCCAGAAGATGAAGAAGATCTTGGAGATAAAACTTTGAATTTATCGAATGAATATGATGATGAAATTGTGGGAAAAATTGGTGGGAGATGGAGAAATTGAGGAAGAAGAAGAAGAGGAGGTTTTTGATAAGAAGGATTTGGGATCAATGAAAAGCGCATTTTTACAATGGATAAGGAAAGAGGCAAATTTCGAGTTGTATAATCATATGCTTTCGTTGAATGTTGTTTCATTGGTGGGTTTTTTGGCACTGTTTTGCGTCGAAATCCCCTTTTTCCAGGAAGAACTTCTTGCTCGGCTTGGTAAATCCGATGGCCCCGAATCATTGATAGGAAAAGCCAAACTCGCAAAAATTCTCGACGAACTTTCGATAACTTATCAACTTCCACAAAAAGGAACATTTGGTGGAGCGGGTGGAAAACGGAGAGGAGCTTTTGGTAGAAAATAAATAGAAATAAATTTTATGAGATCTTTCATGAGAAAATGTCTTTTGCTCGCCAATCCAAATCATCAAAATCGATATTTGACAAATCGCCGTCTTCTTCAGCTTCGTCTTCTTCCATTTTTTGCTCTTCTTCTCGCTGTTTTCGTCGTTCGATTGCCTGGAAATTGAGCATTTGAAAAAGGGAAAACAAATTTAGATATTTCAAATTTAGATATTGTTTTCTCTGCTCCCCAAATCTTCCCTACCTGATTCAATCGTTTTTCTTTTTCAATTTCCAAATCATTCAATTTTTTCAATGCTTTCATTTGTTCATCAATTCTCTCGATTTCTAATTCTCTTTGTTCTTCAGCTTCTTTTTCCTCCTCTTTCTTTTCTTGTTCATTTTGTTCTTCTCCAATTTCCTCTTTCCATTTTTCAAATTCCAAATCAAGTTGTGCCATTTTCTCGCGACTTTCCGCACTTTTTTCATCCATTTTTTTATCATCGAAAAATCCGCTCGGCAAACCTTCGATCGTATTTTCGGATTTATTTTGAGTCGATGAAGTTTGATTTTGATTCCCAGATTGGAAAAAATCCTGCGGAATTGCGGAGTCTTGTTTGGCCTTTTTACTCGGCGGCTCATTTTGCAGGTCCAACTTTTCTACATTTTTCGCTCGTTTTGCTGTCTTCGTCTTCAAATCTTCAATATTTTGCCGATGCTTTTTTCCATTTATATGTGCTGTCCAAATTTTCGGTTTTATCTGAAATTTTAAAGATTTTGAAAAAAATATTGTTGAATTTTTCAATAGAATGCCACGTGGTTAATTAGATAACAAAAAATTTCAAAGTTCAAAAATGTTACCTCTTGATTACAAATCAAACATTGTATATTTCCATTTGGTTTTTGTTTAGCAATCATCGGATTTAAATTCATCTGAAATCCTCAAATTTTTAATATAACCTGAAAATTCCTCCAAAAAATATCTATAAAGTTCAATTCCAACTTTTTTTGTTTCCTCAAAATTCCAAAAAATGCAATAAACTTTATACAATTTTATGATTTTCAACATCAAATTTCGAGGTCGAATCAATTCTCAATAAATAAGGCCCTTTTTGTCCGGATTGATAAGTTGCAAGTTTGATGAAAAATTGGCCAGCGGGGACGTTTTCGAGTTGAAGAACTGTGTAACCGGGACGATATGGACCTGTGTTTTTGGTTTCGAAAAATATTGTTCGATCTGATGTGACTTGTTTGAGTTCGATTGCAACGCTGAAAAATATTGGTATTTTTGGGGAATTTATTTTTGAAAATGTTCAACAAAAAACTTTTTTTTTTCAAATGTTTCCTAACAAAACCCCATTCTATTTTCTTTTTCAAATTTCAAAATCCAAATTTTCTTCCCAAAAGTGCTCACCTGAATTGTTTTGGCGCTTTGAGTTCGAAAAACAAAGCGGTCGTATCAGTTTTTGAATGCAATGTGAATTTCAATATCGAAGCCCTGAAAATATAACTCAACTCCTTTTTCCCGCCAAAATCTACCGTACTCACCCCTTTCCAGGTTCAACATTTCCATCCCATTGTCCTTTATGCGTCTTCGAAATTGTATACGGTAATTTGAGTGGTTCAAATTTGACATCCATCGACGAATAAAATCTCAACGAATAATTGATTGTTGTTGTTTTTTCATATTGTGCAACAACTAGAGTGTATTTTGTGATTGTATTTGGTTTAGTGACTAATTGACACAAATAATGTGGACTATTTATACGAACTCCGTCTGATATTGGTTTTGGATCAGCTGCAAGACAAAAATTTTAATTTCAGGCGGATTTGTTATTTTTTATTTACAAAACTTACAAAAACAGTATAATTTTCTATGAAATTTCATCAAAAAACTCACAAGGAATATAAATTTTCTTTCCATTTGCCTCATAAATCATAACCGTAATATATTCTTTATTTTCAGCAAAATCATCGATTCTCGTGATATGCCGTGTTAACAAAATCCAAACTGCTGCACCGTTTTTTTTTCCAGTGCAATCGACAGTTAGCAAATATTGAGGATTATCACCGACGGTGTATAAATCTGGAAAAATACATGTTGGAAATTGGAGATTGTGTGGCTTTCATTATGTAATGAAAATGAAAACCTTCCTTATAATCTGATCAATGCCAAAAAATGCTTTAAAATTATCTTTAAAAAAATTGAATTCACAAATTTGAAACTTTGACGTGGAAATTCAAATTTCATTTCCCAAAAAAAAGCTCACCTTTGACCGGCCCACTGCATTGATTCCACGTGGCATGATAAACCGAAGTGAATGGAAAAAGTTCGGGATTCCAATTGACATAGAAAACATCGAAAAAATGGCAAGCACTTTCGAAATCGATCCAAAATACGCCATCGTCTTTCAATGCAGCTTGTTCTGGATCATAATTGAGTTGTTGTTGAAGTGATTTTGTCCAGTTGATTTTATCTTTTTCCGAATAATTTCCTTTCCATCGAAGATGGGTCCAAGGATTTTTGAGTTTTAGGAGCCGTTTGTTCTGGAAAAAAATCGGTTTGAATCTGGAGAAAATATAAATTTTTATTCATTTTTCAGGCGATTTCAAACATTGCTCATATTATAAGGATTGGGCTACTAAACAGAAGAAACTTTGTATTAAAATTTGAAGAATTCAGCGGGATTTTCTAACAGAGGAGTTCAATATCTCAAAATTCAAAGATCCATTCTCAGCCACCCCGGAAAATCCTTACATCAACACATCTTATATCAATAACAGCATATGCATGTGTTTCAACTAATCCAGCTCTTTCACAATCTTCTTGTGATAATCTACCAGTTGCCAATGTCACCAAACAATCTCCTCGATGCATTCGATCAAATAATTTCCGAAATACTTTATCCCCATCAAATTCTGTTGCTTTTGTTTGAATTGATATTCTTTCCGGAATCCAACCAGTTAATGCATTCAAATCAATATTCGAATTTGAACCAGGAAAATCATATCCGCCCATTATTTTCATATATGCTTTTTCTAATAATGAAACCCATAATTCACCTTTTCTATCTGTGTGCGAACACATTATTCGATCATTTTCATCGACTGGAAAATAATCATCAATCACAACTTTTCGCCATGTTCCATTTATATGAAATTTGATCATATATTTTCCAGCTGGATTATAAATTGGTTTTCCTGATGAATCTTGTGGATAGATTATACTTGTTACAAGCTGCTTTTTGAATTTATTCTCGTATAAAGCTGCAATTGAAAGTGATGAAATAAATGAGCAATCCGAAATAAGAGTTTGCTTGATTGATGCACAATCAATTGAAGATATAACAACTGGTGATTCATATAATTCTGATACTCTTTTCCAACCTTTCAGCCTTGATTTTTGTTTCTGAGTCAGCCCAATTTTTCCATCAGGATCAGTGAATTTCCCAACTTGTCCTTTGAATTCATTTATTTGATCATATCTATGAAAAGGCACATATAATTTGTTATTTATATTTGATGTCGATGATAATACATTCAACTCTTCTTTCGTGAATTTTCCTTTTGTTGGAGAACCACTTGGACTTGGGCCAGGACTTGGAGTTGAGATAAATGCTCCGAGATTTGAACTTGATGGAACATCGGGAAGGGATAATTCAATTTCTTTGACTTTCCGGATATTTTGCAATTCTTCCGCAGAAATCAACGCCTTTTCCGCGTGTTCCCGTAGTTTTCTTTTCGATTCTGGAGAGATTTGTGAGTTTTTGGAGGATTTTAAACAATGTTCCACGACATTTTCGAAAATCTTGCAAGCCTGTTCACTTCGATCATCTTCTTTATACAAATCAGCTTTTAGCATCAAAAATTCAACACTTTCCAGAATATTTTCCTCAATTGTTGGATACTAAAAAGTTGATCAGTAAATATTTCAAAATTCTTCAAAAAACTCACTTTTTTCTGAAACTTTTCCAGATTTGCCTTGAGGAATTCAGCGCGATCTATGTATTCTTTGACATTCTTCCGATATATTAACATACATTTTTTCTCCTGCAATAATTTCAGCAGCAAATTCGCAGATTCAGTATAGCAGAAAATCGCCTCCTCGTATCGTTTCGCTTGTTCATAGTAAACTGCTTTCTGCGATAAATTGAACGCTTTTGCCGTATTCTTCTCATCCATAAATGTCCTATTGTGAAAGACAATCAATCAATAAGATCTTCTCGGCTGAAAATAAAGAAATTATTTCTCATCAGAAAAGACTACGGTGTGCAAACACCTGCCTTCGCTGTGCAATTGTTCGTCGTCGTGTATGTGTGAAGGCGCGCCCGCGAAACGATTTGAAATCACAATGTTTTCCCGCATTTTCTTTTTTTTTCTTTCACACCCGTTTGAAAGTAGAAATGTTTGGGTGAAGTACGGTTGGCGAACTGTGCACACACCGCACTGTCACAATGCACAACTTTTTCGCTGAAAAATGATTTTTTTCGTTTTGTGCGTCTTTAACGCGCTCAATTGCTAAGAAAACTGAACACGCAAAACATAGTCGCATAGTTCACGAAAAGACGAATTTTTTGATATAAAAAAGTTCTGCTATCGATACCGGGAAGTTCTCCAAAATGGGCGCACCGATTTTTTATTACATCAAAACCGTAACTGAAAATCTGCTTTTTTCAGAAGCCACTAAGAATCAAGTTACTTATATCTTAACATTCGTTATGAAACGAGCAATTCAATGGTGTATTCACCTTATTTTTACTTGACGAATTACCCTAGTTATTCCAGGAAAACACGTTAATTTTCATACGGTGTTTAAAGGAACATGACTTTTATTTTTTTATTTGGTCTCGCTTGGAAGCTAACTTTTTTCCTAGGTAGTTATACGAAGTGAGTAAAACATAGTCGCCTAGATCTCGATGAGCTGATTTTGATGCTATTTTCACGTTTTCATACGTTACCCTAAGGACCGTGTAAATGGGCGCACCAGTTTTTACGCAGCATTTCTACTCTCTCAATGTATTTGAGCGGCTGTGCTTTTCGCCCGTTTTTGACTCGTGAAAACGCTTGATTCTCACATTTTTCCAAACTTTTTCAATTTTCAGAGCAACAACAACTAACAATGTCGAACCTTGATGATCCAGGACTTTTCTACCAAGAAAGATTTTTCGCCAATGATGGAATCCCAGATTCTGGCCGCGAACTAATTGCTGAATACAAACAATTGATCACACAATTCCGCAATTTTATCAGAGATTATTCAACTGGTGGTTTTGGAATGATTTACAGAGATCAATTAAAAAAAAATTATATCAGCGGTGTTTATTCTCTTGAAATCAATTTGAGTCATCTCAAAAATTTCGACGAAGAAATCGAAATGAAATTGCGAAAATTCCCAGGAAAAGTATTGCCAGCACTCGAAGAAGCTGCTAAGGTTGTGGCTGATGAAATCACTCAACCAAGGCCTGAAACTGAGCAAGAAGTAAGAGATATTCAAGTATCTTTTACTCTTGATGAATATCCGGCTTCAATTCGAACTGTGAAATCAGCGCAAGTTTCACAAATTGTGAAAATCAATGGAATTATTGTGGCTGCCGCACAAGTTCGATCAAAGGCCACAAAAGTAACATTGCAATGTAGACAATGCAAACATACACTTCCTGATGTTTCAATCAAACCAGGTCTTGAAGGTTTCCAACTTCCAAGAACTTGTGGAGCGTGAGTTGATTGTAATTGAAATCATTTTCCCAAATTCGAAATATTTTTAGCCCTCAACAAGGTCAAATGCAACGTTGTCCAATTGATCCATACATAATGCTTCCTGATAAATGTGTATGTGTTGATTATCAAACTTTGAAACTTCAAGAAAGTCCCGAAGATGTACCACATGGTGAAATGCCACGTCATCTTCAACTTTTCACCGAAAGATATTTAACCGATAAAGTTGTGCCAGGAAATCGTGTAACAATTGTTGGAGTTTATTCAATCAAGAAATTGTTCCAGAAAAAAGGCGGAGATAAAACATTGACAGGAATTAGAACACCATATCTACGAGTTCTCGGAATTCAAATCGAAACTTCTGGCGCCGGAAGATCCACCTACACTCAATTCACACCAGAAGAAGAAAGACAATTCAAAACATTGGCACAAAAAAGTGATGCATTTGAGACAATCGCCAAATCAATTGCACCATCAATTTATGGATCAGCAGATATCAAAAAATCGATTGCATGTTTGTTGTTTGGAGGATCGAGAAAGAAATTACCTGATGGAATTATTCGAAGAGGAGATATTAATGTATTATTGTTGGGAGATCCTGGAACTGCAAAATCGCAATTATTGAAATTTGTTGAACAAGTTGCTCCAATTGGAGTATACACTTCAGGAAAAGGATCATCAGCTGCTGGTTTGACTGCTTCTGTTATCAGAGATCCACAATCGGTAGGACCATTGAACATATCTAGAAATGGAAAAATGGGCGTTAAGACTTTTAAAGCCTTGTTTTTTTGGATATTATTTGTGTCACGTGAAAAAATCAACAATTTTCCTAATCCTCTTTTTTTCAGCGCTCATTTATTATGGAAGGTGGTGCAATGGTTTTGGCTGATGGTGGAGTTGTTTGCATTGACGAATTCGATAAAATGCGAGAAGATGATCGTGTTGCAATTCACGAAGCCATGGAACAACAAACAATCTCAATTGCTAAAGCTGGAATCACAACAACTTTGAATTCAAGATGCAGTGTTTTAGCAGCTGCTAATTCGGTATACGGTAGATGGGATGAATCGAGAGGTGATGATAATATCGATTTTATGCCAACTATTTTGTCGCGTTTTGATATGATTTATATTGTTAAAGATACACATGATGTCAATAAGGATGCTGTAAGTTTTTATTTTTGAAATTGGAATAACTTTTATTGTATCTATTTTTAGACCCTTGCAAAACACGTTATCGAAGTTCATGTAAATGCTTCAAATGCTCGAGATCGCGATGCTGCTGGAGTTCCAAAAATTCAAAATACCGATTCTGATGGAACACATCAAGTTTATGATTCGGATGGATTTTTGACAATTGAATTTATGAAGAAATTCGTGTCATACGCAAGAACTCAATGTGCTCCAAGATTGACAAAAGCAGCATCGGAAAAACTTGTGAATCATTATGTGAAAATGAGAAATCCGCCAGTTTCAGCAGATGCTTTCAAATCAGGCAAAAAAGCTCATCATTCAGCAATTCCAATTACAGTCAGACAACTCGAAGCGATTGTCAGAATTGCTGAATCACTTGCAAAAATGGAATTACAACCATTTGCAACTGATAAACATGTTGATGAAGCATTGAGATTATTCAAAGTTTCGACAATTGAAGCAGCTTCGACTGGAAATTTGGCTGGAGTTGAAGGATTTACATCGGGAGCTGATCAAGAAGCATTGTCGAGAATTGAGAATCAATTGAAAAAGAGATTTGCTATTGGAACACATGTTTCGGAACATTTGATTGTTCAAGATTTTGTATCAAGACAACATTATAAAGAATCGCTTGTTAAAAAGGTGAGAAATTTGGGGGATTTTCTGAATTTCACAGCGGTTTTTGCAAAAATTCCAAGAAAAAAGATGATTTTTTAATTAAAGGGGGGGCGACACGAAAAAATAATTATATTTCATCTGAAAGAGCATAGTCGATTTAGTAAAAGTGATGTTGCGCGGCAAAAAACTGAAATCCGGAAGTATCAGAAAAAAGAAAAAACGGGCGGCAGGAATCGATCTAGGGGACCTGAGTAGGTTGATACTCCTTGTGCGCTAAGTCGTCCGATCTGGCAGGATAAGCAACGTTGACCTAGGTTAGTTTCTGCATAGAAAATTTCTTCTTTTTTGATGCGCGCGTTGGGTGACCCAAACAACTTTCAGAGAAGCTTCTGAAAGTGGGAGTTTCAGCATTTTGAGCAAGGTGAAGCTGGGGAAAAGCTGAAAATGAGCTGAAAATCGAAATTTTTGATGTTAGGCTGAAATTTTCAGAAATGCTTCGGGGAGTTGAGAGAAGTTTCTGAAAGTCAAAATTTCAGCATTTTCAGCCCAGGAGAAGCTGAAAATGAGCTGAAAATCGAAATTTTTGATGTTAGGCTGAAATTTTCAGAAATGCTTCGGGGAGTTGAGAGAAGTTTCTGAAAGTCAAAATTTCAGCATTTTCAGCCCAGGAGAAGCTGAAATTGGGCTGAAAATCGAAATTTTTGATGTTAGGCTGAAATTTTCAGAAATGCTTCGGCGAGTTGAGAGAAGTTTCTGAAAGTCGAAATTTCAGCATTTTCAGCCCAGGAGAAGCTGAAATTGGGCTGAAAATCGAAATTTCTGAAGTTTGATTCAAACTTTCAGAATTTGCTAGGAGACTTCTGAAAAGTGTGTGACGAGATGATTTTTCGGATTTTAAGACAGGAAAAGCTGGAGGCTGGCTGGAAATGAGCTGAAAATTGAAGGTTTTGATTCTGGTCTCAAATTTTTATAATTGGTTCTGGGAATTGAGAGAGGCAGCTGAAAATAAAAAATTTCAGAATTTTCAGCCATATGAAGCTGAAAATTGAAATTTCTGATGATAGTTAACAATTTTCAACCCAGTTCGCGGTAGTTGGGAGAAGCTTCAGAAACTGCCGATTTCTTTCCGGATTGTCAGTCGGGAGAAAGTTGAAAATCGAAAGTCAGGCTAAAACTTCGAGAATAGTAAGGGGAAATTTCTAAATGTGTTAGGAAAAATTCTCAAATCTAGGAGAAATTCTGAAATGAATTTTTCCCGGATTTTTTAGCCAGGAGAAGTTAAAAATTATCTGAAACTCGAACTTCAGCATGTTTGTAGAAAGAGACACGGGCTCAGAGCCATAACTACTGTTTCCTGCTAAACGTGGGCAATTTTGCAACGATAGGTTTTTGAGATCCTCGGGAAATCGTATGCCGTCATGCCGCGTTTATGGGCTTTTTGCGTTCACTCGGCGCTCAGAAAATCTTTATTTCCTCAGTTCTGAGCATCGCGTAAACGCCAAAAGCCTCTAAACGCGGAGTAGCACGCTTGCGATTTCCTGAGGAGAAGCAGATTTCTAGAGATTTTTTGTCTATTCATCAATTTTATTGTTTGATTCAGCCGCTGTCGTATTGGCTAGTTGAAATTTCGCTAGTTCGAATCGCAACTGAGTTCTAATTCTCTTTCTGTTCTCAACCTCTGCTCCCGGTCCGACAGACCTGCCGGCTGCTTCAGGCTTGAACTTTCTCTGCAACCGGAAAGTTTGGCGGGCCCTACAAAGATCTATAAAATCTATGATACGTGGACCTTTCAACTAGCGAATGGAAATTTTTTTGAACAACCCTCACAACAAAAAGTTTTGAAGAAGGATCATTAGATTATCCTGGAGAAGATCCAGTTAAAAAAAAGTGAGCATAGTTCCAACCGAAAAATCGCTAGCTTTCAAAGTCGGCGTCAGGAGTATCTACAGAATCCACAGTATCGGCCATAACTTCGGAAGAAGGATCTGAAGGTTCAAAGAGCACAACCTCTGCCTCTGATGTTACTGAACCACTTGGAGAAAAATCACCCCAATCAGCAACTTCCGAAGCAGAATCAACCAATGTTTAACTACATCAGAAGAAGGATCGGGAGATTCTAAATCAAAAACTTTAATGAAGAGTAACATCAGAGGCAGAGGTTGTGCTCTTTGAACCTTCAGATCCTTCTTCCGAAGTTATGGCCGATACTGTGGATTCTGTAGATACTCCTGACGCCGACTTTGAAAGCTAGCGATTTTTCGGTTGGAACTATGCTCACTTTTTTTTAACTGGATCTTCTCCAGGATAATCTAATGATCCTTCTTCAAAACTTTTTGTTGTGAGGGTTGTTCAAAAAAATTTCCATTCGCTAGTTGAAAGGTCCACGTATCATAGATTTTATAGATCTTTGTAGGGCCCGCCAAACTTTCCGGTTGCAGAGAAAGTTCAAGCCTGAAGCAGCCGGCAGGTCTGTCGGACCGGGAGCAGAGGTTGAGAACAGAAAGAGAATTAGAACTCAGTTGCGATTCGAACTAGCGAAATTTCAACTAGCCAATACGACAGCGGCTGAATCAAACAATAAAATTGATGAATAGACAAAAAATCTCTAGAAATCTGCTTCTCCTCAGGAAATCGCAAGCGTGCTACTCCGCGTTTAGAGGCTTTTGGCGTTTACGCGATGCTCAGAACTGAGGAAATAAAGATTTTCTGAGCGCCGAGTGAACGCAAAAAGCCCATAAACGCGGCATGACGGCATACGATTTCCCGAGGATCTCAAAAACCTATCGTTGCAAAATTGCCCACGTTTAGCAGGAAACAGTAGTTATGGCTCTGAGCCCGTGTCTCTTTCTACAAACATGCTGAAGTTCGAGTTTCAGATAATTTTTAACTTCTCCTGGCTAAAAATCCGGGAAAAATTCATTTCAGAATTTCTCCTAGATTTGAGAATTTTTCCTAACACATTTAGGAATTTCCCTTACTATTCTCGAAGTTTTAGCCTGACTTTCGATTTTCAACTTTCTCCCGACTGACAATCCGGAAAGAAATCGGCAGTTTCTGAAGCTTCTCCCAACTACCGCGAACTGGGTTGAAAATTTTTAACTATCATCAGAAATTTCAATTTTCAGCTTCATATGGCTGAAAATTCTGAAATTTTTTATTTTCAGCTGCCTCTCTCAATTCCCAGAACCAATTATAAAAATTTGAGACCAGAATCAAAACCTTCAATTTTCAGCTCATTTCCAGCCAGCCTCCAGCTTTTCCTGTCTTAAAATCCGAAAAATCATCTCGTCACACACTTTTCAGAAGTCTCCTAGCAAATTCTGAAAGTTTGAATCAAACTTCAGAAATTTCGATTTTCAGCCCAATTTCAGCTTCTCCTGGGCTGAAAATGCTGAAATTTTGACTTTCAGAAACTTCTCTCAACTCCCCGAAGCATTTCTGAAAATTTCAGCCTAACATCAAAAATTTCGATTTTCAGCTCATTTTCAGCTTCTCCTGGGCTGAAAATGCTGAAATTTTGACTTTCAGAAACTTCTCTCAACTCCCCGAAGCATTTCTGAAAATTTCAGCCTAACATCAAAAATTTCGATTTTCAGCTCATTTTCAGCTTCTCCTGGGCTGAAAATGCTGAAATTTTGACTTTCAGAAACTTCTCTCAACTCCCCGAAGCATTTCTGAAAATTTCAGCCTAACATCAAAAATTTCGATTTTCAGCTCATTTTCAGCTTCTCCTGGGCTGAAAATGCTGAAATTTTGACTTTCAGAAACTTCTCTCAACTCCCCGAAGCATTTCTGAAAATTTCAGCCTAACATCAAAAATTTCGATTTTCAGCTCATTTTCAGCTTCTCCTGGGCTGAAAATGCTGAAATTTTGACTTTCAGAAACTTCTCTCAACTCCCCGAAGCATTTCTGAAAATTTCAGCCTAACATCAAAAATTTCGATTTTCAGCTCATTTTCAGCTTTTCCCCAGCTTCACCTTGCTCAAAATGCTGAAACTCCCACTTTCAGAAGCTTCTCTGAAAGTTGTTTGGGTCACCCAACGCGCGCATCAAAAAAAGAAGAAATTTTCTATGCAGAAACTAACCTAGGTCAACGTTGCTTATCCTGCCAGATCGGACGACTTAGCGCACAAGGAGTATCAACCTACTCAGGTCCCCTAGATCGATTCCTGCCGCCCGTTTTTTCTTTTTTTCTGATACTTCCGGATTTCAGTTTTTTGCCGCGCAACATCACTTTTACTAAATCGACTATGCTCTTTCAGATGAAATATAATTATTTTTTCGTGTCGCCCCCCCTTTAAAAAAAATTAAATATGCTCAATTTTTTGAACTACGACGTGGCAATTCAGAATTAGAGTATTTGTTCTCAAAAATGCAAGACTGAAAATGAGCTTACCAAAAATTGAGCCAATATTAAATTAAAAAAAATTTGTTGGCGGAAATCATTTTTTTCTGAATTTGAAATGAATATTTAGCTTATTACTGGAACTCTCTCGAAATTGAAATTCCCATGAAATTCCAAACGTGACCCATGACGTGGCAATTCAAAATCCTCATTTCTAACATTACTCTCATTTTTTGCAGGTAATTGCCAATTTGGTTCGTCGCGGTGATTTGCAACAAAAAATGCAACGAAAAATGCTCTATCGTGTACGATAATCATCCTCCGGTTTTATCCCAATTTTTCGCCTCCCCTTCAAATTTTGTGAATTTTTCAATTATTCTTCGTTTTTTTCTGCTATTCTGGATCTCACTTCTAACCGATAAATTTTACCTTATCAATTGCTTTTTATTTTTTTCTCCAAAAGACACAAATTTCAGCTGGTTTTTTGGCCGAAAACATATTTATTTGCAGTGGAGCGGAATTGCTCGTGTCAACTTTTTGAAACAGAATTATTTTATTTTTTCTTTGAGCTCAAGGAAAAACAATGTTTACACCGCCAACAACAAGAATGCCTGCAACTGGAAATGGAAAACGAAGTATGGAAGAAGTTATGGTTCGAGCAGCTGAGCATGCGAAAAAAGAAGAGACATTCCAGAAAGGAGGTTTTGAGTTTATATCGAGAGCTGGACATATTTTAGAATCACAATGTCATCATTCAGAAGGAATTGGAGAAGATAAATGTTTGGTAGGTGTTTTCAAAATTCTTTTTTATTTAGAAAAACAATAAGGCGATTCTCTTTTCAGAAATGTGTATATAATCGCGAATTGAAGCTCGAAGAATTGCCTGAAATGGTTTTTGCCCGAAATAGTTTAACAATCAAATTTGGCAAAAATGGATCGATTGAATTCAATGCATTAGATGCTCTCAAAATGGTAATCGATGATAAATTACCCGATGTTCAAGTTGGAGCATCGAATGTTTGGCAAAGTGCCAGATCGGAAAGAATCAAGCAGATAACAACACAACACAAACCATTTGATTGGACATTTACGACCAAATATCGGGGAACTGTCGAGAATTGTCAGGTGAGAAAGACGGGGGTTTGGAGAATAGGTAGACTGGGCCAGTTCTCGAATTTTGGGTTCCTGAATCGGACCAATCTAGATTTAGGCGAGCTCTACAAGTTTGGCTCCTTATAATTTTGAAATTACGAAAAAAATTTCAAATTGAAAGAAAATTCATCTAAAAGAGATACATAAAATAAAGCTATGCCGCATTTTTCTCGTCTTCCATGGTCGATTTGTTGGTGTTGTTTGGCAAATCTTGAGAATCGCGATTGGTGTCGTCATCATCGTTGTTGCATTCCTGTAAAAATTTATTGAATTTTCATTTTTTCCAACCCAGATTCCCCCAAACTCACTCTCAACGTGATTGTTCTCTCGACTCCTGGCAGTTTGTTCAATGCGAACTTGTTTGGCTTCGGCGGTTGAACCTTCTTCAAGACTTTCCAGATTTTCAAGCAAATTTCACGAAATGTTGGGCGATCACTAGAATTCTGAACCCAAATCTTGCCAACCAATTCCTTGAGTTCGGCTGGTGTCGAATCGGCAAGATCAGGCATTTGACATTTGCGAATGTGTGTGGCGATCTTCTTTGCCGGCCAATCCGGCCATGGTTTTTGTCCGTTATTCAAGACTTCGTATATGAGAACAGCAAAACTCCAGACATCCGATGCTTTCGAATATTTTCTAGGCTTCTTCAAGGATTCTGGAGCCATCCAACGAAGCGGGATTTGTGGAGATTCTTCATCAACTGTTTCTTCTTCCGCTTTTCCATCCAATAATTTCGAAAGTCCAAAATCGGATATTTTGATAAATCCTTTGGCTGAGATTAAGCAATTTCTGGCAGCAAGATCGCGATGAACACAAGATCTTGAGTGCAAATATCGCATACCTCTTGCCGCTTCCAAAATATAGCATAATCTTTCGCCAATTTCAATATCATTTCCTTGTTTTTGCAAATGTTTATCTAAACTTCCACCTGGACAATATTCCATTACAATTAATACAGGCGGATGATCACATGCAACACCGTATAATTGAATAACATATTGATGAACAAAATGTGACATTGCCTTTGCTTCGCCAAGCATCATTTCTCTTGCCGCTCTCACTTCATCAGCCGATTTATTCGGATCTTCTGAATCTTTTGTACTATTATGGCAAAGTTTGACAGCAACATCGACAACTTGTTCATCTCCTTTGTCATATTTTCCCTTATAAACAGTGCAAAAATTGCCAGCTCCCAATTCATCTTTTTTCGTGTCAAAAGTGACTTTTTCGTGGGTTATCAACCAATCCGGACGATGAACACCACGTTTCAAAATAAGAGAATTGGACAACTTGTGCTTCTTGTAATGCTCGATGAGCAATGGAATTGTGTCGAAGCGATGCACTTTTTTGCCCTTCGAAGTTAGGCCAAGTTGCCATTTTCCTTCGGTGCACGCCAATGTCAAATGAATCAATCCTTTGGTTTCGCTACGAATCGATAGAATGATTTCGACGTTGTTGGTGCGACCATCGGATGCGCGGACAAGGAAATCGCCATCTTGAATGAGCAGGTGTCTGAAATATTGGTTTGGATGAGATTTTGAGCTGAAAGAACCTTGATCAAATTTTACGCTTAAAATTGGCCAGGTTCCAAATTAGAACAGTCAATCCCCAAAACTTACTCAATATCCCGTCTCGGTCTCATCCCATGATACCATTTTTGGTCTTCAACACCTTCCACTTTCGCTATTCTACTGTTGATTGCCATAATCCGCGCTTATTCTATTATGAAATCGAAAATCCTGTTTTCTTCTACAAACAACTGATTTTTCCATCCTGGATTCTTTCCTTTTATACAGCACATTCCACGTGGAAACGTGGCCACGTGTAGATTGAAAAAATAGATAACCCGATTTTATTGGATGACGTGGAATATCTTTTTTTCATTCCAGATTTCTGAAACGAGCGAATCGATCGATATGGAACGGTTAAAACGACGCGATGAAATTGTTTTTCATTCGTCTGTCACTTTATTTGAAGATGAGTTAGCTGATCATGGTATTGCTCAGGTTAGTTTATTTGTTGTTGTTGAAATGGAGAGAATAATTTGTGTATTTTTCAGCTTTCGGCGAGAATTCGAGTCATGGATGCTGGCTATTTTTTTGTGCTTTTGAGATTTTATATGCGAGTTGATAATGTTCTTGTTAGGTAAGTTTGAAGAGTTTTTCTTTGAACCGGTTTTCTTGAAATTCAGAATTTTAATAAAACATATTTTTTGAAACCTAGAAATAAATTTTAGAACATACTTCAATAACTATTTGAAAAAACCAATTTTGTAATAAAAAAAAATATGACAAATTTTTCAAGACAGGCTTTTGTCTTTGAAAAAATAATCCAAATCTTATTCGATTTTCAGATGTTGTGATACACGAATCGTTGGAGATGATAATCAAGACTTTATAATTAGAGAATGGCAATTAAGAGAAGCGAAATATGAGCAACTGAAACACGTATATCCGGATGATTTATTGGATATCGATAGAGCATGGATGCATCTTCCAATTGTTGAAACGATTTCCGAAAAAATTCAAGCGCTTTAAGAATATTTTCAAAATATTTTTGTCTGTGTAAATTAATTTTTTATATGAATTGCAATTGTTTTTGAAACGTGACCTTGTGTTTTTTTTTTGCAAAAAATAACCGAAAAAAAGAAAACCTTCACAAAACCCGGGTATTTCTTAAAATTGAAAAAGCTGAAAATGGATCCGCCAGTAAGTCGTATTGGTTGGAATAATGATCAAAATCATAAAATCGATGACAAAATTATGCAAACTCGAAGAGAAATCGAAAAAGCAAAAAATATAATGAAAGAAAATGTGCAAAAAATAATGGAAAGACAACAGAATTTGGATGAATTGGTTGAAAGAGCACGTAAGTGTTTTTATAGATCTGCAAACACTTCACGATAAATTGCACACATTTTCAGAGCGCCTTGAAGCAGCATCAGATGAATATGTCAAATGTGCTGTGAGAATTCAACGTAAAGCTCATTGGCGTCATTATGCGGTGCAATATTCAATGATTGGTGCAACTGCTATTTGCACTGTTTTGGGTCTCGTTTGGACTTTTGTATGAGAATGTATCTTTGAATTTTATTTGGAAAAACTATAAATCAATGAAATTTGATATTTTTTAATTGCAAAAAATTATTTATTTTTAACAGAAGAGAGAGCGTGTGATTTTTGATTGGGTAAATTTGAACTTTTTTCGTGCAATCAATCGTTCAACTTTTTTCGATAGAGTCATAAATCTTTCAATTTTTTTCTCCTGATATTGAAAAAAAAACGACACACAGTTGCTCATTTTCCGACATTTATCACACCCAATTTATTGACGTCTCTATAACGATTTGTTTTCTTTTCCACTTTTTTGTTCTCTGACAATGATGACTGACAGGATTTTTGAAATGTTATTATTTTTTTTTTGAAGAAAAATTTATTTTTGAAAAAAAAAATGAATGGTGCGTGACGAGACCTGTTGTTTGTTTGCATTGCGCCTTTGAAAGAGTACGGTGTTTTTTTTATTTCGAATTTATTTTTATTTTTCTCTTTTTTTCGATCATGCTTTTAAAACGTTTCTGTGCCGGAAAGCAAAGCAGATGTTCGATTTGTAAACTTTTTTATATTATTTTATATTAGATTGCCAACGAAAAAATGAAAGAAAAAAAAATAAATTTGATTTCCACTCGAACTTTTTTGCCATGAATCATTTTTTTTTTCTTGTCTCCCATCTATCTAAAAAATTTATATATAAATAAAGAGAAATGTTTTTTTCGCCCTTTCTCATATATTTTTGCTTGTTTCTCGTAAATTCTAAATGTCAACGCGTTTTTTTTTACTTCAGTAGTTTTATTTTCTTTTTTTTTGCAGATAGGATGACTTGGGTCATTTTCCTTTTGATTCTACTTACACCAATTCACGCAGTCTTTGTTAGACCAACATTTTCAGCGAAAAATCGAGGAATTTGCTCGGAATTCGGGTGAGTTTTTTTTGAAAACAATCGGGAAAGAAAATATTTGTTTTTCAAATCCACGTGGAAAACAATTTAAAAATAATTTTTACGACCAAAATTGAAAGCAAATTTTTTTCAGACACAATTGGGCTGCTGAAATTCGCTGCCTCCGACAATATCTCGATTCCTGTATTGAAACAAATAATGAACCAGAAACAGATTTTGATATAAATTCTGCTTCTCGCGGACTTCGATCGCTCGCCGGAAATTATCAAATCTATAATGGATATCCTGTCAACAATCATTTTATTGCACCTTCTTTTAAAAATTCACAAACCAGCCTCAAGAATTCACCTCTTCCACCAGTTTCAATTACAAATTCAAATACTTGTAATTGTTCATCACTTGAAATCAAATTCGAAAAGAAATTATATCAATCTCAAAAATTGGCAGAACATCAATGCGAAATGAAAATATCCGAAGTGCAAACAAAATTAGAACTCGATTTGGCAGCTTATCAAAAAATGACTGATAAAGATTTGCGAGATATTCAACGAAAAATGGAGGCGATTGTTGCACCAAAACGATTTTTCAATGGATTTGAATATGTGTTTTTCGACAGATTTGAATCTTGGTATTTGGCTGAAGAATATTGTATTGGTTGGGGTGGACATTTGACATCAATTCATTCAGATGAAGAAAATCAAATTGTTTCGAGTTAGTTTATATTAATTAATTAAAGGGTTGGTGCTTTCCTGGTGAAAAAATCGTCTGCAAAAAGGCGTCACCGTGTTATTTTCAAAGTTGTGTGCAAACACACACACAAAAATTCAAAAACAAGTTGTGCGCTAGAGCGCATTTACATGCTTTATTTCGTAGGTTTTAACTCGCTTGTGTTTTTGAGGAAAAACATGGGCTGAATTGATACTAGAATTTTTTCTAAAACTGGAACCTTCCAGGAGCACCTTATTCTTATCTAAACCAAGCAAGATTCCTTGGCGGAGGACCAACCCTTTAACCAATTAATCTCATTATTATTTTAAGGTCTTGTTCCGAAGACAAAAACCGCGTGGATTTCATTGAATGATGTGCAAAAAGAAACTATTTTTGTGAACACTGACAAAACGAATAGCGATTATCGAAATTGGAAAGAGGGTGGGTTTTGAAATGAAAAATGAGAGAAAATTCCGCAAGCATCGGTGGTTCAGTGGTAGAATGCTCGCCTGCCACGCGGGCGGCCCGGGTTCGATTCCCGGTCGATGCAATCTTTTTTAACCTTCTCAATATTGATTCCAGGTCAACCCGACAATGGTCTTCACAACGAGAATTGCATCGAAATTCAAGGAAATTCAGGAGAATGGTCAGATTTGTTGTGTTTGGTAACACGTCAATTTGTTTGCAAAAAACCATATGATTGACTAGGAAAAAATGTCAAAAATCAAACTACTTTTTCCAAATTTCGAAAACATTCCCCTTCAATTACAACTATTTCATTTTCAAAACTCTGCCCAATTTTTCTATGTTTTTTCTTTTCCCAACTGTTTCTCGGCTCTTTTATGGTGCTACTTTCCCAATTTTTTTTCATAATTAAATAATCAATTAATTGAACAAATACATTTTTTAAAACTTTATTCAAACATTTATTCCCATTCAGAACAATTACATCATTGACCGGGGGTGCTCCACTACAAATTTGTTTGACATCAAAGTTAACAGCTGAAAAAAAATTGAATTGAAGTATATACATATTTCAATCACTTACTTTGATATTTACAAAAATATCTGATCCTGCACATTGAATTTTGGTTTTTGCGAATGGAAGCATCTGCTGATACGTAAAATATCTAAATTGTGCTTGCAGTTTCATTTTGATCTTGTCATCTGATATATAATGCAACCGTATCATTTTCTCCTTATTGAACTTCTTATCCAAAAATGCCACCAAATCGGTCGGATGCAATACTTTTTTCGAAAATTTCATCTTCAAAGTTTTGCCATTTTTCCAATCAATTCAACATATCCAGTAATTTCTCCAGAAAATATGAATTGATTCTTGTTTACAACTTTGATACAAACTCCAAGTTCCTTTGATTCTTTATAAACTCCAAATTTTCTGGAAAAAAAAATTATTTTGAGATTTTTTATTAAAAACTTACATGTCAAAGTTTTGATAAATCATGGGGTCCTTGAATGTGGCATTTGAATCGATATCATCCACATTATCAAAAACAACTTCAGCCGCATAAATATTTATCGATTCGCTGACAGACATTTTATAACTTAATTGAGATAAACTCAATCACAGCTCAATCAAGAAAAATGATGAGAATAAGAATTTTTTGAAAACTTTTTTTGTTCGCGAAAATTAAAAAAAACGCGGGCAACGCCTCAAGATATTTTTCAATCTATGTGTGCGCCTTTGAACTGTACAGTACTATGTTCATTTTTTTTGAGAGGATTTTTTTGGTTGGAAGCATTCAACTTTGATGATTTTTGTGAATTAATTAAATGTTGAATATCGATTTTTCGAAAAACATGCAACATTATAATACGTTTTGTTAGTGTGATCATTTCTACCAGAAAAAAAAATCGGCCCGAGTTTTTCAAAAAAAAAATCGGCCCGAGTTTTTCAAAAAAAAAAAATCGGCCCGAGTTTTTCAAAAAAAATCGGCCCGAGTTTTTCAAAAAATTAATCGGCCCGAGTTTTTCAAAAAAAAAAAATCGGCCCGAGTTTTTCAAAAAATTAATCGGCCCGAGTTTTTCAAAAAATTAATCGGCCCGAGTTTTTCAAAAAATTAATCGGCCCGAGTTTTTCAAAAAATTAATCGGCCCGAGTTTTTCAAAAAATTAATCGGCCCGAGTTTTTCAAAAAATTAATCGGCCCCAGTTTTTCAAAAAATTAATCGGCCCGAGTTTTTCAAAAAATTAATCGGCCCGAGTTTTTCAAAAAAAATATCGGCCCGAGTTTTTCAAAAAAAAAATCGGCCCGAGTTTTTCAAAAAAAAAATCGGCCCGAGTTTTTTTCAAAAAAAAAATCGGCCCGAGTTTTTCAAAAAAAAAATCGGCCCGAGTTTTTCAGAAGCAACTTTGAAGCTAAAAAATTTGAAAGAAAATTTTTTACACTGTTAAAAAAACAAGAAATTGCATAATTTCATCCAGAAATGAAATTATTGAGAAAAAAGTCATGTCTCCAAACCGAAATTTCTGTTTGGAGACGGTCATGTCTATAATTATGCAAATAAAAAAGAGTTTCAATAATTTTTTGAAAAATAGTTTGATGACGTCATCCATGGCTAAATTAGGAAGCCTTCATGATTTAGCCACGAGTCATTTTTTGATCGAAAAACTCCAAATTTTTCATGAATTCGTTTTCCACAGAAAATTGAAAATAATCACAGAAAAAAACGGAACTGAAATAATAAGAAGACTGTTACGCCTGGGGGCTAACAGCCCCTAGTCCAGATCACAAAAATTTCATTTTCAAAACTCTGCTCAATTTTTCTGTTTTTTTATTTCTCAACTGTTTCTCGGCTCTTTTATGTTGCTCATTTCCCAACTTTTTTATAATTAATTAATTAATTGAACGAATAAATTTCTAAAAACTTTACTCAAACATTTACACGATTTTTGAATATCAAAAATGGAAAAGAAAAACACCGAATAATCACAGAAATAACTGAAGAACAGGAATGATTTTTTAGAAAAAAAAATGTTGCAAAAAATGGAAGAAAAAATACTTTGAGACTAGAAAAACAACACTGAATTTGAAAAAAATCGACAAAAAATGTGATAATAATAATAAACCCTGCTGATTTGTTGAATTAAAATTGACTGAGTCGAGCTAATAAATCATCTGTTGATGGAATTGGCGTATTTGGTGTTTTTGGTGTTCCAGGCGGTTCTTCATCTCGAGACAACTTTTTGGCTACTTTTTGCTGTTCTTCTGGTAGACGATTTTCTTTATGAGTTGGTGAAATTTGTGAAGAAGATGAAGAAGTTGCAGATGAAGACGGTTGAGGAACATTCTGGAAAACAAATGTTAGAGGAGTTGGAAATTTCGATATCGAAAGAATTCGTGTTTGGAATCGTAATTGAGAAGTACTTCAGAATTTTGAAGCTTTTCATTTTTATAAAATTTCGATAAGTCAATTTTTGATGGAAAAATAGCTGGTGCTGAAATTTTGGGAAGAACTCCGTGGTGAATTTTCGAAAAATTTAGTTTCTTGGGTTTAATTTTAGGAAATGGAATTTTTCTCCTGGATCACGTGGATTTTTGGTATCAGTTATCCCCGAACTTTTCCCTTTCCCTTAAAATCTGCTCACCTCAACAGGTACAGCTGGTGCTCCTTTCCTTCTAACTCGTATTTTCAACTCATTTTGTCCCGGCAAACTAACACCAATCGCTTTTGCCTTTTCCAAAATAGCACTTTGATTACTATTTGATATATCAATAGGTCCTCTCGATCTTTGTCTTTCCAATCCAATTCTTCCACCATTTCCAATTCCTCGAACTCGTCCCGTATTTGATGGAATTCGAGGTGTTCTCGAATTTGTTGCCGACATTAATGTTTGTAAAAATGCTTCATTTCCAGTTGCTCTTTCTAATTCATCTAATACTCCAGCTTTATCAACAGCAGTTGATACTTTTATCATTGCCGGTGTTCGAGTTGCACCATTTTGATGATGATTTGGTGCAAGAATTTGTCTTTCACCAAGTGGTTGTCTGGATGATATCGAAGATTTTTGTTGTTGTCGTTTTTGAAGTTCGCTTGTCAGAGCTGCCTTTTCACGTCGTTTTGCTTCTGCATTTGCAGCATCAATTTCAGCGTCGAGTTCTTTCCAAGCAGTCTGGAATATATTGATTAAAGGTTTGAAATAAGGGTAATTTCGGAAGAGATAGAAAATATTAAAGGTTATCAATTTGACATTCTGAAAAATCCCTAGACCTTAGCTCGCCCTTTGAGAAATTTAACCTAAATTGTTTTGGAGTCTTTATTTTTTCACTTTTTTTTCAGAAATGACAAAAAGTTTTCATCGAAAATTCCACGGACTGCTAAAAGTTCCCATCAACATTTTATTTTTTTTTCTAAAAATCCTCCCCCCTCAAAAAACCTACCGAATATTGTTCGGAAAAAGTCCTAATATCCGTGAAAAACTCTTCCATCGGATATTTCTTGATATCAAATGCAAAATATTTCGCCAATGCTTGCCAATCATTTCTCATTTTTTCCGACATCATTTCGACCGTCAAAAATTCCTTATTCGCTTTTTCCAAAAACGGCCGCATTTTTTCCTCGAATCGATCGCGTTCTCCTTGACTTTTATACATTTTTAAGCAATTTTCCAACTTTCCAATATTAATTTTCACACTTTTCGTTGTTTTTGTCAATTCTTCGGCATTTACACGTGAAGATTCAATACAATGATGAAAATCATTAAATGCAAATCGTGCTCTTCGTGGATCAATTCTTCTCATTTCTTCAATTAAATGTTGCAAAAGTGTATGTTTATTATCAACATCTTTCGTATCAATCAGCTAAAAAAAATCAGGAATTTGAGAAGAAAAAAATAAATAAAAAACTAACTCTCGTCAACATTTTCAATTCAAATGCATAAGTATTCGAATAATTCTTTGCAGATCCTCCCATAAAATTTCCAAAAGCTAATAAAAGTTGAAGGAAAAGTCGGAGACCTTCGGATTTTCGAACTTCTTCACATCCTTCCATCACAGATGACATACTCTGCAAAATTTTGAAATAATTGCAATGAGGAATTTTTTAGGACAAAAAACAATTTTATTTTAATTTTTCAAGTGAAACTTTGGAGAAAGAAACTTCAAAAACGATGTGTTCCTTCAAATTTAAAGCCACGTGGATTTTCAGAGTGAAAGTAAAAAATAAATTATGGGAAAAAGTATTTTCATGGAACTTTTTCTAAGCACAATAAATACATTACAGTATTTACTTTTCCGATTTTTTTCACGTGGCATTTTGAATTTCATTTCAAATATTTTAATTCACAATTACGGAATTAAAATTTTAGAAATGTTATTATCATTTTTCACGTGGCCTGAAACATTTTTCATTCCAAACAGCCCCAAAAAACTTACCGGTTTCAATTCATTCAAAATTTCACCAAATCTCATTTTGAATTCAATCAAATCCAATCTCAATGGTAATGCATTGATTTGTGCCAATCTTGTTGCAAATTGTTCACCTTCAGGCATTTCTTCAAATTGTTTTTTATCGACTTCTTGCAATTTTTTGAGAACATCTCCAGGTGGAAGAGCAGCTCGAAGTTGTTCCAAAAAACCGACTGTCAATACTTTTTCATTGACTTCAAGAATTGCGGTTTTGAGTTCAGAATGTGACATTTTAACGGATCCTTGGAGAATTCCTGAAGAAAAATGGGTTTTGGAATTTTTTAAAGATATTTTTGAGGTCAAAAACATAATTAAACTCTGTTTCCTTTTTTTTAAAACCCTACCCCAATTAGCTTTAAAACTAACCCAATCTTTGCAAAACTTTATCATCTTGTATAATTTGTGCCGTCTTAATTTTCTTCTTATTTCCAGCTCCACCCAATACATCAGTTTTCGATTGTCCATTTGCTGTTCCTCCGGCGGGTTTCGATGAGAATCTAAACTTCAATCGATCAAACATTCCATCATTCGTCAATGCCTCTTCATTTGTATTCACCCAAAATGATTCTCGCGGGATTTCACGTGGTGCAATTGTGTTGGATCCCCACGGGAACTTTCTCATTGGCACATCGACTTTTCTCACTTTTTTGGGTGGCAAATAATCAGGCAGAGGTGGTGGTCCCATAGCGAATCCACCAATTGGTGGAGGGGGTGGGGGACCAGCTCCACTTTTGAATCCTCCAGGGGGTGGGGGTGGGGGAGGAGGAGGAGGCGGACCACCTTTCATTGCTCCAGGTGGTGGGGGAGGTGGGGGAGGACCTCCAGTAATCGGAGGTAATCCACCAGGTGGAGGAGGCGGGGGCGGTCCGCCTGTAATTGGTGGCAAACCTCCGGGTGGTGGTGGAGGTGGTGGGCCTCCAGTTATTGGTGGCAATCCATTAGAAGGACCAGCCGAAGACGTGGATGGTGCAGAAAGTGTAAGTTTTGTTGGAGGTGGCAAAGGAATCTTTGGATCCGAAATATGTTTTCTCAACAATTCGGCTTCTTTCTGAAATTCCAGCACACTTTTCCAATATTCATTTTGCATCAAAACAGCTTCTTGTTTCGCCGAAATCGCTTGTCTCAATTTCTTTGTCATTTCCTCGTCTTGCAATTGTTCAATGATTTCCGAAATCGGCGTGTCAAACACAATTTTGTCTTGTGAATCGGGATTTCGATGAAGAATTATTTCAGAAATGCAAGTTTCCACCAATTTCATATATGCTCTTTTCGATGACATATCATCTGGGATAAGTGAGAGAAGTTGGAATATTGTTAGAAGAATGTGTTCAACACCAGTTGATTCGGAAGTTGAAATGAGAAATTCTGCACATCCATTGAGAGTATCATATTCTACTTTTCTGAAATAAAGAAGGGTTTTTGGATGATATTTCTTTGTACAACTCAAAACTCCACTTTGGCTGAAATTTCACATTTTAGAACAAAACCAAAACATTTTCGACAAAATTCTGTGTCTGAATTAATAATTGGAAGATCTGGTCCGATCAACTTTTTCAAGTGATAATCCAATTCAAAAGTTCCTAGGGCCCAAATATGACACGTGAATTTGAATTTATGATTTTTGGCGCCAAAAGTTTCTCACAACAAAAATTATGCTTTTTCCAACTAAAATCCCTTCAATATCCCAAAACTCTTACAAATTATCATATTTTCCAATCAATGTCTCAAAATCAGCATTTTGTTCTCTAACCATATTTTTCGCCACTTCTTTCATACTCGAATCAATATTTTCTTCATCACTCGTCATTTTTTCCACCAATTTATTCAATCCATCCCAATCAGCTTCACTTCTCATTTTCATTCGAATTTGCCACATCATTTCATCTGTCCAATGTTCTTCTTCAATTGTATTTCGATCAACTCCATTTATCAACATATTCAACATCAACAATACACGTGTCATTAATTTCGGATCTTTTTGATTCCATTGTTTCAAATATTGAACGAGTGGCTGGAAACGGGAGATTCGTTCGTATTTTTGTTGGCCCTTTGCCAATTTCGTCAATTCGGCAAACATTTTTTGTTGTCCAGTCATTTCGATTCGACATGTTGTTGCTGTTTCATGTTGGACCAACATTAAACTCGAACATATTACAATTATATCAGCACCAAGTGCACGAACTTCGACAGTTTCCAAACCGCTGTAAAAAAACACAATTGATTGGGGGGAGAAAAAGAAAGGAAAAAACTGGTTGGAATTTATATGATTATCATAAATTCGGAGAGAAGGGGGAGAGAATTTTATCTTTTTCAGAGAAAATTTGCAAATTTTCAGAAAAAAATGACACTTTAGCTAAACACAATGTTGAGAAGAACAAATCAAAATTTAATTCGAAGTTTCAATTCAAAGTAATTTCAGGAAAATGACAAGAAACCAACAAAATTGATGAAAATTCAGAAAAATAATTTGTTTTCTATAAAATGTTCATGTTGACCCCAAAAATTCAAATTTCTGCTTTCACATCTCATAAATCGCCCCAACACCCAAAATACCTATTTCCTCACCTTTTGTTCAAACAAATCAACGTTTGGATCAATAATTTACAAACCGGCGAATCTTTACTGAGTGCAAGCTCAATTCCAGTCTAAAAAAAGAAAAATTGTATTCGGCTATATTTTTTCCCCAAAAAAAAACTCACATAAGTATTAACAATCGTTCGAATACACTTCACAATTTCTTGCAAAAAATCGATAAGAGCATTTTTTAAATTCTGATGAGTTGCTGATGACAATCTTCGGATCACCGAATCAAATAATTGACAAATCAAAGTGAATCCAGTTCGACCTTGTTCATCGCGAACTTCGACAGCAAACTGAAAGAAAAAAGGGTTTTTAAAAGGAAGAAAGTACAACAAAAAAAAGAGAAGAAAACATACGGAATATAAAAATGTGACACTTTGACATTGAAGTTGGATTCGAAGAGTTACGATATCTTGCTTGCAATCGAGAACATTCTCAGATTTGAGAATTGCAGAAAGTGCCGCAAGGTTTGATTCGGGAGATTGCTGGAAAAGATTAATTGATAAAAGGGGGGGGCGTTGAAATTTTAATATGAAACAGTAACAGTAATTTGGAAAAGTGAAAAATTGTGAACATATTTTTTCTGAATCAAAAAGTATTGAAATATAGAGGGTTTGAAAAACATTTTTTAAATTTTTTCACAATTTTGAAAATAAAAAAAATAATTTGTTGATATTTCTATGAAAAAAACAGAGATTTCGTAAGTGAATTAATATTTTTAGTAATTAAAAATTTAGATTTGAAAAGTTTTAGTTAACCTAAAAATGTTCGAAATAGTTTTAAAAATTCTCAAAATCCTGACCTTTTTCTTAGCTGCCATATCATTCCTTTTCGCATTATTCACCATACTAATCATTTGTTCTCTGCTAGTTTTATCCAACAAATCCTGAATTTTCGCTCTGGGCACCGATTTTTCCAGCATAATCATCTCGAATTGTCGTTTCAAATCATCCTCATTTATTGTTCCATATTCACCTAAAAACAAATCAATCAATACAATCAATAAATATTGCTCTCGAAGAAAAACTCGCTAACTTTCGTCAAGATCCGAAAAATATTCATCATCATCTGAACTTTCTTGATAATAATCGCCTCTTTCATACAAAAAATCATCAGAATCGCAAGAATAGAATAGCGAAAATGTGCGAAACATATTTTATTTCGGTTTCACATTAAATTTTTTTGAGAAATGAAATGAATGAGATTTTGCAGAGGAAGAAAGAAAGTCACGTTACAAAAATGAGTCATTTTCCGGAGTTTTTTGTTTTGTGAAAAAGAAAAACTGACCGGATGAATTTGAGGCCAACGAAAATCCGCCAATACTTCCTCCACCAATTGTACCATAATCATCGTTTGAAGACGAAGAAGGGCCATTCTAGAAAAAATTAGGGAAATTATTAGAATTTACAAAATAGGTTGGAGTATTTTTGGGGGGTTTTTTGAAGATGACTCGTATAAAAATGAGTTTGTTATTCTCAAAACATCATTAATAAGTTTATTTGAAAAGGAAAATATCAATTTTGGGATTTTTTTGGTTATTTCATTCTCAAAAACTTGGAAATTAGTGCGTAATAACGGAGTATCGTACTCAAAAATATCAAAATTTCCTACTGCGCGAAAGAAATACCCATTCAAATTCAAAATTTTAATAATTAATTATATACTAACATGCAATTTACTCCTTCCTTTCTTTCTTTTAAATCTGCTCGATGAAAATAAATCGGTCCATCTTCCACTTCCACCTTCTTGATTATTTCGTCGATTTGAAAATCCACTTCCAATTTGCATCGAATGTCTATCAACATCATTTCGCGAAAATCGATCTTCAATAAAATGTGATACAGTATCTCCTCTTTTTTGTTGTTTTTTCTCTCTCATTTGAACATTTGGCACTTCTGCACTTCTATGAAGCATTAAATTGAAAGGACTTGATATCATATTTTTAGTCGGAGTAGTTTCTTCATCTAAATCTGATGCGGAAGATAATGATGATATTGTTATTTCTGGTGGTTTTGTTGCTCTTTCCAAATCAGAAAGTGATGCGATTCTCGAATCATCGCTATTTGACATATTAGTTCTGAAATCGAATTATTCGATCGGAAATAAAATACGAAATTTCAACAGGAAAAAGAGAAAACAACATGCTGTTATTGATATTTTTCCTAGTCTTAACAACAATTCCAAATTCATACCAACTTCAATGTTATCATGGTTCAAAGGGAATAATGAATGGGGAAGTTGTGACAAGTCCACTTTGGATAGAAACATGTTTACCAATGGAAATCTACTGTGAAGCTACACGAAATCCGAGAGATGGAACTTTTTTAGCTGGTTGTGCTTCACATAATCGTGAACAAGATGTTGAAAAATGTCCAGCACAATCAAATATTTGGTGGACTGGTTCGATTTATGTTGAGTGTTGTAGTACTTCGTTGTGTAATACAAGGCTTATAAATCTGATTGAAGGTCCACTAGGACTTTTTTAAATGAAATAAAGAATTGTAAAGTTTTACAAAATATAAAATCCAACAAAAATCTGAGAAACTGATATTTTTATATTTCTATTTGGGTTTAAAAACTTTCGAAATAAGAAAATTCAGATTTTTCTAAACCAAAATAAAAGACAAAACTGAGATCTCGACTAATTCAAATTTTGAACAAACAACCTAAATTCCCACAAAATGTTGAGAGAGCCCCTTATTAATGAAAAAAATTCCGTTTCTTTCAGAATTTCAAAGCAATCTGAATTTAAGAAATTAATTTTAAAAAATTAGACAAAAACAACTTCCACAAAATCTTGTCTACCATCCACAGAGCAGTAAACAATAACACTAACTAAACCAAGTGACGAAAACTGGTAAAATGGTTGGCACTTATTCTATCTCAGTCATCTGACACCCGCCAAAAACCAACGATGAAAAAGGAGAAGAAGAACAGGAAAAAACGATTGCCATAAATGTGAATAATCGATAGGAAAAAGGAAAAGGTTGAGAAATTGAACAAACAACAATCTGTTCAAGAAAAACACTCCCAACAAAAATCATATGGGAATTTGAGAAAGTTTGAAACCTACTTACTTTTATCAACTTATAGAGCATGTGGGATATCCGGGTCACTGTGCAACACAAATCAAAAATCAGCAGACAATATTTGCACAGCGAAAATAATGGATGAACGAATATGATATGGCTAACAATAAGCTGTTAACAGGCTCGAGACACTAAAACACACAAAGATGAGAATTGCACAGTTTGCTGCTGAGCAGAGTTTTTTGTTGTGATTTCGAAGAAGAAAAAGTGACCGGCGGGCAGTGAATCACTCGAGAGAAAGAGAAAAATTGAAACGATATTTCGTATTTTACGAAAAAAATGATTTAGTGAGAAGAAGCTAGAAAAACAACTGACAGATTCAGGAAATCCTTCATTTTTGGGTGCTAAATCAAATTTTATTTGTTTTTCGCAAAGAGCACAAAATTGGATTTTTCGAACGGAAGATAGTAGAACATCAATTTTCAAGGATGATTTCTCGTCTAGAAAAAAACCTAAAACCCCAATTTTCCATTCTCACTAAACGTCATTTAATTTAATGGGAACCGAAGTTCCGTTTTATTAGATACTTTAGAAAACCGACTTGAAAGAAGTAAAGAAAATAGTCAGAGATTCACCTCGAAAAATGAAAGTGTTCAAAAACTAAATACTTACGGCAAACAAAAGTAAAATTGAGAAAAAAACGGTATTTAACATGAGTAATTGTATACAAATTAAGGTAAAACAAACAAACAAACAAAAACAAATAAATCGATAATAAAAAATAAATATTTGGGTGATAACAAAAAACACCTCATATAATGATTAGTTCAACAGAAAAAAAAGAATAAAATAAAATGAAGAGACTCATTGGCGAGTGAGTAAAACGCAAGACATTGTCTGCGCTCTCTCAATCTCACACAAACTATCTCCTCTCCCGCGCCGCCAAAAATTTGGCATTCAAACAAAAACGAAACATCTGGCGCCGCGCCAAATAGTAGTTCGCATTTTCGATGTGAAAAGTTTATCGATTTTTTGTCGTCGCATTAGGTAAATTTTTTTGAGAGAAAATAAACCTGTAGCATATTTTCACGCACTATTGGGTTTTGAGAATTTTTACGGTTTTGACGAAAAAATCTCACCTTTCTACTTCTTTTGGTTGTTCCTCCTCCGACTCCATCAGTTTTTCGATCCATTCCTATCAATTTCTTCATTTTTCGAATAGAGCTGAAAAATACAAGAATTTCAGGAATTTTGGGGAAAACGAAGATAAAATAACTAGAAATCACAAGAAAACCCCGGCAGAAAATTCGATATTTTTCAAACCTGTGAGTGAGGTTACAGAGCTAAAACTACGGTTGTAGAATATTTTTAGCTTAACTTCTTAACAATATCTTGTTTCTAAATTGTTTACCTTTTGCAGATTACAAAATATTTCGAACTTGGTGTTCAAAAGTATTCTCTTTGCGAAAATTCGTGAATAATAATTTTTCGAAATCAATAAATAACGAATTATATAAATTTTTCCACATTAAAAACACATTTCAAAATCCACAAGACTATTTCAAAAAAAAAAAACTATGATTCAATGCCAACGGAAAAACCAAAACTTATGCAAATAATTTGAATACAATATGAACCCTATAAATATAAAATTATGTTAAACAAAACGTCGTAAACATAACTAATTCTTTCATTATTGTTATTGTTTTGTTGTAAACGAAAATATTCATTCTATCCGGATTTTTCAGATAAAAACAAAAAAAACTAGGAGAAATCACTTGGTTTGGCGTTAAACGAAGCGTAATCAGCCCATATAAATTTGAATATGCTACACTAGGCTAAATTCCGATTCTGAATCTCACTTTTTTTTTGAAAAATATACAACAAAAAACCAGACTCACTTTTTAGCTGTCATTATTTTGTTATTAATACATAAATATAAATATGTAAAATATTCAGTCGGTGTGGGCAATTATCAATGACAGGCAAAAAAAGAACCAGAAAATATTTTTGTTGAATTTCTAGAGAAAAAGCATTTCATTTTCAGAGAAACATGTTGCGTTTCGTTAAATTATTTAATAAAAACCGTACTAGTTTTTCCCCGATTTTTATTTTTATTCTTTTTGATTTGATGAAAAATAGCTCTGAACTAATATAAAAAGGAACCAAAATGAAAAAAAAACAATTTGATGAGTGAATAGTAAAAAAAAGAAAAAGGCGCGTGCATGGGATGGTGAAATAGTATTCTAAACAATAGGAGACGCAGACATTGGCGGGAAGAAAAGGTGAAAAAACAAGAGGGAGAAGGGTGGCACCATACCTTAGCGGGTTTCCTTTTTCCATATCGAGTAATTGTGAAAATACAAAATAATTGCATTCTTCGATAAAACAATGGAAATTAGGATACCCGGGGTCACGGAAACCCATTTTTTGCAACAAAAAAAAATGTTTTCCGAAAATTATAAAAATTTCGGATTTCTCTTCGAAATTTTCACTTTTCCCGTTGACACGGTATCTTAATAATTCATCTTATGCGATAACAACAAACAATGATCGTTATTCAAATTAACTTTCAATCGGAAGCGTTAGATTTTGTGGTTTTCCGTGAGAAAAACAGTTTTTGGGAGGAAAAAAGAAAATAAATTTTTGTTTCGCCATAGAGCGTAATTGTTCGTTTGTACAGTACTTTCAAATAAAGGCACACACACCTGTGTCTAAATATCTCGCAGCGATTAAAATTTTTTTCTTTTTTTTTAATTTTTAAAATTTAAAATTTAAATTTTATTTTCAGTTTTTGCACTTTTTAGCAACTTCCAGATGGTTTCGAGTGATTTTGATTATATCATTCGATTCCTGTCGTTATGACGAATCTGCTAAACATTCGAATTTTTGTGAAGTCTTCAGTAATAGCAATAAAAATTTATTAATATAAAAAACTAAATCCCCAAAGTTTGCTCCAAAATGATTTCTTCTCTTGTAATTGTCGCAAATTTTCTTCGATGATTCCAAACTTTATAACAAGACGTGTTTTGGATAAAAATGACACATGCAATCACCAATAATATTGAGAAGAAAATCAACGAAGATATGCTAAATTCAACAATTGTTGATTTTTAACTTAGTCTAACTTACTATCCATTCTCAATAATTTCTTTGGTTCTAGATTCAGAGCCCATAAGTTTTCCTGAAAAAAATACTTCAAAAATAAACAAATAAAAAATTCGGAGAGAAGAAGAAAAAAAATAGCGACAAAAATCAATAAAAGTGTAAAGTGACCGAAAAAGGAAAGAGAAACAAAAGGTACAATTTGTCGATTTTTGAAACTTCAAAAAAAACACATGTTTTTTCAGTAAACTTTATTGCTCTCTCTGGCAGACAAAAAAACATGAATAAAAACAAAGAAGTAAAGAAAAAACGGAATTCGCATATAAACAGGAAAAAAAGTGTTGATGCCTTAAAATTGTCCTAAAAAAAATTAGAAGAAAATATTCCTAAAGGCACTCAAAAAAAGAGGAGAAAAATGGTATTTTCGGTGGGAAAAACTTGATTACCGTAAGATTTTTTGAGGGGTTCTTCAAAGCAAAAAATAATAAAAGGAAAAAAATATAAATAATTACCGACCCAAACAAGAAAAAGCCAGGACATTAAAATACTTCCGAGTTTTCAAAAAAATAGAAAATCAGATCGTAATGTCTGGTGGGTACGGTAGAAAAGACAAATAAAGAAGAATAAAGAAAAACACACAAACACGAAAAAAATGATTAAAGGGACATAACAAGTAAGAAATGAATAGGTCGGGGGATCGACTATTATTGGCTTATTTCCATTTAAACCATTTCTTCCACTTCTCGTTTCACAAAACAGCTCTTTGTTGTTGAATTGGTTGTGGTTTGGCACGTGAGGAAGAGGAAGGCGTTTCATCGGAATTTGGAGCCATTGATTCTGATGCACGGGGTGTTGATGTATCCATTGAATCATCATCAATTTGATGATTTTGTTGAGTTGATGAAGATTGTGGAACAACTGAAGAAGATGATGAATTTGGTGAGAATCCAGATGCGAATCGGGATTGACCTGGAAAATTTTGGCATGAAAATGAGAACACGTGGATTTATTTCTTGATAGAATCAAATTTTAGTGTCAAAAATTATCAGCCCGAATTTTTCCGGTTCAAATGAAAGAAGGAATTTTATCGTAAAAATTTCGAAATTGAAAATATTTTTTTCGGAAAACTTTTTTCACTGTTTCAAAATTCTCATAACAGATTTTTGGTTTGAAAAATTGTAATATGTGAATTTTTGGAATGCAGATAACATAATATTTTTTAACTGTTTCAAGAAATTCTATTGTACATATTTAATTTGTCTTTACACTTCAACTCTAATTAACCCCACAACAATAACGAACCTCCAAATCCTCCAAAATGTTGAACAGTATCATTATGAATTGGACCACCACCTCCAAATAATTGTGGTGGACCGTGATTATTGATTGCACTGCTTGTGGCAACACCAAATTCTCTGCAAAAACCCAACATAACATACTGAATTCAATTCTAGAAAAACTCACGAATGATGATTTCTTGGACTTCTTCCAAATTTATTCTGATTAATCAATTCCAAAACAGAAGGAGCAACATAAGTGAAACCAACAAACGGATTATCTCCAGTCAAACTGAAACTACTTTCACACGGGCTGTCAACTGGTGTCATTTTCGTGAAACGCGAATCAAAAAGCGAAACATCTTCCTCATTTTGTATTTCTGGTTTGAATGGTGGATCCAATTTTCTAGCATAAACATCTTCCCAATTGTGTTTGGCGAAGAAAAAGTGATTTTTGATTTCTTCGGCATCAGTTGGACCAGCTCCAAGGCGTGTATCAACGTGTCTTTTCAATAATTTTTTGATCAAATCACGTGCTTCATTTGATAAATATGCTGGCAATGTTAGACGACCCTGGAAAATAAGATTTTTTTGAATAAGGAAAATCGCAGTTTATTAGTTTTTTTTTACATCTTCTCAACTTTTTAAAATGTTTTCTAACTCTTATCCCTTATCCCAATTCAATACCAACCTTCAAAATTTTATCAATAGTTTTCTTTCTATTTTCAGCAGTAAATGGTGGTCCACCAGTCAACATATCAAACATCAATGCTCCCAAACTCCACCAATCAACAGCTTTTCCGTGTCCACATCTCATCAAAATCTCTGGTGCCATATATTCAATTGTTCCGCAGAATGTATGCGTTTTCTGATCGCCTTCAATCGCCTCTTTACACAATCCGAAATCAGTTAATTTGACGTGGCCGCGGCCGTCGAGTAAAATATTTTCGGGTTTTAAATCGCGATAAATAATTCCCTGTCGATGCAAATGCTCCAAACTAACAACAATTTCCGATAAATAGAAACGAGCCGTATTTTCCATGAACATTCCTTAAAAATGAGAAGGTTATGGATTTTGTTTTTTCAAAAAACCTTACCTTCTCTTTCTAAATGCATAAACAATTCACCACCCGATAAATATTCCAAAATCAAGTATAATTTTCCACCAGTTTGGAACGCGTATAACAAATCACAGATAAAAGGGCATTTGACAGCTTCGAGAATATTTCTCTCGGCTTTTGTGTGCGCTGTATCTTTTTGATTTCTAACAATTGTCGCTTTTTGCAACACTTTCATCGCAAAAATTTTTCCCGAATCGGAGCCCGTAGTTTTGCGAACTTGGAACACTTTTCCATAGCCGCCTTTTCCCAAAACTTTCAATAATTGAAAATCTTTTGGTCCAACTTTGACATTTGGATTGACTGTTGAGGCTGACAAATCGATCGCTTCAACCATTGGACCTTCCATATATGAAGAACTTGGTGGTGGAGCTGTGATTTGACCCTGCAAACAATAATATTGTTGAAGGGAATGAGACCAAAATCATGATTTGAAAAAATTTCGGCATAAAAATTATTTTTCAACAGAAAAGCTCTCAATTCCATTTTCTGAAAAAATTCTTTTAAAAAACTTGATAAAAAATTTCCACTGTTTCAATTTAAAAAAAATATTTTTTTGTAAATCTCAAGTTAATTCCGGAATTTCCGACTTTTTTTTCAAAAATGAATTTAAAAAAATGTAGAATTGAATTTTTATCCCAGAGTTTGTTTTTAAAATATTCAATGTCAAATTATAAATAATCTCAATTTTTAGTCCTAAGATTAATTTATTTCAAAGTTCCAAAATATGATTTCACTGTTTCAAAGTTTTCGGATATTTTCACATTCCACAATTTCCAAATTCCAGCCAAAAATAGACCAAATGTTTTATCTTATCAAAACCCAACAAAAATAACTCACATCAGCCACATCACTGTACATATGATCATCCTCCATCACTTCAGACAATTCATGATGATACCTGAGAAAAAATTTTATAAATTTTATGTCAAAAAATTTAATTTAAAAAAAACTAACTGTGTATTAACCGGTTGATTTTCCTGTCCATCAAATTCGAATTCAAAAACATCGGCCATTTTTTGGCAGACTTTTTATAATAATATAATATTAATTAGGAGAATATAGATATGAAAAGGTTTTCAATTCAATTTTCGATCATATGTGTTTTTTCGAACACCTGAAAAATTGAGAGATAATAAGGATCAGAGAGGGTTTGGACAACACGAGAAATACGAAGTAAATAAATAACAAAAAATGACGTGGATTTGGTTGGGAAATATTGTGAAATTTTTTAAAAGTTTTTTTTCTTGTTCAGTTTCCAATTAGAAACCTCTTTTCAAAAGATAGATTTTTTCAAAGAAAAAATAAAAATTTTTGAATGCGGAAAAAAGTTGAATATGATTTTTTTGATGACAAAAAAATTTTCTGATAGGAATTTTCCAAAGGGTATAGAGAAACCAAAAAACGTATAGAATATTTTATATTTGTCCTATTCTAACTACAAATGAAGGTTACTTGTCCTTTCCTTTTAGACAAAAAAAAACCGACTGACTAATATAACAATGGCTAATCATAAAAAAACAGAAAGAACAGTTTTTCGTGAGACAAGAGACTGATAGACTTTGATCAAAAATTGTATTTTTCCTAAAATACAATTGAGCTCGTTTGGACTTTTAAATGAATCATGAAGAATTCAATATTTGATTACTAGAGATAACCAGATAAGATCAGATAATTAGACCCTTACAGAAAAATTTTCGAATGCCAAAAGTAAAAAATTTATATTTTTTAAACTAATGTATTTAAAAAAACACAGAAACAAAAACAAAAACAACACCGTTATATAAACTAACAAATAATAATAATAATGATACAAACTAGTTCATCAACATATGCCAACTCTGCACTCTCTTCAAAATCCACACTATTTTCAAACAAAGGACCGCCTTTGGGATTCCCACCCCTTACTAAACAACACCAAAATTGTCTAATAACAGGTGTTTTCACATTTGCATACCAAAAATGGTTTCTTTTTGTTTTTTGTTGGAAAAATTACAAAAAAATCAAGTTTCAAAAAAAGCGAGAAAAACGCTTATCTTGATTTTTGTTTCGTTTTCGATAGAAACACACATACAAAAAAGACATATCAATCAATTCAATTCCAATTTTTTTGTTGATAAAATGAAATTGACAAGGAATTGAATAAATGAGCGAAGAGTGAGTGATTGTGTAATAATGAGTGAGTGATAGAAAGTTTAATAACACAAAATACTTTGTGTTCGGTTGCAAAGATTTTTGGTGCAAGAAATTTTGAGTCCAATATTTTTTGTTAGCTCAAGAATTTCGTATCAAAAATTGTTAAATCTGTTGGGAATTCAAAGCAAATTGAATTTTTGAAATAAAATTGGGAAAAAAAATATGTTTTGAAGACAAAAAATGTGAATCAAAACAACATTTTTCGGCGAAATGGAACTTTTATGATAAGATTCTTTGGGAAATATACTTTTTCGAGGTAGATCGAACAAGGAAAACAGGCAGGGGTCCTACCTAAAACAGATCAGAAAAGAGCCCAAGTTCGAAAGTGCCTTCAAAAAGTCAATAATTTCATGGTTCTCTTGTAAATTTTTAATTTTCAAAAATTTATCGCTCAGTTTTTAAATTTGAAAACTACGATACTTTTTTGTGGTCTCGTTAAGTTTCGATCAGAAAATGTTTTTTTCATAATCACTAGAATTTAGATTTAAAAAATGTAGCAGAAAACTGACATGGTAAAAATGATTGTGAGATAAAAAAAAATCCGCATAAATCCCGTAGAAAATTCCGAAAACCCTATTTTTCTAGAGAAAAACTAGAACAACCGGAAGCATTCAGTGAGAAAAAAGCACACAGCCAAATTAATTAATTTCGTCTCTCAACGAGACAAAAAAAAAAAGCAAAAAACGATCATCAAACATATAATTGCAACAAAATTCTCTTCTCATTCTGATACCGGGCTGATCAACTGAAAGTAACAAAAAAACGGGTGGAGAGCGACTAAAATCAATCGATGTCAAATAGATTTTCAAACTAGCCATACGTTTGCAAAGAGACGAAGGCGAAATATAAACGAGATAGTGTACGAAATGAAGAGAGTGCGAGAGACTGACAACTTTTCTTTATTTTAGAAAAAAGAGAGGAGAGTGAGTGAGAAAGAGAGAGAAAAGGGATTCTTTGCGTATTTTGTTGGTGTGCTGGTTTGGGTGGAACGGCCAACAAGATGCTCTTTTTGCTCAATAAAATGAACGGACAAATTTGGGAGAACGAGAAGACTTAGAGAAAACTAATATAGGTGATGAAAATGAGTTAGGAAAAAACTCAAAATAATAATTTTATGAATGAAAATTCTCAAGATTCGGTAAACAAAAACAGGGGAAGGGGCTTTTTCGCTCATTGACTTTACGAAAACAACAACAAGAAAACAGAAAAAAGAAAGAAATACTGGACTGAGCTGAGCTAAAATGAGAATATACGATAAATGAACCTATCCATCTTTAAAAAAACAAGTTTTTTGAGGTTCAGATTTCTGAAAACTACCGCTTTTCTAAATAATGGATATACTAAATGATTTTTAGTATGTTTTCAAATATTTTTTTAGATGCAATAAATAAAATTGAAAGGGCTTTAGGTTCTCAAAGTTCAAAACTGTGAAGTGCATTCTTAGAGCAAAAATCTGGGGATTTTGTTGTAAAAATAAAAATTACTGCATTAAAAAAAGCTACTCTTGTTTCAATATTTAAAAGCTGTCTAGATATTTTTCTGAAAATGGAAAATAGTTCAAAAAATCTCGAAGCTATCAAAAAAGTATCAACAATCCGGAAAATATAAAGATAAAAATTGCAAGTACATTTCTAGATCAAACTATAAGTTCAGACTAGAAATGAGATCTTGATAGAATTTTTATCAGAATATTGTAGACTATAGTCTATTTTTCCAATTTAAAAAACCGTGAACCGACCTGAATACTTCTTTTTTGGTGTCGCGTTGCGGTTCAGCGTGGCTTTATTTTTAGAAATGAAAAAAATGTAACTCGCTACGTGGATCGCGACGCGTCCAACAGAATTTGAAAGTTCACGCCGATTTTTATTTCAAATAAAATTTCTCCATTTCAATTAAAAAATTACAGCCTGAAAAAATAAAACACAAACAAATACATACGCCGTGAAAAACAACGGTCTTCAAATTCAGACTTTCAAAAAAAATCTCGAATCGATAGTAAGAAGTTTATTAGAAAACATGGGAATCTCGAAAATGAATATGTATTACACAAGAAGAAAAACACAATAATAGACTTAAAGCAAAACTCCGATTTCGGTCTATGTTCCAAGAAAAAAATGAATGAATAAAGAGAAAATTGCACAGAATTTGTTATTTTTGGGGGGAAAACTATTTTTAACAACGAAAATTACCGGTTTACTACTTCTAACCTGAATAAACATAGATTTTATTTTTGGTTTTCTTGGATTTTAGTTACATGGAAAAAAGATTTGATTTCGAAAATAAATAAATTAGACTGGTTTGTAAAGAAGAGTGGTTACAAACTTTTTGCGATATCTTTGAGTCGATGACAAAACCATGACACTATCTTTGATCGATAAAGCATACATGTGATTGAGCATAACGTGATTAGGCTCTGGGAGCACATTCGGGTCACATGATTCAGGAGTTTCTTTGTTGAGAAGTACTTGCATGAGTTGAGGTGGAATAACTGGTGGACCGGGAGCTTTTCTCAATGTTTCCATTGTTGGAATTTCTTGAGTGAAAGTGCGAAGTTTTTCCATTTCTCGATCATTTGGAGTGTCGTGACATTGTCGTTGATCGACTTCGCCGCGCAAAACTTCTCCAGCGTTTGAAGCTTGGAAATCTTCATCGAGAGCTTCGAAAACAGCGAAATCCGATTCTTGAATATTTATCGCGTTGTTTTCATTGCCAGCAGCATCTTGAACTCTTTCTTGATTGTCATCAACAACCCATTGACCATCAACATAAAACTTATATTCATACTTTCCAGGCTCTAAATCGATGATAGTTGTGAAATCAGAAGCCGATTTCACCATTGGAATCTTTGCATGCCAGCCATCCCAACTTCCAACAATTGAAACAGCTCTTGGTTGATGAGTTGCTCCAAAATTCCATCTAAAAACAACTGGACATTCACCAGCTTTCGAATCGTCGTGATCCTGAAAATGAAAAGTTTTAAAGGGTTGGTGCTCCGCCAGGGAATTTTGCTTGGTTTAGATAGGAATAAGGTGCTCCTGGAGGGTTCCAGTTTTAGAAAAAATTCTAGTATCAATTCAGCCCATGTTTTTCCTCAAAAACACAAGCGAGTTAAAACCTACGAAATAAAGCATGTAAATGCGCTCTAGCGCACAACTTGTTTTTGAATTTTCGTGTGTGTGTTTGCACACAACTTTGAAAACAACACTGTGACGCCTTTTTGCAGACGATTTTTTCACCAGGAAAGCACCAACCCTTTAAGAAGTGATAAAATAATAGGATCAAGAAAACTCACATCGAATAAAACCGGTGGTCCACTGGATTCTGGATTTGGCAAAACTTGTGCAGCAATTCTTGCTGTCTCACTCATCATTCGATGGCGTCGAACACCGCCGCCTTCTCGTCCAGAATTATCATATCTTCCAGTTGTACCTGATTGATTATTTCCCATTCGATTCTGAAAATAAACAATCAATAGATTGATAAAAATAGAAAAAAAAACCACATTTCAAGATAGAAATTTTGTAAACAACTGTTTCCTTGCGAAATAGGAAGCGGCTAGAGAGTTTGAGAGAGGGAAAAGAATCTGAATAGAAGAACATCTGTACACCACGTGTTGGCGAACAGCCAACTTCTGTGAAGCGATTTCTTTGCCTTCGTTGACTCTCGATTTGTAGGCACAAAACTTGAATTTGTACTTTCAAAGTGATTTTTCACAGAAAATTATGATTTTCCAAAGAAAACTCGTGATAGAAAGTATTTCTAAATGTCAAGAGTCAAGGAAAAATGAAAAATTTCGGAAAAAAAATCGATCAAACATGGCTGAAAACACTGAAAATAAAGGGATATTTCGCCTCTCACGTGAATGAAAAAAGGGGCGGTGATTTACAACCGGGCGTGGCCTAAAATGCAAAAGATTGTGCGCCGCACACTTTTTTCCTCTTTTTTTTTCAATTTCTTCCGAATTTTTTTGTTTCGATCGCGATTCAAGTTTCACGAAAAGCGATGACAGATGAACCTTTGACTAAAATTCGAAAATTGGAAAATATCAAGTAAGCTTACCATTTCAAGTTAATCCGCGACTTTAGATAAAATATAACTGAAAACCGCGTTGTTTTTCAACAAAAAGTGCAATTTTTGATTGTTTTTCAGCATCATTCCTATTTTATCGCCCACTTTCACAAATCTATCAATAGAAACTACAAAATTCGTTGCGCTGAAACTCGAAGACAAAAGATCTATCGGTAAAGTGTGTCACATTATTGCTTTTCAATTTCTAAACAGAGTAAACATTTTCAGATCATTAAAAATCTCAAAGAGCTCCCAGAAAATTTGCGACATTTGAAAAGAGTTGGAAAAAATGGACAAATTTTGATCGCCGAAACGATAGAAGAAGCAGAATTTGCAGTGGATGAAGAATTTCGAAATAGTTTAGAGGTGGGCGAAATATCAAAACATTTTTGTTACAAAAATTTCGTACCAGGCTGTACATTTGAGAAAGAAAAACATTTTCGATATGAATCACGAGATTTTATAAATGTGATGTAATTCAATACAATAACCATAAAAATAATATGGTAATAAAAAATAATTCGATTTTTGTAGAAAGTCGTCGTCCCTTCAACAAAACCAATAACTCGTGCTCAATTCGAAATTGCAAAACATATTTGGCCGACAAGTTTCCATCCGGATAAATATCTCGATTCTCTAATTGACGGAACTTTCAAAACTCCCGAACTCATTGAATACGTTTCAAAATGGAGTCACGAAGCTGAAAATCGTCAATGTATTTCTTTACAAAATCAAGAATATTTATGTGAAGGAACAAGTCAATCAGGCCCACTTCGACATCCAGTCATGGAAATGGTTGGAAGAATGCCAAAACGAGAAGAATCTAGTGAAAATTATTTGGGAACTGGTTGCGATGTTTTTCTACGTGATGAACCTTGTGCAATGTGCGCAATGGCTTTGGTTCATTTTCGAATCAAACGAGTTTTCTTCAATCACAATTCGAGTAATGGAGTTCTAGAAAGTTCTTCTTGGCAACTTCATCTCGAACCATCAATAAATCATCACTACGAGGTATACAAAATTGAAAAATGAATTTTATTTTAATTTATTACATTTTTTCTTGAAAATTTACAAATCAAATCAATCACTCCAATCATCGTCATCATCTGAATCTTCAGAATCACTTGGATTTATTCCAACTCTCCGTGCATCCAAAAACTGTTGAATCGCATCAATCATTGTATTTTCACCAGTTGGAGTAGTTATTGAATGTCGTTCTTCGCTAACTTTTCTCAACATCTTACTTTTGTCCACATTTTGAATTTCATCCAAAAAACTTCGACGCTCATTTGAAATTGAACTTGTTTTTCGAGTATTTGCAGCTTCTTCCATCTCTTCTTCTTCTTCCTCTTCACTTTCAGGTTCTGGTTCAACTTTTCGAATCTTGAAACCATCGGAAGGTAATGGTGGAGCTGGGGGAGGAGGAGGTGGTGCAACTGGCGGCGGATTCACAGGTGGCAGTGAAACTTTTGGAGCTGAAGTTGGTAATGGCGGTGGTGGAGGAGCCACGCGAGTTGCCTGAATTTTAGTTTCTTTTGGTGGCGGAGCAGTTTCGACTGGATTTGTTGCCCATCGATAAGATTGTCGATGTGATGGAAGTCGAGGCGAAAGAGAAGGAGAAACTCGAGAAGCGGATCGACTTGGTAAAGCTGGAGGAGCTTCGGGCTGCTGAAAATTCAAACTTTGTTGAAAATTTATTTAAAATCATTATTTTTTCCACGCCATAAGTTCACGTGAACTCACCAGATTTTTATTTTCATTTTCAAATCGATAAAGAGTATGTGGTTGATTTCGAATTCCATAAGAATCTTGTCGAACTTTTGTCACAATTGGTGTTAAAAATTTCTCTTCCTCTTCTTCTTTTTGTTCTTCTCGCTCATATTTCATATGATCATTATTATTATTATAACTTTGATTCACAGATTTTTGTTCAAAATGTGTCGAATTCGAAATTTGAATGTTAGTCACATTATTAGTTTTTTGAATATCAACATGTGGAACAGCAAGTCCATCTTCTTCCCAATTTGGATGAAGTGGATCAATCGGTGCTTTGAAACTTGGTGGTTTTTCCTCTTCTTTCTCTTCACCTTCTTCAATCTTCGATGATTTCGATTTGAAAAATCCACCTTTTTTGACAGATTTTGGTGTCTTTTTCTTGTCTTTCATTATTGATTGCCTCAATTTATCCTCATTCCTTATCACAAATTCTTTTAAAGCAATGTCATCGTTTTCCTTCATTTTCAACCCTGGCAAAATCCGATTATATAATTCTTCCTGATCTGCAGTCATATCTAATCCAACATGTTGCAAATGCTTGAAATCAGTCGGTTTTCCAATTTCCAGCTCTTTTTCTTTTTTAGAACTCGAAAACATTCCACGGAATGAAAATTTCTTCTTAGCATCTCGCTTCTTGTCTAAAAACATATTGCATTTCAATCGATAATCAATAGAAAACTCACTTTTCAACATTTCGAGAGATTTGCAGAACCTTTCAGCTTCTGTCGTGTCGTAGAAATTGAATCCAACTACTCGATGACTATCGTCATGAAATATAACAAGATTTTTGTGAGTTTGTTGGACAGTGAAGCTTTTATTTCTGGAAAACAAAGAGTTTTTCGGTTTCAAAGTTTCGAAAGTGAAAAATAAAAAATAATGATTACTGTATTCAGCATGAAACGGTGCAAACACCACTCACACATTTAATTTGACGCGCACGTTTTTTTTAAATTTTTTTGCTGATTTTCGATTGTTTTTCGGGGTAAAACTAACCTTATTATAATTTCCAAATGGACCACAGGGTTCGCATTGACAATAGGTTCAACAAAAGCAATTTTATACTCTTTTCTTGTGCTATTTTTCGAGTAAATCACAACACCGGGGCTGTTTTCCAATTCCCATTGACCATTTCGTTCTCGAAGTAATTGACAAATTCCCGATGCAGTTATCTGAATAAGACATTTTTGTTTTTGAAATTTAATTTCAGTACCTTATCTCCAGTAAAAATAACATTTGCCACACTTTTCTTCTCTCTTTCATCCAAAAAATCAGTCAAATTCGGAATAATAGTCATGTCTATAACAGGAAAATCATGAAAGTTTAACAATATTTATCAATTCAATTCGTGTCACTTTCTTATCATTTGAAGTTTTGTTTGCTCTTCTCTTCGCTTTTTTTGGCTTGATAGACACATTTATTCAGAAGAAGAAAAAGAAAAAAGTTTAATTTAAAAAATATTTGTGTTGATAGAAAAAAGGAATATCTAAAATTAGATTAATGAGAAAGTTCAGCTTTTTCAGCTGAGACTCGAATTTTTGAGAATGACGAAGTGGATTCCTGGGTTTCACTTTCACTTTCAGATGAACTTGCTGGTGCAAATGGCGAAATCATTGGTGATCTATCAGTTGCAGATTGAAGTGTTTGCGGATTGGTGACTAAAAATCAGAAGTTTTTGATGGGAAAAAATAACATCGATAACTTACAAACAGTGATATGTCTCTCATTATCCAAAATGTTTTCTGGATCTCTTGGTGGTTTTGGAGAAACAATTCCACCTTCCGAGAATGCAGTTTGAATATTCGAACTAACTTGTGAAACATCGGTCATTAGAGATTGAATCGATGTTTTTCCACTGGTGTCAGATAATGAAGAATTCGCTGACCAGGATCTGAAATCTTTATTGTTTGGAATTCTTCCATAAAAAACCGGGGGATTCGAGAACTTACGATAAATCAATGCGATTCTTTGGTTCTTCCGAATCCGTTTGACTCAATTCAGACAAACTCGAGAGATTGAAACTAGTCGATTTTCCAGATCTCGCCGCCCATCCATCCATAATTTTTGAAAATTCCCCAAATATCATTTCACATTTATAAGCTCCGTTTGCTGGCAAATCATCAGTTTTTCGAATTGTCTCCTCAATTTTCTCCTTTTCTTCCAAATTCATTGGCATTTCTCTAACCCATTTTTGCAAATTCGTCAAAACTTGATAAATCCTATGATCTTCGTGTTCGAAAACAGTCAAATCTGGCAAATCAGCAATCGCAAAATCAATAAGATTTTTCGCATTTTTAACGCGTTTCGTGTTGGAATCAAGAAGGACTTGAGTTTTCGTCAAATTTGCTAACAAATGATCACTTTTAGCAACAACATTATCGAGTTTTGCTTTGTATTCCAATAAATCAAGAGTATCTTGACAAATATCCGAAAAATGTTCGATTTTTCTATCAAAATCCTCCAAATATTCATCATTAACATCTTCCAATTCATCTAATTCCTCAAATAATTCTTGTCTCAAAGTTTCTCCATTTGAATTGATTTGTGACATCATATTTGAGAGGTTTTTAAGAGAATTTTCGAAGATTTCAGATGTTTTCTCCATAGTCATTCGAAGTTCATCGTGTTGTTCAGAAACAATGCGTTGAAGTTCGGTGCGATTTGTCTGAAAACAAGGATTTAGGTGGTCAGAAATCTTAAAACTCGGGTCCGTTTCGAAATATTTTCTAAACCTACCATTCTCGGCAAAGTATCTGCAGTCAGAGTTGAACTTCCGCTACTTTCGCTACTTTCCAAAGTCAAATCATTCGCACTTGTTTTTTGTTCAACAGCTCTCCAACTTGATCCCAACGAAATTGTTGTATCCGAATAATCTGGTGTTGCCAATTGTGAGCGTAAATCGCTTTCAGTGTTGGAGAATTCGCTCGATTTTCCAAGTCTTAATTGTGGTCCATATTGCAAATCAGTCATCATTTTGTATTCGTATAAGATCAAAAAATGGCGAGATTTTCTGATTTAATTCTGGTTGGATTCTGGATGGATTTCACGTGCCAAAATTGGGTCACGTTTCGAAATAATTCAAGCTTTTTTTTGGAGTTTCGAGATCAAGATTTGTTTCCCCTGAAAACCATTGTTTTCTAAAGTTATGCTTGTAAATGTGTGAAGTGTGTCAGTTCCTTTAACACCTGTCACAATTTTATCAAATTGATGTGTGAAGTATAGTTCGGGTTACTGTAGTTAAAGAATAGGAAAGGGTTTTTTTTTGGAAATAGGGAAAAGGCAAAACATGAAAAATGTTATCAACTGAAAAAAGCTTTCTTGAAAATATAGCAATTTTCAATATTTCACAGTTTCCTGAAGTTTCACGGTTTTTCCTGATTTTTTTCCTGATCAGTCTGTTAAATTCTGAATGCTACCTAACTATACTTCACACATCAATTTGATGAAATCCTGACAGGTGTGAAAAATCTCTCACACTTTGCACTATTCAACAACCAAACTTAAAAATTTCAGAATTTCAGAAAATCTTCAAAATTTGGAATCGCATGTTCAATTTATATCTACACCAGAATTCATCGTCTACAGTATTCTACAGTACCCCTACAAGCTTCCCTCTCTCCTTTTTTGCTCTTTCCTTGGCTCTTCCCAGCCATCATTCATCCATTAGCACCAAATGAACTTTCCCGCAGGCAAAACTCCGCCCATCTGAAAAATTGGGGGTGGACGTTTGTATGGTAAAGCAAAATCTCCTGGAATAATCAGTCAGTCTATTCCAAATCAAAAGATGGAAGTGAAATTGGTTCGCAGTGATTTGTGGCGCCAATTTTCGACAATTCAAAATGAGATGATTATCACAAAACGTGGAAGGTTAGTTTTAATTTTTTGAATCTTTTTCTAATTGTGATATTTTTCAGAAATATGTTTCCATCACTTCAATATCGAATCAGTGGATTGGAAGAAGATGGCTTGTATCGAACAAGTTTGTTATTGGCATTGGTTGATGATAAAAAGTGAGTGTTTCTGGGTTTTTTCAAATGAGCTGAGAGAAATTTATGTGATCTACCCTAGAATTTCAGAAAACACGCTTTTCTCTCTACAGTAACCCAGAATATCTTAATTTTAGTTGATTACTGTTACTGTGAAAACTGAATTTTACCTTAGGGTACTGTAACTTTTTAATTAGATTACTGTAGAGTTTTTGAAAAAATTGGTACATTTATTCAGAACACCGAAATTTGCATTGTATGTTCAAAGTTGGAAATTACTGTAAATTGGAGATTTTTCTATCAAAGCAGAGTTTCTACATACAGTATCTGAAAAGTCTATTTGTTAAAACTAATTTTGACCGTACTCACTAAATTCTTCATGTTTTCTATTACTGTAATTCGGATTTTATAATGAGCCATAAAAATACTGTAACATTTTTTTTGCTTATATTTTTCAATGCCAAAAGTGGAGTCTGAAATTGGAAATTGTCTCAGAGAATGGAAAATTTTGAATAAAATTAATTAGAGTAATTTAGAATTGTTATGCTTATTTTGATGTCATCTCTGTCAGAAAAATGTCAACATTTTAAAAGTGTTGATAACCTAAAGCTGGTAAAATACACAGTGTCACAGAAAACTTCACAGTTCTACAACTTGAAAAATCCTCGAATCCCTGTTTTTTTTTGCAGATATCGCTATCTCAATGGTCAATGGGATCAATTTGAGCCATGTGTCGAAGCGACTCATTTTCCTCGCGAAGTTTTTGTTGGCGAAACTCGAAGCGGAAAAGATTTGATGAAACGAGGAATTTCTTTCGAGAAAATCAAAATCACAAATGGCGACGATGTTTGTAATCCAGCAAGGGAAATTGTGAGTTTTTTTTTATTTTTAGAATTTTTATGTTTTCAACTTCTCCTAATTGGACTAGAACATCTTGAGCTACAAAAGTGTTTTATCTAAATATCTACAAAAATGCAAAAAGCCACCGTCATCTGTAATTAATTGATGGTTTGTTACGATACTATTCATAAGAAAATGTGCTAATGGGTCCAAGATGTTTGCTTTTATGTTGGAAAGAAATCTGCCTTTAGGAGGGGTTAGGAAAAAGATCCCGCTGAGCACAGGGTATACATAAATAATAGAGAGATACACACATATTTTTAGGTAGATAATTTTTACAGTAGTCCATGGTAGAAAATTTGTTTTAGGGTTCATTTTCAAAAAAAAATTTGGATCAAAAAAATTATTTTTTTTATTACAAAATGTTTTCAAGGGCATTTTTTGCAGTTACAGTACATGTGGAAATTTTATAGCAACTACAGTAACGCAAAACATCTTTAACATTTTTTTTAAAGTTGGGGATACTATAATTTATGAAAAAACGTCTGATCTACAGTAATCCGAACTACAAAAGTGAAGAACTGCTTAGCTACAGTACTCTGCACTTCAGGTTCTTGTAGTTTGCGTACTGTAGATTTGGAATTCCTATATGGAACAGTAACCTGGAATTCAAAAATCAACCTTATGGCTACAGTAATCCAAACTTCAATAATTTGAATTCCAGTTTCTGTTTGCACTGCCGATCTAAATCTTGAAAAAAAGTTTAAAAATTTGAGTTATTTTGAGAATCCTAAATTTTCAAAATTTGTCCCTCCAAAATCCCTCTTTCCCTCCCGATTCTCTTCCCAAAACCCCACTTTTTCAATCTCTCATCAATCATTCAAACAATATAAATATTACCAGCTGATTTTTCTGTCTTCTAATCCGACAATAATAATGCATCTCTATTCATGTTATGTCAACATTGCCCCACCTGTCAAAAAAATTGTATCACCTTTCCCAAAAGCACGAACTTCTAAATCTCATTTTTACAGATTCGAATCCAGTCAATGCGAAAATATATTCCGATTTTGGGACTTTACAAAGCTTCTCGAAATCCACTCGAAGCTCCAATTAAAATTGGAGAATTTCAATTCGAAGAAACACAATTTATTGCAGTCACAGCATATCAAAATACAGCAGTCAAGGATTTGAAAGTTATGAATAATAAATATGCGCAAGGATTCAGAGACACTGTGCAGACCAAAAGGTTGGTTTTATCAGTTTAAAAAAAAATTAAAAATACAGTTATCTAAACTTAATTGTTTGTCAGATCTTCAACCTCTCCCTCTTCATATTCTTCATCCGAAGATTCAACATTCTCACCGCCAAACGAAAAACGCCAAAAACTTTCAACTCCCGAAGAAGAACAAGAAAATATTTATCAACCAAATGCAATTCCACAACAACAACAACAACAACTTCATCCAAACTTTTATGCTCAACAATATTCACAAAATGCACATCAATACAATCCATATTTTCATCAACAATATCAAGAATATGCATATTATAATCAATATTGGATGAATTATGCAAATCAGTACTAAAGTTTCAATTTCTGAAATTCTTTGAAAAAATTGTAAGTTCTCAAACCTTCCCCAGTTTTATGTTAGCTTTCCATGTTTTTCATTATATTATTGCTCTTGTAAAAAATATTTTCCTCAAAAAATTGTAATTTTCTTTCGATCTTATTTAGCTTCCCCATCTTTGTCTCCCAGAAAGTCTTAAAAATTGCAATTTTCTCAAAAATATCTAGCCCCCAGTGTTTTTTGTTTCTTTCTAATTTCTAAATACCGATTTCCCTGTTCCTTTTTTTCCTGAAGTGTTCGACCAGGTGTTTTTCACCTGTCCCTTGAATAATGTTTATTTACGGAATAAAAAAGGAGGCAAAAATTGTTATGTGAATAATTATGGTATACATGTTTAGACATACACACTTATTTGTTACATATTTGGAGGTGAGAGGCAGAAAAAATTGAAGGAAATCAGTAACACCTGGAGAATTTTTCTAAATTGCCACGTCACAATTTTGGAATTTAGTTCTTTCAAAATTTATTCTTGGGACGAATTGAGTTTTTCAAACTTATGAAATTTTGACTAGATGCCACGTAGGATAATGATAAAATCAGAGGAGTTGAATGATGTAAAATAAAACATGGAAATAGCGAAAAATTCAGAATATTTTCCAAACCAAAAACATCAATCAAAATAAGATCTAATAAAATAATCAATGTATTTAACATATGATACAATGATATTGGCAGAAATTGATAAACATAGAAAATACTATAATCTTTTTGAATATCCAAATTTCTGAGAACTTTATAAATGTGATAATAGATTAAGCTAGATATAATCGAAAAAATTAAAAGAGTCACCAGTTTTGAATAAATGAAAAATTGATGATTTGGGCACATTGGAACAAATAATGAGAATTCACAAAGTTCCCATTTTGAATAACTCAAAATGATGGCTGAAATCCATGTTAAATAAACTAGAAAATTCCGAGTAAATTTATCAAGAAAATCTGAATATAATTTGTGTAATATGAGCAATCTTTCAACAGCTATAATGAAAGTGAAAATACAAGTTATGTAACCAGAAAGATCCATGAGGATATAATGTTCGAATAGTGTTAGGCTGGCATATAAAAAATTCATGATAAATATTTTAGTGAGAAACATTCGAACCATTATTTCATTGAAAGTTGTGAAACAATTAAAAATTAATAAAGTTGAGCAAATGAAATAAATATTTTTGAATTTATAATCAGTTATTTGATTTTTGTGCGATTTTTTATAGATAATCAGGAAAATAAATGAAATCATCGAGATGAAATCGCAAATGGTTCGAAAAATTAGAAGAATATCAAGTTGATTCATTAAACAGAATGAGTTAGAGGAAATCAAATTTTGGCAGGTGTAAAAAGTCTTGAAATGTGAATTGTCACGTCACAAAACAAAAAAAAAGACATTTCGATTTTTTTTTGTTTTCACGTGTCCTAAAAAGTGTCTATAAAAACCAAGAAATTCCGGAAAATCTTCAGTTTGATAAAAAATCTTCATAATAATTTTCGAAAAATACAATGTCATCAAATGATCAAGAAAACGCTGGAAACGCCAAAAAAGAGGATACACCACAACTTCCTCGACAATTCTACGGACAAGCTGAATATAAAAGTGAAGGTGGAGCTTTTTCAGCGCTTCTTATGCGCAGAAAAGTTCAAATGCCTCAAGATTGCAAAGCACTTTGTAAACCAATTGAATCTTATAAATTATCAGCTGATCGAATGCATAAAGCCCTGATGTTTTTATTAGTCGAAAATGTGGTTTTGAGTTCGAAAATTGGAGTTTTGGATGTGCCGGAAAATATTGAAATGGATCGACCTTATAAAAATATTATGGAATATTTGGGGAACTTTGAAAAATGTTTGAAAAAAGGAAGAAAAGGAACTTATCCTTCTTTTGATCCTTCGATCAAAGCTTTCAAAAATATGAATATTGAGACAGAAAAATATGTGAAAAAACAGCTGCAGGTTAGTAATTTTGAATTATTTTTGTACTACGTACATAAGGAAAATATTTTCTAGACCCTTAGATCTCTCACAATATTCATCGGATATGATTATTGGGAATACGTAAGATTGCGAAGAATTTATTGGGATTCCTTAGAGAATTATGATAATGCGTTGACTTTGCAAAGTAAGGAAAGAACACCGGAAGCGGAAGCCGCAACTTTGGCAGCACAAACATGGCGAAATGATCAGAAGAATAAGATGTGTGAGTATATTAAAAAGTTGAATGCGGAAAAATTGCCGAAAAATGCGGAATGTGTTGTAAAATTTGCGGAAGAAGCGATGCAATATCATACAAAAATGGAGGAAATTTTGAAGGATATGAATGCGACACCCGCTGATTCTTCGGTTATCAAAATAAATAAATGAATGTGTCAAAATTGTTATTATTGAAACTTTTAAAAAACTCTTTCTTTCAATGAAAAGATTCGCCTTGCAAAAATCCGCAATCACGCTGAAAAAAACCTGCATACACCAAACAACAAAGACTACGCGCAAATGTTTTTTGCAAAAATTTTTGATCAAATTTTTTTTGATCTACCCCGCTATTTTTCCATTTTTCGTGAACTACAAAACGTTCATCGATTTTTTTCCATTTTCATTATTTTGTGTATTTTTTGGCCGTGCGAGGATGTGAAAGATAAGTTTTCTGGGGGTAATTTTATGCTTTCAAAAGTTTTAAAAAATTTCGAAATCATAGCCACTCGGATCCTCAAGAACTAGAGAAAGTCTGCGCGCGCTCCCTGAGTTAGTACCGCCTACCAGCTTCTGAAACCCAGAGCCATTCATTTCACATGAGTGAGGATTCTTCATTGAATCCCTTTGCTGCGGCCGGAAAACAGTGACGGGAGATGCATTGGGTTTTGCGCATCGTTTATGATGTTTTTCTGGTGAAGAGTGGGGCAAAAAATGGGAAATGAAAAAGGGATGAAGCTTTTAAAAACAACGATTTTTCTATTCTCATTTTTGTTTTTTCTCGCAGGTGATTCAAATATGGCTGGATGGATGGATTTGGTATGAAATCGACGCGACAATTCATTGCAGTGCACTTTTAGGTAGGAGAATATCTCAAAACGTTATGGAAAACTGATTTGTTAACAACATTCGAGAAAGTTTCGTTTTTCTAGTCGACAAAAATAGAAAAATTCAAAAAATATTACTGTTCATTGGTTAAAGGAACATTGCAAATAGCAAATATGTCTCGGCACGATTGTTTGCCGGGAATTGTTTCTTGTTTGAAAAAAAATTTAAAAAATGCAAAAAACATTTTTTTTGTTGCAAATTAAAAATAACGTGACGTGTTCAGATTTTGGCTCATTTCTCGATTTGTTGGATTTTGGTGCACGACGCTGTCAAGAATGTCGAGTGATAGCGGATGCTGGAAATTGTGAAAGCAAGTTTTGGTGAGTGCACTTCATGTTTCAGGGTAATTTTAAGGGGGGGGGGGGGTTGTTGTTCAGAACATTACCTGCTAAAAAACCAATAAAATCACGTAGCGCATTAGGAAATGTTTAGATTAAAATGTTGAATTTCTCAATATCGCGGGCGATTATACAAAATTCAGTAATTTCTGAAAATTTCCCATATTTTCAAGCGTAACCGACTTTTTCCTCCCAAATTACATTTGATTTTTCTCATTTCCCGTAACCTTGTTCCTTCCTTCCATCAAAGAAAATCCATCCAAAAAAAATCGCCGCCAAATAAATCGAGAACTAAAAAAAGTTGTGAACACTTGTAAATATATATATGCAAATAAATCGCCTCCCTTTTCTTTCCATATTGTTTTTTCTGAAGGTTGGTTTCTAAGGCTCCGCCCCCTTTTGCAAGCAGGTGTCTTTTGACTATCCACGCGTATCCAAGTAATTCGAAACATTTATTTTATTTTTGTATTCTCCTCATTTTTTGACTAACAAAAAAGATTCTGGTTTATTTCTTGAATAATTTATTCTATTAGGTAGTTGTTCCAGCTAATTTCAATTCAAGTGTGTTCTTTTTCTTCTCATTGACATTTATCCTTCAAACTAACATACTTTTTACCACCTCTAATTAAATATTCATATAGATTTTGTGGGGCGACCGACCTTCACACCTTTTGGCGGATTTCCTGATTTTTTACACCATATCTAAATACACTATGTTTACCTCATCTGTCAAGTTAAACCTAAATCAAACAAGTTTTGATTTTATTTTTATTTTTCCAAATAAAAAGATTATCCTTTTATTATCCTATTCTTTTTATTTTTTTTCATTTTTCCCAAAAGTTTTTATAGAAACTTTTGATTTTTCCGAAATTTTCTTGGAAACCTTCCCCTTCCCAGATAAGAATCTTGAATTTTCCATTCCGTTCCGTAAATATTTTTGAAACAGATTTTAATCTAACCTCTTGCCTAGATTTCACCTATGTTCTGCAAATGAAAAAATTCATCCAATTCCTAATATTTATAATATTCCTGCCAAAAAATGCCGTGGCATTTTCCGAGGAGACTGTGGATTTTGAAGTTTCGGAAGGTAAAAGTTTTCACTTTTTCACTTTTTTTTGGTGAAGCAAGGAACTAGTTATTGCGTAATAATAATAATTATTAAATTGGGGAGAAAATTAATATTTTCTTTTCGACAAGAAAAAAAAAACAAAATTAAAAAACTTGCAGATGTCGAGATAGGGAAAGTTATTGGAAAATTAACGAGACTTGATGGATTTACTTATCGATTATCTCGCGGGAATTCGAAAATACATTTTGATCCGGAAACTTTGGAAGTTAGCACAAGTTCAAAATTGGATCATGAATCGGAAGATTTGATTGATATGTTAATTATAACCAATCCACCATCAATTATACATTTAATGATCAAAGTTTTGGATGTGAATGATAATGATCCACGATTTTTGAATGATTTTCAACAAATCTCGATTCCTGAAACTGCACCAATTGGTTGGCGTGTCTCATTATCTGGCGCCATTGATCCAGACACAAATAGAACCATAAGCAATTATACCTTGGTGGATGAAGAAGAAGAAGAGAAAGAGGCTAGAATATTTGGATTATTTCAATCAGATGGTTTGATTTATATGGAAGTTATTGAAAAACTTGATCGAGAATTGAAAAATGAATATAAAATGAGACTTGTTGCAATAGATGACGGGATTCCAAGCAGGTAAATTTTTAGAAAACTCTTCTTTCAATTCTTTATTGACCTGGCCCAAATTCTTTTTCTGATAGAAAGGAATTTAATTTTCTCATCAAAATAGGAATAAAATAGTTCCGGCTCATTAATCTGAATAATTATCTATTTTTCTTTTTCTATTTATTATTATTATTATTTACCCCCTTCCTCTTACCGATTCAATCATCAACAACACGAAAAAAATCGTTATTTTTATGCTAATTTTTGAGGGCCGGGAAAAGAACAGACAGGTACCACCCAATATAGTTGTTATAACAATAAAAACGCCGAAAGTGTAATTAGCGGTGGGAGGTAGTGAAAAAAAGAGGGAAAAAATGGAATGACGAGCATATGGTGGGTGAAATTGCGAGAATAGAATAGAGAATGAGGATTTTGAACGGGGTAGAGATTTTTTGGAAACCTAGAATTATTTTTGGTTTGAAGGGTTTGAAAAACTCCTATATCGATACTTTATTCAGCAGGAATCTGAAATCCAAATGACTTATAGTTTTACAAAAAAATTTGGAGCTGTAAAACAGCCTGCACCTTATTTTTAAATATTCCAATTTTATTTATTTAAATTTTAAATCCAAAGCCAAGTTTTCCAAGAAATTTCTAATTCTAGGAGACAAAGTTCTGGAAATTTATAGAATTATCTAAAAAAATTTAAGAACACTTTCTAGATTTTCATCAAAATCATCAAATTTTTTCAGAAACTCTTCTTGTCTCCTCCATATTCAAATTCTCGACACAAATGATAATTTTCCTGATTTTGGAATTCGTTCAATTGATATAAAATATAATCCAAAAACCGATGGCAACAAAATATTTCGGTTAAATGCAACTGATGCAGATGAAGCTGAAAATGGACGAATTACCTATAAAGTGGTGGAAAATGATGATATTTTTGAAATATCGCAAGACAACACTTATTTGTTAGTGAAAGTGAGTTCTTTTTTTTTGGAAATAAAATATACCTAACTATATGTTTGTTTATTTACTCACACTCCATGTTCCTTTCAGAACAATACAAAATTAGAAGAGGAAACCAAAAACACTCGTGACAATGAAAAAAATGAGAAGAAAAAGGTGACAATTGAGGCGAGTGATCATGGTACTCCACCATTGGTGTCATTTTTGGATATTTGGATTCAAGTGGTGGATAATTTGGAAGGAAAGAGAAAGAATAGAAATATGAATGAGCCAAATATTAATATAAGGTGGGTTTTTGAGAAAACAAATTGGGTTTCGGATTTTTTTGGGGAAAAGAAGAAATTGAAGATGATCTTTTAGATTTTAGAGAAGTAGTAATTGTGGAGAATAACTCCCTGAAAAATTGGTGATAATATTTGATATAGTAGATTTTTCATAAACCTAAATTTGACAAAAAATAACTTGGATAGCTAATGGGGCTATTCAAGTATTTTCTCAACACGCTGAGAAAACAGAAGAAATGCGGAGAAAATGCATTTTCTTCACTTTTTTCGTATTTTATCAGCCTACCTGAATAGGTTTTCTCCTGTTTTCTCAGCGCTGAGAAAATAACTTGAATAGCCCCATAATAAAACGCCTATCATTTTGGTATAACATAATAAGTTTATTTAGTTTATGAAAAGATTATAAACAAAAATTGTTAATATTAGTAGTCTGAAACTAATAAACAAAACTTTATTGTTTTCTTCTCAACATCCAAAAGTTAAAGAATAATGTGAAAAGGCTGAAAATTGAAATTATTCCGAAGTAGATGAAGAGATTTGGAAGAACTCCATTTTGTAGAATTAGGGCTATTTTCTTCGAAATATTTTTGTAGAAAATGAATTCGAGAAGAATTGTTGAAAATAAAAGATAACATGCAGTTTCTTTTGATTTGATTGAAAATGATAGAATTGTTAGAAGAAGACAAATCTGTAAGTAGGATTAACAGAAATTTCTTGTCATAGAATTATTAAACTTACAAAAGATGGAATAATAAACATGACATTAATAAATGATTCATGTCTTTCGATATTAATTGTTATTGCACATCTTATTCTTTCTGCTTCACCGCCATCGAAAAACCAACTTGTTATTTTGAAGTTTGAAGTGATATTCGCCTGATCTTTAGCAAATGCATTTTCCATAGCCTTTTTCAATTGTAATCGAGAATGGTCCATTGAGAATAAGTTGAATTGAGGATCTCTAGATGTTATGATCAATGAACAATTGTGTTGATCATTTGGATAATTTGTGAAATCAAAATCACATATGACTTTTGCTTGATATAGAACAATTGTTGATGCTATTCCATAAGGTCCGTGGCTTTGAATTCGAGCATTACTACTTATGAATTTAAGTGATGGAAGTTCGCCAACGCCATGATTACAGTTGACGCATTGAAATTTTGGAAACCACATTTTTTTATCTCGCAAATTTACAAATATTTGAGAAACATTTCCATAGTTTTTTGGATCCCAGGAAAGTTTTCCATCTAACCAACACACAAATAATCTACCATTAAACATCACGGAATTATCGATTTCATTAATAGAAATGTAATCAATATAAGTTTCAACATTGATATTTTCCATTATGCTGAAATTTCAAATATGTAGTTTTCCGAGTTTAAAGAGAGTACTTACTATTTTGAAGTCGAATCATTGTTTCTGAAAATGTAATTTTCGATATCTTTGTGATATTTTGCATAAGTTGGTGGTGGTGCAAGCGAATCATTCAGAGGTTTGAAGTATGGAAAATAATTGCTCCTGAAAAATTTATTATACCATTCTATACTACACTATTCAGTGTTGTGAAACGTACATTTGACAATCTGCATGATTTATTAGAAAAATTAGTAGACACAGTATCATTTTGATATGAAATAAATATTTTATACAATTCACTTTGAATATTATAAACAATTTGACTGATGAAAAACTGAAATTAATAAACAAAACTTTATTGTTTTCTTCTCAACATACAAAAATTAAAGAATAATGTGAAAACACTAAAAATTGAAATTATTCCGAAATAAATGAAGAGATTTGGAAGAACTGCATTTTCTAGAATTGGCGCGATTTTCTTCGAAATATTTTTGTAGAAAATGAATTCGAGAAGAATTGTTGAAAATAAAAGATAACATGCAGTTTCTTTTGATTTGATTGAAAATGATAGAATTGTTAGAAGAAGACAAATCTGGAAATGAAATATTCAGTACAGAAGTTATCAGTCTTTTTTTTTCATAAACTAACGAATGACGGAATAATAAACATGGCATTGATGAATGGTTCATGTCTTTCGATGCCAATTGTTATAACAAAAACATTTTGGTCATCCCCGCCAATTTCGAAAGAGCTATTTATTATTTTGAAGTTTGAGGTGTAATTTCTCGCTTTTTTCTCAATTGCATTTTTTATACCAGTGCCCATAGCTAATTTGGAAGAATCTGTTGAGAATAGTTCCATTTCAGGATCCAAAGATGTTATGATCATTGAACAGCTGTGTTGATCATTTGGATAATTTTCAAAGTCAAAATCACAACTGACTTTCGCGTGATATAAAATCAGTGTTACTAATGCTCCAGTTTTTATCATAGAATCAATCCTAACTTTACGAATATAATCAAGTGGTGGATATTCCTCAACATCGTGATTACAGTTAACGCATTGAAGTTTTGGGAGCCATATCTTTTGATCTCGTACATTTACATATATTGTAGACACATTTCCGTATTTTTCTGAATTCCAGACTAGTTTTCCATCGAACCAAAATACAGATAATCGTCCATTAAAGATAACGGATTTATCCATTTCATTAATAGAAATGTGGTCTATAAAAGTGTCAATGACGATTAATGGGGTTACTCCTCTGAAAATAAAGTAAAATAAGGAGCATTTTTCTGAATTTAGAAAACTTACAATTTTATATCCGAATAGTTTTTGAAAATAAGATTCTCGATATCTTTGTGATATTTTGCATAAGTTGGTGGTGGTGGAGGAGTATAATTTTGGAATTTATATAATGGGAAATAACTGGCTCTTAAAAATTGATTCTGCATTTCACAATTTACATGGTTTATGAACAGGAAAACCAGTGAAAACAGTATCATTTTGGTATGAAATGATTGTTTCATTCGATTTGTTTAATGTGAATAGCATAAACAAAATTTTGGATGAAAAACTGAAATTAATAAACAAAACTTTATTGTTTTCTTCTCAACATCCAAAAATTGAAGAATAATGTGAAAACACTGAAAATTGAAATTATTCCGAAATAGATGAAGAGATTTGGGAGAACTCCATTTTGTAGAATTGGCGCGATTTTCTTCGAAATATTTTTGTAGAAAATGAATTCGAGAAGAATTGTTGAAAATAAAAGATAACATGCAGTTTCTTTTGATTCGATTGAAAATGTTAGAATCGTCAAAATAAGACAAACCTGTAAGGTTTTGAACTTTTCTGTGTCTAATTTTGTGAACCTACAAAGGATGGAATAATAAACAATGCATAAATAAATGGTGCATGTCTTTGTAAGAGAATTCTAGTTGTATGTAAACCATAATCATAGTTATGCCCTACATCCACGACTTTGAAGTTTGATATGATCGTCTTCTCGTTTTTATCAACCACGTTTAATTTGAGAATATCAAGTTTAGCCGGGAAAACTAACTCTTCAAACATGACCTTTTCCTGCATTGTTTTCAAAGATATCGAACAGTTTTGCTCGTCATATGGAAAATTTGAGATATCAAATTCGCATCCAATTTTCGCATTGTAATTCACTTTTGTTAGCGCCATTCCTTCCTAATATTTAAATTATTAGTTGTCCTCTGAAAATGAGTTTGGCTAACTTACGCTTGAAATTAGGATGTTTCCAGAAGGTACCAATGGAAAAAAATCATCAGTATCAACCCTCGAATGAATAAATTTTAATTGAGGAGTCCAGATGAGATTATCCCAGAAATCAATTTGAATAACGGAAAGATTCCCGTAGCTTTCTGTAGACCAATGAATCCTTTCATCGTACCAATACTGTTATGCGGAAATTTTAAGGATTTCTAAAAATGACTTATTCTTACCACATATAAGTATCCATGAACATTTACAGTACTGTCATATTCATTAACTGATAGATGAGTTATTATGTTCATAACAAGTATATTAATATGATCACCGGAGTTTCTATAAAATGCCTTATATTAGATAAAATAATTATATTTCAAAAAGCCTTACGGTGATTTCGATTTATCGTAGTTTTTGAAAATGTTATCTTTAATTTCGTTGTAGAATTTCGGGGAAGGGGAAGATGGTTCAACTTCTATTTTCTTTAAAACTTCTTCGTATGTCATATGGTTTCTTGAAACAACAAGGTTTATTGAAAGCGAAACGATCAATAACTTACGTCTGACTATTTGATTCTTGAAAAAGAAAAATTAAGAGCAGAAGAAGTCGCATGTCAGAATACATTTCTGAATTTATGAAAAGTAAACTAACATTATATATAAATTGCTGAAATTATTTATATTAAAATTATAAACAATATTTGTATTTATTTACAGATTCTACCCTTCTGATCATGATTATATTGTTGTACAACCGGAAGATGTTAATGGAAAAACTTTGGCAATTCTATCGATAACTGATCCAGATGGACCAATTGGGCCGAATTCAACAATAACAGTTGTGAAAGGAAATGAAGAATCAATTTTTGCATTGATTTCAAGATCGAATATTAATATTTTAACACTGCGAAATATTGAGAAAGCTGAAAAATCGAGATATGAAATTGTATTTGAGGCAAATGATGATCAACTTCCAAATGATAGAAAAACTCGAAAAAGTTTGAAGATTTATGTAAAGAAAAATATGAAAACAGAAGTTAAGATTGATGTTCCATCAAAAATCAATGTTGAAATTCCGAAAAATATTGCGATTGGAAGTTATGTTACTCATATTAACAATAATTGCAGTAACGAATGCTATTTTGAATTGGAAGATGTTTCGAACTCTTTTGCCATTGATAGATCGAGTGGAGTTGTTACAACAAGAACATCTAAAATATCAATCGATAATGTCGAATTTATTGTTCGAACATTTTTACCACCACCAAGGGAAGATTATCTCGAAACATCAGTGACGGTCAAGACATTGAAAAAAACAAAAACTTCAAGAATACATCTTCGAAGAACTTATCAATTTTCGATTTGGGATAATTCTACAGTTGGAAATATTGTTGGAACTCTTCCCAAAGCCAATATTTATTCATCAATTTCTGAAAATTCAATAGTTGGTGTATTTCCAGATGGATCTATTTATTTGGCAAAACCTATTCCAGAAAAAAGTCGGATTTTGAACCTCGAAGTTGTTTTGAAACAAGATAATGCCACGCAGTTGACAACAGTTACAGTTATTGTTCGAAAAAACAAAAGGGATAGTATTTTGAGGTGCAGTGATACCAGATTTTTGATCGAGGAAAATGAGAAACCTGGAAGTATAATTGGAAGTTTTGATGTTGAACAAATTGGATTTTATGATCTACTTGACTCCCAAGATTTATTATTTATCAGTGGAGCAAATTTGATCAGCCGTGTATCATTTGATGCCGAAAAATCGACTTCTTTGAACTTCAAATATCGCCTAACTTCGATTGATGGAAAATTTGTGAATTGCAATGGAGCTCTAGAAATTGAAGATGTGAATGATAATGCTCCAATATTTGATCGATATTTTTATGAAACAACTATTTTCACTGAAGGAACTGTTGATTTGAATATTTCAACAATTGATTTGGATATATCTTCAAAACACAGAAATGTTGAATATCGATTATTGAATTATATCGATATGTTTAGTATTGATCGAAAAAATGGAAAGTTCAATACAACTGTGAATTCTCCATTTTCAAGATTGAATTTATCAATTGAAGCTGTTAATGATAGATTAACCACGAAGAGTTTTGTATTGATAACATCAGTGATCAACAAATCGAAATTTGTGTTGAAGTCAGAGAAGATTTTGAGAATCTATAGAAATGATGTGCCTGGAAATGTGATTTATAAATTGGAAATTAGTGGAGCAAATGATTTTGTTGATTGGAAATTTGAGGATGAAGAAAAGAGATTTTCAATTGATTCAACTGGAAATGTTCGACTTCTTGAATTTTCACCAGAAGAAAATGAAATGTTGAAAAAGTGGACGATTCTGAAGTTGAATTCGATTGATTATAAATTCGATGTTGAATATATTTTTGACGAAGATCGAAATGAACATGCAAATAGTGTCGAAGATTTGGAATTTATTGGAGGAAAAATTGGTGTTGGAAGTGGCTCAAAAGTTGTTCGAACTATCCCGGAAATTCAATATTTTATCAGAAATGGGAGTTTATTTTTGGAAAATGAATTGGCGCCGAGAGAAGATGTTTATGTGTTTACTGAAGGGTGAGTGGTTTTGGATTTTTTACAAAGCTAGATTAAGAAACTTCATTTTTTCAAAAACCAAGTCCATTTTAGGTTCACCAATTTCACCAATTTATTCCAATTTTTCAGGCCTACCAAAAATCGAACTTTCCATTTGCATTCTCCTTCCTCATTTTCTTCCCACTTGTGCCAATCAAAAATTTTGTTGATTTCAAGTCCTGGAAAAATCGCACTGAATTGTTCCACTGACTTCAAGTTATTAACAAGTGTTTCGAATGTTTTGCCAAATCTTACGATCACAAATATCGAGGAAAGTGTTCAAACATTGGATCTTGTAACATCAACAGGATCTCCATTTATGATCACATTAATTCGAAATAAAACATCGGAAGATGTCAAATTTTCGACGAATAATATTTTGATGCTTGTTTCCTCTTCACATTCATTGAATTCGTCATTTGGAAGAGTTACAGCTGAATCAAATTATCGAATTCGATATTATCTTGTTGAAACATCACAAGTTTCAATTGATCCAGATACTGGAGAATTATTCCTGAAAGAGAGATTCTATAAAACATTGAATGATATTATTTTGGTTGCTGTTGTTCCAACTGGAATTACTCGAGCTAAATTGACAATTGAAATTATCGAAGATCATTTGCATATTGGAAATAAGAATATTGTTATATTTGCACCATTTCAAATTCAATTGAATCAACAAATTGGTATAATTGATATTGGAAGAAATGATTTATTGATTGATATTATTGATGATTATTTTTATGTTCGAGATAATCAATTATTGATCAAGAAAATTCCACCAACTGGTAGATTTTATGATTTGGAAGGAATTGCAAAGAAATCGAAATTATCTGCGAGTTTCAAAGTTACTGTAGTTTTTGGAGATTCAAGAAATGCCAATCAAAATGAAAATGATCTGAAATATGAAATCGAGGAACTTTTACCAGCTGGAAGTGTTATTGGAAGTGTGCCAAATCCAAAAACTGCGAAATATCGATTGATTGATATGAATTGTGGATTATTGATTGATCAACAAGGAATTATTCGAAGTTCTCAGATTTTCAATCGAAGTGAAACATTGAATATTACAACTAAGATGATTGATATTGGAATTAGTAAAATATGGAATATTTATGTGCAAATCAAAGAAGTTAATAATAATCCACCAGACATCAAAAATTCGCCGAAAAAATTGTTTGCTGGAGATCAATATGAACTCATTGTTGAAGATGAAGATGAATCTGATGTATTTATGGAAGTTATAGCTGGAGATCCATTGAATTATATTAATTTGGAAAATGGAAAAATGCTTGTTTCTCAAGAAGTTGAGATTCCTTTCAATGTTACACTTCGGATTTCTGATCAACAACCTCCTTTCAAATATAACTTTGAAGATATTTCAATCGAAATTTTGCCAAAATTCCCCCAAGCTCCGATTTGTGCTAACAAAACAATTGGAATTTTTGGAAAATCGCCGAAAGTTGGAGATTTAATTGGAAGAGTTGATATCAGAAATGGAAAAAGAGGAACTTTTAGAATATTGAATTCGGAAACTTCTCATTATTCAATCAATAATATTGGAGAAATATTTGTGAAATCGTCGATGGAAAAAATCAGAGGATCTCAAAAACTTGAAGTTGAAGTTCGAAGTTATTCTGGATTACAATATTCATTTTGCCACGTGGATATCAATTCTGATTTTGTTGAAAAAGATTTTGGAATATCGAAAGAGCATGTGGTTTTTGATGTTTTGGAGGTAAGATATTTCTGGGGAAAAAATTGAATTAGGATTTGAAATTTACAGAAAAAAAATGTGTTTTGTTGAAAATAAATTCCCAAGTATTTTTGAAAAATAATAATTTGAAAATGAATTATGTTCGAAATTTTCTGAATTTGTTAAAATTTTTACCTGGATTCAAAAATCTATAAAATTTCACAAAACTGAGATTACTGTAGCTACAAACCGAAAATAATCGAATAAACTCAACTCTCGTTTTTCAGACCGCTGTTCCTGGCACAGAAATCGGAAAAGTTCAAGAAAAACTGAAAAATGTGATTTTCGAAATCGAAAACGATGATAATTTCACAATTTCGAGTTTTGATGGAATGATTCGCGTGAACTCGCCATTAGATTTTGAAAATATTCAGAAATTTCAAATCACTGTTAACATTTATAAATTGGGCCAAGTTTTAAAAAAGTGAGTTTTTTCTTTTGATTTTGACAATAAAATAAATCTTGCAATTTTTCAGGAACATTGAAATCAATATTATAAATGAAAATGATGAGATTCCTCGTTTTATAACTGGAGATGTTGTTTATCTTTCAATGTTAGAAGAACAAAAAGCACCATTGATTGTTGGAAGTTCGATTGCTGAAGATCTTGATGATCAAATAATTACATATAGTATTGTCTCGGGAAATACATCAATGTTTTCTGTAAATTCAACAACAGGACAGATTTCGTGTTTACAAACTGTTGATCGAGAAGAAACACCGAAATTTGAATTGGAAATTGAAGCTCGAGATGGAAAAGGAAATTATGCGACATCAAAAATTGTTATAAATGTTGAAGATGTTAATGACAATTCACCGATCTTCGATCAAAATATTTATATTGTTGATGTTATGGAAAATAGTCAAATTGGTATGAAGATTATAAAAATACACGCAGAAGATCGAGATGAAAAAGGAGAAAATTCGAGAATTAGTTATAGTATTGATGATTCGGTACAATTTCGAATTGATGAAGCAACTGGTTGGATTACTGTTGTTGGAAAAATTGATCGAGAAATTATTCATAATCAAAATATTACTGCAAATATTATTGCGACTGATCATGGAAAACAACCTAAATCTACAAAAGTTCCGATTATTTTCAATATCCTTGATGACAATGATAATTCACCAATTATTCTGAATTCGGAATCTGATATTTTTGTGCCAGCAGAAATCAAGAAGGGAGATATTGCATTTGTTGTTGATGTCAGTGATAAAGATCAAGATGATTCATTGAAATTCAATATAATATCGACTGATTATGAGATTAACAATTCTGGAGAAGTTTTATTCGTTAAAAATGGCAAAAATAAAATTGAAGTGATTGTGGAAGATTCAGCCAAACATACAACTTCGAAAATATTCCAACTTCAAAAATATCCTGGAAAATTCCCAAAGTTTTCTAAAAATTTGAAGAGAACCTGGAAGATTAGCGAGGGAATTCGAAAAACAATTGGAAATTTTGAAGTTGAGAAAATCGTACCGAATTTAACTTATCAATTGGTGGAATCGAATAAATGTAAAGGATATTTCGAGATTTCTCAAAATGCCACGTTGGTTTCGAAAGAAATTGTGGATCGAGAAAATGTGGAGAAATGTGATATTTGGATTGTTGCAAAGACAAGATCAAGAGATCGAAAAGAACTTCGAAGTTACTTGAAATTAGAAATCGAAATAATGGATGTGAATGATAATATTCCGATATTTGAGAAACAATTATATCGATTTGAAGTGAAAGAAAATGGAGGAGAAGCATTGAAAATTGGAGATGTAAAAGCAATTGATAAAGATAAAAATGATCGAATAAATTATCGAATTATTAGTGGAGATATATTTCATGAATTTGTTATCAATGAATTTGGAAATATTGAAGCAATTCGAGATTTGGATAGAGAAACAATTGAAGAATATCGATTAGTTATTGAAGCATCTGATTCATTTCACACATCAAATACAACTGTTATTATCAAATTATTGGATGAAGATGATAATGCTCCAAGATTTTCGAGAATATTTCATGCCGAAATTGAAGAAAATGTTGAGATTGGCAGTTTTGTTGTGCAAATTTCTGCTTCGGATGCGGATTTGGATGAAAATCATCATTTCTTTTTTGAAGGAGCTGATGAAATTCCGTTTAGAATTGATGAAATGACTGGAATGGTTTATACCAAAGATGTTCTGGATTATGAAAAGAAATCTTCATATCGCGTCAAAGTTCGACTTCAAGATGGAGTTTGGTCGATTGAGACAAGTTTATTTATCACAATTCTGAATATCAATGATAATCCACCAATATTTGAGCACAACTCATATGCTTTTATAGTTTCAAATTCTGAAATAATTGGAAAAGTTTTGGCAAAAGATTTGGATTCTGATTCAATTATTCAATATTCAATTGATGATCCAAATTTTGATATAAATTCAACAAATGGAGAAATCAAGTTATGTAGAAATATCAGTACACCTTTCTTGGAATTCACAGTCAGTGCTTATGATTCGAAATTTAAAAGTGATTCGAAAGTTTTTGCCATTTTTGAGAAAATGTGGAATATTGAAGAGAGATTTTATAATGGTTCGCCTGATTTTATCGAAGATTTTGAGAAGGTAATTTGATAATTTTTTTCTTTCAAAATGTGAAATATTCCTATTTCAGAATTCTTCTCAAATTCTTCCTGATCTGTCTGCTAATCCATCGATATTTTATGTTCTTGATGAAGCTCGGAAAAATCTTTTAATCTACAAATTGACTATTCGTCCGTCCAATTTCTCAAAACTGGAAGATTTGGAGATTGAGATTCCAAGTTTCACGGAAATCGGAGATATTATTGGAAAAATTGAAGCTGATGTTTATTTTGAGAATTCAGAGGATCTACCAATTGAAATTGATTCGATGAGAAATATTCGATTGAAAAAAGGTGAAGCTGGAAAAGTTGGGATGGTTTATAATGATGGAATTTGGCCAAAAACTAATGAGACATTGAATATTCTTATAAAATTTATGTCGGAAGACGATGTGATTTCGAAACAGAAAAGTATTTTACACCAACGACAACCACAAGTTCAAATATTCGAAGTTTTGGCATATCAGAATACTACGGAAATCAATTTATCGATGATTAATCAACCAAATTGTGTTGTAGATCATCCACAATTTGCATATTCACCAGCCAAATTGATTGTTGTCGAGAAAATCAGTGTTGGAACTTATCAATTGAATCTGAAATGTGCCGACCAAGAATTTCTTTTGGATGTCACAATTCTGTCAACTAATGAATCTCGATATCCTGAAGTTATTTACACGAACAACCATGGATTTTCAATGGAACTTGCGGAAATTGGAGAGACTTCCAAGTTTTATCTCGCTGATGATAATTTGAGATCAATTTTTGAATTGAATGAAAATGGACACTTCAAGACCAAAAGAGAACTTGCGAGAGGAGTTTATAAAGTTCCAATCAAGATTCAAAATGAAAAAATTATGATGAGAATTATCGTAGAAAATTCAGATACTGTGATTTTCAATTCTACTGATGTTCAATTGAATTCTATAAATCCATTGACGAATTCACAGATGTCTGAGGCTAATACAAAAACCACAATTGAGAGATTTGAGATCGAGGAGCCGGTTGAAATTGAAGTTATTTGTTTGAAATCATCGATTGCAAATCTTATCATTGATTTGAGAAAGAAATATGATGATATGAAAATCAATATTATATCAGCATTTGAAGTTACCTTCGATCTTCGATATCGCCTTATTTTTTCAATTATTGATCGAAATGGAAAAGTTTTGGATTCATCGGAAACTCGAAGAACATTAAGATCGTATTTCGAACGAATAAATAAACCATCATATATTGAAGTTGTTGGATTTTCGAAGGATCTTTGCTCGGATTGTAAATTTGGATTGGATTCATCGTCTCGACTTCAAACTCGATACAAAGATCAAATATTCGATATTCCAAGTGGTAATTTGATTATCAAAAAGAAGGAAGAGACTGTAATTCAGAATATAGTTCAAGATTCAGATGAAAATGTTTGTGGAAAATCAGGAATATGTCAATGTTCAAATGGTTTCGAAAGTTATACATCTTGTGACAATGAATTGAGTGGATTTTCTGCGAAAAGTTTGAAGATAAATGTGAGAAATTATTCGAAAATTGAAGAAATGGCTGAAAAAGATTGTGATGGAGAACAGAAAATTGAAGTGGATTTCAAAACTGGAGTCAAGGATCAAAAGATATTTATGATTATCGATTTTGCGAAACAAACTGCGAAAATTGAAACTATTAATGGATATCTAAAATTCAGTTTATATGAAAATTCGAACCACTTCAGAAAACATATCGAAGTTCAACTTGACAGGAAAATAAATGATGGAAGATGGCATCGATTTAGATTTTCAATGAAGAAAAAGAAAATAGCAATTCAAATTGATGGAAAAGGAAAAGAATTGAAATCAAAAATCAATCTACCACTATTGTACACTGCAAAATCAATCAATTTTGGAGAATTTTGCTATCGAAGATTAATTGCTCAGAATATACTTTTATATGCAAGTTCAAATCCTCTTTTCAATTTTGATACTTCTGAATTATCTGGAACTTGTTCTTCGGATTCTCAAGAACCACAACGAATATTTGGAAACCTCGCAATTATTCTATCAATATCTCTTTTTATTATTTTGATCTTCATTTCTGGTCTCATTTTCTGTTTGGTTCGAAAATATCAAAATAATAAAACTGGTTGGGAAGAAGCAAAAGAAATTGATGCGTATCGAACCAAAATCTCAGGAAATATTAATATGGCTTATTTTTAGCTTAAATTGTTAGGATATAATTATGTTTTATGTGACACGGGTTTTTTTGTTTGTTGCCTAGTCTTTAATTTCACCTTTTTTGATAAATAAATATTTGAATCATTGCAGCTGATTAAATATAGCAATGAAAATGGGAATACTGAACATTTTCCATCATTTTGAAAATGTATCTGTACCTTTTTCTATGTTCAATTTTTATTGAAAATGCTCTTGGAGCATTTGTTGATATGTCAAGGCAGACTATGAATCCAATTATGACAACAACAACACCAGTTAATACAGGTTTGCATTTTTATTTTATTTTGAAAGATTTCTAAAAATTGAAATTGTTAATTGCCACATCACAGTTCACGTAGAAAAATAAAAACGTGATGTTTAAAAAAATGCAAAAAGAAAGCACATTTTGAACGGTCAAGAATAATTGTCAAACATTGATATTTGAACAACGGACCGCGTGCCCCTTTTCTTTATAATATTCCAATTTCTGTTATATACCCCTACCAAACCATATGACCGACATTTGCCTGGTCAACTCATATATTTTTCTGCTGTTGTGGGGAAGGGGGATGAAAGAATGCTGCTCAAACTGTTCCGCAACATGTTCGTTGTGACGTCATCGTTTTACTTCAAATACTTACTGTAGGTTCAACTGTTTTTTATTTTTAAACTAAAAATAAAAACTTGAAATAACTTTTATCTACCACTTTTTTCATTCGATAAATACGTTTTCGAAATTTTTAGCAGGAAACGGCTTTTAAAATTTTTACTCTCGAAATCGAAAATTTACTTTACATTATCGAAAAGTACCAGAAACCTAGGAAAACTGACGATAAAATTAAAAAAAAGTATTCAATAAAATGTTGGAACTTATTCCAATTTTTGTATAAACAGTTGAACGAAAGAAAACACTATGACGTCACAACGAACATGTTGCGGAACAGTTTGAGCAGCATTCTTTCGTCCCCTTTCCCATGACAGCAGAAAAATATATCAATTGACCAGGCAAATGTCGGTCATATGGTTTGATAGGAGTATATAACAGAAATAGGAATGTTATAAAGAAAAGGGGCACGCGGTCCGTTGTTCAAATATCAATGTTTGACAATTATTCTTGACCGTTCAAAACGTGCTTTCTTTTTGCATTTTTTTAAACTTCACGTTTTTATTTTTCTACGTGAATTGTGATGTGGCAATTAACAATTTTAGAAAATTTTTCAAAATTTGCTCATTTCAAAAAAAAACGTCTATGAAAAAAGGCTCCCGTATTTCAGGCTGTTCTGATTCTTCTCCATGCCAAGTTCCAGCAATTCTTCCAAAAACCAGTCAATTTTGGCCCAATTCAGATGTTCTTGTTGGACTTCAGACCCAATTGCAATTATCTGGAAATGCACCTGCAGTCACCCAATCATCTCTCGATTCTACTTCATCTGGAAATATTTTTATTGCTCGAGCTGGTTCGGATTATTATAAATATCCTGAAGATTCGTCGAATGTTCAGACAAGACAAGCTGGATTTGGGAATCAGCAAGGAGTTCAGAGAGATTCTGGGGATAATCAAGGTTGGAATTCGAGAGTTCAGTGGAACTCGTTTGGAGCAGGAAATGGAAGGATGAGTCAGCAGAGCCAACAATTTGGAAGCCAGAATTCTGGATTTGGAAATTCTAATTTGAACTCGAATAATCAGAACCAGAATTATATGAATCAAAATCAACAGGCTTCTAATGGATTTGGAGCACAAAGTTCTAATAGCCAAAACTTTGGGCAACAAAACCAACAAAGTCAGTTTGGAAGCCAAAGTTCCACGAATCAAAACTCTGGAAACCAAAATCAACAAGGATTCTCTGGATTTGGAACTCAGAATTCTAACAATCAGAATACAAATAATTTCGGTCAACAAAATCAATCTGGAAATCAAAATCAGAACTTTGGCCAACAAAGATTTGGCTCACAAAATTCTGGAAATCCAGGATTCTCCAATCAAAGAGATCAGTCTCAAAATAATCAGGCTTCTTCAGGATTTGGGCAACAGAACTCAAATCAACAAGGATTTGGATCACAAAGTTTTGGAAATCAGAATGGCCAAGCTGGAAGTTCAGGATTCGGAAATCAAAATTCAGGACAACAAAATCAATTTGGTGGAGCTCAGAATTCTGCATTTGGAAATCAAAATTCTAATAATCAGAATCAGAACTCAGGAAGCCAACAAGGATTTGGCTCACAGATTTCCGGACAACAAAACCAGTTTGGAAATCAACAAAATCAACCAGGATTTTCTGGAACTCAAAATTCTAGATTTGGAAATCAGAACTCAGGTTTCGGCTCGCAGAACTCTGGAAGCCAGGGATTTTCCAACCAAAGAGATCAATCTACAAATATGAACAATCAAGCTGGAAATGCTGGACAGATCTTTGGACAACAGAATCAAGGAATTCCAGGGCAACAAAATCAAAACGGAAATTCTGTGAGTCAGAATAACTTCGGTCAAGGTGGAAGTTTCGGAAGTCAAGGATTTACCGGAGCTCAGAATCAGTTTGGAACTCAACAGAATCAACCCGGGTTTTCTGGAGCTCAGAATTCCGGTTTCGGAAACCAAAATTCTAACTCACAATCAGGACAACAAAGTTCTGGTAATCAAGGATTTCCTGGACAACAAAATCAATCCGGAAGTCCAAATTCTGGAAATCAACCCGGATTCGGAAATCAAAATGCTAATAGCCAGAACTCCGGACAACAAGGCTTCGGCTCCCAAAATTCTGGTAGCCAAGGAGCTCAAAATTCTGGATTTCGAAACCAAAATCAACAAGGAGCTTTCGGATTTTCATCACAAAATTCTAGTAATTCGGGATTTCCTGGCCAACAAAATCAAGCAACTAACAACCAAAATCCTTTCATGAATCAAAATCAAAACCCTGGACCTCAAAATCAAGCAGGAAATCAGAATCAACAAGTATTTTCTGGATTTGGCACCCCGAATTCACAATCAGCAAGATCAACCTCAACTTCTAGAATTCCCCGATCGTCCGGAAATCTGCCGAATTCAGCAGAATGGACATATATTCCAGGACCACCCGGTTCAAATGTAAACTACGTCACGAATCAGGTAATTTTAAAACATTTCACAATCACTTACAAAATATTTCCCAAACATTCCAGGCCGTATCAAATCTGAGCCCAGAAGGTCAACAAATTGGAGCACAAATCCAAGTGAGTTTTTTTTTGTGTTGACACCCTTCAAAAAATATGTATATGTATATGATAATGAAGGACACTTGAAATTTGATTGTCAGATTTTGAAGAGAGACAAAAAATGACATGATTGTTGGGAAACAGATGGTGATTGGATTTGGGAAGTTTTTTTGGGAAAAAATTTAATTTGGAAATTTAAAAGATCTCTTAAACACTGAAATGAGGGAAAAATAATTCAAAAACTTCTGAAAAAAATCAAATTTTTACCCAAAATTCCAAAACGCTTTTCTGAATCGAAAAGTTTATTCTCAAAATTTTTTATAAAACATTTTTCTACCTGAATCATCTACCAAAACTTGAAAAAGTGTTAATCCCCCGGTTCCTTTTCTCCTAACATTTTCTAACAAAGAACAAAGAAGAATTAACACCATTCCATTTTTTTTGCAGGCAATCCGCTCAAATCTCAACTTGACAAACACCGAAGCGAGCCAACAAATCCAACAAATCGTCTCAAATCTTCCACAAAATTTGCAAAATGAATTGGCCAATTTTTAATTATTCATCATAAATTTTTGTTTTTTGCTCTGTGGGTGGTCCAGAATTTTAGAATTTGGGAAAGTTTACTTGGTGTTTTGCAGATGGAAAATAGATATCCAACTGTGAATTTAGCGCTCTGTAATTAGACTTTTTTGGGGGAATTTGAGTATTTTTGGAAGCCGTAGCAGAAAAAAATTAGTTTTGGAAACTTTCCTGATTTTTTTCACAAAATATTCGATCTCAAAATAATTTTAATATTTTTTGTAAACGTGAACTTTTCAGAAATAAAAATCATTTCTAAAAAAAATTCCTGGGAATTCCCACTCTAACACATTTTTTCGCGGGACCATCAACAAACTGCCACGTGTCAACAATAATCTTATGAGAATTTTTTGAATTTCACATAAACAACACCATGGTGACAGAAAATTAGTGGGAGTTTTCATGGAAGGAAAATTCTGAAATTTTTCGAAGTCAGACAAGGTTTTGAGAGAAAAATTAGATTATTAAATATTTTCTAAATTTTATTCACAAAGTCAGATGAAATATTTTTTCAAAGAAAATTTACTTTTTCCTGAAAATTTTGAGAAATACAAAAAAACACAGTATTTTTTAAATTATCAATTTATTAATTCAGAAAAATTGCGCAACAATGAATATTATCAAATATATACATGAGAAAATAAAACAAATACATATAAAAATCCACCGGTATATTGAAAAATATTAAAAAAGTAACCCGTAAATACAATCCTAACCTAATAATCTAACCTATTAAAAAAATAAAAAAAAACCTTTAGACCGGTGGTGGAAAAGAAGGTGGTGGTGGAATAGTTGAAGCGGTTGAAGATGTCGAATTAGTGAAACTCCATGGATGTCTTGAAGAATTGGAATAAGTATATTGCTCATATGGAATGAGTTTTGGTTGAACATTGATAATCATATTTTGATTCTTGCGAGAATATGATTTTTTGGTTTTGATGTAGCAAATGAGAAGAATTGCGAAGGCTGTTGAGAGCAAGACTGCAAACATTGCCAAAAGGACGACTGAGATTTGGAGATTTTCAGCTGATGAGAATTTCTCAGAGAAGATGAGCTCCTGAAAAAAAAGAAAATTACAAAAGATATTCAAAAAATAGAAAAAGTTTAACTAACCTGTGGAATCTCGTTTGAGATCTCGATTTCTGATGGATCTTGACACCATGGACATCTTTCATGTTTTTGCAAAGTAATGATTGCATCGAAGCATTTTGCCTTGATGTGGATTGTCTTATTATTAAGATTGATTTCCTTATCCAAATCCATAATTTCGATATCTTCTGGGAAAATTCGAACAGCTGGAGTTTGATCGCAGATTCTTGGAAAACCATAAGTTCTATCAACTCCAATAACTTGTGCACTGATTGAAATATCTTCGACTCTTCCATTTGGCCAATAACTCACAAATTGTCGTTGATTGAGTTGTTCAGCGACTGGCCACGAAATCGAAGATCTTTCAGAAATTGGAAGAAGATCTTCGATTATTTGAAAACGTGGTTGAGTGCAAAGTGCAGTTGTTAAACATCCTTCTTGCCATTTGACTGATTCGATTTGAGCAGAAATCCAGAATTCGGAAGCTTCGATTGAAGAAGCAAAGATAATTGAGGAGAGAATAATTAGAGAGTTCATTATTCAAATATAATGAGAAGGTTTGGTAATTCTGTAATTTGCAAGGCTCTTTTTATATCATCTTGAAAGTGGGCGGAGCTTTGGGTGGATGGGACACGCCCACTTTTTGGTGGGAAGATGGAAAGTGTGAAAATGTGGTGTGAAGGGAAAAAATGACTGAGAGGATGGATTTATTGAAGTGTGAAGTGTGAAGAGTTAAATTTTGATTTTGAATTGACATTTGACATGAATTTAGACTTTCCAAATTTATGGAGTTTTGAAAATGGGAACAATTTTCTGGGAAAAATTTGATTTTTTTTGTCTAAAAATTATGCGAACAAGAACATGACCAATAATGTGGCAAAGGAGTAATAAAATTTCAACACAATAATTTCTATTTTAAAAAATTTCTGAATTTTATTACAAGCTATTCAGAGCCATCTGATTCTTATGAGAATCTCTCAAGAGTCGGCAAAATTAAAAAGAATATTTTTCCTGAAATTAACACCTTGGTGTTTTGTTGGGATACTCACATGGATTCAGAAAATATAGTCTGAGAATTGATTTCAATTGGGATATGAGATTCAAAATTTTAGAAATTGGAGCAACTCCCGTGAAGTTTCAATGATAGAAACCAATTTGGTGAAAAATTGAAATTTCGCTCAGAATTTTTAAATTGAGACCTTCCAGTTAGTTTATAGCCAGAAATTCAAATACTTCTGAAAATCTTAAAATTTTTGAATCAGAGCGTTTTTGTTTGGAAATTTTTATTTATTTTCAAACGTGAACTCATTTTCAGTTTTGAAAAATCAGTCTTCAAAGAATTCCTGGGAATTCCCACTCTAACACATTTTCCTGCGGGACAATAAACAATATCCCACGTGTCCACAATAATCTTATGAGAATTTTTCAAATTTCCCATAAACAACACCAAGGTGACAGAAAATGGTATAAAGAGAATTTCCGAAATTTTTGAAAAAAATCACCAGGACCTTTAAAAAACCAGTGTTGTAAAAATTAGAATAAGAAACAATAGGAAAAGGGATTAGTGAAGACAAAAGAAAAACTGTGTTATTTTTTAGCCGGGATATCCGAAAATCCCGCCGAGCCACGAAGAAATGTGCTAATGCGAAACAAATATCAAAGAATATGCCGATTATGGGATTTCCTGGGATTTCCTGGGTATTCGAACCTAAACTCATTTTTTGTCACCTTGGTGTTGTTTATGTGAATTTTGAAAATTCTCATTGGATTGTTGTTGACACGTGGCAGTTTGTTGATGGTCCCGCAGAAAAATGTGTTAGAGTGGGAATTCCCAGGAATTTTTAGGCTGATTTTTTAGTTGAAAATTAACTTCAGCTGAAAATTTGGAATGGAATTAAATTTGAAAATTAAAATGATAGAACTAGTACCAAAAAAACTAAAAAAAAAATTTTTTTTTTGAAAATTAATAAATTTTGGAGCTCATGAAAAATTATCGATTTTTTTGAAAATTTTTCTGAATTTTTTCAGGGAGATGATAAAATATAAAAATTAAAAAATACATTTGGACGTTCTGTAAATTTTGAAAAACAATTAGAATCAGAACTGAAAAAAAAAACTAAAAGATCCAACCAAGCCAAAATAAAATCTAACTCACTCATAACCTAAATAAAAAAGCGAGGCAAAATGAACCGAAAAAGAGGCGATAAAAATCTAATCTGTTTTCGAAATTTTCAACTTTTTCCACCAATTTTCTGCCCAAAATGAAATAAAACATAAAATGACCTTCTTCACTTCACATTAATTACAGTTTTTATATTATTTTAAACTAAACAAATAATTGGCGGTAAAATGAAAGCAATAAATTTGACACTTGTTATATTATTTTTTGCGGGTGCACAGTATGTGGTAGATAATCTCTGTGGGTGGCCTAGAAACTCCGAGTTCTAAAAAGAATCAGGGAACTTTTGCTATCTAGGAAATAAATTAGAACAAAATGTTGGATTAGGTTACAAAATAAATCCATACCATTACGTAATTGTAGACATAATTATTTGGCAAGTTTTTTGTTAGGCCTAACAAGTCTAATATAAGCACCTGTAATGACAATGGAATATCTTACGTAATTCATTTTTTGGTGTGGAAAATGTGGAAAAAAATTACGTATGACTTAACATGAAACATTTTTTGAGGGGGGAAAAGCTCCAAAATATTTGTTTTTAGAGTTTCAAGAAAATCCCTGGGAAATCCCACTCTAACACATTTTTTCGCGGGAACATCAACAATCTGCCACGTGTCAACAACAATCCAATGAGAATTTTTTGAATTTCACATAAACAACACCAAGGTGACAAAAATTAGTAAAGATTCTCATAATGAGAAAATTTTCTTCGATATTATTTGAAGTTTCGAGTTCGCGTTTCAAACAAAATGTTTTCTTTTTTCTCAAAAATTAATATTGTTGAACACCTAATTTTATTGGGAAAAACTGTAAAATTGAAATTTAAAAAAAAATGTAAATTCCAGATAAAGTTGCGAACTCTAAAAATGTCTTATTCTGATTTTACTCAAAAAAATCAAAAGAAACACTACTTAACAGTCAAGTTTTTCTAAATTAAATTTCAGTTAAATTTGTCTCTCAAAAACTTCCAAAATACTAATTTTCTCCTTTCTCGTTCCCCTAACTTTTTCTCAAACTTTTTTTCTCCCAGATACTACAGAGAAAAAACCATAAAATTATCATAAACTAACAATTCCAAGGTCTCTTTTTCCTAACAAAGAAACATTCAACAACAAAAAACTGGCCAAAAAAGTGTGAAAAATATAATCGGAAAGCTGGCCGAAAATTTGATTATACTATGTACAAAAAAACGAAACCCTACTCCTTATTTTTTTTTGGGAGAGAAAACGAAGAAGAAAATGTCTTCTATGAACCATGAAAAATATTGGAATTTGGAGAAATAAGGGGGAAAATAAAAATAAGAATACAATTTGGAAATCAAAACAACAACAAGAAAAAGTAGTGGGTAGAAATAATCACATTTCCGGTTTACACCCAATTTTGGGATGGAAAAAATTTAAAGGGGGTATACCCTATTGTCTCTCGTGCAAAGTGTGATACATCATTCGATTCAGAATTTTGTGTTATATATGCACAAAAAATTTTAGCTCGCAAAACGGATTCTAAGTACACGTTTTTTGCGTCCAAACAGGACCAAAATCTGCTCGAAATAAAAAAAGAACACACAAGAAAGAGAGACGCAGACTCTCGCTGTCTGCCAGCCAGCCAGCATGTGTATTGTTTTTTCTTCTTTTTTTAAATTTTTATAAGTTTATTACTGTAATTTCAGACTTACCGTAGTTGTTGAACACAAAATTCGAAAAAAAAACAACACACATGCTGGCTGGCTGGCAGACAGCGAGAGTCTGCGTCACTCTTTCTTGTGTGTTCTTTTTTTCATTTCGAGCAGATTTTGGTCCTGTTTGGACGCAAAAAACGTGTACTTAGAATCCGTTTTGAGAGCTAAAATTTTTTGTGCATATATAACACAAAATTCTGAATCAAATGATGTATCACACTTTGCACGAGAGACAATAGGGTATACCCCCTTTAAAGAAAAAATGTATACTTTTTTCAAAATTAGGATTTTTGAATCAAAAAATGGATTTTTATGATAACACGTCTGTGGTTTACAAGAAAAAGTTTCAAATAAAGTTTCAACAGACTTTTATAAAATTTATGATTTTTAGATTTTTAGTACTTGATTCGTATCTCTTTTTCAAAAATTGCAGAACTAAGAGAGTTATGACGTGGCAAGGTTTAAAATTTTCGAAAAATCAAGCTTCAAAAACGGTTCGGGATTATGATCGGATACGAATTTCCACAAAAATCTCGAATGAAAGTTGGAACAGTTGCCTTGTGCTAAGAAAACCTAAAAACTATAAAAAATATACTATATCTTCAAAAAAACAATGAAATAGAGTGTTTCAAATGCACCTGACATGAGCAATATATCATTTTGAACACGGCGAAGAGCCAATAAATTAGTTGATGGTCCCTTTTTTTCATTTTCGAAAAAAAAACAAACAGCTGTCAGCCGAAAATCGGCTAACTCTTTTGATTTTATAGCAAAAGTTCAAATTTATTATTATACATACACACATATTTTTCTGGTGCCAACAAAAACGCCAGACTTTCGCCGGATGTTTTTCGATGAAAATTTCTTTCCGATTTTGTATAAATATGTGTTTATTTTGGAGAAAATATACACATGGTATAATAAAAATCATATAAAATAAAATATTTGTTCATACAGGTGAGTAATACGGATTTTCGTCCCCTTTCCCCCAAAAATATATCATTTCTCATCGAAAATGAAAAAAGTTTTCAAAAATTCATTAAAAATGCAAAGCATCCCTTTTCATTGTATCTTTTTTGGCTCATAAATTTTCGAACATCATCTCCATCCCTTTTTCCTTTTCATGTTCCTTTAAATCCATGTAATTCGTCATTTTTTGGATTAGACAAAAAGTATTTTTTAAGTAAATGTATTGTGTGTAATAAATCATTTTTAAAATGTTCGGAACGAGAAAATTTTTGTCATAAAAGATATCAAATCATTTTGCAAATAATAAAATACATAAAAGAGAGGAGAATGAGTCAGTGCAGTCATATTAGTTACATAAACTTCATTTTATTTTCCTCGACAAACTATTCTTCTTCCAAAAGTTATATAATTTTTTGTTCTCACGATATTTGTTTTGTCAAAAAACTATAACCCCATCTCATTTTTTTGTTGTTATTCACTTTCAATGAAGCCTCTATGAATAGTATAAAAAATATAATAATAATAATATACGTAAGCTCTCATCTCAAATGACAAAATAAATAAATAAAAACAAAAATCTGACACCTCTCTTTTTTTTTGTTTCTCGGTGGTCCCTGGGAGGTATCAATTTCATTTCTTTGTCCTTTTTGTTAGGTGTAAAAAAAACTCGCCCCAAAACAACTCACCAAGTTGAAAAACTCTCCGAACAGT